CATCCTACTTCTTCCTGTGGCTAGATTATCAACTCTGTGCCGTTGTGGAATGTTTGACAGGGTAATATTCCGCGTGGTTTGAAGTTCTGGAAGAGAGATGTTCTTTTCGCCTCTAATCTAGTTGCTACTTGACATAAATCATCTTAAAGGCCTACGTCCTGACTGTTTCCCAAACAAGTGAATAGCTTGAGTTTTACGCTCTGTGATTGGGATGTAAACTGCCCACCGAGCAAAGTAGCGTCTCACCTTATTCTAACAAATTTAGATACACTTGCTATAATCGTGACACATGAAATGCTCGACACCCAATCCGATAAATGTTCTCTTCCCCATTCATCCCTATAATACTCCATATTCTTATTTGTATTCGCCACATGTCATCCAACGACCAGCCAATTTGATAAATTTCCTCTTTGAGTAAAACCCAACTCTCCTATCGATGCCATTGCCATTGGACTTCAAATTATGGATTGGGAATTGGCAGGGTATATTTGTAGCTAAACTGAATACAGCAATCGGCGGCCGCCGTATGGGGGAGAACTTGTAATTTGTACCGTTCTAGCTAAACTCCAGCAAAAGTGGACTTACGTGCTAGCAGCAAAGTCAAGTTTAAACTCTTGCAGTTTGAACTTTGGTAGCCCTCATTTCTCAAAGCATAAAGTAGTAAACTTCCGGAGATAAGCGATACAAGCCGGGTAATAAGAGAATTTACCATCAAAAAGAAACACATGTACAGTACAACAATCATGGTATGAGATGATATCTGCTCAACCCCATAGTTAATATAAAACGACACCCAAGCTCCTCAACAAATATGGAGACTCTTCTCTAAGCGAGATCCGGCCCACTGCGTCTGGTGTCAATCTCTCATCTAGTATTAGAAGAACCTGACAATACATGTACATTACAAAACCATACCCCGGACATTCCACTTCTGCGGCGCTTGAGGGAATTGTTTCAGCCCCCAACTTTTGTGTTCAATACAAAGTCGTACGCGAATATCCCTGTAATAAATTGACAAGTGGATTTCTATCCGTTCCTGGCGTTGCAATTGGTCCGAGCACGTGCAGATTAAGGCCACCTGCCGCATTACTTTTTTGATCCATACACATTCTGCTGCCCGTCTATCACATACATACATACATTTATACATACATACATACATACATTTATACATACATACATCAAATGCCTGTTGATATGATTTTGTCGTACATATGTACAAGGGATTATCATCGCATAGCTCTATGCACACATATAATTGCTGAAATGGCGTTATTACGCGAACGTTACACGAATTTAGTGTTACGGATGTGAAATGTGTTTTTGCTTTTCCGTAGCAAAAGCGGATCGGCAAATCTTCCGGGTGCCCTACACTTGTGCCGTGGGTACGTAAGATGTACTTCTTCTCCCTAGCACGCATGCAGTCGGCTGAGTACAATAATCACAAAGTCGCAAAGCATCCCAGAAAGGGAGGAGGTTGCGACGGTAGCTTAACATTAGACCGAATTACCAGGAGATATACGAAAATAAAACCGAACCCGAGCCCGAGCCCGAGATTTAGTCTTTGGATGAGTAATCACGATACATAAATCATCAATTAAGCTCTTAACCAAGACTTTGCCAATCTTAAAGGACCGCAACCTTGCCGAAAAGGCAGGTAAGATATACGATATGCTTGGCATTTGAGTCTGGGTTTGATTTCATCACCGTATGTTGAGAAGGGAGTGGGGGAATACACATAGAAAAGGGTCGGTCAATAGTCTCGAAGTGTCACGAACCCGCATATACATGGACTGATCTTCACCTTCTAAAGCTTCCACCGTCTTGCCGAAGGAGGAAAAGATGGAATGTCGCTCAGGAAATGGAAGGGTGCAGTAGTTTCACATTAGATAACACGCATGCATCTCGGAATGCGACATTTGTATCTGTCAGGCCGACATTCTTCGCAAACGAAGCGGTGAAAAATCCCAGGCTAAGCCTCGGATTATGTCATGGCATGCATTAGTCTGGCCAATAGTCGACGATGGTTCGGTATGTTTGGGCTGCTATTGGCTGCAGTCATGTGGCTAGTGCAACCGAGCTCAGTTTTTGTGGCGCTAAGCAGGCTTGGTCGAGTTTTCTTCACCGACCCTGACAGAGGTAAACATCAACATCACCAGTACTACACACTATGCAGTAACAAGCACTAATACTATCAGAGATAAGTCTCTCCCACGTTAGCCGCGTTATTGCTAGACCAAGCCTTGTCCTCTTACTGCAGATCAGGAAGACTCGCCGAGTCAACAAAGCGCTTGTGCAACAAGACCAATTGGTCAACAATGCCAACTGTATGTTGTTGTTTTTTATTTCCTTTTCCGCGGTGATTCTGCAGTGGTGACCCGATATCGCTTCCGACTGGTTTAGGGCATTTCATATTGGGACGCCGGCACCTCCGTAACTTAAAACATTGAGCAACAGCTCAGCCTTGCCAAGCCACTCTAAATCCCCACATACTATCAACACATGATCGAGTTTGTATTGTCACGTTGTGTATGGTGGTAAGATACTCTGCACCGTGTACTCTGTATGTTACAGAGTAAATAGATAGTACTTTGAATAAACAGCAGTCGACATCAAATCAAAGAACCATCGATAAGCAGACTCACCCTTGTGCGTACATATTGACACATCATCAAAAAACTCAAATTACGGATCCATCATCTCGCAATCAACGGATTCTCAACCCCTGATTGGTCAAGCCACGCATCTATGAGCTTTGCCCTTTCTCGCCTAGCATTGGCTCGGAGAGAGGCTCTGCTGTTGTTATTTCGACCATTCAGCTTTGAGTCTGTTGACAACGGACGGACGGATTTCTTTGGAGGGATAATGAACTTGTTCCTCGGCTCCCAAATCGACGGGTTTCGTCAACTTTGTCATCCCGCTCCGTGTGTTAACTAGTTATCGCAGAGTCACGGACTGGGGTACTTCGTATAGAGCAAACACCGAGAAGAGGGTTTTTATTCTTTTCTATGTATCCGTTTTCCGGTCTTCAGGAGAATTCTCGAAATGTGAAAGACCAGGGATCATTTGCAAGCTCGACAGCACATCGGAATTATCGGTACCGCGAAACCTTGGAGCTCCAAGACCGGTGATCAAAGTATATTATCACACTTTTTTGTCAACACTATGTACAACAAAGTATGGAGCACGTTTGTCATCGAGCCACAACGTGGATCAAACTGTAATCAGGAGGGGAGCTTCAAGTTTCAAGAGTACCCAAAAACGCTCGCTTAGAAATTAACGGGACAAAGTCAAATTGAAGGAAAATAGTTCATACTTTTTCTACATGAGGAATATGTACTAGTGTGGTATTCTAAAGTACGTACTTCCCAATCCGGATATAGGGCTTCGCCTTATGACAATTAAACTCGCCGGTCGAAATTTGACCGAAGCTTTTGTATTCTAGACAATAACAAGCTCTGACTATCAGCCCCCGGGAGTTTTTGCGATGAATTCTCCTTTTGATTTTGACGGGTTGTTTCAACGTTTTAAAGTTTCGGCATTCTTTTTGTACGATTTTTCTGTAGCTCAGTTGGGTATATCGGGTACGGAGTAGTATACAAGGTTATACTTTCAGATTGTGGACTGCATGAAACAATCGACGTACTTGGGCGTCTGGATATCGTACGATGAATGCCGACGATGGTCGACGAGGTCAAATGTAACCTGCGACCTTTCGTATGATCAGTATCGGCATGTTGAGTAGACGAAGTTTCTCAGGTTCAGTCTGATAATAGGCTATAGCCAGACCGTCTCATTCTGACCCTCTGATTGGCTCAAGCCTCAGGTCCCTGCTTAACAGACGACCTCAAGTCGGAGTTGCGGCGGTCTACTCTCAACATACGTAGCACCTCTCCATAAATGTATCAAAAATATCAGAGGACGGCAGATATCGATTTCGACTAACTCTGCCACACAAACCTGTCTCGGTGCTTCTAATTTCAAAGTCCAAGCCCCTTCCCTCATGCACTCCAATGGATATTGGAGGCTTGGCCGTCTGGCAGTGCCTGGGGCACATCTACTTTTAGACAAGTTAGCGTATTATTTATTCTCTAGGGTTTACAGTACCGTACCACTGTTCTCACAAGTACCAGTCCTGTTTGGAACGTACAATACCGTCAATACAGTAAATACAGAACGAAAGATGGCATGGACCCACAGTACCCATGCGTTGCTCCACTCATCCACGCTAAATTAACCCCGGTCCGTCCTGACTGACCCATCCTTGTTACCGAGTAAGTAATGCCTATGACACTCTCCGTCTACACGATGCTTCTGAGTTGTTTGCTTGTCAAATTAAATTAAATTGCACTAAGCAACTGGGACTGGGGGCCCAGTAGACTGGGAAGCATACAACTTTTAGTCCGTAGGGCAATCAAATCATCAACCAGTAAATCCGCTTGTGTGGTCTTTTTTAAACACCTTTAAATCATCCTGCCCTCCGCTGTCTATCTTCCGTGCCTTTTTTTTTTTGGAGTTTTTAAATCTCTCGTCATTCCCACCTTCGACACATTCCTCTTCTCACCTGACTTTGCATTTTGGATATATTATTGTTTATATATATCGTTTATATACAAAGATATCCTTGCTTGCGCCTTGTCTGTCTTGTCGAGTGTATTGTGTGTGTGTCTGCCTTACTTATCCTTAGTCCATTTGTATACCCCCGCGCCGCTCTGCCTTCGCAAAATACAATCCTCAATTTTCGACAACAGCAACTCAACAAATTATCGCAACACAAATTCAATGAGTAATTCAGACAGTTTGTGATTATCTTTGTCCTCCTACCGACCATCTCCTCCGCTAGCAGAAGTTGGTATGCTTCATCCGCACCTTACCGGGTTTTGAGCACCCGGGCTAATTTGCCTTGTGTTAGATACCTCACCGGTTTCACTTCTCGGCTTTTCTTTCACAAACCATTATAAACATTACGAGGCGACCAACTCGCTTCTACACGTCACCATGTTGGCTCTAGAATCCTCCCGTCAACAACAATTCCCCTTCTTCTCGCAAGACCAACTCGCTCTAGATCCCGAACTTATGGATTCATATGGATTCTCCGCCATGCAACCAAACCTCCAATCCCAAAACCACGAGCATATTCATTCATACCCCCAACAGACCTACTACGAATCCTCATCGTCGTGGACAGACCAAACTCCGGATATGGAGTTTCAACAAAAGTCGCAACAGCATATGCTCTACCCTGGTGGTGGCGCTAATTCACCTCTATCAATGGTCGCGTCGCATTATTCCGCTGCTTCCGGTGCTTCTGTTGCGAGCGCTTCTTCATCGGCTATGGGATCTCCATACTCTGGCGCTGCGCACACTTTCCAGGATTCATGGATGGATGGCGCTAATGGGTTGTTGGGTATGCCCATGGGTATGATGCCTGAAATCGACTACCCGCTGGCTAGCATGGAGGGAGACGCTACCTTTGGTGCTGGTACCAAGTATCCCACAGTTGGTAAGTTATTCTTATGGTACAGCCCCTCGGGAAAAAATTGCTTACATGCATAGATCCCTCTGCGATTCATCACCCTCTTCACACCCCCATGCCTTACGACGACCAGGTCAATATGTCTCATTCATCTGGTTTCGTCTCTCCTGCTCAGATCGGCTCTCCAATGCCCAGTCATCAAAACTTGGGTCTGCCCCAGCCCCAGATGAACACATCTTCCCCTTATCTAGGCGTCCAGCACGTCAGAAGCTCCAGCGTCGCAGGCTACGAACGGCCATCATCTATCATTTCTTCTCTCTCCCCACGCTCCCATCCCAGCCCAGCAGCTAGCAACACCGACGTAGAAGACGAAGGTCGCGAGAAGCGACGATGTCCCTGGCCCGACTGCGGCCGATCTTTCAAGGATCTCAAGGCTCACATGCTAACCCACCAAAGCGAGCGACCTGAGAAATGCCCCATCGTCAATTGTGAATACCACCTCAAGGGCTTTGCGCGCAAATACGATAAAAACCGACACACCTTGACCCACTATAAAGGGACAATGGTGTGCGGTTTCTGTCCGGGATCCGGCTCGGCGGCTGAAAAGAGTTTTAATCGCGCCGACGTCTTCAAGCGTCATCTCATGTCCGTCCACGGCGTTGAACAGACAGCCCCCAACTGTCGCAAGAGAAGCCCAACTTCATCTTCTGTAGAACACCAGAAACTCCTCCCTGGATACAGTGAAGATGCTACTGGCAAATGTTCTACTTGCTCAGCTACATTCAGCAATGCTCAAGACTTCTATGAGCATTTGGACGACTGTGTTCTTCGTGTTGTTCAACAGGAAGAGCCCAGTGAAGCCATTAATCAAAAACGATTGGCTGAAGTTGCTAATGACGAGGACGTCAAATTGACCATGGAAAAGCACCAGCTGCTGGATACAGCTAGTTCCATGGCCAATGCCGACGAATATAACGATGATAATGACGATACTTATGAGGCTGACGACGCCGACGAATCCAATATTAATACATTAAACAACAAAGCATCTGGAAAAGGTGCCATCACAAAATCCAACAGCCAAAGATCATCATCCTCACGAGCTGTCTTGGGAGCCAACAGCGCCGTCTCAAAGCATAACAATAAGCCCCGTGCCATCACCCGACGACGAGGGAACAGAAACAGCTACCCGCATTCATGGGGTACACCAATGGCGAAAATGAAGACCAAAAAACGCGTCCTCTGCGCCTACGATGGTCCGAGGAGGCTATGGAAAGACGAAATGATGCTCGACAACGAATTCGAAGTCCGCATCGCTCTCCCCGGTGGTGCCGGTGACGGCACAAATCGGAATGCCTACGTGACTGATCTCGATATGGTGAGTCTCAAGAGGGTTGAGGGAATCTTTAGCGCAACTGAGGAAGAGCGTGGTCCTGCGATGCCAAACACTACTACGTCAAATCGGCTTATGGGTCAGCCGGCTATGATTTTGCCGGAGGTGACTCAGGAGGATTATGGGTTTGATATTGATGAGTTGATGGCATACAAGGAGCCTTATGCTGGGAATCGGCAGGATGGCTTGTGTGTTTAGTCTTCTGCAATATTCATACCCAATATACGATATCCAATATCCCCTCTCCTATTCTTCATTTGTATCTTACGTGATATCATCGTTTATATTTTCTGATCTTTCTGGCATCTCATGAGTGAGCATGGAGCGTGTTTTTTTTTTCTTCTTCCTTTTCATCTGCAGCGATCCAAACAATTTTTTACTACTGGGTTATCAACGGTGGTCTCATCTATTTTTTCTCTTCTCCATTCCGAAAGAACGAGAAAACAAATAAATTATGTGTTAATACGTCTTGTCTCCTTTTACTTGCTTGGTTTTATGAGTCAATGACTCGATTCGGTCTTTTCCTTGGACTCTGGAAGTTGGGAGGGACTTTGTGTTTTCTGTTTAAAGATTTATTTACTTATCTACACCATTGAAATTGAATTGTGATACCACTTCTGTGATGATTTCCCTTGTAGATCTATAAGCTCAGATGTAGGGCCATGGGTGAGGAGGATCTTCTATACTAATTGCCCCTATGCTTGCCCATGCTAAACTCGAGCCGTCTCGCCTACTCATATACTTTTCAAGGAACCTCTTCACCGGATCCAGCATCGGCTTTTCTTCGTGCTTCATCCCCGGAACAGTATACAACGTACAATCCTTCGCTCCCTTCTCAGCCCAATTCTCATACAACTTCTATACAGCTCCATACCTTCCTCCCTCAAACTTAGCCATAACATTTTGGTCTCCATTTTCCGGAATCCTTCCTCTCGCAATCACATAAAATATATCCCTATCCTGATCCCCGACATAAAAATAGTCGGAATACTCGTCACGGCCTGCACGTTCACTGGCCCTGCACTGAAAACTCATCCCAATCTTTCACAGCATCAGGAGCTCCCTCTCTCAATCTAGAAACGTCTGCGTCCCCGGCGCGTCACAGACCAACACCTTTACGCGCTGGGGATGCAGGTATGCGAATCGATGCACAAACTATCCTCCACCACTATACCCTAGACGAATCAATCTTCCCAAACCTAGCATGCGTCTCATCAATCATCGCCAACAATACGACATCATACCGAATACTATCCCGATATTTGATGAATTTATAATTTGCCGAATCCTGCGGATCAATCAGTCCTACGGGAAATAATGGAGCAAGTATAGCGCAATTGTGCTGTTCTGCGAAGACAGAAAATTCATGGCGTAGGTCGTAGGGGCTCCGCCAGCTGCCGTGGATCAGAACGACGAGACCCAGGAGGTTGGTTTGAGGTGTAGTAGGTGGTGGGATGTAGAGGAAGTAACTAAATCGGTTGTCTGATATACAGGTCCAGGCAGGGTTGTTGCCTATGTAGAACAGTTCTTTGGCGATGCGGGGGTCGATGTTTGATATCAATCAGTTTGGTGATTCTTTTATCTTTCTGATTGAGGGTGTTGCAATACGATGGAAAAAGCTAAGCGGGATCAGTTGAATCTGGGCAGTTCTCAATCCTCGCTATTCGATGTGTTTGTGATTGGTAGCGTTTATATACGATTCAAGTATCAAGTTTATCAATTGACCATCAGGTAATAAACGAATGTTCTTCACAGATACGAGGCATTACTGGTAGTAATCCCCTAGAAATAGCGCATTGTAACTCTTTTCCTTGTTCAATTGACGTCCTAACTGTCAGTCCTTGTTGTGAACCGCATATAATCCAGAATAGATCGGGGCCCTGTTCTCCACACTCCCCCAGATTTTGTTCATGCTCTGTCTACTCCGTATATCGTAGAGTAGCACGTTCAACAAGTCCATCTACTTATATAGCAATGCATATGTTCAGTGCTGTTGAATCTAAATGTATCTATTCCTCCTATATCCCAGCTCATTACTTCTGGTATCTCAAATATATACATTGACCTTGAGTGACCGACATGAAAATCAATCAGTCTTCTCTATACCAATAATCACAAGTACACTGATATCATCCACTTTGCCCCCCCGGTACCAATGACCGGGATAATATCGTTGAGCTTCCTTTGCAAATGGCCCGTCTCGTCGCATATCGACGCTGGCTAGTTTTGCTTCTCCGACTATTGACGCTGCTATTAGGGCTTGGAGGGTGTGATGGTTTTTGAAGTGTGGGGCGGGAGGGGGTGGTAATTGGGAGGATGAGGAAGAAGAGGAAGACGAGGAAGATGGAGAAGATGATGATTTGGAAGAAAATCTGTGTAATCCGCCAGCTTGGGACAATGCATGCAATTTCGTTGATGGACAGATAGCAGCATTTTTGGGATCTTCTGTCCATGCGCCTGTGGCCAGCATTCGCCCCGTCACAATTTTCAAAATATCTTGATTATTGAGGTTATCAAACACGCCGTCTGTGGCTAGGATGAGAACGTCGCCATGCTGCATGGACAGTGTAGATACGGCGGCATCACGCGGCGAATCTTCAAAATATACACCACCAAACATGTGTGCTTGATCCCGCATTCTTTGCGGTATGATATTCAATTGATATGGTGTATTAAATGCATGGGTTTGCGGCGCGGAGTACTGGTGCACAGCACCGAGTCGAAAGAGTACAGACCCTGAATCTCCAAGGCTATGACAGAATGTTAGCAAACCATCTCACATGCCGTGCAGAGGTCATATCCAAAGGACAATACATACTTCGCCAACTCAACACTCCCATCTGTCAGCGCAACCCCAACCGACGCCGTAGTTCCGCCCGCAGTGATACTCTCATCAGCCACTACAGACTCATACCCCTTCTGCAATAACTCCTTTGGCCGTAACTTTCCCCGACTTAACTCTTCCGTCAACGCATGCTGTGCCATATACGTGCATAACCCATGCGAAACATCCGCAGGATCAATCTTGTGTTCAGCCCATCCTCCCACTCCATCCGCAACCGCAAACGCGACGGCGCCAGTATCTACTGTACCAATTCGACTTGCGAAAAATGCATCTTCACCACTTGCCGGTCTGTTTTTGCGAGAGAGGCCTTGCTCTTCGCTAATATTATCGAGCGATACGCCAATCGCGTCGTGTAACGTAGGTTCGAAGTTGTATGTATGTTTTTCGGGATGGAATCGGCGGCCCTTGGCCGAGCAGGATCCAGCGACTCGGTAGGATATTCGAGATGATGAATGTGACGACGATGAAGAAAAAGAAGAAAACGCTCGGTCCAGTCGGAGCGGTCGTGTGTGACGAAGCGCATGGTCGCGAATGCAGGAATTCGAAATCTTTTGTACAAGGGTTGATCGCGCCGTGCAGATGTCCGTCACTGCCAAGGACCGTGTAGCCAGGAACATCCTCGCTGGCTGGGTTTTGTGTATACAGAGTGTAGAATAGGCGTCTATAGCCTTACTGGCCCTAGTCGCGCATGAAAAGATATAATCTAATTCATTCGTTATCGCATATTATAGTGAGCGTGGGCCGGTTGCGAGATGTTGTTTCTTCGTCGGTGATCCTTGCGATACTGCTGGATACGTCGAGCGCAACAATTGTGCTGTCGTATCGTAATAGTAATTCTCTGATTGATATTCAGATATATACTATGCCCGTATAAGACGCGTTAGATCATACAGTGTAAAAAGAAAAAATCAATCTCTAACAAAGGGGATAAGTGGGCCAAGTTGACAGTTCGGAAAAGATCTCAGATCGTTCGTTTACCGCGATTATCCGCCGCTCGGTTTATCGGGGAGGAGCTGCTCCACTTGATATCTGAACTCAGTGAGAGATTAATCTGTAGCTTCATAGAGTCAAGAAAGAAATCTGGTATATGTACAATTTACTAGTGGTTATATAAACGCCAATGACCAAGTAATATCACAGGAAAATAGAACAAGAGGGACATCAAAATTAAAAAGACAACAGGATATCTACTCGGCATCAGGTAACGATTTGATCGCTTTTGAAATGAGTTGAATAAGCTCATCAATATCTGGTCGATCCGCAGGCTCAACCTGCAAACACTTCCTGACAATCTCCTTGACAGGCTCGCTGATACCGTTCTCGTTAGAGGCCTGCGACGATCCGGAAGCAGCCGGAGTATTGGATTTTGCTTTCCCTTTGGCACTGCTTGTGTTTTCATCTGGGAATCGCCAATCACCACCTAAAACACACATGCTCAAGCTGCCTCCAGTTTCCTCACTGCGGGCTTCGAATGGACTTTTGCCAACTAAGCAAGCATAAAGGGTACACCCAAGCGACCAAATATCAACCTTGGTGTCTATTATAGAACCAGTTTTCACGTCGAATAATTCGGGAGCTCGGTATGGCATGGTGCTGTGCTCTGCTGCCGTATCTTGTACCGCCAGGGCTAGGGAGCGTGAGGTTATTGCAATTGGACTTGGGGCCAAAGAGCCCAGGTCCATCAAAATTGGCGTTATCCCGTCGTCGTCAATCATAATGTTCCCTTAAAACAATGAATATTAGCGACAGTCATGCGCTCCTTGTTACCGGTCTTACCAGGCTTGATATCTCGATGGGCATAAGGGCGAAATTCCCCTTCACCCACACCTTCCTGACTTTGAGTCACTTCATCATCCATCAATGGTTCCTGCTCAACATCGTCGTCCACTCCATGTGTATTTCGTCGCTTTGGCTTTCCGAGCTTCCTTGATAGCTCTTCATCCGCTTGTTCTCCCTCTCTCCGTACACTTTTGGCTTGGCGAGTAGATGCAGGCCCGCTCTTTACTTTATATTGATGCATAGCCTTCAAAGCTTTGGCGACACCCAACATGAGCGCCATCAATTCCTTCTCGGGAAATTTGGTATGATTGACGAGATTCGCGTTGATGGCATCTTGGAGGTTGCCTCGCTGATAGTATGGGAGAAGAATGTAGACAGTTTTTGAGCTTGAATCATCACCACCTCGGAACTTGGACGCGGATTCGTTCACCACACAGTGGTCAAAAGAGCGAATGATATTGGGATGCGGAGTGAAAAGACTGTATGCTTCGACCTCTTTTAATGCTTGCGATACGGATTCCTGGCCGAATGGGCATCGTATTTTCTTCAAGGCGAACAATTCCGAGGTGTTTTTATCCTGCACCAGATAGACATAGGAAAATCCTCCCTACACGGAAAAGACCATTAGATCGGACATTTTAACCCCTTCAATGTAAGAGACAAGTTCAGCGTACCTCGCCTAGTAACCGGAGTAGTTTGAAACTGCGGTTGTTGATTTTCAACTGTGGAGAACTAGGAAAGCAACACATGCAATCCGTGAAGGTGTAAAGAAGGTCGAAAAAGTATTGCGCCATCGTATGACCAAAGCAAGGACAATTCTGGCTCGTATGCAACGAATATCGACCGGAGCGACGAAGTCTGTTGTTGATTTGGAATGAGCAGGTGAGCTGATGTGCAACGCAATGCGCAGGGGCTTCCAGAGCTCCCGTACAGTAATTCGGAGGTACGTATTAAGTAAGGTTGTAATAGAATATGTCACCGATCACATACGGCGAAGGTATTGCCAATAACTCATGTAGCGCAGGAAGTACTGCCAAATTGTGAAGATGGAAGTAGTCGAGGTTTTCAAGATGGAGTACGTATGCGAGATTTAGCCGGGCGGGTAGCACCTGCCATTTGCAGAGCAGGAAGGAGAGCACCCATGGTTCGTACTGTTCCAACGCGGTGAAACCAAAACAGTCTTGGATACTCGTACAATCTACAATTTTACTTCTTATATTCTCTCTCCGGCCATGGATATATGGCACTGCGTCGTCCTTGCCTGTCCGTTACCCCTTTCTTTCGTAAAGAAGGAGAATAAGGGACTCGCCGCAAAGAAAATGCTAGAGTAATCTGCATGGAGTCCCGTTCTGATTGGCCGACGGCGGATATCTCATAATTTATCTGTCGGGCATCGGACAACAAACAATCTCATATGATTCATCCCACAAGCAAGGACTGTCACTCTGTCCGGACAATGCTTTGAAGCCATCAATACATTCCAATTGTATTCTTGACCAAAATCTATTGATGCTTTCGTGATAGGCAGGACGCAGTACCGCTGATCCTTACAATTCATCCCCTTCGATTTAGTCGACCCGTATCCCCCCACCTCGAGTCGTCGGTCTCCTGAGTTGTACACTCTCCTCTTTTGAAAAGAGAACGCTTACGGACCAAACGACACCCTCCCTGAGACGATATACTCTCCGTACTGGTAACGACTTAACTGTCCTCGTCCGGAACGGACATCATCCAGCCAGAACGTCTAGCACGGTTTCGCAGAAAGTCGATCGGCCGACTTTATCGAAATGGCTCCCTCCGACGATATCCGGGTCGGCGACCAGGTAAACGTCCCCGGTGGCATGTACGGTACAGTTCGATTCTTGGGATCCGTGGATGGGAAGCCTGGTCGTTTCGCTGGAATTGAGCTGGCCCCCGAACATGCTGCCAGGGGAAAGAACAATGGAGAAGTCGATGGACGAAGCTATTTCAACACCTCCATTCCTGGTGCTGGCATCTTTGTTCCCATTAACAACTCCAAATATGTTACCAGGAGAAATGTTGTGACGCCGCCAACTCCTTCTCGTCCGTCTGCAGCGACTAATTTCAGTAAATCCGTCGGTCCAGCCTCAGTCGTTCGTCCTAGAGTACGTCGTCCATCTCTGCCTCGACCTGAGTCGCCTCGAAGCGCACCATCCACGAAACTCAATTTTGGTGCCATGCGTAGTCCATCTGCTACCGTCGCCAAACCGTTGTCCGCTAGTTCTCTAGGCCCCAACGGTTCCAACGGATTTCCACGCAGTCCTCAAAAACCTTCATCAAGATTGTCAAATCGGCCTTCGTCCAGACTCAGCGCGGATGACGACGACATTCCTACCTTGGCACGTTCTACAATTGGGAGACCAAGTAGCGGTGGTCGTGGTTCTGGAAGCCAGGAAATACAAGCATTGCAAGAGAAGATCAAGTCACTAGAGCAGGAGCTTCAAGCTCGTGATAGACAACTCGACGACCAAGCCTCTGTTCTAGCGGAGTTACAGCAAAGCATTACAGAATTGGAAGGACAAGACGGGGCCTCAATGCGGGCCCAACTACGAGAAAAGAACGAGAAGATTGCACAACTCACAGCAGAATTTGACAGTCATCGCGCTGATTTCCGAAGCACATTAGACACACTCGAAGTAGCAGCCACGGAGACAGAAAGGGTCTACGAAAAAAGGCTAGATGAACTCATGCAGCAAAATCGCGAATTACAAGATCGTGGTGAGGATGTGGAAGCGGTTGCCATGCAGTTGAAGCAATTGGAGGAGCTGGTTTCGGAATTAGAGGAAGGTCTGGAAGATGCACGACGCGGTGAAGCAGAAGCTCGTGGCGAGGTTGAGTTCCTACGTGGAGAGGTTGAACGAGCACAATTGGAACTGAAACAAGAACGAGAAAAGTCTGCTGCTGCATTGAAGGATGCTGAAGGTCGATGGAATAGTCGAGAGTTGGAACAGAAAGACGACGAAATCCGAGGTCTGAAAGCCATCATTCATTCACTCAGCAGAGGCGATGTGAATCCGGCTATGCTCAATACAAATGGGACGTCCCATGGCGAATCGGGTTCTCATGATACTGAACGAATCTCTCAATTGGAAGAGCGAATCAAAGAACTTGAAGGTGTTGCGGAGTTTCGCTCGAGTCGAATAGACGAACTACAGAGGGAACTTGGACAGAGTCGAAGCCCTCTTGGACGCGACTCTCCAGGCCGGAACTCCCCTGCACGAAACTCTATAGGGTGGAATTCTCTAGGACGAAACTCGATGAATGGCTCAAGAAGCCGAAGCGGAACAGTGACTATTGCTCCACTGAGACAGATGAAAGCATCCCATTCCTCAAGGGGCAGCCGTAGCAGCAATCCCGTCAGTCACGGCCATACTTTGTCAGACAAAACCGTGGTGCCTCAAGATTGGCAAGAAACAGCGGGAATTAATGAACAGGGGCCTATGCCTGTTAACGCATACCGAGATTTCTCGCATCGTCGAGATGACAACGACGACTTACGTGATTCTGATAATCAGTCTTCTGAAAGTGGCTCTCTGTGGTGTGAAATCTGCGAGACCAACGGTCACGATATCCTTACCTGTACGACCTTTGGAACAAACATAAACGGCACCGATTCCATGCACCTGCAGCATGAGCACAATGACCATGAACTCGAAAGACCACGTCACGATGTTGCGGAGATTCCACCAAAGACAGAGTCTCCAGTCATGGCTCATCAGCCCGAGATAAAGCAGGAACATGCCGAGGCTACCTCTCCAACAGTGAAGAATGGTCGTGATGTGGTTGCTGAAGGCTTGAAAGGCATCGGAGGCATGTCATCTTCCATGGGACCCGTGGCGGGCAAAGCTTCGGGAGTTATCGACGAAAGCAAATGGTGTGCATTATGCGAGCGAGATGGTCATGAAAGCATTGACTGTCCGTTTGAGGATTAAATAAGTATGACGGGGACGAGTTGCATGCAGTGAGACGACGGCAAGAACTCATCATCCCGCACGATGTGTATTATATTGATGTTTTGACTGTCGGCACGAGCACATTATGCCTTCTCCCTTGCTTTCTGCTTTTGCTTTCGTTTTTCCTAAAGTTCAATACCCATTAGGGTCTAATTTCTCTTGTACAAAATTGTTTTATCCTTTGCATTCAGTGTCGATGTTTCTTATAATCAGCCTACTGACTGGTTTAGCGGTTTACCCGCTTTTCCAATTCTCCTCCATTTTATGTGACCCTCTATTCGATATGATATGCACACAGGAAGTCTTGATCGTCAATACTTTTATTTAACCAGAAATTTATTGTATTATGTATTAATACATATCTTCTACAAGAACGACGTAATCGTCACGAGTAGAGATTGCTTCCTCCAACTTAACCGGCCTTAAGGCAGATCACTCCGGAAACCTAGACGGCTGCACAACCTGGCCCTCTTTAAACCTGAAATCAGCCAGAGCACCACATTTCGAACAAGTCCTCTTCTTCTCATCCGCCCCAAATTCCTCCACAACTTCTTTAACCTGCGTCCCCAAATCCGTACACACAAACCTCTTCTCCCACACGATCGACGCTTTTCCCTTACACTCATCACTCATACAATACCATCTCATTGAATCCTCTGCTCCCTCCGGACGCGGCTGCTCAAGAACCACGCCAATTGTATCCTTGAATCGAACGGGACAATGAGGCGTGTTGGCTGGTAATAAGAATAATGACCCTTCATGAATTGGTACGTCCACGAATGTTGGTGGGGTGGTAGATGTATCGACGGTTTTGAGGAGCATGGAGCCGCGGTATTGGTAGAAAAATTCGGGCGTGGAGTTCAGGTGATAGTCTGTTCGGGCGTTGGGGCCGCCGACGATCATGACTGTGTAGCCGGCGGAGTTGGAAGGGTGGTAGACGCAGTAATTGTTGACGGGGGGTTGGAGGAGGTGCGAGTTGGCTTCGAGCCTGTTTTTAGCTATTAGTTAATTGAAGTATAAGCTGTGATTGTTGAGGGTTACATACCACTTTGGGATGTTGAGGGATGGAGGTAGCATTTTGGTTTCTTCTGTCCGTTTGAGAGATCCAGTATATTAGAGGATATAGGTTGGATCAGCAACAGTTTATGTGGACTGAAGAACGAGATATAAAGTTGTGTCGGCGTGATCGGAAACTTTGGATGATGTATAATCGAGATAAAGTATGCGAGGGGAAATGGATGAGGGGGTAAAGCCCGGTTGGAGAAAAACTCCGCCAACAGTATTAGTTCCTGACTGGTCTCATGCTGATACATTCAATGATCTGACCTGTTTCAGACCAGGAGCTACTATATAAGGGCGCAATATTATCTTGTTGGGTCGCATACATTGCCTGATTATTTCTAGAACTACATCTGTGACCCATGCAGCTTAATAAGTAAGCTACCTCAAACGGGTCTCCGCAAATATTGCTGATCATATTGAGTCCGTAGGAAGCCGATTGAATAATCCAAGTATTCAGACATTAAATTGATCCTTGCAAAATGCTTCTTAACTATGACTGAATGAGTCAAGAATTAATCAGCAAAAAATGTCCGCTTATCGTATGATATCTCTTATCGATAGGTATATCACGTGCTGCTTATCGCTTTGAGCTTTACCATTTACGGAATTTAATCTTTTCAATTTTCTTGAGGCTTGAACTTCACCTTCTACAAATCTCTTCGCAAGGCCGAGATTGAAGTGCCGTTCTTCCTCGATATAATATTTACTTTGGACGGAAAGTATCTCCTTTTGGCTCATACAATATGGCCCTCTCCCAACCCCCTGTACGCCTAACATCGCAAAAAAACTTCACATACCGACTTGTCCTCGCAACTCTTACAGGCAAGCCAGTCCACATCTCCCAAATCCGCTCCAATTCTCCTTCAAACCCCGGTCTCGCCTCCCACGAAATCTCATTTCTACGACTCCTCGAAGCAGTCACCAATGGCTCGCAAATGGAGATCTCATACAGTGGTACCATCATCGTGTACAAACCCGGTCTGATCACCGGCAGTGCCGCGGGACTCGGTACGACGAGTAACGGAGTGATAAAACATGAAATACCATCCAATTGCACGAGGGGGATTAGTTATTTCTTGATCCCCTTGTGTCTTCTTGCACCTTTCTCGAAAGCGCCAATGAATGTGCTTTTTACGGGACCTGGTGTAATTACCTCTGCGACTCCGGTGGGTGATATTTCGGCAGATGCGGTGCGAATGGCGATTTTACCGTTGTATAAGATGTTTGGGATTTTTAATAACATTGAACTGCGCATATTACAACGATCGAATCCCGGTCATAATGGGAAAGGTGGTGGTGGAGAGGTGCAGTTGGTCTTTGGACATCAGGTTCGCTTACCGAAGACGTTACATTTCATGAATCCTGGAAGAATAAAGACTGTTCGTGGTGTGGCTTATTCGACTGGTGTCTCGGCGTCGAATAATGCACGTATGATTCAGACTGCAAGGGGCGTACTTAATCCTTTGGTTCCGGATACGTATATCGCATCTGATGCGTCACCCGCACTGCTCGTTCCTGCGCCTGAAAAGTCTAATCCAGGTAATAAGAAGAAGATTGGTCTTGGGTTTGGTTTATTCCTGGTTGCAGAGTCTTCGACGGGCTGTTTGTATTCTGCTGATATCGCTTCGCCGCCGGATGGTGGCGTGCCACCTGAGGATATTGGTAAGCAATGTGCGTACCAACTACTGGAAACAATTTCAAAGGGTGGATGTGTTGCGCCCGCCGCTGCTCCAACAATGTTAATGCTCATGGCCATGGGTTCAGAGGACGTTGGGCGATTACAACTTGGACGAGAGGTGCTTGGAGACGAAGCAATGATTCAATTTGCGCGAGACTTGACGAAATTTGGAGCTGCGGGATGGGGTATTCGAGATGCACCTGGAGATAATCATGATGGTGATGTGGTTGTTAGTGTTGTTGGGAAGGGTATTGGGAATGTGGGACGGAAGATTGCTTGATTTATCTTCTGTTATGCTATGCATTATCAGAAATCAAGACGGTCTGTCCACACTTCTATTATGTGTGTGTGAATGCTTTATGCATTACAGTCTCGTAGAGAACACACATACGTCCGAAGGAATGGCTGAAGCGACTCCCACCGGCTCAGCTCTTGCCACAGCATTGTCTCGACCGTTTTCAAGAGCAACCGCCTAAGCAGACAGCGACCAGCTGCTTACATCTAGATACCCTGTTCATGTACTAGATTTAATGATTCAATGTATATAGTTAAAAAGATATGCCCTCATTGGATGAGTATCTTAAGTATCGTAGCTGCACTTATGACTGACCAATGGAAGATTACCAAAAAAATTACACATTGCTCATAAATTTAAACCATCACATTACTCATCTTCTAATATAACAGCACCAAACTATCCGTTTTACAAAGCAGCCAGCGCCATAGCAACAGCAACACCACCCATCGCCCATTGCGCATTTCCAGTAACCTGAGGCATGCCACCGGTGCTCACAGCAGAAGACTTTGCCGAAGCTGAACCGGTAGTAGCAGAGCTAGCAACGGTCGACAATCCGGCAGAAGTAACCGCCTTACCAGTAGAAGCAGCCGTAGAAGCAGCGGTGGTAGCAGCAGAGGCGCCAGAAGTGGCACCAGTGGCAGTAGCGGTAGGCGCGGTAGCGGAGGCAGCAGTTGTGGCAGGAGCACCGGTGGCAGATCCCGCGGTAATAGTCACGGGGATAAAGGCAGAGGCGTAATCAGTAGCACTAAGGGTGGTGGATGTTGTGCCGGGGAAGTTTGCTTCGGCACCGCCGACGGTTTCGACGCAGGCAGCCTCGGAGGCAGCGGTGTTGAGGTCACATTGGACATCGGCGGAAAGACTGTTTATATTATTATTTATTAGTACGGCCATATCAATTGAACGAAGTATATGCGAGGGAGAACATACGCAGAGTAAACCATTTGGATATGTGCAGTCTTGGGTCCCTCAGTCAGAGTGAAGCCCATCCCAGCGCCACAGTCGGAAGCATCGGTACCCGGAGCACATTCGATGAAGTATGTGGTCGCAGCGGCATTCTGTTGAATACGTTAGCAATCTCCGAGGTAATTGAAATGGATAGTTATAAATGAATCAACATACACCACCAATAATAGACGCAACAAGAGGCTGATTATCAAATCCAGGAATGAACAGAGTGGTCACGGCGGACTGAGCGGCGACGACGGAGCTCATGAGAGCGATAGCAACGGTAGTAGAATGCATTTTGCTGTATATATGTGGTATGAATAAATAAAAATATTAAGCAATAATGTCGTAAACGAATGAATAGAACGTAACTGAGTTTAAACGAATGACTTCAGTTCGAAAAATGCAAGTTATAACGAGTGTGATCGGTTTCTAAGGTTCAAATCGAAATAAAAGAACGGATCAACATAAGTTTAAAACCACATGGCGGAGAGAGGGTCGGACTATTTAATGTAATTTTTCTTTGAGCCAACGGTCCGCCACAGATGTAACCTGATTTTTCTTCGCAAAATGGATACAGCGGAATCGCGGCGAATGATAATGTGACAATGTCTTACAACGGGAGAAGTCTAAACGGAATTGTAAGGGGCCGATTGGCTGTTCTTGGATCTAGATTGGGCCTCACAGGAAATAAGTAAGCGCTAAACTAAAATTAGAGTGACGAATCCAGGAACCAGCAGAGCCTCAAAGCATAAAATACCATTCGGACCAATTATATTGCTCAAAATACACAACTATAGTCTGGGCGCCAAGCTTATTTTTCAAGCCTCAAAAATTCTTGGGCCATTTTTGATTGGCAGATTAAGGACTATGGCTTGGATCCTTTTGCTTACCTTGGTATAGCGCATGACAGTAATAGTTCCCCTGAATGCTATCTTCCGATCTACGATGTCAAACTGTACGTACATCCCAAGACTCGGGTTTCATCTTATGTTTTTATGCGATCCTAATCGAATATGCAGCACGAATATGGCGGTGAAGGAATGCTTTTGAAACTCGAGCAGTTTCATATCTACATCTGTATAGCACGATCTATAGCAAATCGAGTTAGAATGCTTCCTGGAAATCAATCTCAAGCACTGTAGAGATCGTCTGGATCTGACCGAACCTGTCCTTGACTCCTTATGAAAACTAGTTATGGTATCTGTCTTCTACGTAGGTTGCTGTTGACTAGAGCGACGAAGGTAACCGAGTTGGAAGATGGCCTGGTGGCCCAGTCTTGGGTGAGACTTCATACCGACGAGGAAATCATTCTTGGTGAATAATATGCACAAATGTTCGATACGATAGCACCTAGGCACCCAGGTAGTGAAGAGAGTCAATTGCCACACCTCGGTGGCGTGAGGCAACTGCTGCTAGATGTATGGCTACTGTCAATATAATATAATTGGCCAAGAGACATGCCTAAGCAAGCTCTTCCACTTACGACATATGAATATTCAAGAAGTAACAAGCCCATCAAGCTTTGATTCTAACTAGCGGTGGACAAGGTTTTCCAGACTCTCCGCAAAAAGTCCTTCAGATCAAAGCGCGTTTTTGAGGAAGAAGACAGCAGCAAAACCGCTAGAATGCAGGAGAACCTTCGGCCCGCTCGACTTCTCTCTCTCGGTATGCCTCACAGGTCTTCTCTATATATACCCCTTTGATCATTTCTGTGCTAACACTATTGTTACATAGACGGGGGTGGAATTCGAGGTCTTCCCAGTGTTTTCCCCTTAAGAATATGATGGAGAAAGTCCACGCGAAAGAAGGCAAGTCGCCAGATAAGCCCATGTACCCATATAAGTATTTTGACCTCACAAGAGGTACGTCAACTTTACCGCTGTATCCATGAATGCTTAAAGATGGGCAAGAAAATCTTCCCAGTGAAACTGCGTAAAAGAATGTTTAACGCAGTGATTTCACAGGAGAAGTTCGACCCAAAGCATCTGGAAGATGTGGTCCAGCAGCTAATTGCAGAGCACTTCCATGGAGATAAAGATGCAAAATTCTGGACGGAGACGCGCAATGACCCGCCTAGTCAACGATGCAAAGTGCATGTGATTTTATACGTTTTCTGTTGGTACTCTGCCCTTAGATAGTCAGCACCGCCCACCTTAAGTTATGTAGTTAGCGCGCCGGTAGCTGGATATCTTCGTCCTAGGGTCCTACGTTCCCAAGGACACACAATCAAGAGTTAGTTTCTCACCCACACTCACAGGATTTTCTCCAACGGATTCATGGCGTACTGGCACTTCATTAGTTTCGTTTCTACCACTGCAGGGCAAGGAGGCAAGCCTTTCCTTCTTAGAAGCTACCATAGCACATCTGCAGAGGCAGGAGATGATTATCTAATATGGAGGTGTTGTCGAGCGACATCTGCCGCGTCACTTTTCTTTCGCCCAGTAGTCATGGGCGAGTCTCTTACGCCATATTATGATGGGGGTTTGAATTATAATAATCATATCCATCCCCTGATGCACGAGCTCAGCTCACTCTGGCCGTCTCGGAAAGTTGTTGCCTGCATAGTCAGTATCGACACTGGAGTTCCACCTGATCGGAATGTCGGGTTACTGAAAATCAATTATTTCAAAGACCTCATTACACAAACCGCGAACACAGCTAGAAACTTTCAACAGGGTATTGATGATAGATACGGCCCTGAAAAGAAGATTTATTTCCGCTTTAACGTCGAACATGGACTTGGACAGATAGATCTAGCTGAGTGGAGGGAGTCAGATAGTACCAAAAATACTACGCAGTGCTATCTTAATGAGCAGTTGGTAAAGGTCGGCACATGTGCCGATCGACTTCTCTTCAGGGGAGGTAAGTCTGACGGGAAAATCCCATTGCTATAAGGAGACGTTAACTCCGTCTAAAATTCAATAATCAAATGTCGTTGACTGGAAACAGTCTTATCCTCAAATGATTTTCAATTCCTCTACGTTCCAACAAGAAAAGTCACAAATTGCGTTGATCGATTGTCGCTGCAGAAGAAGCTGGTAGATGTACTTCATGATCCGCTTCAACAGACCCAGCCCGAACAACATATCCTGCTTGTCCATGCTTTGGGCGGAACTGGAAAATCACAGCTGGTATTGAATCATATACAGAGATACAAGAGTGATTATGCCGGTATCTCCTGGATTAATTGCCAGAGAATGGAGTCCATCGAGAAATATTTCGTCCAGCTTCATTCCTCAATCTTTGACATCAAGAGCCCAAGCAGAGATGAATCTAATATAGAAGACATTCTTTATACGTGTGTAAAATTAATTCGTGCAGAGAACTAAGAAATTCCTCCTCGTATTTGACGGGGCGGATGTTCTCAACCGCCCCGAGATTTCGACCTCGATAGACTTGACCAGGTTTATGCCGCTTGCAGACTCGGTGGATATAGTTATTACAACACGCCAGAGGGTGACAAAAATTCAAGGTCGCTGCTGTGTTTCTCTCGCAGTAGGAGATATGAAGGAAGGAGATGCGGTGAAGCTCTTACTTGACAATGCCCATATAGAGCAAGATAGCATACGTCAAAAGCGATGTAACATATTTGGTGAGAGGAATTAAGAGACCATCGCTGCGATGAGTCATCTGGCGCGTATATTTCAGTCTATGGGTAGATTTAGAGAGGCTGCAGCAATGCAAAATAAGATTTAAACCAGAGAAAGGATCTTTTTTCATGATGACAATCATCCTAATATACTTGCTTCCATTTCAGACCTGATGGCAACATACAATAAGCTGGGGAAGTACACCGAGGCGATAGCCACGTGCACAGAGAAGAAGGAAAACACAGCGCCCCGGTCATCCCGACATCATTCGTGAGATGTTCAGCTGTGCAGAAGCGTTGAAGTCTAGATGAGCTGGAAGAAGCTAGGACAATACTGAAAGAAGTAATACAGAGAAGTAGAGAGGCTCTAGGTGAATACCACATCTCTACTTTCAAGATCGCTTACTTACGCAGATGTACCCAAGTGCCAAGGCAGAGTACCAGAGGCAGCCGCAATTCATGAGGAAGGCCTTCCCAGAATGGAGAAGAAGTTGGGCCACAATCATATAGACACTTTATGTTCGACGGTTAAATACGGCTACGAGTTCAAGCTAGGAAGCTTCAAAGAGAGACTCTTCAAGGAATTCCTCGAATTAAAGGCAAAGACAGTTTCTGATTTGCAACTACCCGCGGATATAATCTATTCAAAAAGTAATGCTATTTTTGAGGTAGAAAAGCTGCAAAGAGAAGCTGTTGAAAGAATTATTCCTACGTTTGGGGAGGGCTGTCCTGCCACCATTCATGCCATGGAACGTTTAGCCGGTACATTGGAAGACTTGGGGGAAATGGGCGAGGCTGGAGCAATAAGAAGAGATGTCTGAGAGGGAAGTCATCGAATTCTGGGCCCAGATCATCCGAAAACCATCTTCGCGACCAATTGTCTCGCAGCATTCGTAGGCCACCAAGGGAGGTTGCAAGAGGCGGAGACACTAGAAAAGGGTGTCTGTAAGATAACCAGAACGAAGGATGAGGATTCCCATGATGCCATTAAAGCCCCGTCTAATCTAGCTGGAATAATATTCGAACAGGGTAGGACTAACGAGGCAATTGCACTACAAGAAGAAGTTGTGCAACGAAGGACGAAACTTCAGGGCCCATATCATGAAGATACGGTGGCGGAAAGTAAAGACCTGGAAGAAATAAGGCATCCTCCCGAGCCATCGATAGCAGTCTGTGAAGGATAGGGCGGCTCGTTTCTAAGTTGACTAGGGGTAAAATCAAGAGTAGGTAGCCCTTGTTTCATCACCCGGCATGTAAAGAGAGTGTTAGTTTCTGTCCTAGTTTCAGACAATCGATATCTTTGAAAGTGAACCTTGGAATCATTCTATTCGAGTATGTGAATGAGTGATAGATTACGACTACCAAGGGAAATTTCCAAGAGAGATATAACACGGGGATGACTTCTTTACAAGAAGATTCGAGTCTAAAGCCTCCCGAGGTCGAAGGTAAGAACGACCTGACGAACATGTCGATATGAATCAATGATCCATATTCCTTTGCACATACGACCATAGGGTGTGGAAAACAGGGCTTCCCGTCCGCTCAGCCGTACTTAAGCCACACGCCGGCTGGTTAGTAGTTGGGTGGGTGACCACCAGCGAATCCCAGCTGTTGCATGTCTGCGTTCAACCACTTTTTTGCTGCCAGGAACCATTCCGTCCCGTTGCCGCTTTAATTCCAGCCTTGCCTGGAACTTCTTCGCGACCCTGGAATTGCTGACGTGGCACTCGGCTAATCCTTCCCATACTACATAACCCCTCTTTCTCCGAAGTCAGCCCATTTTCTTCCCAGCCTCCTTCATTTTACCAGCCTCTTGATTTCTCTCAGGGCCAATGAGACTAAGTCCGCTAATCAAACATGTACACAGCATGTCGGCACGTGATATCGTGACATCCTTACTTCGATACGACGGAAGTCATTTCACAACACCGAAACAATTCCTCGATAGAAATTGGGCTTTTTTTACAGCAACATTGAGTCAGGCTCCATACACACTACTACTACTCACTGAACATGATTGGGATCCTGATAATTCAGAGTCCCCCCTCATAGCTCTACGCACCGTGGCTACAGCGCTCATAAGCCTCGTCCCTCAAAATCACTGGACTACTGAGACGCACCGTGCCAATCTTGATTCTATACCAAGCAAAGTCTTCAATCAAGAAAGAGCTTTATCATTATCTTCGCTGGATTCTTCTCGGAGGTGCTTCTGGTCCTGGTATTCCGGAGACCCTGGTTATACTAGGTAGAAAGGAATCATTACGACGACTCACAAGAGCACAACGGCTGAACGGGAAGGCCGAGGGAACATAGCTTCGTCAGAATGGAAGAGATTCCTTGTACTTTTATCTTAGACTTGGTTCCATCTCAGAATTCAACATGCCCGATCACTCTGATCGTAATTCACATTGATTTAGACCCGTGCTTTCTGGACGACACAGGTATTTGTAAAATTGGTGCAAGCTTTAGTAATTACGAGTGATATTGGACTGGAATATACAAAACCAAGAGGTGTCTTCTGTATCGTGAATATGGAACTTTCTGACATGTTCAAACGAGACAAACCATCCACAAAGAGACAGAGGGATGCCTAAGCAAACTAGACAGGCGCCGCCTTGTCTCTTCAAACTCCTCCAGATAGGAGTGATAACCGAAACCTTTGCGTCTTCGAGACCGGAACCTTCGATTTTCGTGGCTCGTAGGCGATCATGGCCAACATCACCATGCTCGGTTGGAAGGAATAGTAATACCTGATATGATTGATGAGTTAATTCGAGATGGATTCAGTTGATTTCATGCAGATGCCAGGACTATGCGACCGTGCGTCAAGTTGTCAGCCTTGCAGTAGCACGAAGCTGTAACCCCTCCCTCTCAGCCTAGTGAACAGTGCTTTGCATTCTCCTGGCATCATAGAAATGGTTCACAGTTAATCTTGTATGATCGAGACATCGATAATGGACATCGGCACTTGAGTGACTTGACCTGTTTATCCAGTTCCCTGCTTTGACCTATAATAATGTCTTTGACGCACAATAGCTACAAAGTCGCCTGGATATGCGCCTTGCCGCTGGAGGCAGCAGCGGCCCGCGTCATGCTGGACAAAACTCACAGTCCCCTGCCGAAACCCTCCACCGATTCGAATGCCTACGAGCTTGGCGAGCTAAATGGTCACTATATTGTCATTGCCTGCCTACCAGCTGGTGTATACGGTACAGTGTCTGCCGCGGCCGTGGTATCTCGCATGCATTCCACCTTTCCTAGTCTTCAATATGGACTGATGGTGGGAATTGGAGGCGGAGTTCCAGGCGAAAACAATGACATTCGACTAGGCGATATAGTAGTCAGCAAACCGGTTGGAAAGTACAGCGGGGTGATACAATATGACTATGGCAAGGCAGTTCAAGGTGGACAATTCGAGCCAACAGGCACATTAAACAAACCACCACAGGCTCTTTTGACTCATATAAGTCAATTGCAGGCAAAAATCATGACTGGAGACCAGGAAGATGTTTCAAAAATAGTGTGGAAAGTCCTCGAGCGAAATCCTGAGATGAAAGACAGATTTGCGCCCCCGGAACAGCATATGGACTTTCTTTTCCATTCATCCTATCATCATGCCGACAAAGAAGACACCTGTGGAAAGTGTGATAAAGACAAATTAGTCAAACGACAACCTCGTGCTACCAGGACACCTTATATTCACTACGGGTTGATTGCATCAGGAGATCAGGTGATGAAAGACTCAGAGATACGAGATCGTCTAGCACAACAACATGGGATTCTCTGCTTTGAGATGGAGGCAGCAGGACTTATGGACGAGCTTCCGACGCTGGCAATTCGAGGGATATGTGACTATTGCGACTCTCATAAGCAGAAACAGTGGCAAGGATATGCAGCTTTAACTGCAGCTGCTTATACGAAATTGCTGTTATTAGGTATTCCTAATAACCGTTCTGATATTGACCTGGTTACAAGCAGTAAAATTCAGCACTGGATAGTCTCGCTTGCAAGAAATTTAAAATTTGTCGGTCGTCAGGAGGAAATTGTGAAACTAGAAGAATTAATCATGGCGCAAGATAGGCCCAGGAGGATCGCAATCACCGGCTTAGGAGGGGTTGGGAAGACCCAAGTGGCCCTTGAGCTAGCATACCGTATACGGGACCGAGATAAGGAGTGCTCAGTCTTCTGGATCCCCTGCACCAGCCGTGCAATGATTGAACAGATGTTCCTACATATTGCACAAAAACTCGGCCTTCATAATTTGAATATGGCAGAGGTTAAAGAGCAGGTTAAGATATACCTCAGCTCTGAGCGTGCAGGCAAGTGGCTTCTGATTTTTGATAATGCAGATGATGCAGAGATGTGGTTCGCACCTAGTCATACAGCTCCACCTCTCGAAGATTTTCTCCCTGAGAGTGAACAAGGTTGTATTCTGTTCACTACCCGAAACCGAAAGCTCGCCATGAAGCTGGCGCCCTTTGAAGTTTTTCCAATCCCAGACGTGGACAAAGAAACTGCACTCAAAATCCTAGAGAAAACATTAGCACGCGAGGACTTGCTTAGAGATACTACCACAACAACTACTCTCCTTGAACAATTAGCCTTTCTCCCATTGGCGATTGTGCAGGCATCAGCATATATTATCGAAAACGGTATCAAGTTATCGACCTACCTTGTACTTCTCCAAGAGCAGGAACAAGATGCTGTGGAACTCCTGAGCGAAGACTTCAAGGATCCAGGACGTTATAAGGATATCCAAAACCCTGTGATCACTACCTGGTTGATATCATTGGAACAGATTCAGCATCAAGATCAATTAGCGGCAGACTATTTATTTTTCATGGCTTGTATCAATCCACGAAATATTCCCGAAATCCTCCTTCCTCAGCCAACATCCAGGAAACAGAAAATTGAGGCTCTAGGCCTTTTAAATGCATACTCGTTTATTTATAGCCAAGGCACAGGTTTAGGTATGCACAGACTTGTGCATATTGCGACGCGAAACTGGCTTAGAAAGAATTCATCTTTTAGCCACTGGATCCAACGGGTGGCTGAACATATGCAGAATGTGTTTCCAGATAATCACTACACCAATCGAGGACTTTGGAGGGAATACCTTCCTCATGCATTAGCAATTGTGCATGAAAATGAATTTGTTGTACAAGGGGACAATTACCTTGGGTTGACTGAAAAGATTGCAGGTTGCCTTGCCAGTGATGGAAGATACCAAGAAGCAGAGATACTTTACAAGAAGCTGACGAGGATCAATCAGGACAAAGCTGGCTCAGAACATTCCTCCACTCTGAGAAGCATGGCGAACCTGGCATCAACCTACTGGAATCAGGGTCGATGGAACGAAGCTGAAAAGCTGGAGGTGCAAGTAATGGAGACATCCAAGACAGTGCTAGGAACTGAGCATCCTGACACTCTAACTAGCATAGCGAACCTAGCATCAACCTACCGGAATCAGGGCCGATGGAACGAAGCCGAGAAGCTGGATGTGCAAGTAATGGAGATAAGGAAGACAGTGCTAGGAACTGAGCATCCCTCCACTTTAACCAGCATAGCGAACCTAGCATCAACCTACCGGAACCAGGGTCGATGGAATGAAGCCGAGAAGCTGTTTGTACAAGTAATGGAGACAAGGAAGACAGTGCTAGGAGCTGAGCATCCCTCCACTTTGACCAGCATGGCGAACCTAGCATCAACCTACTGGAATCAGGGTCGATGGAATGAAGCCGAGAAGCTGTTTGTACAAGCAATAGAGACAAGAAAGACAGTGCTAGGAACTGAGCATCCTGACACTCTAACTAGCATGGCGAACCTAGCATCAACCTACTGGAACCAGGGTCGATGGAATGAAGCTGAGAAGCTGGAGGTGCAAGTAATGGAGACAAGGAAGACAGTGCTAGGAGCTGAGCATCCCGATACTCTAACTAGTATGGCGAACCTAGCATCAACCTACCGGAACCAGGGTCGATGGAATGAAGCCGAGAAGCTGTTTGTACAAGTAATGGAGACAAGGAAGACAGTGCTAGGAGCTGAGCATCCCAATACTCTAACCAGTATGGCGAACCTAGCATCAACCTACTGGAATCAGGGTCGATGGAATGAAGCTGAGAAGCTGGATGTGCAAGTAATGGAGACAAGGAAGACAGTGCTAGGAGCTGAGCATCCCGATACTCTAATCAGCATGGCGAACCTTGCCTTTACTTGGAAATTCCAGGGCAAGCTACAGGATGCCTTGAGTTTAATGGATAAATGCTGTCACCTGCACAGCAAAGTATTAGGGCCTAGTCACCAGTATTCCAGGTCATTCTCTTGTACTCTCAGTGACTGGATGGATGAGTATAACGCCTTACCAAAGCAAACGACGCTCACTAGGAAAGAATGTCCGCAAGCTCTGCGCGAAGTTTCAGCAGGACCTCCAGCAGCTGTGGTAACCGCGCAGTTGGTCCGTGAAGAGCACATCAATCTATCTTATACCCAAAGACGATCGGCTGCTAAATTATTGCTCGGAAACCATCCTCTCATCATTGCTGCCAGAACACCCTCGCCCGCGCCCGAAGACCAAGACTTACAAGATGTGGATTAATTTGGCACCACCATATTCCTGCAACATTCAGCTAGACAACAGGCGATTTAAGGTGTAGGGGTAGCCTAGTGTTCAACTTTCAGCACATGTATAGTATATGCATATTATTGTATTCTAGCTGATAAGGAAATGCAGAGTATGCAAGCATCTAGGCACAAGAATGAAGTATGTACTGGTAAAATCTCCAGTCCACGCCACTTAAATCAGTCCATCACAGTAAGATTGGCTTTTTCAGGCCATATCGTATATTTCTAATCACTGAAAACAGCTTCCTCGGTTAACTATACTTAGCATGTGACAATTTAGTAACATCTTCTATCAGTTATATGATAATACATCTAGGTTGAAGCGGGGAAAATATCCATTCATCGGGATGAGAATCGCGATGTTGGTGGCTAGCATTAGAACCTGAGCAAGAATAAGGAGGCTAGCTCTCACACAAGCAGATACAGCATTACCACTCAAGGTTGCTTGACGTCTGATGAACTGAGAATGGAAATATCGAACTCGAAAGCATGTCGCAATGCCAATTTAGCTTGGATCCCTCTGATTGGTGGTCTTGGTGATGCGAAGCGGGAACCCTTGTCTGGCGAATCATCTTGTGCGGCGTTTAAGTTAAAGTCGTCATTCTATGAATAGTAGCGGAGCTTAGGAATCTGCAGAATCGGACATTCTTTTTAAATTCCATAGGTTACTGCTTATGGACTGAATTGACTGAATTGACTGAATTGAGTCGATAACGATGATGTCTCAAACAGCAAGAAGTTTCACAAAGAGAAAACTAAATTTGGCGATTGGTTGTCGCTTGCTGAACTAATGAATCATCTGCCGCCCGCCAAGCACTGCCCAGTGAACTTCATATTACCACTTAAACCAGAACACCACAGTTGTCAGCATAAAATGAGCCAGCTTGCACGACATTCAAACCACTGAAGAGAATCAGTCTCGCTAATTTATGTGATTAATATCACCCAATGCATACAGAGCGATCAATACGTTCTCGCAAACGACCACTTTCACAGCAACTATCCGCCGACGCATCACCTAACCAGACTCGCAAAAAGCGAAAAGTCAAGCATCCCAGCGGGTCCCAGCTCCCTGCAGCGTTTTGGGATAATCTGTTAGAAATTTGGTTGACACATAACGCACTTCGGGAGCTCGATCGAAGGAACAAACAAGCTCCAGCAAACGTTTCCCCAAAACGTCAGTTTCTCAGGCCCGTCACCCGGGGCCTACTACGGAACATTCAAAAGGTTGCGAACGACGGTGGCCTAGATTTATTGGAATTGAGAGGCGTAAGGCTTTCACGAAGTTCCTGTAGTCTAAACTGAATAGCTGATTTTTTGCAGTATCCTGAACCTAAAATGAGTTCTGATTGATCAAAGCACCGAGTCCAGAAACACAGCTTGAGAGCCTCCAGAAGTGCTTTACGAGGTTCGAGTGCCTCGCGTAGCACCAAACTATCGACGACCAAAAGCAGCGGACCGCACGACCGTCACTTTCAGCAGCACCTCATCGACCACGGTATCTATCCTCCCACGTACAAATATCCAGATGGGCGAATACCATCCAAACCTATGAATTGGGGTGACATCAAAGAAAGATTGTCACGTCACTGATCCTCACTTTCTCCTTCTAATTTTATGGAGGAAATGCATGAGAAGTTCGTTCGAGCTGATGCTCATGCTTTTAAAGAAAAGCAAATCACCGAATCTGTGATTTCTATGATAGAGGGCGACAATGGAGATGCTAGATGCATTGCAGGTGGTATCCCCTTCAGAAATCTCAATCATCTTATAGATGGAACATTGGTACTAGGAAACCCTGATCGTTATTATGGAGCACGTCCAGAGCAACTCAACCGCAGAATACGTAGTGAACTTGAAGACCAAATTGTGCTATCCACGCAGCATGATCTACCTATAGCACCAAATTTCTTCCTGGCAGCGAAAGGTCCTGATGGGTCAGCATCAGTAGCTAAAAGGCAGGCCTCCTATGATGGTGCATTAGGAGCAAGGAGAATGCATTCGCTTCAAGAATATGGCAAAGATGAACCTGAATTTGATAACAATGCTTATACAATCTCTTCCATATACCATGATGGCACTTTGAAGATGTTCACCAGTTATCCTTCAAAATCAACTACATCAGATCAGACAGAGTACTATATGACACAATTATGATCCTTTTCTATGACAGACAATCCTCGCACATTCCAGGAAGGTGCGACCTGGTATCAGAATGGCAGGGACTGGGCAAAGGAGCAAAGAGATGAAGCAATAAGACGAGCAAACGAGAAAGTTACTCAGAATGATATTAGATCCAGTGCCGTAAATACGAGCTTCAGCACAGTTTGTGAAATATCGAGTACCGAGTCAATCGCATCTATCACTGAGCAATCTTATTTCTCGTTCAGTGGCACAAATACAATCGAGACGCATTCATTGCAGTCGACACGTTCACTTTCGCCAAAACCTTCTCAGGAGGAATAGATTATGTGTAGAACGATATATCTGAGTCCTCGTGCAATCAGACCTTCTATATGGGCGTTTAATCTCACAGGGTATTTCATGTCACTGGGATGGGGGTTTAGCTTGACTGGCAAATAATTATGGCATACATTTCTAGTGGCCTCTAGAGTGCATTAGCCTATAAAAGGAATGAGGAAGAGAATCCGTTCAGTGCAGCGATTAGCGTCCGGCAGAGTGCGCACTGCGCAGGTGTCTTGATACGATTAGTCGAGATGTTTTGGCCTTGCGCTTGGGGATTTGTCATGTCAAGTGGGTCTGTCGACGCGACACTAATATCTTATTTTATTGGCTGATAAATTACAGTCATGTATGCAATCTTGGCGGTATTGTCAAAGTTGAATGACACCCTAGTTGCGCTATCGAGGCGGCGGTGGAGACCACTAGGGCCTACTATGTAGACAAGTCATGACTCGCTTATGCAGCCACTGTTGATGGCAAGGTTCCGCTAATCAGTACTCCGTAGTATATCAACTAATGCAATCTCGAATTACAAACTCAGCCTGGTTTTTGAAAGTATCCAGTTAGAATTGCTAATTATGCCTAGTATGGCTGCGGGTGACTTTACTCGTTACGCTGTTCTCTGCTGAACATAGCCTTGTATTAGTTTGCCCCTGAGGTCCACTTAAATAAAGCATGTTCGCTCGTGCTGGTAGCTCAAGAGTCAATTGACATCTTCATCTCTCATTATGGATATATCTGAGTTTCTCAATCCCTCGCCGACCTGGTCTGTTGCCTACGCACCAGAAGTAGTCAATCATCAGCGACCGGTTGTATATGATCCTCCGCCAGTTATCAAAAGGTCGCCTCCAATTACAGACCTAGAAAAGGCTGACATACTTAGTAAGTAATATCTAACAATACATTACCTAGTTTCCACTTAATCTAAGACAGGGACGTTCAATCAAGAATTACGGTCCAAGACTCTGGAGACTATTGAAAAAGGGATGAACAGAAAGATGAAGTAGGCTTTTTTCCACGATCAACCTACTCAGAACAAGAGTTACTGTTTCTTTGGTATCAATTTATTGATCTCAAAAAGACATGGAAGGATTGCCGTAACGCTTTCATTGAATAATTTCCAAAGAGACATCCAAGGAAACATTCAATAAAAAACGCTTTTTATCGCTACTTGGACTACAAAGCCCCTAGAAAGCCATACAAAGGGAAAAAAATAGAAAGAGACGCTCCATCTGTCTTTGATATCTGTGATCGACGTTATTCCTGGATGATGGACCCAAGATCGAAAGTTATAGACCTAATAAAGGATGATCTACTTGGTAAGCAAGCCCCCAAAATGTCATGGATTTTTACTTAGTCTATGACAGGGACATCTACGCGTGGTAGGAAGCCCTTCTTCACAAACGAAATTTTACTGTTTCTTTGGTATTGCCGTATCGATCTCAAATTAGGTTGGACAAGCATTTTCAAGGACTTTGAAACTATATTCCCAGCTTATAACTGTCATAAACTCCCATTACAAAAAGCGCTCTACACCTTCAAGGCAAAGGTGCTCAAGGGCGGTGAGTATGGAGAAAACCAGGTTCCATCTGTCTTTGAAATCTGTACGAAACATTATTCCTGGATGAAGACCGGAGGAAATAGAGATATATCTGTTTTGGGTAGTTCCTATATACATCCGAATTTAGCAGCTTGAAGTGGTCGCTACTTGCTACTCAGACGGGCGAATACCGTTGAAACCCATGAATTGAAGAAACACTAGCACGTCGCTGATCCTCGCTTTCCCCTTCAAGATTCACTGATGACTTGCATGAAAAATTCGTTCGCGCTGTTGCCGCTCCTCAGATGGATCTTTACTAGCATGTAGACGCTGCTATAGGGTACCGCAGCCGGGAAGAGATTTAGAGAAATAACTTCAAGGTGGTTCCCTCAGATGAAGTAATACATAGTACTAGAAAGAATAAGACTACTGACCCTGTCAAAGAGAAGTGATTGATTGAACACGCAGACTTACACAAATAAAACAGGAGTAATATTCCTATATAAAGGGCCTCTGCCTCTACATCCAAGAATATTTTTCCTCACAGACGGCAGAGAAGAATGGGGCCTTGCTCAATCGATACCGTGGGCGATCGGGGAACTTGGAGGTCAGAAAGCTGTAAAGACGATTTTGTATTTGGTGTTTTGAAAGAGATTGGCACCATGGAAATCTTTTATTGAAGTCCATGATACATTCATCCCATTCCTTGTTGAGATCAACAATATTATACCAAAGAAAGTACAACTCTTCGGATCGGTGACTTTTTCCTGGTAAACTACCAGCAAGGTGCGAGCCCTGCGGAGCTGCTCGTTCACAATCAGACAACTCTGTCATAGACTAAGTAGAAATCTATGATAGTTCTTAGAATCACTTACTAAGCGCATCATCCTTTTCCAGGTCTATGATTGGAGGTGACTTTTCGAATGCGGAGGAGGTAGGTCGCGGATTGGGTGACTCTGCTATATTGGTAACTTTCGGTTTGGACGATGGCATCCAGGGATAATGTCTCTCGCAGACTTCGAAGACAGATGGGGCCATTTTTTGTAGATTCCGTCTGCGCTTTTTATCCGGGAATTTGCTTTCGAAGTAGCGGTAAAAAAGTCGTTTTATTGAACCCGTGGTTAGAGATTCCTCTGGAAACCTGTTTTTGAAAGCCTCAAGACATTCTTCCCATGTCATTTTGAGATCAATAAAATGGTACCAAAGAAACAATAAGTTTTCTTCTGAATATTGACGAGCCATCCCTGTCTTAAAATAAGCGGAAACCCGCACAGTATTCAGTTAGATATTACTTACTATGTGAGCCAACCTTTTGTTGGTCTGTATTTGGAGACAACTCTTTGACAACAGGTTGAGGATCATATACAACCGGTCGCTGATGATTGACTACTTCTGGTGCGTAGGCAACAGACGAGGTCGGCGAGGGATTGAGCAATTCAGATATATCCATAATGAGAGATGAAGAAGTCAATTGATTTTCGAGCCGCTACAGGAGTGAACTTGCTTTATCTATGTGAACCTCAGGGGCAAACTAATACAAGGCTATCTAATGTTCAGTGCAACAAATAAAGTCGCCTGCAGTAGTTTTTTGTACCAGTCATCCGTGCCAGGAATAGATTTCATCATCCTCCATCTTGAATGCAGGCCCATATCCTACCCTCCGGATGACGAGAAATTCTAGAACAAGCAGCATTGAACTAAATCCTTACAAAATTCAGAGCTTTCTTCGACTTCCAGCTGGTGCGATAGCTCTATGAGGTCTTCTCGTGCCAAAATGATTAACCTTTTTTCTGTTCTATGAAAAACGTGCCAGACATAATTAATTCTCGGAAACCGGCTAAGTTTGTAATTCAAGTCGATACGCTAGGGGCGGCTCCGTTTATCTTTTTATTGGCTGAGAAATGGTTCTCACTCCGTACTCCGCACTTTGTAGGAGTAGCCAATTAGATGAAGTGAAATTCCACTAAATGTTAGGCAGTCCGAATAGGGTGGGGTAGACCGGTTTTACTGTAATATAAAGCCCCACAAAAAGTGGGTACCACTTGAGCTTGTCTTCAAAAGCAGCTTAGCGTGGTCCCTTCAGCTCACTCACCACTGCACTAGACGACTAGCATAGCACTAGACGACTAGCATAGCACTTGACAGCAGACTTTTTCTACCCCACAAATTCTTGTCTGAGATTCTTCTGCTCCTAAATAATGAACATCCAAGAACAAATAGATCGACGGCCTAAAAATAGAGGTCCAACTTGTCGTTATCTTGCTACCAACAGAAACAGCATTTTCAAGGATATTCCATTTGAACAGTTTATTCCTCTAGCATTTCACACCACAGTGCCTCAACTTCAAGCCGCTAACCTCGATCAACTTGTCAATCTTGTCTGTCAAAAATATAAATCTGATCTCTACATTGATTGGCAAAGATATTGCAAAGACTTAGGCTCGGAAGAGCAAAGGGTGATAGCTACGCTTGGTATGAATGCTTTTTATTCCTGTCCTATGATGAGTGGCTTATGATTTACAGAGGGCGCATTTCATTTCGCAGCGGAGAGTATATCATCACTAGAGTATCGAAAACTTTGGAAGTCATCATGTTGCTTGCTTTTGAGGGATCTCGAAAACTTGAAGACAACCGCTGGCGAAACCACTGGCGAGATTAGTGACCGGAAGCGCAAGCGCGGAGACGATGAAAACTGTTCGAATGCATCAAACAGATGCTATGACGCAAAAAAGCCTAAAACCTCTCGCGACATGTCAATTGTTGATGTTTCCGCCCGAGCCATGCATGCCCCCGAAACCGATAACCTTCACAGACAACCAATCTCTACTATACCGCTATCATACTACCAAGAAACATTCTACAAAATAGTTCTTGCTAAGATTACTAAGGTACCCGCCTTCAAAGATATCCTTGGAAGACGTCTCTATGAAGATGTGATCAAGAGTAGGTCAATATCATTGGGTGATCCAGTTGTGCAACTGCATATGCCAGCAACGCCTGATGAGGACTGTGTACTGCAGGTCTCAATAAGTATATCGACTGGCAAGATAATTCTAGATGGCAAAAACGGATCGTTCGAGTTGATCGATGCCATAGGTCATTACCTTTTCCGGGCTATGATGAAAACCAAATTGAGTGGAAGAGACACAGGGTTAAGAGGCACTATAGGCTTGGACGGGCATGATTTGTTTCTGGCAATAGATTTCACGACAGGGAAACACATGATGAGTTTGGAGGCGCAGTCCACCTAGGTCTTTGGCGGTGCCATTTTGTCCTTGCGTACTAGTTTGAAATTTGTATCTGCTACCAGAACGTTCGTGAAAGCAGGAACGAGTATGTCTTCTGTATCTTCTTTGGGCTGTCGCAAATCGTCAAGAGTGGTGTTGCCGAGGCGTATTTGCCCGTTCTTGCTCTCTTTCCATGACATGTATCTATCATAAGCGACCGCCTTGAAAACGTGGTATTCGATGTATTCGTAGTCACCGGAGGCAGTCTGCTCAGCCTTTGTTTTGAAATCAGAAGAGATGAAACAAAGAATGGATTCGGATTTACTTTACCTCAGGTGGTGGCATATGTTGAACCTGGACGAAGTTCAAAAGTGAACTTTCTTTAGATGTTGATGACTCAAGTGGTGTTGTGATGAAGATATGGTAGTATTGAAATGGACATCACGACGCGCTCAATAGAATGCTTTTACAGAAATGAATTTTGGGCGAGGATATTGTCACCAGACTTTCTAATGGTGGGGTTGGTGGAATAAACCATCCGGATTTTATTGGTGGGTCTCTGAATCATCAACCTGAACTTCTGTTATGAATTGGAGCCAGCTGAATGTATTTCTATATCGTTATTTGCAGGTGCTGTTTTCATGTCTTTTTAACGCTTTTATACGGCGCCAAAGTGAATGTATTTGACTGTAAAAGGGGGGTTCTGTGCCCGCGATATTCTGCCGTTTTTTGACCCTAGGGCTCTGCCGTTAATTAGACCAATGGGAGCCAGGGATTCCTTTCCCAGCGGCCCCCACCGCTCATACAACCAATAAGAGACTAGATATTCATCAAAAAAACATACTAAGGACTATTTCGGAAATAAGTGGGTACACTAGCTCCCAGAGTAGGGGATAGTAGACACTACGCTCTATAACGATATTTTAAAGTATTTCTATTGGTTAAGAAAACTGGGGGCCCCGCTCCGTTATGGTTTCGCACTTCTAGCTAAACCAACAGACATTAACCCGTTACCCAAGGGAAGTGATGCAAACGCAGCAAAGAGAGCCAAACAGCTCAAGCAAAGCAAACACACCGAAGGCACTGCCACGCGGAATCTCCAGTCATTGCCTCCGAACACCCTCGCCCTCGCCCGGATACTCCTACGCGTCGTGTGTACAATTTTGATGAATGCGGCTTTCAACCTAGTTAAGGGCGATCGAAAAAGGTCCTTAAGTCTAACTCATTAGGCTCAGACATTGCTAAAACTAAGTAGAGTGAAAACATCACTCCCGATGGCCAGTAGATAGACCTCTATATACTCCAAGTGGACGCGAAGGACCCAGATCCAATCGAGGCCTGAATTTGTAGTATCGAAACTCGCCTAACAGTTACAAGAACGGCTGGATTACTGAACAAATAGAAAAGAAAGACCGAACAAATATCTGAAGGGTGGAAAAGGGAGAAGACAGGGCCAAACGCAATGCTGGGAAGCGTCCATCCATCAAGTTGTATTCTCAACTGGTCAACATAGCCTTGTGCTTGATCACAAACGCCTCGATTGACTCGACGTATGCTTTGCAGTCAGAGGCGGAGACCTGGAGATGAAGAGGTGTATATCCGCGAACTGCGATGTTGATATTCCGCTCGAGCATGTGATGGTAGAACAGGGCCTGCCATTGTGATGCCGCTGGACCCGAAAATCGGATGTTCAGCATACTCCCACGCCCGGTCACAAACATTGATGGTAGCTGAATCAGTTTGTCAGAATGATCATCAATGTATCCCTCTGTTCCCGTTAGTAGGCTGTCGATCTCCATAAGCCCGGCAGCGGGACTCCGGTAGCTATCTGGGTAGAGACCGTGGTTCATCAAAATCGCTTGAATGTCTGTCTTCAATTTTTCTCCCAGATTGTTCAATCTGTCCACTTCCGATGCGTCGTAAATGTCAAGTCCGGTGATGCCAGCTGCCATGGAGAAAACGTTGTTGTTGTAGGTGCCCGGGTGAAACAATTTGGATTTCGTTGGGTCGAATAGTTCCATGATGTCCCTTCTTCCTCCAAATGCACCAATCGTCATCCCGCCACCGAGGTACTTTCCGAGCGTCATGATATCAGCGCGGATATTCATTTCAGCAGAATAGCCGGAATATCCGAGACGAGAAGCCATAACCTCATCCATGATAAGCAATGCCTTGCGCTCGTCTGCTTCTGTCCGAAGGAAATTGAGGAATCTTCTGTCAGCAGGTCGGCAGCCCCCGGAACCCTGAATGGGCTCTACCAGAATAGCTGCTAGGCTATCTTGGGGTAAGTGGTCCAATATCTCCCGGGTTTCGCTGATATTATTGTATGGTGCGTACACAAAGTCGTGAGGAAGGTTCATCGGGGCTACCGTCTCGCCTTTCATCACAGCGAGGGGGAACACTAAAGTTCCACCGTGATAACCCGAACTGAACACGAGAATCTTTTTCTTCCCAGTGACATTCTGCGCAGTGGCAATGGCCATTGTATTCGCCTCGGTGCCGGAATTGGTGAAGCGGACAAGCTGCAGGCCACTCGGACCAAATCTTTCGCACACTTTGCTTGCCAGCTCTTTCTCATAGGTGCAAGTGCCTCCGTAATTCCACCCTCGAGTCATCGCATCCGTAATAGCATTTGCGATACGGGGATTTGAGTGGCCAAAGATACCCGCGCTGAATTCGCCCAAGAGGTCGACATATTTATGCCCGTCGACCGAAGTCAACGTGCTCCCTTCCCCCGACGCAAAAGTAAGCGGGAAAGGATCGGCATGGATGACTGTCCTAGTATTGCCCCCGGGCAGATATGCGAAGGAGTTCTCATAGGCAATTCGAGATTTGGGATTGCGCTCAATGTAGGCACGATGCGACTCGGCCAGCTGGGCAGCCAGATAGTCGGCGACAGTCATAACGCAAGGGCTGGGTCAAAATTGATGAGAAAAAGGCGTAGATATTGGCATCTCTATGGCTGATTTTGTCTATTATATTGTAGACTTCCTGTTTGAACCTCGGCCTAGATCTCGATCCGAGTTACTTCGGAGTTTCCGGGGCTTGACCGATAGGTCTTTTACCCCTTGTCGGATCTATATCGGCAAGGCTCAAGCGTGGAGACCCGACTGAGTCTGGAGGCTTCTCGTATGGCCCAATAGGCAGATATTAGCACGAGCGTAAAAGCGGTTGCTCTGTCAGATCTGCGAAACCAGACGCTAAGAGTCCGAGACTGTTAACATCATCGTGAAAAAGGCTCAAGAATCGTGTTTTGATCTTGCTAGTGATTGTAACAAAGAAGGATAGAAATATACGCCTCTACAATTGGTAAGATTCTGAAGTAGACTGGTTTACGGAAGACGAAGCCGCCGAAAGAAAGCTTGAGTTCACGGAGGATATACGTGCGCTGAGTTTACCTCAGTGTTAAACAGACCCCGGATTGAGCGAGAATTGCGAAGGGGCACGTATATTTCAACAAAGAACAGTTTTACACGGCAAACTCTGACAGAAGTTTACCGGCCACTTCTGCATGATATTCAACAGAGAATCCAATCAAAATAGTATGGGACACAGGAGTATACATTGATCATGGACAGTCTAGCCTCTTCGAATTTCAAAGATCGCGAGTAGGTCACTAGCAATATAGCCTAGGCCATTTTGGCGTTTGGATGCGAGCATAAGCTGCGATAGACGAATGATAATGGATGACTCCCAAAAGTTGTCGTTAGACTCTGTGGGATGCCTGATGTGTAGCTGCCTGCATGTTGCACGTCCTAATTCCGAACGTTTGCTGCGCTTCTCCGTTCCCCATTTGGAGGCCTCGTCTGTCCTTTTTCTTTCTTTTCCACCTATGGTCCGCTGCAACTTTTCGTTTATCATGGCCAATCGTGGGGCTTCTGCTATCTTTCCTGTTGCTCTTCGATTAAACATTACGGAGAGCTTATCGCCTCATGGCCAAACATCAGCAACCCACGCAGATAGACGACTTCGGACCCAGAGGAAGGCTGTTGTACTATGACCCAACGATGCTAGAAAACATCATGGCAAAGCAGCTTCTGATAAGCAAGGAGGGTGGCTGGTTTCTCGGAATCTCCAGGGAGAAAGTTCGGCTTCCATTGCGTCGGACCAATAGCCTCACAGCTTGCTGCTAAAGTCAAATCAGACTTGGGGAAACTTGCCACCGTATCACGATGGACCTCACAGCCCGAGTGTAGGCCTTTAAGTTTCATTGTGATTCCAGGAACCCTCTTCCTCCCCCCATTTCCCACTTTTGGTTCAAATAATCAACCGAAACAGAGCTATAAAGAAGTCTCATCCTCGCTGATGTCACATATCTTCATCAAGTCATCCTGCTCGTATCTTAGTCCACGAATTTGCATTTTCTGAACCTAACGCCTCCCTCAAATATGCACGATATGGAAGACGATATGGAAGACACCAATCCGGTAGACAGGAAGGCTATGCCGGACCTTGAGGCGGTCGTTACCACCTCGTTGGGAGAGGTTGTGGGTTCACCGCCGAGGTTGTATAAGCGTCGCTTCTATGGGCTGGCGTCTATATTTCTCAGCAACGCGGTGCTGGCATGGGCCTGGCTGTCCTTTGCTATGGTCAACGATCTGGCCCAGGAACGCTTCGGTGTCGACGCCACGGCCATAAATTGGTTCTCCAATATCTATTCATTGGCCTTTGCACCGTTTTTCTTTTCCGGCTGGTTTATCAATCGATACGGGATCAAGAAAAGTCTGCTCGTGGCTATCAGCGGTACCGTGGCTGGAAACTGGCTGCGCTACGGAGGAGTAGTTATCTCGTCATATCCTCTTGCCATGGCCGGACAGGCGTTGCTTGGAGTATCTCAACTCTTCATTGTCCCTCTGCCCATGTCCTATTCGAACATGTGGTTCGGTCCTGATCAGAGGGTTCTGCCTACGACTATTGGTTCCCTCGCAACTACAGTTGGATCTATGCTAGGATCAATCGCAACACCCTACATGACGCCAACGGTGGATTCTCTTCCTCGGGCTGTCCTCATCGTTAGCATAATCAGCACAGTGACTTCTGCTCTAGCCATCTTTGTGCCAGCGGAGCCGCCCACGCCTGCGTTATATAACGTTCAAGAACCCTCGAATGCTCAAAGGCTTTCTCGCAGAGAATCTATCAAACTTTTGTCGAAATCACTCGAATTCTGGCTCTTGGCGATAACTTTCATCATTTCCCTGGGCATCTTCAACACATGGTCAACTTTGCTCTTTCTTTATCTGACACCCTATGGTTTTCCGGCCACCGATGTTGGACTTACCGCTGGGCTGTTCACAGGTGTTGGCGTTAGTATCGCTCTCTTCCTGGCACCATTAATCGACAAGTGGAAACTACACGTCCCCGTTGCAAAGGTTACCGCGTCCGGGGTGACAGTTGGCTACGTTGTCTTCATATGGATCCCTCAAGTGCAGAGTCGGGCATTCGCATTCACCGTAGGCACGCTGATGGGTGTCTTCTCATCGATTTTTGTTTCAGTCGCCCTGGAACTCCTGGCCGAGCTCCTTTATCCTGTCCCTGAAGAGTTCTGCGCAACATTTGTCTGGTGCGTGGGCAATCTCATTTCGGTTCCGATAACTTACGGTCTTAACGCTGGTGCCAATCCCAATGGCAACCCTCCTGGGGAGATGAAAGCATCGCTTATTGCCCAAGCAGTGTTGGCTATTGCTCTAGTAGCCCTTCCCATCAATCTCTTGGGTCTATTCGGCAGGAAAGAAAAAACTCGTTTCTTCCGTCGTGAACATCAGATGTCGGCGGCAGTCGCTTAGGGGAAGAGACGATAGATGACACCAACGAGGGGAGTGTGAACAGACATGGATATTTGCGTGGCTGGGACTTCAAATAGTCATGTTATATCTAGAATGCAGACCAAATAGCCTTGCAGTTGCTCGTGGTATTACGTCCTTGTATCTGCTAGACCTCGCGGCGACCCTCACTTAATGCAAGATCTGGGACCTAGATTGGCAACTTTACTGAACGGTGACGCACAAAGTAGATGATTCGTCTCTCCGGTTTTGACTAGTTACCTGTTGATGACGGTTATTCAGGAAAGAACTTGTCTCTTGTAGTCTTCACGTAACATATGAAAGCAAATCCTTTAAAATCGAATCCTACTTAACAATCTACTGATCAGTAATTGATCGAGATTTGGGTGCTTAGAAGTGAGATTTAAGGCCGGCCAACGCCGGCTGACAGTGGCCAGCCCTTCGAAAGTGGTATTTACATTGAATTTTGACGACATAAAAACGTACCAAGGCACACGGCTGCCTGTCAACCTGAAAGGCTAGGCTCTGACATGACAGAAGAATTTGATCTAGCCAACGAGAGGCTTGGATTTTGACCGTTCATAAAATATTCTGTTAAATTGAATTAAGTGTTTGCAGCAAAAAAGAAGAAGTATCATAACTCCCCCTGGTAAATTGGATTATTCGGGGGATATGCGTTTCTGTGTTTTGCCGTGCAATTTTCGCACTTTTAACTAAGCCCCGCTTCGTCTCACTTTTGCTGTTCTTATGAACAAAATCATAGCGGAACTCATACAACTATGCATTCAGGAGGACCCAGCGGTTCTCAATTAGGTAAAAGTCAGGCGAGAGAGCGTGCTGTATCATTACCTCGATCTCAGCTGGAGCGAAGGAAAATTCTGAACGTACTAACGCCACTTTGTGAAACAGTTTTGACCGTTTCCCAGACTGGAAGACCCACTCGAACGTTTATTTCCTCTGTATCTCTGTTAAATCCTGGGGTTCTTGCGCAGCTCGAGCTTCCGAGGTGACGCGGCGTCTGGTATCTTCAGAGCATCTACTCAGAACCTCTAGCGCAGGCCCCTCCGACAGCTTCTCGACTTTCATGGGAATAAAAGATTCTATCACACAACTGTCCGAACAAAAGGTGGGTAATGGAGCATCATATTAGGGCATTCGCAGGGAAATATGTTGGGATTCTGCCCTTAGATAGTCAGCACCGCCTACCGGATGTAGTTAGCGCGCTGGTAGCTAGATATCTCCGCTCCTAGGAACTGTTGGATTAGCTAAGCTGATTCAACCAATCAGACAGAAGGGATTTGTCAGCCAATAATAGCGAGCCACACACTGATCCACCGAATAGGGGGTAAAAAAGATATCTTCCACCTGAACTGTACTTAGAGACAACAAGAAGAAGGACAACAAGGGGATCAAGGATTCCATACTTGTGCATACATAATTTGATACGTTGAGATAAACTGCTAGAGATTGTTACATACAATCCAACAGGAACCTAGGTTCCTAGAGACACACACACAACAGTGTCAGTTTTCCTGCTTCAAGCACAAGAAAATATGAATAATATGATGTCCCCCACGGAGGCTGCTGGAAAAGGTGGGCAGGATGGTAGAAGAATGGTCCTTTTGGGCATTTCAAATCTGCCACCATGCTCGACGAAATCATAGACTCTCCAGTGGGCTGAATACCTACCAAATACGTATCTAATTAGCTGATATCCGGAAATTCCGAACAACGGTGGCTCCGAACTACGCAGTAAATAGCATGTAGGTCAGAAACTATAAATCGCAGCTGGTCCTTATTTCTGTAGCTGCCTCTTCCGTCTGTCATTGGAGATAGGTTGAGACTGCTTTTGGTAACCTGGAAGACCCCACACTATACATACGATTCCCAATATGTCAACTTCGCGGTTGGATCAAGTGGTAATTTTAACCCCCTACTCACGAGCATCATGTTTACTAATTTCGTGCGTAAGGTTTCTGAGCTTGCTCGGCTATACCCCAATCAAGTTTTCCAACCAGACCATCCCTCCTTTCAGGCTTCCCAAAATTCCTACTGGTCGGGGCTCCAGAAAGAAATCAAGCCTCGGTGTTTTTTCCAGCCCCATTCACCTGCACAGCTTGCGCGTGCGGTCACTCTATGTGCCGAGGCTGAATGCCCTCTTGGCGTCAAGAGTGGCGGTCATGCCCATATTACTGGAGCATCATGCATCAATGGGGGTATCCAGCTAGATCTGGTTAAGCTGAACCGTATCACCATCAACACGAACAAGAAAACTGCCTGGATTGGTACAGGCAACACTTGGAGAGCTGTATACACCACACTTCAGAAAGAAGGATTTATCGCAGTCGGTGGGAGGTCGGCCGATGTGGGCGTTGGAGGGTTTTTAGTTGGCGGTATGGTACCTTGAATATATATATATATATTTTTCTGGACACGCCATACTCACAGATGATATTCTATGCACAGGAGGCATCTCGTTTTACGCTGCCGAACACGGGTGGGGAATAGACCAAGTTCAGTCGTTCGAGGTCGTCCTTAGCTCTGGGAACATTGTCAGAGCCAGTCGAGACAACGAGCCGGACCTCTTTCGAGCTCTGCGTGGCGGAGGTGGAAACTTCGGCATCATCACTGCCTATGAAGTTGACATTCGTCCCTATTCTGGGATGTGGGGTGGGCGCACGACGATTGCCAGCGCCCATGCTAAGGATGCTATTGAAGCGTATGCTGACTTCATACCGAGACTTGATGTCGACCCAAAAGGGCACACTATCATCATTTTCGATGCTCTTGGTGGAGAAGTGGTTGTGCGCCAATACATTGTCTACACGGAGCCTAAAAAGGACCTCCCAATGTTCGACCGACTCCGCCAGGTTCCAGCAGTCGACTCGTCACTTGGTATCGCCGACTATACTGACCTTGCTGCGGACATCGCGGATCTCCAGGAAGGAAATGGATATCGCCATGCCGTTGCCACCATCACGGTAAAGCTGGATCAGAAACTGCTGGAATTTATATATGACACTTACGTTCAGCACGCTGCGAAAATTTCGGAGCACTCGGCAGGCTGTCTCGAATTCCATGCTCTCCCTCGTGCATCGAATCCAGAAGACAACATGTACGGGCTCAAGAAGAGCGACGAGCATCTTATAGCAATCATGCTTGGATTCAGCACTGCTTCTCCGGAACGCGACCATGAGCTAATCACTTTGCAGCAACTTGTCCTAAGCACCATTAAGAAGGAAGCACAAGCCCGCGGACTTTATCATCAATTTCTTTTCGCCAATTATGCCGGCCCGTTTCAAGATGTAATCGGCAGCTACGGCGAAAAGAGCGTCAATTTCTTGAGGAGGGTAGCGGACAAGTACGATCCTGATCACGTTTTCGAACTCTTAAAGCCAGGGGGGTTCAAGATAAACTTCTGTCCCAGTCCATCACTGTAAGCAGCCACAGGTACGAGGGATTTTTCATTCTCTCTTGCGACAAAGGTGAAATATTTCACACCCGTTTACACACCGGGAAGAACTCGAGTGGGATGATGCTGGGTCGGTGCGACATTGTGTCAATTACTATTAAATAGACTCTACCCTAGTTATGCATTCTGTAAGGAGAAATCATGTATCCTTTTGCACTGGATGCGTAAGGTGAATTGAGGACAACTTTCCGATACGTTGCTTCGATCAATCCAAATAAGAGAGTAAGGATTCTCGGCAATCGTCGTTTATAGATCTTCACCTTACGGTAAATAAATTATTGATACCTGAGGAGACGCGGCCAAGATTGGGCCAGCAGCTACACACAGGATAGATGAACAGAAGGGCAAAGCCGATTGCGTTTGGATATCCTCCGGCGGTACTCTGTGCTTACAACTATTACAAATCCAGGTCCGATGAATTGTATTGAATTTAAGAAGGTCCACGGTCACGCGGTCGTGGACGGTCAAATGGACGATGAGCAATGGGATGCAGGCTACGGTTATGGTTCGAGTTTCAGGCACCTGAGCGCCGCTATGAGGTAGTAGTACGAACACACGACAGCGGCCCTTAAGAAAGCAATTAGATTCTTGGCCTATCCATTCACTGCCGGTATACTTCTACCAGAATATGATGGGGTAAGATACGTGCTGCAGCGCAATGCACTGCCGGTCGAATTAGGATGCAGAAATCTGGGATCAAGGGGTCGTCCCAAATGACAATTGGTAGCATTCGTGGAGAGAAGAGAACGGCATTCAGCTTCCAAAGACGGGCAGCGTTGACAAGCCCAGGGATTGACGAAGCTGGTGGCAATAGGCTCCCAAGGATGTTTAAGAAACACTGCACATGGTGAGCCGCCATCGGAAATTCCGAGATATCCTGGAATATCGGTAGGCTGCGCCGACCACAGAAATTGAACTTGCTGACATGACTTCCTTGGGGTGTAGGCTGACGACAGGTATAAAGTTGTCGCCCGACGGGCTTACGTTCACACAAGCATAAGCTCTGGTTTGAACGTCATGAATCATAAACCACATCCGCCAGATGCTCTTGAGGCCGAAGATATTTCCATAAATGGCAAAAATTTCCAATTCTCAGACATTCTATCGACGAACAATGATTCTGGGCGACCCAGAATCAGCATCAATTTGGTAGTTCAGAAAGAGTTGAAGCCAGAGTATTCCGCCAACAAGTCAGGCGAGGCATCTCCACCTCCCAGATTACAAGCAATCCCAGAACGCACTCTGCAGACTCTCGCCATCCGGTTGGCATTTCCAACCCTTCCAAGGCTGAAGCCACTAGTACTAAAGCGCTTCGAGTACAAGCCCATATAAAGAAAAACGTACCATGATGTTGGTGATGAAATCCTGGCTTGTTGACCCGTATTCGTTCCACATGCAACTCGAGGCATTGTGCTGCAAAGCCACTCACAGACCGCAAAAGAGATGAATCCGTTGGAGGTGAGGCGGATGCACAGTGGCTACTCGTTCTGGTATCAGGCATGGGGCAGCCGGTTAAAGGAATCTCAGAAGAGTTCCCCCCGTGTTCAGCTGGTGAAATAACTTGGTGTTGTAGCATCTGCTGTGAATAGCAGAATGAACTAGACGAGTAAGAACTAAGAAGACTAACAAGGAATGGCCAGCAAATAAGCTCGCAATAATCGACGTAATGTCCACGGAGAACAAAGCGGCGTATGTCGCCGTATTCAGTGGACACCTCCAAGGATAGTTCAACAGGCAAGCTTGCAGCCTACTGATGCCCTTTTTCTTCATACTCCGGCATCATGATGACCAAGCGAGCCAGGAATGCAGCATAGTCTGCTCTAGTACGATAGAAGGATAGCATCTCTCCAGACACGCTGCTCACGAGCCGCCGCAGGGATAACCATGATGCATGCTCTCGTCCTTCGACGGGCTGGCTATCCGGAACGGTTGGCGGCGGCATTGGAAAAATGGGAGGATATAGATGTGCAGTATCCCCAACGGATGGGAAGTCTGGTAGAAAGAAGCAGCCGCGCAGTTCCCGCTCAGATTTCCAATAAACAGCTTGCTTTTGTGAGTCTTGCTCAGTTGCGAATTGATCATCGCCCGGAGTACTGATTGTGAGCTTCTCATCACCATCATATATTTGCCGGAGGAACGTAAACTGCCGACAACTTGCTAACGCTTGCGAAAAGAATCTCCAAGCGATGAATGGCTTGAAAGTACACATCATGTAAAGGCGTCTACACCTTCAAGAGAAACACACAAGACAAGACAACGCGTGGGTCCCTCTTTCAAGATAGGGTTTTTGCAGTGCACGAACTAGAAGAAACGGTCTAGCAAGTCATTTACTGACCCTCGAGGTTGCCAGAAAACAACTCGTCGGTAAGAATGCTTTTATCCAGCGAGCCGAGAAGCCGTCGTTGTTGAATCCCTGTAGAAGGACTTGGAATAGCATACTCGTCGACCACGTAATACTCCAGCTGTCACCTTGAAAAAACCGGCAACCGTAGCAACTGCTCTGGTGGTCCGCCAAGAGGGAAAGTACTGAACGTAGATGACAAGACAAACAAAGTAGGTTGCCATTCAGATGTTACGTCGCCATTTTGGTGCAAGTCCCGAGGGGCCTCGGGGCGCTTTGCTTCTGCAACTGGGAATTTTCGGTTTGATCTTGTTGCGGTGGTAGATTTTGACGTACTAGCGTCTCCAGCACATAAAGTCGCTCAAGGATTCTCAGATTTGCCGGGTCAAAGCTAGACAGGTCGCTTGGAGTCTGGTTGCAGACAACTCCAACGCTCAGACAATACGAGCACCTTGGTTTGCGATTGTCGCACTTGGTCTTGCGCGCGCGACAGACCTGACAGGCCATGTTGATATTTTGTTTTGATTCATGATTTATCCCCCACTGCTATTTCAATGATTCTAATAATACACTGCCGTTACTTGGCATATCTCTAAGCCCTAATATCCTGGCAATTCATTCTTGTCGCCAAGCCACCGCGCTGGCTGGCCACGTCCACGTCGCTGGCTCCGTCTGACTGGCTCCTCTGAGGCAATTTGCGAAGCTGTTGCAGTTGCATCCTGCGAGACCATTCCTCTACTAGAAGTCTGACTGTTGGCCACATTGGTTTCTGCCCTAGCTTGACTTGAATATCCTCCTCGTCCTCCACGACCCCTGCCCCTGTGTCCTCGACTTCCAGTATTAAAGATTCTCCTGCGCAATGACATGCTCAAATGCTGATAGCTCTCTCTGTGTTGAAGAATCCTGTGTTGATATAACCTGAGAGGCTGCTGGACGGTTGATTAAGCCTCTGGGGCGACCATGACCTTGGACCACCGCTGGGTTGAGCACTATTGTACGGGGATCAGTTGAAAGCAACTCTTCGGAAGCTTATAACCGCCAGTGCTGGTGGAAATGATGTAGCTGCAGTGGCTCCTCACTCTTGATACAGTGCTTGATTATATGAATATAAGGAATGCCAATGGTCCATTTCGTGATTCCAGAACACTCTGGGTTAAATGGCTTCTTTGTCGGGCCAAGAACTTCATTCTTCATATTGAGAACCTTTCCAAGCGCATAACTTGAGACTCTACCACGTACAATGCGAAAGAGACTATGACGGAAGCAAAATTGATACTGTACCTTATCATCCTCGTGAACCTGCTTGAGTATACCATGTTGCCGCGTCACGGCACGGTCAAATGATTCAAATGTCTCAAGGAGATCGTTTGTAGAGACTTGAAGATCATGTTCAGTGTCCAGTGGGCTGATTCATTTCGGGATGTGGTTAGCTGGCCAAAATGCTTGACGTCTGAGAGATGACAATGAAGGAATCGTTGAGCGATGCTATGATTAAGCCATTCTGAATTAATGTAGTCCATGACTTCCTGCCAGATATCACTGCTGTATTCAGCTTTAAAGGAATTCGCCGCTTCGTCCTTCTCCTCCTCAGTCTTCGCGTATACAATCTTGTTGAATGACCCGAAAAAGTTCCTCCACTGTGACTTAATATGAGTCTTGTATTGTGTGACATGCTTTTTTGTAGTGGCTGGATCTCTGGAATAGATTGTATGGAGCACTTCATTTGTAAGAATAGGGTGAACATGTGTATGGATATTCTTTTCAATATGCTAAAGACAGATGATATTGTCTGTCATTGGAAAAATAATGGGGATTGCATTAATTAAGGCTATATCTTTATCAATCAGGATAAGTTTGGTAATGGGAGATTTGCTTGAGCATAATTACACCATCCCTAGTGGGAATTAGTAGGGACACCACAAGTTTTTAGTAGCCACACCAGAACTGATTATGTAATATTTGTCGTTATGTAATCTCACCCTATGCCTTACGATATATCAAAGAAACATGGCTAATTTATAAAGAAAAGGTGATCCGCTGTTGGACCAACCAATACCTCCATCTTGGTAATTCGTCAACCTCACGAGTAGAGGGTTCACATGCCTTTCTCAAGAAGTATATACAGGCCTCAACCGGCGATATACTGACTGTCTGGGGCCGAGTGAGGCATGCGGTACATAAGCAGATCGATGCTCTAGTATATGAGGTTAGACATGACCAACTAAACAGCCTTATATTCTGCCAATCTTTTCTAATCTCGCAGATTAACCAGAGAGCTTCACACTACGCAATCAATCGTGTCCACGATCAAGTTAATATAGCTGAGAGAGCTACATCCCTTGCCCCTTTACCAGAGTGCTCTAATAGCTTCACTAGGACAATGGGCTTTCCATGTGCCCACCGAATCGCACGGTTGCTAGAGAAAAAGCATCCTATTCCATTAACAGATATTCATCCTTTTTGGAGGCAAAATATAGCACCAGACGATCGATCTGAGTACCTGCCACTGCTTGAACCTCGATTGCCTATACCGAAGGCAAAAAGATCAGATAAAAAGGGTGGAAATCCAAAGGTAGATGTCGAAAAGGGGACTCCAACTGCAACTGCAACGGGCAAGAGAAAAGCGCCTTCTAAGTGCTCGAACTGCGGGGTAATTGGGCATACAATCAGATCATGTAAAGCAAAATAATTCCAATCAATCTGCATGCCAGGTTGAGGCATCTTAATCATATAAGAATTGACCAAACTATCAATGCCATAGTAATTAGTTGGAAGGGTGTGGTGAGATGACATAACGACAAATATTACATAATCAGTTGTGGTGTGGTTAACTACTAAAAACTTGTGGTGTCCCTACTAATTCCCATCCCTAGTGCAGTGGGCTCGGCCCGTTACACACTGATAGCCTCAGCTCAATTTCATCGCGTGATAAGCACACATTTCAAATAGCTTTCCACTAATCGAGCTCACGTTATCAGCGTCTCCACGTATATGTCGTTTGTGGGGATAGTCATCCACTTAGCGGAGCGAAGGTGGGGAATGCTAGGAGCAATTTGGACACCTCGAATTAGTAGGCAAATGATTAGTTGTTCGGACACTATGCTGGGTACTATTGGCAATCTCGGAATCTCCGAGATAGGTTTCAATCCCGCGAGTTCTGGAAAAGAAAGCTGATTTGATAGGTTAGATTATAATGATATCGAGAGCGGATAGTTTCATGAAGAAACAATAAACAACGGGAAAAGCCTTTTTTTTCATACAATAAACGCATTCATGGCTCCGACTGCGGTAGCTAGTGCTACACAGGCTGCGAAACACGGCCACGAGCTTAGCCACTCCACGCCACTTGAAGTTCTCTCACACGGTAGGTCCCGCGCAAGCCGTCTACAATAACCACGGAGTCGTGGTTCTGGGCTCTGAGGAAGGGGAACGAATCGCCGCCTCTCTTGGTCCGCTAGGCAAAGGTTGTATTCTACGAAACCACGGAATTCTCGCCGTTGGCAAGACAGTCAATGAAGCCGCTTTCCTCTTCACTTCGATGGAGAGTAGCTGCCAGGTTCAGCTCCTGGTGGAGGCGACTGGTCGTCCCAAGGTCCTCATCACGGAGGAGGAAGCCAAATTCAATTTTGATGTTTAGAGTGATTCGGATGTCTGCTACTGCGAGTTCCAAGTGTATTATCAGTTGGAGGACCAATTGACAAACGGGGATTTTCGAAATTAGAATGCAACCAAGACAAACAATGGATCTCTGTGTCTATATCATACAATGGCCTCTAATCTTTTCCGCGTCTTGTTTTTCGTAGAGTGATAAGTTATAAATTTCAGCACTAGAGCTGTCACCCGATACAACTATGTACATAGTCCTATTTAAGGCAGACTATCTGGATAGACTTGGTACGGCACCCGGCACAAAAGGTACATGGCTCCGGAGACCGCGCCTTGACGGTTCAACGACATTCTTATGACTCAATCATTGTATCCATAGTACCCGAAAGCCGAACGGGGCCATATAAATTAGTGACAGCCCCCCTTCATTATATTTTTACCACGGCATTTGACAAATCTTCCCTAAAACACAGAACTTCATTCTGTCTTACCATGTCGTCGAAAGCTCATATTTTGACTATTGGCGGCGGCGGAGTAGGAACTATCGTGGCGTACAACATTGAGGAAGGTGGACTTGCAACCAGTCAAATGGTCCTTCGATCCAATTATGACACTGTTGTGACATCCGGCTTCAGCATCGAGTCTTGTGACCACGGTACTATCCACAAATGGAAACCAGCTGGTGGTGTTGTCGACAGTATTTCGAGTGCGGCTTCTCTCGGACAGGTTTACGACTACATTATCTGTTGTACCAAAAACAATCCTGATGCGCCGCCACCATCCTTGGTAGACATTGTCCGCCCTGTAGTGACACCTGACCGATCGGTGATAATCTTGATTCAAAACGGACTCAACATCGAAAAACCATATATCGAAGCTTTCCCTACCAATGTTGTCCTATCTGGTGTGAGTTTGTGCGGTTCCACTGAAATAGCACCGGGACGTATCATCCACAACGATGCCGACAAGCTGCTGGTTGGCTATTTTCCAAATGCAAACATAGATCCGGGAATCCAAATTCGAGCCGCAGAAGAGTTTGTCCGCATCTACAAAGCATCTGGTCGTGTTGAGGTCCAGTACGATTCAGACGTGATACGCAGCCGGTGGCGCAAGCTAATTTACAACACTGTGTACAACCCAATCTGCGCGCTGACTGACCTTGACTCCTCGCGTCTGCGACTATTTTCCATGCCGGAAATGAATGGTACAGCCGCTCCCTCTTTTAACTTTGTTGAGACTTTGATTCGCCCTGCCATGCTTGAGGTGTGTGAAGCAGCGAAAGCCGCGGCGGGCGTGGAATTTCAACCGGACGTGGTAGACCTTCAGGTAAATGCCGAATCCATCGATGGCTTCATTTTAACAAGCATGCAGCAAGATGCACGCAAGGGCAGGCTCTTGGAATGTGAAGCCATTCTGGGCGAGGCTTTGCGTGAGGGCGAACAGGCAGGTGTTTCTATGCCCGTGGTAAGGACCCTGTATTCTTTGTGCAAGGGGTATCAATTCCGAGTCAGAGAGAAACTGGGAATGTTGCCTATGACGCTTGATGAAGCTGTCACAATCTATAAAAAATAAACCAGTGCAGCTATAAGGGTTCTCCAAACTTTCCTTAAGGGTATAAATAGTCTCAATTCGTGAATGGAGGATTTTTCATATCAACCTTAGCATATCAATAATAATCAGAGAAACCTAGAAATAAAAGACACTTGGAGTTTTCAGGCAGTGTGGGCACATTAGTATCTAAACGTTTCTATGCTATACATCTATATATCTTGTTATGGCCTCCTCTACAAGTGGCTGCGTGCTGCACCCAGAGCGGAACGGCCATTGGTTCCGCAAGAAACGTAGCGCTGCAGCTCGAGGCTGTTTAGAAAGCTTGGGTTTGCCTCATCCAGACTATTGATCCCCACGAGTTGCATGGCAACCTGCAACTCATCCGCGACCACTGGCAGCCGCATCAATTTTTAGTAAAGCTTCGTAATTGAACTAACAAACGGTGTTTGAGTTCCAAAGAAAGTTGACTGGACTTACACTTTAACGCATGTTCAACCCCAGCCGAGCCATAATTGGCAGCATAAAACATAGGCCGCCCTAGGCAAACTCCCTTAGCCCCTAAGCAGATGGCTTTCAGGACATCGGTTCCTCTTCTTATTCCGCCATCTATGAAAACCTCCATCTTGTCGAGAATCTCGGGACAGGTCATCTGAATCTCCATCAACACAAGTATGCTAGGCATAGACGTATCTAGTGCTCTACCCCCGTGATTCGAGATGTAGATGCCGTCACATCCGAGACGATATGCTTTTTCGGCGTCCGCGGCGCTCTGTATTCCCTTTAGCACCACCGGCAACTTGGTGAGTTTCTTGATCCATTCGATATCATCCCAAACAAGATTCGATGCTATGTTTTGGCCTGCTGACCTGGCTTGGTTCTGCCCTTTTGATGCGGTACTGCTGCCTGGTGGGGCCGATTCTTTCCCTCCCATCGCTGCTTTTTCCGCCTCCATTGCCTTCTTAATGGCAAGCCTCTCATTGGCCTCCCTTTTGGGAAATGCTGGAAGATCTACTGTGACGATGATAGCGATAGGCTTCAGTCGGCTGCAGACATCTTGGAGTAAATTGGCTGTAAACTTCCGATCAGGATGGACATAAACCTGAAACAAGAACGGGTGGTCAGGGGGCATTTCTTCGACGATCTCGTCAGTCGAGTATGACGACATCATGGGTATGATCATAGTACTCCCAAGAGCTGATGCACCCCTTGCAATAGCCAGCTCGCCCTCGGGGTGAGCCATACGCACCAGCGACGCGGGCGCGTTGAAGATAGGCATACCGAATTTGGTGCCAAAGATAATAGTCTCGAGGCGACAGGCGCTAACATCCCGGAGCACGCGAGGTCGCAGCATGATGCGCTTGTACCAGTCATGGTTGGCTGCCATGGTCCAAGAATCATTCGATGCACCTGATATGTATGCCCATGACTTGTCGGAGAAGGTGGATTTGGCGACTTCTTCGAAATCGTAGAGATTCAGCATGGATGTAAGTGGTGGCTTAGAAATGGCCAAGGCCGACCCAATAGCTGAAATCGAAGGAGCGGTGTCGTTCTGCTGCAATGTCTGTTGCAGTCTGCCAATTCTCTTTCCGGGGCCTAGGTGTTTAGAGATCAGACCTGGGCTGTGGTATTCATTGTAGACCTCGCTCGCATCTCTGCCAAAGTACTCATAAATGACGTCTGCGCCGCCGGGGTGAATCCCACCAAAGCCCGCCATATCCCATATTTCGCCATTGACGGCTATCCAGGCGTCATTCTCCTTGGAGTGCTGGCCGAGCTCCCCCAGGTTGTATTCCTTTTCCATACTCTTTGTGTACCGTTGACAGAGAACTACTGAATGGATAGTCAACCGACCTAGGCACACGATGTCACGACCAACTCGACTATATCCACTTTTTATATGAAGTAGCTAAAGCAACGCATTATGGGAAAGTAGCCAATCAGCACCATGGCAAAGCGTTCGGATTAGTTTCAATGATGATTGATGCGAATCCCCATAATCGGAGTTTCCGAACTCGTATCCGAATTGCGTCTCTTCGCCTCGGTAGCCACACCGCTCCAATGGCCAACATCTAATGTGAATTTTAAGTATCAAACCTCACGTAATCCCGCGACATGTCGCGCCGGGTCAGCTAACCCAGATATCGTGACCGCCAAGCCCAATCTGGCCCCTTGATAACTCGGTTATCTGACCTCACCCCTAGTATCATAGTAGTATGAGAAATAATACGAGAAATCAGAGCTGCTCCCTTGTACGAGCTAGTTCTCATACGAGACTATACAGCGCTATATTTTCCTAGGCAGGCGGTCAAAAAGGTGGTCAGTTTTCTATTGAGGAATTGCTGGCCGAATCCCTCGCTCTTGCTCTTGGTTGTTTTTCATTTTTTCTGGCCAATTTTATTATATAGGCTCATACAGTATAGAAAGTTGCCCCTGGCTAGCGATTCGCTGCTATGTACGAAGCCCCACAAATCCATGGCGGTGTTACACGTTGGGCCTTCTGTAGATTCCTAGCTTCAGGCACCTCATTGGCAAAATCCACAATTCGGAAACCTCCGAAGCGTCCAAACACACGAGCCAACCTGCCAGTTGACTTCCATTAGATTGTACAAATAGGAGCTAAAGAAAATTCTGGTGCGCCTCACATGACCTCATGGCGAGCTACTACGGAGCAAATGCCAGGGATTTGTCGCTTGCACTTCACCGACTTGCCACGACCAGGGAGGATTCATCCCCTCTCAGTCCACCCCCTTACCGAACACGTCGACGAATCTAAGCTCGCCTTCGAACATCCCATTCTCGAACCAGTCATTCGGCAAGGGGATATCTAGTGGAAAATCGTCGCTTCCAGCAATGCCATTGGTTGTTGCAAGCAATGTTGGCTGGTCACCAATTTGGCCGCCAGCCAGCCGCCCACCATGTAACGCCAGGTCCTCACTAAGAACGATCTGCTCCACGGTTGACGCTGCCGGTGACCTCAGCTGCTGGACGCTACTGTCCTCGAACGCCCGAGCTCTACTTAAAGATTCTTGCGAAATACTGGCGAACTCAGACAGAAGTTGACCAGCTACTTGTCCATCAGATACCACATCTAATCGAACCCAATACCCAGCCATAATCTGGAGGAAGGCCTGGTTTCTTGGCGTCTCAGGATGGTATGGGTTGAAAACTACCAGCTCAAAGAGAATAAAGGTAGCAATTATTGGAGCTAGTCCAAGCATGCTGTAATCTAGTTAGTCCGAGTCCTTGTAGTAGTTGGCCGAGTGATCCATACTTTATAGGCGTGGAAGGCTCCATTGGGACTAGTTGCACGACATCAGCAATAGAACGAGCCGCTTCCATTAGTATCGTTTTGCTCTTAGCCGCACGAACCGCATCGGTGTTGCAATTCAAGTAGATATCCAAGCGAGCAATCCCTATGACAAGGATGTGATATGACAAATGGAGCTGTAACGCCATCAAAATGAAGCTTGGTTTGGGAAATTGTCGCATACGCAAGTGAAGTCCGGGGCGATATTCCACAGGAGTGGAGAGTTTCCAAGCCTCAAGATCGTTTCGCAAGCTGTCGATTTGGGTGCAGACGACTTCCCAAGAGTTGTTGAGGGCCGTGACCGTGAAGAGGCTCCTGTATGCTCGTGATTGAAGCTGATAAAATTCGATCAAGATGCCGAAACCCGACAATGATGTTTGTTCTGGTGGCAACTCCGGGAATGGACAGCGAGTATCAGCATCGTCAATTATCTAGGGCTATATAAGTATCGGTGCAAGAATTCAGAAGTGTTGCTTACAGTCGATGACGAGGACTGAAAACAATACTCTTTTTCAAGACAGTACACAGTCCAAAATACCCTGCTGTATGCATCTGTATCCTCGGTCGGCTGGCTGATTTTGTTCATATGCAGAGAGACGCAGATCCGTGCAGCTTCTGTCACCAGTAATTCCTCAAGCGACCAGCTAGAATAGTTCAGAGCAAACAACGCCTATGTTTCATCAGCCTTGTTTATGTAGGTCAGAAGCTCCGCTCACCATTGTTGTTAGAGCCTAGCATATAAGTCAGCTCATGCACTTTCCTGAAGCTAGTATCAATTACCTGCGCGATAGCCACAGTCTTTTTGGCCATCAAAAGGAGTGGGAAGAGCTTCATAGCTCGTTGAAAGATAGGCCATGCGGGTCCCTGCAACGGTGCAAAAGATCCGCCCTGTTCATGGAGGACCCCTAAACTGAGCACCGCATAAAAGGTTGCAGCCCATGCATGATCGGACTCCAGCCTGCTTCCTAAATTCGGCGCATTTGCAGCGCCCTCAAATGCATCGCGGGGTAGATAAGGCCAGACTGAGTAAACATCTTCGAAATAGGCTGCATCCTTATTAGTTTACTGGTTGCCGTGGGATAGATTGACGTGCTTACTGCGGATGTAGAGAGCACGCCTCTCAGCGGGACACTGCTGTTCCAAAAACTCATCAATGTCGCAAACCGGGCTTGTGAACAAGTTTTCTAAGGAGACGTCCCTCCGGGCCGCAGATATTGCTTCCAGATCCCCGAGGACCTCAGTAATGCGCTTGTTGCCTAATCTTTCTTCCAGAAGAATTATCTTTCCCTCCGTGAAGAATGCCATGCTATCTGAGCTGACTATATCCCTGAGTCAGAACAAATCATACCGGTCGTCATACACGCCACGTACTATTATGTTGTTTCTGCCGTTTGAAAACTCTCTGCGCGCATACATTATCAGTCATGAAATATGAGAGTGTCAGCTAAGTCATACCTGCTCATCCTGATCAAGTACGCTATGCTGGAAGCTACTTTCGCTGCAGCGAGTCGGGTGTGAATGAGCTCCCGATGGTGGTGCTACCGCTGTCAGTGGATCCATACCATCCGCCTGAGCTTCTCGATGTGTATTGTCGGGACTTGGGTGGTCCAACAAGGGGGGCACTGATCAGGGTTAGCCAGTAGTCAGGTTGATATAGTGCAAATGTATCTTACCAGATGTGGGTTGCGGCCGCTTCGGAGCGGTTCGACGCCGTTGCTTCATTTCAGAAAAATGGCACTGTACTCCTTTACTCTACGTTGCGTCAGCCAGATTGGGTACAGAGCACAAAGATACTTACATCGCAGCGTATGCAGGTTTCGTCGGAGAAGTGGCGTTCTGGGGACAATTAGCCGCTTCGAAGGCTGCTTCTAGAGTTGTCAGGTATACGCACTGAGGCACCGCAGTTTTTTCGACCTGCACAAATCGCAACTCGCTAATAATTTTGTCGAGGCCATTCTGATAAATGCAAGGCGAGCAAAAGCAGCGCCAGGCCATGGGCATGCATAGGAAGAACGCGGGGTAGAGCCAGACGTCGGCTCTCACGGCCCCTGGTCATGTCAACTTACCACACTAACCGGATCTAGCATATGTGCGCATATGGGAAATATGCCGCGCGTGGTGAAATCTGAGCTATCCAGAGCAAATTAGTGCTCCTAATAGATCGCTTAGATATGCCTATTTGTGTAATCTTATAGAATAGAATAGAAGGAAAAATAGTATATAATTTATTAACTATTTTCTATAAGTATGTATACAAGTATATCCTATAACTAGATTTTAGCAAGTAAGCAAATATAGACCTTTCTTATACTACAGAAAGTTGCCCCTAGCTAGTATTCGCTGCCACATACAAAAGCCCCACAAATCCGTCAACAGGTCACGGTAATCACGTGCCCTTATCTTGACGTCGGGAGCAGTTAAGACCCTCTTTCTGCGGAGGTGGGGCCTGCCAAGGGAGCGTCTGAGATAACACTGCAGTGGTCATGGTCAAGTTTCCATAACGCTTTAGAAACCGCTTACAGTACATACTAGAAGCTCAAAAATATGTATAAAAACATGCAATTTGGTCTAATAGTCTGCCTTCGAATGTTCGCTAAATAGGGACCTCTTTATCTCTCTCTACATTTCTCCCTTAATAGTCTGGTGTTGTCACGGTGCCAATGTTAGATTGACTGGTGCACGATTTATTGGACCAACTAATACTCCAATCAGCTAGGATATAACCGCGTATGCTCATGTAGCTCTTTGAGCTACGTCCTGTATCTGACCTGTACCTATATATACTGTGACTGTAGTAGTTCTGAATCAATTCCTAATCTCTGCTTCCAGACCCTGCACCCCCGACAGGTGTCTCCAATCAACCTTAAACCCGACGGTGCCAGAAATCTCACTACGAGCTTGATTAGCCCCGGTCGCTACGTTAGTCCTAGCGATCAAATATATCCAGCGTGGAGAAGATAGCATGCTTCTTCCTTCATTCGGCGAAGTCAGCGAAATGTACAAAGATACGTAGTGGGATACAGGCACGGATGTGACTAGGAAAGGGAAAGTGATTTTGTCAATGTTGTTTTTTTATAAACGCTAAAATCAAATTAAATCGAATAATTCACGGGCCTCAAGATCTAGGCCTCTCATCATCTGAAACAAATTTTTAACTTATGTAATTTTTTAAACCTAACTTCTCAGGCTGAAACGCAGTTGTGTTGCATGCTGAGTCGTTTTGCCGTCAAATCCAATAAGGACGCCACCAAATGCCACTATCGAAGGGTCGCCACTTTCGTCCTCCTTCGTTCAGGAAGGGCATGGGGAAAGGAAGGGTTTAATGTTCAATTCGTTGATTAATTCTCCAGACAAAGTGGCCACTTGGAGCTTCAGAGGACCCATTTATCTTGAAATTTAAGAACTCCTGTAGTAGACTCGATCTCAAACTCGCTGAATCGCACTTGGAGTGGAGCTCCATGGCTGGCACCATCCAGATCTGGCCGTGCCGCATAAACACCTACCCAAACCTCAGAATCCATGTCGGCGATATCGTCAAAGCACCACGGGACAGTTCTGATCAATGTCTTTTCAACATTTGCTCCGTCGCGTTCAACCACAAACGCGCCAAGGAGAGGACCATGACGAACCATTTCCACACTGACAGTGACTGTTCGCGCAAATCTGTCGGGTACTGGCCACAGACTCCAGTCCGGTATCGTGTGGTTTGATCCGGAGACAGCATACCTCATCCTGTCCTGGAAAACCTCGGGGCCAATTTTCACAAACCCGGGACTTGTTTCGGCATCGCCTTCATTTGTGGAGGTTGGGTTTGGTAGCTTAGCATGTGGACGCAAGAAGAGAAGTCCTGCCTGGTCAAACTCGACGAATGAGTTGGAATTGAACGTGATTGTTACTGAGGCACGCTTGAACTGCCCGGCCGGCATCGACAGTTTGTAAATGGGCGCCGTGAATTGGAATGGACGCGCCTTATCGGGAATGGCTGGCTTGTAGAGAATATCGGTTTTCGGTGGACATAAGATTTCCAGGTTGTGAGACTGCGTCTCGTGATTGACAGCTATCAAGTCGCGATGAGAAACCATTTTTTGTGGACATTGGCTCTGCCTCCGAGGACGGCGCGCGGCAATACTTAAGTATTCTATCAGAAACTCAGAACTGGGAATGGAGACACTCTTTGTTGTGACATTTTATGGAGTTATAATACGGATGTCGAACTCGTGCAGTCTCGGAATTCGGCATATCTGACTCGTTGTGCCGTAGAAGCCTGATTCTGTCGGTAACACCGAGGACACATAAACCCGATGTCTCCAACGTATCGTCCGAGCTTAACCGAATAACTTGCTTCCTGGTAGGGGACTCGGTGGAATTTCTGAAACCTTAGATATTCAACAAGTTCTGGCATGATTGAAGCTGGATTCTCTGGTGTGTCGCCTGTGACGAACTTCATAAGGAATTCCGTGACTTGGAGTCCGAAATAAATTTGTTTGCCCAATCGTTTTGCCCAGAAGTTAAGATACATTTGTGACCAGAGGAGACCGGATTTTAGGATTCCCACTTCGACCGTCGGTGCGTCTTCTCGGTAATGACTGCTCAAGTAAGTAGCCCATCGGATTTTCCGTGCTCTTCCTGCCATTCCCCTCCGTTCAGGTGGTTGTGTTTTATGTTTCCTGGCCAACCAAGTATTAAACATAAAGTTCTACTCTAATAAAAAGTATACGAAGGAGTAAAGTCCTTTGAGAATTTATTTTTACATTAATTCGAAAACGGCAGGGGTTACAAAGATGGCTATTCCAGATTTCGACGTCGACTCGATCCTGCAACAACTGACTCTCCCTGAGAAAATCTCTCTCGTAAGTGGGCGAGATTTCTGGCACACCACGAGCGTGCCACGGTTGAAAATCCCTGCTATACGACTATCAGATGGAGCTACAGGAGTACGAGGAATCAAGTTTTTCAATGGAACTCCTGCAGCCTGTCTTCCCTGCGGTAAGAATTCGCTCAATCTAGCGGCTTGATTTTAACAATGAACTAATATCGGTGCAAAGGCACTGCTCTTGGAGCAACCTGGGATCCGGAGCTGATCGAAAAGGGGGGTGCACTTCAGGCACGCGAGGGCATTTTGAAAGGGGCCTCTGTGGTGCTGGGGCCTACGACCAATATCCAAAGATCGCCACTTGGAGGTCGAGGGTTTGAATCCTTCAGCGAGGACCCCTTTCTTGCTGGAACTTTAGCCGCTGCAACGATCAAGGGTCTCCAGTCCAATGGCGTTGCAGCCTCTTTAAAGCATTTTGCCTGTAACGACCAAGAGGATCACCGTATGTCTGTGAATGCAATTGTCACTGAGAGAGCTCTCCGTGAGATTTACTTGATGCCGTTTCAGGTGGTGCAGCAGATCTATCCTCCATGGACCTACATGGCGTCATATAACAAAGTTAACGGAGTACACTCGACTGAAAATATACATCTGTTGAAGGAGGTTCTTCGAGAAGAATGGGGATTTGACGGGCTTGTGATGTCAGATTGGTTCGCCACGTATTCGGCCGACAAGGCCATCCTTGCTGGTCTTGATCTAGAAATGCCGGGGCCCAGTTACGCCAGGGGTGCGGCTCTGCGCCACAGCATACTCCCAGGAAAGGTGAAAGAGTATGAACTCGATGCGTGCGTACGACAAGTGCTTCGACTCATCAAAAGAGTGCTTCCGTTAGGCATCGAAGAAGATGCCGAGGAAAGGACAGACTCCAATCCCGATACTTCAAAGCTCCTTCGGTCTATTGCAGCTGAATCTATTGTGTTGCTGAAGAACGAGAATGCCGTCCTTCCCTTCTGTCCAGACAAGTTCACCGCGGTTATTGGTCCAAACGCAGACTTTGCTGCCTTCTCCGGTGGTGGCTCCACCATGATGACTCCGTATTACACAGTATCGCCTTTAGAGGGGATCATGTCTGAGTGCAAACAAGTTGGATATTCTCTCGGATGCGGCGGATGGAACAAATTACCAGCGCTCTCTAGACTTACAAAGACAAAAAGTGGACTACAAGGTCTGACGATGGCTGTGCACCTTGAACCTTCCACTAGAGAAAAGAGAGAGTTGCTGGAAGTGATCCACGTCTCAGATTCAGTGATGGACTTCTGTGATTACAAGCACAAAAGCATGGGCGATGACTATCTCTTCTACGCCGACTTCCGGGGAACTTTAATCCCGGAAGAATCTGCAAATTATCAATTTAGCTGCTCAGTTCTCGGCACAGCCCGTGTCTTCGTCGACGATCAGCTTCTTATCGATAATGCAACGAACCAAGTCAGAGGCGATACCTTCTTTGCGACCGGAACACGGGAAGAATTCAACACCATCTTTTTAGAGAAAGGACGCGCCTATGAAATTTACGTTGACTTTGGTTCCATCGCGACCTACACACTTGAAGTAGCCTCTACTGCTCCATTTGGTGGAGGTGGCCTACGTTTAGGTTGTACCAGGGTATTTGATCCACAGGGAGAGATCCAGAAAGCAGTTGCGCTTGCCAAAGCGGCCGAACAAGTTGTGCTCTGCATCGGACTGAACGGCGAGTGGGAATCCGAAGGATTTGACCGAGACAACATGGATCTTCCTGGGTATACTGATGAACTTGTTCGGGCCGTAGCTCAAGTCAATCCCAACACTGCGGTGATTGTGCAGTCTGGTACGCCAGTCACCATGCCGTGGGTAGATCAAGTACCAGCCATCTTACAAGCTTGGTACGGGGGAAATGAGACTGGAAATGGAATTGCTGATGTAATATTTGGAAAGAAAAACCCGGCTGCCAAATTACCACTGAGCTTCCCTTCTCGTCTCGAAGATAATCCGTCATTTATCAATTTTGGAAACCAAGGTGGCAGGGTTCTCTACGGCGAGGATGTTTTTGTTGGATATCGGTATTATGAAAAGTCTAAGACACCGGTGGCCTTTCCTTTTGGTCATGGACTTAGCTACACCTCGTTTCACTTCGAGACACTACAAGTCAAAAACGACGGCGAGTCTTTCCTCATATCTGTCGACGTAGCAAATACGGGTGTGGCGGATGGCGCACAGGTTATACAGGTTTACGTTGCGCATATCGACCCTTTGATCCCACGACCATTGAAAGAACTAAAGGGCTTCAAGAAAGTATTCATTCCGGTGGGCGAGTCTAGAGTAGTAGATATACGGGTGTCAGTTAGGCATGCTACTAGCTTCTGGGACGAGGATAGAAACATGTGGCTAAGTGCCAAGGGAGACTATCAACTTCTTGTGGGCGACTCGAGCGCAAATACACCTCTATGTCATCAAGTGACTGTAGAGGAAAATAGCTGGTGGAAAGGATTGTGTAATTAGCTAACTTTGTTCTGAAATATCTAGGAATGCGGCGCCTGCACGAAAACGTCATCAAAAGTAAAGCAATAGAGATAGAATCTTTCAAGCGGATCATACCTGGTACTCACGAAGGTAGGACTAGAGGTGTATCTACTTTCCAGGCAATTTGTCTAATATTACGATTGACAACTTATCCCTCAGTGGGCTTTGATAGACCAGTAAATACTGTTGGGAATATCACCTCACATCACATAATCACCTTTGCCAGCTATTTACATCCATACTAGATCATCGAGTATGCGCGCAGCTTTTTGGTCTAGTTGGTCAAAAGCCCAACAAATACCCCTATTAATTAGTATGTCCCAAAGGGATACAAAGACGAGACAGAAAATTAAATACCAACCACAAACGAATCCCAAGACCGAATTGATAGTCCGATTTACCTCTTGCTGGGATCTAGAAATTACCAGAGATCCCTACAATGTCTTGACTCGCTACTATCTCTGTGGTCCATAGAGATTCACCGTAATTCGAATCAAAAACCAACTACTTTGTAGATAGTGGTTGATTAGCGCGTTCGGACTTCTGGTAAGTTCAACGCTAATCTAGTGATTGGTTCAACGAAAAATCCGAGTGCAAGATCCTAGCTCTTTCGGAATTCACCAGCAGTGATGGTTTTCGACATAGTGAAGCCAATTGCAACGGAAACACCGAAAACCGGCAGAACCAACTTCGTGCATGGGCCATCTTGATAACCACGCGGCTTGTAATAACATGCCGCAGATAACAAGCCCAGATTCTCTCCAGAGGCTGGGGTATTTGAGGAGAGGCTGCGGTCTCGACCATGGCCAAAGAAAATTGCCTGTCAATCCGCCTTGGGCTTCCTTTGATTCCGAAATATTAGACACAAAGAACCGAATATGGCCCCTTCAACGGTACAAGAGCCGGAAGCTCACCCCAGCACGGTGATGGCTGTAGTTGGAGCTACGAGACGTCCATGGTATACCCAACCTCACTTGATGCAGCTTTATTTCTCCTTGACCTCCTTGATCTTGTTCAGCTCCACCAACGGATACGATGGTTCCGTAGGTGGTAGTCAACTTGCCTTGCCCCAGTGGAATGAGTTTATGGGGTATCCTGTAGGGGACTGGCTCGGCTTCATTAACACTCTGTACGGGTTGGCCACCATCGCCATTTATCCCTTCTGCGCCTGGACTTGCAACAATTGGGGCCGCAAATGGGGAATTTGGATGGGTTACGTTACCCTGGCCATTGGCACCGCTATGCAGACTGCGTAAGTATTAGCAAATCCTTCGTGTATACAAAGAAAAAGACTTCAATTTACTAATCTATCGACGATATCAACAACAGTGCCCCGAACCCTGGAACCTGGATCGCATCCAAAGTCTTCTTTGGTTTCTCTGTCGCAGCATACGGAACAAGCGCACCACTCCTGGTAATTGAAAATGCGTACCCTGGCGAGCAGGGCATCTGGGCAGCCCTGTTCAACTGTGGGTGGAACCTGGGAGGCATCATTGCTGCGTGGACTGTGTTCGGCACGCAAAACTATACATCCTCTTGGTCGTGGCGTCTCCCCGGACTTCTACAATGCTTACTGCCCGTTGTCGCCTTACCTGGTTTTTTGATGACATTGGAGTCTCCACGTTGGCTAGTATCCGTTGACCGTCTGGAGGAAGCACGAACCGTTCTGGCAAAGCTACATACAGGAGGTGATACGACCGACCCTCTGGTCGATGCAGAGATGGCAGAGATCACTCAGACCTTACGGCTTGAAAAGGAAGCGGCTACATCTACATCATACATAGACATGATTAGGACGCCTGGTAATCGTCAACGCACCATGATTTCTGTCACGCTTGGTGCATACGGCCAGCTTGTGGGCAATAACGTTATTTCGTATTACCTACCTCTGGTCTTGGACACTGTAGGGATCACAAATGTTACCGACCAGACCTTGATCAATGGCTGCTTACAAATTTGGAATCTACTGTGGTCGGTTGCGGCATCCTTCGCTGTGGATCGAGTGGGACGACGTGTGCTGTTCCTCACATCCACCATCACCATGCTCATTTCGTACATCCTAGTCACTGGTCTTTCCGGCTCATTTGCCAACTCTGGATCCCACGCGGTCGGCATCGCTGCCATCCCAATGATTTTCGTCTACTTTGCTGGGTACGATATCGCACTGGTGCCGCTGATCATCTCGTATCCCTGCGAGATCTGGCCCTACGCTATGCGCGCTAGGGGCTTGACGATCTCACAGATATCAGCATCCGTATTTGGTGTTGCACAAACATTCATCAATCCAATTGGCCTCCAAAACATCGGCTGGAAGTTTTATTGCGTCTTTATCGTCTTCATAGCCATGATATTGGTTAACGTTTACTTTGGCTACCCCGAAACTAAAGGTGCCACCCTTGAGCGAATGGCATTACTTTTTGACAGCGACGATGCCGCTATTGAGAGTATCGATTCTAAGCTCCAGGTGGAAACCGTGGAGAAGGGTGATATTACCAAAGTTTCGGTGGAAGCTGTTTAGATGCTCAGGGCTTGGAATCTGAGCCTTGCCCAAAATTTTGCGCAAAGTTCTGTGTCCTGTTGTAGGCACATGCTTGAACTATCATCATATTTCATAGGTTTTAATTACTTCTGTTGCGTGCAAACATACTATGTATTACTGGGTTGTGAGCTACTCCCACGTATCTAGGTATTTGAACTACTTTTTATCATTATACCATAAAGATGCCATAGCGACCTTGAGTAAAGATCCTCCCATATTTAAATTCTTATTTTGAGAAATCAATAGAGAAATTAATACTAAATAGATTTTTATAAAACGTAAGATGCTAGATAAATGCTATAAGCTGACCTCATGAGAATGTTCGAGTGACAACTGCGCTATCTGCCAAATCCTGGCAAACCCGAATATGAGGCTATTCCCAGATCCCGAATGCTTGCGCTACAGCGCCTATCCGGAGTCATACGATATCAGGCAACCCCGGGTTCCCGGAAGAAGCTTGTTGGAAGCTCCTAATTCCCCTTGCCCATATAAAATTGGATACGTGTGAAGAATTTGTTGTTTCTTTTCTCTTTCCTTTCCTCATGTTACGTTTTCTATTCAAACATGCCCTTATAGCGAGCATTAGGCGGCACTAGCCCGTAACAATAAATGATTGTTGTGGCGGCTTAGATGATAGGTAAACGTAGGGCTAACCCTATTTATAACAACCAACAGACCTGACAGACTCGATACAGTGTGTATCGTTATCATACCTTACCAGCATGGCGGGGAAAGCGTGGATACTTCAGCTGGCCATGGTCAATCAAGAAACCATGAAACTGTGAATGTGCTCAAGCCAATATTCTATTGGGTAGCTGTACGACGAGAAAACTAAGCATGGAGATAGAAAGAAGTCTAGGATCTAGCTGGGGGTTTGGAGGCGTATAAATAGACAACCAACACAAAGACCCAACCAGAAATACACTGAATGTCTCCCATGACTAGATACACAGATTCGACATGTAAAGGTCGTAGAGTATTGGACATGACAGATCACAAAGCCGTCATAGCAACAACATGGAAACCTATATATATAAACAAAAGATACAGCAACAGCAGAGGAGATAGGTTTCAGTACATTGACATTCCATACCCTACCTCGTGTGTGCCTTCAGTGATCCCTCTCAAACATAATTATACATATCCCTCGTTCATTGTAATTAATATCGATGTTGAACTAATATTAAAAGCCTTTATATTCTAAAACTTAGTGACACCAGTTAACTAGTATATTTGTATCACTTGTTTCATAGTTGATTATCCAATCACCATTATCTGGAAAAAAACTAATAAGGGTCTGAACTGATGTCTTGCTATTAAGGAAATTATCTCGCAGCTTGCTTTTCTTATTGTAGATATCTCCTGGATTGATAATCGATTCGGGATTATCTTTATAGAGGGTTGATAAGATTTGATTCGTTGATATTTTCGAATCTAAATAAGACTTGATTTGAGTCTCCTTGGATTCTATGTCTTCATGGTGTAACGAAGCAAGTGTTGATCCAGTTGCTGAATGATGATTATGCCTTTGATCTGTGAGATCAAGGCGCTAGCAATCTGCATGCTTATCATGGCGTAAGATAAGTCTAAATGGGCATCCTATACACTGTGTGCTTGTCTCTCTGACATGTGTCTTTTCGTTGGTACGCTCACGATATACTCCTCCGCGGCTGCACTGAAGGTAAACTCGGTGAATAGGGCCACCTTCTTTTGGTGTTTTGGATTTCTTTGTGACTAATGTATATCTATAAGTCTTGGTGAAGCTATTAAGGAATTTCATAGCAGCATCTTGGGTCTCGAAAGTCTGGTCAGTTGAAGGAGCAGGGGGTTTGAGTATGTGGTTCGCAGGGCTCTTCAGAAGGTGATGGCTCAGGTAATAGCTCAGCGCCATTCTCTGAGCTTTCGTAATCGACGAGACGTGATGTCATGGTGAATGGCTATATTGATATAGCTGAATGTCTCTACTTAGTAGTAGAAGAGAAGAATGAGGCTACTTCTATATATGTGTGCTCAAGCGAGTCCTAATACGGCACTGCCGTCCTAAATGGGTAATCGCATGTCACCAGGAAATTCCATGAGGCTAGTCCTGTCAATAGGGCCTAACCCTAAGCTGCTAGAAATGAGCATACAGGGATCAGGATTGCTAGCGAACGTAGCAGTGTAACAGTACAACAGGGTCGCTGTGACGAGTCACACCAACTAAATAGACATATACATTTCCTAGTTCTCTATCTCTCTATTCCAGCTCTGTAGTGTGATAACACTCAAACTTCTGCTGTTCAAAAGGTAACTATCTCGACGAAAAACTAAGCTTGAGAAAGAAAAGAAGGAAAACAGCTATCTGCGGCTCTCAGCTACGCTTTTATATGTGCACTCTGCTTCCCGTCGGAGCCCAATGAGGAAACCGTGAAGACAAAGGGATATTCTGTTCAACGGTTCCTAGGGCTTACGGCTCCGACGAGGAGCCGCGGCAGTTACTGAGCCAACTCCGCAGCCAGCGCTGTGACAAGTAGTTACGACTTAAAGACAGGGAATCAGAAGTTAACTAGGTGAAAGTTTAATTCACTCTAACAAGACGATTTATAGAGAAGAAAAGAAAAGCAAGATCAACATAGGCTTCATGAGTCATACGACTGAACTAAAAGACAAATTCTGCATAGAAACAATGAAAATTTCCAACAAAAGGTAATGTAATAAATCAAAGAGCACAACTGACAATGACTGGCTTTACTCAATAGTGTGCCTTTTGCTGGAATCCTCATCTATATACCCTGACCCTAATCCCTAAGCCCTGACACTAGTCCGTTCTCCATTCTAAAACGTCGGAACCTGCGAGCCTCGAGGGCGCGTTTTGAGTTACATGATCATTGCGCTAAACCTCTTTTAGAGGGGATGTAGCCTGATTGAGCCAACGGGGTGTGGATTAAACAAAAGGGGGCGTGTATGGATCTAATAGGGGTGTGGTTGTATCACCACTCTTTTGTTAAGGATTCAGAGGAAGATCTGTGATTCCAAGGATCATGAGCAGTAATGCAGATATCAGTTGTACGTTTCCCTTTGGGATTGATGGAATCTTGATGGAGCGTTCTCAACGTTCTTGTTCTCTTGTCTGTTGTATCTATCTAGGGGGAAACTATCTCAGGGTGAAGTCTCGTATCCCATACGGATAAATATCGGTCCGAATATCACATGACCTTTACATCTTTGAATATTTTAAGTGTTAAGCCCATATGCGCGTTGAGCCCCCCAGTCTGAATAGGGTGCAGGGAGGTGAAGTGATGAGTAGCTGGAAACCGCGGCCGTCGGTCTCGGTGAGAGGCGGTTTCATTGAAATGATATCGGACTTTCCGAAACACCACTTCTCGGTCCTTGGCACAAGATGGCACTAAGCAATCAACTTCTCAACGAGATTGACCAGTGAACACCAAGTATTTACTCATTCTATAAGGGGGGCCTTCATGGCTCCTCCAGCGCAAGTTGTTTTGAGTTCTATCACAAATTTTCCAAGTTACCATCACCTTCTTGGCTATACAAAAACCATTCATAGTAGAGATGGGCAGCATTGACCTTCAGCCTACAAGGGTTGCGCCCTCTAACCCCCAGGCATACGTTGTGCCAGAGGTTCCACTAGGCACGAAGCGGCCTATGAGGGTAGTCTGCATTGGTGCTGGTGCAACTGGACTTAATCTTGCTTATCAAATCCCGAGGCACCTTTCGAATATTGACTTTCAAATCTATGAGAAGAATGAAGCAATTGGGGGAACTTGGCTGGAGAACCGGTTAGTTATTATGGCTCTTAATCATGGCCATTCTCGGTTTGCCATCATTTTCTGACAGTTGTATCCATGTAGTTACCCTGGTGTCGCCTGTGATATTCCTTCGCACCTGTACCAGTTCCTCTGGGCTCTTAACCCTAATTGGAGCGAATTGTACGTGATTGCCCTGTGAAATTTATTGACAACTTGACAGAAATTTCCGTGAAGCTGGCTTACGCTGACTCTTGATGTATAGCTATTCGTCGGGACGAGAGATTTTACAATATCTCAAAGATGTCGCCAAGAAATTTGATCTTGAGCGTTTTGTTAAACTTGACCATAAGGTCACTGAGGCACAATGGGATGAAGACACGGGCACCTGGAAGCTAAAGATTCAAAATATGGTGACTGGTGAAGAGATTCGGGACTCGTGTCACTTTCTTGTGAATGGATCTGGGTTTTTAAAGTGAGTTTCACTGCAACACCGACCTCACCCAGCTTTTCTTGTGCACTTTTCAACTTTCTTTGACTCTACAATTATTATTTTACTGACGTTTACCATCCAAGCCACTGGGAATGGCCTGAAATTCCCGGTCTCAAGGATTTCAAGGGCCCCGTCCTGCACTCGGCTAGCTGGGATCCAAATGTTGACTGCAAAGGGAAGAGGGTAGCGGTGATTGGTAATGGATCTTCAGGCATCCAACTAGTGACAGCCCTGCAGCCAGGTTTGTTGTTGTCTATATTTATTGTCTAGGATTTAACTTGCGGACAGAATGCTAATTCCAACATGATTAGAGGCTGAACAATTGACAACATTCATCAGAGCGCCAACTTGGATTTCGACTTCCTACGCGCAGGAGTGGGCGGGTCCAAATGGAGTCAACTTCAAGTGTGAGCAATTTCCCATCGTCTATTTGATCATTCAATGGGTATAACAGTGAGAACTAACTACGAAATAGATTCGGATGAGCAGATAGCCAAGTTCGAAGGGGATGCCGCTGAGTTCTTGGCCTATCGTAAAGCTATGGAGAATGATATGAACTCTCACTTTGTTTTGGTAACACTTGAATTTCCAAATTCCTTGAACTTCCTTTCGTTTTTGTACTAAACAAAATTCCATCTCTAGGCAATCGCGGATTCGCCGCAGCAGGCCATAGCAAAGACCTACCTAGCCGAGTTAATGCGTCAACGATTAGGCCCGGACTTCGCCTTAACGGAAAAGTTGATTCCTGAGTTTGGCTTCGGGTGTCGGTGAGTAACCCTACTATCAGAAACATATTGTTCCATTTCTAACTATTTGTCTTTCTTAGCCGTCCGACGCCTGGCTCCGGATACTTGGAAGCTCTGAGCCAGAAAAATGTCCGAGTTGTTATGGACCCTATCGACAAGATTGTTGAAGACGGCATTCGAACCAAATCAGGGGAACTTATTCCTCTGGATATCGTCGTCTGTGCAACTGGATTCAACGTGTCATGGCTGCCACGATTTCCTATTATTGGGCGAGGCGGTATTGACATGCGGGATCAGTGGAGCAAGCGACCCTTGAGCTACCTGTCTTTTGGTGTTGCAAACTTCCCAAACTACGCGCGTAAGTCTTTTTTTATTGTAGTTGGTGTTCTCTATTTTGACCTAACCATCGCTTAGTCTTCATGGGACCCAACTCTCCGCTCTCGCACGGATCTGCTATGCCTTCCATTGAGCACATAGCGAAATACGTAATTCGACTTATCCATAAGATGCAGACACAGAACTACAAGGCAGTTGAGCCAACGGAGCAAGCCGTGAACGAGTTTATCAACCATGCCGATTTATTCCTGCAGCGCACGGTCTGGGCTACGAAATGTCGATCGTGGCTCAAAGGAGGTGAGTGAGCCGACACAGCTTGCGTTACAAAATGATTATGCGTATGTTTGTCAGAGGCTGACACCTTTTTCTCATCCATGCAGGCAAAGAAGTTGGAGTACCCCTTGTTCACCCAGGTAGCAGATTACATTGGTTTCACATGCTTTTGGAGCCGCGCTGGGAGGACTGGAAATGGACCTCTCTGCACTGCAACCGCTTTTCATACCTTGGCAACGGCTTTTCTACTATGGAGGAAGAGGGCAAGGACAAGTCGTGGTACTTGAATGATCCGGACATTGGCTATGAAGCAGTAGTGAACTGAACGATGACTGCATGTAGAGATAGAAATGATTATAGTTAGTTGTTGGACAGAATGTTATTTATCAGATAATCCAGATTTCTAATAAGATATAGAATCCAAAAGCTATCCTTAAATATATAAACCTTTATATAATATATCTAAAACTTGACTTAGGATATTATAACTCTATTTCTTAGAATAATAAGAATCTTAAATCTATTAGTTATTATATATCTTACTAAAATATTTATATAAATCTAGCTTTAGAATCTTATATACTTAAAGAGGGAGAATAAAATATATATAAATTTACTACTTGCTATATTCTATATGCATACAACCTCACTCAAGATGCTCCGCCAAAATCCTAACAATCTATTCATGGATTGTACCTATAAAACAAACTGTTGGTTGCTTCGTGCAATCGAGATGCCTGGCACTGGTATGCAGCTTAGAGAGGTCACGTATGGCTTACACGTGACCTCGTCAAGCAAGGACTATATAGACCCCGTCGGGGCCTCATTAAGACAGATAGACACAACAGAACACAGAACCGAAGAATCACCTATTGAGATTGACTCAAGTGCTTCGTACGTACGTATATGCACCTTAGTGCACCCACACAAACCGATATAAGATACCGCTCTTGGATAATTAAGGAGGGAAAGAAGTATATATTGTAAGTTAATAAAGATGAAGAAGAGAAAAGGGCTATGCAAATAACCCAAGGTCGTGAAGCAAATTAAAGATGGAGCAAGTGCCGACACTAATCAGTCAGCTTGATACCACAGATTCAATCCTTACTTCGACTTTCAATTCACTTGAAGGATTCTCTAACGATATTCTGCCGCTGGAAGGCGACTTTAATTCTAGAAAGGCTGTGTTCGACTATGTCAATTCCTGGGCGAAGCCTTGAGGCTATGCTTTTACAACTGGTAAATCCTCGAAGATACCTAATGGCCGAGTAAAGGTCTTCTTCGCATGCGACAGAAATAAGGCTCCTCCTAGTCCATCATTTAACTGAAGGCGCAGAACAACGAGCCAACGCACGAATTGTTTATTCTTAGTGGTGGCTAGGGAGTCTTTGGATAGGATTACTTGGGTATTAAGATATCGGTCTGATCCTAAATTCTGTGAACATAACTATCTGCTATCTACCAAACCTTCAGTACACTGAACACACCGTCAGCTTCTAGACGAGGATGCTAATGTAATTGCTAACCTGACAATAGTAGGAGTTCCTCCTTGAGAAATCCAGACTTACATCTGTCAGACTTTCAATACTCTAACAACCCAGCAAGACATCTACAACCTTGAAGCATCAACACAACGAAAACTCGTCTAGGGACAAAGCAGCATCCAAGCAGCATCCAAGCCCTAGTTAATCAACTCAATGATGAGGGTTTTTGGAGCCATGTTCAAGTGGATGCAAATAACCGGCTAACTGCCATCTTCTTTGCCCATCCAGATTCAGTAATATATCTACAGCAAAATCTGGATATCCTGATACTGGATTGCACGTATAAAACAAACAAGTATGGACTCCCACTTCTTGATATGATTGGAGTGGACTGTTGCCAGCGATCCTTCTGTATTGCGTTTGCCTTTCTCTCCAGTGAAGTAGAAGAGCAATACACGTGGGCACTGACTCAGCTCAAATCACTCTATTAGGGTGTACTCCCGTTCATCATTCTAACTGATCGCTACATGACAGTAATGAATGCTATTGAAAGCTCTTTCTCAATGTTAAGAATTTGCTTTGTCTCTGGCATGCTAATAAAGTGGTGATACACCACTGCCAGCTATCCTTTAGAGTGAAAAGAGGACAAGCAATCTAGGTAGAGGAAAATCTATGGAAAGAGTTCTATACGGGATGGTATGCGATTGTCGCGTCCAACACAGAACTGGTGTTTAAGCAACGCTTCACTGATTTTTAGCTTAATTATGCGCAGCATCAAAACTGCCTTAAGCCGCTTCGATATATTAAAGATGAATGGTTAAATATGTATAAAGAAAAGATTGTAAAGGCCTGGATGGATCAGCATCTTCACTTTGGCAATGTTGCTACTTCCAGGTAACTTTTAAATTTATACAAGTAGCGCTGGTACTAATACAATAGTCTCTAGGGTTGAGGGGATCCATGCATTAATCAAATCTCATATCAAGAAGTCTACGATTGATCTTTTTGAAGCGTGGAGGCTGATAAAACAAGCAGTTGTGAACCAAGTCAGCAAATTAAAGCATATTCAAGCCTGTCAGTGTTCCAGAATGCCACTTGATCTATCAAGCAAGGTCTTTGAGGCAGTACATAGCTTGGTATCATATCAAGCTCTGCGGAAGGTTAACGAGCAGTTGTAATTGCTCTCCAAACCATTTTTGGCTCTGTGCCGTGGGCTGTTTACTTTGTCTCTTGAGATTCCCTGTGCACATACATTAAAGAGACTCTTAGAAACACAAGAAACTCTAGTTTGCAATCACTTCTACTCTTATTGGCATCTAAAGAGATCCTAACAACCGTCTCAAGCAGCAATATTACAACCCTTTCGATTGGCAGAACTTACTAAAAAGATATCAGGTAAAGTAGCTTCCAGCACAAGACGTGAGCCCTCTAAATTTGAATTTGTCAAGGATAGAAAAAGGGCTTCTATGAAATGTAGTAGATGCCATCAAATTGAACACAACAGGAAATCGCTGTGCTATCCCTTAAAACACTCAGATCTGATTACACTAAGCTCTTATGTAACTGCGTAATCACCATCTACTGGTTCCAGTGATACTATGCTGGCTCCTACAACCCAGATTCGCCAACCTAGTTGGTCATCCGGACAGCCAGCCTAGTTCAGGCAGCTAGCTATACAGAGCGAGAAACAGTTTGAAAATCAAACAGTCACGTCTTCTGATAGTTAGTTACTTCGTAAATCCTACTTATATAATCAAGCTAGCGCCACAAGCTCACGCTCTGCTACGACTTCGGTGGACAAATGCACCGTAGATGCCTTGTACCTAGATTGTACAGTTAATAAAAGACAGTAGAGTAGAACTAAATACATGATCAAATGAGTGTCCTTATTGTCGGTTTATCTACGTCTAGGTCGCTAGCACTAGTCACGTAGAACAGCTATTCCGACAAGCTGACGAGCCTGATCAATACGGTATAGAATTCCTGATATTGATGACTGCCCCTCAAGAGTAAGGGGGACGGGGGATAGCTAGCTACATATAATGCGTGCCGCGTTGGACTAACTGATATCCAGTGCCGAAACGCGCTAGGTTTGATATTCACGTTCCGACACTTATATACCCATTCCAGATCATATCCTGTTGGATTTATCGGGCTTATTTTGCCTCAATCTCTTGAAACTGATAGAAACCAGATTATACTGTAATTTCTCAATTGAAGGCTTGAATTTCTCTGACCAAGTTGTGCTGTTTCTAACAGGGAATTGTCCTCTATAATGAAGAATCAAAACCCCTCGCTTTAATACATGTTTCTTCCTGATTGGTAGGCCAGTTAGGCCTCGCTGAGCTGTGCACTTCACCAATAATATCTAACATATCCTTCAAATCCTTCGCTATGAAGGCTCATCATATCTTCATCGTTATAGCTCTGTTGGCTATATTTCCTGTTTAGTCCTAGCTCACGTCGGATAATCCTTTGTTCCTTGATGCATTAGTCTATCCGCGATAGGCTAATCTATTGGCAGTGACTTCTTGATTCTTGTGACAGGCTTGCTCTAGGTAAATCATCAACGCTGGATGGATCCAACCTACAGCACTTGGTGAGACATATTTTCCCTTATTGAATGGATATATATTTCGCCCTACGGCAGCCTATAGTTACTGTATTTTCGTGGTACTGTACGTCGGCGTCCAAATTCGTAATCCGTTGGAAATACATTCGACCACATATCATTATCTCTTTCTACGCGGAGCACTGATTTGGCTACTATACGCACGCTGAAGAATATTGTCCAATTAGAGGAATAGATCGATACCGGCAAGTAGATAATCCGGTGCTAAAGTTTATTTATAAGGAATCTAGCTCGAGCTGCCGAACATGCTGGGGATCTTGTTAAAAGCCTTCGTATTCTAAACTTGGTGAGACCGGTTAACTAGTTAAATTGCATATGTTCTGTTCTCTCTGCCTGTCTGAATACATGAGGTTCCAAAGCCGGGTTTATATAGATATTTTGGCGAGATGTGTAACAACTAGCAGACTTGGGGTTTTCACTGTTCCAAGGAATACGACCATGACGACTCAAGTCGAGTTTCAGGTGCACCAGGTGAAGGTTTATATGTTTGAGGATGGCTTTGGATTATACCTTGTTGGAAATCCGGATCATCTAAAAAAAATACCATTCCGTCCAACAGATCTAGCTAGGGATCTAGCGCCTCAGCTCGTCGATCAGCTCATCATATTACGGAGTATATTAAGAAGAAATTCCCTAAAGAAGCTAAAATCTACTGAATACAGGAGTATCAAGCTTTATGACTAATCAGAAGATTGCGTGATGGGACGTGTGAAGATGTAAGATTTGTACGGAGTAAACGAAGCAGCCGTAGGTGCGTACGACCTTGCAAGGTAAGTATTTCCCGGTAGATCGGAACATCCTTGGATCCGGTAAATCGGAACATCGGTACATCCAGTAATCCATACAAACCAGCCATTTTGAACGTCACAAATCTCTATATATTTATATATCTATATATAAAGAGCAGCTCAAAATGAAATATATATAATCCAAAGTTTCTTCTGGGCATTTCCAAGTATCTGTGAATATACAAGTCGCTGCCTTTCCTATCACCACTTTTTTCAACCATAATAATTACGATCAAAGACTAAAAATGCCAGTCCGGGCCGTTCTTATCCTTTATCGGAAGCCTGGCCTTTCGCCTGAACAATTCAAGACCCACTGTGAGAACCACGTTCAGCTCATCAAGCGTCTGACGGGGGACGATTCCCCTCTTTCACACCGACGGAGCTACATCGCACGCAAAGAGCTCGGCAACGACGACGACAAAAGCAAAATTACTACAACAGAGCGGAACCCCACGACACCGGCCGAGGTCGTTGTGGGCCAACAGTCTGATTTCGATTTCGATGCTTATGCGGAACTGACATTTGCGAGTCAAGAGGCTGTTCGGGCCTACAGGGCCAAGACGCAAGTGCCTGAGATTGCAGCTGAGATTGCCGCGGATGAGGAGAAATTCATGGATCGGGCGAAAATGAGCATTGCTTTCCTGGGAGATATCATTGAAAATACCAAGGCTTGATTATTTGTATGTATATATGTATACAGAATATACATCTATGGGACGATGTCTCGCCAATTATTCTCTGGCCGGTCTGTGTAATTATTTCGAGGTTGTATTGGTAGAGCAGGGGCAACACTCGTGCGCTTGTATAGGGGCGCCGAGCCTCTGTCGGAACGTTGGTTTAGAGCGATGACTAAGCGAAGGCGAGCACTAAACAATACGTATAAGGAACTAGGTCTATTTTCCGGCACTCCTCTCTAAGTCGCTATCTAGGAGATTTGAACCTGTTTTTATATACAAGATTCCATAGAAGTGATATCACCAAAAGTCGACACTTGTGTGCAAATCGAACTTTCTAGAGATAGGCTGTAAAGTTGATTTGTAATATTCAATGTCGCGTCGGAATGTGATGCCAATTCTCGAAATTTCTTGATACGCAAATCTTGTCCTATTCCCAATTCCCATCCCAAAATGGCTTAGCTCATCCTGAGTTCCAACAGCCTCGCGGTCTCTCGTTACCTTGCATACTGCCTAATTCATAGCGAGCATTGTCTGGCTCCTTCGTTGCCATACGTTTCCTCGCCAGTCTCTCGTTATCCCTCTACCTGGGAGCTAATGCAGCTGCTCACAGCGATGATCATGACCCCAGCAGTGATACTTGCCTGCCAGACTGGGATACGAGGATGGCTCATTCAACATCTAGACGGCAAACCGCAGCCTGGAGACGCTAAGCCACATTCGATAATACCACGCCGCAATCGCAAACAAGACAAACGAGGAGCTCAAGATCACCCCTTGGATCCTAGATGAGTGAGTCAGTCTTCCGCTGCCTGCTGAGGCCTGTATATCGATCATACCAATGAGATGCGCCCGCGTGCATGATGTAACTGACTTCTTCTGTATCATACATATTAGAGTAAGTAATATCATATTGGACTCCCTTAAGAAGGTCTGAGTATCTTCGTTGTTGATGATGATAGAAGTTATGGGTAGTATTAACTTCAGTTGTAGAAATATATATTTCAACACTACAGTACTTCTTATTCTCTGATAATAGATTCGCGGATTTTCTGAATGCTTTACGGACTATTTGATTTTCCATTCTTTTGTCTAAAAAGAAATCCTTTTCTTTGTCAATATACCTAGCTAGGCTATAATCCCTCCTTCGACTTTGGAAGTCTACAGTATCTTCATACTGAAATCAGAAAATCGAGGTTTTGCGGGTAACTCGCGGGCCACCCTTCAATCTTGAGGGTTTCGAGGGTCTATTTACGGGTGACCCTCAACGATCCTCGATATTCAACCAATTATAGTAGGATCATGAGAGTATGTGGGCTATAATGTGATATATCTACATTGTTTTTGTTAGCTCCGTGACCGCGATGTGATACATCTAAATCCCTGGGTTAATCACTAATTCAGCTTGCTACGAGTTACAAAATTTTCTGTTTCTTCATTTCTACTTAGGCAGCCTTTTTCTAATAACATCTCAAATGGCCCAGTTCTCTGATATTCATTCCTCTTCAGCTTATGAAGGGGATCCTCTTGATATCCTTCACTTCTCCTTTCCCAACAAGACACAATCGCATACTCCTGACACTTCAGGAAGTCCACTAACCCTCGACTTGGGGTCTGATTCCGGCTTTATTACTCCATTACCTATACCTTCTATTCCCGATATACTTACACGTGTCGGTCCTGGGCGGGCAAAAACATTCGTTCTATACTCTGATATGTCAAATGATGAGTTTGTTGCTTGGTGGTTGAACACAGAATTTGGGAAGAAGAAAAAGATTTATTGGAGTTACCAACATACAGCCAGTTGCTGGAGCCAATTCGATCAAGTGGCTAACAGTAAAACTAGTAAACCTGGTGCTATGTGTAATCAATTCCATAAGGTTCTTGAGCATCCAGCTAATTGTCGCTCTGGAACATCATTCCTTAACAAGCATATTGCTGGGCCAACTTGTCGGAAGTCTTCAAAAAAGCCAAATATAAAGCAGCTCCTAGCAAAGGCGGTATTTCCTGTCTAACTGTGATCTATACTGATGGATGTACTAATATTAGTGGATATTCTTAGGCGCATAATACACCTTCTGAACCTAAAGTCTTTACACAGGAAGTACAGTCGCACCAGAAATCTCCTTCCTAAATATACAGATATAGATTGATTTTCGAACCCTAACATAAACATAACTAATCCATATGCGGTTACTGCATCATCTTAGGTATGTTTCGAAGCTGAATAGTATAATACCATACAGAAAACCACCTCAGAAAAGTGTATTGTTATAGTACCAAAAATACGCTATTACTCCATGATGTCTCCAGCAAGACACACTAAACCACAGAAGCGCACTATTTTCCATATAGGCTGCGCTATTCTGAGAAATTGAGGACCAAATCCATCCACACTCTCTGAACAAAAGCATTGTGGGACTCATAGAGGCTGGGTTGTGGTAAAGGGGCATCCCCAAATTCTTTGAAAGTTAGGTGTCTCCAGAGGCTTTTCCAATAGGCGATGGATTCTTTTGCAGTACAGTGGTTCAAATTGACGTTCTTTGCAACCAGATAGAACGATGATTTAATAGCATGGGCCTTGGGGTGTTTATAAAGTTGTATTTCAGAAAACGCGTTGAAAGCGTGAAGTAGGCATACTGTATGGGAGCAGAAGCTTCTTCGACTTCTTGCTATATCACGTCTCCCCTTTCAGTTTATCGAGCACCCTGAGTTCCATGAGGTCATTTCCCTTGCACGACTTGCGCCAATACAGCCAGTAATCCCTTCTGCAAAGACAATCCGATCCCGGCTACGGGATTTTGTTAAAGAGCAGCAACAAGGCCTTCTTCAAAAGATCCCTCAGGATGCAAAGCTTTCTTTCGTGATAGGCTGTTGGACTTCTCCATTTCGAAGGCCTTTATGGCTGTGACAGGCTACTTTCTTGATCGGGAGTGGGAGTATCAAGAGATCCTTCTTGGCTTTGTACCACTTTCTGGGGTACACTCTGGTGTTAATCTCAGTGACGTGGTTCTTAAAATCCTTCACCAACATCAAATCACAAATCGAGTGCTTGCTATCACCACCGATAATACATCAAACAACAATACAATGATCTCAAGCATTCAAGAGTCAATCCAATCCCTTGAGCTCAATATTAACTCGAATATCATTCGGGTTCCATGTATTGCCATGTTATTCAGCTGAGTCTCAAAGATCTCCTTGGTCAAATGGAAGCAAACCCAAAGAATGAGATAGCGGAGATGCAATGGCCAGAAGACCGTATGGGACCTATTCATGCTACAGATCAGCAAAGGATGATTGTTGATACACTTAATAAGGTATGTTTATTATTTGTTGTGTTATCTTTACTTTACTAATACAGTCACTAGGTTCGAAACCTTGCTGTCTACATCAATGCTAGCCCTCAACGCCGGGAAGCGTTCTGTAACCTACAGGCTGAAGGGCCAAAGCTTGTACCTATACAGGACGTCAGAACTCCCTGGAACTCAGCCTTTTTGAGGCTCCGACGTGCTAAAAAACTCCAATCAGCATTCGATGATTTTGTTCACAGTATAACCAAGCTCATTTCACATTGAATCAAGAGGAGTGGCGTCAGATTGAATATCTTCTTTGGATCACTCAGCCCTTCTTCAAATTCACAACCCTTCATTCATCTAGTTTTTAGCATCTACAATAAGCTCTTTGGTCATCTTGAAAAGTCAATCAGTCAGCTTAAACGAAAGAAGGTTCCTTGGAAGAAGGTTATGCTGACTGCTCTTCATGCAGCAAAGAGGAAGCTTTCACAATACTATGCTATTGTTAAGGGCTGACCCCAATATCAATAGTTCGGGCTACGCCTCACGAGACCCTCATATCGGCAAATATCTGCTCCCACAAGCTGTGGATACGCTATTCCCTATTAGGCACCTACCCTATTTGAACATGAAGCTATCCCCAACACCCGAAATCTGTTCCGCAACCCCGCGTTTGAGCTAAGCGAGTTGGAACATCTCCATTCTCCCTTTGCATATAAATTTGTACGTTTGAGCGGAAGCCGTTTGTTCTCTTTCCTTTCCTTCTTTTCCTCATGTACGTTATCTACTCGAGAATGAATCTATAGTAATTCATAAGGCGGGACTGACCCGTAACACTTTACATATTATCTTGATAGCCACTACGCAGAAGATGTTTCCATTAGACAAACCGAGCAACCTTTTTGCATTCATTGTAAGTTGACCATTCCTTTGCTACGAATGTCTAAGTTGACCGGGAATGGGGAGCTGGGTGTGTGGTAGGGCTTTTTATTTTTTCTTTACCATACATCCGCCAGCGAGTATACGAGGGGTTTCTTCGAGCCCATCAGATCATGGGATGTGTTCTCCTTTATTCTATTTGGCGACATGTATAGCCCAGTGGCCTCCTCCCTAGGATTTGCAGCATCATCGCCTTCGTGTTGCTTTTCATAGCGCTGCTAGCACAACTTCTTCTGGTGATATATCGAAACGGCATCTTCTCGTCGGGTGGATTTCCTCGAGCCTTGATTTCATGTAGTCGCTTAGGGAAGGATGACTCCAACATACTTATCCAGGTCCGTATTGCGCTCACACGGCCGATGAAAACCGAAGGGGGGCAGTACATCAATTTGCGGATACCCTCGGTGAGCTGGTGGTCATGGGCTCAAGTGCCTCCATACATAGTCACCTCATGGTCTCATAGGCCTCAGGAAACGTTGGACTTGCAGATACAACCTCGACGTGGGTTCTCTGGTGATTTGCTGAAGCACGCCCTTGCTGCTTCACCGAGGTCTGCTTCGTTTCTCGCATTAATTATTGGACCACATGGCTTGAGCGAAAATGTTGATCGTTATGAGAGCGTGATGCTTGTGACAAATGGCTTTGGTATCGCAGCTGCCATTCCGTATCTCAAAAAGCTTATCTACAGCTACAATACTTCGGCTTCTCGGACGTGGAATCCGGTAAAATCATTGATGTGATGAAGTTTGGAAACCATAACCGAGCCGTCGTTTACAGTGGTTATGCAAATTACGATCAGATCCTGCGAGCGGAAATGTCCGGGGAGCTCATTGAAAGACTTCCAAACGCTCGAGAAGAGAAAAGGGAGTCACTTGTGATGGGTAAGCAACGTTCCAGGGAAATCCTATCTACTGGCTGAAAATTTCATAGTGGCAGCGTCCAACCCGGTCCGCGACCAAGTTCAAACAATTCTTCGAGACTATGTGCATCAAAAAGTGAAAATAGCTGTTCTTGAATATCAGCCTTGAGCGATCCTTATCCGTAGACGAATAATCACTACCTGTGTTTATATAAGTTAGCAAACTCAAATTACTCTATTCGATTCTAATTATTGCGACTGGCAAGTCTAAACAGAGTGCAAACTATTCAAACAGAGAGGACCAAACATCAATCTTGGCAAACGGAATACAACATCCTAATCAATTCCATTTTACCTAAGATGCTGAAGGCGACCTAGAGTATATCGAGGAGATTCTAGAAAAGCTGAACGAACATTAGAATAGAACATGCCAGCTTCTTTCATTGACAAATCCAGTAAAGTTACAGAAAGTTGAGCAATGAACAAAAGACAATCTACAAGATACAGCCATACACAGGTTCCAATGCACATTAAAAGCCATCTCTCTCACAGTTGAAAGGGAGAACAAAGGAAAAAAAAATAAAGTCGAAGGTAATGACACTCTATACTGGATTTAGGCCGCAACAGATAGTCGCAATCTCTTTGACCGACGCAGTGGAAGCTTTGTCAGGATGGCAGCGTTAGGTTCAAACAAGCGTGGGTCGATATTGGCTGCCTCAGAGCTAACGGAGGAAGCAGGAGTGTTTGTGTCCGGCTGACTATCCGATTCCAAAATGCCTGAATTATTGACAGATGAAATTTCGCTGCAGCTATCATGATGTATTGCTAAGAGATGCTGTTTTTTGATTTTGACGTCGTACGCATGCACTGTGACAGCATGGGCCAAAAACTCTGTGACTTCTCTAAATTTGGGAAGATCATGACAGGTTCCCCGTACAGCTAATCCCCTCGTGTGTATTAGCCATATGACAATCGATGAGATGGCGACGGAGAGAATCTTTCCGCTTCGGGGAAAATTTATGGGGAGGGGGATTAGATGCTGAGCGGCGAGATAAACCGCAACAGATGATGCTTCTGAATTCCCAGTTTCCTCCTCATCATCTGTATTCCAGTTAACCCTGTTGCCTCGCCGATTCGGCTCACAGAGCTTACTGAGCGCAACCAAATCTTTGGTGACCTGGATACGTCTTGCAAGCAGTTTCTCCGGTTCGAAGTTCCCTGCATCTGGCCCGTAGAAATTTTCATAGAGCTGTGCCCGCTCAGGAAAGACGTATTCGGGGACAGGAAGTTCCCAATCCTCATCGTCAGAGTTGTTGCTATCGAAGTCCTCAACATTAGCCTGATTAAGGAGTTGCTCGATCTGTCTGTCGACTTCTAGCACACGTGCACTATGAAAATAATCCTTTCTGGCTGTCTCTCGGGTACCACTGGCCAAAGCTTTTCTTAGATGAGAAAGCTCTTTCATGACTGCTTCGTGCCTCTGATAGAGGTGAGGGAAAAGCTCTTGGGCCTTTTTTATAATCCCAGCCAGGGATCGCATCTCTTCCATTAATTCTCTCTTTGCTCGTCTGAGTTCTAATATTCGAGGGTCTTGGCATATAGCACGCCGCTGCACCTCAGTAAGTTTGTAGGACGGAGCGAAAGGATCCCGTTTTCTGAGCATGCTCCCAGCAACTTGGAGGAGGCCTTCTTGAGATGGTCAGAGAAGGACCACATGCTGAAGATTGCGCTGCATAAACTGAGATTGGTAGTGTCTTTCGAAAACGCCATCACCAGACTGGCCGAGGACTCTTTGTCGCTCCTGACTGGTAAAGTTTCCTATGGAAAGCAAGTTAGAAATAAAGGTTCATGGCCAACAGTGTGATTCTGGAGGATAAGGGACATACGATTCCCTTCATTTGCGGTCCAGCGCCGATAATTGTAGTGACCGATATCATCTTCAAACTTCGCATCCCGTCCTAACTCCCGCAGCGCTTGTCGGCTGGAGTCGTATGTCATAGGCAAAGACTTGTCAAGTTCGTAGCCATACTCTGTACGGGTCACGCGCCGAAGGAGGGGTGTGTCTAATATGTCTGGTTTCCATCGCAGGAGAAGAGAAGAGAGATGTTTCGGAACTTGAAGCCGCCATATAATTTCCGGTGATAACTTAGTATTGAGGAACGCCCCATCGCGGAAGGCGTACGAGATGATTTGCACAATTGGGCAGTACGCCAGTTGATAATCCCCATGCATAAAGAATTGGGTTCTGTAGAGACGCATTAGTATCATGGGGGCCTGTGAAACACAGACAGGACCAGCTACCCATCAGTACCTTCAGGCCGCCCTTTAAGGTTGCGAAACTCGATGATAGCACAGAGGACGTCACGGTTGCCTTCTGGGTCTTTGAGAAAAAAGAGCTGAATATCGCGATAACATACTGTGTCTGGCAGATCGTTGGCCGAAACGTGTTTAGGGAGATCACTTGGGAAAGTCGAGCCCCGTTTGCGTTTGCTTAGGGACGAGTTATGAGGTAGAGAGGCTTTCTGCGGAAGGAGCACCCCTGGTCGAGTTCCAGTGATCGAAGGCCAGAGTTGGATCGTAGCAAATTGAATAATCATGCTCCCATGACGGAAAAACGTCGAATGAACCCAGTGATGGCAATAAATGACACAAAAGACATCTACGTCAAGTGTGTTTTTTTTTCTTCATGCGTCTAGAGATCTTGCGTTCAGCGGGGAACTCTTTATCGAGAAACTAAAGATTACATTAGCTCTGAATATATACAAATTAAGATGACAAACTTACTCGTCGCATCTGATCATGGACGTCGCCATTCATACGACGCCGTGCAAACAAGCTGAAGTACTGGCAAAGGTGGCGACGCCAATATTCATCGTACGATTGGAGCAGCTTCTTACGGGAAGTCTTGTACATCCAGTCAAAGAAGTTCATATAGATCGCTTTGTCCTCTAAGAGCAGATAGTTGATATATTCCTCTTTTGACCGGATGCAATATCTATTGACCGTTAGCGACTTCTAAGCTACCTTTGCAAAGATTTGATCTTACTTACTTTCGCCAATACCGCTCAACAATGGCGATCCCTTCAAGTGTCTTAGGCTTGTAGTTTTGGGGGGGGAACCATCCCAAACTTCGAAAGTATTCTAGTCTAGCTCGAGTCTCTTCGCATATAATAGGGTCCGTCCAGAACTGGTGCTCTTCGGGATTCGCAGGAGGGAGGGGTGGTGGTGCCATGGACTCAGCACGATCCGGATTCGAAGAAAAATGAGTGGAAGGAGTATGGGCTTTTGTAAGTGTTGGTTTAGCTACGTCCCGTATCACGAAGCGTAGGATATCGTAAGCTAGGGCGATCCAACTGCCCTACGTGGTGAGCCTTGCTATATAGCACGAAATGTAATATTATAAAAGACTGACCCCCGAAACTAGGGGGGGCCGGGGTGCCTAGATACATTATATGGTGTTGGTCGCTCTAGCGCACGGAGAATAGTAATCCCGACCAGTTCGCGTACGAATCGACGGCGTGCTACAGCGCCGTATAGTGATTCGTAAGATCGCTATTCAAACAGTAAGTGATTTTAGCAGCTAATGGATTGAGATTTGGAGAGAATCCTGGTTGAGGTAGGAGGATGGAGGATGGAGAATAGGAAGGGAAAGAGAAAAAAAAAAGGATGAGTGGCATCTTATATAGTGCTTGACCAGGCCAGTCGAAATTTGAAGGGCAGCTAGTGCGTGTGGGCGCAATGGAGCCATTTTCGACATCGCTATTAGGTGCCTGAGGTGAATCGGAACGGCCACTCAAACTGAGCTACGACGACGACGGCGTGGTCAGGGCGGCTAAGTAATGCTTGGCGGATGCAAAAGGCGCTTTATTGATACGAAGCACGTGAGGAGACCTTAAAGCGGCGGCTTCTCGCTGGGAGTTATTAGATAAACCGGATATCCAGCAAGACAATGTCAGATAATTCGGATATCCAGAGGCAGTAAAAGGAAGTGAACAATCAGAAGCCCTATCTTGTAGCCCCCAAAATTTACCCCTCTTGATGACTCACAAATCACCCCGCCAAAAGTGTCTATAAAAGACCTGGCTTTGAAACCTGATGGATAGAGAGAGAAGAGAACAGACATATACAATCTTGCTAGTCACTTCTTTTCTTTGATCCTGGTAAAACACTTTTCAGGATTGGCCTGGAATAAACCGACTAATCCGACAGGAGTTACGGGTGGAAATGACGCCGTAAGAGGCCTCAGTAGCGGTCATTTTCAGAGTCGATTTCACAGGTCCTCATATTCTAGTTGTAGTTTATGAAAATAATCAGAAAATTTGTGGTAAAAGCTGAAAAGAATCAGTATAAGTAGAATATCGACAAGATCATCAAGTACCTACTTAGGTTGACCAACACACCTGTGACTCACGAGTGTTAGTGGTTGCATAGATGGAACGAGTGAAGCTAATGGACGAACCGCCCCTAAAGTACCTAGAACATTTTCTGCTACGGGTTTATCCATGCTGATCAGGCATGGGGATGTCAATTCAAAAGATATAAAGTAGTGACATGGGAAATTAAGAACAAGAGAAAGCTTCGATGGTTGTGGTCGAGATAAGACCCGTTTATCGGAAGTTTTTACTGGAAATCTGATTGGCTACGGTAACGATCCGGAAATCCCAGCTTCCAAACACACAAATTGTCAATTAACGAACTCACGTCCCAAGGTTAACAGGTATCTTTTTGTTTATCCTATTCCATTAAGCTTGCGTCCGTATCGAGCGCTGTAGGCAAGGCTCGAGCGGTGCGCCGTTGGAGGAACACCACTAAGCCCTAGGGCTTAGGGGTATTCACCCTTAACGATCCCAGGGAGATATAGGTCGTCAACGGCTAATAGCATTGGGCCGGTTGGGCCTGCCTATAGGGCCCCATATAAGGATCCCGGATCGGTTTAAGCTGGTTGTGATTGCCAGATAGGCAGAAGGGCTTCGTCTGGCGGAGTAGGCCAAATGAGGGACCGAAGACAAAAATTTGTTAACTCACAGCGAAGAATAATTGACAAATCGGCCAAGATTTGGCCCCTAAGAACGGGTCCATTCCAATCTTTAGCATGGCGGGTGTTGATTTCACGAGGACCTTGCGGGTGAGGACCTTGGGGACGTAGAGACACCTTCGGCCAATGAGGCTCTCGTTCTGCTTCTAGAATCGAAGGAGATCTGGCTTAAACACGTGGTGCGGTAGCTTATTTTTGTTTTTATTTTTCAACTTTATTCCAACATCGTCCTTTGTATTCTCCTGCCCTGCGATGACCTGTATACCCTGATGTTGCGCCAGTGAAGGAACCATGCTGTGCTGCTGTCGACGACGGTGTTATCGGGGAACATATAGGCAACTATTGCTTTCCGCGATATTGCATCAGTTCTCATTCGTTTCACAGGTTGTTATGAACCTCTCAGCAGTGCTTGTGCTGCGACCTTTCCAAAAGGCGGAATCGACTTGGGAGGAGCGGACACAGATGAGAACTCCTAGTGCACAAAATCAGTCTCCAAAAATCAACATCTCATGTCTCTATGAAACTGCTGTTAAACTTGAAGTCGTTGTTGATATGGGCATGAAATGCTTTGAATCATTGCGTGGTCCCTGCTGAGGACGTCCTTCGCGAAGTTCTTGACTGTCTGGAGTGGAGATGATTTGCACCCACCAATTAGCGCCTAGGAAGTCTCGGGTTGAACCGTTGAGGAGTATGCGTCCTTTGGTGTATCGTGCCACGCTGGAGCAATAAGTAGCCGAAATTGTGCGGCCTGACCCCTTGGCTTTCCAAGGTTTTCTTTCTTGCGTTGGAAACGGACTCAACAGCACTCAAGCAACACTCAGTTTTTCCATCTTGAAGTTAGCTATGGGACTACACTTGAATCAATCCCAGCGTCTAGAGTTGGTGATTTCTATATCGCTGTGTTTCTTCATTGCAGAAATATCTGGTAACTTTCAAACATACTTTCATCCTGACCATGGATGTTCCTGACAGTTGTCAATTAGTTGGATTCTACACAAAATCTCTTGCCCTCGTCGCAGATGCCTTCCATTACGTGCGACTTCTAATTTTCCTTGTCCTATAATATTTTCAGAAGCTGATAAGCACCAGCTAAATGATCTAATCGGATTCGTCGTCGCATTTGCTGCTTTGAAGGTGGTTAACATTCTGCCAACACTTGTCCCCTAATCTAACGGAAAATCAGATCTCCGCAAAGAAAAACTCACCCCAAGACCTTTCCTTTGGCTGGCAACGCTCTCGACTCCTCGGTGCATTTTTCAACGGCGTTTTTCTTCTCGCCTTGGGTGTCAGCATTTTTCTACAATCCATCGAACGATTTGTTTCCCTCCAGCGTGAGTAGTATCTTGGTTACCAACCTCACAGTATGCTAATGCAGGAGCAGTCGTGGAACAGCCAAAGCTTGTGCTAATTATCGGCTGCGTTGGTCTTGCTCTCAACATCATCAGCGCTTCTTTCCTTCACGGTCGGTCCCTACAAACTTAATCCACGCTGGTTATCTGCTGATTTCTTTCTCCTTCCAGAACACGATCACTCCCGCAATGAGCTTCCAGGCGCCGCTGATACACCGGTGAATACAGAGGACGGGACAGGCCAGGTCAATATATACTCCAATCAGATGATATTATCTCCAACGTACTCATCTCCTCCAGGTCTTTGCAGTGCACGATAACCACCGACACAATAATCTCCAGCCAACAAAGAAAGGGTATGATCTCGGAATGCTCGGTGTTCTGATACATGTGCTTGGCGACGCTGCCAATAATGTTGGCGTCATCATCTCCGCGCTCGTAATTTGGCTCACTACATACCCGGCTCGATATTACGCGGACCCAGCTGTTAGTATGGCTATTGCGATTGTCATCCTTACAACGTCGATCCCTCTAGGTGTGTCTCCCCGGCATAATATACTCATACTGAAAGCTAAGTGGTGCGTATCTAGTGAGGAATTCAGGCAAAATCCTACTTGAAAGTGTCCCGAAGGGTATCAATCTAGGCGATATCCGACACGATCTCGAAACTGTGCGTTTCAAATCTCCTCTCCCTTACCAGACTAACTAACCATTGGCGATGAAACAAAGATCCCGGGTGTTTTGTCCGTACACGAACTCCATGTATGGCATCTTAACCAAGAGAAAGCTCTGGCATCAGTCCACGTCGCCATTTCCAACGAGACTGTTTCCGATTTTGTGCAGATAGCAAAGACCATGAATGATTGTTTCCATAGCTATGGGATTCATTCTGCTACGGTGCAGCCGGAGATGGGATCGATTCTGACCTCAGGGAGCGCGACGAGCGTTGACGGTCAGGACGACTGGTCGCAGTTGTGTCAGGTTAAATGCGGTGCTTCTTGTGAAGTGCTGACCTGCTGTGGTTAGTGCTACCTACTTATACGCAAAACATATCAAGGTATAGTCGTGAAGTTTGGATTAAAGTATTAGAGGGGTAATTCGTTCAGGTGAACGTTCGATGATGAGATTACTTAGACGGCACCGTATTAGTTGAGAAAAAAATCATCCAAGGAAGGGGACAATCAATCTAGCATTTGACGTTTCAAATGATGCCGAACCTTCAAGTTAGACAAAAATAATAGTCGGAAGGAGATTCTAGGACCCTACTACTTTAGAGCTCTAAAAAATCCACTAGAATTGAAGAGATCAAGTCAGGGGTAAACATCTATTTAGCCCTTTGATCCGTTAATCCTAGGTATTCCTATATTGGGAAACAAAAGAGAGATTAAGGAAACAGAGTAGACACGGTGGTTTCAGGGCTTTAAGGCAGGTCATCTCAACTAGAGCCAAGTCGGCCATTGCAGATTCGATGTGGTTGCATCGCTTTGTAATTCAGTGGCATACATGCAAGGTCCATGACTGTTCTGCTGAGCGGATCGAGACTTCACCGGACTTATCTTCATGATTGATAGATCCGGCGCCATCAAGATCGGTACACAGACCTTGAACATTCCCTCCTCTAGGCCCAACGTAGTGCCCAGATGAAACATGACATTGTTATGAGTCGTTGAATGTCCGCAGCTGAGTCCGTAGGCGCTTATTGACAATCGTATGTCGCTCAATAGAAGAATGTGGCCATAGATTTTGGTGCACACGAGGTAGATCTGTCGAGGCTGTGAAATCCTAGATTAATTGCTGTCCGCAAGGAAACGCCACGAACCCATGGCAATCAATACCCATCACCAGGCTTGGACTGACGTCCAGCCGCCCATGCTCGATATACCGGATCCTCACCCCTCTTGAATGCTTCCTTCTTCAACCGTGCCAACTCAGCAGTCTTTTCCTCAACTTCAGCCGTCAACAAAATACCTTGACTATCGTTTTCTGACGGTTGCGCATCTGCCAACTCATCCAAGCTCAGTCTTATACGAGCATCTTCATCCAATGCTCCATCTGCCTCTTGCCATTTCTTAAGCTCATTGTTGGCGTCACGGATCCTCCACAGTGTTTGATAATAATAATTTACTTCATTCTCTCCACCAAAACATATCCCAAATCCATCGCAAAGACAAGCGTTCTGCGATGGACAAGATACCTCCTGTCCAGTAAAAACCAAATGCCAAATATACTCCAATACCCTGCCAGACATCGTATCCCGCAGGTCGGTATTTATCAACCACTGGCGATAATGCAGAAATCTCTCACGCGGAATCGTTCGTACTCGTTCTCTCGATAGCGCAAACTGTGCACAACACGGTTGTGCGAGAACCTGGGGAATATCCATATTTGGAAAAATCTCACTCCAAGCTTTGGCTATGAGCCTTTCTTCCTTTTTGTCGAGGTCCTCATCGATTGCGCCTGGTTTGAGCCAATTGGGACATCCGGGTGACCAATAGCAACGCATGTTCATGTATCCTTCACGAGTGACTCTTTCGAGACTCAGACGACGCAGCATCTCAGCTGCGTCAAATTCAAAGATTTCTTCATTGTGCCACGCGAATTGATGCGCATGCATGAATGCCATGATATCCGGCAAGTTATCGTAGTTATCAATGATATAAGTCAAATAAACCATGGCTTCATGTCCTTTATTTTTCGGTGGATGTAACGGCGCTCTGGGATCATCGACCACGTATATGGACACATCCCAACCGGAGCCATTGAGTTTCGTCTCAGTCCATGTAGTATTTTCCTCCTTTGTTTTCGCCATAACCAATGTCTTGGAGTAAGGCGATCCTTGCTTCTTGGGAATACCAGACACAAATTCACTGATATTGAATGGTGGTGCAGACCCATCCGGCATATAATAAGAGGCTGCTGAAGATGGTCTTGAGTGAATGACATCTCCTAATCCCACTTTTTGGGGTATGCTACGCCATTTGTCACCGGAGAAGAAAAGATGCCATGCTGCAAGAATGAGTGTAAAGGTGCAGACTGAGATCCCTAGCCCGGGAAGAGCGTAGTTTGACCGATGCATAGGGTAGGTTAGGTATATCGAGGAACGTTGTGAGAATGTATCATTGAACGGCGAATGCTGGGATAAACATTTCTATTAGTCCAACAAGTACCGTAGGTGATTTTTATCGAGCCATACGCTAAAGTAAAGTGAGAACGACGATGTCAAGCATCTATGATTCTATGCGCGTCGTCATCAAGGGAAAAGGGGCTAGCACGAACACAGCCACGTGCTAATCCGAGATTGTCTTAGCTTCTCCGCCGGTCTCCGTTTGCAGGGCTTATTATTTTAACTTCTTCTCCAACATACACAAAAAACTTCTCAAGGTATTGACAATTGCTAATCAAGTACTATTAGCTGATATGCGCGTGTTGGAAGTCCCTAAGCTTTTTGGAGAGTCTGCCTGAGCGCCCTCGGCGAAACACTAACCACCTTACCCGTACCAGTGTCCAACTCGAACAGAAACTCATCAACACCAACATTTCCATACTTGTAAGAATCCACGAACTCCCAAGAGATCGATGATCCCGTGACAGGGCCAATGAATTTGTTGGAAGTTGTTGGAGAGCCAAACACGGCCCGAAAAGATTGCATTAGACATGACCCGTCTCGCTTCTGCTGTAAAGCTGTTGGATAAAGCCGGACCTCGAGGCTATCACTCCCAGTCAAAGCTTCGGCAACTTGGAGCATATCTTGCGAATCACTGACCCATTGCGTTACTTTGAGTCCGGGTCCGTTATCCATACTGATCACTAACGACGAATTCTTTTTATCCGTCCCTTGCCCACTATAGACTCCTGTATAAATCTGTCTAGCTTTCTCTCTCGCCGCCAACTCTAACGCAGGAATCAACGACTGAGCAACAGCATCTGTTAACGCTGCAACGAGTTCCGTAGTCCCTGGGCCAGCCGCAAGAATGGTGAATCCAATATTGTAGTCCGGTAAAAGAGCCGTCATAGACGAATAAGCGCCCAAGTCACCGGATTTAGTGTAGAGATCGACTGTACGTCCATCGACATTCTCGAAAGAGTATATTTCCCATGGTGCGCCGACGGAATAGGAGGGAGATGCTGTGTGTGTTATGGGTTTGAGCCATCTTCGTGTTGTTGCTGGGGATAGAAGGGCGTTGTTGAGGATTGCTCGGCCGACGGTGGAGAGGTCTTTGATTGATGCGTACAAGCCTCCGGCTCTATCATATAATAATTAGGAGTGTCATTGTCAGGAAAGGCTATTCACTTACGGAGTCTCGTCCCCAGCGCTCAAGTTCCAAAGACTGGTCGATGCATTCCGAGGTATGATTCCCACGTTATCCGCCGGTACAGTGTAATACGAACTATTGAGTCCAAGAGGCTCAAAAAGATATTCCTCTAATAAAGCATCGTATGTTTCGTTGGTGATGGCCTCCAAGGCATAAGATAAGATCTGTATAGCAGCATTCGAATAGATTGGTGTATATGACGTTGGAGCTATGGGATGTGTGTTTGTTATGCCGTCGAAGAATTCTGTAAGTGTCCAATCTGGTCAGTTCGATCCGGGATTTGCAAGTCCAGTAGAAGGAGATAACGTACGAGCTCTGGTACAAGGCGCCGTCACTCCACATGGCGGCGTCTCATTCTTGCTAAGAGACGGAAATCCTTCCCCCGTCAGATCAGGATCCATAGTAGCTAGATCCGAGAATGCGTCTAGAATGAATTAAAGCAATCAGCCACTGCCCCCAATTTCTCCAGATCCATGAGTGATTGGGAAAGACGAAACTGACAATCCCTCCCAACACCAGAAAGATGACTAGCCAACTCCTGAATCGTCACATCTTCCCAAGACACATAATCAACCGAATCATCGCCTGGAGCGGCGTTAATAGCTGCCTGTAACTCCGGCACCCACTTCGTAACCGGGTCATGCAAGTGTGCCTCTCCAGCGGTAACCAGAAACAAAAGCACAGTCCAAAGTTTGGATCCGCTGCCAATCCGGAAGACCGTATTCTCGTCTACCTCTTTTACCCCGGAGGATGAATTCTGCGTCGCAGGTGAAGTATAAAACCATTGAAACAAGGTATTGTTTCCGTTGTCCATTCCGATGGTGTCAGATGAAAAGATCTGGAGTGCGAATGAGGTATCTTCTGAGTTGATTACGGATCTGGAGGTAGATGTAGAGTTTCCAGCAAGAATGATGTCCTCAAGTGTTGTTGTAAGGTTCATGGTCATGTCATGGAATGCATTGTTTGAGGAAAAATTGGCAGCGTGAGGGAATACAGGCCCGAGAAGGGGACTATATCTATTAGCTTGGCCTTTGGCTGTAGCCATTAGACCTAATAATGCAAGTAGTGCGTTTTTCATCGTTGAAAACGTTGTTTGGATTATGTTTTGAATGTAATGAGTATTCGAGAGAAACGATTATGTCTGTTCACAGGCTCAAAGACCCCTTTTATCTGTCGAGGAATATTTTGATACTCCCGTTTCCACTTCGCATAGCATCATTCAGGACCATGATCAAACATGGAAGCCTTGACGTAGAGAGGCTTAGAATCAGTATTTAGTAGTACCAGTATAAACTCAATCATTATTTTTAGAATGACAAACTACAGAATACTGCAGGTCAGATAGGCACAGCATTTCTAGAGCCGCTAAACTTCAAACTACGAATAAGAGCATCTGGCTACTATCTCTAGGTATAGCATGATATGTCAGCATCTTCAGCATCTTCAGCATCCTGGCTGGGTTGCAATTTGATACATCTATTAATAGTAACCATTAAGTTAGGGTTAGATCCGCAGATCTGGGGCCATTTTCAGCCCCTATTAAAGACTGACTATAAAATACCAGCTGTATCCACGGGATAATCTTATTATTTGGATGCCTAATATGAGCTTAATTTGGTTTGCGAGAATAGAAGTGCAATGAGGAGAACTTGGAGTCATCTATTTTCTTTAGGTTCAGATGTGCGAAGAAAGATCAGGTTTATTCCCAGTTCCCTTTTTGATTGAACCGAGTACACAACCCTATTTGAGAGCAAGATTTCCTGGGAATTGAAAGATAAGTAAAGCGCCAGGTGTAATCACGTATATTCTTCATGATAAGGATAAATCAAGTTTCACAAGAAGGAATAAGCGGGAGGGTATGATGCATGTTTGGAAAAGACAGTTATGAAGAAGAGAGAGAAGAAGTAGAAAGAAGAAGACGCCCAGAAAATGATAATTTTTCGACAAAACAAATTACAGCTAGAAAGAAGATGGAATTCGTATCCTTCTGGTTTTTTTTTTTTTTTTTTTTTTTTTTTTTTTTTTGATAAAGTGCCTATACAAAAAGTGGGTGGTATAAAACCAAATCAATCTTCTCCTTCATCGTTGAGGTCTTCAACCGTTGTGGCTCGAGCCTTGCCTTTATCGTCTGATGACGAAGCTGCATCTGCGTTTTGACTAGATGAGGAGTCTGCGGGGATGTCATTCTTTTTCGAATGTTGAGAGTCGGTATTACGGTCGCCTCCCCATTGGAAAGAGGGGCTGATTCTATTGTACTCGTTTCTAGGTTTTTCTGTTTCAGTCGGTGGATTGGATTCGTTATTACTGACATGCAGCAGTTGATTATCTTGAGTCGAGGTGGTAGTGTCCGATAGCTGGTTGTCGTTGGAAGCACGTGGAGGAAGAGGTTCAAACAATCGAGGATCAAGCACGGAAGGTGGTATGGACGCTGTCGCGGGTGATCCAGCTGTTGCTGTGTTACTCGAAGGTTCTACTCGCCGCAACGGCGTTAATGTCCATCCTGGCGGAAGTGTAAGCCCCGGTGGAAGTCGACTGTCGCCAGCAGGAATTGGAGACGACGACTGGCCACTTAAATGGTGGATGGTGGTAGGTACTGTATTGTTTAGTGTCGACGTAGTCGTGGCAGCGGATGTAGGAGGGATAGCAGCAGATGTGGAGTGTGACTCTGGGGGTTGAGAAGTAGAAAGATTCTGTTGCGCGGTTCGTAGTCGCTGAAGCTCTGTTTGCAAAGCCCGTAAAACATGTAGTTGCTCTGCTGTAGCTCGTAGACTCTGGTATTCCTGAGAAATTTGTTGTTCAAGATTTGCCAGCTGCTGCTGGATGCTGGCTAAGTTGGTTGGCATCACCTCGGGTTGCAAAACATTGAAACCTTGTGGAGCTGCGTGAGGAGCTTGAAGAATTTGTTGAGGTTGGTGAGGTCGACCGCCGAAACCAAATCCAAACCCGATTTGTTGAGCGCCTGGGGGAATATTTACCGGCGGTGGATTGTTTCCATGAATCTGTTGATGCAAATTCCGGAAAACATCCCCTCGACCTGCACCGAAACCGATACGGAAAGGTCCAAATTGATATATCCGCGCCTGCGGTTGGCCGCCGCCAGCCACATTATTCACAGGTGCAGCTTGATTGGGGCCTAGTTGCGCTCCTGGGACCGCATTTGCGCGACCATCATGGTTTCCATTGTTCGCCGGATACTGTTGATTCCGTGGCACAACTACTGGTCGTCGACACATTGGACAATTTTGCTGCCGCTCCAGCCAGCTTCTGAGACAAGAGAAATGAAGAATATGACCGCATGGAAGCTTCTTTGGCCGGAGTCTCTCTGGTACGATTCTTCTGTGTCCATCGGCCGCTGGTTGTTGCCACGGAGTCATCTCTTCTCGGCAAATGATGCAGACATCCTCCCTCGTTATCTCTTCTGCCGTAGCATCGGGGTATCTTTCGTTCATATCTCGTGTCGCTGTGCGGTACTTCATGAAATCAACGAGACGCCGACCGAATGAACGGATAGTGACAACCACATCTCTCAATATATGAATGGGCAGGCCGTAGAATGTGAAGAGAATGGCGAAGAAGGTCAGGTACACGACAAGTTTGCAAAAGTCGGTTATAAGGTCTAGATAGAACACCCAGCGACCCTTTTCCTCCCACCCAGGAATATCGAGCTCCATCTCGTCTACGTCGTTTTCTTCAAGAAGGTTAGCCGGAAGCCCTTCAGCGCCGGATTCGCGGTGTTCGCGTATTGCTCGTTCCCTCTCCGAGCGAATTTCAGCCCTGCGCTCTGCTAGCTTGGCCATCTTCTGGCGGTACTTGATATATATTTCGACCAGTGAGATACAATACCGCGCCAGAGTTGATGTAGACAAAATGGTCAGGATGGCGAATTCAAAGCCAAACATGACCATCATGTCCGCACGAGCTGACTCCAGTACGGTCCTTACTGCATAGTCCAACATGAGAATATCGTAAACGACGGACAATACTAGCGATGTCGCGAGACGAGCATGGAATAAGCGGGGATTCGCCGGCGGTTGTTGTTCGAGGATTTCAACTCGGCCCTCACCAATCCAACCCCATACCTTGCCCACGAGAAGACAGACAAACATGACCAAAAACCAAACACCCAGCTCTCCACGGAATATGGTCATCGCAAGGCATGTTTCCGTCACGGCGAACCAGGCCTTCTCATACAGTTGTTCGGTCTCGATGGGGCGTAATCGTCCGTATAAGAGTCGCTGAAGGCCGTAGAGAAAGTATCCAGTAGCGACGAGAAATAAATTCGTCAATATCTTTATTCAAGTGCAATGCGTTAGCCCGATGAGTCTTATGGCTGTTCGTCAAGAGCCTACTAACCATGAGATTGGCGCTACTCTGGGAAAGATAAACTGCAGCTGCATAAAAGTTGGATCGCTGGTGCAACGCCTTTAGAATCACACCGGCAGCTAGGGTCGCCGAGACCTAGATAACGCGATATCAATACCTGCTAAATATCAACATAGTGGCGATGGTGGTGGTTGAACTCACCCCAGCGTATGCCGCTAATCGCATGCTTGGTTGCCGATATGAAGCTCACTCGACAATTACAAAGGGATCATTGGTAGACAAGCTGCTTAGCAGGAAGATAATAGGAAAGACACACTCGAGTTAGGAAGGCATTCTTTATGACGAATAATAGCACAAAGGCGATGAATCGCAAGCTGTGCAGTTGATGGTTAGCTGTCAAAGTCGCGTGTCGAACAAGCCAGCTATCATTAACGAATTATCCGGAGTTGCCAATTCCCGGCGTCTGGAGAGTACCCCGCTTATGTCAGCCGCTTGACAGCCCAGGCATCATCATTTGTTACCATTTTTCTTCAATATTCTATATTTTCTTAATTTATACTTGATTCTTTGACGATGAGCTCGTAATCTTTTTTAGCTTGAATATTAGTTGAGGTCGAATGTTGCGTCTTTAACCGAGCTCTGCACGTGACTGCCGATGACGCGGAATGAACGAGACGAGCAACCTCCTCCTTGATAGCTCGTATCCCTTGGAGCTTCTCCTTCATTACGATCAATGTGATGGGAGCAACACGGCAGAGGGCCTATCCAAGCTGCAGAGCTCTCGGAACAACATGAGGAATTGTATTTGACTGTCCATCGAACCTATACTCTATAAGATCGTTTTGTTTATTGTTTAGAGCTTCTTGGATAACACTAACAAGGCAACATGGCGGCGCAACATCCACCACTATTTACTGCATCGCGCTTGCAGACAGCGACCTACCTGCTCGGTGTCTGTCCTTTCTCTATCGCTTTTTTGGTTTTTCTCAATTCGTCCATATCATTTGTGGTGACGGATCTGATTGGGCTGGAGAAAGGCGAAGGAGATGCTGTTGGATCACTCGGGTTTGCTGATGAGCTGTTGGCGCTGATTGCTTGTCCGGTTTGGGGATTACTGTCTGATAAGATTGGAGTGCGTTATGTAAGCCGTTGCCAGATTCATGGTCTATCCTTCGACAAAGTCTGACTGTTTGGTTTGCTCAGGTCTGCACTATCGGATACACGATCATTGCGCTGTCATTGGTCCTTTTCGTACAGGCATCCAATGTCTACCCACAGCTCCTTCTCGGACGACTTTTCTTCAGCTTAGGGGGTTCGGCTGTCTCAACCATGGTGACGGCTACTCTGCCTACAATTACAGGAGGCAATCTTCCTCACCAAGATCCTCCTCATCAACGACGCTCAAACCACGCTTGGAGACCATCTCTTTCATCAGAGATCACCATTACTCCATCTCGCTTCGAACGGAGTCGCTCTCGAGAGCAAATACCCGAACCGGCTCCAACATCGTCGTCTTCTCGACTTGCAGGATTTGTCGGGTTGTTTGCAGGTTGTGGTGCTCTGATATCACTTGCCGTATTCTTACCTCTCCCTGCATACTTTGAGAAATTTGAGAAATCCGGTTCCACACCAGCCCAGGCGATTCGACAGAGCTTTTATGTTGTTGCATCTGTGGCACTACTAGTTGCGATCGCTTGTTTCTTTGGGCTCCGGAATCTTCCTGGGGAGGAAGAGAAGCATATCCAGTCGCTTTGGCAGGGCTCCCAGTCAAATGAAGAATACCCCGGCTTGCGGACAAGGACAACCACCAACTATGGTGAAGATCTCTTACACGCACTTAAACTCGGTTTTTTACATCCTGATATCTGCTTGGGCTACATCGGCGGGCTCGTTGCTCGCGCGTCATCGGTCGCAATATCCCTCTTCATACCATTGTTCGTCAATTACTACTACCGAAAGCTGGGATTGTGTCAAAAGACTGATCAGGACAAAGTCCCTTCAGGCGGTCTTGGTGATATCAAAAAGTCATGCCCGGAAGCCTATATACTAGCGTCAATTTTGACTGGCGTATCGCAATTGGTAGCCTTGCTTACTGCTCCAATATTCGGTTACTTGTCCGAAAGGTCCCGTCGATATAATCTACCATTACTCTGTGCTGCGCTTCTGGGGATAGTAGGATATATGACTTTTCCTTTGATATTCAATCCGCAACTCCAAGTACCACATGTAAATGGTGGTGAATTCGCTATCGTGTCTTCTATCGGCATTAGCCAAATCGGCGCTATTGTCTGCAGCCTTGGAATTCTTAGCAATGGAGTTCTGAATATCGGTTTTAGCGACAATCACCAGGGAAGTGGAAGCGAGTCATCGCAAGAACCAACAGACTCCATTCAAACTGCTGATGAGAACAACTCTCACACCGAACATGATCCACTGATTGCAAAACAGGGTAAGAGTCTCGCCTCTTCGGACTTGAAACATTTGAAAGGGTGTATTGCTGGAATATATTCGCTTTATGGTGGAGCCGGTATCCTCCTGTTGACGAAGCTGGGTGGGCTACTCTTTGATGTGTCTTCGACTGGAGCACCATTTTATATCATGGCTACTTTTAATGCGATCTTGTTTCTGGCAGGAATTGGATGTATTGTGTGGCGGTCTAGAAAATCATGACGACATTTACGCTCAAGGAAATATCGTGGTTCGGACATGTAACATAAACTGAAATTACATATGCATTGTAATTGATCAGAATTAACTCAAGAATCTAAACAAGTTATACTATCTGTGAACTTTCATCTGAACAGTAGATATTTCATAAAAATAGAATAATAGTAGATGTTCATCGTGCAGTGCTCACACTCCACAGCAACCTTGTTTATTCAACCCCGCTCATCTCCACCAGAGAGTCCGGAACTATTCACACCACATACCTTAATTGAACTTCACACCATGCTTATGGCGACGACTTAAGGGTCTACTACATAGAGTCCAATAAAACCCAGATAGGAGGTCAATCAAAATGAATCTTGGCTTAACAGAAAGTCTGCCCTCGCTCGTCTCGAGACGATTCGTGGCAGCAAAAGACTCCGGAAATCTGATATTCTCAGCCACCCAGCTTGCTATACTAAGCAGTAAGCGTGGTATAGGTGTATGCCCTTCATCCTTCTGCCATCTAAATGAGAGAATGAAGAAAAAAGAGAGATCAATAATATATCACAGTACCAACTCCGCTACTGTCCAGCTCTAGCAAAGAAGCCAGAAACACAGTCCCAACCTTCAAACCCAACCGGCCCAAAACCAGACCCGTTCGAAAACCCATCTACAGATTTACTCATTACCGAGGTACCATCAACTTCAAAGACTCATTTTTTGATTCTGAACAAGTTCCCTGTTATCCCGAATCATTTCATACTTGCGACAAAACGGTTCGAGAAACAGACCGATCTTTTGGAGAAGGAGGATTTGGGGATTGCGTATGCTTGTTTGGAGGCTTGGTTTGATGGTGATGATGATGGTTTAGTCAGAAAAGAGGAAAAGGGGGGAGGGAGGAGGTTATTTGCGTTTTTCAATTCGGGGGAGGAAAGTGGTGCATCGCAACCGCATCGACATCTACAGTTCTTGCCGATTGAGGATATGCGTGCGCAACTAGAGGATTCAAAGTCAGATAATTCATCTGTATCTTGGACGCCGTTAATTGATCTGTTCTTGACCTCGACGAATGTGCAAATCTCTTCATCTGGGATTCGACATCTACCCAATCTACCCTTTCAAAACTTTGCGCTTCAGATCCGATCTCCTCCATCTATCGATGCATTACACGAAATGTACGTAACCCTCTACCGAGCCGCTCTCCTCGCGTCAAGGATGACATCTCCAGAGGAAACGGCACGAACCTCCGGCCCAGCTGCAATAAGCTACAATCTCGCAATGACGAGGGACATCATGATGATTGTTCCCAGGAAGAAAGAGGCTCATACTATTCCCGGATTACCGGATGCAGATGCCGTGTCGTTGAATGGGACAATATTAGCGGGGACATTGATGGTGAAGACGAAGGAGCAGTGGGATCATCTAAGGAGAGATGCGGAGGTGATTAGTGAGTTGTTTGGGGAGGTTGGGATAGCTAGCTATTCAAGTCACCTATGAACAACCTCTGTAAATATAGGCATCATACAATAGCCTAAGAGAGAAGAGTCTGCATAGATCCATTTCATTTCATTACTGCATACGTCTTGCAACTTCCTAGCTATCTTGTCTTGGGATTCTAAGTACATCCGAGCTACCTAGCTACGTACTGATCGGAAGAAGAAGGAAAAAGAAATCAAAATTATAAACCGGTACTCCCCCGAGATCATAATGGTATCTTCCCGTCCAGCTGATACTCCTATTTGACGCCTTCCCGGAGATCTCAATCATCGGTTTGAAAAATAAAATCACATGAAGAAAAAAAAAAATTGATAATGAAATGAATGTAAGAAGATTGTCTGGCCGTGAGTCTCATGGGTCTCATCACGTCGTGTTCACAATTGGGTCTGATTCTCGTTGGTATTCTTCGTCAAGAGAAGAAGAGAACGATAGGATGGAGAGAGAAATCAGACCTGTTGGGCGCGACCAGTCACCGCGAACCACTTCTTCTTGGTGGTCATAGCGCCGAAGCGATAGGTTCCACCGTGGTTGATAATGAATTCACCAACACCCTTCCAGGAGATATCTTTCTCAATACCCAAAGGGAGGGTTGAGACAGTGTACACCTTGCCAGGCTCATGGCGGTAGATTTCTCCGTTGGGTTTGCGACGAGGCGCCGTGTTATTTAGAAGTGTGGTGGCTTGCTCCAAGACACCTTGCTGGAGAAGGACGATCTGTATGTTTTCGAGGTGTCAGTAAATGATTCCTTTGTAAGCAACGAGTGAGAGGAAATTGAAGGAAAGAGAAAGCCAGTGGACTCACATCTATCAAGGTCCATTCTGGTTTGCGCACACGCTCATGCTTTTCCTTGGTGCAATTACGGAAACGACCACGAAGAGTCGACTCAGCGGCAGTCCAGCCTGCAATCGCGCGAATCTGCCCATACGACAGTTTCAAGCTCTTTCCCATGACAATGTAACGGTCTCTAGCAACGTTGTCGCCTGGTGTTGGGATTGGGATTTTTCGCATTTCTCGCAGTTTGAGGGGTGGGATGGTATCCAAGACTCTCTGCCTGTCACGCTGAGCCGGTGACAAAGGAGTAGTGAACGAGCTGGAAAAACGCCAAGAATCGGACTCGTCGGTCGAAGTGTCGGTGTCGGTGTCGGTGTCGCTGGCCGGGGATCCCTGGTCATATGGGACTGGGACGGTAGATGTCATTACAACATAGTGTCCTCCCATACCCTGAGCCCCTGGATTTTGAGCAAATGTAACGTAGCGGTATCGCTTGTCACGACGACGATAAGCGCCAGGCCTCACCGGAGCTCCTGGAGGAACCATTGCGGATTCAGGGATATGGTGGTGAGTCAATGAGCAATCAGGTGTGGGTGGCATAACCCCTGAAGCTTCCAGGGTTGCAGCCCCCCTGCCTGAAGGAGTACCTGGGTCAGGCATGGCTGAAGCAGGCTCGATGGACGAAGGTACCACGTATGAAACAGGTGCCGGAAAAATGGTTGTAACCTCGTCAGCGGACATGAACTGCTGAGGAGCCCCAATCTGAGGTCCCGTCATACCTTGGTTTGTGGTAAGACCATAAGTAACAGAGCCATAAGTAGAGTCATAAGTAGCAGCGACATAAGCAAAAGGTTGGGCATGCTGGTAGCTTTGTGCAAAGGTATGGTACGTGCCAACTGGATAGTGAACAGAATGGTCGTCTGAAGTGACCGGAGTACCGTTTACAGGAACCACGTCGACAGAAGGGGAGGCAAGGCCACTGACAGAACTGGGAACAAGGCTAGCAGCACCGGCAGTAGCACCTTCAGCTGTTGCCCAATATGACTGAGTGGTCCAAGCCGAGTTGACAGGATACATGAGAGATGCAGTGGTGGTTGGGACATGAGAATAGCCAACGCTGTCCTGTTGAAATGCAGTTGAGGACGCAGGATATGCAGATGGAATGCCTTGGGGAGCAAATTCATGAGCATAATTGGCTTCCATAGTCTCAGCGCTGGTGACAGGCTTGATGTTCATGACAGGAGTGGGCTCAGCGAGAAGACAGGGAGACAACGGTGCAGGCCACGCAGCAGCAGGGCTCAACGGGGCCTCAGAAATAACAGGATTATCACGATATGGGTTAGAGTGGTAACCACCCATGCCTAGAAAGGCACTATCAACATGAGTAGACTTGGGAGACATGATGTACGGACGACGCTGGATGTCAACAGGCAAATAGGCGCAGACAAGGGCCCTTGTCGAAGGTCTTGAGGGGATCAGGATGACAAGATTGTGGTCAGAAGAGTCCAAGGCGATATGAGGAAGTGATGGTGAAGAGAGATGAAGAGGAAAAAAGATTCTGTCGAGGAAGATTGACAGAAATAGAGGGTGGCTGGGAGGAGAGAAGATGAAGAGGAGGGAAGAAGAGTGGGAAGAGGAAGAAATATTTGGAGGGGAAAGACGAGGCAGGGGGAAACACGACACGACCTCGTCCTCGTCAGAGCTCTCTGGGTCCCCCTCCCTGATTGGATCTCATCTGTTCACCTGTTTTTATATCAATTGAGATTTGATGTTGACAATATCAGCTGACTGTCCTTTCTCAATGTTCTGACTGTCAGAATAGATAAGGAGGTCAGATGCCAGATGAGATTTCGAGGAGAAGATTGCCCAGCCTCAACATAAAGGAAGCAAGTCTAGTCAATGTCTTACTACTAGTTCGACGCTTTACAAGGCCTGCATAGTATAATAGTAGTATAATTCTTCATCGTACTATTCTTTTCTTATCCATAAACCACTATCTAGGTAAAAGAGATCTCCTTATATAAGAGGATGGCACCATAGACGTCGAAGATCCGCATCAAGAACAGACGGACACGTTAGTATGCCTTAGTCTGATGTTCTAGAAGATTTCATTTCTTTTTCCTACTGCTGTAAGTGTCTACGTAAGAATTTTAGAATGCTTGTACTCTAGATGAAACCGAAAGAAACGAGACTGCATGAAGAGTAGTCTGCAACAGTAGCCACTAGGTAGACCCAACGTCGAATCTGTAGACCTATCGGAAGTTGTCGACGATATTCCGATCTTGAATTTCTTACGTCTCGTGTGGGTGAAGCATTTTTCCTTTTTATCCCGCCTCGTTGGACGCAGAGATGGGATAAGATCTCTTCTAAGTCAAAGTCCTCAGTCTCGTCTGATTGGGTGTGTATGGTGTGTATTCAGCCTTGTAAGAACCCTTATATGTACTTCCAGTGCATATTGTATTTATTTTCTTCTAGAAGGGTTTCTAACTGTTCTAGGGGTTTTATTCTGCCTGGGTTCTGCAGCAGTGGACTCGAGGAAGTGCAATAGTGAGATGCGAGACATGCGTGTTTTGGTTCCTGTAGGCCGGTTAGACGCGCATGGGAACTAGTTTCCTGCTCATAGCGAGAATTTGCTTATTAGAACGCCTGGAGAACTCTGCAGGAAGTTGAAAAAGCAATACAAGGGTGAATAGAGCGGAAAAAGCAAAAACGGACTATACACGAAGGAAGAAATCCTCTAGAAGCCTGCAAAAGACTGGATTTGGAATCAGAGTTAACGCAATAGTCAACCTACATGTCTTAGCCATTTAGCCACTTGTCTACTGCAAGAAATCACCTCAAAACTATCTAGTGGGCGAGAATGACTGCCAGAAATGTTCCTTGGTGGTTGAGTTTTGAGCGCTTGAATATATTATTGGGAAAATAATATGTTGGGGCTTTTGACCAACTAGACCAAAAAGCTGCGCGCATACTAGGTGATCTAGTATGGATGTAAATAGCTGGCAAAGGTGATATGTGATGTGAGGTGATATTCCCAACATAATACATGGTCGATTCGACAGGTAAAGACCGCCCCAATATTACAACAGTTCTCAGAGTTAAACTAACTAGGAGCAGGTTACGAGTTACTCGAGCATTATTACATCTTCCAGTGCCCTGCAGATACCAAACCTTCCGATCCAACACATTGTCGTCAGTGTGAACGTCGTACGATTCAGGTAGCCTTCTAGAAACGATCTCAAGTCATGATTGTGATATCATCCAATATAACAGATCATTATGCATTAGATCCAATCGGTTCAGATGTACCGCAGATCGCTTGATATTTTGATACGTCCCGGTGAGATATGAGACGCGGCAAGGCGAATTCTCCGTCTGACTGTCTTAGATGCGGCGAAAAGTAAGCATTTGTTCGAACTCATAGACCTAGATACATAGTCAAAGTATCACACAAAAGCAGTGTTATCCAACCTTATCCTTTCTGTCACAGACCGAGTGGTCTTCATTTGCGCATCGATCCTCGTGTATATGAGCAATCATTCCCCATAATAGTTTCAACGCAGAGCCCGTTTCATCGCATCAAGCCATCTCAGTGGCGCTTGTATATCCCCGATTCTCCAGCGTCCGGATGCAGGTATCCCCCGTTCCGTGGACGCTTCTGCAGCTTCCAGGACGGGAGAGATGCAGCGTGCATCAATGGGAAATGCACGATCTAGCCCTTTTTTGACAGTGTAGACTTAAAAATCAAAAAGTAGACATGGAACTGACCCCGATTGGCTAGTATGAGTATTGCTTGAAAGTGCAACTAGACTCTGGCCATATATGCATCGAGTCTGCAAGTTGAATATAGCCTCAAGTGATGCATGTTAGGAGCTGATAACTTTCGATGGGGGCTATATAACACATTTCAGCTGGAAATAAGAAAATCAAGAAGGAATAGAAGCAAGCAGAGAGTAATCACCGGAAATAATGTTTTGTTGTGAGGATTGGGATGATAAACTAAACATAAAGAGAGCGGTGAATAAAGCGGTGAGCAAGTTCTGCCTGTCACTTTGCAGCTCCATGATGATTCCCCGCATAAACAGGTGCCTCTACGACTAACAGATAATTCACCTCGCTTTCTACACTATATAGCTTGTTATGAATAGCTTCAAGGTTCTTATTTTTAAGTTCGCCTGAAATATCTCCGTATTAGGAAATTTCTGTGCAAATTAGGGCTCACCAGGGTGGTGTGACTGGCATGATCACAAGGCTCAAGACTGCAACGACATCTCAGCCTCATCTTAAATTGACCTCCCACTTCTATTGTTCTGCACACTCACACCAACTGAGAACACGCACAGACTGTTAGAGAATACATTACCAAGAAGTCCTCGAAGGATGAGTTCATCCATCAAACTCGTCTCTTCAAAGGCGAGCGATGGTTACATTGGAGAAAACATTCAGGCTGATGGGAATGAGAACACCTACATCAAAGTTGATGGTAAGCATGGCGACAGTTGAATTTTCTAGCGTGGATGCTTGGTCCTAATACGTGTTTTAGAGGCACCAAAATTTGATCTAGAGTCCTACATCGCGAATTACAAAGGTACGGTCCTTATTTTCTACCTCGAGCTCCCCAAACGATAGTCACTCATCGAATCGATCAGGTCGCACGCGTTTCGATCGATTATTTCTCATAGGCAAATGCTCAACCATCTTATCCGCCGATGCCCTCAGACTAGCGGTAGGCGAAGCTAAATCCGGTAAAGACGTCGAACGATACGTGCAGGCGGTACAAGCCTTGAGTCAAGTGGCACCAAACGACCCGGACGCCGTTCTTGACCAACGCTGGGTTGATATCACGCGACAGGCTGTGAGGGCCGAGACAGACAAACTTGAACACGAGCTGAAGGGCTACAAAAATAATCTCATCAAGGAGAGCATACGCGTACGTTCCCTACTATACATACCCAAAGAAGGAGGCTGATTTGTGTAGATGGGCACCGATGATCTAGCTTCACATTATCATTCTATTGGCGACTTGGCAGCTGCATCAAAAGCTTATGCTCGTTTGAAAGACAACTGCACTACACCCAGTCACTTTGCAGCCATGCATCTAAAAACGATCAACGTGGCTATTGACCGTGGCGACTGGTTTGGCGTGCAGCAAGCTGTCGCTCGATACCGATCAGGACCAAAGCCAGAGGATGAGCATTCCAAGAGTGCACCAAAGATATCTTCTGCTTCGGGTCTGGCTCAGCTTGGACAGGGAAATTATCTGGAAGCTGCGAATCAGCTTCTCAACGCCGATCCCACGCTGGGTGATACTTACAATGAGGTTCTCACTGCAAACGATGTCGCTGTCTACGGTGGATTGTGTGCGTTGGCTTCCATGGATCGAAACGAGTTGCAACGCCGCGTGCTAGAGAACAGTCAGTTTCGAAACTACCTCGAACTAGAGCCTCATATCCGCCGGGCGATATCGGCTTTCTGCAATTCCAAATTTCGGGCCTGCTTGGATATCTTGGAGGAATACCGAGCAGATTACCTACTCGACATTCATCTTCAACGCCATATCCCAGCGTTATACAACCGGATTCGAACCAAGTCCATTCAGCAATACGCCCTCCCATTTAGTCGAGTTTCTCTTGAGGCTATGGCAAAAGTCTTTGCACCTGAAATCGTTGGGGGTGTTGCGTCACCCACCGATATCAGCTCCCCGTTCGTTCAGGAACTGATCAAGTTGATTGAGAATGGCACATTAGACGCACGCATCGACTTAGAGAAAGGGCTACTCGTTTCGAAACAGATGGACCTGCGTAGGGAAGTGATCAAGGAAGCCTTGGAGAGTGCTGAGGAATACGTGAATGAGGCACATCTACGACTTATCCGTACAAATCTTATCAATGCTGGGTTGGAGATTCGTGTTGCTCCTTCAGCGCTGACTACAGAGGAGGCGACAGGACGGACACCATGGAGTTAAACTGTGCAAAATGCTTTCAGGAACCCATATTATGGCTAAATGGACACGACGACATGATTAGATCGTAGATCATACAATACAAAGATAAATAACGGCTATCAGGCTATTCTCAGTAAGATCACAGCTTAGCCTCTATCCGCGGTAGAAGTTTAAAATCCTCCCACTGCAATTCCAGAAAATCCCATATTTGATGGAACCTATTCTCACATATTAGTCCCCTTTCCACAATCCTTATAACTCCCAAGGGACTCTTACCGATCACTTCCAAAAAAGGGCTCCTCCCCCAAGACCTTCCCACCCTCAGACTTCACAACCCAAAAGAACGGCGCTCCATACGCACCTCTATCTATCGCCTCCTGCGTTTTGGCTGTTAGTGCATCTTTCCATTTCTTATCCATCGCTGCGGTGACAATCTCATCTGCCTGTTCGACCGAGAAGCCTGCCGCAGGTGACACGAGTAATTGGCGAAGGACATCTGGTTTCGAGATGTTGAGATGTTGGTAGAAGAACCATTGCCAATACAAATCCAGGATCTTCTCAAATTGGGTGAGTGGATAGGTGTGTTTGATGTATGTTAGCGCTCGTTGGGGCTGACATCAATCAGTCAGTTTTCTTTCACTTGTATTTTTCCGAAGTGAATGGTTAGGACTTACGAAAATAGTAAGAATAGGAAAGAAATCAGGCTGCGTAAACGGCTCAACGTTCCAATATTTGATTCCGCGCGCGAGTTCGAGTTGGCCGAGTTTGGCTTTTGCGGGGACTTTCCAGGGTGGTGTGTTTCCTGAAATCAAGCATTATTTCCATCAATACTTCACTCATTATATTGAAGTGAGGTTCGCAAACCAGAGCGATCCATGATTCCGCCTAGGAAGATGGGATGTGATCTGTCGGTTTCATCAGTCTGCAGTCCGTTTTGATTGATTGGGTGGAAGATGACTTACTCAACAGTAACGCCATAGCTGGCAAGTTTATCGCGAACTCTCTGTAGATGCACAAATGCAAAGTATGAATATGGTGATACTGTAGTTGATTAGTATAGCTTCAAGGTAGATTGATCGACAGTCTCAGACGCACCGCAGTCGTAGTAAGCGTGGATGATGCCACCCATTATTGCGTGCTTGCTTGATGTATGCTATGCTAGTGTTGCTTAGTAAAATTGGAAGCTTGCAGTTATGGTTGAAAATATTTATATGCAGTTGTTAGACAAAGGGATATCTCAACAGGTCATTTGGGGAAGATGTCTTGTGACGCCGCTTTTGTTGTGGTTGGGCCGAGGTTCAGATTGGCCATACCCTGAAAGACCTCAGAAAGCTATACACTCGCATTTCCTGAAGGTCATTTGAAATTTTGGAGGAAGTAATCATTCTGCCCGATCAGCAACTATACATATTTAAAACCAACAGCTATAAACTATCTGTAGCTCGACAAATATACCATCGTGTACATACTTGAATAAGGTTAAAGCGGCGAATATTCCGGGTATCACCTTAATGTTCACGAGCCATGACAACTCTCCGAGCAACTCACCTTAGTATTTGAATTACCGTCGATAAATATATCATTTCAGCATGGATGAAAATTCTTGAATATTGAGCAGTCTCTTTCATGAACCACCTCGGCTAGAGTGACGGCTAAGCATGGAGAATAAATGATCACTCATCATTAATCGCCATTGATTACCGGATTCGGATATCGACTGGATATAAAGGGTCTGTAGATGGAACACCTGGAGATGCTTTATCGATATCGATAACAAGGATATTATAACACATAATACTGAATGTTGCATTGATATATACACTGGTAAGTGCCAACAGCTGAGTACTGGCTCGGTTGAACTCCAAACTCTGCTTTGATAGACCTGAGCTAATGCCTACAAGATTCAAACTACATATCTCTTAAATATTAATACAATAAAGGAAAATGACAAAGAAAGTTGCCCTCATCATTGGAGCTTCTCGCGGCATTGGGAGACAGATAGCCATCGACCTAGCCCGCAATGGATATGCTGGTATGTCCATCCCAGCAACATCAACACCCATAACTGATATACTCAGTCTAACATGAATATAAAGTCGTGGTCGCCGCAAAAACAACCTCAAACCCACACGATCCTTCCATCCCCTTCCCCCCACCCCCCAACTCCTTCGCCTCAACCATCAACACCGTGGCTCGCGAAATCACCGACCTTTATGGCGGCACCGCAACCGCAATCGCAGTCGACACCCGGGACACGACCCAGATCAACCACTTAATCTCGGAAACAGTCCGCATATACGGAAAACTAGATGTTCTCATCTACAACTCCGGCGCAATCTGGTGGTCTTCAGTTGAAAACACACCCGTTAAAAGGTTTCAATTGATGCAGAAGATTAATCCAGAAGGTCTATATGCAAGCGTGCATGCTGCGTTGCCGTATTTTGAGAAGAATGAGTGGAAAGGGAGGATAATTGTTGTGTCGCCGCCAATCTATTCGAGGTTTTTTAGGGGGAAGACTGCTTATGCTATGGGTTTGTTCTCTTCGTCCTCTTTTGGAATTACCGATTGTGTGTATCATGGCTGATGGAGATGGGTTAGGCAAGGTTGGGATGAGTGTATTGACAAAAGGTCTTGCGATGGACTTTGAAAGAGAAGGGAGAAAGAATATGGCTATTACTAGTATATGGCCCGCCGTGGTAGGTCATGGCCCTAGCCAATATGCTATTCAATCAGCAGCTGCTGACCAGACATGTATGTACATACAGTCCATCGAATCCGCCGCAACAGGAGACATGGTCAAAAAAGACCCAACATCTGAACGTGATCTACGCAAACCGGTACACCTCTTTCCTTCCACAAAACAATTTACAGAATAACTAATGAGGTTGAATAGACAATCTTCTCCGACGCAATTCTGGCAATGCTCAATGCCCCTGTACACAAAGTAAACGGTCTGCTCGATCTTGACGAAGACTTTCTACGCCGCGAATGCGGTGTAGCAGATTTCTCGAAATATGCTGTTGTACCGGGCTCAAGTCCAAGACGGATTATGCCGGCTAAGTTTCCGATATTAGAGGTTGAGGAGCAAGATGATGAAGGGAGGAGGATGGATAGTGCACAATTAAGGGCTGGGAGGGTGAAGATATAATCTAAGCTTTCTTTGGAATCATTTTCTGCTCGTGGATTGCTTTATCAGTCATCATTCATTGATTCTCGTGAGTTCACGGTTAGCTAGGTAGTATACTATTGCAGAGGTTTGTACAAAAGAGTAATATCAGCAGAACAGACAGGCAAATTGACGCTCAAATGCTTAGATCGGAACTCCGCTCCAAATGTAAAGCAACATGTCAACAAAAAAACAAGAGAGAATAATCCAAACAATGACAGTCTGGTATAAACATAACATCATAAACATCACTCATTACAATCATCAAACGACTTCTAACAGCTGGCAATACATCAAAAAGGAACAAATCACATCATAAGGAAAACCAAATCAGAAGCAAGTTCCGGAGTTTTATCCAGGAGTTCCCTCAAACCACCTCCAGGAGCAGTAATAACGCTAACCCCTGACCCCGGGCCGTGACTGGGAGACGAAGGCACAGGGATAGGCGCAGGTGTATATACAGCCAATTCACGCATTTTACAAGCTGCGTATTGAGAAACCAGTTTCCGTAACTCACATTCTCGTAACAACGTTGCAGAGGTCTGGGATTCAGGCTCAAACCGTGTTGTGTTTTCGTATGTATATTTCAAGATATCGAGGAACATTTTGGCGTGTGCGTTGAATTTCAGTGTTTCTGTGTCTTGTTGATGGTTCAAGGCGTGGTGGCTGTTGAGTTCGTCTTCGTTGTCGGTGGGTGGATCAAGGGGATAGTCAACGAGGGAGGTATGTAGTTTCTGGAGACAGAGCTGGGCGAGTCCCGGAATCAGATAGCGCATTGCGAAGACGTAGACTTTGGCATGGAATAGGATGTAGGGTACAATTATTGTTTGTGACGGGGTGGGTGTTGTCACGCCAGAATCCTCATTGCGTTCTTGGTGGAAGTAGTCGATGGATGCAAATGCATTCCACGATTTCCCTCCCTTCTTGCGCGGAGTAGATGACATTGGATGACTGGCAAAGGATGTATCGATCAATGGTACGGTATGTTGTTGTGGTGAGAGATGTGGTGGTGATGGGGCCTGAGGTGGCTGCTGATTCTGCGACTGTAGTCTGCGAGCATCAGACAGTGTTTCCTCGTAGTCTCGTCTTCGCGAAAAGTTCTGAGAAGTCACTGGTTGGTCCCACCAGTTGCCGTCACCTCCTTCAATCTCCCCATCTTCACCGTTGTCCGTCTCAATAGCGCAGTCTGGATCGTAGTCACGAGCCTCAGACTTGTTAATCTTCGGCGTAATGGTCTGGTCTTGAACATCTTTAACATCAAATGGTGGAGTAGATGGGGGTGTCAGGCTCTCTGGGACTGTCTCTTCATACCCAGAAGCAGGCACGACTGTATCCTTTCGCTTCTTCTTCTTATCCTTCCTGCTATGCCGTCTCGAAAGCGGGAAGGCTGGTTGACCGTCTTCCTCCGGTGGTCGGTCCTGTATCACCACCACCTCTCTTATCTTGTTCTCAACCGGAGGAGTATCTTCCCGAATCGAAGTCCCATTCCGGTGTGGTTGCTGTTCTGCAGGAGATGCAAAGGGATTCTCCCATGAATCATCTTCACCCGTCGTCTGAGTTACTGCCAACGGTGTTTCCGCATATTTGCGAACAGGTGGTCTGGAATCGAGTCGATCAGCAAATGGAGGTGGTGTCGGAGCTGGAGGGGGGAAGAATGATGCCGAAGACTGAGTTCGAGCCGCACTGATATTTTGCGGCGGCGACTGCTGCTGTTGCTGTTCATTCGTCGGACTCTGGCGATTTTGCACTTCTAACGCACCACCGCCACTGAACTCAGAACCCGATCGAGGCGAAGTCGCCGGTGACGCTGCAGCTGGAGGCGCAGGTGCAGATGCAGTATTCAATCCCGAAGGTGACACAGTCAATGATTCCGTCTTCTGTACCGGCACAACGTAGTTGCCTGTATATGCATACTGCGTGAAAGCAGTAAAAACCTCGACTTCCTCGTTTTCCAACACGGCAATGCGATGTTTGGATTCACGAGTGTGGCCATTGTTCATAAGATCATCCAGAGGTCTGGAGACATGTTTGGCGAGGCCGGATTGGATGGTTAATTTTGTATGATCTTTGCCGACGAGGAAAGTAAATGGGGGAGAGGTGATCAGGCTGTAAAATGTAAGCTGACTCCATATCGTCAAGTAAGATATAGTAGCAGCCTACCTCGTAAAATCCGGTAGTCTGTTCATCGTCGAGGGCAGCACCCAAACAGGCGCAAAATAAAAAAGTGAAGCTTGAAGAAAAACGAACCGCCGGGGCTCTTCTCCTACCGCAACTCGCCCAACCTCAATTAAAAAGAAAAAAAAGAAAAGAATAACTGCAGGATATGGCCAATTATACACAAAATTCAGAGGATATCGCGTGGGTTCATGCAAGCAGAAAGAAATAAATGAAGAAAAAACGAAAGAGCTTCGGCGCTACGTGTGCTGACTTGATTTGGAGTCACTAAATTGACTAACCGTTTCGATCAGAGCACAGATCAACTTTACCAGCCATCTGAATATTCAGAACCGTTATGGTGGAATTCTTAGCTACGATTTCTGACTACTGTAAGCTAGTTATGCTACGTGACTGTTGCTGTTGTCTAGTATGATGCGCTGGAAAGATCAAGGTAGGTCAATAGTGAATCATAGCTTCAAGTCAGAGTGAGGCGAGATATTTGAAGCCACCGACTGACAACCGAGCCATACCGAAGCAATAATCATGAGCTTAACTACGAGAAACAGGGATTATGGACAGTTAAATTCGGGGAAGTGCATTGCAGATTCAAATCCAAGCACTCAATCAAAGCTATGGCCGAATCGGGTCCTAGTAGTGTAGAAGAACAGGAAGCCGGAAGTAGGATTTCATTCCTACACGAACGGCGGATCACTCGAATATCTCCCGGAGCGTTATTAGACCGGATTTTCAAGGATCCTGGATGATGTGTGCCCAATTTGAGCTTGCGAGATTGTTCACCTTTGTCAATCATGCCCAATGGATGTGGGTACTTTTCTTGCAGCTGTACACTCACAGCTACACCGCTCATTGGGTCAATTCGTGCAGTTCGCATTTGGATGCATTCATCAAGTACGACTGCCGATTATTGAGTATTAAGTCTAGAGCTTGAAGGATCGGTTTATTGGACTTTCGATTTTTTTGGGTGGCGCCTTAGGCAGAAAGCGAAATGCGCTCGTGTTCTGATTGGCTGACTATGCTCACACTTCATTGGCTGAAACTTAACTAACGACTTCAGTAAGCAAGATGACTAAGCTACGTTAATACTGTCTTTCCTGCCCAGTCTGTATCCCCATGTTCTCTGATCTTTATACAATGGGCTATATACTCCTATACTCAGTCAAGATAAAGAAATTGTACAAGAAGGAATATTCTCGAAGATTGTCTCCCACGTGTGAATAGTCGAGGCGACTTGAAGTCAAGCTATGAGTCAAAGAGATAATCTATTATCATACCAAAACTAACAAATTATAGGCGTAGGCTTCGCTTCTATTTGAAGTATTGCTGGAAAAATTGACCTTTTTCACAGGCCGACGCGATAAGTTGTTGCAGAACCTGAATAGGCTGTTCATATAAGCGACGTTTAACAAATTACCAAGGAAGCTTGGATCCGTCATGGTTGAAGAAGACACCCGAATCTTCAGGCGTGATGTTATTCAAGACCTTCATGCAGTCTGCGGCAGACTTTGCGCTGGGCACATTTTCTAAGCTGGGGTTGTATTTTGCAACCCAGTCTGAAAGTTCGTCGCCAATATCGGTTTCGCCGACCCAGCCTTGTTCGATATCGTTAGGGAAGTAAGTCTAAGTGAAACGCACAGAAAACGCTTACCGGGATGGATGAGAGCAGCGGTGATTCCCTCTCCCTTTAGAGTGCTCGACCACTTACGAACCAACCTGTCAAGCCAATTACGTTAACATCATGGGATTTGTCATACCAACGGAATGGATACTCACATATTCAATGCAGCTCTAGCAACGGCATACGCATTCAAAAGCCCAGGCATATGCGCAGCGAGCTCAATCGATCCAATAACAGATGTGACAAATAACGCTCTCTTAGCCTGACCCTTTCGGATAAGGGGTAGGAATTCTCGCAACAAATTCAGTGGCGCAGTGATTGTAAAGTCCACTTCGGATGTGAACTTTTCAACGTCCCTACAATCATCCAATTAGCATTTTAATCAATAAATTTACGATGGAGCAGTTGGTGAACAGAAAAACAGACGTACAATTGCTCGAAACTCTGCATACCAGCATAACTCACACCAGCATTGCTGACAAGGTTATCCAATCCATTGGGGAGAAGAGGCTCTACAGCCTTTACGGCTGCACGAATGCTATCCAAACTTGCAACATCCATATCGACGAGGATGAGACGGTCATTTCCGGGATATTGAGCTTTGAGGTTTTGTAGACCTGTAGATTTGCCGGTGTTTCGTGCAGTGGCAATGACTAGATTCTCGGGATTTTTGAGCTATCAGTCCAGAGGGACATTGGATGTTAGTTCAAATCATTCGAGAGGACTGATGGATGAACGTACTAGCTCAGTGGTAAAGGCCAGGCCGAGGCCACGGCTTGTTCCTGTGATCAAGTATGAAGGCATTATTCTGATATGTGGAGATTATAGAGATATGATTTTGAGGAAGTTTACAGTATCTTGCTTATGTGCTTGCTTGTTGAATTGTAGAAACAAAACTCATATTCGACAGAACTACCCGTCATTTTATATGTAATACTTCCTCCAGGTCGATACCATTTCAAATCCACCCATACTAATCACAAAAATACAAATCTTAATAATCCATCAGGAAACTTTCTCATCCATCTCTTCGGTTCCAACATCTATTCAAGGATCAGCGGCCGTGGTCATCCGAATGCTACAAACCCCGTAGCCATACCGCAATAGAACCGCATAACGCCGCAAGTATTGTACCATATAGTAAGTTTTCGGAGCCAGAGGCTCGTGAAAGGTATTTTGATTTGAGGTATATCGTTATTTTTAATCAGTCTGATACGTTAACTTAATTAATAGAGTGTGCTGATGTAAGGAAAGTTAGAGCGGATTAGAAATATCGATTACTCAACCGAAGTATGTACGTACATATTCGGGATAGAAGGATGTAGCTATTTATATACTTCAGTGCAACACCGAGGGCATTTATACGATTCTCGTATGTCCACTTTAAGATTACATTAGTTGTCCACGGGTGTGGAGGAACGACGTTGTCCTCCAACTGTGTGATCTATAAACGAACGATCTTAGGGTTAGGGTTATAAATCAGGTGGCGCTGGTCAGGTACCATCATACTAATATTTTGCTCGACAGGGTCAAATACGACAATCATAGTTTGATAATTCTTCTAAGGCAAAATCTGCCTTGTCGAGGAATCATGGATTTTTATAGCTTTGTAGACTGGTCGGCGTCAGAATTAGGCAAGGCAGCAGGTGGCTTAGCAACAGAAAAGATGATCTTCATGACTCACAACCTTGATCTTGAAGGACACAAATAAGCCATGGAATTTGCACGTTTCCAGCATTTAGTGAAGAAGAATAATAATTGAGTCAATAAGGAGGCTGCTTGTCAATACTTGCACCTCAAAGTTTCAGGTATGGCTTCGCCGACATCAGAAACCAGCAATCCGGTATACTTCTGGAGACCAGAAGGCGAATACGGATTCCTAGGACAATGGTGGCCATCATCATTCTCATGGAAAAACGGCGATGAAGAATTTACCTACGCAAATGCAGAACAGTAAACAACTTTCTATAATAGACTCCTTTTTCCGTTGTTAACCCCCTTTTAGACACATGATGCACCGCAAAGCCCTCCTCTTCGCCGGCCCAAGCCACCCAATAACCCACCAACTCCAAAAAGCCTGGAAACTAGAACCCGGCACAATTCGCGACCTTGGTCGCCAAATACCCGATTTCTCCGAACAGATGTGGCAGCAAAACAGATACGCAATTGTGCTAGAAGGCAACTATCTCAAATTCTCGCAGAATGGTGATCTTAGACGAGAATTACTTGCCACTGAAGATAGGGAGTTGGTTGAAGCGAGTCCGAGGGATAGGATATGGGGTGTAGGATTTGGGGCGGCGTATGCGAGTGAGAATCGGAGGGAATGGGGGTTGAATTTGTTGGGGAAAGCGCTTATGGAGACGAGGGAGAGGTTGAGGAGGTGAATTATACGCGAGTTGTCTAGATAAGTCGGTGATTGTACAAGCTGGATCTGGTGCGCTTGGTTTTATATGGCCCATAAAACCGAATTGCACTGTGACTCTTGTTTGAGACCGGGCTTCGGTCGAGTGAATAAGAGTCTATGCATTATTGGGAAGACATCTGGGAGATGCTGAAGATGAATGCTAAAGATACTTGAATACGTCCCGGAATTCAGGAGCGAATGAGTGTAGAACCAGAATATGTCCCCTGGCAGTCCCACAGGTATGTATCTATCAGGAGTATCAAAATCATGAGATGTCAAGATCTGAGCTAATTTCCTGCATCTAATAGATATTTATCACTCTCGATAAAGGAGTGACTGGTTCTTTTGCAAGTTTGTGCCAGCAATGTCTCCAAATTACGAGTTATTAGTGCTAACTAGATTCTAACCCTAGGAATGTCCGTAGGAACGACATACCTATGCTTAGCATATGCAAGAGACAATGATGAAGTACAACAGAAATGCCTGGGGATTTCAATTCAATATCACTCGAAGTACACTGACGCATAGTATAACTAGAGAATGTAAAAAAAAATACGCATTCGACAAATTGATATTCATTAAATTCACTTCCCCACTTAGCTACCGAGCTATCAGTTATCCAAGCCAGACGTCGTTGGACTTGCAAAAGTTAGCGAACGCTCATCACTCACATTACAAATAAGAAAGACTCACTCCCAACCATGATAATCATACTCATCCGTCTCCAAAGAAGCCATCTCGGAATCCGACAACACAAAGTCGAATACCTTTGTATTCTCCACGATACGGGAGGGCGTAACTGATTTGGGGAGTGGACTGAATCCCTGTTCACAACAATTAGGACTCACCAATTCTCCCTATGGATAAAGTCAAGGAGGACGTACCTTTTGCAAACTCCATCGAAGAAGGATCTGCGCCTCCGTCTTCCCTGTCCGTTTGACGATATCCCGAAGTGACGGATCATTCCAACGATTAGCCTGAGCCAAGGGAGCCCATGCTTCCACCAAGACACCACGTTTCTGGCACCAATCGATTATCTCCTTGCGCTGTAGCCATGGATGGAGCTCGATTTGATTGACGCTGAGGGTTCCTCCTTTACCCTTGCCCTGCTTTGCGTCTGTGTCTTTGATATAGTTCTCGAGTTCTTCAAGATGCTATCACCATGCAGAATTATTAGACTGGAAAGCTTCTCGAAAATGGATGACATACGTGAACCCCATAATTTGAAACCCCAATACTCCTCACCGTCCCAGCCTCAACCGCTTCGACAAGAGCCCTCCAACCCCCCAATCTCCCTTCTCTACCTCCATACGGAGCATGCAAAAGCACCAAATCAATATACTTCAATTGACTAACCTCCCTCAAACTCTTACCAATTTCTCTCTTGGCGGCTTCATACGAAATCGAATTAGGTGGTACTTTTGTCGTGAAAAAGACTTCTTCCCGTGGGATGCCGGATTTGAGCATGCCGTCTGCGCATGCTGCTTCGTTTTGATAGAAGGCTGCGCTGTCGATGTGACGATAGCCGGCTTTGATGGCTTCTTGGACTGCGGCGCTTGTGTCGCTTGGGGGGGTTTGGTAGACCTGTTTTATTCATTAGGAATGATTCTTTGCTACTCATGTAAGAAGGAGGGGGAATTCTTACCCCAAAACCGAGCAGGGGGATCTCGTACCCCGAGTTCAGTTTGAAGCTTGACGAGAGCGAAAGTTGGCGAGCCATTGTACTCAATTCGTGATGGATTCTACCGATACAGCTTTCTCTGCCCAAATGATCTGTAGTACCAAAGACCAGGGATGCAAAGCGTCAATTTATAAACGAGTTCCTTGCTCTAAAGACTCGATAGTATCCTTGATAATGGTATGTATTAGCCAGTCATAGAAAGACCGAATGCCCAATCATGAACGAACATAAAACTTGATTAATAATACATACCTGCCTGTTAATACGCAACTCGGTCATAAGGGTCCTAACACCGCTCTGACTTTACCGACGTAAATATAAGCAATCGGGATGAATATTCGCGTCAACGGGGTGTCATGTATGAAGCTTTGGTGTGTCATTGATCGATTTGCTTATGACGACAGATCATGAACCCTAACCCTGGATCCGGTTGTTCGGATGAATTTCTATGCATCCATTGTGATAGTCGTATATCATTGGGATACATTGATGATACAGAATGAGTTTGGTGAAACATGAAACTGTCGCAAAAATTAGGTCGAGTGTGATATTGGCGGCAACTGATGTTCATGCCATCATATAAATCCGTCTTTTGACTGACCATCCAGGGATAACTAACAGTATAGACTAATTATATAAGACATGCCTATATACTTGAGGTATATCAATGCACAATCCGAATCGCCCCATGCCCATGCTCCCACTCCCTCAACCCATCTCTCAAACTATACCAAAACCTCAACCGCACCGTCTCCCTCTGCGCTGTCTCAATATCTCCACTATCAAATGCCTTATGCAATTTGTCTACTGTTTCCTCAATCCTAGTCGCATTTTCTTCACGTAGTCGCGCAACGGTCGCTTCTGCCTCTGCCACGGGAGCGGATGATAATTCTTCGACGGCTTCTTGAACATCCATTACTTCCATTAATGTCTCTGAATCGAGCGGGTGTGTTTGTGCGCTGTCTTCGGCTAGGACATCGATGCCATGGAAGTGTGAGAGGAGGTATTGCGCTCGACTTAGGGGGTCGATTAAGGTGCGATAGGCGTCGTTGATGCGTGAGGAGAGTGCTTCGCTGCGTTGTTTCTCTGGGCCTTGGGGGAATTTGTCGGGGTGGAATGCATTTTGGAGCTGAAGAAATTCGCGTCGGAGAGCGGATGTATCGAATGAGAAGGATGAGTTTGGAGGCGGGCCCTGGGGAAGTGTGTTTGGGAATATTGTGTAGTGATTTGTGATGTCGGGAGTAAGTGGGTTTGAGCTGGGGTTGACTTTTTCTGTAGTGGTCTGGCTGGGATATGAATAGCTCGGAGACGATGATAACCCACGTCGTTGGGATGCTAGTTTGAGTGTATTGGATGTAAATTGTTTCTGCTGACATAGGAGACAGATTGGACGCGAAGGTGAGTATGATAGAGGTCCTCGGGCGCGAACTGAGGACATCAGCCTCTGGGGCCGCAGAGTAATAGCCCCTTGCATGCTGAAGGCTATAAAGAGTACTAAACGATGTAGATGAAGACAATAGCAGACTTGAGTTGAATTTAAGATCAAAGTTTGATTTTGGTAGATTTATCAAAATCGGAGCTAATTAAGCCTACGTCACAGTGCGGGTCGCCGATTGGTCCCTGATGCTGCTTCCGCCTAATCACTTTGGTACTAGTCGGTAGAAAATCTATCAAGATCCAAGATGTTGAACGTACAACTCTCATCTCTGGACCTGCGGTATTAGGCTGATGGCTGATTAGATTCTCGGAAGCGGTGTTATGGTATATGGATACTCCATATTGTTAGCTGCTGAGGTGAGTGAGAAGCCAGCTGGGAGCAGGGATACCCATGGTCCCATGCGCATGAATCGCAGTGATGTCCTTGCTAAGTTCGTCGCTGGGTGACTGTCAGGAAGTGATCTAGGACAAGATACAACAGTAGAAACTGATCGCATCTATTCAATCCCCCATAACTTAACCGTCCGATCATGACTCGAACTCGCAATCCACTTTGCATCAGGACTAATATCCACACTCAACACTTTGTCCGAATGACCACTCAACGATTTCACAAACGACCAGTCATCTGCACTAAACACGTTGATATTGCGATCAAACCCAGAGCTGACAAAAAATGTACCCGCTTTTCGTGGTTCTGCCGATGTGTTTTCGCTGGTGTCCATTGCATCTCCATCCCCATTCTGTGTCGTGGTAGTTGGGAGGTATGAATGGGAGGAATCGCATCCTTTATACCACCGCACATCTGAGACGACACTCTTGTGTGCACCGATATTACCGCTGCAGTCGACTTTGCGCAAATCCCAGCATTTTACCCATCCATCTCCCGAACCGGTCAAGACACGATACCCATCAACACCCCAATCGATACCGTAGATTTCCCGAATATGTCCCTGAAGAACCATGACCGTTCGACCAGTCCGCAAATCCCAGATTCTGCCGTAGCTGTCCAACCCACCACTAGCCAATAGCGACCCGTCAGAGTTGAACGCGACCGAGTAGACTTCTTTCGAATGACCTTCTTGCAATAACAATTCCGTCGTGGTCTCAACATCCCATAATCTCCAGGTCGTATCATACGAAGCAGACGCCACGTATTTTCCTGAAGGGTGAAACTCCACCCTACAAACCCGTTCCGTATGTCCCGACAACGTCGCTAAAGGTTCCTTTTTATCCAACGACCACAAATTAACATTCCCTTCTCCTCCACCAGAGGCGAAATTCAGTGAAGATTCCGACACATTTGATGACGATAACGTAGCGCCGGGAAACCACGACAGTCCACTGACACGATCACTATGTCCCTTGACACTAAATTTCTCATCCAGATTCGGCACGCTAAGTAATTTGATACCCCCCGCCCAATTCCCCGTTGCAACTGTCTGTCCATTGGGCGAAAATCGAGCAATACTAACAGGTCTATCGGCCGCAATCTGTGACCCATACAAATCAAAACCTTGTAATTTCTCCTTGACGGCTTTGCGATGTTTTATATGTGTTCGTAATGGTATCTTGGACTGTTCCAATTGCCACGCAACTCGCGACTTGGCTCGCGGTAAAGAGTATAGTGCAATCTTCTTCCTCGCATCGAGTAACTCCCGTGATCCCTCTGTATAAAATTCTTCCTGTTGGTCACCTTCCTCCTCTTCTTCAGCGGCAGCAGGAGTCGCCGTCTGTGCTCTTTCGCGTAACATGTCAACATCTTCACCACTTTCTTGTCGTTCTTGTAAAGTGGTTAATAGCTCTCGTAACCGGTCTCGACGATCACCGGGCCCTTCGCCAAAGAGTGTGATTGGTTCACCGAGTTCGCGCAGTCGTAGACGGACGCGAGTATCGTCTGTGGGGACTACGATGGCTGCTGCGCGGCGTTTGCGTTCGAATTGTGAGAGGAGTGCTGATGCGCGTTCCGGTGCGATTCCGGCGGCGGCGGAGGGGAGGTCATAGTCGCGGTCGGTGGCTGAGTTCGTTTAGGTCATTGATCAAGTGTGAAGGAGGGGGATAGAGAGAACTTACGTAGATCTGCGAGACTGATGCCCATGTCTGTGTCTTCGGCTTCCTCTACATACGCCTGTCTCGATGGGTGCATCATCTTGGCTGCTTATCAGACCCGTTATAGTAGAAAGACAAATACAAGAGACTTATGTAGTGAGAATGAAAGGTCTCGTGGAAAGAGGACGTATGTCGCTGAGCTTTCTTGATGTTCAACTTTTTTGAAGCTCGAAATTGCGGCGGAGCTAAGGCCGTCATTAGCTTGATACGTATTGGTATTACGGTAATTAATATTATTGATATAAAAACATCAGCAAGATAGTTATCAGAATGGAAGCTTTTAGTGACAAGATAGATGAATTAAACTTATTACTTCTTCCCAGCTGTTCTCAACCATTCGCAACCAACAACTTAGAAGCGCAATAATGAAAATATCAAAATGAACAACAAGCACGAACACGTATATTTTAATACAGAGACCAACCAGAATGAAAGTCATAGGAAAATGATTCAGAAGCATGGCTTTTCTGGGACTGCACCAGGAAATCTCCATTAGAAACAAGTAACATAGAAACACAATTTGAGAATCCTACTCTGAGGCGACAAACATAGCACAATTTGAAGCAAAAACACCCATCATAAATTGCAAAAACCATTGACAAGAGAAGTTGAGAAGAACACGCACCGCCAGAAGAAACCATCATTACAAGAAAATAGATTATGCGGATGCTTCATCCGCGGCCTGTTTGGCATCACCAGCTGTCTCAGTTGCGGTCTCTTTTCCAGCAGTTTGTTCAGTAACTTCCGGCTTGTTCTTTGATTCTTCAGGTGCAGCATCAGCCATAGACTGGTCCTCGACATCGTCAGCGGCTTCGCTAGGTTCGGCTCCGATCAACTTAGGCTCAGGACCATCAGCTTTGGGCTCATCAGCTGAAGCGGCTTCGTGACGAAGTGCATTCGCGCCATTCGACTCTGGTTTCGCCTCCTTATCAGCAGGGGGAGCAGGGGTCGGAATATCCGAATCAAGAAGGTTCTTCCATCCCGTTAGAATATCCATGGACCGCTGTTTGAAGTGGTATTCCTCCTCCTTGGGAATCGATGGCAATTTGATAATGGCTTTCAAGACTTTCTGAATCTTGGTTTTACGGATGATAGACACTTCAATCTCGCCGTAATTCTCTAGTTCGGTCATGAATTTCGCCATTAGATCCATCTCTTCTTCTTTTGGCGCTTGGTCGCGCTGCAAGAAGCCTTTTTGTAGCTTATGGCGAAGGAAGAGAACTATGATACGCAAATTAGCTGACTGAATTGAAAGTTCAAATTTCTGCTGCGCATACCTCTCTTCTGTTTATTGGCCTTAGCCTCCTGGGGATCAATTTGTGGAGTTCTCTCTTTAGGAGGTTCCTCCACCTTTTCGACAGGCTGCTCAACAGGCTTCTTGGCCTTGCTCGTTTTTGGCTTCTCAGCATTCGGGTCTTTGGGTGTGCTTAGTTTGAGCTTAGTCGCCGTCTTTGGAGTTTTGGGAGGCTGTACGACTGTTAATTAGGGTCTGGACAAATGAAACCAAGGTGGTGCTTACTTTCTCGTCTTCAGCGTCACTCCCAGCGTCCTTCTTGCGCTTCTTTGTGCTCTTGGGCTTCTTTTCACCCTCGTCTGCATCAGCCATCTCCACATCCTCAGTTTCAGCTGCAACGCTTTTCCGCTTCTTCTTCTTTTCCTCCTTTGCGGCTTCTCTGGCTTCTTTGGCAGCTTCCTTCTGAGCTTTCAGAGCAGCTTTCTCTGCCGCGACAGCCTCCCGTTCTTCAGCCTCCTGTTGAATTGCTCGCTGATGATCGGCGAGCAGGTTCTTAAAGTACTGAAGATCATGGCCTTCAGCTGCAACCTTGTATGCAGCAATCAGTTGTTTTCCCTTTCCTTTTTCGCTGACGTCTTTACATTGCGCTGGATCTAGGGGAGTGAGATCGGTATTAGGAATCCACGCACTAACACATGATTTGTTAGCATCAGTCTCAAAGATAACAGATTCTGCTCTCGCCACTTACAACTCGTTTGTCTCCAAAAACATAATAGGGAACGTCCGGTCATGGACTCGCTTGCCCCCGTCGGCATATGCTTCCTTGTATGTACCATCGGCTTGCTTGGTTGTTACTGGACGAGTGTTGAGTAAGCTTAATGGAAGCATCTCCTCATCACAAATGATAGCTGGCCATGGAGGAAAACTCTTCAGCCGTGCAAGGTAGTATTCTCCGGGTGCTGCATCCAGATGTGTGATACGTTGTTGCGACTTTTTCTTGTTTAGCTTCTTCGACGATGACGGCCCACCCACAGACTTGCGCTTCGCACTGGATGGTCTCGGTGTAGAGGTGCCGTTGACGGCTGGAGCCTCTGCTAGCGTTGGCTCTCCATCATCTTTGCCGTTTACTTCCGTCGGCTCAGCAGCGGGTGCTGCTTCTGTGTTTTCTGGTTGTTTCTCTGTAATCAAGCATGTTAGCTACGCGACCATTCGCTTCCCTTACGAGGCGTTAAATACCTGCAGGCTTGTCCTTCTCTTCGGTTTCAGTGGTTTTGCCATCGTCTTGTTTCTGTGCCTGTTCGGCTGTGGCCGAGTCTGGCTTGGATTCACCTGCCGCAACGCGCGAATCTCCAGCATTGGCGGCGACAGCAGGGGTGGCTGGAGACTCTTCAGACATAATGCGCAATTGGCGGGGACACGAATTGAGAGTCGGGATGTATGGTAACTTTGTGATAAGAATAGAGAGATGGGGACGGAAGTCTGTGAAGATGGTAGTGTTTTGTTGCTGAAGTGAGGTTAGGCGGAGGAAGGTCGCGCAAGATGGGTCTGTGGCGGGAGTCGAAGCCGCAAGCGCAACGCGTGTGTGGAGGAACTGAAACGATTTACCCGCACAGGCAGACAACAACCTCAGTGGCTATTATGGATACTAGCCCATTGATAGGTCTACTGTGTATCAATTGAGGTATTCGCACTGGACAATAAACTGTCGTGTTGGTACAACCAATAAATACCCCTCAATATGTTTGGAGGTTTTCTCGCAGCAAGCGAGCAAGATCCTATCAGAGCTAAACCTCCAATATTGACCAACGCTTTGACTCCAAAGGCTGTCAGATATTGTAGTTTGATAATCAGGACGAAGGAGTGCTGGAATCAAAAGTAGCATGCATTTGTTTTCGTATATTTGTGCTACTAATGTGAAACCATCAAGAACAGATAGAAGAAGAGAGAGGCTGACAAAAAAAAAAGAAAAGATGATTCATAATGCTACAAAAAGGGAAGGGGTGACTGAGTATTCAGGCACCAACCAACATAAGGAAGGCGCCGCGCGATTCTACATCTTGTTTCTTTCTTCAACAAATTCATTGTATTCGTTTATTCATTAATCAAACACTGCTCAATGCCTGTCAACAATATATTCACAGTTTGAAAATATGGAACAATAGGGGATTGAGAAGAGAAGTATTACAGAGCCATCATAATGACTCTATTCCAGTCCAGGTTCAACCTAGGGCAAGAAAAAATTGATTAGGACAGGAGAGAGGCATGTGCCAGGACCTTGGGTTCATCTTGCTCGTCTGTATCCTCATAGACGTCCATGACCTGTCGCTCCGGCTTATGCATACGCAGCGCCCATAGAAAATAGTCCTCAAGAGGGAGCAGGTTCAACAAGATCGAGTTTGCCCACCATCCAAAGAAGCAGACAAGAGTACCGGCCACAGCATCCAGAATAAAGTGATTAGCTGTTGCGATGATGGCAGCGAGGATGGTTAGTGGATATGCGACACCCAGAGCAACACAAAGCGCGCGGCGCCAGGACGGCAAACCAAATCGCAAGTTGATGCGATTGGAGACAAGGGGCAATCGAATTGATGTCGATTGTCGGTGTTGAGGTGATAGGGGGATTGTCATGATGGACAATCCGATCATTAATGAATACCCAAAATGCAGGGAGGGCATTGCGGCTATATCCTGGTTAGTTGTAGCCCTGAAAATGATTTTCCTGCGATGTCTTACCGTATTGATTGCAGAATCGATTCTCAGTCCAAACACTGCCTGCGCCCTTTTCACCGTGAACGGTATCAACGAAGCCATAACTCCTTGCCAAATCACCGACGCTACCGGCTACATGTTCGTCGCTTAATAGGCGAGGAGGCATGCATGGCCATAACGTGAAGACGACGAAAGCAGCAAGATTGCAGACAGCCAGGGTGCGTCGACGAGCAGCGTATAAAGGAGGACCTCCCGGTGATCCATTGATCCTATGGTCGAGAGGGCTGTACCTCGGATCATCCAGCGAGTTTCGCGTGGTGGTATAGTAGTACAACCATACCAGAAAGGCAATCGTACCGGGGATATGGATGAACGAATAGACCCAGTTCGTCACGTTCATCAGCATCGGCCTTGCCAAGAAGAATTTCTGAATATCGGTCTCGACAAATATCCCCAGCGCTTTCTCGATTTGAACAAGTTGTAAGGCGTGCGTCCTTGCGATGTCGACAGTGTCATCTTTGAGCGTCATGGCGGTGAAAGCGCGGCCAAGCTGATATGTCTGTTGACGCAGATCGATCAGCTTCATTTCAACGCTTCGGTATTCTTAGATGGTTGCTTACCCAGTACACCAAAGCCCAGTACCAGCATTCCACCAAGAATGGAAGTCGACATAGCAGACGACTCAAGGTTCGATTACGGAATATCGCTGTGTTGGGCGAGTGTGCCTTGAATTTGTATGGTCCAAGCGCGATAGTTCGTGTCCTCCATTTAGCCTCGTGGTGAAGTAATGAGGGCGACAACGGCCTTGATTCTGCATATGCATCTTTGTCCGTAGTAGATTGGAGTCCAGTCTCCTCGTCAACATCTGAGTCGGATGACGACCCAGAGGACAGTCTATACTGGGAAGCACTTCTAGATGAATGATATGAGTTTTCTTTTCGACGATTTATCCATGTCCCTCCAAAGAGGAGAACGATGACCGTCAAAGGTTCAAGCACAGCTCCAACACCCATGATAACAAAAGCCCGGTAGAGAATCAATGGCGCATCGATCTACCCCTTTTGCCACAATAGAGGTGTTGACACGAAGTCGGAAGGGGATGGGAATGAAGGACAAGAGGAAAAGAAGAGTGATCCACAGATCTCAGTCTTCTGGCTTATTACCCAGACGTGGAGCGAGTTTGACCGTTTCATTGGGAAACTCGCGCTGTTACGACATACTTATGGGACGAGCAGCTTATGGTAAGCACTATCACATCAGCGATCCGCACAAGACTACCCAGAGACGGAAAAGGAGCATAGTCCTATGCATAAAACCAAGAACTTAGAAGCTTGGTTCGGCTGCCAGTAGGGATGGTGCCGTGAATGGCTTGAATGCCCTCGTTTTCATGCTGGAGATCGAAGCAGGGAGTTGCGTAATGGCGAGTCAGCAGCAGGACAGCTTAGTCAACGAGATAACAGGGTCCTACGAAGTATTATTGGGAGGCTGCCAAGCTTGAAAGTTGGAACATTGGATAAATGGTATATTCCATGAAAAAGATGCTATTGGCTCGTTTCTGAGAAGCGTCTTATGCTCACCTCTGGACGGCCGTGACTCGATACCGATTTGGGCAATGGGGCACATGTACAATTTCTTGGCCAGAGACATATTCAAGATTACAGTCTGCGTCTCCGCCGTCTGGTTTGGGATTGAGTCTGGTGATTCGCCGAGATGAAGAAAATTCAGTCGGAATGCTCCTTCGAGTAGATGCACCGAGCTACGACTAAGCTTGGCACATACCAAGTTAAACCGGTTGAATTAGTCGACCAGACAACAAGTCGCGGAGATAAGATCAGCTATGTACGTAGGTAGTTGAAACTGGGCCGGCCTCCAAGAACCACTGTTTCGCCATTGGACACAGAGCACCATCAAAGAGGTTCAAGGACCTTGTTATATCATCGAAAATTCCCGGATTATTTCCTTTATAAGTACGGACGAACCATTTATCAAGCTACAACTACAAAGAAAAGGTGGAGAGGGTGGACTCGATATTCGCACACGACCACGCGTACTCCGTAGTATGGAGTATGGAGACTACCATAGTAGGTACACTTCGGAAGCAGCGGAACAAACCTGCAAATCACCAGTTGGCCGAGCGTCTCTTATTTCCACGGCCAATAGATGACAAGCCAGTCATCATCGCCAATGTTGATCAAACACACGCTTGGCAAAAGTTCATAACTCGGATCGGATTGTCTTATTCCTTGCAAAAAAAGCTGTTTCGGCCTCGGAAGTTCTGGTTCTTCGAGATCTCTGCTTCGGATTCACTAATCTCCGGAGGTCTAGATATCAACTCCGTGCGCCATCATCAAGCGCTTACCCAGTCTGTATATTGATGACTACGTATGTGGTATTTCTCACAGGCTACAGCGGCACTCGCCGCTATCTGATCCGATCAATTAAGTACCTGGTACCAGATTCCTTTGACGCCGTTAACCTTATCGTGCCTTTTTTCTCCATAATTCTGAGTTCTGTCCCCGAATCTCCGAATCCATTGACTTTTTTCTTTGGATTTTTAGTACTCCGTACGTATGTATTTACTGGCATAGTCAGGGCATGACATGTACTGTCTGCTATGCTTTGGTGTCACGAAGTTATCAGATTTTGATAAAGTGCGGCAGAAGATCCACGTCAGGAAATATCGAAATCTCCCACGGCAAGAGTTCCAACATTGAAATACAGTCCCCAGAGGAGTCTAGCATAGACAACGCCCAAAATGCATTTTTTGATCATTACGAATAGTACTAGAGATGTCCCAGATTCTCAAGGTTGGTATTGGTTATTGTGTACCTGGGATATCTACTCCGTACGCTATCATCAAGGGGTTGTTCCATTTCCATACCTAGTGCTCGCTCTGTACGCTCATGTCCGGCAGAAAATCGAAAGGATAATAATGATTGTGCTTGAAACATAGTTATTTATTCATCTCCTTTCGAGTTGTACTGAACTAGACTGGAAGCAACCCCAAAGACATCCCAGAATCCCCAGACTGATACTCCAACCCTAGCTCATCCAAGAACCACGACCAATCCAATGAATATAATCCATCACCAGCTTCAGCAGCAGATCCGTACCACGGCGGTATAGGGGGTTGATTTAGATTATAGTCGTCGCTGCCCTGGCCGATGGGTAAAGCATGTCCTTTGGCGCTGGATGTAGGAATAGAACCTAAACTGACTGGATAAGATACAGACGCCGCTTGTGGATGTGTTTTGTAGACATCACTCGCATCGAGGGGAGGTAAAGATGGCAGTACGGTGTCTGAATCTGTCATGTATTCGAGTAGAGATTCATCTGAGAAGGATGTTTTGATTGATGATGGCCTAGTATTAGTAGAAGTGGTTGTGCACCGACGGAGTCGTTCAAGTTTTGCCCATCGAAAGTCGCGAAAGTCATATTCGGCGGGGTCTTGGCCTGTTATGCTCAATTCGCTGGGACCAAATCAGTTGTTTTGTCAGTTATAGGGTTCAAGGGTAAAAAAGGGGAGAAACCTTCGGAATGCGACGAGATCAGTTTCGTTGAGGATATGTCCCAAGTCACATCGTAGAATCCGGTGGACTGCTTCAATATGCTTTGATCTTGCTGTCAGCAGGGCCTTTGTGATGATCTATAGAATTTTAACGCACTAGGTTTCTGGCGATTTCAGATCGCTTTGCAATGTTTCGAATGACAGAAAAAAGATGAGGGATCGCTTTCATGAATTCAGGCGCTTTGGGGTTCATGGATGGATCTATTTCCGACAAGCGGTGGGTTTCGAATAGAAGGACTATTATTCTCATCAGTCTTTGCCTTTACTAATTTGAATGAGAAGGTCTGACTCTCTAGAGCAACATAAGCGTCTACAGCAACATCAGGATCAAAGTAGATACCCGCCCTGAGACCTTCGGCGACAATGCGAGCAGTGGGTAGAGCATGAGAGATCCTATTCCTCCTGATTTGAGATATAAGATCGGCTTTGGTTGAGTTGTCTTGGCTATAGATATGTAGCGCTGCCCGGCCGGTGATGATGAAAAGGTTATGCCGTATAACATGTAAAAGAATAAAAGTGATGAGTCGATGTCGATGGAGCAACATGTTACTGGAATTGAAATGGAATTCCTTTGGTAGTGCGTTGATAACCTCTTCCATGTCATGCTCGATGGTAGCTAGTTCGGTCGTCAATTCTTCGCTTGTCTGTTCTGCGTGCGAGGCACGAAAGGCGAAATGCAAAGCACGGCGCCGCGCGGCTGCTGTTCGGAGAAGATAGTCTGATATGTCGAGTAATTGTTCCTCGGATTTATTAGAAGAATCAGCATTAGCTGAAACAGAGGCATTGCAGCGAAGCGGTCCCGTCACGACGTTCTCGTTGCGAAGAAAGCTAGCCTCGTCACAAGCGAGTTGAATACTATATGCCTTTTCGTCAATAGTATGGAAGCCGTACCGACCACCGTCGATAATAGTGTCATTGTAAAAAGTGCTCCACGCAAGACGGCGGAGGGTTTCGCGAGAAAGAAGAGGCGAGAGTCGTAGATTAGAGGTCAAGTTTGATGAATACGTACGATCAAAAGTTTGTAGAGACATCATCTGCATCATTCTGCGTACATTCTTTTAGACTGCGCTGTACCAACGAGCGGACATTGGATGAATGGTGATGTTGTATTCTGACTGCTCACCTCGTGCAATTCGAACTTATTAGCCAGGCGGACGTGAACGTGCCGCGACATCTATCATATAGCTGAGCTAGTAAGAGGGTCTGTTTGGTGGTATCAGGATTTCGTTTCTCAATACGGCAGGGGAGCACCTCCCTTAAGATGCAGGGTCCTACCTACCATGAGCTGAATAGCCCCGAGCCCTCGATAGATCCGCGGAAGAAGGGATTCGATCGCCGCGTCAGCCCACGCATCTGCTCTCGCCAGATTCTCTGGAGTTGGCCTGGCGGCGAACCTAAAGACCTGCGTTGAGCAATTGTTCAACGCCGAGTTAGGGCTTAACAAAGGATTTGACTTACCGCACTGCACTGGCAATCATCATAAGAGTTAATTCACGGGGTGCCTTGCCCTGTTCGAGGAGACGAGTGAAATGAAGTTCATGCACAAATGCGAGGAATCCGAAATCTGAGAATATCAGATGAACAATCCAGTAAGTCCAATCAGATAGTACCATTCTAGGAGACTCACGATGGACCGACGAAAAATAAAGCCGAATCAAATCTGACAGCTCTTGACCTGTCGGCAGCTGTCCCTTTGGTGTCTGTTCGAACTGTGTTACATCCTCAAGGAGTAGCGTCTCATGGAGTGTCTCACTACTCGAGTTGGATAATGGCGGAGAGCTGTCCTGTACCATGCCCAGCTCGCCGATTTGCAAGAATTGGAAAGCAGCATGATCACGGGAGAACAAGCAGCTGGAGCACTCGATGGAGATCCAGGCAGAGCACGCCGTATAGACCTCGTACATTCCGCCCCCATGTCCCTGCACTTATTGCATGTATCAAGTACATCCCCTACACATTTAAGCTATGATTGATTACGGTCAGCTCGTTGCTCGAGAATGGAAAGGGGCATCAATACCTTCTTCTCTCGACATAGATCACAAGCAGTAGCATTAGGTCTTCTGGAGAAGGTTATCCTCCTATCATCAGAATGCAGCCAATCGCAGCTCCTGTTGCCCTTTCGGCATTGCGTGCATGTGGGCTTCTTCTCATCGCATTTTACCTGGAATCGCATGTCAGTCAGAAGGGTTAAGATTAAGAAACGGATTTTGTCCAAATTTATAGCAGTACGAAACCGATCAACAGCTTAGTACATGTATACCAACTCACCCGCCTCTGTCTGCACGTCCGACACCCTGTTCTGGTGCGACAGATTCTTTTTCTAGTCTCCTGCGTCATTACTACAAGTTCGTAGAAGGATGCATTGCACGCTCCGGTATCTGACATAGCTGACCATCATATATGCAAGATACTAGACCTGACAGAAACGGATTTAGCTATAGATGCGAAGGGAATCATGTCGGGGTCGTCTACTAACTTAAATACCAAGTTAAGTTCTATCCATAACGTATTTCACGGCTAAATGGCGTGATTTTATATGAGTTCTCGTACCAAAATAACGTCTTTATCTCTCGAATATTTCGTATCTACTACTCCGTACGTATTTTAATATTATACCAAACATCTATTTACTGTGAAATATCAGGATGTCTTCATAGATTCAATATACAGTGACCTGCCTCACAAATGATGCTAGATTCCCCGCATATTGAAGCTTCTCCACATTCGCAAGGTTCCAACCTCTCCTCTCTTTTTTCTTTGGAGTTTTGGTTGGGATACTATCCGATGGCATTGGTCGAGACGTGCTGTTAACTACCAATCTAGGTGCAACATTGCCCGGAGGCGATATTGGGAGCTAAATGGCTTGAGCATATTGAAAGTAATGAAGCATTTTCGGAACATTCATTGCCTCTCCTTTAGATATCCCTAGGTACAATCTACCGGATATTCTCCCCATCTCGCACCCATCCATAACCGTTGTAACTCGACTTCATCTTCCCACAACTCCGGCGCCTCATCAATCCCTAACCCCGGTGCCAAAGCTCTTCCCCCCCCATACAATACCACACTCTTTTACGTACTCCTCCCAGCATGCTAGCAATTCTTTCAGCTTCTCTGGTTCGGCCCGAGCAAGGTCGTTGGTCTCGCCGGGGTCATTAAGTACATTGAATAATTCCCAACCTTCGTCACCTTCCCCTGCACCCCCGTGGGCCTTCGAGATGTGAACAATCTTCCAGTTTCCTTTTCTCAGTGCACCCCTTGCAAAGAGCTCCCAGCCGATAGGTTCTGAAGACGAGTGGATAGCCCATATCTCGTCATCTTTTTCTACTGCCTGTCCCTTGGCAAAAAATGAGACCCAAGATTTGCCTCGGATAGCGTGCACTTCTTTCCCTCTAAACTTGGACATCATTCCCACGGTGTTAGCATCTTTATTCTCTACGGTAGGAGGAAGAGACACGCCTGCCAGGTCAAGAAAAGTGGGAACAAAGTCCATCACGGTGGTAAAAGACCGGCTAAACGAGCCCGGTTGGAAAGACGGGAGAAATGAGTGTGCAGGAGGTTTGACTACACATGGAACAAGAATGCCGCCTTGGGAAGGGAAACATTTGAACAGTCTCGAAGGAGCGGTAGATGCTTGAGCCCAAAGCGGGCCAAACCTGGAATATCAGTTGTTAGCTTGTGTTCATTGTTTTCAGTATGAAGCTTACTGACCACGTGAACGAGTTCCAGGAGCCAATATTGTCGTACGAGTTGTCATAGTATTGATGAATTGCACGCTGGATGTTATCACCCATTACCGCTATGAAGGCGAAAGTAAGCTTTACTGAAGTATCAACTCGAGAGATCGATCTGGCCACTTACGGACAGCTTCCAAACTTCAGTTCTAGGATCAGCCTAAGTTCCAAGGACTCGGAGATCAAAAGTCAGGTCGGAAGATTTACTTACGCAGCCCCCTCTGCTCCATTATCACTCACGAATACGATAAAGGTGTTGTCATACTCTCCAGTCGTTTTCAGGTAATTTATCACTTTGCCGGTGTTAACATCGATTGAGTCCACCATGCCAGCATATACCTCCATCGCTCTGCTTGACAATTTTTTCTCTTCTGGTTTCAGCTCGTCCCATTCCCCAACACCTTGTGTGGTCGTTTCGACCTGATGGGCGACAACAGATTTGTCAATGATACCGAGTTCGACCAGATTCTTTAGACGGCGTTCTCGCAAGGCGTATGGGCCATCGTCGTACGTTCCCTTGTATCTGGACCGTGGATATCAGCTGGCTGAAAGGAGGTATATTGGTGCAGAAAGAGTAAAAGGAGAGGAGATATACTTATCACGTTGAGCCTTGGAGCATTGCAATGGCCAATGAGGAGCAGTATACGGTAAGAATGCAAAAAAGGGTTTCGACTTATCGCTCTCAGATCGATCTTCGAAGTATTGAATCAACCGATCAGTGTAATACTTAGTTGAGTAGAAGCCGTCTGGGTCTTCTGTTTTATTCGTCTTTCTACAGACAGAAAAAGTCGCCATTGGTTAGCCAATCTGACTAGAGCTCTCATACCTTTCGTGCAAGTTTCAGGGAATACAACTCACATTTCAACTTTCTTTCCCATCTCCGCATGGATCGGTCGACCACCGACTGGAAATCGTTCCTGTACAGGTTCCCAACCATAATGGTTACAGCAACCAGGAAGCATGGCAAATGCATCCTGGAACCCTCGTCTCCATGGTCCCTGACTGGTACGCAACCCTAAATGCCACTGATACCCGGTCAGCCCGCAGATATTTCAATGGTTTTAGCCAAAGACAAAAAGGATCACCTTTCCAGACATGACGGTATAATATCCATTATCCTCAAGTACCTCAGGCAACGTAACCACGTCATTGTTTAAATAGCCCTCATATCCCGCTTTCCCTGACCAGCGCTTGGCCCCTTGTTCGCTACGCTTGTATTCTATCAGAACTCCCAGTCCACCGAGATGCGCGTCAGTTCCACTCAAAAGCATTGCACGAGTAGGTGAGCAAGCTGCGGCGGTGTGATGATTGAGCATGCGGATACCTTCTGCAGCTAAAGCATCGATATTGGGTGTTTGTATTTCGGCGCCGTAACAGCCTATGTCAGAGAAGCCCTGGATATCGTGAGTTTTGTCCTCGACTGTTCTTACCTATGAACAAAAAGGAAGACAACGTACGAGGTCATCAGCAAGGATAAATAAAAAGCTAGGGCGCTTGAGCGTCTCATTTCCAGTGTCGAGCATGTTGGAAGTGATGTGTTCTGGTATGGAGGATATCGAGAGAAGCGCGGCCTACTTTGCTTTCAAAGTTATGAAATTAGAAGCCTCTACAAACCTCTAAGGCGAGGGATGTCCATTGACTTTTATTCGCAAAATTTATCTGTTTAAAAATTGGCATCTCCACCCCAAATGGAAGAGATGTAAGATAGTTAGAGCCTCGCTCGGATAGAATCATCTCGTTCGGAACGGAGCGACTCCGAGCGAGGAACTAACGAATCTATGGTTGAATTCCCACTCTCGGAATACTTACCTGGCCCCGATATTTATATATGCAGAGGCTTTCCCAGTCAGACCCCTGGCCTGGTCAACTCAAGCATTCGAAATACAAATTTGAAGCATGCACTGCAATCGTCCCATACAAAAAGAACTGCCCAAGCGCATATCAGAGACAATGGCAAATTCACGCAACTTCGGGTCTATGATGAGCCCTATGCTCCTATTTTCCTGTTTCTGCCTCCTAGTGGGAGACATGCTCTTTGGGTATGACACTTCTAGCTTTGGTGGTATTCTGGCCAACCCTGTAAGTCCATGAACTTCATCTAATCTACTAACGGACTGTTAATATTCTACATAGGGCTTTGTGAGACAGTTTGGACAATATCACCCCAAAACCAAGACGTATGCTATTGACTCCCTGCATACTTCACTTCTCAGCTCTCTCGCCTTCATCGGCAAGTTTATCGGATGCTTGTCGGCCGGTCCAGCCATTGAGAGATTCGGCATCGCATCGTGTTTTTTGGTCTCTCAATTGTCTCGGTTATGGGTGTTATCAGTAAGTTAATGCTTTACCTTCAGAATTATGTTTTCTTTAGTAGCTGATATTCATTCTTCTCAAGTCGAGATCACTGCTGCCGATACTGGTGCCGGAACTGGGCGACTGGCGCAATTCATTGTAGGTCGTATCATTGTCTACATTTCGGTTGGGCTCGTCGAGGTCGATATAACGTTAGTGCAACTTCTTCAAATAATTTTTGTTGTACCATTCAAGGGCGTCTGACAAGTCAAAATTTAGCACATATCAATCCGAGATTGTCCCAAGTCATTTTCGCGGTGCTGTCGTCGTCTCTCTACAACTATTTCTCAGCGCTGGATCAATCCTAGCCAGTGGTATCAACAAGGCATTTGCCACGAGAACTGATGGTCTGGGTTGGAAAACAATTACGGGTATCCAGTTCATCTTTCCCGTTTGTGAGTTGTGGCCCCCAGGCCTACTTTACTTCTTACGCTCATTGACAAAAATTGCAGTAATAATTCTCTTCACCCTTTTCATTCCGAGCTCTCCCCGTTGGCTGATTTCCAAAGATCGTAATGAAGATGCTATTACCGCCCTCTGCCGTCTCCGAAGCAAAGCCTATGCGGCCAATGGATTGTGCGCAGCTGAGATCCAGGCCATCCAGGAAGCCCTCCGACAGCATGTGCACAAATCTCCGTGGTTTGACCTTGTCCGAGGAAACGATTTGTACCGAACAATGATTGTCATGGTCTACTACTTTTCCCAACAAGTGAGTATCGACCGTTACTACTAAAAGTCATTGCTGGTCTGACCAAGGAGTTATCAGACCACTGGTCAAGCATTCGTTTCGACCTACCAAACAGTCTTCTACAAGACGAATGGTTATGCTCAGAATGCCTTCACTTATCCCATAATTACCAGTTGCCTTACTTTCATTTGCATTGTCCCAGTGATGTACATGGTGGACAAAGTCGGGTACGCCCATAACCCCAGTTCATTTCCTAGCTCAATGAAATTGTGGAATTGACAATTGAAACAAGTCGTCGATTGTCGATACTGCCTTATGTTTTCCTTCACCATACAAGCCTTTTGGATGTATCTGTTGTCTGGTATAGGGGAGCTGCAGCAAAAGACTCATTCAGAGAAGAACACAATCGTGGCTGCTTTTATGCTATATGCAATTTCTTACAACGTAAATGAGGCTTTACATGGAACATGTATACTTTTGCAAGATAGATGCGCTAATGACTTACCAGATGGGCGGTGCCTCCATTCCATATCTTCTCGGGGCAGAAATCCCCAATTCAGCTGTCCGTGAAAAGACGCAAGCCCTCGGATCAGCGTGGAACGTTGTGTGGGCATTCGTCACAAATTTTGTCATTCCGTACATGATAAACGACATCCATTTTCAGGTGGGATGGGTGTTTGGCAGTATTTCAGTACTTGCACTTCTGTTTACGGTTTTCCTCTTACCCGAGACAAAGGTGAGCTTTATTCCATTACCATGAAGTGCGAAATAGAAAAGAAGGTATACTAACCCTCTGCACAGGGCCTAGCACTTGAAGAGATAGATGCTATCTTCGCAGTTCCTTATAACCCTTTTCGTTCTGCCGAAATTCACGAAACCCCTACTCAGGGCCGGGTTGGGGAACTTGAAAGCAAGAAACAAATTGTCGTGGAGAAGAATGGCGATTACGCCCAGGAGGTCGTTGCTGTATAGTATATGCACAAATAGGTCCATACTACGAGTCCATTTCCCCTGGCTGCCTAGGTAGTTTGGGGTAGCGTAGAAACAACTCTTATTATAAGGAAATGTACCTAGGTATAGTTGCCGAGCAATATCGAACAAACGTTTTGTCTGGCCTTCATTGTCCGACGTTCATACCTTAACGTCAATCATTTTATATGAGTGATGCTTTGAGCAACTAGTTGTTGTCGGTTGACAAGCATGAAGCTATAAATCAGTCCGCGGAAGCCCTGGAGTGATCTAAGATTGGAGAGGAAAGTATACATATTGAAACTGTCCAGATATTCCGACGATAAGAGCACAGTATCTATATCAAAAAAGAAGCAGCTGAGTGACGCTATATGAATCCAGCAATAAATGTAACGCCCACCATGCGATTTTTAAATCATTTGCAACTTTTTATGCCTGGGGTGTTAAAAACGATCACTTGAACAATCATATCGTCGTGCAGACGCCAGGATTGAGGAGAGCCAAAGGCAAGTCGACCTGCTATCAACTGATGATGGCTCCCTCCCAGGGAATTGCGGACTAAATGTGCAGCAGCGTTGGCGTCTTGGATCGTTGTTCTATCCACGAATTTCCAACTAACACACTTCCAGAAGTGTTCAAAGTCAAATGGTTCGTTATCATCACAAGTTGTGAGATTTGGCTTTGGGTCGATTTCACGTCTTTTCTTGTTTTCACCTGTCTCTTGTGCTTATTCTAGCGATTTACCAACAAGAGAAACTGCCTGTTGACTGGAGAGCATGTCCCACATGCCATCCGTCGCCATAATCAAGAATGAAGGTTTATCCGGCTCGATTTTTATGCTGACCACAACAGACTCGGCGGTTAGGAACGGTGGCGTTCGAATATCGTACTTTGTTTTCAGAGGTGCAGGGCCATAGAATCATTGTCTAAATCCTGCTCTATTTCCAGGGAACATTTCCGCTGGGCATCGCCAAAAGCTCATGAGAACCATCATTCTTAGCACCCGTCCGTTTTTGGCAACGCCCTCTTCCCTGGGATGCTCACTATAGAGCAGAGTGACTTCCTCCTTGTTACGGCCGGTCAAATCTATTGATAAAGGTATTACTTCCCATGTGCCATCTGAGTTTTTGGCGTATCTAGCGAATGCAGGTCAATCTGACTAGACGATCGTTATGGAATTCCGGCCAAATCCAAACCTGAGGACATTGCTTGTTTCCTTCGATTGTGGACTAGTTTTACGGGCATGCGTAAAGCGATACAAGCAGTAAATCGAGACAAGGTTGTCGAGTCTCAGGATTGCTGTTTACAGTCAGGGAAATTTGTATTTACACACCACGACCTCGCACCTCGGAATCTTTCTTCTCGCACCTTCAGGCGAGCTTTGGATACTGGATTAGGAATGAACTGGGTTTCTATTCAATATACTTCGAGAATGCCTCTAGCAGAATTTTCATATCCCCAAAGATCGGAACTTTTGGGCCAAATTAAGATGGTGTCTATTTATCTGGATTGCGGTTGGACGCTACGAGCAGAGCGCTCGCATCCTCGAGCATATAAGGTCCAAGTTTACTCGATTTTCAGCTGGAAGACGGTTCGGGCTGTTGAACAGAGGAGGCTCGAGTAGATATGTTGTATTATAAACCGGACATAACTACTCTTGTTAGGGGATAATACTCGTAATAGTGTGACAACTTAGTATTTTGACGCCCGTTTAGGTATAAATCTACGGCCAAGTGAAACGAATGTCCGACTAAGAGTATATATTCGTTTTGGATTTGGAGTATGCATTGTCCCTTGTTTGGAATATCAGTGTGTCGTTCCTCTAGTTCGCCCAGGCGACAGCGAATTACGCATTTTACTTTTTCACCTTGCGGTGATATTACAGTAATGGTCGATCTTGACTCATACAATAATGAACCTCCAGGGAGAGTCGCCACAGTCTGCCATCAAAAATACCCTCTAGTCCGTTCAACCGGATGTTGTAACGGTGACCATCCGTAACCCCTTATTTAGAAACATTTTGTGACTTTTTCGTTCCTTGCCGTTTTCTAACAGGCACTAATGATGGTTATGTACGTCGTACGATTAATCAATGTATATCGGAAACATTTTTAGTTCATGGAGAGAATTACGCGAAAAAAGAAAGAGCCTGTGGAGACTTAGCGCTTATCACTTTTTTCTCTGCACTTAGATAGTACGAATCTGGTGTTTAGACAGATGACCCGAGGGGCTCGAATCATTAATTGATATTGAGCGTACAACAGTCATTGGCTATAAAATCTGGATAGTTTACTATTGATGTTTTGGACGGAAGAAGATTCGGGTTCTATTGCAGTTTTGTTATCAGTGCGATGGTTAGTACGATGAAGAAAGGAAGAAGTAGAAACCAAACAAAAGGGAAGAGAGAGCCAATGATCAAGAATTAGAAATAAAAAGGAAAAGGCAAGGACGAGGACGAGGAACGGAAAATAAGGATAGCAACTGCTGGAAGACAGGCAAGAAAATGTAAGAATCTGTTAATGCCTGGAACCTGTAGACAAACACAAAGCTAACAAAAACAGCCCAAACCCACTCTCGTTGGCAATGAAAACAACTCATATTGTTTCTCCCATGATTTCTATCATAGCCTAAGCATGATTTAAAATACCTAGGGGGAGTCGGAGGCCGCAATCCAGTCAAACTCCTCGCGCCACTGTACTATCTCATCTTTCGTGGATTGTGGAAGGCTCAGCCATCTTCGGTTACTTCTCTCTAAGATCTCTACAAGCTGAATAAACTGTTTTTGTTCTACTTCGAACACATCTCACTTAAATGCTTTCTCTTAATGATATGGTATGAGGTTGCAATGGTGAAAGAAGGTATTAACGGCTCTTAAAGGCCATAACCGCGGGTCCAAGAACTTATCATTGCAAATCTTCAAGTCCAATGCGGCCTAGCCGTTTATAATCCCAGATAAAGAGACCATAATCAGCTGCAAAGTCACAGTAGCTGTTTGGATCTGGGCCACAGCCATACTTGTCATACTCATTCGGACACCATATCCAGTAATAAGAAAGCGTGATAGCATCATTCCTTCGTTCCACCCATGCGCTCACTTTGACCGTCGAGCTCGGCCTTGCTTCCTTTTAATGGATTTGGCTCTTCACATTTACAATGTAGAGTCTTCTCGAAATTGGTCGAGCAGGTCCATTTTCTAAGCCAAAACTTATGGAAAGATTGACTCGTGAATCGTGTGAACAAGTCATCTGGATAATCCAGGAGTCTTCGAGTGGCTTTCAGTATGCACTCCATCTCTTCAACTTCAGGACATACCCACAGAAGGAAATTGTAAGCAAGCAAGCCAAACACCTGTGTTCTCAGCTAACATTTCGAACTGCTTCTCTCTTGAGAAGGTATATAGAGATAGCTCGTATTATTACCGAAGACAACGCTAACGATAGGTATATTAGCAGTCACAAGACATAAGTCTATCCTACTACTTCTTAGCACAGGATTGAGGACAGTATAGCTGACATAACAGCACATTTACAGAACTTCAAACAGTGCAGTGCGCATATCCTCCTCGACTCAGTGTATCATCTCATTCTTACATACCTGTCCTCTCCCCAGCTCTCAAAAATGGGTAAACTGGCTGTTCTTGTGTCATGGAGACACATGTTCCTATGTTTTACGGAGGTGGCTAATCAAGATTATCAACGTTGTGTCTAAGAAGAATTTTGCCTCCCAAGCGAGTCAACCCATGCCGATCATACGAAAATCGCCAATATTCGCTTCGCCAAAAATAGATCATACAGTACATAACAATGCCGCCGGCTGCAATGTCTTGATGTCAAAGTAAATAGTGTGCATTGTGCCATAGACAAGGCCACAAAATGGGGGAGGATTGTTTCTATTACGATCCAACTCAGATAGAGTGCTAAAGACTTATTCTAATCTTCTGATACATCTTACTAACAGCTCGATAGCAAAATGTGCGTTATGAGACACAGTAGGACGATTAGATTCATATCCTGACGCATGGTTGGATTGGTCTTGCTCAGAACCAATGCGAACCGGTAAGCAAGGTCGATAACATGTGTCTTCCTTGCTAACAAGTTTCGTGGGTTTTAGGGTTCCGTCCTAGTACGCAATTCTATGACTCCTATAGTAACTTTGCAATAAATCAGCTAACATTGATGGCCCAGGACCACAAGAACATGAATAGAGTATGCATATTCCAAGTCATACAATGCAACATGGGCTAATACGTAGTTAGATCCTTAAAGCCAAACGCGAGATAATTCTATCGATCCCACAGTTATCTACCGTTTTCGATACTGAACACTTCCCTTTCAAGGGGCCCTCCAGGTACAAATTATAGTAAGTAGCGCCCTATCCGTCCTATATATGAATAGTGATCTGATTGGGGATCGATACTTCAGAAAATTCAACAGCGAATCCTGGTTAGTGTTCTTTGGAATTCATTGCGGATATCACATAGTTGATAGCCCATTGCAGGAAACAGAGGCCCAAATCGAGGTATGTTTACCGGGTCTATGAACAATGCCAACGATGAAGCACTAAATGATGTTATGATATTCGTGTGTAGGTGAACAATATCAACAAAGAGGTCACAAAGGCGGCCGAGGCCGCCACCGCGAGATTGTTCAACATGAGCAGCGATGCTGCCTCAAGCTCGGTATGGCCGCTTCATACAAAACGAATCGTACCAACATACTCTTCGTCAACCAGGACTCGTTCCGCATCAAAACCGAAAGCTGAACGCGCAAAGGAACAGAAAGACCTGACAGACACAAAGAAACCGAGTATAGGCGAACGTGAACGCTTACATGATTGCCGACACTGCGGAGGTGTACACTGGGACTTTGACTGTCCTACCAGGAAGCCAGCTGTGAAAGCGGAAGGTACGGAGGAGTCGCTCTCGAATCTGACAAGACATTGAAACTCAAAATACAAGCTATATCCGCTTAACAAGGAAACCTAGCCACAATGGTTACAAGACGGAAGGCTCAACATGCCTATTTCCTTTCAAATGGGGACCGTTCCCAATCAAACGACAAGTCGGGAACCTGGCATATGAAATCGACCTCCCCATCAAACTAGCATTACACCCATTCATCTCCGTTGTCCACCTGGAACAAGTCCCAGAGGACGAGTGGAATAGACAGGTCACTACTACGGTACGACGATTCATATCGTAGCATAGCGGACAGCCATTAGCATCAGCCCTAGTGATACGTTGTTTTGGTATGTCTCATTCAATCAACGAGGATGTTAGGACACGCTTGATATACTGATATACTAATCTTTGCAATGTTCAGCCTGAAGAACGGAGGTATGCCCCTATATACGTACATACGACTAGCTGCCGCTGGATGAGGGTGATCGAGTATAGCTCTCTTTTTTCTCGTTCTTTTTGAAGATTGTTTTTCGCATGAGTGTAAGTGGATTGAATCATATCTACGCAAATATGGACACGTTTGGTAGCCGTCGAGATGACTAACTAGGGTTCTACGATGCACGTGATATGACGTCATTTATCTCGTACCCTACCAGCAACAACATCGAACGAAGGACGCTTAACGAAGGTTACTGAGGTAAATACAAAACACAGTTTAGGCGATGCACTATAGACTGCACCTTGTGGATATGATATGATTGCGAGGGGAACCCCGGAGATGTATACCCCCAGACATGTATAATAAAACAATCGATTAATTCATCATTTTGACGTCAATCAGATGTGTTACTGAATATGAAGAGTAAAAAGGTGATTTTTGATTTTATTTTCGCTCACATATTCAATTAACATTCTAGTGTATATCCATCAAGTGGATGTTCGACAATTTCAAAATGTTTTGCATCCGTTCTATCGGTCCAAAAGCGCTTCTCAGACATCAACTCAGAGGGATTCCCCCTCTGTTGTCGTCGTATCCGACTTTGAGACCAGGTTTATCAGCAGTTAAATCAGCACGACCATTCTCAACAACGACCCCAACTCAGAATCAAGCAGGATCGACCAGACAGAACCCAACAATCCTCCTCCAAGATAAAGAGAATGGATTTGGGTTTGCGCGGTCAAATCCTCGTCCCAAAAAGCCGCGGATGAAGGGTGTGACGGAAATCAGGGGACCTTATTATAGTGTATGCCTCTTTTTAGCTCCTTTGAAGAATTAGAGATAGCTAACGGTTGAGGAATAGGTTATGGGGAAACGATATCTGGCCGATGTACTTGAGACGTGAGTATTTATCCAAACAGTCCGAACCTTGACAGGAGTGTGTGTTGGCAATAAGCGATACTAACGACATCTAGCATGGGAGCTCATGTGGATGGTCTCAAATTCGCGGGAGGTACGCACGTCAATATCCTTGATAATATACAAGATCCGATACTGACAACATCATGAACAGGCTCATTCTCCCTCTTTGAAGAGAAGGCATTACGGGAATTGATCGAATTAGCACATGAGCATAGTGTATATGTATCAACTGTACGATCTCCACTACTTCAACGCATGTTCCCAAACATACTAAGTTGACAACAGGGCGGATGGGCAGAACACCTCCTCACTCACGCCGACATCGAATCCGTCTTTGACAAATACCTCCTCAAATGCAAGGATCTTGGGTTCGTTTCTTTCCCCCTTCTATCATGAATACTATTCTAACCGAGTGACCCAGCTTCGACGTAATCGAACTCTCATCCGGCTTCCTCTCCATCCCCGCCGACGACTGGCTCCGTCTAGTCGACAAAGTGCACTCGCACAACCTAATCGCAAAACCCGAATTAGGCATCCAATTCGGAGCCGGCGGTGACACAGGCGCCGGCGAACTAGAAGCAATCGGTACCTCCGACCCCGGAAAACTCATAACCCTAGGCCAGAAATTCCTTGACGCTGGCGTCGAACGACTCATGATCGAATCCGAGGGTATAACCGAGAATGTGAAATCATGGCGAACCGATGTTGTGAGTAAGATTATGAAGGAGTTACCTGCTGAAAGAGTCATGTTTGAGGCTGCGGATCCCAAAGTTTATAATTGGTACGTGAGGGAGTTTGGGGTTGATGTTAATGTGTTTGTGGATCATTCGCAGATTGTGCAGTTGGAGTGTTTGAGGAGGGGGATTTGGGGGATGGCGGATACGTTTGGCAAGATTGTTTCGTATCGGCCTGGTGTTTGAAAAGGTACTTAACGGGTCATACATTGGTCGTTTGTAAGTTGAATTAGGTAATTGGGCTTGATTGGACTGTTATGAGGCCCAGCCTTGAATATGTCTAGAAGAATGTGATTGAGAGTATATCATTGACGCCCCCTAATTAAACCTTATATGCACCTATGTAAGCATATCTGAATAATCCATATTATGAAACCCAACGGTCATGTCATCATGCAGCATACAGACCAACCTTGACTCCATACGCATGAGACGCAGTCAAGGAGAACTTCATCGCCGGCCTCGTAATCTCTGGCTGCTCATTAACAACATGATCAAATCGTTGCAAGAGCCGCACAAGGACATAGCTTGCTTCTGTCAAAGCGTATTGTTCTATATCCATAGTTAGCACACAATCGACTTAAAGAGTAAATAGAGAAGAAACCTGGGGAACTCACGACCCAAGCAGATCCTTGGTCCACCATTAAAAGGTAAATATTCCCATCCATGTCGACCATTCTCTTCCCATCGCTCAGGACGGAACTCTTCCGCATCCTCACCCCAAAGATCCTTTCGTCGATGCATAAGCGTAACCTGATACAGTACTTCAACTCCCTTGGGGACAAAAACGGGGGATTTCCCGTCAGGACCACCGCCAACGGGGATAGTAGTATCGTGCTTCGCAAATCTGCCATTAACGGGTACGGGTGGAAGAAGACGGAGAGTTTCGTTGAGGAAATATTTCAAATATTTCACTTCTCGCAGACGGGCGATTGTGATTGATTCCGCGGATTCGGTGGGTGGGAATTTCGCAAGAATCTCTTCGCGTAGTCGTTGCCATATACGAGGGTGTCGAGCAAGATAATAAAACGACGAACTCAATAAACTTGCAGTTGTGTCCCGTCCAGCTAGGAGGATATTAAGCATCTGGTCTCGAAGAGCTCGTCGATCCTGCGTCTCGCGAACCATAGCGTTGAGGAAAACATATCGATCGGAATTTGGACTGCCAATAAATTTCTCCTGATCACCTCCGGCACTGTTGTATCGAGCCAGAGCCGTATCGACGTAGTGGTCAACGACGTTATGCACAAGCTTGCAATTCCTGCGATCCTCGGCAGAGGTGACAAGCCAGTACAAATCCTGTGCTCGAGCTCTCTGCACCACATAATCCTGCGACCGATTGAAAGCATACGCAAATCCTTGTTCGCCGCCGATGGATGACAGCGCGGATTTCTTCTGGACGTTCTGATTCTCAAGTAGACAATTGGTTGACTCGCCAAACAGGAATTCCGTCGCAGTATCAAGAGTAAGTCTGAAGAAGTATTCCTGAATATCAAAGGGTGTGCCGTCGCCCGGCATCAAGGAAATCAATTGATTAACATGATCACCCAACATGCCCACATCAGCAACCTGATCCCTCGAAAACTGTGGTCTCAACATCGCTCGTGAATGGGACCATCCAGCATCATCAAGCGTGAATATACCATCCCCTAAAAACGGGCTAAAGACATTCCGTCTCCGACCGAGGCCGAAATCATTAAATTGCGTTGCCAGAAGCGCTTTTATATTGTCCGGCTCAATGGTCACGATTGTCTTTGTGCCCAGCACAACTTGCTCGAATGTGTTCCCGCCCTCGTGATGAGTTTTCTCCATTAAATCTAGTGACCTATATTCACTGGCGTATTTTATGATCTCTCTATAGCGACTGATACCGAGGAGCCCCGTTGGGATTTTGTTGGGGGGTTGACATCTTCGTGCGGCGGCATTGCGCCGGTTTTTGATGTTTTTGTAAATTGAGGAGAGGATTGAGTATGCGATTGATGTTGCGATGAAGCCGAGGAAGAGTTGCCAGGGTGGGATAGTCATTTTCCTCTTAATGTGTTGAGAGAAAATAAAATTTATATATAGCTGTGTATCAGATGTAATCAAACAATTGGAAACTTCAGAAGATAGAAATTCAAGTACTTATATAGGAAACACACAGTGTTACGTCTGCGAAACCCAATGGGAGGTCGATCCAAAAGTTGGCCCGTAATCCGTCCATACGTGCGTATCGACCCTAGTTAATGGACTACGTGATAGGCATCCACAAAAAGCGTAACCAGAGAGGTTGGAGTGGTACAACCATACACGGACTTGGACCCCCGACCCTTCCCTAACGCCTAATATTCAAAGATCTTATAGGAGGACAATAGTACCACTATGTACAACAGGAATAGTTATGCCTGATGCCGTAGTTAATGCAGCTACAACTACGTATGCAGGATGCAAGGATGTATCTGTTCAGCCGTTGAGATTTGAAACTGACATGCAAGCCACACTTGAATGACGCACTACGGAGTACCCATGCTCGAAAAGGGTCCTGCCGAGGTTCCGATGCGATTCACTCCTCATCACATGTCACATTCCTCAAGCAGATGAGTGTGCATTAGATTTCGATGTCAAACTTTCTAACAACAGTATTTTCCCTCGTTATCACCATCGTCAATACTAAAGTTTAAGAAGAATCTGGTGTAACTTCCCAATACATTTTAGTACGTAGATTCAGGGATGAAACCATGGATAGACAGTGGCCCGTGCATACAGAATTGCGGGGGATGCGTCTCAACTAGTCTTGTTACGGTTTAGTAGACACGGGCCCATCTACAGGTGTGCCGAAAACCGACTGCCGAAATCGAGAGTCGATAGCCGAGAACCGAGTTTCATGTCTTAATTTACTGTACTGTACAGTATCGTACGGCGTATTTATGCTGCCTGGCTTTTCAAGATGGATATGATATTTGCGAGGATGTTGAAAGTACAATGTGTAAACCATGTCCATATTGTTAGGTTCTAAGATCGGATTGACAATCATCCGCTATCCGAATCAAGTTCTGCAATCCTACCGACTCCCATGTTCAAATCCAGATCGTCCGGAGCATCTAGAATGAATTCTACGTAGTGAGTAGTTACTAGGTTGTAACTTAAACTAAGGTCTTCATTTTCTCAAAACAGCAGGATGACCCGAAACTACGACAGGGTTGGGATTGGTGATATTAGTTTTTCCTTCACTATATCGAGGTAGTTAAGTACGGATTTCGGATCGTAGCGTATGTCTGTGATCGTCCACTGAGACATGGCCATTTACCTGTTTCGGGATATATACTCCGTGATCATTGCTGTTCAGGCCTGAAGATACATCTATCCATTTGGCATCCAAGGTCATTTCACTAAAATGATTTACTATGTACCATTGAATCACATCAAGAACTTATTTACATCAGATAGAAGTAAAACGGGAATATAAAATGCAGTTGAAGGCGGATAACAAAAGTAATATCAAAGCGATATATCCTGTAGGACCGAGACTCGTCGCCGGTTGACTTGTTTTAGGAAGATGGTAAGCAAGAAAGAAGCATACATTAGGCTATATCGACAGAACGGAACGAAATCAGATGAAAAATGGGTGTTATGAAAACGGTATGAGTCGAACATGATACAAGAGGAAAAAATAGTAAATAAGTAACTCAGGCCAAGCCATCAATCACGGGTAAACAACAACTAGAATCGCTGAGCATACATAACACGAGCGAGCATGGCACGAAGACGGCACGGAGATGAGAGCAGATGCTAGACGCTAGACGCTAGAAGGAGAAGACCTCGTTGCATTGGCTTGATAGTAAGAAGAAACAACAAGAAGAAGAATCGTGGCCAAAAAGGGAAAGGGGGAAGCAAAACATGACTCAATTGAGAGAAGCAAGAAGACGATCCATAACACCATCTAACAAACTCTGGATTTAGGCAGATACGTATGAACAAAAAGATTACAAGGCAAAAAATGATATATGTATATACTGTCCAGCTAGAGACCAAAGAACAGCTAGAAACCAAATGGATTGGAGGGAGCTGTGGAAGGTTAGTTTTGGCCCATGATCGAATGAACAGGAGTGCTTACTGGCTTGCGCGAGGTTTGCACGCATCCCCGTGGGCTGCGGAGTAAGTTTCTTAGCATCATGCTTCACACCAAATCGAACAGGGGGCGCGGGGCCAGTCTTTTGTGGTTGCAATGGGGCAGCTGTCGGCATTTGGGGAATAGGTGGTACAGGCGGAGGTGGAGGGCTTATGCTCGTGCCGAACCCGTTGACTGCTGTCCTCTGAGGTTGCAATGCAGGCGGAAGCACACTGTTGATGCCTGTTGCCATGGGTTGTTGCGGAGGTGGTGAAGAGAATCCACCGAATCCGGTTGGCTGTAGGGCCAGTCCCGCAAACTGTTGCTGCTGTTGCTGGAAGCCAAACTGTGATTGTGGCTGAAAGCCTGTAGGCTGCGGCATGAGACCATTCTGGAACTGTGGTTGTGGCTGTTGCGGGAATGCCGTCAACTGAGGTTGCAGTTGAGGATACTGTTGTGGTTGTTGGAATCGTTGCTGGTTCAGCTCCGTTAGACTTTGACCAGGTGGGGCCAACTGTGGCGCATTTCGAGGGATACCGGTGAGTTGAGGCTGCAGAGGAGGCGCGGCAAAAGGACTTTGCTGGAAGTCTTGAGGAGCTGATAGGGGTCGCTGCGGTGGTGGTGGAAGTAAGGAATTTTGATTCATATTCTGTGGTGGTACAGGGCGCTGACGGGGTTGCAGAGAAAACCCCATTCCCTGTGGCTGGTTTGGTACTGCAGTCTGTTGTGGTTGCAGAGGTCCCAGTCGTGAAAAGAAACCTGGATTGGCTCCAGTTGCCTGAGGTTGCTGAGGAGCAACGGGCTGAGACAATGGAGTTGCAGTTTGTTGAGGTAGCATAGGAGCAGTAACAGGCGCTGCGGCTGGAGGAGTGGTAGCAGCAGGGGCTGCGGTGGATGGAGTGGGCTGACTGGGAGCTGGTGTCGGTTGCAAAGGTGCTTGAAGTAGCGACAGATCAGCCATTGCACCTGTCGGTGGAGCTGGCTTCGGTTGTTCTACAGGCGCAGAAGCAGGTGTAGGTGTCGAGGCAACAGGGGCAGGGGACTGTCCCTTTGGTCGTTTAACATCCCACGCGTCATCATCGAAACCACGTTGAACCGGTTTCTCAGCAGGAGGTGTGGCTTGACGTGCAGGAGCCGGCTCTCTCTTTTCCGTAGTTTCTTTACCATCTTTGACTTCAAACGCCTTCGGATCCACCACATCGCCAGTTTGCATGGCAGGAGCTGGGCGGCCTTTGCGACTAGTGTTGTTCTTAAGAGCACCGCCAGGTCCAGAAAACAGACCACTCTCGCCGTTTCCAATAACTTCCTCACCACCAAAACTGACATTTCGTAGTCTAGACTTGGATCCAGTCCTGCTAAACATTGTATCCAAATATCGCATCACTCGAAGGATATCACCCTCCTTGAGACCTAATGTACGCAGAGTTTCCGGTGTGATATCCGGCAGGATGGCTTCGTCCATGGAATCCTTCGTAAAATTCTGCGCGTAGCGTTCACACTGATGAGGTCCAACACCAGCTTTGAGGAAAAAGTCGAACCAGTCATATTCCTGGACATGAACGCCATTCTTAGCCTTGTCACTCTCGGCCTTCTCCTTCTCTTCCTTCTTCACCTGCAAGCTGCGACGCCGGATATCAGACAGTGGTTTATCTTCGTCCAACGATTCACCAGTAACTTTTTCAACATATTCTAAATCTTCAACGGACATTTTGGCTGTGGGAACCGCAATCTTGATCCCGTTCATTTTGTGCAGATGAATCTTGCCGTCATGGAGACCGAGGAATTGAGCTTCAACAGTGAATGTCCCCGACCTGTCCGTCCAGCTTCTAGTCTTAGAGGCATCCGGCTCTAGAATATAATTAGGCTCTTTCCAATAGATTCCATAATTGTAGTACTCACTTTGCTTTGATGATTTATCAGACTTTTCACGTTTATGACGCTGCACCTTATTGTTACCACCATCCGTTGCGAAAAGGCTGCTGTTCCTCTTAGGAAGGGTCATTCCTGGACCTACCTCAGATCGTGGGCCATCCGTAAATTCAACCCGCGATTTTCTTGAAGCTTCTTTTGCTAGGCGTTCTTCTTCAAGCCTGTTCTGCTCGACGGCTGCGGATCTGCTAGAGGATGCTGCTGGAGCTGATGATTCGACGAGACCCGTGACTTCCACATAGCTGCTAGGAACAACACCTTCACGGCCATTCTTTATCCGTCTAACCATCCACCATTCGTCGGACTTGCTGTCATCCAAAATTACCACCTCGTCCCCATTAGCTACAGTTACCTCGTCATCACCCTGAGCCATAAAGTCGTAGAGCATTTGTCCCTTTTTCTGCAGTCCGCTGCCGCCTTGTCCTGCTTCTATCACTTCTCGCAGACCTTCAGCCTTAAACGCACCAGCAATCTCGCCCAACGCCGCAACTATCTCATGGGCAGTATCTTTAGAACCAGCATGGAAGTCAACACTTTTACTCGGTTTGACAAGTTCGATAAAAACATGTTTTCCTTCGATTGAATAGTGCGTGAGCTTATCTGCAGTCCATTCCTGCTGGCTATCATCTGGAGATCCATCAGCCGATATGAAAATTGTTCCTTTCGGCACGTTGAGACCCAGCGTCGTTGGCATTTTCTTTCGCTTCCCCAAGACGGAGATCATTTCGTTGATATTATAGAGACGATATCCGGAAGGCGAATGAGGGGATGGTGCCGAATATCCAACGCGACTATACGGCGGAGATTCCTGGACTCGTGCATTATCTTCTCGGGCCATATTGACTTGCAGGTGTTGGGGGCGAGGAGGTTGGGGTGGTGAGGCTGGTTCCTCTTCATGTCGGCGCACTTCCCGGGCAGGAGTTGATTGCGATATTGGTCGGGTCGGAAGCGCAGGTGCGGGCCCTTCCTCCTCTTCCTCTTCAGGAGATGCAAACGCTTGCGGCGCTGGAGGAATTGCGCGTGAGGTATCGTGAGAAGACATAGAACCATGTTGTCGATGAAGTATTCCAGCAATGGCCGCAGCAGGGCTCGAGTCCGGTATAGCTGGACTGGACTGGGCCGATGCATACTCTTCCGGTTCGGTATGTATAGGCCGCTGAGGAAGCGATGGCACCGGAGAGGCTTGGGGCTCCGCGCTGGTGTAGGAAGAAGCAGGTTCCGGTTGAGGTTCTTCATGAGATACCGCTGGTGCTTGCGACGGCGCAACTTCGGACAGCAGCTGAATATAATTTGCTGGTGCAAATCCAAAATCTGTCCCAGTGCCCACTAACGTCCAGTCGGGGTCGGTAGTATCATATACGGATAATTCGGCGTCTTCGGAAAAGGAGACTTCTTCGTCGGTTTGCCGTGTATAGTCATATAGTGCTTTGGCTTTGTGGGTGGGTTGTGCCTGTAAGCAAGGTAGTCAATTAGTACGATAGCCTAGTATAGCATACAGGAGGAACGTCGATGGGAAACGGGTTAGAAATTCTGCGATCCTCAATCCATTCCTCCAGATATGTGGTATGTAAACACATCCACGCGGATGACCTTCATATCAATTGGTAACCGACCATGATAACAAGCACTACTTGGGAACGGACGAACAAGCAACCCCTTACCTCTTGAACGTAATTATTCGGCACCAGTCCCACTGGTTCCTCCTCCTCCGGATCAGCCTTCTTTTTGGCCTTCCACCAGTCATCGTCGTCCTTGTCGAGAATATAGAGGAGGTCATTTTCGTGGATTTCCAGCTCGCCCTCGGCTTGCGGCTGGTAGTCGTAGACCGCAGTGTAAACGCCGACGAACCCCATGGTGACGGAAGTCCCCTCGGATAAGGCGCTATCTCCCCGATCGACTGTGTCCGCCCGGATAAGAGGATGTCGCAGTCAGTGTATTGATTTCAGAAGAGGGAAGCACTCGCCGCCCTGGGTCGGAATCTTCCAGCAGGTGGTGGTGGTTCGATGAGTGAAGCTGTTGTGATGATGTTGTAGTCGTCTGAGGGGAGTTGGACGGATGGAGTTGCTAAGCGGATGGGTCTGGCAGGGACCCATTTGGTCTTGGCGTCTTGACTCCCGGCAACCACTCATCACTCACCACATACATCATTTATTATTTCTTCAAGGAAATATTTTATACGAAGCCTTCACTTGGTTTGATGCCTCGACTATATGCTGAGTATATACTATTACTCTTCCGAATATGCGGTTGCGCCCATTGTATTACGGATATTGCGGAGGCTGCCAGTCAGCACAGAGTGCTAATAGGGACGAGCTCTCATGGAGACCAGCCGTTTAAGAGAATATGCAGGGCTTAAACCATTTGTCCTGTCGATACGAAGATGATGATGCGACTACGGAGAGCATAGACTTGGTACAGAAATCCAGAAGTTCCGGCGTTCAAGAACAGTGACAACATGAGTACTAGTTACCAGCGTTGGCCTCACGAAGCCATAATAGACCGTAAAAGCCCTAATTGCAAGACACATATTGGTCGACAATTGCTTATCGCTGCAGTCAGAATTAGCGGGTCGGAATCTTGGGTATCACAAACAGAGAACTGGCCAAATTTCAATTCAGCTTGATTTATGCATCGTCTGAGCTATTCTCCAAGCATCCATTCAAAGACGCTTTCTCGCTGTTGGCAAGGGTAAGACGTACTAGTTAACTACCTTATGCCCGCCCAATATCATCGATTTGGTCGATTGTCTGCTCTATCTTCCTTTCAATGAGAATTCGTTGGAGGACTCTGGCCCTAGAATCTATCATCGTTGCAAGGCTGTCTCTGCTCACTGATAAGATCACCTATGACGGGCCAATAAATAAGCAAAAAGCTACAGATCTACAGTCACGTGTTGAAAGTCTTACGACAAAAACAACTTGAGCCTTGTGGCTGCAATATTCGTTCCTTCTTTCCACCCGACCGTTCTTAACCTTTTCAGTCTTCGAGACAGGGCCGGCACAATCACGAGCTTGTATCCTCCCACAATAACTGCACAAATACATTTGGGAGGACACATGGAGAATAGAACGGAGAATCCGGAGTCGGAGCTCATAAGGCAGGGGCAAGACATGGTATATCCCGCGGATGCTACACTGCCGTTTTCTCTTCCAAGAGGAATGGGTGTTGGAACAGGTTCGACAAGTGATGTCTACCAGGTTACTGTTAAGCCTGGCCACTTTGAATATCAAGAGCCTAAAAATCGCAATTTTGATGTGAGCGCTTTCCCCATCTTTTCGAAGACTCGCTTGCCTTGATTCTCCTTTTCTTCTCCAGTCTGGATGTACAGCTGATGATTGCATGACATATCTGAACCGTAGCCGCAGGTGATGGCCGTAAAAATATTCAGGTGGTACAGTTTTAAAGATTTCGAAAATGAGAAGAACGTGTTATCATGGATTCGGGGGACTCGCAGCGGACACCCAAACGTTCTCGTCAACTATGCCAGTCTAATTCATGGTGAACCGGGGGATTCGAACGCGAAGCGCATGCTTCTTCTTCCATGGACAGACGGGGAAACTCTCGATGACTTTATGAACGACAGAACAAATCAGAATACTCCAGCAAAGAGACGGAACAGTATATACCGCATGGTTGATGTAGCTGATGGTTTAGTATGGCTTACCGAACTAAAAATTTCTTTGTCGCAGGAATTCAGGCAGGTGCAGGTGATACATTGCGACATAAAGCCGCAAAACATCTTGGTTTTTCCAGATCCCAGACGCGAAGATATGTTCATCTTCAAGGTTTCAGACTTTGGACACTCCTTCTTGAGCTCGTCGTTCGCGGAACGAAGCTATTTATATGAATCAACCTACTCTGCACCCGAGATGCGGTCCGGGAATAAGATTGTCCAGGATACAAGTGACGTGTAGCCGTACGGCTGTATTTTACTACTCGTCCTTATTTTTACAACCTGGGGCCCTCAACTGGTTACAGATCTACGGGAAAAGCTAGGAGAAGGTAGGACAATTGATACCTTCTACGAGCCTGTGGCTGGGTTGTCAAAATATCAATTGTATCATCCTGTATCAGAGCGAATTGCTAGTTTGATAGAAGGCGAACTTCCTTCCGATATGGAAGACAGAGAGCTAAAGGAACTGATAAAAGCGATGGGGAAAATACTAGAAAAAAGTATCCTTGTACCAGACTATCAAAATCGACAAAAGATGCGACCCATATGGATTGCATTAAAGAATGCGTGTAATGATTTATACACGTATATCGAAACCAGCTGGCTGGATAACCACAGGAGAGAGCTCAGTCAATGTGATGCATGCATTATTCTGACGAACGCTGAGTACGTCAACTTCTACGACAAGAATATGAACAAGCATGGCCTATTTTTTACAGAATCTCTCCACGTCATGAATCGACGAGACCTCGTGAGACCAATGCCGTTACAAAAAGGAGAGAACTGGGATGTTCATTTCCCGTTGGATGTTTCGAGGTGCGCAACATCGTATATTTGTCTCGTTAAAAGAGTCGGAGAGAATGAGGGAAGCCAGAATCTTGAGGTAGGACAAGTTCAAATATAGTGATCACAGAGTATGGCATGCTAAATTCCTATGATCTAGATCTGTCTCTATCGATTGCATGAAAATTCAAGTGCGGGCCTCAACCACGAGCTGCGAGAGATCCCTTGGGCCACTTATAGTAATACAGCCAATCTAGCAATTTCCCCTAATGGAGACTGGATTGTCACTTGTACGAGAACTGGCACGAGAATCAGCGTACACGTCTGCCCAACACAAGACTTGGAAAGACCGCGAAGAGCGTAAGAAACTCTTTTCATACGTCACGTATTCTGCATTTCTGACACCCTGTCCAGTCGACCGAGTCTATCCTCGAGTACGAGCTTGCATTTACGACAGTTTGAAGGTACCGATACACGAATAATCACTTTTTCAAGGAACAGCAAAAGTTTTGTTGTAGTATCACGTTTACGCCATAATACGTACAGAATATGGTATTTCCGATATATCGATTCGTCGTGGATTACCCAAGGACATAGCGAGTACACAGACAATGTATGACTCCCCCTCCCTTTATACTTTCAATCTGACTGTTCCGCTATGCAGGACTTACGCGGTGATGGCTTTTGGACATCAATGGTTGCATTCAATGATAGTCCTGGAGTCCTAGCTATAACCCATAAATCGAAAATCGTCCGGTTTGGTCATGGCCTGACAGAAGATGTTAGAGAGTGGAAAGACGATCAAAACGATCTTGAAAAAGTCCTCCTTACTGAAGACGACAAAGTTGGCGTCGTCCCGTTATTTAAAAATAAGGTTTTGAAAGTCCGCTTGGTATCGACAGAAAATATCGACAGGAAAACGGAGTTGAACTGCCGTGACCATTCGAATAAAGTACCCAAATATCCCAACATTAATCGAGGTTATAGTGCCAGCCTCCGCTATATTGGTACCGGTGAGAATAGGAAACTGATTCTTATAATTAGTTTTCCGGCTCGGCCTCCATCAATCATCCGTCTCGATATTACAGCTGCAATACAGAGGTTTCTTGAAAACATTTGACGCAGATCTAATTTATTAACGAATGGAAACGGATCACAGCAACAAACTTTTCCACAAGAACATACAGAATGCAGCCAAAGATAACATGGTTGTTTAGCATAGCCTTAAGCTGTATATAAAAGAGTATCCAAGTAAGCGGATTTTCTTTCTCCGTCATGCCTCTCGACATTCGCCCATCCAGTTTTCGGGGATCATGGGCTGGGCCTTGGATTGTTTCTGCTTGTCCGGGTAAAAGCGCCCGCCTGGTATCGAGCTGTATTCAGCTTGTCCAGTCTGGACTGAAAGTCCTGCTGGCTATCCATTGGGTTCAACCTCCACACTCTTCGCATCCCACCTCTGATTAGCTTAAGCACCAATACCAGGATTATAAAAGAGCCTAACTGCGCTATGATCAGATTTCCCGTGGCCCAATAATTGACATAGCGAAGAAGAGAGACGGATATAAAATCCTGAAATAAGTTGCGATCAAGGCAACCGAAGAAAAAGGGAGCAAAAACTTACCACTCCAAACGAAGCTATGCCTTGGAGAGCAGATGTATTCTCGGCCACCATCATGCTCCCACCAAGAAACACGACCAGGAGACAGACACCAGCAGCAACTCCAGCTATGAGCCTGTTTCTGAAATACCAATTTTGGTCATCTACGAGAAGATGTACCTGTATCGGCTGACTAACAACGGGATCGATGAGATCGACGCTTCTTTTGTGATATTTGTAACTAATCATAGAACGGAACCGATTCTGTTAGTAATATAACCTTAAATTGGACATTGGTAACCCGGCTTGAATATTGACCAGGATCCCTCACCCGGTATATAATCTATATGCTGCAAAACTTTCACATCCCCACACGAGAATGCAACCGACGGAGCCCATGTCTGTTACTAGAGTGATAGCCTAGAGTTTCACGGAATAGGCAACAGTCAACCGAATGTTCCATCACCAGGTGAGAACAGAATAAGAGGTTTGACTACTTCCAGAGCCAGAAGGGTCGGATATTCCAATAACCGACCTGGTTGAATGTCCCTGCATTTGCAAACTTCAGGAATGGGACCCAGAACAGCCACGCAGAAACAAATATAGCTTTTGCGGTACACCGAATCTGTTCTTTCTGCCACAAAATTCAAAGATAGTTCTGAGAAGATATTCCGGCCTGGCTGTCAGTATCACGTCGCTCGCAAAACCATACAACGTTCTCGAAGAAACATAAATCGCTGCAGTGGTGGTAAAAACCAAACTGATTATGAGTAAGATTGTCATTGCTTTGGCCAGGTCCAGAGGGATTAGGACAAGCTGTGTCAATGAAGATCGAGGCTTTACAAGGATCATGGCCAGATCCAGCCAGGTTGTTGTTGGGGTAGAACATTTTGAGGTCTTCCAAGGGAATGTTTCCCATTGTTGACCAAACACCCCATATATATATCAGGGTTACAACAATTGGGGTCCACCTTGCAGGCCATGAGAACTGGTCGGTGAATTCTTCCTCGGACCTTGCTCTGGGCTGGCGTTCTTCGTGCGTTACTGTTTCCTCATTGTCTTCGGCTCGCGTGTATATTATAGCTTCCTGGGCAGTGACGGCAACCACTTCGACACCTATAATTGAAAACGATCCTAGAAAAATCGAAGACCTTATCACTGTCGGTCAATCCGTAGTCATATATTAGCTTCAAAAGTGAATACGTACATGAAGCCACCAAACCAGCCAGCCGCCTTATGTTGACCAGAGAAAGAATCATATTTATCTCGTTCTTAAGGACTTGCGTTAGAACTCGGGTAACGGGATTATTTTGCATCACTCACTTTCCGTGCTATTGGGTTGTTGCTCTGGAAGGAGGAGTATACGATCAGTTTGATTGTTTTTGTGAGAACAGAGAGGATATGAGAGCGTGTACCCGCATTTAGAATATTCATATCTAGAATGATCACAAGCGCAACAACTAGCTTAAAGACACCCAAGCCTACCTCGATATGTCGAAAGGCCTTTTTAAAGTTTTGGCAAGGCCACACAGCTTTCACTAAGGACTTCAGGGATGTCTCTCACCCTTATACTCCAATAGTTCAACGCGACCGGAATTACGGAAACAACCACCGTAATCACGACTGTCGACGCATCCGATAGATGAAAAATAGCCAAAAGATCAGCTATAGTCGCAGTCAATGCCGCGGCGGTGAGACAATAAGTCAACCTGAAACGTATTCCAAGAGTAAGTGGCTATTCCATTCATCATGAAGGCATTGCGAGCCTACCAATAGACAATAGTGACAACAATACCAATCTCCTCATCCAGGAAATGCTTGACATACAGCAGAAGCGCCCCGGCAACCGGCCAAACGCGCAACATCGTAGCTATGTTATGCAGAACCATGGTCGCCAACACCCCAAGGAGCGCATAGGCATAGATTGCTGCACTCGGCCCTCCGAGGCTCTCCATGTAGCCGGTTCTTACATAGAACCCCATACCGATGCAAGCGCTTACCGAAATGAACTACTAAGTGTCAACATATGGCCCGTTTCATTCGTTGGAACTTGCAATTGGTAACGAACAAATATATGAATACTTCCTAGTTCACGGCTAAACAACGACGATGAATATATTAGACGTCTCTCAATTATAATATAAAGGTAGAAGCTCACCCCTGGATGTGAATGAATATAACTTACCTGAGTGACCATGGCAGATTTTCCGGATGGTCAGATTCACGTCCAAAATCTTCTGGAAGTCTAGAGCCACCTGGACGATTCGCTCTGTACTCCGGGCCATCTTGAGGTTGTTCTTCAGGTCCTGGGTTGAGACCATTCCCATAATCCATATGGGACCAAGAAAAAAGCTCAAACAAATTCTGTGATGACATTTCCGTTTCTGTATTGATTGGCTGATCGAAGCTTGATATTGTTTGTCATGTAGCAAGGTGCAACACTTTCTAGGTAGGTAGGACTCGGAGAGAAACCTTGGGCAGGGCCACGTGTGAAAAAACAATGAAGAGTGTGCTATGTCTATTTGCGTGGAATAAAAGTCAATAGGAACAAGGAAAGACGTACTAGAAGAATTAATAAATATTTTACCTTCAACCAACGTCAAGATAAGGAACCGTGACTAGACAGGACATGAGCACCGAACCAAAAGTCGTCGTCATGTAGAAGAGGTGCTATGGCTCTGGCTGTAGTCCACAGCCTCGCATTCTTCAAGTCCATCTTTTTGAATTTAGAACAGCAGATCCCTTTTTCGTTCACTGTGTGCGCGGCTGGACTGCCTCTAGTACCTCGTCCACCCCCCGAGATGCTCCGGATGTCAGTGGTTCGAAAGAAAAAGTAATAAGCCTGATCTTGAAAACCTTTCTCATCCCGTTAAGCTTTCAATTAATTGGAGACCGGTTCATATGCCACGCGACATATTTCCTTGATTTCATGGGCTAATATGAGAATGGCGCAAGGCTGAAGACATCGAGAGGAACCGGTTCGACATTCCCAGTACACCACTCGTTGTTCTGGTAGTTCACCCTTGCATAGCGCTGTTTCAAAACAATGCACTGAGAAGTGGCTATTTGACTCTGTTCAAGATAACGAGGTGCGTCGGGGAAAGTCCCTTAAATTGCAAATGCCACTGACCTAGTTGATATCGGTGAGTAAACCCGGGTTAACACTGCGTCTGTCTGAGGCTCAAGTGACACAAAATATTTGAGTAATCAAATAACTATCTCACGAGGCTGAACCCTTATCCTGTGTCTGTGTAACCTGAGTCTTCCTTTCTGTTTATGGAGGCTATTTTCTTTTAAAAACTGCCTTCTCTCTGGTGATTGAGATGTTACTCATATTGAGGGGAAAGAAACCATTTTTGGCAATATCCGCGACTGACACAACGAATGTCCTCTTCTACCTGGTAGCGTCGTCCACCACTGAAGTTTCAATGGAGTGTTACAAAGCGTCCGGCAGATACATCAAATTAGACCTGCTAAAGCAAGTTCTGAAAAACGCCTTTCCGGAGATGAAGGAGGAGTCTTTTAATATTAAGGTATTTGTTCCACTTATATTCAGAATTGCTTTTGCTTCGTCCCAGATCTCTGTGTTAACTGGGGCTGAATAGATGCGTAATGGTATCTGGGAGTACACAGCTGAGCGGGAACTCACTGACGATGAATTGCTGTAGATAATCCTCCTCTTATTCTTATTATGACGTACATGTGAAGAGAAAAGAATACTAACATGTGATTTGTGATCGCCAGGGCAGCACAAAAGCCTACGACCCAACCTCATTAGGGAGATAGACATGTGTTCGTGGCGAGGAGGAGGGGACAAGGCTGGCTCATGCAGGTTGATATTTACCGACGGGAGCCCGTCCTAAATAGTCTTCATATTCTCTAAAAGAATCTATTTTCCCATCTACCACTGCATCCCATACTTCTCCTTGGCATCGGAAACCACATATCTTGGTAGAATAACTTGATTCGATACTGGGTACATACATACGTTTAGGGCTCAACCCAACTTGAATTCTTTTATCATCATGACTCAATATACCGAACGCTCGAAGAATGACATTCCAGAGACAGCAAGCCGGTCCGGATCAGATGCGACCTACACAGAGTCAAAAGATGATCCGTTCAATGAAACCGATGTATATCAATATCAAAACAAGTCCTCTTACGTGGACGTAATCGATGTCTGCTATTTGTCAAATGGCCCTAATTCGAGAGCCCCGAACGGCGGTAAGTGATTAACAATGGCTGTGATGTTGTCTCATCATTGAATTGAGGTCTCCAGGCCGAAGAGCCCATCGTCGACTGGCTAATGTCATCGAAATGTGCTCGTATCTGAAGAATAGCGGGAATAGACGTGACTGTGACACTCGGATAATGTATGTACTTATTTCGTCAGGCGATGAGACCAATCATGACTATTCTAATTTGATATTCTGAACTAGCTCCATTTGCCAGACCTACTCTTGGGCATCTCTCGACATCTCGCAGGATACACTCCAAACAATTCTATCTCATTACAATGTCTCCCGGGAATTCACTCCAGTATTAAAGTCTTTCTATCCAAAGACAATGGAACTAGAAGAAGGATTTATAACCTCGCCCTGGAGACGCATCAACCAGACTTTTCCTAACGGACGTCTAGCATATGGTATGTACAGTTCGATCATATGTGCCTATGTGCCTACATGCTTATGTATATTATCTGACACGATTCAAAGAAATGGGGTACATATTCAAATATCCCGAAATTAAATCTGTCGACCAAACAACCGGATTCGAGACATGGTCTATCCGTCAGACTGGAGTCTATCAAAGAGTGGTGGGTGATGTTGATGAAGATAAAGGAAATATTCTCATCTTGTTACATCCACGCTATTCATCACCGCTTCAGAAGGAGTTGGAAGCGGCCCTGGTGTATGGAGACTCAGCATCAATGCTCCATAACGCGGACGGAGAGGGGTCAATGATAACTAAGAAGAATACTAGCCCTTTAGAGCTGCATCTATTTATATTGGGTACTTATCTGTATAACTGGCGCGCATATATGAAGAAAGAAGAAGAGCTGTTAATAAAGACAGTAAGTATCCTCGAAATGGAACTGGAGGCGAAGCTGCATGGGAATGTTACTGACAAGGAATAGAGCTACGAAGCTTTATGCATCGACATAACCGAAGATCTACCCTTTAACGAACTTTACGAATATCTCTCAGGCCTGCATAATTTAGAAAGACGTCTTGCACCACTGAAAAGCATCTTTTCAGCGACAAGACGAATCCTACAACTTCTAACCAAACTAAATGACACGTACACTCACCCCGATAGAGTCAATATAAAAGAAAGACTCGAGAATCTGGAGGAGATGGTTAACGGATTTGACGATAACTTACAATATCTGATCAGTCGTCTTGGAAGTATATCTTCCTTGGTATGTTTACCTCGTCCTCATTCAGGAGGAGAAGCACGTGGTAAAGCTAACCTTAATTTCCAAAGCTTTCCAACACGATTAGTCTGAAAAACGAAAACACATCTAATCAAGTCTCCAACAGTATGCTCAAATACAATAGATTCACGGTGGACGATAGTGCGACTGTGCGTGTGATTACACTGGTGACGCTGATTTATCTTCCTCCGACATCTGTATCTGTACGTCTTCCCTCTCAAAGCTCTTTACACTCGACTGACGAATACAGGGCTTCTTCAGCATGGGTGCACTCTTCTCTGTCCAGAATGATGGTATATCGCAAAAGGCAAACACGCTAATCACACCGTATATCTGGTTATATTTCGTAGTGGTGATCCCTCTGACCGCGGTTACGGTGGCATATTGGTGGTGGAAATCGAGGAGGCAGAGGCTAGAGAGAGGAAAGCACGAGACTTCGTTGGCTTGATGGACTGCAAGTTTCGTTGGAAGCAGGAATCAGACTAAATAGGGATATTTATAGACTTCAAATATATGTGATGTTGTTTATTACCTGTCGTTAATTACATGCTCCTCCTCACAGATTTGGCTTGAACTTACGACAGCCCATATTTTGTTCTCGTAATGTGGGTGCTTGATGTTTGGATGTTTCAGTCGGTGTATTAGGGGTTCCCTTGTCAGAAGTTTTGGCCGGTAGATATGCTTAAAGGTTATCTTCTCCAGGTGTGCAGTGTCCTATCTTCTGTGGCTGCAGCAGGGTCTACCTGGAACGGAAAAAGGAAAGAGGAGATTGCTTCATGTTTTACTTGGTTCTTTGAAGGTCGGTTTCTGGTTCCGGTTCCAGTCTTCCTGTTGCCATCGCGAAGGCTATTGCTGCGTGGACAGCCTTCATATCTGGTTGCCACCGGTCTGAGTCCGGATGTGATTTTCCGCCGAGAAAGAAGGATAGATTTCCTCGTTTTGATTCTATTCATTGATTCATGCCTTCTCTTATTGTTATGCACCTCATACAGTGGAATAGGAAGTATTCTATTGTCTTGCTTGTTTAGCCACAGGCATAGAGATCTAAGTCTACTGCGTCTATCTTAGTTAAATAGCTATTGAACCTTATTGTTCCTGTCCCAAGCTGGGCTAGAGTTTTTGCTTGTTTCCAATTCAACCATCATATAGGCTTCTCACATGCGTTTCCGGGAGCGCAGTGTCGATAGCTTTTAAGTATTTTCCAATGCCTTCTGGAAGAGTCTAGTCCTGGCGTGTTGCGTCAATGACGATTCTGAAGGCTGTTGCTTTGGCTTAGAACAGCTATTTTTCTAGTTAGCATTCTGTTCTTGTTAGTCTTTTGCTTATCGTTTCCATTCCATATCTACATGCGCTGGGATCTAGCAAAGACTCAATGCTCTTACATTTCCTACTGTCAAGATGGCATGATCTCGATAGTCGGAGAACTTAGAGAATCTTCCTACCAGTGTTCTTATCGTCCAATTCGTATAAGAGGATACCCCCCTTTATCCGAAAATCTAAGATCAGAGCAATATAATACGTGTCGGAGATATCCATAAAAGTCTAGTACTTCATGTACTTATTGAAACTCTCCCTGACAGCACTTGCGATATCCTCCTCAATATCTGCAAAATCTTCCTCGCGCTCAGCAGCATCATGCAACAAATCATAGAGCTTATAGTATATTGGAACTGTGAGACTAATCTGTGGCCTTCTTTCTAAGACAAACAAGGTAAACTCATTGAACTTTAAGAGAACAGAGTGAATTTAGGAGAGTCGAGTCCAATCTTTCATTGAGAAGGGAGGGAGATCTGTCTCATAGTGAATAAACTTCTTAAGCTGGGTCCTTGACTTTGAAGTATAAGTTCCATATTAAATGAATGTGTGAAGCTAGTAGCTTACCTTCAAAGCGTCACTTAGCATGCTGAAAGCAGAATGCCATCATGTATCAACATCGCACTCAATACTAAATGGGTGATGATACAGCCACACCCCCGTTGGATCCAGACACACCCCCTTCTGTTCGAGCCACACCCCGTCAGCTCGATCAGGACACACCTCTCTAAAGGCAATTTAGAGCAATGATTATGTGACCCAAAACGCGCCCTCGCGGGATCTGATGTTTTAGAATGGAGAATGGACTGGTGCTAGGGCTTAGGGTTTATGGTTAGAGCATTTAGATGAGGATTCTAGCAAAAGGCACATTGTTGCGTAATACCAGTCATTTTTTGCTTTCCTCTGTTGGTTTGTTACCTTATCTTTTTAATTCAGAATAATGAAGCTTTTATTAGAAATCTTTATTGTTTCTATGCAGAATTTATCTTTTAGTCAGTCTTATAAGGCTTCTCTTTTCTTCTCCATAGGTCATCTTGTTAGAGTGAATTAAACCTTCGCCCAACTAAATTTGATTCCCTGTATTTGAATCGTAACTGTTACAGAGCTGGGATAGAGAGATCGAGAACTAAGAAATGTATGTCATGGATTTATACCAAGGATGTGAGCTGAGATCTGGAACTAGCTACAGGGTAGCGGATCCTCTATTTCTGCTTGATAAGGGTTCACTCTTGACCTTGGATCGGTAAGTCTTACCAGATGAGGCCTATGGAATCTGACTATAGTGCTGGGAATCTCTAACATCATGCCTAAAAAGAAACTGTCACAGTAACAGTAGGTTGCTGCTACGTTCGCTAGTAATCCTGATTCCTGTATGCTCATTGTTAGCAGCGTAGGGTTAGGGCTTGTTAATAGGACCAGCTTCATGGAATTTCCCGGTAACATGCGATTACTTTTTTTGGATGGTGGTGCCGTATTGGGACTCGCTTGAGCACATATATGTAAAAGTGGCTTCATTTCTTTTGGCTATTACTGATAGAGACATCAAGCTATATCAATATAGCTATTCACCATGGCGTCACGCCTCGTTGATTACGGGAGCTCAGAGAATGGCGCTGAGCCATTACCTAAGCCATTACCTCCCTAAGAGCCCTGCGAACCACATACTCAAATCCCTGCTCCTTCAACTGACCAGACCTTCGAGACCCAAGATGCTACTATAAAAATCCTTATTAGCTTCGCTAAGACTTATAGATATGTATTGGTCACGAAGAGATCCAAAACACTAAAAGAGGGTGGCTCTATTTACCAAGTTTATCTTCAGTGCAGCCGCGGAGGAGTATATCATGAGCGTACCAACAAAGAGACACATGTTAGAGAGATAAGCATATAGTGTATAGGATGCCTGTTTAAGCCTGTCTTGCGCCATAATAAGCATATGGATTACTGGCGTCTTGATCTTACAGATCTGAGGCATAACCATTATCCAGCAGCTGGATCAACACTTGCCTTGTTGCACTATGAAGAGATAGAATCTAAGGAGACTAAAATTAAGTCTTATTTGGATTCTTACATGTCAACAAACCAAATCTTATCAACTCTCTACAAAGACAATCCAGAATCGATTATCAAGCCAAGAGATATCTATAATAAGAAAAGGAAGCTGCGAGATGATTTCCTTGATGGCAAGACACCAGTCCAGGCCCTTATTAGTGTTGTTCTAGATAATAGTGATTGGATAATCAATTATGAAACAGCTAATACAAATACACTATTTGCTGTATTTTGTATGCATAAAACCTTACTTGAGATGCTCCACTAAAATCCTAATGTTCTGTTTATAGATTGTATCTATAAAATAAACTAATATAAGATGCCCCTTTTGGATATTGTGGGTTGTACAGCATACAATAAGATATTCTATGCAGGGTTTGGCTTTATCTTAGATGAAAAGGAAGAGAGCTACAAGTTTATCTTGGAATGCTTAGCTAAGATCTATACTTAAGCAGATCTCCCATTGCCAAATTGTATCCTAACTGATAAAGATATAGCTTTAATGAATGTAATCCCCAGGGCTTTTTCAATAGCGAACAATATTATCTGTCTTTAGCACATTGAAAAGAATATCCTTACACATATCCACCCCATTCTTACAAATAAAGTGCTCCATACAATCTACGCTAGAGATCTGGCTGCCGCGAAGAAGGATATCACATAGTACAATACTCATATTGAGTTACAATGGAGGGATTTTCTTGGGTCATTTAACAAGATTATATATGTGAAGACTGAGGAGGAGAAGAATGAAGCAGTGAATTCCTTTAAAGCTGAACACAGCAGTAATATCTGGCAGGAAGTCATGGACTACATTAACTCAGAGTGGCTTAATGATAGTATCGCTCAACGATTCCCTCAGTGCTATCTCTCAGATATTAAGCATTTTGGTTAGCTGACCACATCCCAAAATAAATCAGTCCATTGGACCCTAAAATGCGATCTTTAAGTCTCTATAAATGATCTCCTTGAGACATTTGAATTATTTGACCGTACTGTGAATCGGCAACACGTTAAAATTAAGCAGGTTCACGAAGATGATAAGGTATGGTATTAATTTCGATTCCATCATAGTCTCTTTCGCATTGTACGTGATAGGGTATAAGTTATACACTTAGAAAGGTTCTTAATATGAAGAATAACTTCCTTTAACCAATGAGGAAGCCATTTGACCCAGAGTGTTCTAGGGTTGTAAAACGAACCATTGGCATTCCTTGCATTTATATAATTAAGCATTGTATTGATAGTGAGGAGCCGCTACAGCTACACCATTTCCACCAGCACTGGCGGTTATTCTCGAAGAGTTGCCCCTAATTGATCCCTGAACAATAGTGCTTAACCCGGCAGTGGTGCAAGGCCGTGGTTGTCCTAGGGGCTCAATCAATTATCCAACAGCCTCTTGGGTTATATCAACTTAGGATTCTTCAACACAGCGAGAGCCATCAGCATTTGAGCATGCCATTGCGCAGGGGAATCTTAATACTGGGAGCCGCGGCCGCAGGGGCAGGGTTTGTGGAGATTGTGGAGGACGAGGTTGTAGAGGACGAGGAGAATATTCAAGTCAACCTAGGGTAGAGATGAATGTAGCCAACAGTCAGACTTCTAGTAGAGGGATGGTCTCGCAGAATGCAACTGCAACAGCTTTACAAATTGCCTCCAAGGAGCCAGTAAGACGAAGCTGGTGACGCGGACATGGCCAGCCAGCGTGGTGGCTTGATAATGAGAACGAATTGCTAGGATATTAGGGATTAGAGATATGCCAAGTAGCGGCTCTGGATTGGTGGAATATCGTATTATTAAGTCATTAGAGTAGCAGAATAGGATGGATTATGAATCAAAACAGAATTCGCAGCGATGATCCAATTAGGGTTGCTGTAAACTGCGTTTAGAGAGGGGGTGTGTCCTGATCGAGCTGACGGGGTGTGGCTCGAACAGAAGGGGGTGTGTTTGGATCCAACGGGGGTGTGGCTGTATCACCACCCTAAATTTATTAGACGGGTTCATGCGCTTGCAACTACTGTTCCATATCTATCTACATTGAGGACTTCTATAGATCCAAAGGGCGAGGATACGAATTCTTGCAAGTGGTTCAAGGGTATGGTATTAGCTTCCTAGACTATAGAACAAAGGACTGGCTCCCAACTTCTTCTACAGATTCTGGAACAATTGTAAGACCCTCCGCTTATTATTACTAGCGCTGTAGCTAGATAGTATTAAAAGTAATTTATGTTCAAGATTCAGTTCAACTAGTAAAGGTTCAATAGCTGCAGCTAAGTTCTTGCCAATATGTGGTTTACAGAGCTCTGTGAACTCCAGAACTTTCTCTTGATATTTAAATTCTTCTGTAAGCAATTGGCAAATAATACTAAGAATGGGAAAGTGATTCTTACTGGTCCAGACATCAAGGGATTGAGCGATTGTTTTGCATGTTACTTCAAAATCTTCTTTTAACTTTACACGTTGCAAGTTAAAGTGTTCCAGAAGACGTTATCAAAGTGTGTGATATGAGGAAAGTGGAAGTGGGATTCCTGGTATATCCTTAAACGTCTACTGTAAGGCTGGTGATTCAATGACTGCAAAGGGTTGCTTGCTACTAGTAACCCAGCGAAGATTCTTTTCAAAAGTTCTTAAATTGTGAGTGTTCTGTTGGTTGCTTCGTGCAATCGAGATGCCTGGCACTGGTATGCAGCTTAGAGAGGTCACGTATGGCTTACACGTGACCTCGTCAAGCAAGGACTATATAGACCGCGTCGGGGCCTCACTAAGACAGATAGACACAAGAGAACACAGAACCGAAGAATCACCTATTGAGATTGACTCAAGTGCTTCGTACGTACGTATATGCACCTTAGTGCACCCCTATTACCCCAGAGTCCTAGGAGAGTAGGCTTTGTTGTAGCAATAACCGGCTGAGAGATACCAGGCGATAGAATTCCATGTTTCTCCTTCAAATGAAGCCTAATATTGGTAGTAGAGGTCTGTCTTTTTTGAGTCTCTTGTAAACCAATCACATTGCTTCCTAGTTTATTTATTAATAATATTATAATATATATCTCGATCTATGAGCCTCCTTTTTTTCTGTTCCTATTTCAATCCATGCATTAGGGAACTCTCTCGTATGAAAAAAAATCCATAACCATTCACTTTTTGATGGATTCGTATAGGAAGTTTGGGAACTTATGTCTTTAGTTGGAGGCTGAGAGGCTAGTTCTGAAGGCAAAACGTCATTATCTAAATATTCAAGGTAAGAATCGATCTGAGCACTGACTGCTGATTGAGTCGGACCAGGAGGGTGAGGTAGAATTAATGGACCCATTCCTGGATCTTGGGCTGCTGGACTCCTGGATAGTCTGGATTTGTCACGTCTTGAGGAGGTTCATCATTTTGATACCCATCGTTTAGAGCGAGGTGGCTCGGACGATTTCCACGAGTCTGTACCACTAGCGGAAAATTTCGAAATATGTAGGAAAATCTGTGAAATAAAAAATAACAGAGAGGTCATTTTCAATGAGAGAACTGAGAGAAGTCGAGAACCAGTTGAAATGAGACAGGATTGATCATGTCGGTGCTATCTAGAGCGAACACCAAGCATAAAAACGAAAGGGAAGAGGAAGAGGCGAAGCTATCTTCAGCTGTTTAAAAGTCCCTAAGTCGGTTATAACTACCTAAATAGTTTATCTTCTAGCCTGTTTCTGATCTCCCTGAAAGATGCAGGTAATCTATTGCAAATAATTATTCGTATTCGCAGTTTATTCAGCGAATAATTATTCGCACAATGAAGGCTTGCGAATAAAAAAAGCGAATATTATTCGCAGAGTCTGAATTGCAAATGCGAATAACGTATATTGCTGATTACTTCAAATATTCATATTCGCAACAGCCCTATAATCGTCTTTATGACACCTCTGTTAGAAGAACACCACCGACCCCTTACTTCCGTGACGAGTTTACTGATCTGGATATCCTCAAGTGGCAGGCTTACGACAGTTCATTGGGCAGCTACACTAAGTGACTAAACATGAGAGATAAAGAGATAAAGGAAAAAGGAAGAATAATTCCAAATTATTGAAATATAAAACGAATGTGATGTCATAATCCAACAGATACCATGAAGGCCAGACTGCTAAACACATAAACTAATCCAAAATTCAGCATAAATCATCCAATCGATCAGTATGAGCAGCCTGATTCGTATGGTTCGCATGATTTGCAGGTGTTGAACCTACATTCCGTTCCAAAAGATTTTGTTGAATACTCATAAATGACAGTATAGGAAGTAGTATAACCGCGATGGCCGATTATTCGGATTAGGCAGCTCAACCTATTCCGACCTCCAGGAAGGAAAGATTTCGATCATGTCATGGTGCTAACAGCCAAAACTGGAAATGCAGACATCGGCATTATTAGCGCAGCAAGCTGCAGTAGCACCACAGACATAACCTCTTGGACAATCTGCACTTGAGGTACATGTCTGTGTATGATTGCAGTCAAAGGGACCACTACAAAATCCTGAACCTTCCAGTGTAAGGGTACAGAAACAATTTGTGCCTGTTCCACATGTCTGTGCAATGTCACAAGTAGCTCCAGTGCACGTTGGATTTGTGCATGCTCCATTTAGACATACACCACTTGTACACTGAAATGGAAGTCAGTAAATGATTATATCGGCATAAATATCTCAATTTAATACTTACCACGTTAGTACAAGAGCCACAATGATTAGGATCATTTAATAGATCAAAGCATTGGCCAGTGCAATTTGTGTTTGGAGAATTACATGTGCAATTACCATTCACACATGTTGAATTAGTCGGACACTATAGGTAAAGTTAACAAAATTCTAATCTATATTAAGATTCACCAAGGAATAGAACTTACTACAGTACCACATGTTCCACAGTTGGTGCTGTTAGTGGTTATATCGGTACATGCTTGTGGAGTACCACAAAGCTGTTGGCTAGGGCATGGGCAAGCACATGAACCTGAGTTGCAAATTTGACCTGTAGCACACTATCCGCAAAGAATAATTTAGCATATCATTATACCACATGCTGGTAAGAAACAGATGAAGGAACAAAACTCACTGTAGTACCACATCCTCCACAGTTTGTAGTATTAGTCTGTGTATTGACACATATATTGCTACAGTTGGTAAATCCAGTTGGGCATTGACATGCGCCATTATTGCAGAGACCACCAGTGGGACACTAAATTATAAAAGTTAATATATCACTATATCATATACTGTTGGAAAACTCACTGTAGTGCCACATGTTCCACAGTTAGAAGAATTAGTCTGCGTATTAACACACACACCGTTACAGACTACCTCTGGAGGTGAACATTGGCACGTGCCATTAACGCAGGAAATACCGGCTGGACACTAGAGTGCAAAATTTTAGTATATTGTGTGGAAGAAGATCAAGGAAGAAAACTCACTGTATTGCCACATGTTCCACAGTTAGAAGAATCAGTCTGCGTATTGACGCATATATTGCTACAGTTGGTAAATCCACTTGGACATCCACACACGCCACTAGTGCAGGAACCGCCAGCGGGACACTAGATTATAAAATTAATATATCATTATATCATATACTATTGGATAACTCACAACATTGCCACATGTTCCACAGTTAATAGAACTAGTCTGCGTATCGACACATACACCGGAACAGTTGGTAAGTCCAGCTTGACATACACACGCGCCATTACTGCAAGAAAAACCAGAGGGACACTAAATTATAAATGTTAATATATTGCTATATCAAATACTGTTGGAAAACTCACTATATTGCCACATGTTCCACAGTTGGAAGAATTAGTCTGTGTATTGATGCATACACCAGAACAGATTTGCTGTGGAGCTGGACATTGACACACGCTATTAACACAGGTAGCATTAGTGGGACACTAAAAAATTATAAAACGTTAGTATCAGGCTCTACAATACACTTTCTATGAGAAAATTGAATCGGAAGGGCAAGAATTGTAGGGCATACCTTATTGCCGCAAGTCCCACAATTAGAGGGATCAATTGCTGTGTTAATACACAACCCGTTGCAACATTGCAGACCAGTCTTGCACTGTAGACATTCAGGTTATTTGTATGGATATACTTTTCCCAGGTGTGGTAGATTTCATGATGACTCACATTTCCAAAGCTGCCACCACATAAGGCGGGATGTGTCACTTGTGCATCGACACTGTGCAGAATGCCTGGGTGTGAAGTTAGACTAGGAAGATTCATGCTATAAAGGAGACCTTCGAGGGTCTTGGTGAGATTGTCATAAGTCAGAGCTCACCAGACAGAGGGATTATGCAAAGCAATAGCTTTAGCATGATGAAGAGTGATTTCATCATTTTGATCAAAGATCCGAAGTCAATGAATGGTAACTTTGATTGTTTGATGCTAAAGATGTGAGAGAAGGCATAGGAAGTCAGTTGTTTGATAAGATGGATGTAAAATGATGTGATTGATGAGGTTTATATATCTTTCTCTCTCATGGGACTACTAAATGGAAGGAGAATCTTCACGTGCTTTATGGAGAATGAAGCCAACAATGCACATTGGATACAGTGATACAACTGTGCCAGTGATACTACCTTCTGCAAGGAACCTGCTAGACCTATCTTCATTGTGTATTGTTCCATCAACATTGAGCTCTGCCTTGTGACAACTCCTGTGTAAATCCGATCCTCCTGTCTGTAGATCTGTGGAAGGTTCTTGTTGCGCTCTATAGGACATTTGAGGTTAACCGCAAGTGCATAGATTTGTCAAGATTTTCCGTTTTTTTTGCCTATGTAATTTATCTAATCTTCTTACCACTATTAAACACTATTCAGCCATCAATATTTATCTACATACTTATTCCTGTGGTTTTTAATAGATCTTAAGCTCTGGGCAACGAGCGAGTTTGTTTAGAAGTGGTCTTTAGAGGAGTATATAAAGTACGAAATAAATACTTCTTATATGAGTGGGCTATCATCATCATCATTAAGTTTCCTGTGGCGGTTGTCAACGGTGATTACTGGCGGGCCATGGCTTTGTATGGAGATAGGATACAAGAGCGACTTGTTGATACAACAAGAATCTTTGTTGTATGGACATCTGTAGTATACTGTGATGACCGGCCTATCCCTGTATTAGGTCATGTATGGAGGTCTATTTATATGGATGCTCTGCGCCCCAGCTTGATCCCTGTTTTTCATGCTTAGTTTTTCATCGTGCAGCTACCAATGTGATATTGCATTGACCCCTTCACATTTCTTTCCAAATACTCACTCTCACTCGGTCTAATTGAATTAGCCAGTTAGATTCTTTCAAAATATTATACTCACTAGAGCTATATTCTTTTTAGGACGTCTATATTTGTCCTATTTGTAGGACCACTGGTCTGAGCCAGACAACAGTGGTGCGGTTTTTGCTGTCTGAGGCTTTCTGTTACACACAAACCCCATGTTTCTTGTACATGCTACTATCCAATGTCAGTATAAGCCAACGATTCATGGAATTCATTTTTCAGGTTATTATATTACATATGTTAGGTACAACAATGACCAGTATGTAGCATTCCTCTTACCTCTACCATCAGCAATACAAACAGTGGCTCTGATTGCAGTCTGTGATAATAAGTTGAAGGTGGGATACACTGATAGCTACATAGAGAAAATCTATATGTTTTGAATGTAACTATATCACATGGAAGCCTATCTGTATCATCTGCCTTCTTAACTCTCAATTCCACGGTCCCCAGCGTTTCTCTAATCTCAGTTACATGTATTTCCATCACCCTTCCTACCTTTTGATGCCCCGCACTTATGTTCTCAATACAGATTGCCCTGGTCTATGGCCACTTCAGCGGCTTACTTTCTCGTGGGACAGTAAGCTACCATATTTCGCTCAATCCAATTCATCGCATGAGAGTTATCACACACAACAGGAGACTTAGCCATGCAAGATCTCGTAGCTATTACCATAAATATCACATGAAGCAGCAGCATTCTTAGATGTTATACATCGAAATGGTCACAGATTGTACTATGCTTCATGTATAACTGTAAGTGATGAGTTATATGAATACGACTGTATACAACGTTGCACGTATAGGACATATTTCCAATGTTAATGTTCCCCAATTAAGCAATTTGGCTCTTCTTAAGATTCATCCCGACATACGAATGGTCATTGACTTCATTTCCGCAAGATCAAATGCAAGTAAACTCTAAAGGAGAAAAGAAAGGAAAAAACGAAAATTTCGTCAAATGGTCAAACGGATAGTTTGGAATGAATGTGCTGTATATGGCTAGATCCAATTAAATCAGCTACAGAGGGAGGACAAATCTTGAATTCCCGACGTCTAATGTTAGACGGCATCTTGATATTCCTGTCAAAAAAGCAAATTTGAATGTTGCTCGTGCAGCAAAGAGGTGGTATCACATATAGCTGCTCTCTAGGTAATATTTTTGCCTAGCATATTTTGCGGTATATCCCTGTAAAGCTCAGTGTAATTAAAGCTATGGGATGCTACGTTGTTCCACCTACAGTACAGGATATCGTACAGGCTAGCATGAGAAGGTGTCTATAAGTTGTTTTCATAAATTCAAGAATATGCGCAAAATGTATTTAAGAAGTGAGCTTCCCACTCCTAAAGCCGGGACAAGTCACAGAAGTGCCAGCTGATATATCTCTATACCAAAATCCCGAATATACTATAGTTGCTATCATCGTTACTCATTATTGGGTCGCTGTTAAATCTCATCAACATGTTGATGCTACTTCTTCTTGCCTGGGGTGAGTTTGAAACGCAAGCCTTCCTTCTTTCGAGCAGAAAGTCTTAGGTCTTTGGACTACAACATAGAAAGGTTCAATACTGACTTGCTTGCAGGGGTGTTGACCTCTTACAGTGAAGTTGAAGCAAATCCTGCTGGAAGTAATATTATCAATGGCGGTGGATTTGGATGTCTTCCACCAATTTGGAACAAAGTAAGGTCATTTCGGTTTTACTCAACTGCAAACAATATAATGATATGAGTCACTGATTACTTTACACCGCTAAAAATCAAATAGTGTCTGACTGGCGGCATTTGCTGTGGCTTTTTCTGTGTTAATCAATCGACAGATCCGCTCCATTGCGGTAATTGTCAGACTCAAGTATGTTACTCCTTTGTTTCTCAGTGAATCTTACAATAGGTTAGAATTTTATTAACTTTTTATTAGTGTCCGCCTGGGGCAACATGTGTGAATGGAGTTTGCACATGTAGTCCTCCAGGAACATTATGCCCTGATGGTCAATGCCATAACCTATTAAATGATGCTAATAATTGTGGTTCTTGTGGTAACAAGGTAAATATTAAATTGAGATTTTTATACTGATATAAACATTTACTGACTTCTATTTCAGTGTCCTACAAATGCTGTATGTCTAAATGGAGCATGCACAAATCCAACATGCAATGGATCCAACTGTGGTATTGCACAGTCATGTGGCCCAGTAGGCTCACTGTGTTTCTGTACCCCTACACTGGAAGGTCCAGGATATTGTAGTCTTGGCTTTGACTGTGCGAGCTTACAGCAATGTGCTTCAAGTTCAGATTGTCCAGCAGGTCAGGTCTGTGGTAATACTGCAAGTTGCTGTGCTAATAGTCACAATGTCTGCCTTAACAATACTGGCTGTGTGTAGTGACGGCAGTTCCAAGGTCTTGCTAGAGCTGGCTCTTGCTCCAACCCTGCAGGTCTTGACACTTGGGTAGTGCTGCTTTGTGAACTTCTCACATTCCTGGTTGCTTTGCTACACTTTGTGCTTCATTTCTATTGCTTCCCTTTTGGACTTTGGACGAGTTTTGTCTTGTTGATTCTCTATATTTTACAGTACCCACCTTACTGATTTGGAAGCTCTACAGTGTGCTAGATGAAGCTTATAAGGGGCTTATCTTACTCACCTAGTTCTTTTTTGAAATCAGCAGACTCCTCTCTCTTATCGAGTTCCTAGCTTTCTAGTCAGTTTTCGCAAGCATATCTATATTCCTGAACTAGTGCCCTAGAGTGTACTATGTAGTAGTGTTGGTATCTTATTGCCCAACTAGGCAACACCTCGTGCTGCGGAATGGGATATAGTTTATCCATGCGCACTAGCTCAAGCACCCGCATCCCTAGGCATTAGGATCAGTCACAATATTAGAAATTCAGTATTACTGGCTCAGTCAGCTTGTTGGATTGGCTGTCCTCGTTATATTTTGCAATCTAATGAAGGTAAACCAACACTGATCAGTGATCGCAGATCAGAAAACTGAGCTACGAATAATCTGATCCAGTGGCCGCAGATCAGACACCTGTCTACGAGCCACTATTACCCCCTGATTTTCTTGAAAATCTTCACTTTCGAAAAACCCCTCTTTCTTTGATTTTTGACACATCTCGGACCCTAAAACAACTTCGATTCGAACTAAGAATCGACAGCCAAGACGCCAAATCCTGATCCCAACGACTTTGAGCCTACAGGGAAGGATCGCAAGATACTCTATAGCCATATAGCTGGAAAGCTCAAAATTTACGCTGAGGTCTATGACACGTACCTATAGCTTCCGTTCAAACAAGACTTTGAAACATGGACTGTGAATGAGATTAAAAACGTCTCTTTTACAAAACTTGGTGAACTGGTCAATACACTTCGAATCAATGGAATTTCTGTCAATATTACTCGTGGCGTTTCACCAGCTGACAGCCTCAAAGCTGTATTCAAGGAGGGAAGACTGTCATGTATGGATAGAAGAGGAAGTCATTCATTACACTAAGCGTGGCCAAGAATTCAGATCACTAGATATAAATGGTGAATTTGGTGAAATAATTGCTTTGTACAAGGAATCCTGGAATTACAGTGTCGTTACAACACGAGACTACACAATACAATCTAGAGAGATACCACAAACACCATCCCCAAGCACAAGAGGAACCACATGAATGATAATGAGACCTCAAAGCTACCAATATCAATTTCATACACCGGCACCAATAGAGTTTACCTTGCTACCGACTACATCACAAACAATAGCTCAGATGGTAGCCGAAGCAGGACCTTCAGATCAAGATCAACATGTGTAGATAGATCGTACCTTGTTTGCACCGTCACAACAATCTGTTTCTCAGACACTAATTCAACTCACAAAGATGTACACGGATAGCGCCAAGTACAGTGGGAATGAATATGGGACCTATTATAGAAATGCACTTTATCAGGCAGCTCATACGTATCGGGCATGCCAATTTGCAACTGCAAAAATAGCATCTACGGTTGCTGCCTTCAGCTCGGACTTATGTTCAAACGTCAGGTAATATAAGGATTTGAAAAGAGCTACAGTGCAATATTACACTACACCCCTCAATGCCAACTAACTCTTCACGGACCAACGTTAGCACAGCTCACGGTCACACTCACTGTATCGAAGCTGCTCACCGCGCGAATGCTCTTTTCCGAAAGGCCGGAAACGGAGCTTTGTACGCAAAAAGCCTGGATGTTGGTCCACTCGCTATACATCAGACGAGAGAGACGATTTGAAATGACAAATTATGAATAGTTACAAGAAACACGTTGATCAGTTGATTCTGGAATATGAAGGTACCAGGGACGACGAAGAACTGCCAGAGGAATTCCTATCCGTTGTGGATAAACTTATTCTGACGGATGAATACGAACTCGAACCTCAATTACAAGATGCATCATCAAACCTATTCATAACTATGTTTTTTACTACAAATAACAACGATAACGCGAACTATGGCCCGTTAATTATCATGGAACTAGCGAACCGTCCAACTTCGCACCGAATTGCCTCATTATTCTCAAAGACCGATTCGAACGTTGATATAAAACCCATGAAGCAACCGATGAGACCTCGAACCCTGAATCGAGTCATATGTACCTCAACGAGAGCCGCTATTCCTCAGAAAACTTTAAGGGCATAGTAAGCATAGTAATTGATACCGGTGCCGCAAAGGCCTCTACAGCTGGATACTGCCAATATCTCGCGCAAAAGAGAATCGTCAAAGGCATTGATCTTGATACAACGACAGCAGGAACAGTGGTAGTCCAATTTGGGAAAGGCGACCCCTGTCACTCACTAGGATCAATTGACGTACGAACACCTATCGGTGTTATACAGTTCCACGCGCTTGAAACAATAACGCCATTCCTAATGTCCATGTCGCAACTAGATAGGTTAAAAAGTTTATTTTAACAACACTTGCAATCTTCCCGTCAATAAGGAAACTGGGGTAACATCGCCAGTTATTCGTCAATTTGGTCACCCATTCCTTGTATGGAAATATGCATATCATAACCATTTGACTGCATCCTTGACAACAACCATGCCTTCTTACCGATGTCAAATTAAGGTGCTTGCACCGCCGATTCGGGCACCCCTCAACTGAGAAGCTTCAAAAAGTACTTGGGCATGCAGGCCAGAGGCAGACAAGGAAGCCCTCAAGCATATCCGCAAGTTTTGCCGTCATTGTCAAATACATGGCAAGTCACCTGGTCGGTTCCGATTCACACTGCATGAAGATGTCAACTTTAATCACTCTATTATTGTTGACATTATGTAGTGGATTATACATCACACGCATCTCTCGTTACGCCTCTGAGCAGCTAGGCCACAGTTGTGTCCACGCTAGCAATTCTAGATCAGACACAACGAGTGTCTGATAACATGAGCATTCATTGACGGTTCTATAGAGCTATAACCTGTGTAGTGGGTCGTGGCCGATATGGTAGGGAGAGGAGACATAGCTATATGCTGCCTATTCAGACACAGGGAAGAGCATGTATTGGATGTCATTATTGTATCAATTTTATTAATATATTCATAGAAGTCAGATCTAGAAGTATACAATAGCCTATCAATAAGACCATTGCCGAAACATCATAATTATTAGACAAGTTGATTAAGGATGAATTCATTCGATGTCATCTTGATAGCAGATAATTCTATGGTGCATGACTAGAAACCAAGTATGGATGCAGATCAATTTAAATGAAAGTCAAACGAAACAATGAGAAGGCTATTTCCCTGAATACATGTGTAATGGCAATTGTCCGCTTTATTCCCCAACTTGTAACAGGAGCCAAGCTATCAAAAAGTCGGTTCGACAAACTGTATAAGCATGGAAATAGGAAGAAGTTCCAAACCCAGCTGGGGGTTACGAAGCCTATAATAAACAGCCAACACAAAGATTCTACCAGGAATACGCTAGGTATCTCCCTACCGTAGTAAGTAACTAGATACAAAGATCTGGCATGTACAGCTTGGAGAGTATTGACATGACATGTGTTAGCTGGGTAGCCTGGGTTTGGAACGCGGAGCCGGACAGGCGCCGAATCGCGCTTGGATAGGGCTACGAGCCCTAGTGGTGCCGTATGAGAAAATCATCTTGTCCGTGCCAAAGATGGCTAGGAGCTCGCACAAGGTTTAAAGAGAGCTCTTGGAGCCACTGGAACAAGCTTCTTTTCCCCTTTTCTCTTCATGCTCAATATTCTCAGTCGACAGGCATCTTTGTAACAAGACCCATCACACAACTGGCTGCAACTTTGTGATATGAAACTGCACGTCATATACTCTCTGGACTGTCTTTGTTTGATGGTAGGGATATGTCCAGTGTATTCCTGGCAAGGATCATGTGTGATGCCTATTTATACGGCTCCAATCCCTAGCTGGATCCTCGTATTCTTCCCATCTCCATGTTTATATAGTTTGTTGAACATTGCGCCTATCTTGTGATAGCTTGGATCCCATCACAGTAAAAGCCAATGAAACGCCATCTACAAAATACAGTCACGCTTGCATGCGACGTGCACTTTGAGGTCTATTTTCCCTCTCAGAATGATCCTAGCGCATGCCTGACCATCCGGACAAGGGGTAGGATCGTCTGGATGGTAATTTTTGAGCCGACATCGATCAACATGTTTCTGAAGCGTATATTTCCGTTTGTGCGCACGGCGTCGACCAGGTAGTATCATGGCTGCGCTATCTATGTGAACTGGTCTCCGGTTTGGCAACTGGACGGGCGATGAAAAAAGTTCGAGGGAAAACGATGAAATGGTGGACAGTCCGAAAGGCAAGGGTTCCCGCTGGTGAAATCGGCGCGGAAAGTAGTGTCGCTCGACGCCCAAAAGAACCACGCTTTCACCAAAACAGATATTTAAGGAATAAACAAATAAAGTAGTATCTATCATCATAGTTCGTCTTTATATGTCTCCTCACTGCCCTTGTCCTCGTCCTTAGGTGTATTTTCATCTTCCTTGGCTTTCTTTGCAGGAGGTGGTTGATCCTCACTTGCCGTTTCTTCGTTCTTCTTCTCTCCATCGCCATGTCCTTCGTCATCTTCATCACCACTTGAACTGATAATAGCACGGTAACTAGTCTCTCCATTGCTTTCCACAATCTCCAGCCTCCAATCACCGCCTTTTGACTTTTCATCCAGTTGGTTTGCGAAATTTTCTACCTCCTTGGGATTCAAATTATACTTCTTGAGATCCTTATTCGATAATTGCACCAGATTGCCATCTTCGCGCTTAGCAATAACCTGAACAGTTTCCTCACCGATTCGGGCCATACGTCCTTTTTCAATGACTTTGCCCTCGGATCCGACTTCTTTCTTTGCACCAACCTCGATTCCGCCAACAAATTGAGATTCTTCAGTGCTAGCATCAACAAGCTTTTGCTTATCGTGATGAGCTTTCATAGCATCAAAGTCTGCAATTTCTTCTGGTGCCAATATCTCCCGGCACTGGATCAGATGTGTCTCTTCGAATTGAGGTAACTGAAATGCGACATCATGACATAAACGGGGTGTATAGATTACCATCAAATAAGAGCAAGTAGTCAATTCCTTGATCCATCCTATCCGATCTGTGGACTGAGGATGGCAGTGGAATTGTACCTCGATCTTGCGCTCAGCTCCTGTAAGGTCACAAATCGTGCCGCCACCCAGTTTTTGCACGAGATATCTTGATTCTCCTTTAGTCTGCAACTCGGCAGTACTGCCATTTGCAGGCTTTTGACTACTGGTAGAGTATCTTTCGGATTCTTCGTCATCATCATGCAGAAACTTCCCTAGGACAAATGAGTGACTGGTCGGGTCTTCTATGGGCGGATAATTTGGTACGCCTGGACCAGATTTGGCGTGAAACTGTTTGACCTGCTTCTTGTAGCAGAACGAATATGACCACCATCCTGAGACGTAATACATGCATGTGCCCTCCATTTCCTCTAGCAACTCTAATCCTCGGTCAGTGGCGCGCGCTATCTCATTTTCGTCCTGCGTTTGATTTCTAGCCCCGTCGCCCTCAGCCATTGTCTTAGTCGTTGTACTGTTCTCCGGTCCATTATTGACTCTTGGAATGTTGCAGAGATAGCGTAACCCCTCGAGTTTCATCTCTTCATAACTAAACTGATTTAGCGAGAGCTCAGGGTCCCAATCCAGATCTGCTCCATTCTTCTTGCTGGTCGTTTTCCAGCCGCCTATTGGTCTCTGTGATGCATGACGCTCTAGATCTCGTTTATCGGAAACGATATTTGAGGAAGATGTGTCTTTGGAAGATCTTTCTTTTTGTAGCTCGAGAATTATGCTGGCTTCGGTCTCGAGAACGTATTCTTCCGGAAACGAAACTTTGTACTATGAAAATTCAGAATCCGACATTCAATAGGTATTTGATGGAATATATACCTGAGGATATGCAAGAACATCATCATGGATACTAAACGGTCGCTTTGCCGCGAGCGTACCTGATGCGATCGACGCTAGATACAAAAGTGATTTTGATATCTTCATCATGCTGTATAATTCCTGCACGCAGTACCAGCTGTAACACTTTGTAGCTGAAATCCTACAGCAGCGCAGAAGTCTTCGATCGAGATCTGCAGAGTGCGCAGAGGAGTGAAGCGGAGATTGGCGGTGATAAGACGTATTCAATTGGACGCAACATTCAATAGCATCGTTGAAGGTTATGAATGGACATGATCAATCGAACACGCAGATAAAGATGGCATGCGTTCTCGAAGCATGAATAATATTTTGAAAAGACACGTTGAATTCATGAAGTTAACAGATAACCGTGCCGTCCGGCGCACCTACACCGCCTTAGGGCACTAACTTAAGGGCACTAGTGCGCTAATTACATAACTCTTCTCAACGATCCGGCTTGAACTCGCAATAGCCCATGTTTTGTTCTCATACATGTATGCATGATGTTTAGATACTTAGATTGATGTGTTAGAGACTCCCTTGTTTGATGTTCTGGCTGGTAGATACTTTTGAAGGTTATCTTCTGTAGGTGTGCAGTATCCTATCTTTAGCGGCTGCAGCAGGGTCTACCTAGGAAGGGAAGCGGTGGGGAGAAAGGGGTAGGAGTATTTACTTCGTTTTTACTATATTGATTGAAATTCTGATTCTGATTCTGATTTTGATTCTGATGCCAGTCTTCCTATTGCTATCGCATATTTGATTGCTGCATGGACGGCCTTCATGTCAGATTGTCACCGATCTAAATCTAAGCGTAGTTTCCCATCTAAAAGAAGGATAGATTGCCTCGTTTTAACTCTATACATTGGTTCATGCCTCCTCTTATCACTATCCATTTTATGCAACAATATAAAAAGTATTCCATTGTCTTGCTTGCTTAGCCATAGGCACAAATGTTGGATTTCACTGCTCCTATTTTATTTAAATAGCCGTTGAGCCTTGACATTCCTATCCGATTACTTGGAGCTCAGCTGCTCGCACGACATCTTTGATTTTCTCATGAACCAGATCAACCAGATCATCCATTGCTTGCCTGATGCATAAAATTAGCTTTCTTTTATTTCCCTCCCCCAAGAGATTGACAACAGTGGATAAGTAGTACCGTCTCTCTAGAGTGAGATACTGATAGCTTGCCAGTCTTGGAATGGCCCAGGTAACGTCGTCGCAATCGCGAGTCGTCGTGCCTATAATTGCTGTCAATTTTGGAAAGAAACAAAAAGAAAAAGAAAAAGAAAAAGACTCGTACCAAAAGACTTATTGTATCCAACCCAATAGATTTGATTAGAAGGGTCATCCCATCTTACTCTTGACCGCAAGACTCAAGTCCGTCAAGCCTTGGACGTATTTAGGACTGCTGACCTTATTACGTCCTGCAAGCTTTGAGCACAACCAGAACCCCAGGCGGGCGTAAACCACTGGAATACACACCAGTTCAGGAGTTCGGCCAGAGTCGCATCGTTCCCACACGCAGACATGGTCACTATCTGCAGACTGTTCAACAGAGGCACTTGATCACTCAGAATCTGGGCTGCCAGCGATCCAGAGCATGCAAGATACTGGAATTTTGGTTTGGTTGCAGTCCTAGATTGCCCTCCGTGTTGAGTAGGTTGGCATACCTAGAGAGAAATGAGCGATTTTACCCATGTTTGGAAACAAAGAAGAATAAGAAGAAGAAATAACCAACCCATAGGAGTATTGATAGCAATATCCTTTGAAAACCCCCCTGGATTTAGTTCCACCTGGTATGGACCAATTAGCAAAGAACTGTTCGGGAAAGGAAAGCAAAGCAGGCCGTACATTGTCTGTCGCCTTAATATAGTGGCCAGCTCCTATTCTAAAAACACACAAGTCTCCAATGGCTGCCCATTTCTCTATCCAGGTATGATCAAAGGGGCTGGAGGCTTGAATGGAAGCTTAGGCATAATTGGTCGACGCGAATGCTATGATGATGGTATGAGAAAGGACTACCAAGATAGTATTAGATAGAACCATCATTGTTTATATCGATCAACTTGTTTCACCCATTCAAACAAGGCGTCAACATTCAATCTTATTCAGGTTAGGTAAAGTGGCACGACCAAACGGACTTCCAATCCTTGACTAACACCCAATTGCTGAATTTTGCGAAACTGGCATATGATAGAATGAAAATCCATCGGTCCACTCTGCTGCGTTCTGATCGCCGTCCGGGAGCTATGACAGTGCTGGCCATCGGCCAAGACATGTTCTTCGACTCATCCATAAAAAGCAATTATTAGGCGTACTACAAAAGCCAAGACTCTCAGGTTAGCCAGTATTTGTCCAATTGTCAACGGCTAAAGCGACTCGGTGCACCGCAATAATTTGGCCTGCGGCGAGCCAAATATAATTGATGTGGCCATGCATACTGGACAGGTTGAGCCTTCTCATGGTGACGCTCGAATGGCAATTTGGGGCACTTAGTCGACGCTGGGACAAGAGGCGTGTTTATATCCTTGCATCGACCAAATCAGTAGTTACAGCTGCAAAACCCTCATTTCCGTATTCGATGTTTCAAAATGGGTCCCTGCAGGGACGAACCCAGACGGTGCCGATGGCACTCAATGGGCTTCTAAATTTGATGTCCAAAAGGTACCTATGCGATTTTGTTCCACATCTGCTTGAGGGGAGGGAGAAGATAAATCCGTATTGAACTGCGTTGGCGAGTTAGGATTAGTGAAGGAATAAAATCAACAAATACACAATGTATTATATAGCCTTTTCCTGTAACCGAATCTGCATCTAACGTGACTACCAAATAAAAGGATTCAGGTTTAGCTTCACTGATCGTACCACTAGACCGTCCTAGATCGTACTATGGATAGAGCGCATCACGAATTCGCGAAAAGTTGCACTTGAACTGAATAATTCCAAGCAGGTTTTGCCCTGCAAGTTAACCAAGTTGGTCAATGCACCTGCTTTCACAAGTAATTGGAAGACCGTTAGGGTTTCCTGCGGACTTCTGGTATGCATGTTCCGCATGGCCAAGTGATGGAGGGCTGTATTGTGTTCCAAGTCCACCGCATTAACATCTACTCCTCCCTTCACAAGAACCTCAAAGATTTCAATGCGAGGTTTATTCCTACTAGACATGGCAAGTCGAACCAACGGGGTGTGCCCTGGTTCGTTTCTGGCTTCTAGATCTACCCCGGCCTGAATGAGGAGAGTGACGGCTGTGGAAGAAGCAAATGCTACTGCCCGATGTACTAAGGAGAGAAGGCAATGATCAGCGGCGTCGTCGTAAACGAAACAAATTCAAACAAAACTAAACTTACATGGGGTGTCCCCCTTGAATTTCAGGCACGGTACTACTCGAGAACCGCAAACGTGAAGATCAGCCCCGAATTCTATCAAGACTTCAAGCATCTCTGTCGATTTAGGTAGAGTGCACACTTCTAAAAGCGCTGACTCGCCTCTCAGATCCAGGTCATTCACATTGACTATCTGACTTGCCAACAGGTCACGCACGAAGCCCGGCTTGGAGGCATGATTCAAAACCCCACTGGTCGATATATCTGACTGGCTGAGGTGTGGATGTAGAAGCTTGATCATGTTCATACAAGAGGCTTGGGCAAATGCGCTCGGAGTGACCCGGGCCCCCAACTCAATAAGCAGTCGGCATGCATCGATTTGATTACTCTTGACAGCACTGCGTAACACCGTGTAGTCCTCTTCGGTCGGGACGATGTAGTTGCAGTCGGCTCCACGGTCTACCAAAAACCGGATGAGCGTGAGATCCCCAATCTCAGCCGCCTGATGGAGCTTTTGTTGGCGCCAGTTAGATCCGGTAGATTTGATTATGGAAATAGGGTCCTAGAGAGTTAGACTTACTATCGTCCAGCCCATATCTATGTGCCATGAATGAATATTATAACGCCCTTGGCTGAGCACCAGGTCGATGATCTCGTACTCCTTATCAGAAATGCTCCGTTTCAACCACAGCACGAAATTCAAAAGAGGCCCTCCCATCTGACCCCGGGTGGTCACGTCGGCCCCGTTCTGTAGGAGCTCCTTGACAATGGTAACATGCCCATTGTGAGCGGCAATATGCAGGGCTGTTATTGGTCCCAGTGGCGAGTAATCCCTTCGGTCGACTTCGGCGCCATGAGAGATAAGCAATTGGACAAGCTCGAGATGACCGTATTCAGCGGCTCGGTGTAGGGCCGTTTCGCCTTCCCAGTCTTCCCACTTCGGGCACGCATTTACGTTGATTTCTCCACTAGCCAAAGCCTCCTGCATCGCTTGCATGTCTCCCGACACGGACGCATTGAAAAATTTTCTGTAGTTGATTGTGTCGGGTGCCCAGATCGGCGGTGCCCATGATTGGTTGACCTCTTCCATTGTTGCGAACCCAAATGAAGCGACTTGATGGTGCTTGTTTTCATCGATATCAAATTACGGTGCCGGGTATGTATTGATGACTATTGATATCCACTGTACTAACACAGAAAAGAAAAAAACAGGCGGTGTTAATCAAGTTCGGTGTTTCTTTTCTGGGCTGCACACGTGACCCTACTTGCCCTTGGCCCCAATGACCAATCACGTTGTGGATTCCATAGTTATCACTTTGCATATGCATGCATGTATCGGATTGGTAGGTTTATTCCAGGCCAATCCTGAAGAGTGTTTTTACTAGGATGAAAAGAACAGAAGTGACTGGCAAGATTGTATGTATTTCCTTCTCTCTGTCTCTTGCTCTCCCTCAGGTTTCAAGCTGGGTTTTTATAAACATCTTTTTGGCGGGGTGATTTGTGAGCTATCAAGAGGGGTAATCATTGGGCTGAAATCTAGGTGCTTTAAGGTGCCTTTAGACCTGTAAGATCGAACATCCGAAGTCCCTACTTCGTTTGAAATCCGGATTATCTGACAGCATGAGAGCATGTTGGGCAGTGGGACCGAAGAAAACACAGAGAGTGGAAAACAGTGACGGAGGTCTCAAATCTCTCTGTAATTAGAAAGTAATTGTAAAGTAACGAAAAAGTGGGAAACCCGCAGTATTAATTCCTTACGGCGTGGATAGTTTCTCATCAGTGATGCGATCTACTCGGTCATTTGGAGACTGATAGCCCCTGACTTCACGACAGGACTCTTCACACGTGCAATTCGGAACCTGGATGGTAGTTGCTTCTGAATCGGTACCATCATCTGCAAGGTATGAGACCTGCACAGTCCGTAAGAAGCACATCGCAGCCGGTACCTGTGCTTCCTGATACTTCACGCGATCGCGAAGTCCGTCGATTGTGTACTGCTGTTTGCCATACTCTACCAGCGTTTGCTCAAGATCGAGCTGCGGTTCGCTTTCGTAATCTTCGGCCTCCTTGACAGTATATGGAGCAAGGATCTGTTCGTAAGGTAGGTGCGGGTATATTGAGACTCCAATTCTGCTTTTTCCCATTTCAGCTCCTACCAGTTCCCAAACAGAGACATGTGCTGATCCTTCAATTGGGTTACATGCATTTCCATCTCATGACGCTCGTTTTTAATCTACAACAGCTGAGACCGCTGCTCCGCACAGCGCTCACGACACCACTGAAGATTGATCCGAACCTTGTCTAGACGTAGCTCCAAACGAGTAATATATATATTGTATTATAAGCTGATGCTTCCAGAATGTCTTTCCATTGCATATGGGTTTCCGGTCTCCTGGAAGTGGCAAGCATGAGTCAAGAGCCTAGACCTAACACATAACAGGATACTCACAGGCATTTCGGATCACGTCACTTATCTAGGAAACCAGTAACCTTAGCATGAATGGCCTACGAAACAGACTCTGAGTGCTGAAAACTGCTTCCATTATATACCCAGAGCGAATTGCGACTTTCTGCATGCACCGTTTGGTGTTAAATCAGATTAGCTGGAAACACCATTAACCGGTCTCAATCAGTTTGAAATCACTTCAACTGTATGTATTCCCCATACTCGTTCTTAATCGATCCTACTATTCACAAACGCCGGCAACACAGGTTTTGATGGTTGGAGTAATTTCCTAAAAAGTATAATGGAGACGGAAGTAGGTTCAGAATTCGAGTGGGCCAGACTCAATACTAGGGGGTGATAGTGGCCAATCAAAACCTTGAGATAGTTTAGTGCCTGTTTGACAGGGGTCAACCATGGCTCCGGGCCGACCCGTCTCGGCGATCTTCCAATCAGATGGCAACCCCTGACCCTGCAGCTACCATCGACAATTGCGCACGAGACCTAATATGTTAGTTCTCCCCGTAAAAATCGTAGAATGCGAGATCTTACAGACCAGGATCCGAGGCGAAAGCAAGTGCTAGAGGAAAATATTCTGGCACGATTTAAAAGCTTTTGGGTCCTACCTAACAGTATTTCCTCTCTAGCAGACGGTCTTGTGTTTCATTTTAACGCCGCAGATTTAACACAGCGTTATGGCTTCTCATAATCAGTCCTCTGAGGACGTACGTACCGAAACTGATCCGGAGTGGATACAGAGGTTGTTTGAAACTCAACCAGGTACGCAGTACTTGAATGAAATCCACGAGGCTTTCTGCCAACCACTTGCTCCGTGGATAGACGGTCACTAAAGCACAGGAGACGCTGGGGCAGGCTTCTCGGAACCGCCAGACGACTCGACCATTGCAAAATACGGGGAGCCTGGAGACCAGACCTTAGTTATCCGAGCTCTAACGGAACGAGTGGCATACTTGGGGACCCTACTCAGGTAAATAATCCTTCCTTTCTCATCGTCTGCTTGAACTCGTCGCCCGGAGATCATCATCATATCCACGTGTCAAATGGATTATCTCGAGCCGTAACTGGCCAGCAATCGAAGAGACTCTTGATGCTGTGACTCAAACAACAAAGCTCTGGCTTGAATTGAATGAGACATCCATCGCTGAGGCCGTCGATTTCTTCGTCCGCTATAAGGTTCAGCTATTGGCAGAAAAAAAGAATTATAACAATGAGATCCATGAGGCTGTTTCCTAATACTTGTTGTCAAACGCACATGGTACCTTCCTCTGGGTAGCCCTTGGTTTGCGATATAGTCACCAACGTCCCGAAAAGAAACGTTCAGAAGAACCTAGAAGAATTCCCTCCTGGTCTTGATAAGCTTTATAAGCGAATGTTAGATCAAATAAACGATACGGATGATGCTGAACTCTGCAAGTCTCTTCTTGGGGTTATCACGACGGTTTACCGCCCTATCACATTGGACGAATCAGTGTCTTCTATTGACTTACCTGAAGAAGTCACGGACAATTCCAATCTAGCAAAGATTATAGGCCTTTGTGGCTCTTTCCTAACACTCCGAGGACGCACAATCTCTCTTGTTCATTAGTTAGCCAAGGACTTTCTGCTTCGAGAAGCTGTCCATGAGATTTTTCCCAACGGAGCAGACAGTGTGTATTATTCCATATTTTCAATATCATTAGGAGCCATTTCCAGGATACTACGACGTGGCATGCACAACATAGCCCACCCTGGATATCCGACCCACCAGGTCACCCAGCCAGATCCAGACCCGCTCGCTGCGATACGATACACATGTCTCTACTGGATTGATCACCTTAACAGGTGCTCTCCCAGCAAAAACGCGATCGAAGACCTCCAGAATAGTGGCTCAATTGGCAATTTCTTCCAAAATGACTATCTTCATTGGCTCGAGGCTCTTAGCCCATCAAGAAGCTTATCAGTGGGAGTAGATTCGATACTAAGACTTGAGAGTTTGCTAAAGGTCTGTCTTCATCGGTGTAACCAAGGAACTGTTTTAACATTATTTTAGATCACAATGGAGAATTCACAGCTAATTGATAGAGTTCGAGATGCATACCGGTTTATCCTGTACCATAGAATAGCGAATGAGAATCATCCACTTCAAGTGTACGCTTCGGGACTGGTATTTAGCCCGGCCGAGAGCATAACAAGGATCCAATTTGAAACACAAAAACCAAGGTGGATAATTGGGAAACTGTTGGCTTATAGGGAAGGAACATGAAGATCAATCCCCAAACCGTGGTCTCGCGAAGAGGCCTACTCTACACGAAGGGAGCACTAATATAGAGTCAAAAATAGGTTCAAATTCGTTGTCCCGAGGAAGACTCCGAAAGGTGAAAATAAACTATCTAAATACAATGAGGCTCAAAACCTTACGCCAAACAAGGCCCGGATCATGCCGTCAAACCGTTTGCTGAGTCTTCCCCATTGAGCTTAATTCGACGTTGCTCTCCGTCAAATCTTTATGGGGTGTCATGCCAACAATCGTCATTGGGATTCACCGCGGTTCCAACAGAAACCAACCATGGAGGAGCGCTGGAGTGTCTGCCTACAGACCCTCGAGGGACATAATGGCTCGGTCAAATCAGTCATCTTCTCCCATGATTCCAAGCTCCTCGCCTCTGCTTCAGTCAATTACACCGTCAAGGTGTGAGATGCCAGCACCGGCCAATACCTACAGACCTTTAAAGGATATAATAACTTAGTTAGGTCAGTCATCTTCTCTCAGGATTCTAAGCTCCTTGTCTCGGCTTCAGATGATGAGACTATCAAAGTATGGGACGCCAGCACCGGCCAATGCCTACAGACCCTCGAGGGACATGATGGCTTGGCTAACTCGGTCATCTTCTCCCATGATTCCAAGCTCCTCGCCTCGGCTTCTTTCGATCGCACCGTTAATGTGTGGGATGCCAGCACCGGCCAATGCCTACAGGCCCTCGATATTGGAAGAGTCACCTCTGTGAAATCATTCGACATTACCAACTCATACCTTGAAACTGATAACGGTACCGTTTATTCATCTTTAGTTGCGGATATAGGATTGACCAACACCGACTCCGGAGTGCCGCGATTTGAAGGTTATAATGTAAGCCCTAATAATATATGTATCACTTGGAACTCAGAGTATCTGCTATGGTTACCACCGAAGTACCGCCCATACTCTACTGCCGTGTCACTATCGACAATATGTTTTGGTTGCCGTTCGGGCCGAGTGTTATTGTTTACCCTTGATTCCCCGAGATTATTAAATATCCTTCTCGGGCACTGAATCTCTTTTAGATAATGCAGATCTTACAGGATGTTATCTTTTATACTTAGGAAAGGGCGCAGACGGGACCTGATACTCTTGAAAAAGTGGAATGTTTAAAACATTGAGAGTAGAATGGTACTTCAAATGGGAATATATGAAGTAATAACTCAATACTGGTCTTTCTTTTGTTTTAATTTGCTTTCAGTATTGTATGAATAATGCTTCGAACATGCAGATTGGTATGGAGGCCATAATGCCAAGAAATATGGTGATGATGATGATTTATTACGCCCGGAGGGACTAACCCTATAGTTAGGACACTAGTGCGTTAGATATATACAATTTGTGTGTTTCCGACCTGTCCTCCTACAAGCCCCTGCTTTCCTGCTTCGACGTATTTATTTTGGTATCTGAAGTTAAGGCCCCCTTGAGCTATAGTTCCCAACATCTTGTGTGTTAAAAAATTGATAGACCAGCGTAAAGGCTGTCTTCTTTAAGTGTGAAGCGTCCTATCTTCAGTAGCTGCAGCAGAGTCTATCGTATGTGAGGGTGGGAATGGTTAGTTAGTGCTGACTTTACAGTGTCTAACTCGGCTCCTATTCCTGTCCTGTGTCAAGTCTTCCTATTGATATTGCATACATGATTGTCGTTCGTACCGCTTTGATATCTAGTTGCCATTGCTCGGGATCAGATTGTGCCTTTCTTCTAAGGTAGAAGGTAGAATGACAGATTCCCTCTTCTTGTTCCTGTACACTGTAGTATGCCTTCTCTCATTCCTGCCCACTTCGTGCAGCGGAATAGGAAATGCTCTACTGTCTCACTTGCATGGCTACAAATGCAAAGGTCTGACTCTGCGGCTCCTATCTTATTCAGGTAAATGTTAAGCCTACTCATTCCTGTTCGAAGTTGAGCTAGAACCACAGCCTCTTTCTGCTTTAGCCCATCGTACAGGCTACGGGTGTGCTTTCCTGGCAGTACTGAGTCAACTTCTGCATTGACCACTTTCTGATATATATGCAACTGATGTCATCTCGATAACGTTACGATAAAGCTGGCTGCTGGATAATCGTTCATGCTCTCTACCAATCATGTGCCAGAGATTTACTTCAATTCATTCGGTCGTTTTTGAAAATCTATACCCCGTACTATGAAGAAATCCTATTCTTTGCAAACATCTGACTAAGTAGCAGTATAAGTATACAATTGGCTAGAGCACACTGTACCTATTTACTAGGCATACTCAATCCAACCTTATCCGTCTCTCCAGCGCAGCGAAAGCAGACAACATGTCACAAACGAACACAAATGGAAAACATTATTCAAACATAAATATGCCCTTCCTCCGCAGCGGGGCTCGTGGCTTTATGCTCACTTGTAACCTCCCAGCCACAACTCCTTTCAATTCTTACGACGTTCATATTCTGATTTCCTTTGCTTGTCAATTGCTTGAGGCTAAATCTCCGTGGTAATCCCGTTTCAATACGGGTTATAAAATTTCCTTGGCTGCCAAAAGATCGTGTTTCATAGTTTGCAGAACCTATCCTTTCGGGTGTGCCTGAAGGCTTTCTAGCCTGGATGAGGTGGATTGCGTATGTGGGGAGACAGCCAACAATGACTGCTATACAGACCGAACCAAAACGATATCGTTAGTAGGAAATTAAATTCACTAGTATCTGAGATGCATCGTACCTATACCCCCTTCAATCATCTCCCATATTACGATCCATGGGAAAGTCGGCGTATCCACCTTCATCCTGGTACCAATAGTGATTCCTCGAGCGAGTGATGTAACTATGCATATAATACCAACAGAAAATATTGCAGCTGTTCGGCGGTATGTTCCCGTTGGAAGACCGACCCACGATTGATGCAGGAACATGATTGGGAGTGCCATGACTTGATATGAGGTCAGTAAAATGTTAGAACGAATCAGGATTGGTGACCTACTAAGTACATCTGTCAGAATCTCTGATGCAACGAGATAGTAGAGATTTGCGACTTGTGCTCGGACGTCTCGAGGGCTAGTGCAGCCACCTATATTCTGTCAGTGAGTTCACAGGATCTCAGTTATGAGATCTGTACTGACCTGGTCTGAAGTAATCTTGAATCGGAGTACATGAATACAATGTCGAAATCCAATTACCAACATAAGTCTCCGCAATCCATCAGCACATATTCTCAAAAACGTAAAAAAAGAAGGGACGGTATACCAAAATCACAAGCCCAACCACAACCATCCAAGCCCTAATCCACTCAAACTGCTGGTACATCACCCTCTTCGAAAGTGCCAACAACGAGAATTTAACCGACCACAACACCATCGGAAACAGTATATTGCTTGCAAATAATATCTTGAGTTGAAACACTTCATCATCGAACAAGTCGTTATATATAGGCTTCACGTCCGCACTAACGTCCATAATTTGATATGCAACGGGAACCACGACGAGGGTAATTGTAGCGAGGATATTGAAGGTCACATATGCGAAAAGTATGAAGACATCTTCAGGACGAAAGGGCTCCTTTCGTAGGCCGCGGAGAAAGAAGCGGGAGATGACGGCGATTCCGGTGAGAACGATCATCGTATATGCACATGCGTCGACTTGTCGGGAGCTTATTTCATACATTTTGATTTATTTCGTGCTTATTATACATTTTTTTCCCTTCAGATTCGAGTGGCAGAAACAAGTTGACTCCATTGATGCTAACTACCTAGGTATTTCTTATATGGCGATCAAGCTCGGTAGTGTCTTCAAAAATGAGATGGTATGACTCTGATTCCAAGATTCGTAGGTTGGTGATTCTTTGTCCAGAATATCCACTAGTGTCTATCTAGTATATCAGACCTCACAAAGAAATGCCGGAGCCCCCTACCCAGATAGGTATAGGACGAACTATTAGTACTAGAATTAGTATCATACTTGTGACCCAAGAACAGATATACAAACCTAGATAGGTATGGTCCTTGTCCCGGGTCCGGGCAATGATAATGGATGCTTCGAAATTTCTTCGGATTCGTCAATCTTTCTGAGGCTCCAGCCTCCGAGGCTACCTAGGTAGTTGATGTAAATCTGTGTTGACTGGGTAGTAAGATCAGAATAAATTCCTCACTGAACTAGGTTTGGTGGTATTCTGCTAATGGGAGTGTCACAAAGACGAGTATCGATATTAAAGAGACAATAAGAGAGAAGTGATTGTGTTAACTAGCTTAGAGTGATCCGTGTACAGTATGTACTCTTATGTCCTAGTTAATAAAAGACAGTAGGGTAGAACTAAATACATGATCAAATGAGTGTCCTTATATATGGATTCCGAATCATATCCTTCATATCCGTGGACCTGACGGCTATCTGTCGGATTGCTGGGTTAACTTCAGGCCAATCCTGAATAGTAGTTTTACAAGGATGGGAAAAGAAGAAAATAACTAGCAAGATTGTATCTATTCAGTTGTCTGCGGTCCTCTGTCTTTCATACCACAAAATTGGCTTTCTTTTATGTGCTTTAGCACGGGGAATGAGTTCAATTACCCGGTACATTCTCCATAATCTACAATATGATATATCATATATCACGTTTCATGAAAGGTGAGGCATAGTGTTCGGATGCCTCTGATTAGCTGAAAATAGGGGAATGACTTGTCTCCAGGTTTGTTCAAATGTCCTTGTTTTCCTTGTGGTAGATCTCGCGATATTCTAACACTATCATATCCATCATCGTTAGGGCTCTGTTGGCTATGCTTCCTGATTAGTCCTAGCTCTTGTCGGATAATCCTTTGTTCCTTGATGCATTAATCTATCCGCGATAGGCTAATCTATTATTAGCTGTGACTTCTTGATTCTTGTGACAGTAGTATCCTAACTCCAAGAAAAGCATTGTGAGCATACTGCGAGCGCAACCTTGGAATCAAATATACGATGAGCACAAGATATCCATGGATATTCTTCTAAACATCCGACGAATATACGATGCTTTACTTGCACTTGAAGCATCTCATACATTTAGTTCATTATTGATCCCCTGATCCTTTGATAATGATACGTCATCCACTATTGTATATCCGCCTGGAGTACTTCCGTTTCAATCAGCCAATCAGAACAGCGAATTGTTCCACTCGTATTACCGTACAGTCTTTCAGCCTGTTTTTCTCGAGAAATATATCCGAAATACCGATCTCTGTATTACACTAACCCTTGTACAGATTAGCGTCAATGCTGACCGAGATCTTTGTAATCCTCAGCTCAATTCCGATTCGCCATCCTTTATACATTTCGCTTCTACAAACTTCTTCATGTAATCGCCAGCTATAAAAATCATACAGAATATGACCAATAAATTATCAATGAATTGAAATCAGAAACCCTCGGATCTCGAATGATTACGAACTTTCTTCTGTGAACAGTCGTGTATAAATAACCCCACGTTTCTCCTCCCATGAAGCTCTTCCTCTCAATTTTGATTTGCATCACAGCAATTGTTATTGGGATATACATTAATACTCCTATATTCAGTTCAATCACAAGTTTGATACCATCACAAATTCAGAACCAAGTCACTGAACTTCTTTCTCGAGTCAACGATAACACAATCACCACTCCCGTAACAGCGCAAGACACACCACACCAAGAACAGATCGCTCTCCCCGACAAAATGACAACCGCCCGCGCAGTCCGCATGGCCTTCCAAGCCCTCGAACAAGCCGAGGGCGCCGGCGCACGCGTCCGCCGCTCCATCGGTACCCCGAAACTCCGCAACTTCAGCCCCTTTCTGATGCTAGATCACTTCACAATCGGCAAGGGCGCCGGATTCCCCGACCACCCTCACCGCGGCCAAGAAACCATCACCTATTTACTATCGGGCGGCGTAGACCACGAAGATTTCGCCGGCAACCGTGGCACAATCGGACCTGGCGATTTACAATTCATGACAGCCGGAAAGGGCATAATGCACGCCGAAATGCCCCACGAGAATGAAGACGGTAGTCCCAACGTCGGAATGCAATTATGGGTCGATCTCCCCAAAGAACTAAAATACGTCGAACCACGATATAGAGATCTACGTGCTACCGAGATCCCCGTTGCGGAAGTCGATGATGGTCGTGCTATCATCAAAGTGATTAGTGGACAATCGCATGGGGTTGATTCTGTGCGGGACCTGGCTTATACACCTCTGTGGTATTTTGATATCACTATCAAACCGGGTGGTCGTGTTAAGCAGATTTTACCTCTTGGCTGGAATGCGTTTGCATACACATTGGAAGGAGCGACGCATTTTGTCATGGATAACACAGACACAAAACCTATAAAACAATACCACAACGTCGTTTTCCAGCAATCAGGTGATTATATTGAGGCTTATGTCCCGGATAACGCAGAGGAGACGTCGCGTTTTATTCTTGTAGCGGGACAGCCGCTTGACCAGGAGGTGGTTCAATATGGTCCGTTTGTGTGCACGTCAAAGGAGGAAGTGTATCAGGCCATGCTTGATTTCCAGAGTGCGAAGAATGGGTTTGAGAGGAGTTTTGGGTGGCAGAGTGAGATTGGGAAGAGGATGAATCGGTTTTAGCCACGTTTTTTGCGCATGTATTTCTTTATCTTTTATGATCATGATCTATGATATCCTTTTGTATTTACCTTTCTAAATCTCTAGATTTACCAATAAACGTATATAGATAAGCATCCATGTTAAGCTAAATGCATTTTAACCTCAAAATCGCTATTATCCTTGCAATAGTATCACATGATAGGAGAGTAAACACCTGAACCTCATACAAACTCAACAACCACAATCAAATATGCTGGCAACAACAACACTGCTCACCCTCAAGAACCACCGTCAGAACGACAAGCTCTTAATATAAATACATCTCAGGAGCAACAAGGCTACTTGGCAAAATGCAAGTCATACGCCAACCATTTCCTAGCATTAACACTCTCCACATCCAATCCAGTACCGTACGTCAATGGTGCAAAGAAGACGAATGAATAAATCACAGCTGACAGAATCACCATAGTGGCCGCCCATCCGGCGTACAAGGACTGTCGTCCTAATCGCTCTTTGGCGGTACGGAAACGTCCAAGGACCAATCGTCCTCGGCCCGTCGGGTCGACCTTGTAATCGGTCTTGGAGGGTGCGATGGGGTCAAGAGTAAAGATAAACTCGACGAGAGCTGCGGCAACAAGGCACGATGCTAGATGGGCGGGGAGGTAGTGGTGCAAGAAACGTTGACGACCCATCAGCCAGAATGGGAAGTAGTGGGCTGCCCAGCAGAGGAAGAGGAATCCAGTGCTGTTATAAAGCCGACTGCGAGCTCCGGGTCCCCAGACTAATCACTATTAGCAAGTCTACCTATAAATCTCCAGGAGGACACTTACTCTCTTCAATAGCGTCAATACCCCGTCGCAACGACAATTGATCCGCTCCAATAATACCAACAAATACAGCCAACATACTGCTAGCAAACCACCATCCTATAGGGTTACCCAAAAAGTAAATCTGTCCCTTCGTCTCATTGTTCGTCCAGAAACTAACACCGCGGAGAAGGAAAGGCCATTGGAACGGCTCACTGGCGTACGGATGCTCGCTAGTAAGAGCATTATTATGGAAGAACATGGCGCGTTGCAATTCTGCCCATTTGCGAACAAATCCTAATTGCGCCATCTCACGTTCTCGCTTCTCTAGACGAGGTGAACCAGCGGGGATCGAAGGTACTTCTTCAATGTACCATATGTTGCTGGATTGCAAGGTGTTCTTATTGCCGTTAATTTCGGCTTGGTTGTATGCCCAGTCAGGCAGAGGTGTAGTATGTGTCCACATTGCTACACGAGTGGGAACATGAATCAACTTGAACAGACCAGAAAGGGATTGAAAAGTTTGTCCCGGTTTGCCGTTTTCAATCTTGATTTCGAACAGGGTATCATCGTGACGCTCGCCATCGGCTATTTCCTGAGGGACTGTTGTGAATTCCTGATTTGTGGGCATAAGAGGCGAGGCTACATCATGCGTCAAGAGATACGAATTGGTGAAAAGATGCTTAAGCTGAACAATATCACCATTCTTGATTTTATGACCAGTGCGGTCATTCTCGGGGAAAGGAACACTCGGAAGAATTTGCCATTGATTGTTGGTATCGTTGTGCGGGTAACCGGTAACCTGCTGTCCTTGGCTAGAAATACGTCCATCATCATAGCGGAGAGGATAATGATCAAAGTGACTGTGAAGGTACACCTTTGTGTCCTTGTGGCGGATGACAATGTTGTCATAATATTCAAGATCAACTGCATTAGCAGTCAGCGGGTTATCAGAGAGTGTTGCTTGGAACTCCGGAGTCATAAAATCATCACCGGGTCCGGATCGAGTCAAGATGGCGAAATGAACCTGGAACCAAAACAGGTAAAAGAAGAACGGGACGACGAGGAGCGCAAATCCGCGAGCCGCGAAGTGCTGGCTGAATCGGAAGAGGGAAAGGGCTCCTCGTGGGCGGTTGATATCAAGCAAGTTCCAAAGATCAACAATCACGGCAGAACCGATAGTAACAAAGGTGAACATGCCGACATATTTGGTAGAAATGACACAGCTCAGACTGATTCCGGTCAAAAGGAGCCACTTCCACCATTTGCGACCAAACTCGTTATAACGCTGTTTGTAGAACTTGACGTAGCAAAGAATGCTCAAAGCAACGCTCAAGACCAAGCAGGCATCCAATAAGATCAATCTGTCTTCGCCAATATGAGCATTGTCAAAAACCATTAACCCTGACGCCAAAACACAAGCCGGCAAGGAATATCCAGACTCCCACATGATATCAAAGACGACCGGAATTGTCAAAGATCCAAGGGTTGCAGGCAAAGCGCGGTATGCGAGATAGGGGACTTTGTTCGTAATGTATGAATCGCCGATATTCTCAAAAGTGAAGCTGCCATCATAGCCGACCAACCAGCCTACAAAGGCGAACAGCAATTTTGCGAATGGAGGATGAACATCGAAGAAATACGTTCGTTGCAAATAGTAAGAAGCGAACTATTATCGTATTAGAGTCTGATAATTGCCCCAAGGGTACACACAAACAAACTTTTCCGAAATGCACCTCATCAAAGACCACCTCATCGGGATAATTGATCATCCAAAAGCGTGTCACAAAAGCCAATGCAGTCATAACAAACATAGCAACCCAGTAATCCCATTCTGACGGTGGTGGTTTTGTTGCTGTCTTGGAGGATACGGAAAAGTTGCCATGACGGGGGGAAGCTTCAGGTGTTACTGGCTCAACACTGTCCTTCTTCGCACCGCCTCTCTTGCGGAGGGATGGTGTGGAAGACATTTTCGGAGAACCACAGTATAGAAAGGAAGGTTAAATCGCAGACGTAAAGGAAAAATGAAATGGGGATGTTGTAAATCACGGAGCGAACGTAGAGGGGCAGAAGTGACCGCTGCTGCTGGGTCGAACTGTCAGTCAGCCTGACAAAATAATCTCACCTGCAGAGAAAAAGAGAAGGAGAATATACGTTATACTGGAATTAGAAAAGCATCGCAACTTGAATATTAGAAGGAACGTGAATGGCGTTGGCAATATGAGCCATCGAATGGTTGATGGAAGTTGTTGTTTGCGTGTCCTTGGAGCTCTCTCCAGCAATCGGACCCGATGTAGACTCGGCGCTCGGACTCTTTTACTTGGGCCAATAATTGTAGCCCCTACTCTTATATCAACATGATCCATGATAGCTATTTATTTTATGGCTATTTCTCTTTTCCAAATATCTCAAAGACTTTATCGGTATTCACAAATAATAAATAATGCCTAAATAATGTGACGTGTCAGGTATAACGAACAGAAGGAACAGAAGAACAGGCTAAGATGCAAGCAAGAACAACAAACTTCTCGCTAGATGTACGCATATGATATAAAGACATGCAATCCAAACGCCAAACATCCCGCAAGAATGCCTCTCATATTAGACAACGCTTATTCCCGTCAGTCGTCGTCGGATAAACTGAGCAGATCAATCTCAGTGCGAATCAAATTCTGAAACTCCGCTCGCGGCATCCCAGTCGTCTTCGCTAATCGATATAAACTTTTTATACTAGAACCAATGTGCTGCTTAATAGCAATTTCTGACGTAGATCGATTCTCTGCTTCTTGTTCGAGTTTTGCAACTGCAGACCCAGATGAAGCAGATGATGGCCGTGGGTGATTTATCATCATTGATACGAGATCTGCGTGTTCGTTATTTTGTGGGAGAGAAGGATCCCGGGGTGCTGCATCTCGGGATTCGCGAGCCTGTTGCATGATCTTTGCAAAGATATCGCCGTTGAGAGATGATTCTCCAGCTTCCGCGGTGTTTTCGGACGGGTCATGGTTGTCCATCGCAGGTTGTACATCGGCATATTGAGAAAAGTATGCATCTTCCGATACTCCTGATGTAGGGTGATGCATACGGGATACCGGTGTCTTTGAGTATGGTGTCCTGCCCGGTGTGTTGTCATACTGTGCCCAGTAATCGTCCTCGTCCTCGTCACCGTCTTTCTGCCCAACCTGCAACCTGTCGGCCTCGGCATCTCTCAAAGCATCGTCGATAATGCGTTCCCTCGCCTGAATATTTGCCTCGCTGACTGTCTCTGACCAGGTGGTGTCGTTGTCATCCGGACCCTCACATGGCTCCAACTCCGCAATGCGCCAGCCAGGACCGCCGCTATCTGCATCATTCGAGCACCATACATATAACACGTTGAGTTGATATTCAGGTAGACTCAATTTAGACCGTAGCGTCTCCTCGTCGAGACGCTTATATGTTATCGATAAATCCTCCGGGACTTCGATCTCGCCGGAAGCCGGGTGTGGTTCAAAAACGACACCATCTAACAGGCGTGAAACGCGCTCGGCCTTCTCATCACTCCAAGACAATAGTCGCAACCATGAATCGGAGGGCGAAGCCGCAACGGAGCTGAGGAGCTGAACGCGCTGGCGTAGTATAGGAGAAAGAAGAGGAAGTAGTGCGGGAGGAGGCCGAGTTGAGACGAAAGCAGTGGGCAAGCAGGCAAGCAACGGCGGCAAGAGCACTTCAGGTTCCGGAGGCGGGATGTACTCGACCATCCTGGTGGTAAGTCACGTTAGTTATCAAATTCAGCCTCTATTTCCGTGCACGATCTGGCGCATGCGGTATAGATCCATGCAGTTGTTTGTAGAGTCGCGGAAATAAGACAGGTATCTTTGGCGAGATAGAAAGGAGCATACCATGGGGGAACGTCAGTGCGAGATGTGGAATGAAGTTGAGCTTGTGGCCGTTCGTCCGATGTGTTAGTCTCCATTTGCCCGGCAGGTGTTGCACCGTAACTGTGGTGCTGGCAGATTTAATCTTTTGGTTCCTCTCGATGCGGGGCCGCCCCCAGTGTGTTGCACTTGGGGTACGATGTATGTTTCAGAAGGGCTCATATCAATCAGAAAACAAAGCCTGTTGTAATGCTGGACATGTTTCTGAATGTCATCTGCATTTACGGACTGCAAACCCCCAGGCCATGTTACATGGCTTGCTGCCGGTGAGCGGACGGTGGATCGTTGACAGAGGACAGAGACAAGGGACGGAGAATTGAAGCCGCCTAAGTAGCCGATCCTGTCGGAGCTCTTGCCGACGAGTAACAATGCTCAATTTCTTAGGCGCATGAGAGCCTAGAAATGTTGCTTAGGTCGGGAAATATTGAGAATGCAGAAAAAATATTGTAGAGATGGTGATGCGTAGTTAAGTATGGCATGGATTGCAGATTTAAGGCAGGTGCCAGGTGGTGGGACCAGCAAGTGCCACCTTCCTTGCCTGTAGCTGTAGGTACCGCAACTACCTCAAATCTCAAACTTCAGACTTCACATACTTCTATCCCGCTACCTTGCAACTACATGCGTGCTCGCGAAAGAAATGCTAGTTCCTCTTCCAACGGTTTGACAACGTCCCGAGTAAAACCATCACGGGTACCAGCGTCCCCCAGACTTACTCGTTGACCAGCAGAAACCCAAGGAGTATCAAGGCAAGCTTGGATCGTTTCTCGGTATGGTACCGAACAATTATCAGTGATTTAATTACATGATCAGCAGTGGTACACGATCAGCAGTGGCCCAGTCAGTATTCGCGTTCACCTCTACACCGTCCGTCAGATCGTCCGGGATACGGAACGATTCGATGGTCTTTACTGTCTCGAGTTCAATCAGGAGAATCCCCAAAGATAGGATGCTGGGACAAGGGTAGAATTGATTGATATCGAGCCCATCATCCCCGCCGCCTTGGTCAGCACTGAAGACAGATGACAAGTAAGGTTTAGTCAATACGAGTGCACCAAGAGATTCATAGAAGAAAGTGATATGCTCCTTGTTCCATTTCTTGGCCAGCCATGGGTTCTCGCTCAACTGCAGTAGCGCCTGTGCCAATACCAATGCGAGCCTCCTTCTTGTCACCAGGGACATGTTTGGCCCGTTAAGCAAGGCGGACTTCAAAAACACAAGCAGGACAATTTAATGTTGTCAAGAGATTTCACCTGATGTTAAGTCTCAAGGACATAATTCTGACATACTCGATGCTATAATGGGAAGTTCCAGACCCGAATCAAACTCTGTTCAGAAAGCAGCAGGCTTATGTGCCCCTTTGTTTGGTCGTTGCTTCTCATCAACTAATCTCGGCTCGGCGGCGAAAGAAGAGCTTCTGAATGAACAGGGAGGATTGAAGATATGGGCTGGAAATATCGGTATTTTTGCCACCGGAACCGCGTCTGCGGACTACCGATTGCGAAACGACCCAAACATCAAGGAGGCCATGGTCTCAATGCTTGGTAGACTGAGAAGAACACTTCATCAGTTACTTTAACTCCCCACAGTAGCTGACTTAAAGGAGGATTATGGTGAAGGAGGGACAGCCGACAAAGAAGGCTCACAGAAATCCACTTCATCTTCTGAGGCCTCACTCGTTGTTGATCTGGACGAAGAAGAAACTTCTAACAACGCGGGAACCTCCCTCTCTGGCAGCGCCGTACAAAATCTTATAGAGACGTGCAAGGTTACTATAACAAATCTCACCGCCTTTCTGTCGCCATTAAGAAGCCTGTTTTCATATAACGAGAACGCGAAAGTTACAAGGTTTATACAAAAAGAAAAGGGAAAAACAGAACAACATGGCGGAGAAGACATCATATCTGAGTTCCTGGTGCACATCAAATGGCTGTTTAGCTTTAGGTACAGACAGATATCACCTAATATTGCTGAGAGGCTCATTGATGCCCTTGTCTTTCGCCGGAAGAAACTAATATATTGCCAAAGACATCAGGAGAAACTCCAGCACGGGATGGGAGATGCATTTGTGTTGCCATTTGATGAGGCTATCTAATTCACTAATGAAGCACCCTAAGGAAGGAACCCAGTTCACCCACCCGTTGCACGAACATGAAGGATTAATTCACTTTCGGGAGGCGTGATAAGTCAGCTGCAAGTAGGCATGTTTTCCACAACCGATCCTTCATCGGTCAGCCACTTAAAGTCTCCCTTATCTGAAATCAATTGCCCTGTCAGGGGTCACGAAATCGGGCATAACCAGGAGAGAACAGCTCGGCGTACCTCCTTTCCCTACTGTTGACACACAAATCAAGGAGATTATATGCTCGTACTGTTTCCGGGTTATAGATAGTGCTGACGTCAAAGGTCACCGTTGGACATTAGTCAAGCACGCCCTCTCTCACTGCCGCATATGACGCTGCTACTGACTTTACAGTACTAGGCGCCATTTTCTTATTCGAAGACTGCTCTAATTCCAGTCATCACTACAGAACAGTCAACGCATGGGTCAGTCACATGCAATGGCAGCACCCCTTCACTTGGTTCTGACCAGGCCCCCAACATAGGGAACAGCTATTCTTCTCGAAAGATGATTTGACAAACCATATACCATCGGAACATGCGGCAGCTTTTTCTCAACCCCAGTTGGATGTTCTTGCCCAGAAGAATAATGCCCGCCCTGCATCTGAATTGTTTGAAAATCTTAGCCGGACAAGGCAAAGCCACTTTGACACTCTCTCGGATCATCCTTTGTGCCTCTCCTCGGCGTCAGATCAGGTCGCAGTGTCGGATATAGATGCATCAAAAGAGAAGTTTGATAATTCATTGCTGGCTGTTCCGGAAAGGGCGGAAAACAGACGGGAGAAGATTATTCGAGATCATATCGTTTTACACCTTGAGGAGTTTGCTTTGCTATCGTTGCCTGAGGACGAGAACAGCGAGCGTAACCTCAGCATCGGTCTCGAGCAATCAGAAAATGATGGAATAGGCAGGGAGGAACAATATCTTCCTTCTCTAGTATTCGACAGCTCGCCTGAGTAGGGCTCAGATGACGAGATCTCAACAGATAAGAACGTGGATTTATTACATTACAAACCTGACAACTACAGATATTTGCCTCCAGAGGTAGGGGATGCAGCCGACCAAATCTGGCGCTCTGTGCGAAAATATCGGCAAACTAATAGTGGCCAGTCAGAACTTCTTGACATCTCACAAGATTCAACATTGCGGAATTTTGTGGAACAGGCACGAATGAAGCAGAGTAGGGTTGCAATACCTATGATTGTATTGATGAGGACGGTATACAGACGTATGAGGATACGGGAAAGGACATTAACAAGATGCCGGAATTAGCGTCGCCACCAGCGAACGTAGAGGCTGGCCTAGAGCTGGGGTTTGGCAGATAATATGGATATAGCAAATCCCGGTTATAACTAACTACAGGAATGTCTCTTATATCTATGTTAGTCTTAGCACGGAGCGATTGTCTGGCGTCCCATTTGTGATATCTGCGGATTCGATACCTAACCTTGAAGCTGGATTGGATGAATTACTGATCGACAATCTCGCTTTACGGCCGTCTTAGGATAGCATATACCGAAACCTACAGAAGGGAAAGCCAACGAGAATAAACATTGGTAATCTGACGTCCATTCGATGTTTTTACCACGTTTTTCCCGACTGATACGTTGGTATCAACGGTTGTTAATTAGCTATAACAAGACAAGAGGCATTCTGGGACTAATCAAAATTAATACCTTTCAAAAACAATGGTCATACTACTTCCTCGGTGTCAGCTTGACATAGAGAGGATTTTTCCTCCAAATGATCGCGGACTTCTGCTGGGCCCAATTTCTGCTCTCAGATTGCAACTCAACATCGAAATTCCAGAAGAACTCGGCCACGATCAGCTTCATCTCGGCATATGCCAGACTTTATGAAAACATATAAGTGAGTGCTCGCATCTACGTAATTCGATCAAAAGGGGTTACTTACTTCTTCCCGAGACAATTCCTCGGTCCGTGAGAGAATGGATGGAATGCATTCTTATCATCGTTCGCGAAACGAGAATCACCATTATTGAGCCAGCGTTCAGGGTGGAAAGAGTCCGGTTCGAAAAAGTTTTTCGAAGAGCGATAGCACGCATAGTGATGCATCCCAACGCTAGTACCCCCAGGGACAAATTTTCCACAAATGACTTCTCCCGGTTGGGGAGTTGAGCGAGGTAATGCATTGGGCACGGGAGGATACATACGCAGAGACTCTTCGATCACGGCTTGCAGATAGGGTAAATAGGAGACGGTTTGAATGCTAATCTCGGTCTCTTTGGGGAAACATGTGCGGACTTCTTCTGCTAAGCGGGCCAATACGTCAGGGTTCACTAGGAGATAATACAACATGCCGGACAATAGCGACGCTGTTGTTTCGCTACCAGCAAGTAATAGGAGGTTTCCTTGCGAGACCATTTCCTCAAATGTCAGACCGTCAGCCCCGATAGTTTCACGAGATCCCTTGAGCATATAGTGCACTGAGGTATTGTCAGGGTGATTTGCGTCTCAAATAGTCTATAAATGAATCTTACCAAAGTCAGGTCTCTCTGTATCATGGGCTATCCGGCGAGCTAGCTTATCTTTGGCCAGATGATATTGAAACATTCGGTCGTCTAGCAGCTTCTTTGGAGCAATAAGCTTGGTGAAATTTTTCCATGTTAACGGCAACAAACGCCTGAGCAGCCGCTCGATGATACCGAACTGGATCGAACCGAAAACCGTGGAGAGATATCTCGACCACACACCCTGCTTCAGGAGTGAAAATGATTCACCAAAAGCTAGATCTCCAATCACATCGAAAGTTGTGAAGTTGAACCAATGCACCATGTTGACGACGCCATTGCCTGTAGTTGCTCGATCTTTCAGTTGCGCTATAAAAAGGTCGATATACCCCTTAATACAGGCTTCCTGCGCTCTCAGAGCCTTTTCAGAAAAGGCATGTGCTAAGAGCCGCCGCAGCCGGCGATGATGTTCGCCGTTAGCTGCTACCTATTGTTGGTTTTTCCCACATGGTTAGAAACTCTAGTCGCTAGACTGCTCTGGATTAAGGGGATAAATACAATATTCGGCTCCCCATTTGGTGGTAATACGAAAAACTCTCGGTCTTTGTCGAATAGAGCTTTATGACTGCCGGATCGATGGCCTTAGACATTATGAACATCAGTATTATATTCCTATACCCCCCTTTGAAAGAAAAAGGGGGGAAAGGTGGAAAAGGGGGTAGGCTAACCGCAAATTTCTTCCCACGCCTGGCTTGAATTATATGACAAGCTGTTTGGCGCAATGCGCACGACTTCGCCGTAAGTATCGTGCCATTCTTTGACTTTATTATGCTGCGTGCCACTCAATTCGAGAATGGAGATGTAAATGCTGAATGCCCTTCCAAGAAATGGACCAGGATAGGAATGAAGGGGATGGAAATAGAGGTTGTAGACGACTTTTGAAATCGTCCATGCCAAAGCGAGGGCTATAACGGACTTTGTCAAATATCTTGTCGTTAGAGCAGGAAAAAATGGATTTATAAAGGATCGTCATGTACATACTGGTATGGAGATCAAGCTAGAGAGTGGATAGTGGTCGATCCGGTCAAGCGGCATCAAGTAACTCGCCATGGTGACAATGAGTTGCTGCGCGGTCCAGTCTACTTGTCTCTTTCTCGCTTCTGAGGGTTCACTTATAGCATAGAAGAGTCCTATGAATTGAGATCGGTGTAACAAGAAGATTGGTGTTCACGTCACACGCTTCGTGCCTAGGCAGCACATCAATATCGAAGATGGAAGAAGAGCCCGGGGAGATGGAGAGTACGTTAAATACTTCTCAACAAGTCTCGACTCTGGATATGCGCAGTAACAGAAATTCTGTGCACTGTATAATAACGCTCGGTTTATCGGCCGATGCTCGCCCTGATGAACTCGCGATCTCCCGTCTAACCGCCATCCTTGAACCTCCATCATGCACGTTTGTCTCATCTTAACACTTTCACCGATGATTATTCATAAAGTTGTGGGACGTATGTCAGGCTATGGACTTGGTATATCCACCACACACTTCACAGGAGGTCATTTCACTGGTTATCGACGTGAAAATCGACCAGGGGGTGAGCTCCCATGGAGGACGTCAATGTGCGGAGACCCAGCTTCAATCGTCAATGCCATCCACGTACTTGCTCAAGTCGCTCATGCTATGCAACCGTGTAGTACTTAAGTATCTTAAGACGTTCTAAAGACCCATAACAGTGACCCACAAAGTCCAAGATTGACGATCATATGTTACAGGAGAGTGGGACATTCGCTGAGTCAGTGGTTGAACCATGCCTAGGTAGTAGAGACTACGCCATTAATACTAACGGTTTAAGTCTTAACATGCACCGTTATTATACTGTACTATGCCATGCCATCCTATCATACCTGAATATTGCTAATATGCATGCAAATCCCCATACAGATCCTCCACACTGACGAGTCAGCGGTTTCTTCCTACGATACATATTGTAGAATCAATTCTGTAGGATAAATCATCCGAATCGCTTATAAATTTCCTCGATTGGCGTGTACTCGATAAATATTACTCTTTGCAGCGAAAGAGTCCGAAACACGAGCGGAGATATGGATTAGCTTCATGGATAGTCTCATAATCTCCGCATAATCGGAACCTTCATGGACATTAACAAAGATATAATTTTTCCCCAGGATGGCGTGTAGCCGAAGCTCAGAAAGAGTCTTAAAAGTGCCGGATGACCTGTGGATCCAGGCCCATGTTTCAAAGTCGTATCGGATCATCCACTCCTTTTTTGTCTTTGGGATTCTCGTCAATGATTCTGCAGTGCTTTATATGCATCTCATACATATTTTCCCGGCATGACCACAGTCCGCGTGGGCTTGTCGTCCTTCAAACTCTCCATGTGAGCAGTGACCTCTTGCGGCAAGTGTATGGGTTTGCAGCAATCGGACATTTTTCCGCCGTAGATATTTCGAAAGCTGGACAATGGCTTCTATACAGAAGTTCGGTGGAATGACACAAATCTAGCCATTCATCCAGTTTATCATCAGTATCGATGCTGCCAACAGCCTAAATTCGTCCGGCAGAACAAAGAAGGTAACCCTGCTTATGGGTTCTTAGTAAGTATCCTCGAGTAGCCTTGCAGAAACCTGTACGAAATGTTCTGGGAAGGGGTCCAGAGCAATCATGCGCTCTGACGTAGCTAGATAAGACATACTTGAGGTCGTCATTGGTTCCGCGCACGGCGCCACCTAAGTAGATGTGGTTTGACTAGACTATAGCACAACCCATTCGAGAATTGCAACAGCTAGAAGGGGACAAGACATCTGCCTCTGGACTTGTTAAACAGAAGTATAGGAGGTTATACACATGAGATGGCTGTGGATATGCTCCATGTTTAGGATCCTATACTAACTTTTGCTGGAGAGTGAACAAAATCGAGGCTTCCAAAGCAACTTGACACGTAATCAAGCTTGAGAATCTACGGATAGAACAAAGGTTGCAATTGAGACTCTGGATATTCTTCACTGCGCTGCCAATCCGCACTCACTTCGTAGAGAGGTCTTGGCACATCGCTAATAGAAACAGCGTCTCCTGAAAGGAAAGATTATACTCGCCTATGCTGCTTTCCGACCAATCCCAGCTGATGCATAACTTCCTGAAAGGGTTGGAAAACCCCAGAGACAACAATCCACAGTATATCCTACCAGTCAATCTTTCCTCATTTGTGCCCTTGCTGATAGGTGCAGGGACACCCAGGGAGGGTCTGAGTAATGCACATCAACTAGGCACTAGACAGTTTGAATATGCTCAAGAATCACATTGAAGTTCTGATCTAGTGCATGTATAAATGGTATCTACTTTTCTACACAGTACACCACCAACCCAAATTAGGGTTTGTTTAGGGTTAAACCCTAACTCGGTTTAAATATTGGCCAGGTATGACTAAGCAGTAGGTCTCCATCACGTGCACAAACACTTTCTGTCAACCTAATTGGCCGATGCACTTGAATATCCTCTTGTTCCTCGACTGAAGCGAGAGCAGACAACTTGCACAACAGTTTTCTGGGTAACAACTAATGACCAGTTGACTGAATAGTAGAATAGCATCAACAGTTAACCTGGAGTGCTTGGCAACGGATAATTCACCAGGAGAAAAGACGTTCTAGTACTCCCTTAGAGCAGGAGATGACAAATCCGCCATGAGAATCGTGTAAGCATCCCGAGGTCCACGGGTCCCTCAAATGTTATATCCGTCCACAGGTGTCGTGCAGAGTGTCTTGAGACATGAATTTAGATTTTGTCCTGTTAACAATATGTACAGTTGGGTTTTCTTAATTTGTGACGGATGTGTAACTCTATCCTGCAAGTCATTAATCACCTCTCCTTCCTTCTAGAAAGTTCATCCCGTTCGAGGGGGGGACAAACCACAAACAACAACAAAACAACCCTACCCATCTAGCCAACACCACGTTCTAAACGACAAAAACAGTTACTACTATGAGTAACCAAGATGGAGGCCAGCAACTAAAAGGGGAGCAGTTGCAACTCGAGAAGAAACTGCGCCTCAAGGTGGATTTGCGACTATGCACAATCGCCGGCCTACTATGTAGTCTGAACCTGCTGGACTCCGGAATCATATCCTCTGCTTCAGTGACGAGCATGATCTCCGATCTGGGTCTGGAGGGAACCCGATATTCAGTTTCGATCTTCATCTTCACAGTATCCAGTGTCGTTTTTCAACTACCCTCCACAATCGCTGTGCGATTTATCGGTCCCCGCATATGGTTCGCGTTGATAACGTTTTGTTTCGGCCTCATCACACTGTGTACTGCCTTTGTGCAGTCATGGCGCCAGATGATTGCTCTACGTGTCTTGCTTGGTATTTCCATGTCCGGGATATATCCCGGGTTGACCTATCTGATAAGTACATGGTACACGCGCAAAGAGCAGCAATTACGATTCGCGTTTTTGCAGTCCGGTGAAGTCCTCGTTCTCGCCACGGGGAGTATTGTGAATTACGGACTGAATCATCTCGACAGCCGGGCTGGTTTGGCCGGATGGCGATGGATGTATATCGTCCAGGGATCGATTACCTGTTTGATTGGTATCATGACTTATTGGTGGATGATCGATTTCCCAGAAAAGGCTGCGAAATCAGTTTGGTTTCTGTCCGAGGCGGAAATTCAACTTGCCATAGATCGTATTCGTGCTGATAGAGGTGATGTTATTCCTGATCCTTTTTCGTGGAAGAAAGTTGCTGTCAACTTTCTGGACCCAAAATTGTATGGGTTTTCGGTTTTGTTTTTCTTGTTGAACCTGGTATCGACGTCGATGTCTTACTTCCTGCCTATAATTCTGGAGTCTGGTATGGGATTCTCGGAAAATGCTAGCATTGTACTTTCTGCTCCGGTAAGTACTACTACCCTTTTCTTTCAATCAAACCGTTTCTTCTGACATATATCAGCCATACTACTGGGCCGTCATCCCCGTCCTCTTCACCTCCCTCATAGGGGACAAATACCGCCTCCGGGGACCACTAATCATCTTCAATGCCCTGGTCCTAATTGTAGGCTTCCTCATGTTCGGCATCAAGGCCTCCCACCAAGTCACAGTCCGCTATATAGGCACATACCTCGCCACGGGTGCGTATGTATCCAATTGGGCAGCCCTAAACGCTTACCAAGCCAATAATATCGTGGGTCAATGGAAACGGGCCACCATCGCCGCTGCCGTTACGGCATGTAATGGTTTGGGAGGGATAGCGGGGAGTTTTATCGTTCGTCAACACGAAGCACCTTGGTATCCGACTGCGGTGTGGGTGTCGATTGGGTCGCATATCTTGATGATTGTGATTGTGTGTGGTTTTACGGTTTATTTCAAAATGGAGAATAATTTGGAGAAGAGGAGGAAGAGGGTCATTGAGGGGACGGTAAGCTATTCATTGTCTTTCCCCGTTCCTGAGTCTTTTGTACTGACTGTGAATAGCCCGGGTTCAGGTATACATATTAGAAGGGTGGAACGATGCTTGGATGGAGAGATATCACGACTTTACGACACAGCCCTAAAAGCAGGTATATAATACACGGATGGAATTTATGACTAGAAGATTCTAACACTCTAACCTAATCAATTGGAGTATGATCAAAAGTATCTGCAACTCGATACAGGATTTGCGGGGGTATACAACTGACGAATTAAACGAATGAATGATGAAATAGACAGCCAATGATAAGACATATACAAGATCCTTCTTACGTAGAACTGGAAATGATCATATCATATCCAGTAGGAGATATAGCTTTTGAATCAGATCCCCCGATCAGTCTGTTCCAATTTACTCACTAACCTCTTCATACCCGCCCATTCATCAGCCGGCACCTCTTCCACAGGTCCACTCAGCGCCTTTCCGACTTCAAACACTGTAACAACCCCGTCAAGACCACCCGTTGCAACTCTTCTCCCCTCTCGTTCTTCCCATGCAATCTTATTCAGGCTTCTAGTCAACACCCCTCCCCGGCCGGGAGTCGGCTGAGTCCTGACGGCGGGTACTTCAGTGTCATGGTACAAATCCCATATCTCGACGTTGCCGGCTCCATCGACCAAACCAAACACGCCGGGGCGATGCGGGGACCATTTAGCGTCGTATACGACATCTTCACGGTTGATGTCTAGCAAGGGGGAGATCACTTGAGGTTGTGATGCTAATCCTCCGGCCGTAGCGGATGCGGCTGTTGTAGCTGGTGGTCTGACGCGCCAGAGTTTTACACTCCAGTCTAGACTGGAACTAAGCATGAGATCGCCGAAGTCGACCGGTCCGCGCGCTGGATGGAACGCTGTTGACATTATGGGTGCGGCATGACCGCGATAGGCGAGACGTTGGTCGGTACCTGCTTTTGCGCCTGCGCGGTCGTAGCGATGGCATGGGTATATGCCGCCTTCTTCGGTGCCGACGAGGAAGAAAGTTGGATCAGATTGAGGGAAGGACATTGTTGTTGGAGCTAGATCTTCCGTTCGTGAGGGTGGAGGAGTAGTGAGTTCGAGGTATTCTTGAGGTTGGGAGAGCATGTCTACTGTCCAGCCGCAGACGACGCCGTCAGTGGAGGCGGTTAAAATGTTGTGAGCGTTTTGTGTGCCAATTATGGCGATGCTATAAACTGGATGTGTATGTCCTGCGCCTGTGAGAGGAGTCTTCTGGACTGGTGCGCCGCCACCAGCACGGCTAGATCGTGTATCCCATAGCAGGACTTGTCCGGAATATGTGCCGCCGACGATCAAATTAGGGTGAAATGGTGAGAATTTTGCGGCAAGAATATCTGATGTAGAATGAAAAACGTATTCGGGACGAGAATGAAGATGTTGATTCCAGACTTGAAGTAAACCATCAGGTTCATGAGGTGCAGTTGGATTCTTGGTGTATGCAGCAAGGATTAACTCTGGGAACTATTCAACGCAATTCATTAGTATCTACTCGAATTCCTCCTTGGGACTGATATCGTCTTTCTTACCTTGGGTGAGAAACTTAAATCGCTGATTGTTCGCTTCTTGCTCCATCGCTCGTCGTAGAATTGTGTGATCTCTTTTATACCTCTCCGTTTATTCTCATATTCACCGTCTTCTTCTTGTTCTGCGTTCACGCCGCCGAGTGCATAGTCCGCAAGAATATCGTACTCTTCATCCAGCGCACGTTCAATGACTTTGCTCGATTTCTCCACAAAGTCTAAGAAGTCGTCTGACGAAGTGACTGCATTGAGCTCATCGTCGTTCAATGTGCGAAGAGGGTATCTGAGCTGACTCGAAGATGCCGCAATGCCAATGCCATTGACCTGTTGAGATGCTATAAGCTCTTCCTCGATTTCCTTGCGGATTCTCTCACGAATTTCTTCATCTCGCTCCCGTATTCTCCGACTCAATCTCTTACTCGACGGCGAAGATGGTGCCTCCTCGTTTTCTGCGAGTGGACCATCGGCTATTGTGCTCGGTAAGTCTGAAAGATCATCTGTTTGCACCGCTTTACTATATGTGACTGTCTCCTTTTTCGGTTCAGGGGCAGGCGCGGGTTCCGACACAAAAGGCTCTGTTGCTTCGGTCTGCGTCGCAACGGATTGTGATACCATCCGGACTGGGGGTGGTGAGAATACCTCTGCATTTTCGCCGCTTAGTTGGCTTGCGCTCAACACCGAGTTGGGTCGGCTGCCTCTCCGTGAGGGGCCATCTCCGTCCTTGTATGAGGATGATGAAGGGCGATCGACGAGGCGGGATATGAGGCTGTCGAGCTCTGCTCTGCTATCTGCGCGACTCGGGACGGGTGATACTATCTATTCATCAAGTATTCGTTAGCATACTTAGCATTATGGATTTGACAGATAGCTTGTTTACATCTGAGGCATCGCCAATACTGGCTCGGTTCTGGTTGAACTCTTTCTGGCGCAGTTCTCGTTGACGCTTGAGTTCTGCAAGCTTTGCCTTTTTGGCTAGAATCTCATCCTTACGCGCTTGCATTGTTATTTTCTGTGCTGGGATCAATGGTCAAGCGATGCTGTTTGCTGTCGTGTCAATAAAAGTTCATGTTATGCTCCTGTCGATAAACATGTGGATCGCGCGGAGCACCAATGAGAGCTGCGGAGTTCCTGCCTGGTCCTTAAGGTTGCTCGCTGACATAATCAATGTCCGTCCGCTCGCCGGCGGCCCGGAAAAACTCGCGACAGGAACTTCTGTCCTTGAATGAGTTAACTTGCTAGTGGTTAAACATCCAATTCTATACAGCCATTGACTCTAGATACCTGCGCGACTCGGCCCTTCGGTGTCTAGCCCGGAATCTTCCTTTCGATTCTTTTATTCTGCTGAATTTCCTTCCTCGCCCTGAAGAGGTGGGATTTGCAATCGTCATGGCTTCACAGGGTGTCAACGTGAGTCGACCGGCACAATCTTTCTCGTCGTTCCGCATACAATTCGGTTGGGAATTTCAGTGTCTGACCTTCTCATTACCATTGACTTACAGGTTCTCCGCTATTCTGCCCTTGTCGGTGGTATCTTTTACGGTCTCTGGCACCAATCCGCATTGAACACTCAGGCTAAGCAGGCTGAACACGATCGAGAATACAAGCACAAGGAGTCATTGATTCAAAAGGCCAAGGCTGAGTGGGCCAAGAAGAACGCACCACCTGATACAAAGAGCGGCCGTATGTATTTCCAGTCAACAATTCATGAGCTAAGGAGAAATGGGGTTGTTCTCGGTACCATCGGTTAACCAAATGTAATAGTTGTCACGGATCCCGAAGATCCTCGATTCGACCTAGAAAAGTTCCTTATTGCGAAGGCGGAAGAGAAATAAATGTATACACTTGATAATGGGCGATTTTCTGGAGGAAGATGAAGTTCGTGGGCTAATAGATGGCATGTTGATTTCTCTTTTCACACGATTTATAGATGCCTGCTAAGAGAAGGGCATTTACTACGAAGGCATATGGCTGAAGCCAAATCTGTATCATTTACATCTCCTTTGTACTTCTTTTTTTGCTTGTTCTTCATGGTTCCTGCCAAACTATTGACTTTGTGTGAGTGAAAGGAAAAAAGAATCATATCATGATAGACCATTCATTTGCCATCTTTGTACATATCGAGTCTTCCAACGCTATTGTCTGTACACTACGGTTAATCGTGCGGGTAGGATACTCCAAGGACCTTGATTGCCTCGACCGGGTGAGCCGTAGATTTCTCAAGTGTATGCATACCAGGAAATGAATGACAGACCTCAATCATAATTCGTCAAGTATTTTGGTTGCTAAACTTAAAGACGTAATCTAAGCGATCTATGAATAGTTTGAAGCACCTCTCAGCCCCCTTGGACACTTGCCAAATTCACAATGCGACTGATCTGGTCTAACGGTTGCCTGTATTTGCCGATATCAATATGTTTCTCCGGCACGCGTGGTCGGAAGACCTCTTTGTCAGCATCCCATTCCCATCCTTTCTTCACCAGTATGTCCATCAACTCTGAGTTGGACTCCAGTCCGAGGTACTCTGCGGCTACCTTGGGTCTGATCGATTCGTAGATGCGACTTATGTTTCGGAAGGATCTTTCGGTATAATAAGCTGGGAGCAGACGATGTCAGTATTCGCACATAGAAATATCTGTCTTCCAGGATTGTACTGACAATCAAACCTCTGTACGATGATGTTGACTGGTTCTGGCCATGGCTGAGTTCTCAGTAACCCATAAGTCTCGGAATATTTGTTTTGGTATATCGACCGTAGCACCGCAATACTACGTTGCACCACCGGGTCATTCTGGATCAATGTCGTCGGAATACGCTGCGTTAATGCGCGAGCTTCTTGACTAAAGCAAATCAGTGTCTGTCACGAGATGCAGTAAATGATCCACTTACATTTCGTCTATGAGAAGATGGGAAAAAAGAAATGAGGAGTAGAAGGGAGTCAGAACTGTTGCATTTCGGATTTCTCCAGCTGCTGTAAATTGCTGGCAGGCCTCATCTTCGTAGGAGCTGAGGATTTCGTAGAGTGCGTCATTCGTGGGAGTGTCTGTGAGCACTTTCTGTAGCTGTTCGAGCGACAGCGACGGCGAGTCCATTTTATCCCCAAGCCCAAAATGCGTAGTCAATATTGTAGTAGCTATCGAAGCCCTATTGAGTTAATATTGACCAAATATCCAGCTGGTGGCAGATGGTTGACTGAGGCATGCGGGGAGCTTAGAGCAAAACACGGAGATAAATCGATAGACCCGCTCTCCACTCTAACTTAAGCTGCCATTCGCCAAGACCTCCAAAGAGACCACCTGGCGGAGCTGTCCTTCATCTTCCAACATAATAGCTTCAGAGTTGACAACACTCCGTCACCCATGGTATAATTTCTTCATTGAAGCGTATTTACCTTCGTTTGATTGATTTTCTTGCTTGCTACCGGCCTTCATGGCCTCCACTGCAGTCGATCCCTTTTTAAAGGGAAACACAGGGAGAAATACTCGCGGCCTCCTCCGCATCGTCATTCTATGCACCATTGCTGCGGCCGCCATTGCCAGTCGTCTTTTCAGTGTGATTCGTACGTTTGAAATCAATTGAAAGGAAATTACGAACATGTCATAACTAACAGTTTATTTCAGGTTTTGAAAGTATTATTCACGAATGTACGTGTCTTGAATTACCAATGAATGACCCGGCCGACTTGATACTGACAAAGCCATTGTCGCAGTCGACCCCTGGTTCAATTTCAGAGCAACTAAACATTTGGTCGAACATGGCTTCTATAGTTTCTGGGATTGGTTCGATGACCGTACGTGCCAATATCCTGACAGGACTCGTTTTGATATAACAAGCTGACAGGTGTCAGGAACGTGGCATCCTCTCGGACGTGTCACCGGTGGTACTCTTTACCCCGGATTGATGGTGACCAGTGGTGTGATCTATCACTTTCTTCGATTCCTTACGATCCCGGTCGATATTCGCAACATCTGTGTCCTGCTCGCACCTGGTTTCTCTGGCTTGACCGCATTAGCAACTTATCTCCTGACCAACGAAATGACAACATCTCCTTCTGCTGGTCTTCTCGCCGCGGCATTCATGGGTATCACACCTGGATACATTTCACGATCCGTTGCCGGAAGTTACGATAATGAAGCCATCGCCATTTTCCTGCTTGTCTTCACCTTCTTCCTCTGGATCAAAGCTGTCAAGAACGGCTCTATTATGTGGGGAGCTCTGACTGCGCTGTTCTATGGATACATGGTTTCTGCATGGGGTGGCTACGTCTTTATCACTAACCTGATCCCATTACACATTTTTGTACTCATCTGTATGGGCCGGTACAGCTCACGCCTGTACATCAGCTACACCACATGGTATGCATTGGGAACGTTGGCCAGTATGCAGATTCCTTTTGTTGGTTTCTTGCCAATCCGTAGCAGTGATCACATGTCTGCTTTGGGTATGTACCGCAATCGCCTTGGAGCCAGTCCAGTTAGACTAATTTACTTTTACAGGTATCTTTGGCTTGATTCAGGTGGTTGCTTTCGTCGACTGGGTCCGAACCCAAGTCCCCGGCAAACAGTTCCAGACTCTCCTGACTTCTCTTGTTCTGCTTATCTTCGGTGTTTCGTTTATCGGATTGGTCGGCCTGACTCTATCTGGTATCATTGCACCCTGGAGCGGCCGTTTCTATTCTCTCTGGGATACAGGATACGCCAAGATCCATATTCCCATCATTGCCTCTGTGTCCGAACATCAGCCCACAGCATGGCCCGCTTTCTTCTTCGACCTCAACTTCTTGATCTGGCTCTTCCCAGCAGGTGTATACATGTGTTTCCGTGAGCTTCGTGACGAGCACGTCTTCGTTGTCATTTACTCCGTCCTTGCAAGCTACTTTGCTGGTGTCATGGTGCGTTTGATGCTCACCCTCACACCCATTGTATGTGTGGCCGCTGCCATTGCATTGTCATACATCCTGGACACCTACCTGCTTCTCAAGAGCCCATCAGCTGGTCAAGAGACTGTCCCTGCAAAATCATCCGATGGTCTACGAAGCGAGCGCGGCACCGTTCATGGTATCAGCTCGACATTCTCAAAGGTGTTCACAACTGCCTCTGTTTCGGCCTACCTCTTACTTTTCGTCGCTCATTGTACCTGGGTCACTTCCAACGCGTATTCCTCACCATCAGTTGTGTTGGCCAGCCGCATGCCTGACGGTAGTCAGTTTATCATCGATGACTACCGTGAAGCATACTACTGGCTACGTCAAAACACTGCGCAAAACGCCAAGATCATGTCCTGGTGGGATTATGGCTACCAGATCGGTGGAATGGCCGATCGACCAACCTTGGTTGACAACAATACCTGGAACAACACACACATCGCCACTGTCGGTAAAGCGATGAGCTCTCGCGAAGAAGTCAGCTACCCCATCCTCCGCCAACATGACGTGGACTACGTCCTAGTGGTCTTTGGAGGGTTACTAGGCTACTCCGGTGACGATATCAATAAGTTCCTATGGATGGTGCGTATCGCAGAGGGCATCTGGCCGGACCAGGTGAAGGAACGAGACTTTTTCACTGCACGCGGCGAATATCGTGTCGATGATGAAGCCACCCCTACCATGCGCAACAGTTTGATGTAAGCCCAAGCTTCCATTCAGTGTTTGAAAGAATAATCCCAACTAAGATTGAAACAGGTATAAAATGTCCTACTACAACTTCAACAACCTCTTCCCGGCGGGCATGGCTCAAGACCGAGTCCGAGGCGTCAGACTGCCCGCTGAGGGACCCCAACTAAGCACCCTTGAAGAAGCATTCACCAGCGAAAACTGGATTATTCGAATCTATAAAGTGAAACCATTAGATAATGTGGGTCGTGATCATCAAACTGCCGTCGCGTTTGAGAAGGGTCATAAGAAGAAGAAGAGTACGAAGAGGAAGGGACCGCCTGTTTTGAGGGTTGAGTAGAGATTGAGATACGAGTAAAACTTGAACTTGTCTTTCTGTTGGTTTGACTACCTCTTATCAGGTAATACTTATATATCTTTCCTCGTTGTGTTTTACCTGTTTTTACTCTGGGACTGCTACCTCTAAGGGTATCCTATTTGATGGGAGAAGAAAAAGGCTCGTTTCGATTTGCATGACAATCTTTCTTTGTATGATAATACCTATAGCATAAAATAAGGATCTGCTCAATTGTAACGATTGTATCTGGCATGCTTCTCATGCATGGAATTAAATTTTTTTTCGCCACGTTCAAATGGGAGTGGAGTCCCAAAGTCCTTGTAATACTGATGCAAAAGAGTAATGAAATACGGAGCCCCTATATTTATGTCCCTATCATACATAGACTGCATTATGGTAATTTGCTGATCTGTCAAGGAAAAAAATCCCTTTACGCCGTCGTATTCCGGTGCCTTTCTGTTTCCACTGTAGGACGAATGTCATACCTTCCCTAACCCTCCGTGTTTATTTTACAATAAAGTAGGCCCAATCAAAAGACCTATCATGAAGCCACATATCGTGACAGTTGCTGAATGGTGCGGTTACGCAATCATGCTCTAGCAACTTGTTGTTGTACACCGTTGGTAGTACTACCTGTAACCGAGACTTCTCGTGTTTGTTGTGATGAAATAGCTTCCGGTCTCCATCTCGAAAGCACTCTGCTGGCTGCTGGTCTTGCCTCTTCGTCTGTAAACGGAATATTAGCTCCATTGATATAATTACCCGGTGAGGAAACGTAGAATTTACATGTATTGTATATCTCTTCCAAAGTGTTAAGACACATCTCTCTCGCTGGGGGTCTGAACATTACTAGGTAACTGCAAAGAATTAGTTTCTCGTCAATCATCTATTGAGGAATTAAAGAGGTGGAAGCATACTGTAACGCCTGAACACAAAGATTAATACGCTCCGGATCCCTCGCCAGCGTCTGCACTCGCCCAATAATCGGTAACGTAACCTCCGGAATCTCACTCAAAAACCGAATGAGAATCTTGACATCACGCGCGTCAAGATATGGCAATATGCCACCTAACAGCCGCAAAACCCAGGAATCATAGTGCAGCGGTACAGAGACTTCCTCGCTCTTCCCACGCTGAGAAGCGGCTGCTTCCATCTGCATACGGTCGTTGTACCATTCTTCGTTTAACCACATGATTCCAATATTGATTCGAGATCGGAAATCTTCCAAGATATGTCGATATAATAAATCACGAATGTAGTTTGAAATAGTGGGTCGACCGTCTGAAGTCTGGATTTCGCCAGCGGCAGCTTCTAGTTTTGCGGGAGCTCTTGTCGCCATGCGTACTAGCATTGTTATCCATGCTTCCTTTGAGTCGAGAGAACCGCCAGCAAGACGTGCGAATCCCTTTCGATCTGATGAAGAAGCTGAAGCTGAAGTCGAAGCCGAGGATGCTGCTGCCCCACCGGCAGTGACGGGTTTAGCAGCTGCTTTAAATGGCGTTGCTATCATCATCTCAAAGACGCGATCAGCGGCAGCACGACCTATCTCATTTGCTTCGTTTCCTGTCAAGGGTGGAGGTCTGCTGAGTTGGAATGGTCCCAGTTCAGGCTCTACTTCGAATATTGCGGCTGTGGTATCTTGGACTTCGGACTCGGGAATATCCACGGGTTGGTATTCGGGCTCGTATTCGTCCTCATCTTCTTCGGCCGGAGCTTGGGCTTGTTGTGCTTGTCGAGCAATTAGGGTTTGATATCGACCGCGGATAGCCTGCTAATGTTAGTACATCATTCCTCCTTTGATATGCATTCAGCTACTTACATCAGTCGCCTGAGTAAGCGCATTTTGATCAACACGTCCGAGAACAGCTACTGCAATTTTGACTATGAGATCAGGGGGGAGCTGTTTCACGTCAAAAGAGGAAAGTCCAATATCTTCTGTCAGGGTATAGAGTTGAGAATAGCTGATAGGGCCTTCGGGAAGAGGAGGAATCTTGAGCAAAGGAGGAGTTTCGGCACCGAGTCTTGCTCTTTTCGCATTATCAAGACCGTCTGTGGGCTCATCCGGAAGAGCGCGCTTTCGGGATGATGCATCGAATGCTTCTATGCAGTTTTGCGCCAGTCTTTCCATGTGTTGATGCATTTTTCCGGCAAGTGGATGATTGGGGTTTCTATAACGGACGGCGTTAGAAGCATGTCTAGAAGTGTTCTAATACTTGAAACTAACCTCTTCAGTAGATTGATCAATACAGCGCGCGTTGTCCGCTCCATTGACTTGATCTTAACACGCATAGTAGATGTCATTGGTCCATGGTCTACTTTAACAGGATTGAAGTTCAGTAATGTTTCCAGAATCTTATTAGCAATGGTGGGACGAGTGCGAATCAATATCCCCAGGCAGTTGATTGTCGCATTCACAAGAATCGCATCACTGTAGGCTATCAGTATAGAACTGAAGCATCTTGTAATGCTACTTACTCGGCATTGTCCTGTAGAACAGTAAGAAGTCGATCCAGCAGACCCGACGCTTCTGCTTCAAGATTCGGTATCGAGAGCAGTGAATGAGTCCTAGGCACAATGGCAATAGAAGTTTCGTTCCTCTCTGGCCGCTGCACAAACACGAGTTAATGCATATCCAAGTGTATTCATCGACAAGACAGGTAGTTACGCACTCGGGGATCAGCAATCGGTCCTGGAGTCTGAGTATGAACGACCTTCTGCACAAACTTGATACAGCATACCCTGACCGGGTGAGGCGCACTGTCCATTCTCTGGAGTATATTATGTTTTATTGAAGTGATCTGCTCCCACATGGCCTTGTCGTCTGGGTGGTGGATTCTAGTGGAACACTAGGTTAGACATCGAACAGATATTGACAGGGCTACTTTGGTCCATCTACGAAATGCTAAAGGGAGCTTGATAACAGAGAAGAAAGAAAACATACATATGTCTGAAAACGAACGGATATAGACTTGATACCGTCTGCACCGCGCTCTTAACCACTGCGACATCCTCTGCCTCATTTCCTAAGTATTCATTCAATGTGGGCAACACGGTACCAGAGAGCGACTCCTTGCGGTCCGAAGGTAGTGTCGTATTTGCAAAAGTCTCTGCGAGGAAATCCGCACCCCATCGTCGAAGGTCTAATCGCGCATTTATGCCAATGATAGGTAATATGCCCTGCAGGACCTGTGGATAGAGTGCGGCATCGGATAGGACAAGGTTGCGAGCTGCTTCGAGTTGGTTCAGTTGCTCTTTTAGGTCAACTTGAGCCATTTTGGTTGGACTCGCGTCGGCCGGCGCAGCCGCACCACTAGGATGAGTCTTATATCTCAGTGGAGCGCAGTAGAAGACTGACCGGTATCGAAACTTCAGATGGAGTTGGGGCCGAAAGCTTTCTTCAGTCGCGTGTCGGGCTGTAAACGTAGATTGCGCGGAACAATTTGGGTATCTTAGAGATAAGAAACACGAAGCTCAGACTAAGGAAATCGACTAGAATAGTCCGAGTCTACAGAGAGCAAGGAGGATGTGCACAGGTCGAGAGGAGGTTGAAGGAGTATTGTTCTTGGCTGAGCAACAAGCTTGTCGGAGAGGAACAAACAAGAGCCATGACGAACCAATCGGCGTTGATTGTGCACCGCCACATATAACATCGGAGCACGCGCCACATAACATGACACCAAGATCTTCAATTGTGGCTTTAAAGCATCTTCCGACGTCCGCGGAATTTCTGTTCCTCACGACATCCATACACTTTCCAATCGCAACATCGCTCGCTTCAAGACACTTTGGATTGATCACCAAGATGCCATCTGGAATGTACGTCTCTTACCTATCCATCGAATGAATCCCGTTTTCTCAAGCAGAGATAACCCTCCTCGCCCATCCGATTGACAATCATATCATATGCTGAGACTAATACTTCAATGTGATCCAGCTTCAATTCAAGTTACTACGGCAAAGACTACCGAGCCGGTGCTGCTCTACTCCGTGCTCGACGACCATACCTCGTCAGAAATACATTGACCGGTCTCGGTCTTTGTGGATTCGTTGTTGGTGTTTGTACGTCTTAATTCGTTTCCTGTTTCAGATGAGAGACAATAATTGATGGTATTATAGACGTCTTCACAATCCGCGCAGTTGGTCAAGAAGATTTCTCCGATGTCGTTGTTCCTCCGGCCCCGGCCACGGCCACGAATCAACAACAGAAGTAGTTTCTTCGACTACTTCTATTCAGCTTTCGCTGCGAAATACATGTACAGATACTTTTTATTGACGGAGTTAGAACTTGCATAAGGCGTTCGGGATTTCGAAAATTTACAAGCGCTTTTCAATTGAGCGCGTGGACAGAAGAAGACTGAGGATTCTACGTTAGACTATTTCGAGATATATATGGAATTGAAGAACCTCGCTTCTACAACTAGCAAAATCCTAGGAACGGGCTTTTAGTATCTCTATGCTAGCGTTTGAAGTTCCTCCACCATCGATGAACAGTACGTAGCTGATTTCTGGCAATTTCGTCTGTCATGGCATAGCGAGAGGGTATGGGATTCTGAGATAACATTCTCGTAAAGCTCTCAAATCTCATACGCGCGTCCATCAATAACTCGCGTTTAAGGCTGTAGTATAGCTTGACAATTCGCTGACGAGGATTCAGGAAAGAAAGGAGACCCGTTATACGGATACCGCCTCCGATCAAGAGCAGGTGATCGCTCCGCAACACTCCTTGGTTGGCGCTACATCGATACGGGCCATCCACCAATGTAAGCAGACGCTCGCACGGTTTTAAATATGAAGTCATATCTTGCCCCTTTCGGACGAAAATAGTTACGCCTGTGTTTATGTAGAACCCATTGGTCGATAGCCGATTTTGACTGTCCTCGTCAGATGTAATATGTATGGCTTTGCGGGCCTTTTCGTCCAGCCTGCCCTCCGCGTCTGAGTTTTGTTCTTGAGCATGCTGCTGCTGGGGGCTGAGAATGGAAGTCGGGATTATGGAGAAAGGATGATTCTCACAAGCGCGCCAGGGATGAATCGGCGGAAAGTGCACATGGACTCTGTGACAAGGCATTATAGCCCACCGCAGTCCGGGGATATCGATACGCACAATCTGATGACTCACCTCGCTCACCTTCGCATAATGGAGCCCAGCTTTAAGAAGGCGAAGGAGGCGTATCAAACGATCAAAGAACCAAACTGCAATAGCAGTGTATAGCCATGTCTCGTAGCCAAAGGTAAACCCATATTCGAATTGAATGTGATACCAGCAACCAACGACGAAAATGACAGCCAGGATGACATGCGTCACGAGAGAGAGGTCATAAACCTGACGGCGAATGATCAGGATGCTTGTCAGCATGATGGCAACAGCGGTGACGGTTGCGACACAACCCCCATATCCAGTATGGTTTGGTCAGATTGGACGTATATTCGTCCACCTTGACCCATAGAATCAGATCAAGGATAGAGTGCACAAGAGCTTGGAAGATAAAGATGCGGGCTATCCATCGATGAAAGAACAAATATATTGTATAAGGCTAATCAATTAACCAAAGGAGGATATTATTCCTACTTGAAAACAAAAACATAACCGGTGTGAGACAAAAGGCACTGGCACCAGCGCGAAGGCAGACGTAGAACATGAGTTCCTGGTAATGATTCTCGTACCACTGCATAAGCCGCTCTGGGTACAAGGTCTTGTAGTCGACAGAGATGAAGATGCCGTTTAGAATGACCATGAGAAGAATGAATAGGGCCTGGCCAATGGTCGGAGCATTTCCAATGAAGTAAGGAAGTGGTCGTTCATGATATGTGCCAATGATGCTTGGCCAAAGTTGTGGCTGGAGCCTTTCTCGTACGCGAGTCATGAATGGGAGATAGTCCATCCACGTAAGTAAAATCGGAAGGGCAAAGATGGCCACACATATTGCGAGTCTGCACAGGTGGAAAAGGAATGATTAGCTAAATCAAGTACACATCTTCAGATTGAATGGAACCGACATACCCGAAATATGACTCCAAAGCAGTCTCGCGAAAGTAGTATATCAATGTGTTTTCCGTATCGGTGAACACGGCCATAGTCGTAAGCACCGTCTCATTCAACATGCCTTCTCCAGTAAGCACACGCAAAGGAGGCTCCACGATCTTACTCATAGTTTCCCCATAACTCCATTGCGGTGTGACAGACACATCTCCAGTAATCTCCGTCTCCCAGGACTTTTCAATGCACGAGGCGCGTATATCATCTGGACAATAGAGGTGAATGTATTAAGTAATAGAGCTTAAAAAGGGGAAGTTAGACGCTCGATATATAGCAATCTTACGCGCAAGGTCGTCGGCGGTCGTATGGCCGCCCTCCTCGATAGTGTTGGAGCATGATAAAGTGAAAGGCGAGAATGATCGGTAGCAGGCATGCGCACAATAAAAGTCGTAGAATTCGAAGCCATCGATGCCGGCAAGTCCGCTCTTTTGGAGGGGAACAGGGCCTGTAGCTACCACACTTGCTACAAGTAAGCATAACAATCTGAGGACGCCTAGAAGTTCCATTCTGAGTACAGAGTCTTTAGGATAGGCGTGAAGGAACTGTGTTGCGAGAGGGCTTCAGCTTCTGGCATGTTATGACCATGCAAAAACACCAATCGAAAGGATTGCATGACTGTACATAAAACCCCGCGGCCATAATATCAATGATTATTCTCATGGAGCCAGAGTATAGTATATGATCCTTCGTTGCGGTCTCGATTCTATAAAAAACTGCTCAAAGTTGTGTATCTGCTCACAATAGCGCCGTTTATGAACCCGCCATGTAAGCCTACATACTGATAAGTGCCAATTCCGAGACCTATAGTAGACTAGCAATATTAATCCCTTAACTTATTACTTGTTAATTTGAAGTATCTATGAGCCAACCCAGTTATTCATTCAATCGTTATATACAAAAAATGGAGAACACCAAATGATAAAGAGCAGTACATTAACAATGCTTACGCCGTTTCCATATGCCATGCAGTTTTCGTGCAGTGAGAGTTTCCATATAGTACGTTCAATCAACCAATAAACGAATCCCACCCCAAAAGACTCCTGCATGGAACTATATCACATGAAACACACCCTCAAAACAAAAATTCCGTCCCAACAGCTATTTCACCTGTAGTTTTTAGTGGTAACTGATTGTACAGAACAAGGTTACTGTGCAGAATGATAAGGCTCAAAAGCCGTAAGCCCCTGTCCGACAGACTCGTCCTGCCGAGAAAGGGGAAAAGAAAAACAGGCCATGTGAAGAACACGTGTTTGTAGGTACAATGGACACACATGATTCATAACGCCAGATACTGAACAAAATGGGTATCACAAGGTAAACTCATCAGTATTGAAATGAGGATGGCGCTATGTGTCACCGTGCAATCATCCGACTTGGCCCAGATCCCGTCATGAGTCTTGAGGAATGAAGACCACCCAATGCTTTATTGGAAGTAGATAATGGCGGCGATGGTTCTCTCTTCGAGGTACCAAACAGACCAAAACGCGGAGGAGAATAACCTGGGTTTCGAGTGGTAGATTCATGTCTGCCTTCGAACAAATGATTTGGGTTACTGGAAGGTCCCTTGCGGACATCAAGAGGAGACGAGCTTTGAGACCTGAATCCAGACTTTCTGTCCAAAGCATCGAAGTCGACATTTCCGATGTGTCCGGCTCCGTGTTGTCTGTGATCCTGTTCCACTCCATATGGGGTATTGGCCGTTGAAGAGTTCGCGGCGGATGCATTGTCTGGAATAGTGGACGCTGATCCATTTGGTGCATTGATATCGATAACGCGCTTTTGCGCTGCTGGCGTTGTATAAGATGTCATATTAGACAAGTGCGCAGGACGATTGGCGTGTACATATTGAGGGTTGGTCCAGACAGCCTGCTGCTCGTGAAGACTTTCTTCGGCCGTTGTGTAGCGGGGCAGATCGGAAGAAACGTTTCCTCGGATTCCAGATTGCGGTGCCACAACTGGACGGTGTTCAATGGAAATCTGCAACACTCAGTGAGCTGAAAGCGCCAGAAGAGAGCATGAAATTGACTTACGCCCATCTTCTCGAAATCCTCGTCAACCTCTGTCGCACGAGCCTCAGACAACGTTGGCGCTGCAGGAAATCCGACATACTTCGCAACACCAGCCATGACCGATACTTCTTGGTTGTACGCAGCTTGTTGCGAGATTTGCTGTGACCGTCTGGTTGGGAAAGGGATATAATGATGAGTGCCAACCTCCTCAGTCTTGAATCGATCATGTTGGATGGCGTAGAATTGTTTGCTAACAGCAGTAGAGTGCTTCTCCCGCGTATCTCGAATACGCTGAAAGTAGGTGCTATGAAGCGCAGCGCGATCGGCGAGACTTCTACTCATAAGTGACTGCATGCGATATTGAAACAGTGTCTGCTCGTAGTTAATCTTCTTGTCGCGATGGCGCTCTAGACATTTCAGCTGACGCTGGAGCTCTAGATGTGATGGTTCTGGACTCGTGAGTTGTTCCAATTCGTAATCAAGCTTGGCAATTTTTTCATCGTAGATCCTGTACGACGTCAGTTGCTGCTTCCTCCCATAGTCATAAAAAGCAAACTTACTTCTCACGCAGCGTCGCAAATTCTTTTTCCAAAACCGCAAGAGCATCAATGGCCGCAATTTTTCGGGCCACTGCTATGAAATCAGCAGCTCGTCCATTACAAAATGTGAGGACAATAAACTCACACTCTTCTTCAGATTTAGTAGCGGCGTCAGCGTCGTTAGCATCATCGGCTACGTCGCCCGCTTCCTCATCCTCCTGCAACTGGTCTTCGGTATTTTCAGTTGCCGCATCTCCATTCTCTAGGTCTTCGTCAAAATCTCTAGCCTTTCTTCCTTTCCGCTTACCCTTCTTGACACCGCGCTTACCTCGGGTTACTACGGTAGGAACAGCGGAATCTCGTGTTTCATCGACCGGAGTTGCCTTTCCTGAAGTATCTTGCTGAGGAACCTCCTCGGTTTCTTCGCGCGTTGTCGAAGCATCAGCACCGGTCTCCTCCGGGACTTCGTCGCCTCCAACGGAGCCACGGCGCTTTCGTAATGGTTCATCATCTTCACCCATTTCTGTGTCGACATCTCCGTCTGCCTGAGGATGTTTGCGCTTTTTGCCTGCGACAGCTGCGGGCGAAGGAGGGCTTGACGCATCGCCAATGACTGGAATCTCGAGGCTTTCAGAGGCACCGTTGGGTTTAGACGATCGGCGTGTCTTGGTAGGAGTCTCATTCAATTCGTTCTCTTCGTCTTCTTCCATTTCGTCATAAGTTGTAGATTGTGCAAGTTTGCTGGGACTGCTCTCAAAGCGGTTTTCTCCCCTCAATCTGATATCTCGCTTTATTAAATGGTTATTCGGTGATTCTTCTAGACGCTCGGTTTCGGCTTCGGAATCTGCTTCTTCGGGTGCAGGTCGTGGAGGTGGTGGGAGCTCGTCATCAGAGGGCTCGTTTTCGGATACGTCATCTATTTCGCTTAGGCTGCTGGACCTGCCATCGTCCACCAGATGATCAAGGGAGATATCTGCGTCGCCAATGGCTCCGGCCAGCTCAACCCCAGGCTGGGCGACAGGCTCAGTGCTTTCAGCAACGTCCATAATCGCGACGCAGCTCACTGATCACCGCACACAATTGTCTTTGTGAAGAGAGTAGTAGGAGAGTTCGTTATGGTGGTAGGAGAAAAAAGTCAAAATAGTTGGTGCTCGCGATCGTGGTGCGCCTATGTTGCTGTAGAAAATTTGTTAGCCAAACTGAAAGTAGTAACCAACCAATAACGATGATCCGAGAAGCATAAGAACGGGAATTAATCGAATGAGGAGCGACAAGAAGAAAATATGCACAGAAATAGTGGAATTATTCGTGGAGAATGTTGCCTTTCTGACTGTGTTGACGAGCTCATCCAGCGGTTATTCGGGACAATTAGTCCGCGCAGGTGCTGTGCACGAGGCCTCTGGAAAAGTAAAATACAAGTATCGCGAAACCACAATTTTTGAAAAAACTCACCTATTAACAAAGCGCATTCAAAGACAGCTGAAGTTTCAAAACGGCGACGTCAGGCAAGACGCTCGACAACCGAAAACTAACAGCGAAACCCCCCACGGGCTCACAAATACCAGTTTTGCCTCCAAGAAAAACACAGTGCGCCAACAGATCGACGATACGGAAAAATATCGACGAGTGAATAGCGCACAAAGCTCAGGAACCTAACGGGATTCTGATGTGACCATGCGTTGTGGAAGCGAAACGATGAGCATTGAAAATCGACGACAGCTCCCAATGGCGGAGAGAAAGCGAGCGAGCGAGGGTAAACGGACAAGAGTCAAGACCGGAGGAAGGGAAAATTGCGAATCGAGTGGACGGGAGGCTCAAGCTAAAGAAGAACAAGTCGAGGTATAGTATGAGCTAATCCAGCGACGAGGTCTGGGGAAGTGTGTGAAATCAGCAGATGATGCTGGAATGGCAATTGTCGAGGAAGAGGAGGGTGCAATGACTGACTGACCTGGTTTGGTTCCTGTGCCGGGCGGCTTGGGGGGAAAAGAGGACGTCAGCCAATCGATTGCGTTCTGCCACGGGCGGTACTTTTCTGCCGCGGATCATTTCTGGCCTTCGACGCGGCTTGATTCCTTTCTGGACGCGTACTAGCCAATCAGTGCTTGTCAATTACTCACCGCCCGGACTTCGGCTTACCCTCGCCACGTGACCTCAGCCCGGATGCGTCTCCGTCACGGTGCTTTTTCGGCTGCTAACATCTTCTTGGGGAGATGTTGTGACTGAAAAATAACTAATCCTGAAATTAGAGTATTAGTCACCTGTCAACAGTTGAAAACTCATGTATTGAGATCTCTGTTGCAAAAGCGTGCATTGAGCTACAAGATGAGCTACGCCTGGGTCGTATGACTTCATCGCAATGTGTGGCTGTTTTCCGATGTCATTTTCTGTATGCGGAAATTTACAAATTTCAAATTCGCCAATTGTTTAGTAGAGTAATCCATGAATTATTTACTGAACTATCTTTATGATGCTAGAAATCATTCTAACTCTTGAAATATGTGTGCTCTGATCGAGAGCAGACTGAAATTTATGCAAACAATCTCCGGTTTCTTATCGGCAGATCACGTGGAGATAACGAAGCTTGCGATGCCAAGACATTTATTTTTTTTTCTTTGGCCGCGACACATCAAAGAAAATTGGAAGACACATCCTGAAGAAATCCCCCCTTGGTCAACAAGATATATAATTTCCTAGTTTCGTTATATTCGAAGTGCGATCTTGATAACACACAATGGCCAAAAAATCCAAGAGCAAATCCGATAAGTCTGAACAAGCGAAATCGAATGGCGCTGCTGCTTCAACAACATTAACAAAGGATGCTCCTATCGATCCATTGCTCGCTTCTCTGTTTGAGAAAAGTGTTAGTTTTTAGTTCTAACTACAAGCAAGTCTCAATTGAGGGATCAAATGCTGATTATTTACAGGCGGGACCGGTGAAAACACCATCCATACAATATAAGGAATTCGTACCTAAACCACAGTCTGCGAAACCTCTACCTGAAGTCGCAGAGCTAGAAGATGGTGCGGAGGATAGCGAAGACGACGATAGCGATGATACTAGTTCCAGCGATATGGATATGCAGGATGCCGATCAAAACGACGAGGACAGTCAGTTTGAATCCGAAAAGGAACAACCTGCAGAAGTGCAGCCGAGCCGGAAGCGTAAAAGAGGAGCTGCAGACAATTTGGAGGATGCATATATGCAGAAGCTAGCTCGCGAAGAGGAACGAGAGAAAGCTAGGCGCAAAATGGAAAAGTCGAAAGAACACGACGTCGAGAGCGATGCATCTGCGGAAAGTGATGAAGACTTCGCTGCTGACAGCGAAGAAAACTCCGATACACCACCACCTGTACATGAAACCGTTTCTGGCGCTGTAGAGGCCGAAGAATTGGACAAATCAAACCGTACTGTGTTTCTGGGCAACGTCTCGAATAAAGCAATCACATCAAAATCCGATAAAAAGGCTCTTTTGGCTCACATTTCATCCTTTTTACCTTCACTGCCGAAATCTCATACCCCTCACAAAATTGAATCAATCCGCTTCCGGTCAACTGCCTACGGTACACAACAAGGAGTTCCTCGACGAGCTGCGTATGCGCACAAAGAGACTATGGATTCTACAACTCTCAGTACTAATGCTTACGTTGTCTTTTCTACGTCTATTGCTGCTCAGAAGGCTCCTGGAGCTTTGAACGGCACCGTTGTGCTGGGCCGTCATTTGCGAGTTGATAATATCGCGCATCCTGCTGCTATAGATAACAAGCGATGCGTGTTTGTTGGCAATCTCGATTTCGTCGGACAAGAAAATGATGCAGAGGGTGACGAGGAAAACCCGAAAAAGAAGAAGAACACACCTCCTGCCGATGTTGAAGAAGGATTATGGCGAACATTCAATGCAAACACCGGCGTTGCGGAGAAGAAGAATGCCGCCGGTGGTAACGTCGAGTCAGTGCGGGTTGTTCGTGATCAGGCTACTCGTGTCGGCAAAGGCTTCGCCTATGTACAGTTCCATGACCCAAACTGCGTGGAGGCCGCATTGCTTCTAGACGGCAAGAAATTTCCCCCTTTACTCCCTCGCAAACTCCGCGTCACTCGCGCAAGGAAGATGAGCAAAAAGCGTGACGCCAACCCTCCGAGACGTGCTCCGACTGATAGTGCTCATAGCACTCTCCGCGGCCGTGTAAAGAAACTACTTGGACGAGCCGGAGCTTCCAAACTGCGCAATGGCAATGACGGCAAGCCTTTTATTTTCGAAGGTCAGCGTGCAGTTGAAAAGACTGATCAATTCAAGTTCAAGAGCAAGTCGCGTGGAGGAAGCAAAGGGAAGCCGAAGAACCGAAGTTCTAGACGCGCAGCAGCATACCGCGCCTCTGGAGGTAGAGCTGGCAGGAAAGCTGCAGAGTAGCAAACAGGAAGTATTATGCCGCTATGTATCTAGCATTTTTCCGCAAAGTCATGTTGTATGGTGAGAGATGTATATCGGCCGATGAGAGCCTTGGCTCACACGAAAATCAGGCGCATTTGTTTACCACTATTAGCTCTAACATCGTTCTGCGTAACCCTGTGTAAGTTCATATGTAATATTTTCTTCTGAATAAACAGGTTCAAAGAAATTGAAGGATTGCCTCCAGCATCACGTGGTCGCATCAGGACGCCGACCAATAAATATTTGGCGACGTCATCGCAAAAGTTACCCGCATCAAGGCATCGACATTCTACTCTTAGAGTATAAGATAAGATTCCCAATTACTCTCCCTCAAGCTTTAAAACTGTCAGAAAAAGCTGAGCGTTCAAGCAGAAGTTCTGCAATCGCTTAATATCCATACCTGTCATTCTTTGAAACCACCATCAAGCGGGAGACCTATGAGTTTCCTGGCAGAGGTCTTCCTTCTTTTGGTCTTCTACACTGTTACGCGATATTTTGCGAACGACGGTATGAACCATACTGGGAACCGTGTTCCTCTTCGTTACCGAGGACGAGGTGGTCGCCGAACGGTCCTCCCTTCGTATCCACAGCACAACGAAGCAGAGACAACTAGCAAGATCAGCGGTTCCGTTGATTCAGATGATACAGAAGACACAGATGTACCCGATGATACTCAGCACAAAGAATTTTACCCAAGCTTAGAAGACGTGTCTGAGGTTCGGAATATACTCCGTCGACTGTGGTCAAGCTCGTCAAAGTCATCAAGTCGGCGAAATGTTATGTTGCCGGACGAGGTGATTGATATTATTTTAGATGAGGCGGAATATTGGCCTAGTATGGTGACGAAACTCGATACAACTCCGTTTGTGATTTCTGCCGATGGGGATAGAGAATGTTTGAAGACGCCGCCGTTATGTTATAGTCTTGCAAAGGAGGGGAAGAAAAGCCAAGAAGAAGCTTCGCCGACAGGTCAAGAGAGCTCGCCACGGATTTTACTACATCGGGGTATTCATCCATGCCGAAAGATTGTATTCGATATATCATCCCACGATCAAGGTTGGGGCGGAGAAAGTGCTCATAGAGGCACATTCACAGGCTCCTGGACATGGTTCGATGCATATATAAGACCTTCGACCCCGAAAGACGACGCCGACGATGGTCGCAAAGCATCCGATACGACCACAGCTACGACGACCAGGTCAGCAGACTCCGACTCTAGCTCAGAGGGGACACCTTCTTCTCATCTAAGACCGTTTCTTCCGGAACCGACCAAACTTCAATGCAATCGCACCGCAACCATTAACTCTACCGATTATCACATTTTCTGGCATTACCGCGATAACTTGCCGGCTGATTCCCCCGAAGCAGAGCGAATCGAGCGAGAGACGGGTCGTGGACGGGCAACTTTAGATGGAAATGCGGTACGCAACATGAAAGTTGGCGACGAAGTCTCTGTATGGCTGAGGGCGCGATTTGCTGGATGGCGGAATCACGTTGATAAGATGTCAGTTAGGGTATTTTGGGCGGCTTGAGGTTATCAAGTGTCCGTGTGACGGCTATGATCATGATGTATAATAATAGGTACTATAATATTTGTCGGTCTTTTTTGGCTAATAGCTGTCAAGATCTTGTACATTAGCAGCCAAACCCCATCTCTATCGGGGCCTCTATGGTTTGTAGCAACAATACGATGTTGTTCCATTTTGCAAACTGGTACCAAAGAGCTTTGTCTTCAAAGACCCTCAGAACACCAATTCCGTTCAGTTCGGAAACAATCACTTGTTGAAAGCATCTCCTTTGTCCAAGTTGATACAATATTGAAACCGTTTACACTTATAGACTGGTTTCGTCAAACTACAGCCTGACCATTCAAGACAAGCACAAAACGGCTTTATTTAAGCTCTCTTCATCCATACTCATCTTTGAGTCTCGATGTCCTCTTCAAAATGTCCTTCACAGGCTGAAAACTTCGAATATTCAGCGCAATAGCTTACCTCCTCCCATTCCCCTTCTACAACTACCTCGACAAGTCTCCTACCGCAATCATGTCTTCATCACCATCCCCGGAACCGCAACCAACATACAATATTGGGTTGGACGGAGTCGAGTACGAGCCAGCCCTAGCCAACCATCTTCAAAAGAACCCAAACGACTTCCAAGCCGCCAGGGACATGTGGCTAAACCGTATCGTGGAAGCCTTCACGGGTTTGGGCAGCCATTCGGCATTTAGTTTCAACACCGACGAACTCATTTTCAACGGATTATTCGTCATTGACATTGCCAACAGCTTAGCGCACCAGATTCGAGTCGTGTTTGCGCATCCAAATTATAAGGGAAGTGATATAGCAACTCCGGACTCTGTGCTCTGGAAATTTTTGGTTGACAAGATGACTAGATATATGCTACAAGTCCGTCGGAAGAGGCTTGAATATATGTTGCTACCCACAAAGAAGCACAAGATAATGATGATTTGGAGGAGTATTACGTGATATTCGCGGTTGGTAGGAAAGTGCGGTTTCTTTGCCTGGAGCCTGGTTCTGATAAATTGGCGGATGCGGCTCACATTAGGGATAATGAGATTTATGATGCTATTGATGACAAGGAACGTGTTGAGGCGTCGTTGGGTGAGTTCGCGTTGCATGCTGCCTACCATCCGTGGTAGATATAGTCTATTTGCGGACTTTGTTTATACTTTATAAGATAGACATACTTGGAGACATAAAATGGCAAATCCTGTTCAATTTTCTTCTCTTAGAACACAACTGCATGCTAGTATATTCCCAGATATGTATATCCTGATCATAAAGAGATTACTTGTTGGTTATAAATGCTTCCTCCATTTGTATGAAGACATAGTTAGTACATGTAGGTACCGAAAGAAAGCTTATAGCACTTTACCAAAAGGCACCCGCATTCAGGATGTCCTTCTGGTAATTGTATTTGGGCTGCTCCATAGTTTTCAGAGCCGAGCTCATATTCCCAACAGTAGATGAGGTTATCCAAGCGGGAAATGTCCCATGCTTGGGGGAAGACCAATTCTTCCCCCCTCTGGCTGTATAGTTATCCTTGAAAGGCGCACGAAACACCCTTTGGGCGGCCTGAGGACAATGATATTGTTTCCTCATTAAAAGTCTGGCGTCAAGGAAGCAGCTACTAGAGAATGACCCGTTCCAGCTTATGCTTTGTATGTTTCATAGGCTCCCTGGCGTTGGACTGATTGTGACTCTGAACCAAAGCATCTACCCAGGGTATCTTGACTCGCATTGACTGCCATAACGCCTTGTAGAAAGGAAGTTTCCGGTGCCTTATAGAAGTGACGCTTGGCTACAGGGGCGGTTGTGAGTTTGATGCATCGAGTCGTGAAGGCACATACCTAGGCTTGAGACTTCGACACAAAGGCTCATAATCTTGGAAAGATGGAAGTATCAGATGTCACTGTTTTGGAAAGAGTCTGGAAGAAAATCCAGGCTTTTTGCTGCGGATATACATAGATTCCAGCACGAACCGCATGCTTTTTAAGAGTCAGAAAATCCGCTGTATATCAGGCGAAATATTGCAAACTGCAATGCCAATACGTGGGCCAAGATTTGAAGTCGAGGACAAGAAAGATAACGAAGACAGAGAGTGATATGGTAGGATTGATCATGGAGGTGCAAGTTAGTTATTCCCCCTGGGTTGTTGGGCATGTATCCCAAGCAATCATTCGAAATAATGAATGAGCTTGAATTAATCTTGAGATTAGGACACATATGCCTCGTCCTCAACTTTCCTGGATTTCTATCATCAAATAGTGCATGGCGGCCGATATGTGCCCTGGCGAGTCCCAACTAGCATGTGGCTCAACGTGATCCAGAAATATTACCTCAAACCTCAGAACGGCTGGGACGTCAGCATAAACGGACATTTCGAACATAACATAGACGGAGAACGCCAGCGTACCACAATGGTAGCGACAAGCATGGTAGATGCCGAGACTTCCCAACCTCGTCTTGTAATTGCAGCTCTTGAACACAGCTACTATATGGAGACCGATGAGGACGCGCCGACAGAGAACCTACTCCAGGATACCGAAGAATTCATGCTCTCACAGCGCCTCAAATGGATTGGAGAGAAAGCAGGCGGTGATCCAACAGTTTGGGAACGTACATATGTGATTTCGGTTGTGGGTACGAGCGTTCACTTTTATGTCCTGAAGCCCGACGAGAATCAGTTGCTTGAGTACTTTCCGGAGCGACACGGAATGTGGTACGATGCGATTGAGGACTGGGCGATTATTAATGAGGCTCTGATTGGGATTCAAGAGGATGTTGAGCATTGAATTTGATGGATCTAGGGAGTTTTTTTTATTCATGTTTCATTATGGTTCTGTGGTGATATCTAGGAGTTTGAGAAAGCCTTTTTTTGTAGAGTCAAATTAGATTAAGTGAAAATTCTCCTACTCTGGAATGCTTTGGGTTTTCTAGCCCTAACTTCTTCCAAGGCTGTGAAGCTTATACAACGCCAAGGTCTCGTAATCATCTAATTTACAGGCATTGTGTACCTAGGACCCTATGTGTACTATAACCCTTTACCAGGTGGGGTTCTCCTTTCTTAGCTGCCATCGATTTTGTGAGGGCGTACACACTTCTTGTTGGCTGAAAATATGCCTCAAAACGCCTATATAAACCACCCAAATTGCTAATCCCCCAACGGCCTCGTCTTTGAGGAAATCGTCTAATTTCTGGTTCACAAGATTCTGGCTTACCGAGTACCCATTCGCACTAACTAGTGGTTAGGGTATCTATTAAGTACTTATTCTATCTGGTTTATGCCAAAACAGAGCATGCACCCTACAAAACTGTTGATTTTGGGGATATTTTTTCCATGGTGCTTCTGTCCTTTAATACTACAAATTTCGTGTTGAAAAAGTGACGACGCAGAAAACAGGAGGGACAGGCTTCATCTACCAAGCAAAGGTGTAGAAGAGCGTAAAGATTGCTAGATCAGACGCTCTCAGTCTCTACTTTTGGTACTTAAGGTTTAGCTTTTAATACCATTGGTCGGACGCCACTTCATACTCTCTTTTTCGCAGTGCCAGATAGGGCTAGAATCGCGGATTGTGCTGCTTCGTGTGGCTAGCATCTGCGACTGAAGCTCAATAAGCCTTTTATCATGTGTGCTACATAGCATAGCTATTCTGTTACTCTGAAGATGCAATGCTTCAATTATGAACAATAACAACGATAGTCGTCTGTGATTGGGGCAGGTAAAAATCGGAAGCTTCCGACAATCGCATCCAACTGGTCTATAATTGAAGCTTTCTGATTTTCATCAAGAAAGTTCGCTCGCTGTCCGCCTGTTGGAGAATTCATGGATTTCCGGTATTGGAACGTGAGGTGCATGTTGCTTGATGTAGTCAATTGTGGGAATATGATTTATATCAATATTATTGCCAACTTTTATCACGATCTCTGAATTAAGCCCCAGCACTGCGGTTGAACCCTGGTGCCAAATGACTTCACTTGTTTTCACCAATTCATTGAGACCCTCAATAATAGCGGACACATCATAGTTCTTCCCGTAAAGATCCCCCAGACATGCTTGTAAGGCAGTCGTACTCAGTGGCCTTATGATATGGTATCGACGGGAATTCGGAACTCGTCTTTTTCGTTCTTATCCTAGAAGGAAGTTCGGTCACGGATCGCAAAGATGATTCACAAAATGCTTTGCCGAAGTGCGGGATAAGTCTCGATATTATGCTCTAATAAGGGGATCCTATCTCCTCGAGAGGGGAGGGATCTGAATTTCACGTTGATGTCATTGAAAATATGTTAGGCTTCAACCATCTAGAACACAAAGCTGCGCACATACTAGTTGATCTAGTATGCTAATACAGCTAGGAGAGAGGATCACATGGTATAACATGAGATTCCCAAGATTTTTTATACTCATATATTGGACAGATCTTAGATTTATCCACAAAGGAATCTTTGCAAGAGTATCACGTCACATAGAGGTATCTGTCCACACTGGAGTTTTGGTTCACTGAGCATGTCCGTGGGCTTATATAAGGCCAGTTCTGCTCAGTGAGTGAAAGTGGCGAGGAATTTAGAACTTAAATGGGAAGGAAAATCAACAGGCGTCCAAAGGTATGTAGGTAATATTGCGTCGAATGATAATCCAACATCTCTCATCCTCATGCATGGGCAAGTATAGCACATGGATGGGATTTTAAATTGACCTTGGCAACAGATCACTATTTCTAAGCATCGCCCTCAATAGAACTAAGGCAATTGATCATTTCAGATAATGCATTCCTCATCTTGCACCACTTATCTCCATCCATGTTCACTTCCAAGAGAACGCCCATATTCCTCGCCGAGACTGAGTCATCTCATATCGATGTATCATTTTAATCAAGGTTGTCACCATATCAGCAACTTCAGCGCGTCGCCTTTTGACGTCTTGTAATACTTGACGCCTCTATCGTTTCCTCACGGCTTATAGGCTTCCCTGAAGACACCTGCAAGGATACACTAACCCCATAAACGCACATTGCCTTCTACACACTAGAGAGCCATTCGATTGGCCCTGTTGCGAAGATATTTTCTGACGCATGGCAAATTTTGATTAAATCCAATTTGGAGATTGAAGGAAATCAAGAAGAGTAAATTGTTTTTCAAGCCTCCCTACATAATACTTTATGCTATTCAAATCGCTCTAGAGCTACTTCGGCTTGTGCCTTCCTGGAGATTGTATAATACCGTGAATTATACATTTTGATGTCTCTTTTCTGGCGAGTATACGGATAATGTCATCGTAATTGATACTATGTCTACTAACAGCTGCTGAATCATACGTTGAAAAAAAAAATTTGTGTATTTCTAGAGCTTTTACCGAAGTGCTCTCCATTACCGATATTTACTAAAAACCTCACGATATACCCAAATCCAAGATAAATGAAATTTCCTTCAAAGGAGTGTCTCTATCTGATTAATGCAAGTACGCAACCAACAAATCTAAAGAAAAATCAAAACATATGCATATCAAAATATGTAAGCCCCAAAGAAATATCCAAATCCCATGCTTCCTCGCTAGCTCCATTCCCATGCACGTAGGTCGTCGTTTCGGTCATCAGTCATAATCATATTTCCGTGTAGTACATGCTCAATCTTTGAAAATACAGGTTCTTCAGTCTTGAAATACAAATTGGTACAATCAGTCATCTTGAATAGACAAAGGGAAGTTGCAGCAAATTAACAAAGGAAAAGAAAGGAAAGAAAAAGTCAATCTGAAAGTTGACAATTCATGACTCGGTTTTTGTTTGTAGTAATGGTTTGTAATTCAGAGATAGAAGGAAGATTTAAGGAGTCGGAGAACGTGATGAATCGCCATTCACACTCCCCCTACTTCCAGACTTCTGGCCCTGCTCTTCTCTCCGAGCGAGCACTGAAGGAGAATCAGAGTACAAGATGGAACCGGGAAAATAAACACAAGCATTCATCTTCTCCTTGTCATCGGCAAAGTCCTCATGAGCCGCCTCCCTGTAGATACGAGGGAAGACTCTGAGAAGGACATGTCGACCAGAAGCACTGCCGGATGAACTGGGGTCAGGAAGGGGTCTACCACACGTATACTCTTCCCAACCCTCATTAACATCACTATCGGACTCTGGTGCCGGCATGGTAGCAAGTACAAGCTCCCTCTCAACTCGAGCATGCCTCCATGTCTCTGCCGCCAATTTCACAATTCGTCGAATACCACTCAACAAGGCATCCAACTGCTTCGGATCGGCGAAATGCTTGATATGATCCACGATCTCATCCACAATCACAGCTGCCACAACATTGATGGATTGCTTGGCATCAGATGTGGTATAGGCTGCTTTGAGTGTTTGTTGTCTCCAGAATGCTTCTCGACGGACGGATTTGCGGCGAATGTCCATTGACAAGACCTGGAAGAAAGTATCTGCTTTGTCGTAGCGGCGGCCTAAGGTGAAGAGGAACGGTTGGAAGATACGATAGGTCAAGGTTTTGGAGACGACGTGTTGGATGTATGCGGATCGGAGTTCACGAGACGCAGCTGTATTGTCTAAAAAAGAGGGCATCTCCGGTGGGATTTTCTCGAGGATGTCTTTTGGAGGATCGATAGGGAGGTAGGAGAAATGGTCTTTGGAGAGTTCAACGATCAATCGTCGAAGTTGACCGAATGCGTCGACACTATAATCATTTGAGTTAGTAACCGGGTCACGAAATTGAGAGTCATGATTGTCATGGAAGAGATGTATTATTAGGGTATCCTCAATACTTACAAAAATTGATCGCCCTTTGAGCTTTTGAGGTCTGTCGCCTCCCCGAGACTCTGTAACGTCTTCCTCAACTTCTCCCGATCATTCTCCATATTATCGATCGTTCGACGCATCTCTTCAACAGCGGCCTGCAGATGTTTTTCGCGGATTACGTCGTCTCGTTCCAGGGCGTCCTTTTCTCGTTCGATGCCCGCCAATTCATCCAATTTCTCGTGAAGTTGTCGCTGAAGCATGGATTTCTCTGCTGCCCATGTTCTTTCTTTTTCTTCAAAGTCCTTGGCGAGTTTTTCGAGGCGGTCTTGGAGTTCCTTTGCATTAGCTTCATGGGTGGTGCGCAGATTGGTTAGCTCGGTTGAGTGCATATCACGAAGATTGTCGAGTTCGGTGAAGTGAGATCCAATGAGTTGTCCTTTCTCCTCCGCATGTCGCTTGTGAGCTTCCTCCAACTCGGTATGCTTGCCTTCGAGCTCGGCTTTCTTGACAACGAGCTCTTCAAGGGTCGACTGTAACTCGGCCTGGGTGGCTTGTAGCTCTTCCTGCTTGTAGTGAAGATCATCTTGAGCTTTATGGATCTCCTGTAGCTTGGTTTCGAGCTCTGTCTTGGTTGTCTCAAGTTCCTTCTCTTTCGTCTCCAAGTCCTCGGATTTGCTCACAAGAGAATCACGAACGGTCTGCAGATCATTCTTTGCAGCCTCCAATTCGGCAAGAGTTCTTTCAAGTTCGGCATGTTTCTCCCCAATGGCAGCTTCGTGTTCGGTCTTCATGTTAGCGTGCACTTCTTCCAGTCCGCGGTGTTTCTCTTCCCAAGCAGACTTCAAAGCTTCCTGCTCGTCAAGAAGCTCCTTCTCGCGTTCGTTGTAGCGTTCGTTAGCAGCAGTCTCATCCTCAGTCCGGATCTCTTCAAACAGATTTGTCAACTCTTCCTTTTGCATAGCCAGTTCAGTCCTTTCGTGCTCTTTCGCCTCTTCCAGAGCCCTCTCATGATCCAGCTGCAGCTCTTCGATCCTTTTCTGAAGAGTCTGGATTTCTGCCTCAAGCTCCGATTTAATACTTTCAAGATCCTCATTCTGTTTCCGAGACGTGTCGAGATAGTCTTGTAGTTCCTTGATCTTCTCCTGCTGGCTCGAAATATCAACCCGAAGACTGCTGATGATCTCCCTGAACTTGCCGTACTCTTCCGCCGCCTCCGTGGCAGCCTTCTTCATCTGGCCCTGGAGTGCCTCGATGTAAAAGTCCTTGTGCATAATGGCTTGTTCATGCTGGGCCTGTAATTGTCGTGCCTCTGCCTCTCTGGCCTGGAGTTTCTGGCGGGTTTCCTTGAAGCTATCCAGCATGCGTGTGATGTCCGGCATAGCTTTCTCAACCCTGCCCATGAGGTGGTGGTGTTCTTGATGATCATCATCGTTATTGTTATGGCTGTTCGACTTCTCCATTCGCTGGCTGTGGACATGACTATTTCCGCTTCCATTGGATAGTGTACGATCCATTCTGCCGTTGTAATAGTCTCTTGCACCGTTGACGAAAGTGCTCGCACGTCGAGGATACATATGAGGAGATGCCATGGGTGTATGTTCCATCATGGGAGAGTGGTAGGCCGTGGCGAAGCTGGCAGAAGATGGAGCCACACTTGCTTGATGCATACTTCCTGGATTCATCGATTGTGGAGGCATGCCCATCATGTATGGGTTGTACGCTTGCATTGTAGGACTGACGTATCGGTATTGTGGTGAAGTGTGATATGCCAAAGGTGAGCCATGACGGGAAAGAGGATGATCGGGAGGCACTGGAGAATGTACAGAGCGTGGCTCACTTGGGACCGGTGATGGTAAGGGAGCAGGTCCGGCATGAGTGGCGCCAGCAATTGAGTGCTTTGATGATGACATCTCTTCGGCGGTCTCTGCAAGGACATTCTCTGGATGGTCTTGATGTTCGGACTCTGCGGGTTGCTCTGGTTCGTCTCTAACTTCTGGTTGGTCTGTAGGTGCATCTTTCTCTACAGCCGTCTCAACTGGCTCTTCCGGAACAACGTTGTCAGATTCTTGAGGCTCCTCTGCACTAGTTTCGGGTGCCTCATCCGTGGACTCTGGAGCATCACCATCTTGCTTCTCTTCGGCCGTTTGGACTGCCGCTGACTCCGGTTCTTCATGTTCAGCATCTGCTGCGGTTTCTGTAGCGGCTTCAGGATCCTCAAGTTTCTCTTCGGGCAATGCCTCTGGAGCTTTACCTGGATCAACCGACTCCACTACTTCATCTGACCCATCTTTGGCATCTTCAAAAGTATCCGCCTCCTCTTTAAGGGCATTTTCTGCCGCAGTGCCAGCTGACTTCCCACTAACCGACGGAGCGGGCGAGTGCTTCTTGCTTTTCATTGAGCCGGCGTCGTCTTCGACAGTAGGTTGATGAGGTGCAATCATGCTCCAATCTTCAGGGGGTTGAGACTCTGGCTGCTCGTCGATATCGTTGCTGTTGCTGTCGATGTCGGCACTATTGTTGATCTCGTTGCTTTTGTCTAGATCCTCTCTGTTGTCGTTGTTGTTGACTAAATCGTTGCTATTGTCAATCTCGTTATTGACGTCTTTGCTGTTGTCGTTGTCGTTGTTGAGATCGATACTGTTGTCGATGCCGTCACTATTGTTGATCTCGTTACTGTTCTCAAGATCGATGCTTTTGTCTAGACCCTCAACAGTTTCCTTGTCGTTGACTAAATCGTTGCTATTGTCAATCTCGTTATTGACGTCTTTGCTGTTGTCGTTGTCGTTGTCGTTGTTGAGATCGATACTGTTGTCGATGTCGTCACTATTGTTGATCTCGTTACTGTTCTCAAGATCGATGCTTTTGTCTAGACCCTCAACAGTTTCCTTGTCGTTGACTAAATCGTTGCTATTGTCAATCTCGTTATTGATGTCTTTGTCGTTGTCATTATCCTCGTTGCTGATATTAGTGTTGTCGTAGTCGTTGACAATATTGGTATTACTGTCGTTATTCTTGTTGTCTTCGTCGTTGTTCTCGTTGTCGTTAGTGATGTCGTTACTGTTGTCGATAGTTTCCTCGTTACCGGGCCCGTCAAGACTTATATCAACTGGCTCCGGGCCTGGTACTATATCAACTTGCTCTGGAGCAGAAGGAACTGGCTCAGTGTCCTCCTCCAAGGGAGCAGTCTCCTTTTGTGCATCCACAACAGGTGATGTAATCTCCTCAGGCACCTCAGGCTCTTCGGGTGCAGCGACGTCTTCAGGCACAGCAGCAGCAGGGGGAGCTTCTTCATTCTTCTGGTTCTTCTTCTTATCGGCCTTGGCCTTTGACTTGCTCTTTTTACCCATTTTTGTGTTGGGATCACGCACGTACCGTGATTGGTGATGAGTGTGACGAGAAGCAGGAGAGACTCGGCCTGTTGCTAACGTGTTCCCAATCGTAGATAGACGCTGCGAGACCGTTCAAAGAACGCGTGAGAAAAAGTAAAGAGCTCAAGCAGCCAGGATCAACTCGACAGGCATTTATAGAGTTATGGTGTGTTGATGATGAAGATAATAGGATAGATATACAAGGTCAAGGTGTATTCAATCCCGGAAGGCGACCTGCCTAATCAGTTTGAATTCAAATGCGTGAGGCGATTAGTAGATGGAGAGAATAGAGTGGAGGAGATAAGAATAGAATGGCAGAAAATATCGTCAAATGAATATTATACACAACAGTCTGGAGAAATTGGTCAGACACCAGAAATAAAGCAGAAAGACGATTCGGGAAGTCAACGGCGTCAGAATTTGGGCTGCTAAACAAGGAAGCAAATGATTAGTAGCGGTTATATAGTGAAAAGCATGAGATTCCCAAGATTTGTGTGTTTCCATGACAATGCATGCATGAATCCATCGCGGTGCTGCGTCCCACTTTAGCGACATAACGAACTCGAGGGACTGGGTTAGGAGTTAGGTAGCGCCAGTAAAGCAGGCCGAAACCATGCAAGCATGCTAACTAACGGTCTAACTATGAAGAGCCATGTAAGAGAAAGGAGAAAACTGTGAAATTTCATTCGTCGCCGATGCTAGTGAACTGCCAATAAGTGAGGCATCTCAGATGAAGTGAGTGCGTATTGGGTATCAAACTGCGCATCGGTGTATCACTGGGCAGCAACTGCTGTCGTTGGCTATGACTATCACTTGCCAGAGGGGCCAAATATCAACCTGGTGAATTGTGAGTCAAAATTTCCCGATTTTGTATGTGGTTTTCCAATCGAAAACTAGACTTTCCCTTCGCTTCATCATTCCGTGCTCCCAAAATCAGTGCTCTCTTAGTATGTGAGTTGTCTCCAGTGGACAACGAAGCAGTGACCCGCCGACTATCCGACGGGTTAGCACATGACAATGTCTGATTGTCCATTTACCTGTTGACTTGTCCCCATTCGGAGATGATGTTTTTCATTCCGCTTGGCCGGGTCCGAGGTAAGCAGTGAGTGTGGAGTGTTGAAGTTACAACGGGTCCTCCCGTTGTACATGTGTGTTTAATTGCTTCGTTGGATGATACTTGGCGTTTCTGTATAGGTGGTTTCATGTCTATTCGATGTATCCGATAATGTTGATAATTGTCGATATTCAGAAGATAAGTCACAAATATTCAAATGAGTCACGATATCTGTCAAAGGAAAGAAATGTGAGCTGGTAAAAGTAGAACGATGATTGGCCAATTACCATTTCTACTGACGGTGTTCACGTGACCCGGCCCACTCGGCGGCCAACCTCGCTCCATCAAATCCACCAGCTTCATACTCTGCTGTACAGCGCTTCATCGCACAATTAAACCACATATCCACCATGTTTGTTGTCAGACGGTCGGCAGCTCCCGTGAGGCAGCTGCTGCGTCAACAGCCGCGTCGATTCGAGTCTCACGCCGCACATGACCATCACCACCACGGTCCGGTGAACGAGAGCTTCGGAGTGAGTCTACCCTGTCAATATCGACCGCTTCAATGTATCATGTCTGGTCGTATCACTAACCATTAAATCATCACACGATAGCCGAGTTTCTACGTCGCCGTCTCTACCTTCGCCGCAGGCTTCCTGCTTTACCGCATCTCCAAATCCTCCGAGGACTCATTCATTTCCCGCCTCATTACCAAATACTCGCCTGATCAGAAGATCTTTGAGGAGCGGAATGCCATTCACACTGTTGCTCTAGAGGAGGCTGCTGCTGATCGTCATTTGTTTGTTGGTCAGGGTCATCAGGAATACGTGGATTTGAGGAGCAACGAGTACGTCCGCCCTTCCCGTTCAGTACTCTCAGTTTTGACTATTAGAGGCTAATGCAGAGAAAAAAAAAAGAGTGTTTAATACCGGATCACCATTTAACGTCGCCCCAGGCTCTCAGGCTGATCTGAACGCTATTGCCGCTCATTATCGCAAGTACAACCAAGATCTCGAGAAGGACCGGGTAGCCAGGACGAAAGATGGCAAGGTTGTTAGCGTATTTGACTAGACGAGACATCAACATACTCCGATATCTCTGTTCACTCCTTGTTCTCAGCCATGAATTCCTTTTTCTAGATTTTGTCGGCTCTGGGCCTGTTATGTGTATTGTACATAAAGTTAAAGAAGCAAGAAAAGAAACATTTCATTGCCGAATTCGTACAGCATAGCCCATTTTTACATCAATTCTTGCTAAACCCAATCTCCAAAACCACCCTCTTCACTCCCCCAGAAGTTATCTCTCTCCGTTCCTGCACCTGAACAACTTCCTCGTCCTGCAAAGGCTGTTGGTGCAAAACCTGCAAAAACTCATCCACACCCCCTCCAACACCAAAATAAACCTTCTTCGCTGCAATCAGTGCCGTACTCTTATTCCTCCTTTCTTGTTGAACACCTGCCGAACTGCGTAAAAGTTCAAGTAACGTCTCCGAAAACACCCCCAGAGAAGAAGGGGAGTATATCGTCTCACTAGCTAGGATGAGTGTCGACACGTTCTCTGTAAACTGCTGACCTCGATTCAAGACCAATCGCACGAACTCTGGCGACCAACCACCAGATATAAAATCAAGCTCAATGACCCTATTCGCAAGATCGGCTTGGAACGTGTCGAGAAGTGTGGTGTCGATATCTAATTCGCCTTCTTCCTCCACGTCTTTGCCATTTACTGCTCCATCTGTTGAAGTCCTCCTCGGTGACGAAGGAGAATTAACCCACCACGTCAACAAGAAATTACACAACGTTACCATCCTCAAAACCGTAGAATTGTAGTCCGCCAACGTAAACCGGAATCTCCGTTTCTGTCGTTGATCCGTCGTCGACGACAATAACACCTGCGCAAACAACATCAAAGAAGGCGCCGCCGTCCCACAACCGAGCTCAATAACATTCACCCCTTCATCCTCACCCTCACCCTCACCGATATACTTTGAATTCAAAAGAACATCGGCAAGATCCAACGAGCATTCCCACGTCTTAAAACCTCCCTCATAAAAGTTCGGTTTCAGGTCTCCTTGCTCCAGATCAGCGATTAGTTCTGTGTGGCCAGTTGCAAAACCCGAATCATCGTCTTCGGCCATTAGTTGAGTTCGGACGTCGAAGAGTTCTCGACGGGCTATTGTGATTGTTTTGTTGGTTTGGGTTGAATTCTTCTCGTTATTGTTTATGGTTTGGTGATCGGGATTTGATATCTCTACTTTGAATGTATTGTATGAAAGCTGTGATGGAAGATTTGTCGTCTGGAGCATGTCAGAGATGCTAATCACAGAGGGGATTTAATATAGAAAGCTTACCCAATCTTTCAGCGCGTGCCGTACGGCTGGAAACATATCAGGTGCATTCACATCTTCTGCTTGAGACTTTTCGGAGACATTATTCCCAGGATCAACCTCGACATCATTGTCGATATCAACGTCAATATCATCGCCGGAAAATCCGAAACGAAAGGTTGACGCCATTTTCAGATATAATGTGTTAAATATATCTCTGACGTTTAGTTTACAGTAATCCCTCAAGAACGAAGGGGTTTGTCAAGACTGAAAATGATACAGGGATATATGGAAAATAAAATACGATAAATTCGATGTTGTTGAGGACGTATATCACTAGCCTCTTCAACCCAATCATATTGCATTAAAAGGAAGGGAGACCCATATTATTACATATAAATACATCTCTGTCTACTTACAAGATTTACGGTTCACCGATGACTTTGGCCGATAGAACGACAGTTGAATACAATATCCAATTCTATAGCAACATAGGCCTTGACTGTCCAGAATAACGCATATCCAAAGTTTTCAAACCAGCCAACCGGAAACAACAAAATCCACAATGTCTATATTTAAACGCAAATCATACCCAAAATTTTTTAACATAATCACAGAAATCTAAGCACCGTTAGCAGGCGCAACAGATTTCTCCAGCGCCTGCAAAATATCCGCGGTAAGATCATCCACATCCTCAATCCCACAACTCAACCGAATCAAATCATCAAACACCCCCACTGCCTCCCTCTGCTCCTTGGGAATACCAGCATGCGTCATACTGGACGGAACCTCACACAGAGACTCAATCCCACCCAAACTCTCCGCCAATACGAAAACGCGCACGTTCTGACAGAATCGTTCAGCAGCTGCATGACCACCGTGGATACGGAAACTGAGCATTCCGCCACCCATACCATCGCGATGTTGCTTTTGGGCGATGGCGCGTTGCGGGTGGGAGTCGAGACCGGGGTAATTTACCGATTTTACGAGTGAGGAGGATTCGAGGACCTTTGCAACGGCAGAGGCATTTTTGTTTGCCTCTCGCGCGCGCAAGTGCAGGGTTTTCATGCCGCGGTGGGCGAGCCAGCAGTCGAATGGAGAGGGGACGGCACCAATGGCGTTTTGGAGGAAGGTGAGACGGTCCTTGAGTTCGGGGGAGTTGAATGCGGCGACGCCCATCAGGACATCCTAGGAATGTCAGCTTGAGTCCAATATCTGCCGGTTAAAAGCGAGACTTACAGAGTGCCCATTAATATATTTGGTGACAGAGTGAACCACAATATCTGCCCCGTAATCCAACGGATTCTGAATATAAGGACTCATAAACGTATTATCCACCACGACCAAAATCCCATGTCGATGCGCAATAGTCGTCACTTCACGAATATCCACCAAACTCAACGTCGGATTTGTCGGCGACTCAATCCAAATCAGTTTTGTGTCTGGTTTTATAATTGCTTCATTCCCGATTTCAAGCGTGGGCGTGAATGTGACGTTTACCCCGTGCGCTGCTGCGACTTTGGTGAAGTATCGGTGTGTGCCGCCGTAGACGTCGGAGACGGAGACGACGTGTGAACCGGCGGCGAGGGATTGTAGGATTGTTGCTGTCGTGGCGGAGCCGGAGGAGAATGCGAGGGCATATCGGGCATGTTCAAGAGCGGCGACGGCTTCTTCGAAGTGGTCTCTTCAGATGTATATTAGAATTGCGAGGGGATTTTTGAAAAAGAGAAAGAAACTCACCGGTTAGGATTTGCGCTGCGTGTGTACTCGTAAATACCAATTGGTTTTCCAACACTTGACTGTGCAAAAGTAGTAGAAAGCGAAATCTGAAAACATCAGCGAAATTGTCTACGTTGTCGATATGTTGCCGTAAACTCACCGGCGCAATCACGGCTCCCGTGTTAGGATCAATGTGAGATCCCGAATGCACCGCTCGAGTACCGAACCTGTGCTCAGGCGATGCAGGTCTTGGAGGCGTCTCGACGGCATCTCCATGAGTCAGAGGCTTGAGAAGTTGAGGATTTACCAAGGGAATACTCATTGTGATGGCGGGGTAGATCTACAACAGTATTAGCATCTAGCAGGGATTTATGGCGACATCAGGGGATAGACTTTGGACTCACTTTTCTTTTTTGTCTTTTTTATTTTGCGGTTGATATGATATGCAATAAGAAATAAAATGTACAGGAATTGAGAGAGAATGAAGAATTTATAAACTACGTATGAAGGCAAAAGAAAAGCCCTGTCTATCAATTTATAATCTGACAAATCCCACCCCACTTTCTACACTCTTCTTTCGTATGTCCATAATTTATCAGCGTTACACCATTGAACTGGAATTCTCGGATTATTATCCAAATTATCTGTTCGATGTTCATGTGGTTCGTATCAGGGGATGGTCGAAGTTATGTAATGGAGTGGAAATTTTTCTTCCTTTTCCCCTAAGCCGATGATAACCATCGCCGTTGATTGCGGAGATAATTATGGGCCTATCAATGTTCTGCTCGCTTGGCCATGTCACATTCTCGTCCCCATGAGTTTGGAGTTGGAAATTGCGGTCTGAAAAGAGTGTAAATTCGTGAGATATTGAAAGATGAGGCAATTGTATTTATCTGAATAATTGACAGTCTCCGTGTGATACAGAGTCATTCTTTATTGGATATCATGTTGGACGATGTGTCATATAACCATACATTCTACCACCAGGCGGGACGCCCCAAACCGTCTATCGCCATGGATGCCTAGAGACATCTGGTCAGTCATGTTTGCAGTAACAGGGATGGGAAATGAAAAAGGAAACGTACAATTAACGAATACGGAGGCTTGCTCTCCGATACCGTCTGTGCTTCCATCCGATCAGGCCCTGTAGGCCTCTGATCATGCCATTCTTCCGCTTCTACGCGAAAGCGGACTACTTCGCCAATATCATACCAGTGAGGTTCAGGTGCGTCTGGGTAGTGCCAGGCCCAGAGGTTCTCTGCAATGTCGCTGCAAGTTTGTTAAATGATTTTCATCCGTTGATCGCTTTTGTAGGTTACTTACTATTCACTTCCGTCAAAGAGTAGGTCACCGGGCACGGTTATATCGGAGAAGAACTCCATTCCAACTGTTCTCATTAGATCAGACTGCCATGATAGAAGGGTAGATAAAGACACACTTTTGAGACCCTCTTCAGAAGAGCCTGTAATTTTTCCAAGCAAGATCTCACCCTTGAAGGGACGGAATACAATAAGTCGAAAGGTGACTGTATCATATCAGAGGAGATGCTCCACGGCAAGTGCAGGGCAACTCACCGTTTACATTGACCAGGCCAGTGCCATGCCCGATCAATCCATCAGAGGACTTGAGCAGATCATAGAATCCGATACATAGCCCGATATTTTGAACGACCTTTAACGTTTACATGTCAGCAGATATCTTATAGTCAAGCTTTAAATATGGTAGACTTACTTTGTTGGCATATTTCTCATTAATGTTATCCTCAATAGCGACTGCGCTAAACTTTGAGAAATCCTCTGGTCGAATTTGGACCAGATCGGAGATCGTGGTCTGATTACACGTCAGTATATCCTTCAATCAAGGCAGAAGAAAAAGGGGCTCACGAGAATGAACATCTTCTCTATGGTTATTTTGACGTCTAGGACGAATATCTGAGAATGTTGAATGCAAAATCATTTCCCTGCCATGCCGGCAGCAGATTGGCAGATAGAGCAAGATACCTGTTCGATAATTTGATGGCTTTTCCCAGGTATCACTTAGTTATGATCGGGAAATGCAGTTCAAGACACAGATATTTGATGATCTGCTGAGATGGAAAAAAGATACTCGATTCAACCAATCAAACCTCCGCGAGGATAGCATATCACGTGTATCTCCACAGACATGATTACATAAACAGCGGGCTCTTGCAGCCAGCCGTTCTGACTGGTGGAAATCGACAATAATTTTTGAATAAAGATCGATGATTCTTCGATTGCGCGTTTGGATCTATCTGCTCGTCTCGTCTCTCCCCATATTTCTGGCCTGAATTTATTCACTATGAACCCGTCCGATTGATTGTGACTATGCCGATCTTATAATGGCATCTCAGCAGGGTTTCTCATTTCCTCCGCCGCCGCCACCACCTCCGCCATCGACACAGCAGCAGTTTCCGCAGGCGGGCTCGCATAATCCTCAAAATGGATATAATTATCGCGGCGGTAGTGGTCGGGGTGGTGGATTTCGAGGACGTGGGCGTGGTGGAATGAATCGTGGAGGAGGAGGGCGAGGTGGAGCGGCATCTTTCCCCAGCTATCGCAACAATCAACAAGGGATATACAATGGCGGATATACGGGGATACCGCAGAGCTATCCTCCTGCAACGCAGAGTTTTGCTGCGCAGACGATTCTTACTCCCCCCACGTACCCGCCGAGGAATTACGATGGACGCTTTCAGAATACCCCCAACGGGTCGCCGACCGCAACTATACCATCGTACACGGGACATATACAGTCGCACTCGACTCCCGTAGGAAGTTCTGCGGTAGTCGCACCCCCAATGCATTGGGGATACGATACCACTGGAGCTGGAGGATTCTATCCCGGTTCTACAACCTACCAATCCCCCCCAACCCACGGACACCCGCAAAACAATAACTACCAAAACAAAGCCGGACATAAACGCGCATTCTCATCTGCATTCGAAAAGCCAACCTCACAAGCGCCCCGACCAACAGCAGCCCCTGCTGTGCCGAGTTTTGGTGTCCCTCTACCAGCAAAACCTCCGCAGCCGACTGATACTTCACGACAAGCTCAAAAGAAGAAGAAACGGAAATTCAATCAATTAGGTCTTACGCCTAAAACTGAGGAACACGAGTCTAGTGGTGAAGAGGAGGATGATGCGGATGAAGAGACTCGATTAGCCGCTGCGGCGAGTAATTTAGCTGGTCCTCTTCAATTTACTTTTCGCGGACGCACTTCGACGTTAAATAATGCGGCAGATATCCAGTCATGGATAGAGGAACGAAAGAAACGATTCCCTACGCAGGCACGTATTGAAGAAAAGAAAAAGGCGCAAGAGGAGGTAAAGAAACAACGAGACCTTCAGCGGGAAGAAGCGCGTCGGAAACAGCAGGAAATCAAGGAACAAAGAGAGCAGGCCAGGAAAGAAGCCCAGGAAAAGAAACAAATAGGATCTGACGATCCCATGGATGCAGCTATTAGAGCGAAAGCTAAAGCAGAGAAACTCCGGAAAAAGTTGTTGAAGGAAGAGAGGAGGTTGCAAAAGGCGGAAGCTGATGCGGAGAGGGCACGGCTTGTTGCCGAGGCGTCGCAGCAGCTACCGTTAACTACTGAAGATGCTTCTCGGAATGGTGATGCGCCTCTGACGAGAGAACCGCCGGCGAATACAGACCCTCTTGACGAAAACATATCTAATATCTCAGAGTCATCATCCGAAGACGAAGACAGCGGTGACGACGTCCCAGAAGAACTGTCCTCACGACGCCAGGGTCCAGAGAGAGTTCCTCCACCGCAACGAGAAGGACATAAAAAACGCAGTAAGTTATGTCGCGATTTCCAGCGAAAAGGCAAATGCCCTCGAGGAGATCATTGTCGATATTTGCATGACCTTTCCACTATAGACGGAACAGATAAATCTCGGCCAGTCCCCAAACCTGGTGGAGGTGCTAAACAACCTGCCAAAAGGGGACTGTTCCAAATGGTGTGTATATGCCCTTGCGACAGATGAGACCGTTGTACTGATGATGGTGTAGCTTGTCGAACAGGAAATAAAAGCACGAGATCGTCAGGTTATGCATGCCATTACCTGGCTTGGATCACGGGGGATGCTTGATGATCCTCAACCTGGGACCAATAATGCCGCTGATGACACCGTATCAGTCATTTAACCCTAATGTTGTCTAATTTATGATCCATGATGTAATCAATCTACTACACTGCAGTGCTTGCTTGCTTGCTTGCACGGCGTCACGGTAATGCGTACGACCATGTGCTACGTATACGATGGCCATTCTTATCCATGTATTAATTATATATACGCTATTACAGAATAATGGCAATCGAATGAATTCTGTGGTGGAGTTGGAAAGGGTATACGTACACTTATCCACCCCAACCAGACTATTCTTAGTAACAACTATCGATTAGTTACGGATTATCCACTTATCGCTGTACTCTGGACTCCGTAGCATGCATTAGTTACCTTATCGTATGGACTCACAGAGTGGACAAGACTTTTCATCCATTTTCGAGTTGCCGACAGAGTCAATGTAAAAAATCGAAAGTTCGGAGCTAGACTGCCGGATATCCCGAACCTATCCTGCGGCTGTGTCTGTCTAGTACGGATACATAGGCTAGACTGGATCATCGCTCGAAATCTCCGCTTTTGATACCAAGCTTTTTACCATAAGAGGCTATTAAGAGCTAATTTAGCTTGCTGGAGGGCTGTGTCCATGACGAATCATCGACCGAGGAGGTTAGTCCAGTTGGGACTATGCAATCTACTACGTAGTAGTCGTTAGCAGTTTCCAATTTGCTTCCCACGCAGCAGGGTACTACTCTGAAAATATCAATGGTTCTGTCTCTGTTCAGCCATGGCTCGGCTTTTATACGGAGTATACAATCTGTAGTTGACAAGTGGTGATGAGGTGAGTGAAAGTCTGGACTGGCCTGTCCAAACTAGTAAACACAATTTCCACTTTGTGGCGGCTATTCCTGTTCTGGAAGGAGTTATCCTTAGCGCGTCCTTTAATTGGCCAAAGTATAGCCTAGCGCAGCCGGAAACCAATAAAGTCATGCAGATAGAACCAATCATCTTCAACTATAGACATTTTATATCCTCAACAGGACTAGCGTGCGGTCAAATGCATGGTTCCTGAGGCTCAAGCCGCTGTTCTGGGCTGTCTGATTGGCGGATGGCCCGCTTCTTACTTCCAAATGTCATGTTGCAGCCTTCCTCGGCCAACTTCCTCGTGATCCCCATTTTCTTCTTCTTTTTATTCTGTCCTTTCCACGGGTTGACTCTGTCAAGGCAATCCGATTTTTCTTTTTTTCTCATCGTCGCTCCTTACCCAGAATCTGTGGATTCGTGCCGTTCCTTACATATAAACTTGTCAAGGTCACTCCACTCATTTACTCCTATTCCACCTTCCTTTCGATCAGACCCTACTTCAGTAGACGACAAAATGCGCCTTTTATCCATCGCATTCGGCCTCTTGGCCACCTTGTCTCTGTCTGCAGCACAGACAAGCTCAAACCCCAAAGAAAACGCGTTCATCGTCCCATCCGCCGGCGCTCAGTTCACGGCCGGAACGACGACTACTCTTACCTGGAACCCTACGACCTCCGGAACGATTTCGTTGAGATTGCAATGGGGTGCTACCACCGTTGCGACTGATGGTGTTGTTATTGCTTGTTCGTATTTCTCTTTCAATACAAGAGGTTTGTCAACTAATTGTTGAACAGCTGCCATCAAAAACACCGGCTCATATGAGTGGGATGTCCCATCCAACATCCCCAAGGAATCGGATTACTTCATCCGCATCTCCAGTGACGCCGACTCCTCGATTGTGAATTACTCTGCTCGATTCGATATTTCGGGTGTCTCTGGTTCGGCTTCGACTACTACTAGCGCATCTGCAACATCGACCTCGGCTTCTTCCTCTTCCTCCTCTTCCACCTCGTCTTCCTCCTCCTCGTCTTCCTCGTCATCAACCAAGTCCTCTTCCACTACATCATCCTCTTCATCCTCTACATCGACTACCCTGGTGACATCCTCCTCAACCGCCGCCGTGCCCTCATCCACCGCCGCATCCACCACTTCCGCTTCATCCACTTCCGCCGCTGCCTCCAAGACCAGCGCAACCGCAACCACAGCACCCAGCATCATCCCCAACCTCAGCGGTGCCGGTGAAATCAAGATTCCTTTCGTGATGGCTGGAATCGCTGCTTTCGGCGCTTATGCATTGTTGTAATGTTTTTCATTGCACAATGTTTCGCCTTTTATTCTACGTTCTACATTTTTGTTATTTAACCTTCTTCCATTCGAATGTATTTATTTTATCGAGATATTTTGTGTTGTATAGTCGCCTACATCATGCTAGAAACCCGTATGCAGACTAATATCATATTAGAATTCTAGGGATTTCCTTTCCGCAGTCCTCTAGACTATCTGATATACGAGGTTTATCTGCAACCCAGTCGCCCAAATCAGTGGATTTAGTTGGCTGTATGTTACGTGACTACGAGTGTAATCTAGTTAATATTAACAGATGAAGACATCATGAGCAATTGATAAACCTTGACTAGGCTTCGCCTCATTCATTCTTTACCTCACAAATTACTAGAAAACCTAGCCATTTCATCAGCCAAGTCCTGGACCAGCTGTAGACTAGCCTGATCCGCAAACCTGAACAATTCCAACGCTTGATCCAGCCTCTTCTTCCCCTCAACATCACCTTCGATCATCTTATCAAGCACATCGCCACCACATGCGAGATAGTCCTTGTCAGTGTCGCATGCCTTATACTTCGCGGATGATCTTTGGAGCGGATCAGCGTTGAGTAACCCTTGCAGTCGTGACGAGGGAATTGAGACGCTAGTCTCGTACGGCTTTCTCATATTAGCGAGCTTGGTAGGTAGATTATCGGGCAGTGATATCCTCCGAATCGATGGTTTGAGCATTTCGGTTAGTAGTGCGGTTGAGATGGTGGCTGAATGGCAACCTATTTCAGCTGAGGCGATAACCTCGTGGTATGAGGCGAAACTACAGCTTTGAATCAGTATCAAACGACAATAAAAATGAAATGCAATTACCCATCCTTGGGAGCAAGGGTGAAAGCTTCTTACCCAGCGTTTTTGATTAGGGGAGGTCGCTGTCCGGTCTTTTGATATAGGTCCTTGTACGCCTTTACCATTTGAGCTAATCGATTGGAAAATGGGTGTTTCAGTGCTACGTCGTTCGGTGTAGGCAAGATTACTGAGTTGCCCTGTTCTCGCAGGTCTGGAAGATCATATAATCAGATGTAAAGAAAAACCAATGAAATTTGCTCGTAAAGCTGAAATAGGGAGACACTCACTTTGCCACTCTTCAATACTATTATAATACGGACTAATAAACAAACACCGAGCCTGAAAACACGCCACTGCTTGCGCAACTGTAAACACTCCCGTACCCAATATTGGAATGTCGTCTTCTTCTGGTTGTCCAAGAATCTTCGCCGCGATGACCCCCGGTCCGGTGGCCATGATTTTGATGCAGTATCGCTCTTTGGGGATACCAGCACGCTGGAATTCTTTTGCGAGAAGTCGTGCTGACTCGAGGATTTCCTGGATGTTGTATGGGTCGGAAGTGGTCGCCTGGATCATGACACGACCTTTGATGAATGGAAGATTGCGCTTGCAAAAGGCAACTGCCTTTGGTTGGTCAGCCCAAATGATTATCACGCTGCTTGCGAAAGAGACTCTTGACGCACTAATCTGGAAAGTAACATGCGTGCGCTACCACGTCGCTGGAGTTCAATATCCTGCTGAATCAATTGATGTACCAGATCCTTTGTTCCAGAATCCTGGAGCTGCACGAACAGCCATGCCGGGTTTGAGGTCTGGTCGTTGGGGATAATTGGCAAGGATTGAATGAACTCGGTGTCTAAGGTGTCGACGTCGATGTTAACTGGTTGGTTCCAATCCCCATGTCAGTCACGAAGAACCACACTAACAAACTCATCCAGATGCACCACGTACTTTTCTCCTGCACTCTTTCGAGTAGTGTAGAATTGGATGTTGGTTCCATGATCAAAGGTTGCGTATCAAATGTATGACCGTTTACAAGCCACTTGACTAATTCTGAATCACATATTTGTGACCAGAGTCACCTGGCGTGAGAAGCGGTAATCTAGTCTTTATTACAAAATGTTTACAAACCTTGAACCCTACAGCCAGCAAACTTGATGCGCAAAAAACCAATTTGTTGACAGGTTCGCTGATAACTTCCCGATTCGGCCAGTATAATAACCACATGACATGGCTAGCCCTAATTGGACCGAGAGCTTCCCAATTCTCTAGATACTGATTATCCACTCCTCTTTTGATTATTATGAGGACGAATTAAAACTCGGAAAAGGTAATCCATAGCGGGACCATGTCTATGAGCGAACTCATTGCGACGTTGCGAGAGAATGATCGTGCCTATGCAGGATTTCATCTTATCATCAGATGAGATGGAGTTGCTTCGGGGAAGTGCATCATACATTGGACGATACATTTTGCATATGAACCTTCCCTTATCACTTGTCTGCATCCATTATATCTCCGATATTCGAAAGATTTCCTTTGACAATCAATCATAAACTCACCCCCCTAGTCCAACACTGACATTTGTCCCTCGACTCTTCATCCTAGCATACCATGTCCAAAGAGATCGTGGATTGTATCGTCGTCGGTGCCGGCCTCTCAGGCCTTGCAGCTGCCGAGGAGCTCGTGGCAGCCAGAAAATCCGTCCTCGTTCTCGAAGCACGCGACCGCGTCGGCGGCAAGGTTTATGATGTCCACTTCTCGACCCCCAGTGTGTCCGGATATGTTGAGGCTGGTGCTTCGTTTGTCGGGGCAGGTCAAACTGAGATCGTCGCCCTCGCCGAAAGGCTATCGCTCCGACTCTTTGACACACATGAGAAAGGGAAGAAGATCGTTTTTCCCACTTCGGGCGAGCGTAAACTTTTTGATCCTGAAGATCCTGCCTATGCAGAGCCTCCAATGCCGATGGAAGCGATTGCACAAGCCATGGCTGCCGTGGCGGAGCTCGATGAACTCGCCGCAGAGTTGGATCGCACTACGCCCTGGACCCATCCAAAGGCTCAGGAATGGGATTCCCAAACACTTCATTCCTGGATGGAATCCCGTCTCACTCATCCAGATGCACGGGCTTTTATTCTGGCACAATGGCGCGCTCTCCTTTCGGCTGAGCCCGCTGATGTTTCGTTCCTCCAGGCATTATCGTACATTGTCCGCGCCACAGATGATAATTTGACACCTCCGGCAAAAGGGAATTGGGCACGATTGACAGACGTCAAAGGCGGCGGTCAAGAGGCGCGAATCGAAGGCGGTACACAACTTCTCCCCATTGGACTGGCGAAGCGTCTAGGTAGCCAGGTGGTCAAGACCAATGCTCCAGTTACTGGCATCAGCAAGCAAGGCGCAGAATATCGTGTTTACGTCGAGCGCGGCCTAGAAGCGCCTAAGGTCATTTACAAAGCGCGATCGGTGGTCCTTGCTCTTTCACCACCACTGGTCTCACGACTGAGCTTTGAGCCACCGCTGCCAGCTAGAAATAACCTTGTCGGCCAACGTATGAACATGGGTGCGCTCGGCAAAGCGATTGCAGTGTACGAGAAACCCTTCTGGCGCGATGAGGGCCTAAGTGGTCAAGTCTTCTGCCTCAGTGACTCTCATGTTCAAGTCGTATTTGACGATTCTCCCGCCAATCTTTCCTGCGGCGTAGTCATGGGATTCTTGGTCGGTAATACGGCCCGAGAGCTGGACGCGCTCAGCGATGAGCAGGTCCAACAGCTCATTTTGCGCGATTACATTCGTTTCTTTGGTCCGAAAGCGGCCGATGTAAAGCACTGGATTATCCAGCGTTGGGATCGCGAAGAGTATTCCCGAGGTGGTCACTTTGCGCTCTGCCCACCAAATGTCATGACTGTCTACGGCAGGGATTGCGCAGAACCTGTTGGGAATATCTTTTTTGCGGGAACCGAGCTGTCCGATCAATGGGCTGGTTTCATGGAGGGCGCGGTCAGGGCTGGTCGTGCTGCTGCCGGTGGAGTGATCAAGCGGCTGGGGGAAACTTCCTTGCCAGATCAAGTATCAGCGGAGGCAAGATTATAATTCCTAGCAGCCTGAATGAAATCCGTCACTCTGTCCCTGCTCAGTTGGCTCGTGGTAAACACTCATTCATATGGAAGTGTGCTCATCTGTACATCTAATTCGCACTGGAAATCAGAAGTTCTCGTGCTCGCTTTCTTGTCTTATCTTGGTTTCTAGTTCCTTATACTGATGTTCCTTTTACCGTGTAATCACCATGCAAAGAAAGCAATTTGATTGCTAGAGAATGTAATATTGTTATCTAACCAGTTTGTAATCTGGGATAGATTCTAGCGGTGCAGATACGGTAGAGTGCGTTGTATGCCATACTTTCAGACAGACATGGGCTCGTCAGCTGTACATATGAGTACCTAGGTAACATGAGGGAGATAAATACCCCTTTGAGCTGGTGCATAGTAAAGGAAGAGAGTACTGTAAATTGACTATAGACTATCCATATATGGATATCCATGTTTTTCTTCTTGTGTACAAGGTGTGAGTGATTTTTCTACCGAGGTCCGCTTCGTAATTACAGATGGAGTGTACCTAGGTACGGAAGAACTGCCTGTGTCCCTTCTATACTAGACATTATAAAGAAAATGATGACTTTGGTCTGGAAGAAGAGGGGATCTTCGAGTGTGCATTGCCGGAACTTCACTTTTCTAATCGACCTAGCCAGCATGAATTATCCATCTCAAAGTTTGCCCTCGCTGCCGGGGACAACGTGAGCCTCAACTTGAATCTCAATAATCATTCCCGGCGCGCACAAAGCACTAACCCCAAGCCCCATCCACGTCGGCCGGTGATCGGGGTACTTTTCCTTCCAAACAGCCATGACGGTAGGTTCATCCTTGACATCCGTCATGAACACATGAACCTTATGAGCAGACTGCAATCCGTCCGTGACGCCAGCTGCCTTGAGCGCCACATCGCAGTTATCGAAGCAAGCAATAATTTGGTCGCGCGGAGATGCGGTTACAATTCCCATCTTCTTCTCACAGAAGCCTGGTAGTCCGGATGCAATTACCAGACGCGCGTTTGGAGGGAGGACTACAGCATGGCTGTAGCCGTTCATCTGGTATGCTTGACCAAGGATGGTAGACGGTTGGATGTATTTGGCCATTTTGACGGTATAATGTCGCGGGATACGGGACATAGAATATGATTGAAAGGTCACCAAAGGGATATTGGATGGATGAAACACGTTGTCTGTAAAGCTAATCTCTAATAAAGGGGCTTCACAGCCTAATAAACCGACCAGCACTCAAGCAAACAAATCAATGCCATCGAAAATAGAAGAGAAAATATAAGACTTAGTTGTGAAAATGATATCTTCTTTCTTGTGATAATTTAATCGATATGTAGGGGTTTCGCGACCGATTCCCGATATTGGAGGCCTCGCCATGGACTTCCTTATTTTACTTTCGGTTGTTCTGGGTGATTAGGGTTTCGTCATCTCTTACCGTATTTGGAGCCATATGCCACATCAGATCAAAACTTGATAGCCTAGGTATTCTGGCTCGATAAATTCACACCTCTCGAGAAGCATCTGATGAGCTAGAAATCGATTTCTTCCAAGGCGTGAACTTGGCCTCGATTACCCGTCACCTATGACCAGTGAATGTAGAAGCCTCGGCTGTCTCTGATGGTATGACCTTACAAGCGGTTCCTCCAATTCCATCGTTATACCTTTAATTTGGAGAGTTTCCAATCATCTTTCTATTCTTCGAGCTCTTCTACTTCAGCTGCGAAAACACGTTCAGGAAGATAACACAGCATGAGCGGACAAGTATGTTTCTGTTTTCAAATCCTCGGCACCCAGGCAAAAGTTGAAGACAACCTTGGAACTCAAATACTGACCTTGATATAATCTCTAGGGCCTGAAGCCTTATAATAGGCCCATCAATCATATTGCGATATCATGCTCTGATCTCACAGCGCTAGTGGCATACTACACAGAACTCCTAGGTTTTCAGCTGATAGGCGAGATTCGCCATTTCAAACGTTCCGAAGACCAGACACCCTTTGAGGCCATCTTCGTCTCCTATCCCAGCACACTACAAGAGCTCAAATTTGCCATTCTCGCCACTGGCAACGGGGTCGGGATTGAGTGTTTTGAGTTCATTGACCCGACGATAAAACCACGTGAAGAGGCATTCGAATTTACTCGTCCAGGGTTCTTTCACATCTGTATCACGGACCCAAACCCGGAGGTTCTGGTAGAGAACATCAAACAGCGAGGTGGACGCACCTTGGGTCAATGGATGGACTACTCGAGGTACGGACTCGAGGAACATAGGGGAATTTACACCCAAGATCCATGGGGAAATGTGGTAGAAATCATGAGTTTGACACTGGAGAGAGTAGCATCTGCCGGAGAGGCTATGGCCACTTTGCTCAAAGTGCAAGCCAAAATGTAAACCGATTAGTGTACGTCTTCTCGGATAGTCTAAGACTTCAATGATACAAGTTTTCATCTCCGTTTGCCAACCCCTGAAGCACTCAGAATTTCCGAGAACACCATGCGATCATGTTTGAAGTCCTTGTATCGTCAACCCACTTTATCGCTTTGCCGTCTCAATAAAATATTTAGAATATCTTGCGAGACACAACCGATTATCTATTTTTGGTTGTAAAGATGCTGGGAAAACTTCAACAAGAAGACCTAAAGACGCCTGATAGTCGACGCACAGCGGTAATTACATTGCAATTTAGTGAAAAGCAATTAACTTTTTTTAACTATTTCATTAAGAACAAATGAAGGATACGCTTGAAGCCATCTCATAGAGCTGCCGGTGTTCTCATTTAGGCGTCGGTCTCTGTCTGTTGTAGGTTACGAACATAGAGTTGCCTAGGTGGCCGAAAATTCCTCCTCGAATAGACGAACCAATTCACCACAAAGATACCAAGGCCGACTGCGCCGCAAGCAGAGGCCCAATTCATGTTGCCCAGAGTGACTGGCCTGTACAAAGGGAAAGAAAGAAAGGTGACCGAGATTAGTTGCCAGCAAACCGCGAGAATATTCAAAGGCACGCCTATTTTACCAAGATTGCAGTACCGCTTCTTGGGAAGCTGGGATCGCCCTCGCAAGAGTAGCAGCCAAATTGGCATGCCATATGAGAATGCGAAACAGATGCCTCCGGCACCAAAAACCCCGTTGAGAACTGTGCTGGGTCCAAACACCAACAAGCTAATAAGGCAAGAAGCAAAGACTGTTAACAAGATGGCATTGAGAGGAACCTGCATGACAGGATGGACCTCACCAATCCATCTGGCACCAGGCATGCCGCCGTGTTTGACAAAGGACCAAATTAGTCGGCTGGCGGTTGCAATAGCAGCCGGGCAGGATGAAATATAAACGACGCAATATATGATTAGAGCGACGACCAATAGTCCATCAGAATGGAAGGCATCGTGTAAAACCTGATAGACTGGCTGGCCACCAATCGGATTTAGCAGAGTGTAGGGATTCGTGGTACAAAAAAGAAAGGTGATAATCATCGGTATTGCGGATAGCGCACAGAGCAGCGATGCACCGATCATGACTTGAGGAACCTGTCGATCAGGCTGATCCATCTCCTCAGCCATGTGGGCTGCAGTATCGAAGCACGCAATAGCTACACTGCCGGGTAAAAAGCCTAGAAGAAACACCAGACCGTTTGAACTCCATCCCGTTTCGTTGACGACGTCGATGAAGACTTGACGGGCAGAAGCCTTGGGCGTAGTACGAGTGAGAAGCGCAACGAAAATAAAGATAGTTCCAGCATTGATAAACCAAACCATAAACTTCGAGACGGCCGGGTAGATCTTAAACAGCAACGTATTCAGGAGAATACCGATTACACCGCAGGCGACAGCGATCAAGAAGACTTGGTAACTTTTAGCAACGTAATCTGGAAATCTGACCATTATTGCTCCCAAGAATATTTGAGCTGCAAAGACATAGGTGCCTGCATTGGCGAAAACCCAGCCGAGTGTTGTGCTGGCTCCGTTCCAGTAACTAAGGAAGCGGGCCCATTCCGGTGGCGACAGTGCAGCAGTCCAAAAGACTTGCCCTAACGGAAACACTATATCAGCGTTGCCATAGTCACGGCAGACCCGCACCGGAGTCCACCCATTGTGCCGGCTATGGGCTGGAATAGGGTACTCTAATACTCACCGGATGCATGAGGATATACAGCAGCAATCTCGGCCAGAGATATGCAGACCAACATTTGGCCAAAGGCAGCGACCAAGAAGCAGTAGAAGAAATAAGGACTGCCCCCGACCCCAAGGATGAATGTCAAGTAACCGCCAACGGCTAATGGAGTGGCACTAATACTATATTGCATGCCAACAGCAGCTAAAACAGAAAATCTGGGCCTAAGCTCTGCACTTTCAAGAGTACCGCTTGTCCCGTTGGTCATCTGTGATTCCAGCGCATTGCTGGTGTCGATAGCAAATTTCTCGCAATCCTTTGGATGTGAAGACTGGTTTGTAGACATGTTGACGGCCAGAGCAAGCTTAATCGAGATTGGGGGACTACTGTTGGGGGGTCTTCTCTGCTCTCTTCTCTTTCTTTTTGCAATGCCATCTAGATTACCTAGGTAGTTATCGCGCCGATTTATAGAGGACCTCTGTATTGCCGGGGCCGGTAAACAAAATCTGGGGTAAACTTTACTAGTGTGCGGAGTCCCAGAGGTTATCTCTCTCTGGCATGGCCTTCATATAAGAGATCGATAAGAGTAATCTGAATAAGGAAAGTCACAGCGAATTCCTTCGGCTACATCCTTGGAGATAGGTCCCGCTGCAATGTTATCATCGAAAAGAATTTGATAAGGGGATCTAGTATCAGAGAGATACCGCTTCGTGGCGCTGATATTTTACGGTACCTATCTGATAAAGGTGTTTCGAAAAGCGGCCAATTGAGCTCCATATCCCAAATCTACAGATCCATTTTAAGACGTACCAGCTCGTGAATGGGCAAGGACAGTGCAAGTTCTAGACGTAACTCGTGGACGTATTAGTTGCACCCTTATCGGACGCTGGCAAATCATACATACCATTCCCACCAGCGTAATCTCGTCCAAAACCTTGAAACCCCGCGTATTTTGTTACTTTGCTGGAATAGTTATGTAGATCTTGGGACTTTATTACTACATCCGTATAAGTCATCCTCTTTTATCATATAGGTAGGACATTGTGAGTATCCCTCGATATCTATGTGAAAGCGCAGCAGCACCCATAATGCGGTTTCTTTCGGGTTTTAGGGAGAGTAACAAGATAATCTCCAGCGAGTCATGCCATACAAACTGGAAGGCGTTATCTGATCTGAAGACGTATCGTTTTAGGACCGGTTCGGTTACTCTTGGCAAATCCCTTGTCTCCATCACAAGTACTTGCTGGATATCTTGACCTCGCAGACGACCTCGGTGTTTGATATCCTAACTACCAATTCTAGGGTTCCTGCTATTCCGTCCGGAAGACCAAGTATTTTGTCTAAAGATATCCATGTAATCCTTTACCTATGAAATAACATCTGGAAACATGCCTCTCTCTTGACATCTGAGTGGCCCACCGTGAACAGCCATTTGCGTGCTGGGCATTTCAAGTATGCAGTCAGTCAATTGGATATTCGCTGGAAGGTCTCTAGCCACTCTTGATTTCCAAAAATGAGACCAGGCCGTCAAATCCGCATCCCTCTTGAAAAGTAAGACTGTATGATTCTCACAATAACATCAGACCACATACTGGACACCTTTTAGGGCTCCTAGAGTTCTCAATGCAATGAACGAAGTTTGCTGCGTTCTGTGTTGCTGGACTTCATATTAAGATGTTAAGATGACGACTGGCATGGCATTCCGAGCATTATCTGATAAGCGGGCTAGAAAGGCACAGATTTTGTTATATTGTGTCTGGTACGTTGTATAAGATTTCGTCAAAGAGTGTCTAATATTTTTCTCCTCTTATAAAGGCACAACATCATAATCAGTACCTCTGACAAAATCTTGCCAGGTCATGCTACGAGCTTGTAATGGATTGCTATCCCTCCATGCCCAATACTCAGCGCATATATGTTGTGCCATATCGACCGTTTTAAATCCATGGCGACGTTTTGATTGGAACCATTCCAAGGCGCGCCTTCTCATAGCAGAATCATAGCATTCTACTGCAATGACAAGGCAAGGCCACAGGAGTATACACCCATTCGAGCCCTTGGCCTCGGTTTCGCTGATCTCAAGATGAGAAAGACCGGCTTCCACCATGTCTTGAATTTCAGCTGGCGGTCGGTGATGGATCTTCCGCTGTATGTAGATCAACAAAGAATAATAATACACATGAGAGTAATGAAGACTTGTTAAATTTTGCTGGGTTTCGTGTGTCCCTTGTAGCGGAATATTGGCAGGCGCACTCAAATACGCCTGAAGCTCGAGTTGCTGAGCAAGCCGATCAGAATCGGGCAGCATGGGCGACAGGCGGTTAATTGCAAGGATCGATCTGAGAAGGGATATGCTTATATTATGACACCGACACAAGTCGTCCGTGGATTCTGGGAGCTGTGCGATCAGGTTTTCAAGATCGTGAGTTGATATGACGTTTCCAAAAACGGCGAGGCAGAGAAATTGTAGGAGAACCCTATGTAAATCTGATCTTGGCTGCACATCAAGATTCTCAATCTTAGATAGGTAATTTAGCGCTCCCTGGACGTGGCTTCTCCAGGTATGAGACATCCCCGTCACAGAATCTCGCATGATAAAAATTAAAATAGCTCCAAGAACGGAAGCAACATCATCTGTTGGAGGTTCTCGAAGTGAGTTCTGCAAGTATTGCAGAGCTAGGCGACCATGCCACGCCGCGACAACTTCAGACACTTCTTTTCTATCCAACATGAGATACAGAATGCTCTCAGCAGACGCAGCGCAAATTCCATGGTAAATCGCAAGTCTACTTGATGACTGTGCTCGACGCGGGAAAAGGGCATTAGAGGCAAACGGGAGATACATCACTCTGTAGGGATTGTCAACGGAGTCGACGGGAACGAGATTCTTGCACATAAAAAACACCCAGTGGTGGATGAGGTCACGCTGGCATGAGGGGCTGGACACCTCATTTGGTTCGATAGCTGGCAAAGAGCTTTGTGCAAGGCCCTGAGGACTGTAGGGAATTCGACTAGGAGTTCAACGGAGTCGACGGGAACGAGATTCTTGCACATAAAAAACACCCAGTGGTGGATGAGGTCACGCTGGCATGAGGGGCTGGACACCTCATTTGGTTCGATAGCTGGCAAAGAGCTTTGTGCAAGGCCCTGAGGACTGTAGGGAATTCGACTAGGAGTGCGGCCCAGGGACTGGAATTCAGAATTTCTGTATCTCGGAGTTCCTTGGGCACTACCGGGGTGATCGGGTGCCTGTGCTTCTTGCTGGTTTGTCGGCGGCGGTGAAGTGGCTTCATGATGGTATGAAACATTATCGGAAGCAAATGTAGGATCTCCGACAATTCCTTGGCCTTCATTAAAGGCTGATTCATGCAAGTGGTCACTCCCGTTGGCAAGATTGAGTGACGTTTCACCTGATGGAGTATCTCTTTCTCTAGCCACGCTCGATGATCCCGGCGAGGATTCCGATTGTGAGGCTAATGATGATGGTACGTCACTGTCGGCTTGTTCGCCTATGGACAGATTCAGAGGGGTCCATCCTGTATTGTGAGGAGTATTTCTTGAAGTTGGAAGAGGACTCGCGTTGAACACTGAGAACGGCCCAAAGGATTGCGTCTGGTCTGCGACAGATAGATCATCGCATCGGCGCAGCAATCTATGAATTGTTACAGAAGAAAGATTTTCTCCTCTCTGAGATGTCGGCTGAATGCGCCTTCTGGAGCAACTGCGAGGTGAATACTGCTCGGGCAATCCTGAGCTCCGATTATTCGCAGTCCACTGAAGCCGGACTCCATAACCTTCACAGTCGATGCGAGATCTTCGGCATTTCAGGCAATGTGGCCGGGTTTCATCGCATTTTATTTGACGGGCACGACATGTCCAGCATCCAGTGAAAGTTTTCGTTTTTCTTTTTTTCATGCTGCAGGAAAATGCTACTAGTGTTCGCGTAGGAGGAGAGGAAATGACCATCGATCGATCGATAAGCGCTCGTCCCGCACGGTCTTTGAATTTGAGGGTCGGTGGGACTTTGCGGGGAAGCTTGAGGGGAGTCCTGGATAAAAAACAAGCTGTGACTACGAAGGAATCAAGGATTTCATTGTGTAGAGTCTCTATGTATTTTGATATGGATGTTGTCTTCATATTCCTTGGGCTTTGATGTGTTTCGGCATTCTTTCCGAGAATTCCAATCCTGAGAAATTTACTCGTTTTCGAGGGTTATAGGGTTAGGGTTGTAGTCCGGTGTGATTGTGCACGATCTTTGGACTTGGAGTTGGGAACTCTGAAAAATCAGATAGAGAATCACAATCTGTGTTTTCCTAACTTCTTGAGCTATATTATATTAAGTACCATGGTCCATGAATACTCTGAATGCAATAACAGACATATGACGAGAAACAGTTAGCCACACTGTAGAAAAGTAACAAACTTAAATGAGAATGGGAAACAAAATCATGGAAAGAAAGAAAGATTATAACTTTGACAGTTCGATCATGTCATAGGTAGATATGTGCTAACTGGGATGTAAATAAGAGTACAAACAAAAGATAATAAAAGACTTTTCACCCTTGCAATAAAACAAAATATTAAAGAAATTACCAACATTAAGGATATGTATAAACCACCCCAGACGAACTACGCCCATTCTCACTCGAAGCTCGATTCGACTGCGTTGCCGTCGTAGACGTCCCCGTCATCCTAGACGAAACGTCCCTCACAATAACCTCAATATCATCCATCCCTCCCTCCTTCTCATCTTCATCTGCCATACTATACGTATACAATCTATTAAATGCCGAGTCTGTAGAGAGTAAGGTATACGGATCATCGAATTCGATGAGTTCACCGGCTTCGAGCATGGCGACTTTATCAAAGTCGAGGATTGTGTCGAGTTTGTGCGCTACAGCGATGATGGTATGATTGCTGAATTTTTCACGGATGACGCGTTGCATGATTTCGTCGGTTTTGGAGTCAACGCTTTTTATTTTGTTAGTGTCTAATGGGACTATATGGGAAATGGGGATACATACTTGCTTGTAGCCTCGTCGAGGATCAGGATACTGCTATGACGGAGCATGGCTCGTGCTAGACAAAATAGCTGCTTTTGTCCCTGTGATAGGTGGAGTTCTTCGACATCAATGTCTAAACCCCCTTTTTCTTGGACTACGGAAAGTAAGTGCACGCTTCGAAGTGCATCTAAAATTTGATCATCTGTTGCAGTGCTGTTTGGATCGGCGTTTAGTCGGACAGTGCCCTTGATCAAGAACGGATCTTGGGCGACTCCAGTGATTCTGGCTCTGATCTCCTGACGAGGGATGGTGGAGAGGTCGATACCGTCGATGGTGATGCTGCCTCCGGACAGTTCGACCATGCGGAAGATTGCCAATACCAAAGAACTCTTGCCACTGTTTTGTGTCAGTAGTGCTCAAAATGCTAGGCGAAGAAACATACCTTCCAGTTCGGCCGCAGATGCCAATCTTCTCGCCGCTGCGAATTGACAAATCTACGTTCTTAAGAATAGGCTCTTCGGGTCTACCATTATCAGTACAGTTTCATGAAGATGGAGGCGATGACATACCTATAACATGCAGACACCCCTTTGAATTCAATCGCCCCTTGAGAAGGCCAGGCAGCTGGCACAGGACGATTCTCCGTCTCCAAATCCTCGGACTTGACAGTCTCATTGAAGATCTTGACACGCGCAATGGAGCCAATATGAGTTTCCAGATTCGTCCAGAAGGTAATGAGCAGCTTGATGCTTTGACTGAACTGGATGATATTGAACAATGCGACACCGACATATCCCGCGCTAATAGATCCACGCATCTCGACAACGAGGATAATCAGTACTGTGGCGATACCAGCGACGACAAGGTCCAAGACCAGTGTGAGCCATCGTTGCACGGCAAATAGCAGATAGAATGGTCGTTGAGAGCGCTCAAGCAGCTCTCTACTTTTATTTTCCATTGCTTTTTGCCAGCCGAATGCTCGAATGGTGACAAGACCGCTGAGGCATTCGGTAAATTGAGAGTATAGAGGAGCTTTGGCCTCGAGATCCATGAATCGTAGTTGACGCGAAGTTCGAAGATAGTACTTTTGGATAAAGTAAAGGGCAATCAGGACAATTGGAAATGAAATGGCTGTATATGGAGAAGCCACACCGATCAAGGTGGTCTGCGCAACGCACAAAACGAGCGCTGATATTGTCAGTAGACATCTTGCATAGACCAGTTTAGGGTACTTACTGGCAAAAGTGTTCAATGCAGCAACTGGCAGTTCCATGTCAATTAACTGTAAATCCTGGCTGAATCTGTTCAAGGTGACACCGGTATCCGTCGAAGCGAAGAAAGACGTTTTAGCACTATACATGTTAGTCTCGTTCGATGTAAAAGAGGTACGTCAGATCCTTACTTGAGAACAGTACTAAGCAAAGTCGAATGAAATCTTTCTCCGGATTTAGGTACCATAGTAATGATAAGTTGCCTTCAACCAGTTAGCCACATATTCGTTTATAAAAAGCAAAAACACTAACCAGCAGCTGATGCACAGCGTGATCAAAGCAAGTACTCCTAGCATTGCATAGATACCCATGTAGTAATTGGATTTTTCGTATGGGTATTGCACGTTGGAGGCGGCCCACCATTTCACCCAGATACCTGTCATGGTCAGTAAACGAACATCCAAATTGAGAGTGAAGTACTTACTCGGAAAAGAGATACAAAACACAAACCCGGATATACACACAAGGAAGATAACTATTCCAACCCAGCCAACCGAGGAGAAATAGTACCTATAGATTGCGAAATCACCTGTTGCTCGATTGGCTTCTGCTTCTAGATCGTCATCTGTTTGGATAACTTTCTCCTGTTCATCAATATTCGGCACGTGATAGCTGCGCTCGTCAGGGGTAAAGTTCCAATCTGGTTGACCGAGATGGAAGCTTGAAACATAGCCACCACTTGCAGCGAGGGTTTCAAAATGGCCTTGTTCTGAAATGGTGCCTTTCTCATCGATCACAAAGATCTGATCCGAATATGGAAGGCGTTTGACTGGTAGTTATGTCAGTTGGAATCCTTTTATTGGCACAGGAAAACATACCGGATGAAGATGTCATCAATACTGTTACTTGCATCTCCCTCCAGATGCCGGATTTGCCCATCAGACTATGCCAGATGTGATTCTCTGTGGCTGTATCAAGTCCACTGATCGGGTCGTCGAGGAGTACAAGCCTCCTCTTTGCATATACAGCTCTCGCCAATGCCTAAAACTCTGTCAGACTTTTCGCCCGGAAAATTCCCCACCCCTAGAAGTAAGAACTTACTATGCGTTGACCCTGACCTCCACTAAGAGCAACCCCCTTACTACCGATCATGGTCTGATCACCCTGAGGCAACTGTCTCAAATCCTCGTGCAATGCGCAAGCCTGAAGTACAGTGCTATACCACTGCTCGTCGAACTCGCTTGCTGCAACGATACTATTCCTGATCGTGTCATTGACATGCCATGCAGTCTGGTCGCAATAAGCCACTTGATCAGTGGCCATATACACGGAACCGTTCATAGGCGGAATTTCACCGAGAACGGCTTTCAGAAGAGTAGATTTTCCGCAGCCGACTGGCCCAACAATCATTGAGATTTTGCCTTCGGGAACAGACATCATGATTGATTTTAGTAGTGGTTCCTTTTCCAAGTCCCAGCCAAAGTCAGCATTTTGAACAACAATTACATCCATTGAGGTAGGAGTCAGTGATCGAGGGGTTTTGGTTTCATTGGTTTTTGCCAAGTCAACCTCGTTAGTCATTATACTGGACTTTTCAGAGAAGTTTGGTATGGGACCTTTGATGAGGTCATCTGACGAGCTTTGTCCTGAAGGGGTTTGACGTTTGTCAACCAAGGCGTCCTTTTCTAGGAATTCTTGAATACGTTGGAAGGAGCCGACTGAGCTAACGAACGCAGACAGTGACATGACTAAAGTAGTGATTGGGTCAGTCATTAACGCGAAAATTGACAACGCCGTGTAGACCCTGGCCGTGCCAAGTGCAACATCGTCGCCACGGTTGTGTTGAACGGTGACGAATACGGCGAACGTGATAATTGGGGCAAAGATCTGGGAAATGTAGGCTTCAACCTGGTCAGTCACACCTTTGAAACTTGATAATTGGAGACATACCTATTCCCATGTTCCAGATTAAGAGACGTCTGAAGCGCTTCGAAATATTCAACTCATCAATACGCAATGTATGAATGCTCTTGAACAAAACGTTCTTCAGCCCGGTCATCTTGATACCTTTCATAGAACCCAGCATTGCGGTTGTGGCGGAGATACGTCTTTCAATAGCTTCAAGCCAGAGCGCCTGACGTGAGACTACAAAGTTCAACGCCACAATAGATGCCACAAGAGAGACTATTGTGGTTAATATCACGGTTCTGGAATCTATCATAACGAGTAGTACTCACATATTGAAACACCAACAGGAACAAGACATGATATGCCTAGCTGTCCCTCTAGCAAAACAATGGCAACAGCAATCTCAGCCAAGTTAGCCCACATTTCATGCATTGTCTGCCATCCTTGGACAATTCGCTCAACATCAGCACTCATGAGTGTCAACGAGAGGGCAGGATCCACGTCTCGCACACTGAGATCTGTGGTCTTGCGACTGAGCATAGAAATAAGGCCGCCTCGAAGCATAGTTATGGATCGATAAGCTAGATGCTGATATTGGCCCATGGCAATCTAATAACATTAGTTAGGCGATAACTTTGAGATCACTGGTGATATAGTGACGTACCGCAGATCCAGTGTATACTAGAATGTATGCGCCAATCAGACCGTAGCCAACATGTGTGGTCCACGGCGTTACACTGTCCACAGACAGGTACACCGAGCGGTTGATGAGCAGCGGCTGGCTAAAGTTAAGAGCAACGAGACATGCTCGAGGTGGGATGACGGCCAGGATTGGCCATATCAAGGTTTTCAAAGACACCCAGAGCAACGTATTTGGTGACTTTTTCTCGACTACCAAAAGTTAATACTCATTCATCTACTTCTCTTTGTGCCAGGCCTACCTTTCTTCCAAGCCTTCTCCATACGTTCGTGAATGTACTCCGAGCGCATCTGTTTGTCGACCTCGAACAAATCGTCCATCCGAAGCAATGACGAGAATCCCCTGATGAACAATGGATTCAACCACCAAAAGAAACTCTTATTGAAAGTACTTGCTGTAGCCTCTGGTGGGCTAGATTTGTACTCAGACCGCAAGACTCGTCGTTTCTCCAGTGCCTCCAATATCAAGATCAATGTCTTCATCGCCACAGAAACGCTGAACAATATGGCAAGAGTGTTGCCATAGAAATCCGAGCCCCGGAGCCATAGTGTTCGACATTGCGCAATATCAAACAGCAACGTGAAGAAGAAGAAGATATCGAGTAGAAACGAGGGGTGTATAGTACGAGTATGTTCGAAGTAGGATTGGAGGCAGAAAAGGGCGGTTGCAGTCAACGAAATTGCTTGTACTGGAATGGAGGCATCTGTTCTTTTGGCAGATGGCAGGGTCCACAAGGTCAATACAGCAAGCTGTGAAGCTGCTAGTCCGGCATACGATGCCTATAAAACAGAGATATTAGTTGGAATTGCGCTAAAACCCCGCAATAAAGGAGTCTGGAGAACATACGACTTTAAGTGGCAGTAGGAGGCTTGTAGTTGTCTTTTTGGATTTTCTGGAAAGATACCATATTCTAGCCGGAGCAGCTAAGACGAAAAGCCCCAGAGGCAAAGCAGTCAAGATGGTCTGCTCAAACAGAAGGGTAAAATCAAAGCCGCCGCGGCATTCACGAGCATAGTAATGGAACGAGTTGTCTATCTCGTAGCATTCCGTAGCATTTGGAGCCATTGTGACGAGATGAAATTGTTTGCCGGCTTTTAGAATCCGGACATGAGAGTAGTTGATACTTCCGGCACCGCAGATGATGAGACTCCTCGAAGCTTGGAGATGCTGACTACAGACACACGCGTGTGGGCTTGCACTTGCTACTTACGTAGAAGATAGCAAAAGCAACCAGACGAATGGGTCTGCCCAAGCTCTTTTTACAAGCTTCGCGTCATGAAATCATATGATCTGGCCGCGCGTATCGTGTTCGCCGTCTTCGCTTGTTAGGACTAACGACGTTGGCCAGAGTCAGCAGAACTCAGCGCAAAGAGTCTCTCATCCAGGTTCCCCTTAGATGAATCGGTTCAGCAGAGTAAGCCGTAGCTCCGCGTGAAAGGAAGGAGGACTGACATAAGCGGATAAAAAAAATCCTACTTGAATGCATGTCTCGAACCTCACGCTATCTCGTACGGAGGGGAAAGACCCATAGGGCAGGTAACAAACAGAGCATACGAAAACAAGTACCTAATACGTACATCAAGGGCACGTAGGAAAAGGGTTGGACAAGCGGATCGGAGATTAGTGCAAAAGTGACGATCATCAAGTCGGAGTCTGGACGGTGGGTCGGGTTCTTACTTGGCTCAGTTGCCATTCGAAGAGAGAAGGAAACGGTAGTAATAGATCGATCTCGTCTGCATGGCCTGAGCGAGCGAATGCATGGGTCTGGCACTGACTCACTGTGGAATTGTGGATGTCAAAATGGGGTAAGAAAAAGGCGCAATTAGCAGTGGCACTAAGGACAAGGTACGAAGCGAGGAGCTCGAGTCCTTACAGGTCCGAGTCATGGCTAGCCACCCCTTAGTGCCTCGTGGGGTGAAGGCAGGTAAACAATACGTATGTAGTTTAAAATTAGCGCACGCCAACAGTTGACAACTCTCTGCGGAGACTATACAGCTTGGCCGCCACTTGGGCTTCGAGCTATTCGGACGACGAACAGCAAGGATCCATCAGACGTGTTTGCGCCTCGTAGCATTGAACTCTGGATTTCTGGAAGCGATGGAACGACAAATAGATGCGTCGAAAAAGTTAGCGATGCCGAGTCTCCGGTGGTATGCGGTTCATCCTCGTCAAACAAGTGTGCGTCTTGCAGCTGAGACAGACGAGTGGAGCACAGAGGCTGAAAAATTGAAGCAGCGAGGCAAGTAAGGGACAACGGATAAAACCGAGTACGTTCTCCAGTCTTGGCCTGCTGTAGATGTGTAGGTAGCTGTAGTCGACAGACGAGAAAGTGACTGACTGTGTGACTCGAGGATACTCAGGTCACGTTCTCTGGTGCTTGCCCGATTCGGGAGACGAGGCCCATCAGATTAGGAAAGAGCGATGGATGCAGTCTGGACCTGCAGGCATCCATTAGCGCCTTCCTTGTTTGAACCATTATGTAATGCCTTGCCCGTCAGGCACCTAATATTCGTCTTTTCTATTGTCGTTGTCTCATATTATAGAGAGAGCTGTTGTCGCGTCTAACTACCTAATTGACTTACGTACTACTATTACTCTTACAACCCTTGATATAGGTGGAGACACCATTGGCGGGTGATCGACAGCAGTCCGATTCCATTATTAAAATTCATTATTAAAGAGCCACCTTGTGTGACAGCTTTAGTACCGAGCACTATTGCGCTGAACTTGTTAGTAATTGAAAGAGTAAAAACAAACTCGCCAAAAGCGTTCAAATACGGTTTGGCCAGGTGTCTACGCTCAGCAAAACTTGAATTATCCCTGTTTATAGAGGAAGGTCATAATGGTTCTGTCCTGCGATGAACTGTTAACTCGGATTAGTTAATATGGGGGCCGTATAGGTGCCACCGGGAAAGCTCAATCTCTTATCCAGACCTCTTGGGAAAGAGGCTTTGATACTGCCAGACTCCAGTCACACAGGGTCCGTATTCCAACCAAGGCTGTGGGTAATACTTACTTGGAAGTTGGAACACAACAACGTAATGCTGTTGATATCTACCAAGCCAGGAAGCCTGGAGAAAAGATTTGCATCAAGACATTACTGTTCGGTGATCATCAGATCAAAGATCCCGGGTGTCCTTAGGTGGTTAATATAGCTGCCCGGGATCAGGCTGTGTGCGATCGATATTTACTAAAATCCGATTATTGGACCTGAGTTCACAATTTCTCCATTCTAAAATATGCATGGTAATATGGATAAATACTCCGAGTGAGACAAGCCGCGTTTTGAGGTTTTAGGGCTCGTGATTTGTTGACCCAACAATAGCTTTCGTGAAGAACATGGCATGTTTACGTTACATAACCCCATACCCCATACGGCGTACATGAAGAAGAAAAAAGAGAGAAAAACCAAAAAAAAACCAAACACATAACTATTATCTACTCAATGACTTCATAGACGATAATCACGAACTCAACATGTCGGTTAGACACTTCTCGTATTCCCAGGAGTTCGGCTCTTCGAGTCCTGCCAAGTAGTGACACAACATGCAAACTCAAATGAGTCACCGATACTTCTCGACATGGATCAGGCCGTACGACCTTAGACACGCATACACCTGACTTTTGCCGGCCGCTGACTACAATGCCACAATGTACATTAGTTACAATGGACCTCATGCTCCTTCTGCAAGGCAGGCCACGCTTTTGTTTACTTCCAGGGGGTAAGGGAGGGTATAGACTCCGGGAAAAAAAAAAAGAAATCTAGATCAGCTGGAAAATGAATACCATATTTTTCGGATAGTATTTTCCCGCTCGTATTTTTCTTATTCGCAACTCGAGACTGTTCTGTCGACTCGATCGTTCCAAAAATGGGCATCGACGCTAAAACCGAAAAAGGAAACTCTTAACAAATTAGGCAATTTTGTGTGCGTTCCCTTCCCGGCGTGGCTTTTTTGGGGCGAAGAACTGGGGCAGAAAAACAGGGAATCTATTCGCTTGATAGGATAATAACGAGGCTAATATTAAGCTCCAAAAAAAAAAAAAAACAAAACAAAACCACAGGTGGAGATTCGTTGATCGTTCGTCAAGCTAAAAAGAAAAAATACTCCGTACTACGTAGTGAAAGACATGGCAGGGATCAGAGACTAGTCTTAGGGCTTGCGCCAAGCGGGAACTACGGACAATGCGTCCGTCCTCTCGGCTCACCGGCTAATACGGAGACTAAGCACGTATTCTGCCTAGTATGAGATACAAATGAGATCTAGCCTTCGTGATTTGTTTTAGCTCGACTTTTAGTCCCATACCGCTATGTTTTTTAGTGTCGTTAGTGCTCCTATCAACTTTGCTAGGGGACGTCACGTCAGGATGAATACATAGTAGAACTTGATCGTTTCCTGTCGGAATAACACGCTAAATTGTCCTCCGTCTGTCCTAGCTGATCAAATACCAGATCATAGATCCATCTAGTGATAATATATCCGCATGGGCTGCAGAATTATTGGTTAGTAGACTTATTGGTTAGTGATGAAATCTGTTCTATTTAGTTTTATTTAGTATTTGGGGCTAAGAGATTCGACATTCGTTGTATTTAGGAACCGATCGGCAAATATGACAAGTAACACAGGGTGTTCTTCACAGTCCCTTGTTTCAGTAGAGTCTTTTTCCAATTAATAAAATTGTTAGACTTTCCATACAAACAAATCAAACCCCTTCTGATGCACTTAAGAGTTCATCCAGTGGGTGGAGCGTGGACAGGTCGAATTTTTGTACCATCTCCTTTCGGTTTCCACGTACATACTTAGCAATTTAGTGACTTATGCCCCATTAGGTAATTAAAACACTGGTACATATTCGACAAGTCAACGACCAATACCTTTTCTATTCTTTGGTCCCTTTTTTGCACCCAATTGAGTCTTTTTTTACCAATAAAAGAGAGACACATGACATCGAGCTGATGTACAGGGAACAAGGTACACGGACTTACGCTAATCATGTAGTATATGTACAGCTCAACGAACCAATCCAAACAGGAAAAGAGAAAAAGAAAGAAACGAGAAAAATTCAGACTGACAACATGACACGAACACTGAGGATCAGGTCCGTTTGTACTCATCTCATATGTAAGTATGGCGTCAGCCTCAATAGTGGTTCTTCTTTCGGGGCTTGCTGAGGCTTGCGTCGGGGATCAGATATCGTGTACTGTACTTGTATCTCCACATGATGTTTTAATGATTCACCGATTCAGCCCGTGTAATACTTACAGTAACGTATCGAGTATAGCCTGCTCTGTAGTAGTACGTATTCGTAGTACAGTCGAAGAGACTCGGAAGAAAAGGAAGAGATACGCATCTACTTCCCGTTGTTTGACAGCAGAATCTACTATATTACGCCACCGAAGTCAATGGCACTGAAGGAAGTGCCGTGTGAGATACCCTTCAGGGCGTATTCTGCGAACGCGTCGTCCAGAGTTACATACTGTCTTACGTCGATGGATAGGACAATAGTAGGCCAGCACAACTGAGTAACTGAATCGAAAAGTGAATAATTACAGGATAAGACGAAGCAATTAAAATAGTGTAATAATCATAAGGTCCTCATCTGCCGAGACATTTTTCTTAAACGCCGTTTTCCATGTAGTACAGCGGATTCCCCGATCCAATATCTCCGAACTATATTGACCATCAGTCCACATCGGACTGACTGACCGGTGACCATTCGTCTATTTACCTATTGTCTGTCTGGGAATTGGTAATATGGACCGATAATTCACATATTAGGTACGTAGTACGTGGTATGGAGGAGATTTTCTGCCTCCCTCGAGGTCGGATACATACAGAATCCATCTGGTAACTACATACTCTGGTTACGTACAAACTCTGATAATGGACATGGACACTTAGTAGGTGGCGGTAAGGTATCATTGCAAACCAGGATTGTATCCCTAAGACTTTGTATTGATCATTGGGTTAAGTTACGCCATCTCATCATTGTGAAAGTTTTATATGGGCAGTTTGGATTGATCGCTAAAGATCGCTAAAGACTCTTCAGGTAAATATCTTTGTTTCAACGTAAACCTGACGAACATAGAAACTTTAATTTTCTTCATACTCATCTTCAAGATCCATACGTCTTGTTTTCTTCTCAAGATTTCAAGATGGCCACTATCCACTGCCCAGGTACAGAATACGAAAAGGTAAGACTCGACTCCACTGGAGCCAGCGTACCCTGTGTGGAGTGAGTGGGTTTAGGGCTCAAGGGATAGATGAAATTTGCCAAGTAACATATACCAGGATCAAAATCACCGAGTCGTATATTCATTGCATGTAGGTAGCGCTACCTAGCAATAGGAGATTTTTTTTTGGAATTGGTCCAAATACAAGCACGGCATAGAACCGCTCTCTGTCCGGATGACCCTTTCGACGGATAACCCTAACTAGTTAGGAACGACCTGCTTAGCTTCGTGCCCTACCCAGATAGATCCAGATTCCAGATCCAGATCCTACGTAACTTGGCAAGAGCGAGCCCTAAAAGAGGTTCTCTGACCCTCCGCTCTGCCCTGGGTGTCAGTCTGTTTGAGTTGTCATCGTCTTGTTGAACGTCTGCTTGACTCGGATCTCTTCTTAAAAAAGTCAAAACAGGTTTCACGCCGATCCATGGGGCAGCCACCGGCGTCCACCTCATCCACCCTATTCTGGCGTTCAGGAACTAATGCCTGGGAGAGGTCCCACTCCGATGTGTACCTTAGTCCAGTTTACATCTTAATTATGTTTCATACTGAAATTTTGTATGGAGCTTTTCTGTATGTATGTATGTCTTTCTTTTCTGCATGCATGTATCTGATTTACAGTATGTATGTCTCTGTTGATTTCTCGCCGCCCCCTTGGCTTGCGGCGAAGCTCATTGTACTTGGCTTAGCCATGTGGTAAAAAAAAAGTAGTCGAGCAATCTAGATCAATCAAGTAAAGAAAGGGGCAACCAACTCAAGTTCCACGGGGTAGATTCAATTTTTAGAGCTTAGACCTAGTAGTCTAGGAGGAAAAAAAATTACTTCGCATCATTCACGTGTAGGACTCGGTTTGCTCGTTTCCGAGTTTGGATTTTCTCTTCGTGTGTCATGTGTCATACAAACACAATCGCATCGCAAGGATAGTACCCAAAATAGAGTTAGGGTGGATTGTTGAACATTTCACAGCATTATCAGCTATTCTCAGCTTCCTCATAACTAAGGAAAAGAGGCAAAAAAAACCCATCAGCACTACCGAGTTCAACGTAGCGATGCACTGATTGATTCTCGCCTGAGCATATCGAAATATCACCTCAAAACCAAACACGGTACGGTGCCTAAATCTCGTGATTGATAATTTTCCGAGACTCGAAATTCGATTCAACAAGAAGCTTGAGGATTTGATTCTTCTCGTTCTATCATAATCAATTGGTCGATTGTATCATAATTGTCCAGGTTAGTACTTGGATCCTTTTGCGCCGTGCGATAATCTGACAACTCGCCGTTGCAGACATTATTAATATCTGTAATATCCAAAGTCAACTCCGTTATGGCTTCCCAAACTCAACGCGCAGGCGAACTCGCCTCTCTCGCTTGCTACCTACCCAGCGTACGAAATGCGACAGCCAACACGAAAACAAGGCGCAGAATGTGTTCGCGCATCAATTGCGATGCGCAAAAAGTCAAGGATTTATTCAAGGAGGATGAATCTGGTGCAAAGAGCCTGCTTCAGGCAGTTTGGGGGATGGTGCTTCATTATTATACTGGTATGGAGGAGGTGTGCTTTGGTTACAATGAATTTGACATGGCCGTTTCCGCGCGCAGGCCGGGGCCGTCAGCTGTCAAGGTTCGCGTTGATACAGAGGCGCAATTGGAAGGTTTTCCAAAAGGTAAGGAAGGTAAGTTTAGGGGCGCACTACACATTGAGACAGACGAAGCAATGCGGCTTCATTACAACACCGCGGTGATGCTCCAGATTCGCAACTCATCAGACAGTAAACCAAGCCCGGCACCTTTGGCATCTCAACAGGCTGCAATGTCGCTTCCTGAAGAGGTAGGCGTGCGCAATTCTTTTTATGTCATGATGGGAACTGACCGTCTTTTAGTGCAAAGTTCGGGTTTTGGCCAAATATATGAACGGCTCATTCAGCATTTTTCTGGAATACAAATACCCCGATATCTCCGCTGATTTTGTATCTCTTGTATCGGAAACGTTCTCGCGCATGCTCCATGCTCTTCTTGAAGAGACCCCATGCACTGTTCAGGAATTGAGTAAGATCACCGATAGTGACATGCGACAAATAATTAAATGGAATGCCGTGCGACCTGAAACCGTTGAAAGATGCATACACAATGTTATTGAAGATCAGGTTCAATTGAATCCGCAAAAGGAGGCTGTCTGCGCCTGGGATGGGTCTCTTACTTACTTTGAGCTCAACCAACAAGCTTTTACACTGGCGCAACATCTTTTGAAGCTTGGAGTTCGCGCGGAAACTCGTGTCGCATTATATTTTGACAAATCGGTGAGATAAGCAGTCATCTGACCATTTAGTCTTCGCTAACAAAATCGTATCTAGAAATGGAACATTGTAGCCATGTTGGCTGTGTTGAAAGCTGGCGGAGCGTTCGTCCCATTGGATCCGTCCCATCCAATCGCTCGGCTGGAGTCGTTGGTCAAAGAGGTAGAGGCAAATATAATCATATGTTCGACCGAATATTCTTCCCGTCTATCATCGGCAGCTGAACATGTGCTGCATCTCGATACCGAGCAGCTGGAGAAGATGGCGGCAGAGCAGGAAGTAAACAGCAACCTTACTGCTTCAATAAGTAGTAAAAATGCTGCTTATGTTTTGTTTACTTCTGGCTCTACCGGGAAGCCCAAGGTGAGAGACATGCATGCTCAAAACTCTCGAAGACAGTGTGCTAATTTCCAAAGGCCACCGTGATTGAACACCAAGCATTCTGTTCCGGTGCCCACGTACATGGACCAGCAATGTTGATCGAGCCCGACTCGCGCGTTCTTCAATTCGCCGCTCATACCTTTGATGCTAGTTTGGTTGAAATTCTAACGCCCCTGATGCACGGGGCATGCGTATGTATCCCTAGCGAGGAGTCCAGACTGAACGGCATCGTTTCCGCCATCAACAACTTACGAGTAAACCATGCGTTTCTGACGCCGTCCTTCATTCGCTTTATCACACCTGCTGATGTGCCAAACCTCACTCGACTGGTTTTGGCGGGAGAAGCCCTAACCCAGGCAAACATCGACACTTGGTCGTCTATCAACTTGGTCAACGGTTATGGTCCAACGGAGAGTTCAGTTGCCGCCGTGGTCAATGCAAATATAACAAAAGAAACAGCATTTCAGGACATTGGATTTCCCGTCGGCGTGAGATGTTGGGTGGTTGACCCTGAGAACCACGATGTGCTTCTTCCCATTGGCTGCACGGGTGAGCTCCTTCTGGAAGGTCCATCATTGGCGCGTTGTTACCTCAACAACCCAGAGAAAACCGCCCAATCTTTCATCTCCAATCCATCCTGGTCGCAAGAAGCTGAAATAAATATTGGTCAAAGTCGATTCTACAAGACTGGAGATTTAGTCCGATACAATTCTGATGCTGGATCGTTTGATTTTGTTGGGCGAAAGGATACCCAGGTGAAGTACCATGGACAACGAATTGAGCTGGGAGAGATCGAGTCGCATCTCATCAAATATCCAACTGTCAAGCATGGACTTGTACTGTTACCAAAGACTGGACCTGCGGCGCAGAAACTGGTCGCGATTTTCTCTTTCAGCGAAGGCGCGATTAAGGACTTCCCAGTGAATCCTTCACCTTTGAAAATGCTGGATATTTCTAATCGCGAAGAGCATATTTCCGATATCCGTGAAGCCATGTCCAGTATTTTGCCCGCATACATGATTCCATCCATATGGCTATGTATCGAGGCATTTCCCGTTCTCGCTTCTCGCAAGCTGGATCGGAAGACCGTATCCGGTTGGCTCGATACCCTGTCTGATGGGATCCTAGACTCTTTTAGACCCGTCGCCAATGACACAAACAAAAATATGGACCACGCACTGACGGATATTGAAGCTACATTGCGAGAGATATGGAGCGATGTGCTCAATATTCCCCTTTCCAAGACTAGCATACATCATAGTTTCCTCAGTCTCGGTGGTGACTCGATTACAGCCATGACCTGCATGAATCGCTGCAAACAACGAGGTATTGGGCTCACTGTGCAAGACATTCTTCGCAGCAGATCTATCCAAGAGCTCTCCAATTGCGTCAGATTGGTGGATGTCCAGAACGATTATCGAGAGGACATTGATGTTCCTTTTGATCTGTCGCCGATTCAGAAACTGCATTTTGAAGTTCGAAACGACGTTTTGGGACATTTCAACCAGAGTTTCTTCCTCCGAATCAACCATTTTGTCTCACCTGAGGATCTTCGCAATGCAATGAATGTCATAGTCAGTCGTCATTCGATGCTACGGGCTAGGTTCTTTTATGATGAACAACTGAAACAATGGAGGCAGCGTCTGAAAGGTCAGAATGAAGTGTCCTATCGCTTTAATGTTCACAAGCTGTCCTCTCGAGTGCAAGTTAAGAATGCTATTGCTGATAGTCAAGCAAGCCTCGACGCTGTGACTGGTCCTGTCGTAGCAATAGACCTGTTTCAGATGGAAGATCAAGATCGACTACTATCTCTGATTGGTCATCATTTGGTAGTTGACCTTGTTTCCTGGCGTGTGATTCTTGAAGACTTGGAGGAACTGCTTCTACATTCTCAGTCAAGCTCGCTTCTCGGCACCACACTTCCATATCAGAGCTGGAGTCGTCTCCAGTGGGAGCAGCTTTCTGATCTGAAAGAGGAGACAACCTCAAAAGCCCAAGACGTCCCGCTTTGCGATCTGTCATACTGGGGCATTAGCAATGCTGAGAATACGTACGGTCATGTCTCATGCGAAAGTTTCGAGCTTGATGCTAAAACGACCTCGATATTACTCAATGAGGCAAACTCTCCAGTCCGAACAGAGGCAGTTGACATTCTAGTTGCAGCATTGCTGTACTCATTTGCAAAGACCTTTACGGACCACGCGCTGCCAGTTATACACAATGAAGGACATGGACGCGAACCATGGGATAATTCGATTGATGTTTCTCGAACAGTTGGATGGTTCACAATCATTTATCCCATATTTGTGCAAGCTACCGCTCTTCGTGACTGGATTGATACTCTTATACAGGTGAAAGACTCTCGCAGGCGTGTCAAAGATAATGGAAGAGAGTACTTTGCTAAGAGTAGTCTCAGCGGTGAGAACATGAAGGTGTTCAAGCCAATGGAAATCACTTTCAACTACCTGGGCCGCTACCAACAACTCGAAAAGGCTGGTGCGCTCTTCAGCCCTGTGGAGGGCCTAGCTGGCGAGACAAGCCAGGGTGGTGGAGCAGCTGACTTTGCGAAGACTACGCCACGATTCGGTCTTTTTGAAATATCAGCTGTGATTGTCCAAGATGTTCTTAGGTTCACATTCTCGTTCAATGGGCATATGCGACATCAAGAAAGGATTAGGCAATGGGTTACAGACTGTCAGAATACGCTGGTTCAGATGACCAAAGATCTAGTCTCACGCCAACATCAACCGACACTCAGTGATTATCCACTCCTATCTTTGAATTACCCTGACCTGAAAGCACTCACTACTGAAAAGCTACCTGCCTTGGGTTTGGATTCCTTAGAAGACGTTGAAGATATATACCCTTGCTCCGCTATGCAGCGCGGTCTACTTTTGTCTACAACTAGAGACATATCTTTTTATGCCGTTCGAGGAACTTATGAAGTCAAAGGAGATAATGGCAGCAAGATTGACGCACATCTCCTTTCTCAAGCATGGCAACATGTGGTCGATCGACATGCAATGCTTCGTACCATTTTCGTGGAGAACATCAGCTCGGAAGATCTGTATTCTCAGGTCGTCCTTCGGAAGTATGACTGTTCAAGTCAAATTCTCAGTTGCAGCGATGAAGACAACGTCCGTGTGGTGCTTGATAATCATTCCATGCAGTCCGATAGGTGGAAACCATTACATAAATTCACCATCTGCGTTACTGAGATAGGAAAGGTCTTTTGCCGACTCGAGATGAGCCATGTCATCATGGACGGAACGTCAATTTCCATTATTCTACGGGACCTCGAAAAGGCCTATAGCGGTTGCCTTCAAAATGATCCAAAGCCACTTTTCAGTAATTTTGTTTCCTACCTGCAATCGCAGCCAAAGAATGATGCAATGGATTACTGGAAGTCCTATCTCTCTGGCATCGAGCCGTGCCACATGCCTGTGCTCAATGACGGATCATCCTCGTCGAGACAATATAGTACACTTCGTCTGGACTTCCAGAAGCTTGATCTTTTACAATCCGTTTGCGAGAAACACGGCTTGACCCTCGCAAATGCGCTTCATGGAGCATGGGCGCAAACACTTCGCTGCTACACAGGAAGTAACGATATATGCTTTGGTTATTTATTGTCGGAAAGAGATGTTCCCGTTGACATGGTCGAAGAGACAGTGGGCCCAATCATTAATATGCTTGCTTGTCGAGTTAATATGTCTTCAGAATCCATCCTTATGCGTCTTGTGGAAGGTATCCAAGCGGACTACATGGCAAGCATACCGTTCAAACATATCTCATTAGCTGATGTCCAACATGAATTGAACCTTTCTGGAACAGCTCTTTTCAACACCTGCCTCTCATATCGGAAGCTCCCGTCCACAGAGTCTGACAACATGCCATCTATACAATTCTCCCAGTGTGCAGGACTACATGATCCGACGGAGTACTTGGTCACAATCAACGTCGAAGCCTCAGATACGAATGCAGCGATCGACCTGGACTTTTGGACTGATATGCTTTCTCAAGCACAAGCCAAGAACATAGCAGACACCTTTATACAAGCGCTTGAAAACATCATCGAACAGCCAGAGACTCCGCTAGGCCAGTTGAATCACGTCCCTGCAAGCAATTGGCAGCAAATTGCAGAATGGAACAAGGATATGCCAGAAACGATTGAAATGTGTATTCACGAGGTGTTCGACGAGCAAGTGAGATTGAATCCCGAAGCGCCTGCAATCTGCTCCTGGGATGGTGAATTCACGTACTCCCAAGTCGATTCCCTTTCCACCCGCTTGTCATACTATCTCACCAACTTCGGTGTCATGCCTGAATCGTTCGTGGCATTGTGTTTTGATAAATCAGCCTACACAATTATCGCTATGATCGCTGTTTTAAAAGCAGGCGGAGCTTGTGTGCCGTTGGATGCTGGACATCCGAAAGCTGCCTTGGAATTGCGAGTGCTCGAGACAGGTGCCCAGGTTGTTCTTTCTTCTCCTTCTCGTACTCATCTTCTCGACGATGTCGTTCCTTATGCTATCCCGGTTGATGAAACGCTTTTTACTCAACTTGAGGAAATCGATCCATTCGTTATCAACAAACCCGCCCCTGAAAATTCTGCTTTTGTCATCTTCACTTCTGGAAGCACTGGGAAGCCGAAAGGCGTTGTTCTTGAACATCGAAGCTTGGTTACAAGTGCTGCGGCCCATGGCGCAGCTCTAGGAGTGGATCAGTCAACAAGGTTTCTTCAGTTCGCTTCTTACTCGTTCGACAACAGTCTCGAAGAGATATTCACAACTCTCATGAGAGGTGGTTGTGTTTGTGTTCCGTCAGAAGAGGATAGAATGAACAACCTGGCCAAGGCCATGAATGACCTGGATGTCAACTTCAGTGACATGACAGCTACAGTCGCAGCTTTTCTAAATCCTTCAGATGTTCCGAAACTGAAAGGTCTCGCTATTGGAGGAGAAGCTCCCACCAAAGAGATAAAAGACACATGGTGTAGTGTCCTGCGACTTCAAAACATTTATGGACCCACAGAATGCTCCATTAATTGCTGTCATAACCCAAACGTTGGACAGTCCAGTGATGTTACAAATATCGGCCGTGCTGTTGGTGGTGTCTCTTGGGTCGTTGATGCAAATGACCACAACAACTTGGTGCCAATTGGGTGTGTTGGAGAACTGCTCATAGAAGGACCTATCCTTGCTCGACACTATCTTCATAACCCAGAGAAGACTCAACAGAGCTTCATTGAGGACCCTTCCTTCATGGTGTCACTAGCTGATAAGATCGGTGATGCAGAAGTGTTCTCGCCTACGGGACATAGGATGTACAAAACGGGTGACTTGGTTCGATACAACTCTGACGGAACCCTGGTTTACCTTGGAAGAAAGGATACACAAGTCAAATTGAATGGCCAGAGAATCGAACTAGGTGAGATTGAACACCGGATTCAGAGCACTTTGCCTTCAGATGGCCAATGCTCGGTTGACCTCATCGTTCGTCGCAATGGGGACGTCGCAACAAAGGCTTTGGTAGTTTTCGTTTGTCTTGAAAGTGATAACAAGAAACCAACGCAGAGTGATGCGGACTTTATCCTTCCAATGACACCGTCTTTCCAGCTCATAGCTATGGATATAAAGTCCGCTCTCGCTTCCCAATTGCAGAGTTATATGGTTCCAAATGTCTATATACCGGTGTCCTTCTTCCCGATGACATCGTCCGGTAAGCTCAACAGGCGACAGCTTCGCACGACAGCGGAAGAGCTACTGTCACATGATGTATCATCCTACCGTCTAGGCGGAAGAAGTGGCCGAGAGCCCTCGACACACAACGAAAAAGTTCTCCAGAACTTATGGTCCACGCTTTTGTCCGTGGATGCTTCCCACATCAGCGCGGATGATACATTCTTCCGGCACGGAGGGGATTCTATATCGGCAATGAGACTCATCACGGCCGCAAGAAAGCAAGGCTACTCAATTAGCGTTGCAGATATTTTTCAGACGCCTAGGCTCTCTGAAATCGCACAGAAATTGGTATCGGTATCCACGTCTAGCGCCAATGAGACTGACGTGAAGATTTCTACGTTTTCTCTGCTCGATGGGAATGTTTCTGCTACAGGAATCAAGCGGGAAATCTCCACGACTTGTCAGATTTCCCCTGACCAGATCGAGGATGTACTACCATGCAGTGCAATTCAAGAAGGTTTGATCGTAATATCAAATTCTCAGCCAGGATCATACGTCACGCAGAATACCTACGAACTACCTGATTCTGTAGATATCCAACGGTTCAAAGCAGCTTGGCAGAAGCTATATCAGAGTGAGAGCATACTGAGGACTCGAATTATTCATACCAAGTCAAACGGATTTCTTCAGGTTGTTGTACGAGAAGAACTAGAATGGGGCTCCACTCTACCTCTTCCTCGTTCAGTCCCAGGTGCCAATGGGGGACGCTTGTCTCGGTACACCATCGCCAAAGATTCAACAGGCAGGCCACACTTCGTATGGACAGCTCATCATGCCATTTACGACGGTTGGAGTATTCCAAAGCTCTTGAGCAAACTCCAAAGGTACTATGAACACACTAATATGGCCATTGAACATGGTCCTTGCTCGTATTCGCACTTCATCAAGTACGTGTCCAATATACAGGCAGCTGAGTTGAAGGATTTTTGGGTTCAGCACCTCAACGGGTTCACTGCGGTGCAATTCCCGGCATTGCCGAATGCATCCTACAAGTCGAATCCCAAAACTCGACAAACCCTGAAATTCAATTTGCCGGAACACCGACCTACGGAAGTCACTCTGCCATCCCTGATCCGAGCAGCATGGGCTCTTACGGTTTCGATGTATTCGTATTCTGAGGATATTGTCTTCGGCGAGATTATGACAGGGCGTGATATTCCCGTTCCTGGAATTGATGATATGATCGGTCCTGCATTGTCAATAGTGCCCATGAGACTGCAAATAGATTCCGATCTTTCTGTTATCCGATTCTTGCAGCAAATGCAGGCCCAGACTGCTTCCATCATCCCATACCAGTCCGCTGGCTTGCAAAATATTCAAGGATTCAGTCAAGATGCTAAGTCGGCTTGTGAGTTTCGGACTCTTTTCTCCATTGCTCACGGAGAGAGTGATGACGTGGAAGGGGTTATGAGATTTTTGAGTGCCAATACTGGTGACGCAAACTTCTTCACATATCCATTAAACGTGTCATGCTTTATGTGGGAATCGGATCTGGAAGTGCAGATCCAGTTTGACAATCACATCATTCCACTCACTCAACTGAAGAGAGTCATGGGGCAGTTTGAGGCTACTCTGCACAAATTATGTATCGCAATGGCAGAGGAGAAGTTAAGCAGTATCGAAGTCATAGGCAACAGTGACATATCTCAAATCCAGAAATGGAACAATGAATTGAGCTTGACACGAGTTCATCGGTGTATCCACGATGTGATTGATGACAACATCAAATCGCGTCCAGATGCTTTAGCCATCGACTCCTGGGACGGAACATTCACTTATGCACAACTCGGTCATTATGCCACAGCTCTAGCAAACCACTTGAGGGTCCTTATAGGTAACGACAAGGAGCAGTTCATACCGATTTGCTTCGAGAAGTCAGCTTTTGCCGCTCTTTCAATGCTGGCCGTTATGAAAGCTGGTTATGCATTTGTTCCCATTGACCCTCAACATCCCAAAGCCCGGCGCCAGGAAATCGTTTCGGATATTGATGCAAAAGTCATACTTTGCTCTCCACGATATGTTGGGTCATGTCAAGAGGTGGTCGATCGAGCCCTTGCTGTTGATTTGGACCTGCTTGTATCGCTTCCAGAAGCAAGCACTTCACTTGGTAAATATGATGCTAAGACTGCAGCGTATGTTATCTTCACATCTGGAAGTACTGGAAAGCCAAAAGGCTGTATCAGTAAGTATTTTCGGTATACATGAGGTAGAAGTCTTAATCAGAAGTTTCTGACGATTATTTAGTTGAGCATGCTGGCTTCTGCTCTGGAGCTGTTAAGAATGGTCCTGCATTCTCCTTTTCGCCAACTTCACGAGTCCTTCAATTTGCGTCGTACACATTTGATGCTAGTCTTCTCGAGATCTTGACCGTTTTGGTCATCGGAGGATGCACATGTGTCCCTCACGATAGCACTCGTCTCAATGGCATTGCCAAGTTCATTAACGAAAAGAATGTCAATACCGCTCTTCTCACACCAAGTATGGCACAAACTATCAAACCGTCCGAAGTCCCGTGCCTTGAGAACCTAGCGCTTGTTGGTGAGGCAATGACACCCAACCACCTTGCTATCTGGGCAAATGAAGTTCGGCTGATTAACGGATATGGGCCTACTGAGACATCAATTGTTGCTGCTGCAAAACCATGTATGACTCTGGATACCGATTCATCCAACATCGGTTTACCGGTCGGCAATGCATGGATTGTAGATCCACGAAATCACGATAGATTGATGCCAATCGGTGCCATCGGTGAACTGCTGATTGAAGGCCCAACGTTGGCGAGAGGCTACCTCAACAACGAGCAGAAAACACAGGAAGTCTTCATCACAAACCCAGCATGGGGTGTCATCTCCGGCAATTCGCAACGGAGAATGTACAAGACTGGTGATCTAGTCAGATACGCACCTGACGACTCTGGAGAACTACTTTACGTCGGAAGAAAAGATAGTCAGGCGAAGCTTCATGGCCAGCGACTCGAGCTCGGAGAGATTGAGCACCACCTTAATGGCGACAATGATGTCTTGAATGCTATTGCCCTTCTTCCAAAGATGGGTAGATGCTCTAAGAAACTTGTGTCTGTACTATCTCTACGCAACTTCCAAGGGGGAGCTTTCGACGATAGCGAACTGCACATAGTCACAGATAAATCAGCGTTTGAAAAGCTTCGTCTCGTTCAGGATAGACTACGTGAAAAGGTCCCTGCTTATATGACCCCTTCCACCTGGGTTGTTTTGCAGCAAATGCCCCTACTACCTTCTGGGAAATTGAACAGGAAGTTAATTGATCAATCTATTGAGAACATTGATGATGCAACCTACGAAAGGATTACTTCTGCAGAGCAAACGAGCTCAACAGACAAGGTTGTGGTTATCACACAGACAGAGGCAACTTTAAGAAACATATGGGCGTCTGTTCTGAATCTTTCCCCTGAGAGCATCAGTTTGGATCGTTCATTTTTGCATCTGGTGAGTCTATTATACGGTACTCAACTCCTATCGAATAATACGCATACTAATCGTCAAAACAATCACAGGGTGGTGATAGTATGTCAGCGATGGCAGTAATGTCAAGGTGCCGAGGCCAGAATCTGGGTTTGACGGTAGAGAATATCATCACTTGCAAATCGATTCGCCATCTTGCTTCTCTGGTTACCTTACCGCAGAAAGCTGAACAAAACGAGGAAAATTATCATGAGTTCGATCTTTCGCCCATTCAAATCCTCTATTTCCAATGCATGAATGGTAAAACCACCCATTTCAATCAAAGTATCATGATCGATATCAGCGACTCTGTCTCCGAAGATCAAGTCAAAGGCGCAGTTTCGAAGCTAGTATCTGTGCACTCAATGCTCCGAGCTCGATTTTCTCGAGACAGAAACGGTATATGGAAGCAGCGTATCTTACAGGACACTCAATCCTCTTATGGTTTCCGTACCGTCGAACATTTTGATTCGGATGAACTCTCCGAAGAAGTCGAGGAGACACAGAAATCGCTGGATGTGACACAGGGACCTGTTATGGCAATTACGCTCTTCCAAGACCCTATAGAAGGATCGAAGCTTTTTATATGCGCCCATCATCTGGTTGTTGATGTGATTTCATGGGGTATCATTGTACGAGATCTGGAAGATTTGCTTCAAGGCCGTGCTATTGCGGGTGACCAGGGTATTTCCTTCCAAAAGTGGTGCAGATTACAGTTGGACTACGTCAAGGAAAAGAAAAATGCCAGCCTTCTTCCACTGGATGATATTCCAGCTGCAGATATGGAGTTTTGGGGCATGAAAGACACACCAAACACTTATGGAGAGGTCGTGATGGAGGAAATCGAATTGAACTCAACCATCACCAATGAATTATTGAAGATGATCAACGGTCCGCTCAACTGTGATGTCGTTGACATCTTACTGGCTGCATTACTAATATCTTTCCGTCGTGTATTTTCCAGTCGCAAGTCTATGCCATGCATCTACAACGAGGGGCATGGACGTGAGCCCTGGGACCCTAGCATTGATCTCTCCAACACAGTAGGATGGTTCACCACAATGAGCCCCGTCCATCTACCAGCAGACTTCAGCAATGCAGATGAGAATGACCTCCACAAGTGCATCAGCTGGGTTAAAGCACTCCGACGAAGAACCCCTGGAAAAGGAATGCCATACTTCGCTCAGCGATTACTGACATGGGAGGGCCGCGAACGATATCAACACCACTGGCCAATGGAAATGGCCTTTAATTATCTCGGTCAGCACAAAAAGGTCAAGGAGACAAAGAATCTTCTGCAGCTCGCCAACGGCACAGGGCAGTCAGTTAATTCGGTATCCGATATTGGTCCTGATTTTCCTCGCTTCTCATTGATCGAGATCTCTGCTGCTATAGTTAATGGAAGTCTGAAGATTTCTGTTTCGTACAACAAGGCCATGAAGAGGCAGGGCAGCATACGTCAATGGATTGGCGATTGCAGAGATCTAATCTGCCGGGCTCTAAGGAATTCCCAGGCGACGAAGACATTACCCAGCTTGGCCGACTTCCCTCTCCTCCCTCTCTCGTACAATACTATCAATAAGGTCACGAGAAGCTTACAAAACGCTGGCATTACATCTTTTGACAATATTGAAGATATCTATCCTTGTTCATCAATGCAACACGGAATACTGCTCAGCCAACTAAAAGACCCCAATACATATGCCTACCGCGCTATCTTCGAGGTTGACCTACCCTCTTTGCAAGGAAGGCTAGATGTTCAAAGACTAGCCGAGGCATGGCAGAGCGTTGTTGATCGCCACATGTCTCTCAGGACAACCTTCATTGATGGTAATCACGAAGCATCGCTTATGGACCAGGTGGTCTTCAAGACTTATCCCGCCAGAATTGACGTTCTCAAAGAAGCCGATGGCAATGCTAGACAGTTGCTTGCAGGGCTCTCAGATATAAACTTCAAGAACGGAAATCAACTTCACCGTCTCTCTATCTGTCCCGAGAAGACTGGACGAGTGTTCTGTCGCTTTGATATCAGCAATGCTATTGCGGATGGAACCTCCATGCCAATTATTTTCCGTGATCTCTCGCGAGCTTATATGGGACTTGCACCAGTCACTGAAAGAAAACCACAGTACAGTGACTTTGTTGGTCACTTGCTATGCAAGCCCAGGGAAAAAAGCGTGGCTTACTGGAAAAAGTATCTCTCAGGAAGCGAACCGTGTCTGTTCCCATCGCTTGTGAACGACCAGAAGAAAGATAAGTCTCTTGGTTCTGAAATCATCACCTTGAAGAACAACACAGCCATACGTGAACTTTGTAAGGGCATGGGAATCACAATGTCTGCAATCTTTCAGTTCGTGTGGGCTATGGTTCTGAGGACCTATACTGGCTCTGATGAGGTATGCTTCGGTTATATCAGCTCGGGTCGTGATGTCCCAGTTCAGGATATTGAAGATGCTGTTGGAGCTTTTATCAACATGCTCATCTACAAGATTCATCTGACGGATACTCTACCATTGGCAAAGGCGTTGAAAAAGACTCAACGAGACTTTATCAAGAGCATGGAACACCAAGCCGTGTCACTTGCAGAAGTGCAACATGCCCTCGGTCTAGCAGACACTCCTTTATTCAACACAGCATTCACTTTCCAGAGACGCAGTGGTCTCGATGTGGACTCTACACCTTCACTATCATTCAAGTCATTCGACTCCTATGACCCCAGCGAGTATAAAATAGCGGTTAATATTGAGATGATGGAGTCTGTGACTGAAGTTCATTTTAGTTACTGGCAGAACTACTTATCCAGTGCTCAAGCCAAGAACATAGCCGACACATTCGAACATATCATAAATGATATCACGAAATCCACCGAGCATGAACGAACTATTGGTGCCATTAGCACTGTTGGATCACTCAGTTGCCAGAATATGTGCCAATGGAACAGCATCCCCCCTGAGAAGGTGAATCGCTGTGTGCATGAAATGATCGAAGATCAGGTACGAGTTCTGCCAGTTATGGCTCAAGCGGTTGAGGCTTGGGATGCAAAGTTCACTTACGGAGAACTCGACTCTCTTGCCAACCGTCTTGCAACTGTCCTTGTCAGCCATGATGTTGGCCCCGAGGTTATTGTTCCTCTGTGTTTTGAAAAATCTGCATGGGCAATTGTCGCACAAATCGCTGTTCTCAAGGCAGGAGGTGCTTTTGTATCTCTCGATCCTTCACACCCCGAGGACAGACTGAAGAGCTTGGTTGAAGATGTTAATGGCTGTGTCGTGCTATCTTCAGCTCAGCAATTCGCCAAAATCTCCAAAATAGTTCCCAACACTATCATGGTGAATGATAGGTCTTTGGCTCAATTACCGAAAGCTACTCAACCAACACGGACTTCAGTCAGCCCAACAGATATTGCATATGTCATTTTCACTTCAGGGTCGACGGGCAAGCCTAAAGGAACGGTCATCGAGCATGGTCAATTCTGTACAGGTGCTTTGGCTCATGGCAAGGCCCTTCATATAAACTCTGAGACTAGATCATATCAGTTTGCCAACTACACTTTTGATGCCTCCATCTTGGACATACTAACTGTCCTCATTTTGGGTGGCTGCGTTTGCGTGCCTAGTGCCGAGGACCGTATGAACGATGTCGCTGGCAGTATTACTCGTCTACGTGCCAATTGGATGTGCATCACACCTTCCGTGGCTAGTACACTAAAACCAGAGAGTATTCCGACAATGAAGGTCATTGCTATGGGCGGTGAGAAGATGACCCCTGGCGCAATCGAGAAATGGTCGAAATCAGTTTGCCTCGTGGAAGCATACGGCCCCAGCGAGTGTTCAGTAGTGTGTGCTGCTGGAAGCAAGGTTGACAAGTCAGGTCAAATTGTCAATTTTGATCCTGCTATTATCGGTAAAGCTGTTGGTAGTCGATCTTGGGTTGTCGACCAACGCAACTACAACCGCCTCGTCCCAGTCGGCGCCATCGGCGAACTGGTAATTGAAGGCCATATCGTTGGTCGCGGATATTTGAACAATGAGAAAAAGACAAAGGAGGCCTTCATACAAGATCCAGCCTGGGCAGCGGATGACCAACTTAGAGCTCTTATTGCTCCTGGTACAAGAATGTATCGGACTGGTGACCTTGTTCGGTACAATGACGACGGCACGCTTACCTATATGGCAAGGATAGATATGCAAATCAAGCTCAACGGACAACGTATCGAGCTGGGTGAGATCGAATACCAATGCACCCAACATATGCCGGAAAATGTCCAGTTAGCGGTTGACTTGGTTGCGCCTGGTTCACATCCTGGACCAAAGAAACTTGCAATGTTCTTCAGCCTACGCGGTAAGGCTCAGGATCCGGCTTCAGGTAATGAGAAGATTCTCCTCGAGATGGATTCTGTGGCCCGCAGTGTCATTGAGTCTCTCGAGAAATCGGTTGCGAAAGTCCTCCCGTCATACATGATACCGCAGCTTTTCTTCCCTGTATCTGTCATACCCTTCACCAATTCAGGCAAACTTGACCGCCGGAAGCTGTTTGGTGAAATTAAAGATCTTTCCAGAGACGACCTCAAAAAATACTCCCTTTCAACTTCAGTCAAGAGGAAACCCCCAACAGATGAGCGACAAATCACCCTTCAGGGATTATGGGAGGAAGTCCTTGCCGTTCCAAAACACGCAATTGGAAGCGACGATAGTTTCTTTAGACTTGGCGGCGATTCTCTTGCTGCGATGAAACTTGTAGGTCTCGCCAGGTCGAGAGGCATTTCCTTGAGCGTGGTGGATATTTTCCGTCATCCTACCCTTGAGGAGATGTCCAATAAGTATCTACTGGCAGAAGCTGCTTCCAGCGTTTCAATCCCGCCTTTCAGTCTGTTACGGAACTCCGTTGGCAAAGATGAGATTATTGTTGAGATTGCAAATCAGTGCAATGTCGAAAAGGAGTCGATTGCTGATATCTATCCATGCAGTGCCCTTCAGGAAGGGTTGATCACATCGTCAGTTCAACAACAAGGGGCATATATTTCACGCAACATTCTGCGACTTGGCCCTGATGTTGATGTTGAGCGCTTCAAGGTTGCTTGGCAGCAATTGGTAGACGAATTTGATATCTTGCGAACTCGCATACCTCACACTGCCTCATCTGGCTTCTTGGAAGTTGTTCTGAAGCAGGAGCAGATCTCCTGGTATTACTATGATAACTTGGAGAGCACACTTGGTGATGCCTCAAAATTGTTCAACTCTCAAAGTGGCGTCCTGACTCGGTATATCTTGGTTCAAGAAAAGAATACTTCTGCTACCTATTTTGTATGGTTGATTCACCACGCTCTTTACGATGCCTGGGGACTGAATATTCTTCTCAAGAGGGTGCAGGAAATATATTACAACAACAGCGAGTCGACTCCAAAGATCTCTTACTCGTCTTTTATTTCCTACCTTGAGAGACAGAACCTGCAAGAGTCAGGTAACTTCTGGAAATCTTACCTGGCAAACCCCTCACCGACACATTTCCCTCCACTTGCCAACCAGATAGAGTCTCTTGGCGAGAATACCACGTCGAAGACCTTGACTCAAATGGTGGACATTCCACAACGATTCCTGAGTCTCGGTATCACTGTACCAATATTGATAAGAGCAGCCTGGGCACTTGTCCTGTCAAATCGTACACAGTCGACTGATGTTTGCTTCGGAGAGACCTTATCCGGTAGGAATATCGATGTCCCCGGTATCGCTGAACTCGCCGGCCCAGTACTGACCACAGTGCCTACTTATGTTCATGTCGATGCAAAATCCAAGATCAAGGATTATCTACTGGAGATCCAGAAGATATCCACAGAAATGATCTCACATCAGCACTTTGGCCTACAGCATATCAAGAAGCTGGGACAGGAGCAGGCTGCCGCTTGCCAATTTAGAAACTTGATCGTTGTTCAGACTGCTGATTCCGCTGATACTAACAAGTTGTGGGAAGTACAAGACAATGGGGACATTGGGAGCTTCTTCACTTATCCTCTTGTTGTGGAGTGCAAAACTGGTGAGGCCAGTATCGAGGTCAATTTCCACTACGATGAGAAAGTAATCACTCGATGGGAACTTGAGAGGATATCTTTCCAGTTGTCACATGTCCTACAGCAGCTTGGTTCCGTCAATAGTTCATCTACTGATCTGCTGGCAACTGTCGGCATGTTGAGTCCTGAGGACAAAAAGGAGATCAAATGGTTGATTAAGCGTAACCCCCAAGTCCTCGATACGTGCATCCATGATCTTTTTGCAGCGCAATGCCGAGCACAGGCAGATGCTCAAGCTGTCCATGCGTGGGATGGAGATCTTACATATGCTGACTTGAACAAGTACGCATCAAGCTTTGCAGCATATTTGAAGTCTCTCGGCGTCCAGCCTGAAGTCTTGGTTCCGTTGTGTTTGGATAAATCCGCGTGGACTATAGTTTCAATGTACGCCGTGCTGATGGCTGGAGGAGCAATTGTTCCTCTAGACCCTTCGCACCCTCTCGATAGACATAGGGAGATTGTCCAACAGACGGGTACGGATGTTTTATTGTATTCGTCAAAATACGAATCCAAATATGCAGGTATCGTCAAGCACGCTATTTCTATTGATGCGAACACAATAAGGAACATTCCCTCAAGACCCTTTGGACAAGAACGACTTTCCAGCGTGAAAGGTTCTAACGCTGCATACGTGATTTTCACATCTGGCAGCACAGGGAAACCGAAGGGCATCATTATTGAACACCGGGCATTCAACACAAGCTCTGTAGCCTTTGGCAGAGCCTTGGACATGAATAGCACAACTCGAGCTCTGCAATTTGCGTCTCTCAGTTTTGACGCTGCCATTATGGAGATATTCACCACTCTCACGGTTGGAGGTTGTGTCTGCGTCCCCAGTGAAGATGAACGTTTGCAAGACATTTCCGGAACTATCTGTCGAATGAACGTCACCTGGACCCTGCTTACATCTTCCGTCGCAAATTTGATTGATCCGGCATCTGTTCCATCGCTCAAGGTTCTTGTTTGTGGTGGCGAAGCGATGAGTCCCGAAGTCATTGCCAAGTGGTCTGACAAGGTGCATTTGATCAACGCTTACGGGCCATCTGAGGCTTCCGTTGTAGCGGTAGTCAATCCAGACGTAACAAAAGACGCGCCAAACAATATTGGTTATGGTATACAACCTACCACTACATGGATCGTCAATCCCGATGATCGCAATCAATTGACTCCTATGGGTTCTGTAGGTGAATTGGCCCTAGGTGGACCTACTCTTTCACGTGGATACCTAGGTGACACTATCAAGACGATGGCTGCTTTTATTGAGAATCCATCCTGGGCCAAAGAATTTGCAGCTGAGATTCCTGCGTATCAACGCATTCACTTGACAGGTGATTTGGTCAAATACCGGCATGACGGCTCTATAGACTTTATTGGCCGAAAAGACAATCAAGTAAAATTCAACGGTCAGAGAATGGAACTGGGAGAAATTGAGCACCGCCTGGAAACCGATTCTCATGTTCGTCATGTCATTGTCTCCGTTCCTCAGTCAGGACCTCTCCGGAAGCGACTTGTTGCAATTCTTTCTTTGAAAAATACGGCAGCTGGTCAGTCAGTTGTGACTTCGAAAACATGTCAACTTATCGAAAGAAGTGAGGAATTATCGCGAATCAAGAACAATCTAGCCTCACAGTTGCCATCCTACATGGTTCCACAGGCTTGGGCCGTCGTCAACGCGATACCCATGTTGGTATCTGGAAAGCTAGACAGGAAACTTGTCAAGAGCTGGATCGAGAATATCTCAGACGAGGTCTATCAGAAGGTGGTCGGTGCGGATGAAGTCGATACTGCCCCAGAAGACATGACCGGAGTTGTTTCAACCCTGAGAGAAATATGGGCACAGGTATTGAATCAACCTGTTGACAAGGTCAAGCCGAATCAGTCATTCCTAAACTTAGGTATACTTCCCTTATTTTGTCATAGTTTTTCGGCCTCTCCATTCAAGTTATTAACATAATACATTCAGGTGGTGACAGCATCACAGCAATGGCTGTTGTTTCGAGAAGCAGGAAGCATAACATCAAAGTCACTCTTCACGACATACTGCGTTCGCCTTCGCTGATCAAACTAGCCGAAACGGTGGAATCTAGCACTGTGGACATGCCAGACCATGTGGAAGTGTTGGACCAGAACTTTGGACTCTCTCCTATTCAGCAAATGTACTTCCTTGCTGCAAAAGGGCATCAAGGTAGCAGTCGATTCAATCAGAGCTTTACTCTTCGCTTGTCACGGTATATTAGTTCCGATGCTATGCGCTCAGCACTTCGGGCGATTGTTTCTGGTCACTCAATGCTTCGGGCACGGTTCAAATTAAACGCTACTGGAGAGTGGGAGCAACAAGTTTCAAGTGTAAGGCACCTTAACAATGGCGAAGGAAATAGAAATCTAACAGGATCTTAGGACATCAAATCTTCTTTTCGGTTCCGATACCACAATATAGAGTCACTGAGCGAAGCCATCAGGATGATAGGAGACAGCCAAAGAGACATCAATATCTACGATGGCCCAATAATAGTTGCAGACATGTTCGAAAAATCTAGCGATGAGCAGTACTTGTTCCTTGCTGCTCACCATCTGGTTGTTGATGTGGTCTCGTGGCGAATCATTACGCAGGATCTCGAAGACATTCTCGAGACTGGCTCTCTTCAGGTGGACAAAGCCCTTTCGTTCCAATCATGGTGTAAACTACAGTCGGAGCATGTCAAGCGAAGCGCTGCTGAGTACAAATTACCCTTCAAGGTGTTACCTACGAATCTTGGCTATTGGGGAGTGGAAAATGTTTCAAACACTTATGGTAATGTAAAACGACATACCTTTACTCTGGATGAAGGAATGACGACCTCTACTATGACCGCTTGCCATGAAGTCTTTGGCACTGAACCGGTAGATATTCTCCTGGCGGCCATCATTCACTCTTTTAGACTTGTTTTCACGGACAGATACCTGCCGACAGTCTTTAATGAAGGCCATGGAAGAGAGACGTGGGATTCAAAGATTGATCTCTCTCGTACTGTTGGATGGTTTACGAACATCTCGCCATTGCAGGTAGTGCTTGAGTCAGGTATGTTCGACCATTAAACGAAATGATTACTTATACTGATGTGGAATAGATGATGTACTCGATACTCTGAAAACGGTGAAGGATACCAGACGTATTTCTCAAGGAGCTGGAAACTCTTACCTGGCGCAACGTTTCTTCACTCCAAAAGATCGGCCTCTTTTATCTCACTCCGACGTACCAATGGAGATTCTTTTCAACTATCTTGGATCAATGCAACAGTTAGAACGTGACGACTCGATACTTCAAAACGCGGATATGGGATTGGAAAAGGCCAATCCTCTGGACGTTGGCGATATGGGACCCGAGACGACTCGGTTGGCGCTCTTCGAAATATCCGCCGCCGTTGTTCAACATCGTCTAGAATTCGCATTTATGTTCGGTGACCGCATGAAACGACACAGTGAAATCAATCGTTGGATTTCCGAATGCAAGTGGATTCTAGAGGAAATCGTTGTTCGACTGAGACGATGCACTCCTGAACCCACATTGAGCGATTATCCGTTACTTCCAATCAACTACGACGGACTCAAACGTTTGCTCAAAAACTCATTTCCACAAGCAGGTATCTCTCATTATAGGGAGGTGGAAGAAGTCTACCCCTGTTCCCCTGCACAAGAGGGCATGCTTCTCAGCCAGTTGCGTGACCCGAAGACATATTTGTTTCATGTTGTCTTTGAGGTGACAGGCTCAAATTCGCAAAGACCTGTTGACCCTATGAGGCTGATCGCCGCGTGGCAAAAGGTTGTTGACAGACATGCCGCATTACGCACAGTGTTTGTCAATAGCACTTACAAAGGAGGTTCCTTCGACCAAGCAGTTTTGAAGAATGTTGATGAGGATGTTATTCATATTGAGTGCGACGATTCTGCTATCATCAGCCAGCTCCAGTCAATCAGTCTATACGACAGGAACGTCAAACGGAAGCAGAAGATACCTCATCAACTAACCGTCTGCGTGACTCCCTCCGGAAGAGTGGTCATGAAAATTGAAGTCAATCATGCTGTTATCGATGGAGGCTCAACCCCTATTTTAATACGCGATCTCCAGCTCGCTTATGACGGACAACTTCCAGAAGGTCGTGGCCCCCTTTACTCTGACTACATTCGATTTGTGAAAAGCCGTTCACCAAAAGATGATATTGTCTACTGGAAACGATACTTGACTGGAATCCAAGCATGCTATTTCCCACGTCTGAAGTCTACATTCAGTAGCCAACGTCGTCTTGCTTCTCTACAGTTCAACTTCGACCATTGGCAAGATGTACAACGCTATTGCGAGAGAACAGGCGTGACGTTAGCGAACGTCATCCAAGCAGCATGGGCTCTGGTTCTTCGAAAATATACCAATTCTGATGATGTCTGCTTCGGCTATCTATCAGCTGGACGTGATGCACCGGTCAACAGAATACAAGAAACAATTGGTGTTTTTATCAACATGCTCTGCTGTCGAGTTCGCCTTTCTCCATCTCAGCTACTAGCGGAAATTCCAAGTCTCATTCAGGATGACTTCGTGCGAGCAATTCCTCATCAACGCTGTTCTTTGGCACAGGTACAGCACGAATTAGGGTTGCAAGGAAAGCAGATTTTCAACACAGCCTTGTCAATTCAGAATCATTCCTCATCTGATACTTCAGATGAGGGTTCTCTTATGTTTACACCCCAGGAGGCACACGACCCAAGCGAGGTAAGATCTTCTACTCCAATAATTTAGTTCTTGATGATCTTCTAACATTAATAGTATGCTGTCACTCTTAATATCGAGACCGGCAGGAATCAAGAAGGTATTGTCTTCCGTTACTGGACAGATATGCTCTCGAGCGATCATGCTTCAGATATTTCAAAGACCCTAGCCAACATCCTCCACTCCTTTGCTCGAGAACCGACAGAAACTATATCTCGACTTGACAAATGCAAGTCTGTTGAAATTGCCGAGACGAAGGCCGTAAACGTCGGACAGACGCCTGCTCAGCGAGAAGATAAACTGCACGACCTTCTGGAGAAGTATCCTAGTCTCCAGAATCTCATTGACGAGAGAGTTCGCATGATTGTACAACAAATGTTCAATTTGAGTCAACCAGGATCATTGAGACGGCATTTATCTAACGCTACGGAGCACGACGTCTTAGTGGCCCCTCATTCGGAATCCGATGCCATCTCAAGCATCTCCGACGATGTTTATAGGGAGGACATTGGCGAATCAGCAATTCCAGTTGCTGCTCATATCCATGAACGGGGAATGAAGGCCGATATAGAGGAAAAGCTTCTACGTCTCTGGAGTGACAAGCTTGGATTGCCTCTGGATTCCATAACCAGAGATGATAGCTTCTTTGACTTGGGAGGAGACAGTATTACGGCCATGGGGCTCGTTGGTGATGCGCGCGACGAAGGACTAATTTTGACAGTTGCAGATGTTTTCAGAAACCCCATATTCAAGGATATGGCAACTATGGCTCAAACCGCGAGTGAAAAGAGCTATGTCGAAGACGAGATTAACAACATGAATATGATGGGACAGCAGTCAGCTTTTACATCTGCCAAACCTGGTTTCTACGAAAGGTTTGCTCTCATCAAAGCCGCCAATATTGACGAAGCATTCTTACAGAAATACATTTGCCCTCGTGTGGGAGTGTTCAAAGGTGGTATAGTTGATATTCTTCCCGTCACAGACTTCCAGGCTCTGTCAATTACGGGTGCTCTTCTAGATTCGCGCTGGATGTTGAATTTCTTCTGCCTCGACGGTCGCGGTCCCCTTGATTTCCGACGACTAAAACAAAGCTGTTTCCGCGTGGTGCACGCTTTTGATATTCTGCGAACGGTCTTTGTTGCTTCCAAGGGACGATTTTTGCAGGTCATACTCCGTAAAGTTCGACCGGAGTTTTCTGTATACGAGACTGATGAAAGCCTCGATGAGTTTACCTCTGTCTTACAACAGCGAGACATCACCGAAGGAGTTAAACAGGGTGAGCCATTTGTACAGTTTGTGATTGTGCGGGAGAAGAATACGGACAGACATCGCATTATCCTTCGACTTTCTCACGCGCAGTACGATGGTGTGTCGCTTCCTAGAATACTGTCTGCCATCAAAGCAGGCTATGAAGGTGGACCCATTCCTTCACCAGCATCTTTTGCCAACTTTGTGCGTGAGTCGGCAAGAATCGTGACGACAGATCATTATCAACATTGGAGGAATTTGTTGAATGGATCAAGGATGACGGAGATTGTTAATCGACATGAGAACCTCGGATACAGGAGACTTCGGGCCAGCAATGAAGGTTTACGAAAGACTATAAGGGTTCCGTCCATGGCTCATGGAAACATCACTACCGCGACAGTCATCAAAGCTGCTTGGGCATTGACTCTAGCACGAATTACGGGAAGTGCAGACATTGTTTTCGGACATACAATCAGCGGCCGAAACACCGCAGCTATCACAGGCGTTGAATCTATGGTTGGACCATGCATGAATATCGTTCCGGTCCGGGTTCTGTTTGCCGAGAAATGGACAGTACTTGATCTTCTCCGATACATTCAAGATCAGCAAGTCGCCAACATGCCATATGAAGCACTTGGATTCAGACAAATCATCCACAAATGCACTGACTGGCCTCGCTCAACTAATTTTAGTACAGTGTTGCAGCATGATGCTGCCAACTCGTCAAATGAGATTCAACTCGGAGAAAACATTTACACTGTCAAGGCTGTCGGTAGCGACGAAGAAATGTCTGATTTCTCAGTCAATTCGAAATCGTTGGACCGGGATCGTGTCGAGATTATTCTTTCGTTCTCTGTGGATGAACATGTCACTATGCCACTTGCTCAAAGAGTCTTGGATATGCTCTGCGATACTGCAGAGAGTTTTACTGCAAATCCTGATATGGCACTTCCATCGCCTACTTCTCTTTGTGCACTTCCAATTCGAGATGCGAAGTCTGACAGCCAGCTGCCTCAAGGGGACATTAAGAAACAAGTGGAAGACAACTCACTCCAATCCTCCCAACTAGCCAACCTCACTCGAGCCGAAATTCTGGTCCTATCAGACGTTCTCCGGCGAGCATGGGAGCAAGTCCTCAGCGATACCAACCAAGCCAATGAAAAAGACACCAGCAACGTCCCACCACCTCTCAAACCAGACTCATCCTTCTTCGATCTCGGCGGCGACCTCATCGGGCTCGCGCAAGTAGCTTGGCTCCTCGAACAAGAAGACTTCACAGTCCGACTGGACGATCTAATCGAACATCCCACAATGATGGGTCAAATGGCGGCTCTCGTGCAATCAAACAGCGTCACGGCGAAACGGATGATGGCTTCGTATCATGCTGGTGTTGCTGCTTCATCTGCTGGTACTGATACGGCTGCGAGTGCGACTGACGGCAGTGTTGCTGGTGAGGAGCCACATTCCAGTAATATTAGCCATAAACCTGGTCAGTTACGGAAGTCGATGACTTGGGCGTCTGCGTTTGGGTTGGCGAGGAAGATTGTGAAAAGGAAGGTTGAAGTGGAGAGTTGATTGAGTTGAATTGGTAAAATGGGAAGACTATCGTTAAGATTTCCTTTTTGTTCATGTAGGTACTCTTTCGTGCCAGGAAGTTTGGTATGTTTTGTTGACTATCGAGATCTTACGACAATCGTTAAATTAGCATATTTCTTCTGTTTGTTAGAAGTTTTGTTTCAGATTAGCAATCGAATACATTTCATTGTTAATCCTGAACCGTCAGTACTCCTATCGAAATTAAGAATAGTTCTAAGCATATCATCTGGACCAATACCACCAGCAGGGTTCATTAAGAATGAAGCAAAAAATCAAACCCACAAGGGCGTAACCCTCTTCAAAAACTTCATAAACTTAAAAAATCCAACCGCCTGCTCAACGTTACCCTTAGGATCAACCACCGTCTCCGGGAATGCAATTCCAGCACCATGTAAGCCGGGAATAACCTCTCCCCGATCATCCAGAAACCCCCCGAATTCCGACTCCCATTTCAGGTCTTGTTGACGAGAGACGAGCGGCCGACCATTTCGACTGAGTTCAGGTAAAGCGTTCCGCTCATATCCTATCGCATATACTACATGGGAACATTCAGGCAAATGAGTCTGATAAAGCGCATCTTCCCTCGTCTTGTCACTCGTATCAATCTTCTCAATAAATCTACCAGCTACCGAAGTCTCCAGGCGGGAATCCTCGAGTTGCTCACGCGCAAATTGGGCTGCTTGGCCTTTTAACCCTGTGTTGTCGTACAAGATCCACCCACCTTCCATAAAGACGGCATATTTGAGTGGATTACGAGTAAACCATTTGAGGCGAATACTGGGGTGGCTGGTTTGAGCGAGATCGACTAGGTTCATGATTGCTAGGATTGCGCTGTGGGATCCGCCGATTACGGCGATTGTGGTTGGGATGTCTCGCGGTAGTACGTCGGAGAGAATGCTTGGTTTGAGGACTGTGTCGAGATTGAGTTCTTTGAGGGTCGGGGTTGATCCTGCAGCACCTGGTGTGGGTGCTGGGAGGGATTTTGGTGATGAGCCTGTGCAGAGGATCAGGCGGGGAGCTGATACTTCGATATTAGAGAATGGGTCTGTGGATTTGATTCGGATAGTCCATCTTGATTTCTATCAATAATTAGCACATACATCTTAACAAGGCAATATCCAAAGGAATTATTATACCTGATCTTCAAAATTTGCACTTGTCACTTCGCCGCGAAACGGAGAGACTTGTCTCATTTTCAATAGTCCCGCCGTAAGGTCCTTGACCATGTCCGCCGCATGGTGTAGAGAGCACGTCTCGTCTTGATCCAGTTTATTCATGACCGAGAACGCATTGGGTGTTTTGGTGGTTGACACTATGTTGCGCAGTGGTTGGACGCCTGTGGCGTATGAGCGGAAAAAGGAGACTTTGGTGTTACTATCACATAGTTAATAATTTAATCTGCGATATCAAATGAAGCAATTGTGGTGTTGATATGATGATTGAGCTTACGAAACCGGACGACTCGGCTCTACGCAAAGATGGGCATACCTGGGAACCTCGCGATATTTACTATTCACTCGTCCACCGTCGAATACAGGGTCTACCCAGGCGATCCTGGTTAGCCCTAATTCTAGGAGATTTCCGAGTGCTGCGACACCTGCTGGGCCAGCTCCGACTACCACTGCGGCATAGTTCTGAGAGATCAACCTGCTCATGATGACAGCCTGTAGTCCCGGATGCGATCCGCGTGTAGACAATCGGAACGGAATGAATAAAAGAAAGCAAGGGTCGCTCAGTAAAAATAAAAATCGGTAATTCTCATTCACAGAGTTCTATCAGAAACGGTGATATAGACAAGGATTGAACACAGTGTCGTCCTGAATTCAAAGATGAATCAAATGAATCGGCGGGATACGTCGTCTGATGGTGCGGGGACTCCCGATTCCGCAAAGAACGGCGACCTCGTGGTCACCGCTTTGGCAGGCACAACCGCAGATAAGACTAAGCAATTCTCTCGCACGAATGAGCGGACACGTGTGGTACCAAGATCCAATATCCTCTCATATCCAAAGCCGGGGATAGCCTTCACCGACAAGTAGTCTGCTCATCATGCAGTCATATCCGTATGTCCCTTTTCCCTCTTTTTTCTTTTTCTTTCCCTTTCAATCCTCAGGATATTCTCTTCGACCTTTTGAAATGTTTCTCGACCATTTCTGATATATCCAAGCATTTGTCGCTATTGTGGATTCGACAAGGGTTATCGGCCGAAAACTGACGCCTCGCACTGTTTAAGTACCCGGTTAGTTGGTGTAGCACATCCTCGCTATCTTTCATTGGTCAGTCATCTCGGGAAGACAACTTTGGCTTCCATGTCAAGTTCTAGTGGTCGCACGCTGACATCAACCATCACATCTTCAATGATGTCGCAAGGATAGTAACCAGTAACACCTTAGTAGAGCTTGAATATAGCTAACAAACAGAAAAATCTTGAAGAGAGAGAAAAGCAACGTCGTCTGGGGACCTGCTCCTTCTTTATATTTGGCCCTGTCCTAGAAAGGGTTTAGCGTGACCCTTAGCGCGGATGGCGTGATTGCTTCGATTGATGCCTTGGTGCCTTGGTGCCTTGGTGCCTTGTCCTGGCCTTAACTTCGTGCCTGGGATATGAGGCCGACAACTTTCCCGATTCAACCTTGCCAGTTCAACGACCATTCACGGCATGATCAACTACGTACATTCCATTCCTTGTTGATTACAAGGACCTGTGATATCAATCTAGAGTGCAAGATAAGAAGGACGTCCCGTCGGTAATACCATGCATATCCCGATAATGCCAATAGCACATTGTCCGCCATTTTCGCGAGCAACATATGGGCATTCCTCCAAATTTGGGACTCTTCTGTCGGTCAAGCATTGCGGCATCGATAATTCTATGATGTACAGAGTAGTCAAGCCTACTGGCTGACAACTGGGCGCACTTAGTGTCTGCCAGTCATGGTAAATATTTGCACAGCCTCAATTGAATAAGCCTCACGCGCAAGCCACATGACAAGGCAGAATGACCTGAGGCTGCGATACTATCATCACTTTTCCATGAACACGGCAGATCGCATTGTAGAAACAGAGTCTCGATTCAATGGCCACCCTATCAAGTTGCGTCACAACCGAGTTCTCAGCTGTTCTTCGTCCCTGACCGACGTAGTTCGGCAATATGACGAGATCTGCCGGCGTAGATAGGAATGCATTGAGAAGCAAGGCACACTGTAGTTACAGATGACGACCATATATAACATATATATAAATAAACAGAGACAGTAGTACTATAAAGAATGTTATCTCCATTGGCGGCAACAGCTTCCCTCTGATTGGCCAAACGCAGGCAAATTGAAACACAGAGGGGAGGTAGCCGCCGGAGCCTCATCTCCCAAGAAGGAACGTATCTCCCCGCTTTCTCAACTTTCATGCTTCTTCACATCTTCTCTCCAACTCAACCTCGCCGGGCTCAGCTGTCTGCCTTTGCTTGTATTTGCTTTTTCTTCGGTCGTTTTCGTATCAAGTACTACGACGTATCTCCTCTCTACTTTCATCTCATCATCTAGCACTGACCTACACCCCAGCGAGCAGTCAGTCCTATATAAGAAGACCACCGCCACACTTCAGCTCAGCCTCTTTTCTGTCATCTCAATTCTTGATTGACTTTGCATTGACACATAGCTTATCGCAGTCATATATTTATTCAGTCATACTGTCGCCCGGTTTTGCTTATATTACTCTGCTTTGTCTCCCGATTATTATTTTCTTCCGTTGAATACTTGCTCGCTTTGGAGCCGCTCTATATAGTACGCAGAATCACTTCCCGTGCAGCCTTACTTGGGAATGCATTGACTATTGGATTCTTGAGCGGGCGTACTCCTGCTTCGATCTGCACAGCCTGCCCCCAGTCGCGGGAAGCTGTCCATTCGCGACGCAGTAGCCAGCGCTAGGTCCGATCCCATCAACACGAGTGGTTATTTTCCCCCGCTACAGAACTGAAGGCACAAAAGGGAAGGCCCCTTTCTCTTCTTATATATACTTCCGAGTCATGGCCACCCAGGATCAGCTTAATCCACTCTCGGCATTTGTCCAACAAGCCTTTGAAGATCCCTATCTCTCAGGCCCTTCTGATCTGGAAGAGTTTGGTCTCGAACAGCAGCATCATACGCCAAGTGCTTCGTCTGCTGATCCGCCTAGTCGCTTATCGTCGTTATCGCCTGCTGATCAGAAATTATCGAACGATACGTCAATGCATAATTTCGACTTTAATGACTCTTCGTTCGATGATTCCAGGTATCTTGACTTTGACGAACCAGGATCCACTGATCCTCTTTTCTTCAACAACGACATGCTATCCGGGGAGGATGGACAGGTCTCGGCTTTTCCAAATGCAGATACTTATAAGAGCGAGTACCAAGAGAACGAGAGCCAGAACTTGTTGAATCATATTGGTGGTAATTCTAATTCTGCTGATACTACTGGACAACGCCAACCACAGCCCTCAAGGTTGGCCATTCCAGACGCTGCTCTTGACAACTCTCATGGACATAACCGTTCAAGGTCGGCACCATCGCTTAGTCCTATAGTGAAAATATCCCAGGTTCACCGAGGTGACTCTCCCACAAGAGAGGACGACGGATGGAGCCCACGCAAGAACAAGCGCTCGTCAGCTCACTTGTCTGCCGCGGATGATTCCATAGAGGACAGCGAAGAACTGGATCCAGAGGAAGAGTCGGGTAATGGCGAACGGAGCTTGTCGCCTTCTCGAGCCGAAGATGGTTCATGGATTCCGGATGCATCAACTGGTCATGGAGGCGTCGACCCCTACGCTCGTAATGATGAAATCGGCCCTAGCCCGAAAGATCTAGAGGAGCAACGTCAGCGTGCTGAGAAAGAAGTCGATATCCGTATATGGTCAGCCTCGGTATCTGTCGCGAATAGTGAAGCAGGCGATGAACCTAGCTCAGGGCCGCGTGGCAGAATCCGATCCGTCAGCGCCGTTGGGACACGACAGGATTACTTCAACCTGACCAGGCCTGACGACTCCCGCATTCCGGGACCCGGTCGACTCATACACGAACTAGACCCGGGAAGCGATTTTGAGACTTCCTCTAACGTATCGCATGCCGACTCACGCGACGGGCTACCCACTCTGGCGTACACACCAGAAGAGAATCAGCTTGCCGAACAACTCAATCGATCTTATCCATGGAAAGATCCACCTCAGTATTCGTTTCCACTGGCAATAAGGACTCAACCAGAGTCCTCGCGATCTGCAATGCAACTATACGAGGAAATGGCCAAAGAAATGGACAAGGTTTCTCGGGTTGGTACTTGGGGCTCGCGAAGGCTTAATGACGCCGAAGTCGACAGTTTCTTGAAATCAGATAGCTTCTTCAAGAATCTGTCTCTCAACAAAGCGGCTATACGCAAACTTTTACCCAAGCGAAGTAGCAGTTCTTTGAAAGATAAGAAACGACATTCTCGTCAGCCAAGCTTTGAACCAGAACCGTCCGATCCACCCCCCCAGAAGAAGGAATCAGGTATAGCTGCTAAGCTTTCGCGCCGGCCGAGCCTCAATCGCCACAAGTCATCCACTCACATCATGGCAGCTGCCATCGCTGGTACAATGGCAGCCAGTATTGGAAGCCATAACTCTCTCTCAGCAAGATCACCTGTGAGCCCTGGCGGGGGGACACTCAGTCCAGTGGCGCCTTGGATGGGTAAGAGAATGAGAAGCAAGAGTGAAGGTTCGGGACCAGTGCCGCCACTCGCACAACTTACCATACCGAACCTAGAACAACGGCAGGGAGCGGTACAACGACAGCCCTCTCCATTGATTGAGTCTCGGGCATCTGTAGGGTTGGATGGCGACGACGAAGAAGATGACGAGTCCCCTGACGACAAGGGAATCTTCATGGACCTAGCACCCTCTTCGCAGCAGATTGTACCAACATTGGAAGGCTTCAAACACCAGATTTCTCTCTTGGATCCACGACTTGAGCCGGCTCTACTACAACGTTTTGCCACGGAACAATTACGTCGTTACAAGAAGCTGATTGATGAGCTGGATAGGCATGCAAGATCAGTGGAAGCTGGGCACTGTGAGGCTAGCGAGAGATGCTTTGCATTGGGTGGCCGTGCCAAATTACTTCCTCCTCGAGCAAATGCCAAAGACCCTAGCGCTACGTATTGCCAGTTTCAGATTCCAGGCCATGAAAATAGTGATGATGACGATGAGTTTGACGATGAGAATAACCAATCTCTTGAGAACTCTGTTATCCCTGCCGTGTTTGCTGAGGGTATCCGGATACCTCCAGTCAAGCGGTTGCCCGCGGAATTTGAATGCTCGTTGTGTTTCAAGGTGAAAAAGATACAAAAGCCATCTGACTGGACGAAGCACATCTATGAGGATATATATCCATTTACTTGCACATTCCCTGAGTGTACGAGTGAACCAAAGTCATTCAAGCGCAAGGCCGACTGGGTACGCCACGAAACTGAGCGACACCGGCACCTGGAATGGTGGGCATGTAGCATGCACAACTGTGGACACAAATGCTTCCGAAAGAACAATTTTGTGCAACATTTACATCGAGAACATAGGTTTCCTGACCCTACTGCGAAAAAGAGCAAGGGCTCGGCGGCTAGTGGAAGTGGTAATACTGCTGCAGACGAGAGAGAGATCGCCAAAATGTGGAAACTGGTAGAAGAATGCCACCATGAGACGCAAAAGAGACCCGAGGAAGAGCCATGCCGGTTTTGCGGCAACGTTTGCAAGGACTGGAGGAAACTGATGGTGCATCTAGCGCGACACATGGAACGAATTGCCCTGCCTGTGCTACGACTTGCTGAAGAACACGCTTCATCGACCAATAATAAAACGATGAATATGTACGAGATTGCGCCAGCCCCGGCGCCTTCTATATCATACAGTTCCGTGGAAGAACCGAGCCTAAGTCTGAATACGGATATTATGACCAGACTCGGCAACCCCAACATCTCTGATAATAGTATCAGCAGTCCTATGATGATGCAGTACGATACTACTACTCAGCAAGCGCCACCTCACATGTTGTCCCCGACGATCAATATAGATATTTCTCCATCAGGCACGACATATCCACCAGCATCAGTCACATCATCCTATCTACAACCCCACTATACACCGGTCCACCGAAATTCCATGTCCTATCCGCCGCCAGCGCCCAACATGAATGTGATGGCAATCAGACAACCGACCACCATGTCAGCCGCGAACAGCAGTAATATCGGTCCAGCCATATTCCAGCAACAGCGACAACAGCAACTACATGTTTCAACAATCGGACTAGCCGGCCCCCAAGAGCCGCTTTATCAATCTCCACAAGACACATGTTTCAATCCTGACGACTATCTACCTACAACCACTACTTCCGCTGGAAACTACACATCCGCGCCTATGGTTACTTATACAATGACAACATCACCAGAAACAATGACGAGTAATGCAACGTACATGTCAAGAGCGCCAATTGCAGCAGCGGCGGCGGCACAAATGCAAGATAACGGTCATACGTATCCGCCTGCTACGTATCATTATCAATGACCCCACGGTTTGGATCATTGGATTATTGATGATAATTTATGTATTATGTCTGGATACCCTGTCTCTTCTCCCATATTTATTATTGGCTTTTTTTGCTTTTTCCCTGTTCTCATACGTCTCGTTTTTGTCTTTTGGTGTATAGAATTGTTATAATATATAATATATTGTATACGCTATATCATGGCTATGAGGAAATGATTCTTGATAACCTCTTGATTTTCTTATATACGGACTAGAGATTAAAGGCAATTGGGCATCCATCGTGCAAATCCTGAGTGCATATCAAAATCTCGGTGTATACATACCATCAGCCTTGTACCTCTTGTTGAAGGCATTGCCCTTATTCCAGATAACATATTTGCTGAGTAGATCCCACACACAAAGTTCAGGCTGAAAGTACCTTTCCCTGCTTTAGTCCGACCTGGCGGTGTACATTATTCTTTGCTTATTGGGATAATAATTCGACATATGCAGGGTGTCGGTACCTATCACAACATTAGGTGATACTATGTAGTGTTGGGTACAGCCTTGTGCAATATACATGCTGCATGGTTCAATAGGGGCGCCTAACGTGTCCAAAGCACTCTGTTCGTCATTGCATGGAGACCCTGGATTTGAGGCAAATTCCATCCTGGTCAGCTTCGTCTCTGTAGAGGCTCAAGCCATAGATATAAAAGGATGACTAGCTCCCGGGGGATATTCTTGGATATTAACCGTTGCATCCTCGAATATATTTCGCACCTTATGTTTCACAAAGAGTCATGAGCAAATTATTGCTCTCTTCTAGCGTCAATACCCAGGCGATGCAGTAGTCAGCATGTTTTCTGTTGGTGCCGCCGTGCATGCGCTAAGGGTGAAATTTACCCTTAGCCTCCGTGGGTCTCAGGGATACTGGGTGTTCTTCTCAGCAATTTTTGTTATCCGACCAATTAATATCATCCCATAAATTTGGCTTGTGACCTATGTGATTCACTGTTCACCCCACATACATGGCTTAAATAGGAAGGTCAGTGGCGATGCGATGTAGTTCTCGGCTTCATATTCAAGCCACGAGAATGATATCAAATCATCCTCGTCTTGGAAATGAGCAGGCTTTCCTTGCCGCCAATGCCGTCACGACTGTCACTGGTTCCAATGCTTCATCTTATTCTTATATGCTCGGTTCGGTAGGGACCCCTAGAAGAAAGAATACGTAATCGTGATCTGTATCAAGGAAAGGATATATGGACAATTCTCTCGGAAGATTTCCCTTCTTTGTTTACTCACGTAGCACGATGGCATCCAGCTGAAAGCTCAAAAGTGACACGTATCCGAATTGTCTTGCTTACCTCAGCTTCAATATCAGCTCTTATCCATGCCATTTCTTCTATCCCTCTCCCCCTGGCCTCAAGAACAGTTTTCGCCGTAAGCGTCTGGTGGAAATGGTTGGTCAAATCGAAAGCAGACTGATATAAACGGTGCACAATGTACAAGGAACGACAGGAGGCAGGACTCGATGCTGGCATCGAAACTTACCGAAACTATGAATTCGAGCATATAGGCCTTCAGTTCAGAAGACCTGACCTAGACAACGATAAGGGTCTATTCCCTGAATTCAACGTTCCCATCAGCTCCGGATATGTTTTCGGTCCCGTCAATCTTCCGGGTTTTTCAGATTCGTGGAACCCACTTCAAATAGAACATCCACCAATTCACGAGTCGAGAACTTATCCGTCCTCCGATGTCTATCCCCTCATAAAACGACCGAATACGTGGCCTCGTGTATACTCGGATTCGGGGTATGGGAGTCAATACAACGGAGACACACGGTCATCGATGAGTCTCCCGAGTAGTTTAGATACAAGGACTGAGGTATCACCTGATGACTGCCATACATATATCAAGAGCGTGACGGAACCAAGGCAACCTAGGACAGAATCAATCGAGGAGAATCAGCTGAGATGCACTCAATGCCCTTGGACAGGAAAGCTTCCATCCGAAATGAGGTTCAGTTTGCTTCTCCCAGTTTTATATAATCATTTCTGAAGGTGGTGGTTTAATTGACTTCGACTCGCCTAGGAAACACCTCGCACGACATCGAAAAAGCCATTTATGCGAAGAAAATCACTGCGGTAGAAGATTCGGTAGCTTGAACGATCTCGAAAGACACCGAAAGTCGGTTCACAATAAAAGCCCTCAATGTGGACCAAAGGAAATGTACAAGTGTTTTGGTCGGAATTGTAGGCATCCTGAGAAAGAGTGGCCGCGACTGGATAATTTCAAAGCCCATCTTCGACGCCAGCATGATGATCAAAATGTAGAAGACTTGGTCTCACAGTATGCCCACATCCCCTGATAGCAGGAAATATATTGGCTGATGGAGGCATAGGTCACGATTGTGGTATGAAAAGCGAAAGATTGAAGAAGAAGAGAAAAAGGAGAAATTGATTACGGAAGGTCCAGCCTCAGGCATCGAAGTGACTCCAAGGAAGGAGGCAACTCAATCTAACGTCGACACTTTGAAAACTCCCAGTCCTCTTGATAACGACGATAGTCTCAAGACTATCACACCATTTAAGATGTTACTGAGCTCGGGTCCTCATAATTCGGGAGATTACTTCGATGGTAGGCTAAAAGATTTGACACTCAATCCAATCGGGCATTCACAAAGCTTCCCTGGGAATATTTCTCCTGAAAACCTACAAACGCCGAATGACTCCTTCCCCAGTACACTTAAAACAGGCAGCTCATCACCTGTTCAGGCTGATATGAAACTGCCAAGCTTGCCTGATGTACTGGGAGATATTAGCTCGCAAGGACGCAATGATCTGGTATTTAGAAAGAGACCAGAGAGTACCCCTGAGAAACGCACTTTACCAGGTGTGGAATCCTTTGATCCTGGAGTAATGTCTGAGAAGGCTTTTGCTATAGCAGCCAAGTTGCAAAATGAGATGCATTGTCTCTCTCATGAAGAAAGAAAGGTAATAGCGTCAATCATAAATTTAGAAAAGACGCAAGAGAGGTCAAAAGAGGAGGACAGTTTTAGCAAAAGAGTTGACACACGTGAAGAACCGAGTCAAAGCGCAAAAGTAGTCTCCAAGAAAGAGGGTTTTACGTGCCAAACGTGCCAGAAGTCTTTCAGTCGACCGTCTACACTAAGGTACATCAGCCATCCTTTCTCTGTTGACTTGAGAATAAACCCTAACTTACCAGTTGACAGAAAGCACCAAAAGAGACATGAAAAGCCTTATGGATGCACATTTACGGGATGTTATAGCAGTTTTGGCAGTAAATCCGACTGGAAACGACATGAGAGCATGCAGCACTGCCACACGCAATCCTTCCGCTGTTCCTTGCCTCGTGACAAACACGACGAATGTGCGAGGGTATTTCTTCGTGAACAAGAATTTCTCAAACATTTGGATATCGTCCACCATGGTCCTGGGCGTATGAAGAAACTACAACAGCTTGCTGATGGCCGTATCGGAGCCAACGACGCGGAATCAAAGTTCACTTACTGGTGTGGATTCTGTAAAGTGATCAAAATCGTGGAGAAGACCGGGGTAGAAGCTCTAAAAGAGCGTTTCGACCACATAGATTCACATTTTCAGAAAGGGGGAAATATCAAGAGATGGGTTCCAGCCAAGGGCCACACCGAAAAAGGGGCTCAAAAGAAGCGGGATAAGAGTCGAACGAAAGAAAGCAAAAGGACAATTACAAATCTAGAAGAGGATTCTCAGCGGCTCTATGATAATGGACACGATGATTGGGAGCTCAGCACCTACGAACAATGTCCGTCCAGCGAAGACGAGACTTTTACCGAGGTTGAGCCACGTGCTGAGAGCTATAGTATCAAGAATAAATTCCAGAAAAGCGAGTCTAACCAGACAGCCAAGGAGTTAAGAATCGTACACTGCGTGAGTGATGATCAGCTATAATTCCTCCCTCTTTTCGTATGTATGACAGCTCGCTGATTGGCCGCAGTGCCAGTGTTTGGATGGACCTCAGATGTTCATTAGCGAAAGCTGCCAGGGCTGTCAACATCATTTCTGCCCTGAATGCCGTCTTTAGATCTCGAGGTAATGTTTCTCCTCCAGCTCATAGCATCGGAGCGGAGAGTAGAGTCAAAAGTTTGGTCTACCGAACAGTGAGGTGTCGATATAACTTTATCATCCATGGACGTATATAAAATAACATTCAAGATCTCCGAAGCCCTGTACTAGTTACACGACAACGGTGCTGGCTGAGACAACCACATTTATAAAAGCATCCGAATTCTTACATTTTAAAATATAGATGCATTCCAAGGTTCCTACATGAAAGAGGCTCCCGTCCAAATTGTGGCCATCAGAAATATGAATTATATCCTGACTTTTACCTCACGAGCTGAAAATCAAATCCTAAAGCCTTCGAAAAGGGCTGCCATCCATCTTCAGTCGAGCTACAAGAACAAACACAGTAGATACAAGCGCAGTCCCAGCAGCATAAAAGATGGCCGGTTTATACGGCCCAATAGTTTTCGCCTGATTAGCTCCTGTGGCCTGGATCAAAAATCCAGCAATCGGAGCACCAAGAAAGTCACCCACGGACCATCCAGTGACAGCCATCCCAATCCCAACTGCTGCTTGACCTGGTCCCAAGAATCTGCCCACTGCCGTAGGCATCGTGACGAAAAATGCACCATTCGCTAGGCCGTTCAAAGCGGCAAAGAGGAGCAGTAGTGCCAGTGTCGAAGAGACTGGCCAGATTGCAAACATAGTGACTGAATTCAACACCATTGCGAAAAGCAGGGTATTCGTAGAACCGAATCTATCACATGCTATACCTGACACAAGACGCCCCAGTGCCATGCACGCACTGAAACAGGCCACAACCCCAGCCGCAGTTGACCCGCTCAGACCTAGAGATTAGGCAACATACGGCAGAAAGAATGCTGGCACATAAAGCGGGAATACACCAATTGCGCCAGCTGCAAATAAACAGGAAAAGGGCAGGCGCCTGAAAGTTGATAAATCAATCGAAGGTCCGTAGTAACTCGGTGCTCGCTCTTTGATCAACAATGCCGCTGGCACACCACTTGCCAACGACATCAAGCCCATGATGTGGAATGTCCAGGAAATTTCTACTCTTTCGATAAGCAGCTGGACTACGATCACCATGATCGTGGCTCCAATGCCTCCGCCTAGTTTCACTAGACCATTCGCTGTTCCCAGTCGAGTGCTGAACCATTGAACCGGTAGGCTGTTTGACATGGTATACATGAGTGCTCCACCCAGACCATACAGCACCCCAGAGACGAACAGACCACCAAGACTATTCACAGCGAGGCCACCAACTATATTACTAGCTCCAAAGAGCAGCGTCCCAATCAATACAGCCCATCGTGCTCCAATCAGGCGCGAAAGCCGGATACACACAAGACCCAAGGAAACAGTCAATACAAGGCCAAGTGAACCGACAAAAGTCAAAGTGCTAGTCGGAATTGTTTTCAGGGTGGTTTGTATCAGGCTACTCTGAAATATACCCCATGATCCGGCCCAGGCATTAACCCAGGAGGTCTGGATGAAGCAGGCAAAGACTATCGTCCAGCCGTAGCCGCCATCGGGGATTGCATCTACTGGCGGATGAGCAGAGGACGCCGGGGCGAATGCGTCATTTCCGGCTTGATTGTTTATTATGGTCGTGGTCGATTCTGGGATGGCTTGCAGGACGATGTTTTCTTGCCGGATTTCCATGTCATTAATGAGACTTGGTTGGTTCCGTGTTAAATCCGATGTCAGATTTAACAACGCTCAATTGAAATCTGTTCCAGAAACACTTTCACTTGATTCCCAGGAAGATAGAGCCTGCTAATATGATGCACTTGCAATTCCAAATCTTATATACGAGTCATTCACAGCGGGGACTACATCAGGCTTAGTGTGCATTAACATATAGATAAGGCGTGAAATCATGAGGCTAAATAAGACCATTTTTGCATGCTAATTTAACACCATTATATAATTGAAATACAGACAGCAATAACTAACTAGTATCTTTCAAGCAACCATGAGAGATCCGCCGAGGTATTTGTATTGCCCATTCAAGGGCATTCATATCGTGGACTAGTGCTTTCGACCTTAAATACAACCAATAACACGACTACTTCGCCTAATGAGAAATTCGTAAATCATGAAGCGCCAGGTACGTGATGGTCATTTCCATAAAGCTATTCACATAAGAACACAATATCTACAGTTTCGACTGCTCAGGCTCCCCAATCAAATCCAAAAACGCCTCATGAACCTGATCCGTCAAATCACTAGCCTGCAAACTTCTCCCCTTAGTCTCAAAAGCCCGTCTCGAGCAATCCCTCGTAATTGCACTTCCGGCATAGGCCGCTAAAAGGAGGGTTGTCGTAGGGGACATTTTTGTATCCTTATTCTCTAGTTCGGCTTGCACTTCGTCCTTGCTTTGTGCTGGGGTTTTATTTGAGGATTTCTCGCCTGTGTCCCATAGACCATCGTGGTATGCTGCGCGCCAGGCCATTAGTGTTCCAAGTGAACCGGTTAAGGTATCGCCCTGTCCACCACTTCTCTTCAATCCACCTCGGAGATCGGATATGATACTCGTGACACCATTAGAAATCACATCCTTAGACCCCTTCTGAATGATAGTAACTCCACCCAAGGCCTGGGAAAGCTTCTCGCACGCTTCTGACGCCTTGCTCAATTCCTTCTCATCATCCTGGTCCTTTGCAGTAGGTACCTGCACACCAAGAGCTTTCGCCAATCTACCAAACTCAACAACATTAGGGGTGAGAATGCATTCCTTATACCCCTTGACAAGATCCGGTTTCTCAATGACAAGCATCAATCCGTCAGCATCAAGGACAAAAGGCACTGATTTATTGCGTGCTTCTTTCATGATTTCTATCACGACTTTCTGAGTGACGCCGTCTCGGCCCAGGCCGGGTCCGATGACGAGCACGTGTAGACGTGGTAGCATGTCAAGAATGGGGCTGGCCAGAGATGCTAGATCTTTGGCGTCTGGTCCTGAGACTGATACAGTGCTGGGTAGAATGGGGTGGACCATTAGATTTGGTGAATATGCTTTTATTACCTGCGTACGTTAGAAGGCCACAAAATACGACAAACAGCTAATTACATACCGGTGCAGCTGATCTCTCGCAGATGACGTGACTCTGTAACATGTCAGATCAATTCATCTGAGGTGGTCAGAGGAGGACTCACCATATCGCAGCCTATATCTCGTCAGCATCAAGCCAGTATCATCAAGAAGAAGACACATACCTAACCTCGCAGAAGCCATTGCCGAAAAGTACGGTGCCCCCGTATAACTACCACAAATTCAGTATCCCATTCCATACAGTGGGACGAAAAAGTTTCCGCACCCCTGGCTATTGTACACTTGCCGAGGGGGGGTGCGGAAACATTTTTCGTGGTACTGTATATAAAATCAAAGTACAGGGTAGAGATGTACGTACTCAGCGCTCCCACCAATGACCGCAACACGACCCAATTGACCTTCAGACTGGTTAGCATCAATCACCATATTTAAATGAGGAGACATATACCTTTATGAAACTTTTCCAGCATCGGGGGAACCATTGTCCTCACCCGCGCAAGCAGGGTAGTGGACGGTGTCGTGATATGTATCGGCTTTACAGGCTCCATCTTACTTCCTCTAACTGCTTGTCCTGTGATTGCACTTATTCGAAAAGGCATTCGCTATTTTGTTGTTATTGTCTCAGGATGTTTGAATGTAGTCGAGGTGAGAACAAGCTTGTCTGATATCAGAGGATAGTGGGGCTATTGACAGTCGTGTGATGTCACCAGCAATATTTACCCTTAATGCTACTACTCAGGATATAGAATCTAGCAAGTCTGTATATCATATTATCTGATCGCTAACTGCTCGACTAGGTGAATTGCATAAATAAAAGCCTCCTCTAAACAGCACAGACCCGCTGAAATGCAATAATGATATGAAAAAGATAGGTATCTGATGCAGTATATCCTTTGCCGACGCCATGAACCGCAGGAAAGGATCAATGAGTAGAAAAAATAAATAAATAGAAAAAGAACACGTATCGCCATCCTCTGGAATAATCTCATCGCTTCGCCCTTGCCAACGCAGTCAGCTTCTGCCTTCTTTCCATCTTCGCCCGCTTTGCTTCCGCCTCCCTCCGTATATCCTCTTCGTCTTCTTTCTGAGCAGCACGAAGAGCGGCGATTTCTTCTTTCTCCATGTCTCCATACCCAGCTTCCATGTCTGAAGATTCATCGGAGTAATAATCGTCGTAATCGTCGTAAAAATCTCCTTCATCTTCCTCATCTGTACCTAGATATTCATCACGGCGAGGAGCCCGTCGCCGATCCGCATCCTTGTGTCTCGCAGGCAAGTTTGCCGTTCCCTTGTATGAAGGTTGGGCTGAACGCGCAGTTCCTTTGTAAGCGTTCTCCTCGGGCTCTCGCTTCTTAGCGGAGGCATCGAAACCAGGCTTTCCATCAACTCTCTTTGCATTAGGAGCCGGACTGACACCGTGTCGTTTCCCTGGGCGGGCCGCTTCCTTCCCTTTGGCGATCGCCTCCATGCGTCTTTTCATTTCTGTCTTGCTGATTTTTTCTTTTGGTAGAGCCGCTTGATGCTTCAACACGCCGACCTTGGGAGCCTCCTTTTGAACCGCTTTGGCTTTGGCCATCAAATCTGCAAATGATCCTTTTGGAGGTGGCTTCGCGGGTGCGGCCGGCGGGGTAGGCTTCTTCGCAACTGCCGGACGAGCGGCAGGCAACGGCGCTTTGGGTCGCGCCTTCACATCGCTACCATTTGCACTACCATTTGATGTGGACGATGGTTTCTCCAGTCGTCGAAGAGAATCCTCGGCTTTTCGTTTGATGCCCGCCGAGGTATTACTGCTGGTCGGTCTGGTAGATACAGGCGCTGAAGGTGTTAGCTTTCTGGGTTCAGATTTGTCGGGTGTTGGTCGCGGGGTTATTGGCGGGAGTGATGTTGGAGTTCCAGTCTCTATAGACGAGAGAACCGAACTGAGGAACTAGATGTTGTCAATATGAGTTGGCAAACCGAATCACAAGTACATACACTCATTATGATATGCTGTAGATATGTGCCTGACCTGAAACAAATCTGCGGAGTCTGTGTGTTTCTGAAGTGATATGATGTTTGTCTTTGTCTAACGCCACCAGGTACCGAGAGCGAACTTCATGATGTTTGATTGATCGTCAAATGATGATTTGAAAGACCCACTAAGGGGCGCAGATGTGAAATTGGCTCGAAAGTCAAAAGTCAAGTATCCGAACTGATCGAAAAGTCGTACGATGCCGTGGGAGTTGTCTAGGTGAGAGAGGAAAGTCTCGTTGATAAAGCAAAGTGACCTTTCTAGAACGTTGGTCACGTGAGAAACATCGAGTTCTGATTTGGAAGGCGGTAAACATAACCAGCCACACTTGCAGACTCGCTTACGGCAAGTCACCAGCCACAGGCCAATGGGGCTGCCGCACTTTTTCTTTTGTGGACAAACTCTTCCATCTCGATCTTCTATCACGATCATCTCACTCAACAACCTCGAACTCGACGTTTCAGTCTCCGCCCAACTTGCGGTTAAATCGATTGACTCTCCTGTTCGTTAATAAACGCATCAACTGTATGTCTTTACCTTCTTGACGGAAGTTTCGTGCATTCCTAAAGTGCAATCTTACTGATACGGAACTTTCTTCTACAGAAACCACATTCAAAATGAAGCACTTAGCGGCCTACCTCCTCCTCGGCCTTGCCGGTAACACCTCTCCTTCTGCCGAAGACATCAAGGGCGTCCTTGAGTCCGTTGGTATCGATGCCGATGAGGAACGTCTCGAGAAGCTCCTTTCCGAGCTCGAGGGCAAGGACATCCAGGAGGTTAGTCAATCTTCTATCTGGATATTATAAATTAGCAGCTAACAAGACTGCACAGTTGATTGCTGAGGGTTCTACCAAGCTCGCCTCCGTCCCCACCGGTGGTGCTGGTGGTGCTCCTGCTGCTGGTGGTGCCGCCGCTGGTGGTGCTGCTGCCGCCGAGGAGAAGGCCGAAGAAAAGGAAGAGGAGAAGGAAGAGTCCGACGAGGACATGGGATTCGGTCTTTTCGACTAAATGCAACAACCTCGAAAATGTATGCGAACCGAGACCAAAAACAAAAAGGGAAGGGAATGGCATTCTGGAGACTAAAGGCTATGTTTATGGACGACTTCAAGTGTTTATGGCGGAGTTTATTCTTTTCATACAATTTACATCTACCGTGATGCAGTTACGAATATGCATGTATGTCGAACGGCCATAGTCTGAATCCAGATGTCACAGTCTTCAGTAATTGGATTTTACAAGTACACTCGACGTAAATTGATTTAAGAGCATAATGACACCAGAAATACAGCTATAAAATTAATAGTCAAAGCTATCAGACAATGCTCTCTCCGTAATTGAATTCAGCAGTCCGTAGATGTATGTGTCCCAAAAAGGCTAGCGTCAGGGCTAGGGCTCATAACCTAAAGCGGTCGCTTAGGCGAATATCCACCCTTCAAACTCGACCGAAGACGCTCGCTGAAGCCCGTCCCGCCCGCCCTCTCTTTTAGATCTTTTTAGCGACCACGACAACATTTTTCCCCCTGGCTTTTCGATATCGTGAACTGTCGAAAAGCTACCTGAGGAAAAGCGACAATCGACAAGATGGCTGACCAGGAATACGTAAGTATACTTGTCTCTGATGCATGAGAGCTGGGTTGAAGGTTGGGAATGTCACATGGCTAACGATGATTCTTCTATAGAACGCCGAGGAGGCTGCCGGTACGTTATAAAATCTTTTCAGAACTTCTTTTGATGGTTATCGGGGTCTATGGTTTTCAACGATACATGGAGATATGGGTCAGGGCGATGAAAGGATGATAGATGATTGATTGCACGACTGGATGGGTAGAAGGACAAATCGCTGACGATGGTTCAATACAGAGTTGAAGAAGAAGAGACAATTCCGCAAGTTTTCCTACCGCGGTATCGAACTCGAGCAGTACGTACACCCAATTTTTCCAACATATTCATCGGATTGTTCATCAGATCGAACAATCCAATACGCAAGTGCAAGCAGATGTCCTGACTGGTATTAGACTCCTCGACCTCTCCTCCGAGGAACTCCGTGATCTCGTCCATGCCCGTGCTCGCCGCCGATTCAACCGTGGCTTGAAGCGCAAGCCCATGGGTCTCATCAAGAAGCTCCGCAAGGCCAAGCAGGAGGCCAAGCCCAACGAGAAGCCCGACCTCGTCAAGACACACCTCCGTGACATGATTGTCGTGCCTGAGATGATTGGCTCCGTTATCGGTATCTATTCTGGCAAGGAATTCAACCAGGTTGAGATCAAGCCTGAGATGGTTGGCCACTACCTCGGAGAATTCTCCATCTCATAGTACGTTCTCTTTGCCTATGGAAAGAAAAAGAAAATAAAAAGGAAGGAGGCCTAACGATGAATAGCAAACCCGTCAAGCACGGTAGACCCGGTATTGGTGCTACCCACTCCTCCCGTTTCATCCCCCTCAAGTAAACGTGTTTTACTTTTCTATAACAAAAACGACCTTTCAAAATACCAGAGAAAACTCACGCTATGCTATTATCGACCTTGGTTTTCATTTGTTCTGGAACCGGGAATGGGAACGCGAGTTTGATTGGTTTGGCTTTTCTTTTTCTAATTTATTCCAATGTCAAATAACTGCGTGAATGAATGGGCTTGATGCATGAGATCTTGATTCTGAAACTATGTAGTACGTATACGTAGTACGTATACGGTACGGTAAAGTATGCAGGATATATTGTAGTCTACCACATATTCCTCTTTTCCTGCTCCAAAGTCGCCACGACAATAGCCTCCATCTTCTTCAAATGCTCCTGAACATTCTTATCTCTGTTCCTCCCCAACATCCCGGCCTCCTCGAGATCCTCAGTCATCCATGGTATATGCCTCTCCGCATCCGATTTCATAAGTGGATTAGGCCACACAACCCCCTCCATCTTCTTCTTTGCATCCTGCACGCTGGTTCGGCACGTAATGTCTCCCGTCAGTATCCAATGAACAACCATATAGGCGTAAAAAAGGGGCGATATCTCGTGAATATTGAACAAGTGATCGTAGTCATCGTTGCTTGAACGCATTAATTCTGGACGCATATATTCATTGGCGTACATAAGGTGCCACACGAATTCGAGCGCGTGTTCACGGCGCATCGGATGGCACTCATCCGGATACTGCGCCGGATCAGTTCGTGAATGTCGAATCGCCGCGTCCACTGCGGACATCTTGTACAATTGATCCTTGGCTTTACTTGCCATGATCTCTGACCTGATTGCCGCGAGCGGTTGTTGTTGTGTATTTACCGCGTCCCAGTCTGCTTTTTCTGAGAGTATGCGAATCATACTACTCAACTTCCACGCTGATGTAAATCCGCTAGCGCTGTTGGCTTTGAGGATTTCGTCGATTTTTGCGTTAGTTTCTCGCTCATGTTCGGAGCGTTTAATGAGATCCTCTGGTTCTATGGTGGCTGCCTCGTGCAGACATTTGGGACATTGACACTCGAATCTGTAGCGTTCCTGGAGCTCATGTCTACGTGTCCCAACGGAGTAAGTAGTGTCAACATAGGAGATGAAGATTTGTTCATCCTTTGCAATTGGTCGTATGGCCCTGATATAGCATTTCCCCTTGGCAAATGAGTAACTAGCATTGGGGTCGCAGCTGTGGTTGAAGCGAGCGGGACCTGGATGGAAATATACACCACGTCTTCTACCAAACGCACTTGTCAAGCAAAACGAATTCGCGTTCAACTACATTCATCAGTACCTGAACGAGTCATAAAAGATAGCTGAGATAGACTCACTCTTCCAAATAAACTTGCAACCCACTTGTTATCCAGATCAGTCAAGTTACTATATTCTCGTAAAGCTTTGGCCATCAATAAATGATCTTTGGTCTCCTGACTCTCCACACAGTCATAAATTTTAGGATAAGTAAGAGCCAGGGACTCGCTATAAACTTCAGGAATAATTTTGTCGGCTCTCCGTAACATCAAGATCCTGAGAACAGCTCTGACAGGCAGTGGCAGGATCTTGGGGTACAGCTCTGCATAGGTTTTGCATTCCAATGAATGGCCAGCTTTCCAGTCTTTTCTTTGACAGTTCTGTTTATATTAGTTATCCCATCTGTTATTACCTACGGATGAAGAAAGTACCTTATCGCAGTAATAAACCACTTTGCATCGTGTACAAGCCTTGACCAAATCCGGCCTTCTGTTGTCGATACTCCCCGCTTTAGAAGTATCATAACAACCAGAACATATATTTTGCAATTGGGCTTCCTCCACAAGTGCAATCAGGGGATTATCAACGACAAGAACGTCAGCCCCTTTTTTGACATCGATCGTTGCGAACACGCCTTGTCCGATGGGGACGCCATTTTGTTCGGCGGGTCGGACCTCTGTGCGTTCTGAGTTTGCTGATGATTTGGATGTATCTTCTGGAGCGATTGGTGAATTTACGAATTTGGCGGGGTCAACGCCCGCAGTAAGGTTGCTCATGATGCCAATAACGATTGATCTAGTTGTTGAGAAAGAAACAAAGGAGGAATCGTTGTTTCGCGTTGAGTTTTACTTTATCGATAAGCCTCGACGCGTAGATTGATTGCGTTGCTTCTACCTCACGCACATTCCAATGATCTTAAGAGTAATATTTTTTTATTTTTTTTCTGGGGGGTTATTCCTTTTGAATTGATCCTGCAATTGGATTATGGGCTACACTGGGTAGTAGAAACAGCATCTTCGTTAAAAATGTACTCTTCTATCTTTATTCTCTCTCGCGGCAAACACATCACCCCGACATGGCCAGAAAGAATAAATAGGAGAGACGCCTGATAAACTGATGAATTTCAGCTAAGTATGAGCATTAATCCAATTATAAAAAAACTCTACGAGTGCAATGTTAAACTCTTGTACTAAGTATATGACCCCAACGAAATTAGGGTTCTTGCATGCCAACCCTAACTTCTACGCCAGACCCATGCTGAACCAGCCTCGACATCCATACAACCTTGAAAATGAGAGAAAATCGGACTACCAGATTAAGCCTCTACTCAAGCTAGTAATGGGAACTTCTTCCGTTTTCGTCTGTCATGGCATGTCATGTCATGCCATCACGGAAATCAGTCCCATTTGCCTCATCTGTCTACGTGGATGGCAAGATATAAGTACATCCTCTCATACCCAGGATATTTCCTCTACTTAGAATATACAGGACGCTTAACAGAACATAAACAATATTTCTAATTCAAGCATCAGATCAACATGTATCTAAAATCCCTCATACTCCTCGCAGCCAGCAACCTACTTTCCACCGGTAAGTCAGCCCTATACATACAGCCACGAATCCCTCCTAATTGAAACATTCGTACAGCAACCGCCGCCAAAATAGCAACCCAATCCGACGCCAACGCCCTGCCAGAAACGGTTGTAGACGGCATCGAAATCTCATCCACATATACCGGCGACCTGATCTTGCCGAATGTGACCAACGTCGTCGGAAACGTCACCTACGAGGGGCCTGATTTGGAGAACTTTGCTGCTCCATTACTTTCTCTGGTGGCGGGCACGTTTAATTTTACAGGGTCTTTTAGATTGTGCGTTTTTCTTTTGTCTCCTATTCGAGTTTATATTTTATGTGCTAACGATTAGATGAAGGATATCAATCCCAGCGATTACGCAAATCACCAAGGCACTAATTGTGGTGACATCGAATAGTTCATTTGATTGTGCACCTTTTCAGAAACTTGAGCAGGATGGTGTTGTTAACGGAGAGTTCACCTGTACAGTCTGAGATATACTTTTTGTACAATAGTGTTCATTTCGGGGTTAGGGCGGGTCTAGCTTATTAAGCCCATTAATCTGATCCATGTCTGTAAATCTCTAATTCGACCTCATTCACTTAAACGTTCCTGTGGCCTCAAGCAGAAAAATGGCCACCTCAGCAGAAAAACAACCCTGCACCCGCGAAAGAGCCATCTCCTCCATCCTCTCCTTCTACACCCTACTAAGTCAAATCCCTTACATCCCCGCCGACAAACTCATGATCCCACCGCAAACAACAGGCTGGCAAAACAACGAAGAACAGGGGATAAAAATCAATGAAACCGAACTACGCAGTCGCGGCAAAACCGACACTGTAATTGATACTCTACGACATTTACCCTATCTAGACCAGGAAATGTACGGACCTCATTGGACATTAGCTGATAATACCCTACACATCAACTATGCGCGCGGAGAGCTGTATTCTGCTTATTTGGAGCGGGATAGAGCCCTCCTCCCCTTGCCGGGACATATAATATGGCTAACAGAAGGTTACGAACGAGCCGGCGTTTATCTTTTGCTGAATACAGAAACATGGGAAATCATTGAATACACCCTATTAGGCGAAAGTATCGAAATAAATTACGATGCCTACGAAGCTCTACCCCCCGACAAGAGATGGACGGCTTATAGTGTGCTACCGGCGGATGAATATTTTGATTTATGGAGATGGAGACATTTGACGTTGCAGTTCTTGTTGGTTCCGGATTTGCAGGTTTTTAATGGTACAGGAAAGTGGTTTGTGAAGGATCCGAGAATGTTGTATGAGGAGAGTTTTGTACGGGATGATGATGATGACGACGAGGATGAGGATGAGGATTATGTTCCGGATGAATCTGGCTCTGAGTCTGAGGAAGACTCGGATATGGATGTGGATGACGATGATGAAATCGAGGAGGTCAATCAAGAACTCCAATCCCTTTCCCTCGATCAACAACCTATCCCTACCCCTCCCTCACCACCTCCAGTCTCGGAAAATTCAAAATCAAGGAGCTTCCTCCACAGATTCGCCCAACCCCTCGACAAAGACCGTATCAACAATACAACCCTCTACCTCAAACCCTGGTTTCTCAAAAACCGCGAAGAAATAATCCAAATAATCCAAATCTACGTTTCTCACGGCTGGCCCTTGCCCAACTACGAGTGGCGGGTATCAGGTCGTTATATCTCTGATAACTCAGACTTTGATCTGAGTGGCTTTGACAGAGAAGCCTGTCTAGCTGATATATCGCAATGGGTTCAAGCCCGGCGGGAGCGGGAACGAGCTGAATATCGTGCCGCGACTTGAACGGGAAGAAGCAGAAGCAACGAGAACAATAGCTGCGATATGTCGCAGATTGAAGAAATGGCTTTTGGATCCAGTTGAGAATCAGGAAGAGGAAAAGATTGATGCGGAGATTGTAGCGTATGGAGTTGCGGAATTGGATGAGTTGGAGAAAGTGGTAATTGCCTCGGATGATATTATTACCACGACCGGGGTAGGTAAAATTCTGAAAGGGATTGTGGATAGTAAGACGTTGAATGAGAGGAAGGATATGGCTGGGATATGTGACAGAGCCAGACGGATATTGAAGAATTGGGGAATATAAAACTCTGATCGTAAATGGAGATAATCAATTCCTTCCTACATCTTTTGAATGGTATAAACATTATAACAGATTCTAAACAATAACAACAAAAATAAACAAGACTAATTTTTACATCATTTTACCACCTGCAAAATCAGACCAGCTTCGTACTTCGGATGGGATTCCTTCTTCCTTGGGCAGTTTCTCATTCATGCATTGCGCGAAGAGGACGGCAGTCTATATCAGTCAGTAAATCATCGACCATCCACGAAAGAGAGAGGGGGTTACCTTTGGCTCCATAAACAACGGCACACCAAAATCCACCGCATTCCGACGCATCACGTAATCCTCATCCAACAACGTCTTACCACGATGCTTGGCCAAGTTGAACACACCACGAATATCGTACTTTTGGAACACTTCACGGAGAGCACGTTTATCCTCCTTGGGGAATTCAATGACTTCAATATTGATAGGATTCTTGGCGCGAGACTCCAATTGAGCCTTGACTTCAGGACTGGCAGCGTACAATTTGTAGTTCAAGGGTTGCAAATACTCCACAATCTTAGATAGAGAATCGATATAGTCACCGCCAAACAAGAGACCTTCACCGAGTTGAGGAAGACGGAAGTTCATAGTTGATTGTAATGAAGCCCAGTAGGCTTCGACGAGGTCCTTGCCGAAACAAGCTATTTCACCGGTACTGGCCATTTCGACGCCCAAGAAGGGGTCGGCGCCAGCGAGACGGGTCCAGCTGAATTGGGGTACTTTGGTGGCGACGTAATCGCGTTTGGTGGTCATGAGGTCAACGGGTTCGGGCACGTCACGGCCAACGAGGGCTTTGGTTGCGACATCGATAAAGTTTGTGCCGAGGACTTTGCTGACGAAGGGGAATGATCGGGAGGCACGCAAGTTACATTCAATGACCTTCAACAGGGGCTCGCCACCGTCGGGATTATCAGCCTTGATGATTTGCATGTTGAAGGGTCCGGTGATGTTCCATGCTTTGGCGACTTTTTCGGCGATTTCCTTGACGCGGTCCATCACGGACTGCTCGAGAGATGTTGGGGGCAGGACAAGAGTGGCATCACCAGAGTGGACACCGGCGTTTTCGACGTGCTCACTGACAGCGTGCAAGATCAACTTTCCATTAGAGCCGACGGCATCAACATCGATTTCTTGAGCACCTTCAATGAATTTTGTAATGACAACGGGGTGATCGGGAGACACGGAGCTGGCATTGAGAAGCTTCTCATGCAATTCATCCTGGCTGTATATGACGCTCATGGCAGCACCGGACAGAACGTAACTGGGACGGACCAGCACAGGATATCCAACAGTTTCGGCAAACTTCTCGGCTTCAGAGACAGACGTGAGTTCCTTCCAGGCAGGTTGGTCAACACCGATGCTGTCCAGAATTTGAGAGAACTTGTGACGATCCTCAGCCTTGTCGATATCAGCTGGATCAGTACCGAGAACATGAGCGCCGCCCTTTTCTTGCAAGCGAAGGGCAATGTTCTGAGGAAGCTGACCGCCGACAGAGACAACAACGCCGCTGGCGTTTTCCAATTCGTAGATATCCATAACACGTTCGTAGCTGAGTTCTTCAAAGTACAGCTTATCGGCAGTGTCGAAATCAGTCGAGTAGGTTTCCGGGTTGTAGTTGATCATGACAGTCTTCTTGCCCATATTTCTCAAAGACAAGGTAGCGTTGACAGCACACCAGTCGAACTCGACGGAGCTACCGATACGGTAGACACCGCTGCCAAGAATGATAGTGCCGTGGTCATCAAAGGTGACGTCGTGGGAAGAGGCGTTGTACGTAGTGTAGAGGTAATTGGTATCAGCAGGAAACTCAGCAGCAAGAGTATCAATCTTCTTGACCCATGGTCGGATGCCGAAGCTCAATCGGCGAGCGCGAACATCGTCTTCTGTAGATCCAACGCACATGGCAATCTGCTTGTCAGAGAAACCCAATTTCTTGGCCTTGGTAAGAATCTCCTTCTTGAGACCAAAGAGACTGCCGATCTCCTTGAGCTCGTTCTGGCAGTCGACAATGTTCTGAAGCTTGTACAAGAACCACTTGTCAATCTTGGTCAGCTCATGTACTTTGTCGACGGAGTAGTTCTCGTGAAGCATAGCCTGACCAACAGCTAACCATCGGCGGTCAGTTGGGTTTCTGAGTGTCTCGTCAAGATCCTCAAAGTGATCACCCTGGAATCCGACGAATCGGGGATCAACCTGACGAATAGCCTTTTGGAACGATTCTTCAAATGTACGACCAATAGCCATGACCTCACCGACAGATTTCATGGCACTTCCAATATCACGCTTGACGTGCTGGAATTTGCTCAAATCCCATCGGGGGATCTTTGTGACAATGTAGTCCAAACTGGGCTCGAAGTTGGCAGTAGTAGTCTTGGTGACGGCATTAGGCAATTCGGGAAGAGAGTGCCCCAATCCAATCTTGGCCGCGGTGTATGCCAATGGGTAACCAGTCGCCTTGGAGGCCAGAGCCGAAGAACGAGACAGACGGGCATTAACCTCAATGACTCTGTAGTCTAGACCATCTGGTTGCAGAGCATACTGAACATTGCACTCTCCCACAACACCAAGATGGCGGACAATCTTGATAGCAGCGGTACGAAGCATGTGATATTCCTCATCGGAAAGGGTCTGGCTGGGTGCAACGACAATACTGTCGCCGGTGTGGATTCCAAGAGGGTCGAAGTTCTCCATGTTGCAAACAGTAATACAGTTGTTCTTTGCGTCACGAACTACCTCATATTCAACCTCTTTCCAGCCCTTGAGGGATTTCTCCACCAAAATCTGAGGCGCAAGACTGAGCGATCGCGAAGACAAATTCTTCAATTCCTCACGGTTGCTAGCGAATCCAGATCCGAGACCGCCCAAAGCATACGCGGACCGAACAATGATGGGGTACCCGATCTTGTCAGCAGCTTCCAGAGCTTCATCGACAGTATTGCAAGCAATAGATTCCGCAATGGGGATGTTGATCTCATTCAAAGCCTTGGCGAACAGATCACGGTCCTCACTAGTCTCCAAAGTTCGGATGCTAGTTCCCAACACTCTGACGCCGTATCGCTCAAAGATACCCATGCGATTCATCTGGACACCCAAATTGAGAGCGGTCTGACCGCCAAAGCTGAGGAAGATCCCATCGGGCTGCTCTCGCTCGATCACGTGAGTCACATATTCGGGCGTGACTGGGAGATAGTATACTTCGTCGGCCAACTTGTGGTCTGTTTGAATCGTAGCGATGTTGGGGTTGATGAGGACGGACTTGACGCCGGCCTCTTTGAGGGCTTTGAGAGCTTGGGAACCTACTCACATTAGCCTCTAAGCATCGAACTGGTGAGAATAGGAAAATACCAGAGTAATCGAATTCTCCAGCCTGGCCAATACTCAAACCGCCACTACCAATGACCAGCACTTTCTTCACATCGACCAAATCAGGCGACGAATTGACCGCACCACTGGCCAAATACGATTCCGCTTTTGGCGGAGCCTCGGAGGCCAATCTGTGCAGACAACTGGAAAACAACCGCAATTGTTGTGATCGGAGAGACGAATTAAGAGCATTTTGTTTTAGGCGAAGAGCGGCTGAGGTAACTGATCGAGAAGAGGTAGGGATTTTGGCGAGGGAAGAGGTAGAGAAGGAGCGGAGAGTGGCTGCGCGTGAGGATTCAATGAGACATCGTTGTCGAAGGAGAGAGGCTGCCTGCTGCCCGCAGCGAGCAGAGAGAGCCATTGCGCAATGCGCAGCTGATTGATTAGCTTGTTTTGTATCTTCAATTGGTGTCAGTGTATAGAAGGGCACGATGACTCCGTGTATCAACACATCCACATGAACACAAACAAACAAGCAGTTGAAGATGCGAAGAAAAAGAGACTTACAATAAATCCAATTCTGATCTATGAGTCACACGAGTCTTGGCCCGAGCAAAGCAAGAAAAGGCAACTCTCAACGGAAAAGAGAAGAAAAGAAAAAAAGAGGATGCTATTCCTAAGGTCGCAAAAAGTGCAAAAATTGGTTCGAAAAATCGGAGCGATCTGATTCGATCCGCGCCTCCGATAAGAACTCCGGTGTGCGGACCCTAAACCCAAAGAAAAAATTGCTGGGACTTTTTTCTTCTTTTCCTTCTTTTCCTCCTTTTTCTCTCTCCGCTCCGCTAGGGACAGTATGACTCAAAGCTTCGATGACGAGTTGGCTTGGGCTATGCGTTTCAATGTGGGCTTTTTAATCTTTTCTTGGGCAATCGTGGGAGATCTTTGTTCAATTGGGTTTTTGAAGGCTCCTTGATATGACTAACCCCCGACATACTACATAGTTACATGAGTACGTATATTCAAGTATACTGGTATGGCCATGCTCGCAAGCTGATAATTTCCCCGCGGTCCTATTCACAATAATGTAATGGCGTTACTACAAGAAATATTAATCTGGAGTAGTGAGTCACTGAGTGGTTCCAGCCAGTGTCATCGGAATGTGTGTCCCACTTTTGATCCGTATCTCTATATCCACCCCCGTGAATATCTATTTCTTTAAGCTCACAAACGCGCTATTCAATTCCAACCCGTCCATCAAGTGCAGACCATGGTCCTTTCTTTTGGTGTGTTTGCTCACTCCGCTTCGCTCTGACTTTACGAGGTTGAACTTCCGCCGTCCAAATATCACTCTCTTGGTGGGCATCCGTATAATCCTTGTCCTCGGTAGTCGCCCTCCGCTCCTGATGCAATAAATCATAGATTTGCTGTAGCATCTCGGAAGCCATATCTGCCATTTCGGCTCCGTGCTCGATTCTCTGTTGTATGTAATCACTTTCATTAGACCTCGCAGCTTCAGCGGCGAACGCCCACGCCTCAGCACGTTCCAAGACATCATCCCGCGGCTTGCCTCCCTTCTCCTGTCGTAATCCACTCGAAGTAGGCGTGATATGTCTGAATTTCGAGTGGCGCGCTAGAAGAGGATACTCAGGCAACAAATGGCTTTCCTGACTCAATCGATCCAAAGTATGTTTGAAATTGGTTCTCTCCTTTGTCAGCATCCCAGCCAAGTATGATCGTTGTAAAGCCAGTGATTTTTGATATTTGGTCGCGGGTAGAATGTGCTCCGACACGGTCCGAAATACGTCAATCGAACCCCATTCCTCTGTCTCGTTTGTAACCGGGGCTTCTGCAGGCTTAATCGCTGGTAGATTCGTGGCTGCGCTTCTAGACGGTTGAGACAAAGCCGATACTGCCTCGAGCAACGTCTTGCGCGCTGCAATGTATGCTGTATACTGTGCCCGAATTCGTGCTTTATATTCTGCAGCTGCGAGCTGCGACGTTTCGGTGCTGCTTGTTGTGCACTCTCCGTGCTGTAGTTGGTTCGTATCGTCTTCCGTACCCGTGATAGCTAGCTTATCCTCCACCCACTGGACAAGTTCATCACGGGTCCTCTGCAGCGCGCGAATCTTGTTGTCACCGACATCGCTATCGGCAAGTCGTGTCGCCTGTCGATCTTGTAATTGCTTAAGCAGATATTGTTCTCTAGCGAGCTTCTCCTTGGCTCGAACCACAGTTTTCTCCAGTTTTGATATCAATTCTTGAACATTATTACCGGCGCCATCTGTCGGTCCGTCTGCCTTTTCTCTTAGTAGCCCGTCCAGATCGATACGAGTCGAGTCGCTCTGCCCGGTTGGTGGTTCAGATGTCGCAGTCCATTCCTTCAAGTGGATATCGAATACCTGCAATTTCTCGTATCGGCGACGTTCCCGGAGGAGAGCTAAATAATCGTTCAGCGCTGATTGACTGTCGGAAGTAGTGTTAGGCACAGTTCTCGAGTCAACAGCTGACTTTTTGGCCCGTCTAGATGTAATCCGATCGACCAGGTCATTGTATTCACGTCTCACAGCAATATTCTCTTGAAGCGCTTTCAAGTATTCCTTTCTTACACCAGTAACCTCGGGAGGGATCCGTTTAACATTGACGCTCGCATGGTTCGGAACGACAAGTGCGAGGTGCGAAGCGGGAAAATCACTATTGTCGTCATGGCCGTCAGTCGGGACAATGTGCGATTGCAAGTAGAGAGTCAACGCCTGGCGAATGCGGAGAGCGTCCTGCCGAGGTCGCAGGTAGGGAGCTAGTTGTTTTGCAGACGCGGGGATATTGCTATCTTCATCTCGGCTCATGTTGTCTGCTTTGCAGGAGTGTCCCCCTTTCATCGATTGTGATGGTATTTCCTCATCGGGGTTGGTTGGTGGCTTAGCATCAGCACGTGATCTAAGCTAACCGGATCCGTGTTATTATCAGGGGTCTAATAATAGCATGGATCTGTGATCACTGATCTCGCTTCAGATCTCTAGATTGAGATACATTGTGGCGGTCGCAGGCGTTCGTCGGTGATTGCTCTACGTACGTGACCCTGTAACACCCATGGCTTGACTGGACACGATTCAACGACAAAAGATGAAAGGCAGAAATAAATCGATGCCAGCTGTCGTCTCAGTGATTGGCCGCGAGGCTGCAAATACCGCTTTTACTCCGTTCTGCCAAGTTACTTCATCATTACGGTGGTAAAAACGTGCAAATACGCAATTTTTAAGGTTTTGATTCAGGCTTTTTGCTGGTTTGGGGCGTCTGATTGGTCGGCTCAGGATCCATTGCCGTTTTGCGTCCACGATGGCCAGGAACAGGACTCTGATTGGTCAATTCTTTTGTTGATAGTTTCAACCTAAGACGACCCTTTTTTTACCATACATTCATTCCCTATTCAGTAAAATACAGACAGTCAAGACATGAATATCAAAACATCCAATTATCCCGTCACACAAAGGACAATATACGAGTCTGTACTCCGTACAACATCATTGATTGCAGGATGCACGGGCATCTTATGCGATCGGCGTGGTAAGATTATAAGAAATTAAACGGAGACTCGTCGCAGCGGATGCCGCTCCGTCCCGCCACCAATCAGCCAGCTCAGCCTGAGCCCACCCCACCAGGCAATCGTGAAGCAGGATTCACTGATTCAGCTTTTCTGACTACGTATTTTCTTCTGGCTACTATTTAACATCATCTCATTCCATCTTTTCTGTTCTGTTCTCTGCTGATATCCTCTACGCCGCCGCTTCCGATCATCCCAGCTATTGACAGCCGCATCGGGATCGTGCAGATCCGCTTCCAGAAGCTCACATTCCAATTACATCGTCCTCGACTTGACCGGCTGATATTTATACGCTGTGCGATTATCACGATTACTTGCATGAACGTATCACTGGCTCGATAATATCGCAATATCAAATTAACGGATCAACTGCTTGACTCCATCTTGATCTGTCTAAGCGCAATATGGCCACCATCACAGAACGGTTCCAAGGCTTACGTCGTCCTGGCGCTTCTCTTCTCAAAAAGACTCTCCCCTCTCGACCGGATGAGCCGGTTCTGGCGCGCAAAGCTGTTCCCCCTCCAAAAGTGGTGGTCGACCAAACTGTTCCTGCTGTTACGTCTCCAACGGCGTCAAGCACTGCCAGTGCCATGCCAGGACAGGCACAATCTCCATTGAAAGGTCTCCCGCCGACACCATCTCCTTCACATCGTACACCAGCGTCGCCACTTCAGCCTCCGTCTGCATCTTCAGTTTCTTTGCCTAGTCCTGTTGCGACGACGATTCCTGCGCCTTCATCGCAAGCCCAGTCTCCACAATTCCAGGCGCAGTCTCCTCCGCCAGTGCAGGCCCAGTCTCCAATCCAGTCGCAACCGCAATCCCCTCCCCAAGTCCCAGCACAACCAGCAAACCAATCCGGACGCCCTCCACGAACCACATCTCTAAGCAGTCCCCAGAACAACACCTTCCAAGACCGCCGACCCCCTCAACACCGACAAATCACAAACCTTCAACCAAACCCACGTCCCAATTTCAATCTCAACCCTAACCCCCAACAACAGCAGCAGCAACAACAACAAAATCAATCCAAACGACCCGTTAGCGAAGCCCCCTCACTCTCCCAATTCATCCCCGACCCCGAACCAGAACCAGAACTTAGTCTCCCCGACTCCGAGCAAGAACCAGATCTAATCCTCGACAACAACTCCTCCGAATCCAGCAACGTAAGCAGCAAGACTCCATCCACAGATAGCAGCAGCATCTCACCAGGCCTCAAACAATTCCCCGATGGCTATATCCCGCCCATCCCGGAACCAATGATCATCCCGCCGTTGACGAACGTGCATTACGGCTGTTTCCAATCTCATACGTTCATGCCCCCGACTAGTAATGTCTGGTATGCGACGGCGTGTATGACGTGCAAGAAAGTGGATCAGGAGGTTCGACATCGGTGCACGTTTTGTTGTATGCGGATTTGTGCGGGGTGTTTTGACGAGTTGAAGAAGTGTAAGAATAGGGATTTGAGGGAGCTGATGTCTCATTTGGGTTGATCTTCCTTCTCTTTCTGCTGTTGTTTCCGGATGAGGCGTTTACATCATTTACACCATCTTTTACGTCTACTTTGTTTAGCTATGATATTGTTCATGCGTCGTTTGATATGTTTTATCTCGGGTTTTTTATATTATTATGGATATACCCCGGACATTTGTTTATACCGCTTGCTTATACTAATCACGTCAATCTATACCATTTCATTCAAATCAACCTTGGAAGTACAAGTATAGCACATATAATCGTACATGGGTATATCTATCCTATTATATACATACATCATCATAAATCATTACCCTTCCAGATATCAGACTAATCATGATCCTCCTCCGTAACACCAGGACACCCTTCCATCTCCTCCGAGTCATAACGATACTTACACCAAAAACAATACCAATACTTTTCTCGCATATACATCACCAACTTCTGTAATTTTTCCGGATTGGGCAATCCGTTAAAGTCGTCGAGTTCGGCATCTTCTTCGTCGTTTTCCTCATCTGGGTCGAGGGTTTGTTCCACGAATGTTATATCTTCTTCTTTTGTGTTTTGTAATTCATGAGCGTCATCATCATCGTTGAAAGTAGGTAATCGCGGTTTTGGGAGATGTCGCCTCGTCTCTGATGATGATAATGAGTCCTCGAATATAAGACGAGCTAGTTTCTCCTGTTCGCGCTGAAGCCGCTCGCGCACAAGTCCTCTATACAGCACATTCACCTCTTTCAGCGGCTTGTCTTTCTTCCCTTTTACTTTCTTCTCTTCTTGCTCATCGGCCTCGGTCTCCAATTTCTCAAGCACTTTCTGCGCACCAACAACTAATCCCTCACACCTCCTCTCCTCCCTCTCAGCGCGCATCCGATCCCGATACTCACCTTCATCCGCTTTGGGTCTCTTATCGACGTGATCAGTCTCCTGTCTAAATTTCCGTTTCCGTTCACTATCCAATCCGATTCCGCCCCGGTCCTCTTTGATGATTAATCGTAACGGTTCGGCGCGTGATTGGATCCAGGCTGATACTTCATTTCCCTCGTGTAAACTTTCCCTTTCCGCATTTTCCTCGGATTTATCGGATCCAGCTGACCCTGCCACCTTCACCTGTGGAGGTGGTGGAGGGGAGACCTTCTTCCCCAACTTATCCCCCGCCTTAAACCCCAATTTCGCCATCATCTGAAACCCCTTGTTCGACGGGTGGAGTACGCTCTCGCTCAGCGCTGTTTCGCGTCTCGTGGCCTCGGCAGCTGCGCGTTCGGCTTTGGAGGGTACGCGAGCTTTTGCTTCTGACTGTCTCTCATATCAGACATGACTCGATTCTGATGCAAGGCATTGATTGAATTGAGCGGGGAAATGGACAGACGGGACTAACCTCGCGCTGTTTCCGGAGTTTGCGCTGCGTGAGCGTTTCCCGTTGTTGTTGGGCCGGTTCTTGGATTATCATTGACATGTAATCTTCCTCGTCGTCGTCGTCGCCGACGTCATTGGCGACAGGCTTGTGATTTTGCGGCATAATGGTGGTTAGTATCGGCCGTATAAAAAATGCCGAATGGTTTTTCTTTTTATGTTTCTTTCAATCGAGTTGGATAACCCCGCAAAAGTTTCGGTACTTAAAAAAATCTGGGGAATCGGAGAAGGTCAGCTGTTCATGGACGGATGATGAGATTCTATAGCGCACTATGCCGTTACGGGATTAGTGTGTATTGTATACTTTCTTGATTAGGAAATAAGCTGGATTATGGTCAATTATCTTGTTTTGAGGATGTTTTTAGTGCGAATTAACATTGAAATAAAGGATAATTAAGTGGTGATAATTAGCTGCGTTGAAGTATGCTAATTTGCAGTTCACTGGAAGTGGATGGTAATCCTAAGGTGTGGTGGACAGGCGACGAGGTCTGTAGAATACAATTCTCTATCCTAGGCTTGGTACTCCTTTAGCTCGGATTTAGTTCTACTATATGTTCACACATATATATTCTAGCATTGAAATTAACTGCCTCAAGAGTTGTTCTAGCTTTCATATATCCAGGGATGCTAGCTGTCCCGTTCATATTCTATCAATGTCGACACCCAAATCATCAACGAGAGCATTCATACCCTCCTCAGACATGAAATCAAACCACACAATCCTCGACAAAATTTGTTAGTACGCGCTCAACGACCTTATCCCAAATCCTGCAATCTCCGTTGCCAGCCACTGATGAAAGAATCCATCTGACCTTTCTGCTATAGCCCCAATCGTTAGTAACCATATCCAAAGTGATCGGTCAATAGCTGAAACATCATCTTTGAGCAATTCCAACCCCTGATGTAAATTTTTTAAATATACATCCACAACTACAGGACTAATCCCGGATCGTCGTCGAAACTCGGCCAAGTACAGCAATGCGCCTGATCGCAGGCATGCGCCGATGGATAGAGGTAAGTCTAACCGTGCCGATGGAGAGAGAAACTTTCGTACGACCGGGTCGACGAGACGGTCGATTTCTATCGGGGTGATTGTTTGCCATAGACTCTTTCCGAGTGCGGAATGTAGAAGGATCAGCTGGGTGTTTAATGAATGTAGAGCTGTGAAAGCGTCAATAAGTCCAGGGGAGACGAGGCTGTTGTTCAGGTAGGTGATTATTTGATTTCCATCTGGTGGTAATAGATAAGATTCAACAACTTCATGGGCAACTGGATCTGTCGTCTCGAGTATAGGCGGAGTGTCAAGATCATAAGAGCCGATTGAATCAACCCTTGACATGTATTAGTAGACGTAAGTGACAATAATTAATTTGTACTTACCATTCAACAAGTCCTATCAACCTAGGATTCCAATCCCTCCTAATCTCAAAAATCCGCGTTATAGCAGCCATATGCATCTTCCAAGACTCCATATCCAAACATAAATGCGCATAACAAGCCAACGACACAATCGCCGCGGCAACTTTTTCCAGTTCGTCACCGGTACTACCTAGATTCAATCTAACGTATACCAGTGTCTTTGTATGACCCGAGAGAATTATTTCGTTCAGATCATTATTGATGTTGTCTCTGGTGGTAGCTTGCTGCCAGTTAAGAAGGTGCTTGGCATATGTTGACAGCATCTGGTCAAAGACTGATGAATTGCCGATTGTGCTTGGAAACCATTTGTCGCGGTAGATGCGGAGATAGGATGTAATGAAGTCGGAGAACACTTGAGATATGTTAGAGTCGTTAATTGATATTTGAGGAGTCCCGGGGAAAATGCATACTGTGAGAGAGTATGCGGCGGGCGTTGGCATCTAATAGTGTCGGATACCCCAATCCCATCTCCAGTGAAGGTGGTAAATAAGTATTCAATTGATCAGTCTGGCTGATCCATTCGGCCATATCAGATGAATGCGTTCGTTTCTCCTTGTCTGGCTTAGTATTTACTTTCTTTCGTCTCGAGAACCCAATCTCGCGCATCACTCTTCTTCGCATCAGCGACCGTTGGGCCTTTGTTGGACAAATACATGTTGGTGAGGATGTGACGAACAGCCATGGACTGAGTATATCAGACTTGGCTGTCATGCTTGATTTTCTCTATGCGGTTTATTTGAGTACATGAGATGAGGTCATGGGAAAGACTGAATCGATTTTGGTGTTTGTTAGTCTCCGCCTGCTCTAAATGATATCATCTCTCTACAAATAGAGTTAAGCACGATAAAATAGACGACTTTCTATAGTCATTTCAATTTCTTTTTAATCTCCAGTTCACCTAATGAGGGACGCGGGAAAAAAAATTGAAAATGGTGGTTATAAAAAGCAAAAAGTTAAGGGGCTAACTGGGAATCGAACCCAGGACCACTCCCACCCTAAGGGAGTATCGTACCACTAGACCATCAGCCCGGGATATCTAGATTTGCCGTTTTTGTTATGATAACCCTAATTCAAACTCCTCAGTCTGCTGCATTAAGCCCTAAAAAAAAATACATGTCGGAGTTCTGATAGACAGAAGCTTGAGTTCTAATAATGTCCTGCAGTCGTCAAGCTAAACATCAATGCTAATTTACCAGGCAGTGAATTCCACTTGATGCAGAGACTTAGGTAACATCAATTGATCCTTCCAGGAACACCCATCAGGGCATCATATTATATATATATATCGATGAATGTTGGTTGCTTCGTGCAATCGAGATGCCTGGCCAGTGACTGGTATGCAGCAAGGAGAGGTCACGTATGGCTTACACGTGACCTCGTCAAGCAAGGACTATATAGACCGCGTCGGGGCCTCACTAAGACAGATAGACACAAGAGAACACAGAACCGAAGAATCACCTATTGAGATTGACTCAAGTGCTTCGTACGTACGTATATGCACCTTAGTGCACCCACAGATATGCTAGGTTTTAAGCTTCAACTGTCCGACTAGAGGGTAGCGTTGATGCAACACAGCAAGAATTGGAGCAAACGGGAGAGGATCTCGAAAAGGCTCGGAAAGCTGAAGATGAGGCTGACAAAGTTCTAGCTGAAACTATCTCTTTGGACCTTATTGGGCCTGTCTTTGAAGAAGAGATTACGACTCACCTGTCAGATATATTCTCTAAGGATGATAGGAGTACGTATTACAATTCCATGTTAGATCAGCATGATACTAACTTTTCTATAAGCCTGGCCTGGTATCAAGGAATGCTCCAATTTTATTTGGTACGGTCAATGGGCCAGCCAAAGGGAAAAGAGGGAAAGAAAGATATATCACGAACCTACCACCTGATATCGGGGAAATATATCAAATCTGGCATACGGAAAATGGACACCCTTACGCTCTACAACAGGAGTACGTACGAAGCAAACCGCCAGGATCTTGACGGATGGTGCGAGACGGCTCTTAAGGAAATCAAAGCCCTTGCTGGAAGCGTAAGTCATCCAACTAGGTAGTTAGAGTGAGTGACTAGCCAGTCTTTTCTCGCGGGGCACCAGCAGTATTATTCGCGGAGTCGAAGACAACATCCAAACTATCGTTGACACAGCTACAGCTGAAGACGGCTTTTTCGTTGAGTAGAACTTCGAATTCCTTGACTCTGTACCTTTTGGTGGAATAAGGTGGTTTTCAAAAGCCCATGCTATTTTCTCAAGTCCCTTAATCTACTAGGACACGTTTATTACTGGCCTTTTTTTCTCAGTGCATTTTCTGTAAAATAAACTGTGTAATTTACTTTTAGGTGTCGTCGCAACGGAAGTCATTGTCATTGAAGAAAAGGATGATTATCGTCGTCAGTCAGACTGTCGGCCGTCCGACGCGATAACCCAAGATCAGCATGCTTCGGAACCGTCTACCGGTCGCAAACGCAAAAGGGATGTTGATGATCTTTATTCCAAATGTGTAAGTCTTAGCTTGAAATATTGTTGCGCTTCTCTACTAACTATTAAAAGCATGACTCTTCAAAGAAGTACCCCTGACAAATTCTTTCCATTTTGTAGTTTTCTCTGGATTATGTCGAGATAGCAAATACAGTGAAATACAAAGAAAGAGTGAGACATAAATGAATAAACTGCAGAAAGCCACCAAATATGGAAACTCACAACGATCAGCAAAGAGTTACGAAAATCTTCGAGAACGAGGTCTTCTGCAAAGCCGTAGCTGTTCTTGGTGCTAAGACCTGTAGGGTTTGAGAACGATAGCCCTAACATCGACTCAGGATATCGTTCAATCTAAAACATATACCTAAATTGATAGTGCACTAGTAGAATAGCTAAGATGTAGACTCGAAGTTAATCTAATTGTAATATAATATTCTACATATAAAATCACTCTTATAGACACTGCATCATTTAGCACGTATTTTCGGCGGCTAAGAGTTCCTTTCTGAGGTGGATTGCTCGTATTTGAGCAGATTTCCTAAGCTGGGTATTTCTGAATGATAACTAACCATGCCAGGTTGGCATTGTATGTTTTGACAACCATACACGTTTTGTCCTTGACGCTTTGTTATCTCGTGGAGCTGGATGCTCAGAAATGAAACATGTCGCGGCGCCGCGAGACCCTTTCTTCCCCGAATAGCATTTTGGCTGAACACGGGTATTTTGAGCAGATTTGCTCCGTATGATGGAGCATTTTGCTCAACGACAGAGGTATAGACAATATTTAACTCCTGACGTGACTTTATTTTTATTCGAGAGATCTCCTTCTTTTCCCTTCACATTCTTACTGCAGAACCTTCACCATTTCTTCGCTCTTCTCCAGCGCCTTCAGGTGATATATACCCTGCCTAACCACTCGTAATTATACATCTTATACATCGATATGTGGCTGACATTTGATAGTGAAGAAGGCCTTCTAAGAATGCTTTCCAAAGATTCAGGGTCCGACCCCAAGGGACCTACCCGAACGATCGATGACCACCCCGAAGACTCTGACACCTTGAGTTTGGAGCAAGAAAACGAGAGGGAAATTATCGAACATCCTCAGGATGTAACCCAAAAGGCACAGGCTGGAGTGCAAAAAGCAGAAGCAGCGGCGCTGGTGTGGTCCAAGCCGGCTCTGTATAGTACATATGTTCTGTAAGTTGGAGCAGGCAACCTTCCTGATCAAATCGGCTTTTCAGATTACACGTGCACACAATGCTAATGCAACCGGTTTACAACAGGATCTGGGTCTGTTTCTTCGTTTTGTCCATGCAATCCTCTATCAGTAACAACATGATATACTACGCCTACGCAAGCTTTGCTTCAGCGCCACAAATCTCCCAATCTTTCATTCTAGCAACAATCATCGGCGGAGTAATCCAGCTTCCCATCGCAAAGATGCTCAATCTATGGGGTCGTGCCGAGGGTTTCCTGATCTTTCTATCCATCTTTATCCTTGGTCTCATCGTGATCGCCTCCTGTGATGGACCGAAGGGATTTGCAGCTGGCTACACCTTGTATAATGTCGGCTACACAGCTTTGAACTTTATCTTGAGTGTCTTCGTCGCTGACGCATCCGGCCTACGGAATCGAGCGTTTGCCTACGCCTTTACCGGGACTCCATCGATCTGTACCGCATTTGTTGGCCCGCTCGCTGCTCAAGCTCTTTATGAACATTCGACCTGGCGTTGGGCTTATGGATGTTTTGCTATTATTGCCTTTGTCATATTTACCCCTCTTGCTCTGATCTTCAAATTTTATCAACGAAAGGCGGAGAAACTGAACATTCTCGTGCGGGAACACAGTGGTCGCACTTTGTGGCAGTCAATCGTTTATGTTTTCCATGAGTTCGACGTTATTGGAGTCTTTCTACTTATGGCCGCCTTCATTCTATTCCTACTACCCTTCAGCCTCGAGACCTACGGCTACAGCGGATATTCCTCTGCAACATTCATTGCCATGGTTGTAATTGGCATCCTACTATTCCCGGTATTCATTGTTTGGGAGCGGTTCTTTGCCAGAACCGAGTTCATCAAGTGGAGGCTTTTTAGGTCACGGACAGTCATTGGAGCTTGTGGCTTGTCTGCTGTCATCTTTTTCAACTACTATGTCTGGGATCAGTATTTTTACTACTATGTACAAGTTGTCTATAACCTCGACACATCGAAAACTGGATACATGACGGAGATTTATAGTGTAGGGTCGACTATCTGGGCTGTGATGTTTGGTATTTGGATCCGCCAGACCAAACATTTCAAAAACATTTGCCTCTATTTCGGCGCGCCGTTGATGCTACTTGGAGCAGGTCTGATGATTCACTTCCGTGGCACGCAAAGCCAGATTGGATACCTTATAATGTGTCAAATACTCATCGCCTTTGGAGGTGGAACCCTTGTCATCGGCGATGAGATGGCCGCCATGGCTGCCGCAGATCGTGACGGCGTCCCCTTAATGATCGCCATGCTCAGTCTGTCCTCTAGCATTGGAGGGGCTATCGGATACGCTGTTGCAAGCGCTATATACACCAACACCTTCCCAAGCGCTTTGTTAAGAGCCCTCCCGGATTCTGCCAAAGCGGACTATGAGACCATCTATCTTGGAGGTTCGACCACTCAGCTACAGTATCCTCCCGGCAGTGATGTTAGAAATGCGATCAACTACGCTTGGGCACAGAGCCAAAAGTACGAGTGTATTGCGGCTGCAGCTGTTGTAGTTCTCGCATTCCCAGCTATTGCTGTTTGGAAGAACTATAATGTTGATAGGAAGCAAGTGAAGGGAACTGTAATCTAGGCTCTGCATGCATACAATGTGGGCCCTAGTTAGGAATTTGAGAATGTTAGCTATAGCAGTTGTAAGTAGTTACCAATTAGTAATTCGCATAACAGAACACAATGGTATAACCTTGGAAGTGCAGGGTTGACTAGAATCACGGCTCGATGCATCCGTGAGAACTGAACCTTTAATCATAAGAGCTTTAGAATATACAATTGTGTAATAAGACCCATATACATAGTATTGATTGAGATGCATGTAGGAATAGATATGGATAAATTTCTGTCTACTCCTCTATTACCACGTGAAGTACGAAGTAGTGCATGAAATCTAGTTCCTGCACAGTAAAGTAGGTCCACTCTACGGCCCTCGACTAAGGCATGTATCTAGCAGAGCCTAAAGTTCTAGCTTGTCTTAGCCTATAAAAATGTGCTCAATTCCACGCACTTAGGGCTGTATTAGTTATATCTGGCCAATGTATGGAATCCAGCAGCGATATTCTCCCATATGTTTTCATGCTTCTCATATACACATGTCGTGATTCATTTACATGCAATGTAACACTCGCTTCACTGATTGCTAGCTGCATATACGAGTCAGCCTACTACTGACTAGATACATAAACTTCGTCTAATTACTCAAATCCCGTTCTGACCACAACATCCTATTGCGAACTGACAGCTGAAGTGTCGTCCTTGTCCTCCTCTGACTTCTTCACACTTTTCCACTCCAAAAAGCAAGCAGCCGCAAGAGCCGCCAACATCAGCGCTAAACTCACTCGATAGGTATCCTTCAAACCAACCACGTAAGCAAGAATCACACCATCCAACTGATCTAACTGGCCAAGTTGAGTGAGCACCTTTCTCATTTCTGTCGCCCCGGCGCCGGTAATTTGACTTGCATCAACAGTGGGGGCATAGATGTCAATGCCTCTTATCAGACCATTTTGAAATACGGACTGTCCCACTGTCAGAAACACGGCTCCACCAAGTGTCTGAAAGAACATTACGGCGGATGTTCCAACAGGAATGTCCTCCGGCTTCAGGACCGTTTGCACTGCTGTCGCGGGGACTTGAAGACCAGCACCAACACCGGCACCGACTATGATCTGGTATCCAATCCATTTACCGGCGGATATGTCGATATCATATAGGGTCATGAGACCTGTCCCGATGGCGGCGATAGCAGTGCTTCCAATCAGAAATGGGGTGTAGTAGCCGAACGTAGTGACCAGGGCACCCACTACCACAGAGGAGACAACAGTGAGGAGCATAAAAGGAAGCATTTGAAGGCCAGCAGTCATCGCGGAGGAATCCTTCACGCTTTGAAAGTAGATGGGGATATAGTAAACCAGGAGGAAGAAGCTTCCACTGAAGAAGAATGCAAACAGTCCGGCAGACCAGACAGTTCGCTGTTTCAGGATGGAAGGTGGTAGTGTTGCCCTTTTGCTGTCTGCAGCATTTTTCTCATCTTGCTTGTCCAAATACACCTGAAATCCGGCAAAGAGTATGGCTATCACACCGAAGCCGACGAGCAGTCCAATTATTTGAGAACTTCTCCAGGAATAGCTATTTCCACCCCATTGCAAGGCAAGAATCAAGCAAACGACAGCAGAAATAAGCAGAGTGGCGCCTATGAGATCAAGCTCTCTGACACGGTTCCATAGCTGTATAGATCTGTTGTCGTTGTTGCTTGGAAAGCGGAGGATGAGAATAATAACAGCCATAGAAACACCACCAACAGGGAGATTGATGTAAAAGCACCATCTCCACGAGATCCCATCGGTAAAAGCTCCTCCCAGCAGTGGGCCTACAATAGAGGCTATTCCCCAGACCATGCCATAGATACCAAAGACAAGAGGTCGTTTGTCCAAGGGGACTGTCTTGGAGATAATCACTAAAGCGCCGGAGAAGATGCCCGCCACACCGATTCCTGCGATGGCTCTTCCCACAATCAACGCTGTGCTGGAGGGGGCTACACCGCATATAAGTGATCCAATTTCAAAGATGCCCACGGCTGTCAAGAATCCCCATTTGACCTACGTTATAGTCAGTGATATAGTCTTCACAAGGCAAGGGGCGATAAGAGAGCAAACTCACGTTAAAAGTTTTGTATATTCTGCCGTACGAGGGCTGCAGCGCAGTGGAGGTCAAGAAATATGCGCTGCCATACCAAGCTATATCCGAAAGACTTCGAAACTGGTCGGTGATCTTTGGAATGGCCACTCCTATAATGGTCTGGTCGAGGGCCACTAAGAAGGCAGCTAGGTAGATAGCAAGGACAATTATAATCACTTTGCTGAGTGGAAGATATTCTTGCTCTCTGCTAGAATCTGTAGCTTCGACATCACCTGTCTTTTCACGGGTTGTCGTCTGGTAGGTATCCTTCTCCTGTGAAACCCGAAGGTCTGGGGCATGGCTGTCTTGAATCATGACGATGGACGGTTGGAATAAGGGAGATGAGACGAAGTAGCACAATTTCTAAATTGGAAAGGTGACACTAAAAGAAAAAAGGAGAAACTCAGTCAGCTATTGTCCAGTATTGCTCTCAGTTCGGCACGCAATATAGTCTACAGGACTTTGAATAAATCTTTTGATTCTTCAGACAATACGAGCGTGTTGGAAGACTTTCATCACGTTGTGAAGAGTCATAGCAACAAGACCCGTAATAGATTACAAATGCCTCAAATCTGCTATCAGTAGTGCAATACGACCTGCAAGTGTCAACTCTAGGAGAATGGGCTGACTAGCTTCTGAATACAGCGTGAATTTCAACGGGTCCTTTCTAAGTAAATTCAGGCCCATATTGTCTCGCTAAGAAACAGCCAATACGTATCCAATATACTGGAAAACATGCTCACTCCATAAACTATAACTACCTCAGGACATTGCTTAGCCAGGATTTCATGAGGAACGCACAATCATTCTTTCAGTGATATGCATCAATGCCGTCCTCGTGGCGCATGGGCTGATAATTGCCTCAAAAATACTCAATGCGAAGCTAAATAGAAAACTTTAATTCAACATATTATCAAATGCTGAATCGTAACTAGTAGAAGAAGACCCACGATTTTGGGGGCCTTTGGCATATTATCAAGCCTAATATAACGAACTCCAGTCAACATGCTTAGAATAAGCTCTATATGTACGTGTGGGAAAAGGCTCCTGATAGGAACGAAGAATAGATGACAAATAGAAATCGTTGATGTTACCTTGCCTGTTAGTGATGCCGAGGAAGGAAGGAACAAGTCAGCCTTCTTCTTTGAAAAGACGGTTTCTCCTTCACCTCACTCTTCTCTTCAGATAGTGACACCGCTGGATAAGGCTTCAAGAAACACAAAGGGCTAGTATTGAGAGCTCTAAGTGACATAGCTATGGCATCCGTCAGTACGCATTGTCACGATTCTGCACAGAAGCAGGTACTCTCTAGTGCTGGCTATGGTGATAACTCTCTGCAAGTTGTTGATGAAGTTGAGAAAGTGACTCGGCTTATCCTGGATATCTTTCTGGAGAATGCATTGAACAAGTTCCAATTCTCAGAATCCAACCCTGAAAGTTCCGAAAACAACTTTCTTTCAGTCATAAGTCGATTTGTGTCTGAAGGGAAGCCAGTACATGCATGTCTCCCTGCATTTCCATTCAAGTCGGCGAACAAGGTGTATAAAGTACTTGGCCCCCTGCCGGATAAGGCAGAGGAGCTTGCTCTACAGCGTTTGAATTCCATGTGCCAGCGAATTCAGGAGATCTATGCCCCTGGAGCCGAGATTCTCATTATCTCAGATGGAATTACCTACAATGGTATGTTGACACCTCCTCTATTCAAGTTCAATAAGTCTCACATAAACAAATGGCCGAATTCAGACTTGTTATGCATTTCTGATCAGGAAACTTGGGCCTACGGAGAAGCTCTTCGCCAAATGGTAATCCAGAAAGGATTCAACAGCATCTCATTCGCCAGAATCAAGGACCTTCTCGACGTGCATGTTCCACCAAAAATGAGTGAAATTGTTTATGTGGCCAATTGCACCAATTTCCGTCGTCTACTTCTCAACCAGTACGGCAAACCCGATCTCGATATCGATCATGAAATTGCCACCAATGTCAATACCAAATTGACATATCTAGGATACAAGAGATTTTTGGAATCTGATCTTCAACACATTTTCCGACGTGGTGAGAATAGATCTGCGCATAGATACAAACAAGATTGCAAGTATCTGGCGAAACAAATGCTTATTAGGGGATATGTAGGTCAATAGGGCTTTTTTTTAATTAGCTGCTAACCGAAAATACAGGCGTTTGCAGGTGCAATCAAGAGCGCATTTCCAGACCATCTACGGCTTTCCATCCACGAGTCCATTGATGGGACTAAGCTGCCCATCAGTTTACTGAACACTAGGACCGGCTTTACGACTCCATGGCATTGCAGCGTCGCTCAGTTAGCAGATGGCATGTGGGTTAGTGCGCCCATGGGTGAATTCAGCCAGGATGACCGTCTGGAGCTTGTATATGAGAATAGCCGGCCTAGTCACTTTAGGGAAAAGCCTCATTACGAGGGTGGTATTCCTATCAGCGAGGAAACCGCAAACTATCTCCGAAAGCCTAAATCCATCACTACAAGCCAGTATATTGATGGGGCTTCTAAAGTCTCGTTATGTCGCGTGCCATCTTCCAGTGGCGCTTCTACCATTTCATCAGGGGATAGTAACTGTGACAGTCCATCCAAGACGTCCGAAGTTTCGTCTACTCTTGATGATTTCTCTCTACCTCAATCAAATCCAGAGAGTGTTGTCAAAGAAATCACCACCACCACCGCCCAGCCAGACAATACCGCACTATATGGCAGAAGACTCATTCCTCAGATAATGGATGACTTGGCCGCTACCAAACCAGATCAAACTGTTTTCTCACTTACATATCTCTCCAATGGATCACTTGGGTCTAAACCCATATCCGCTCAAGAGTTCGCGAGAGCTGTTGACAAGACTGCTTGGTGGCTTCGCAGTCAGGTTGGAGCACCAGACTCGATTCAACCTGTAGCTTATATTGGTCCCCGTAAGTTGCCGTATCTAAGCCTGGAATATCTAGTACCCACTAACAATAATATATCGGTTTAGATGATCTACGACATGTATTATTGACTTATGCATGTGTCAAGGCTGGTTACGCGGTATGCTCAACATGGAAATTCTTGTCTTCGGATAGCTGACTTTGACGTTCTATCTCTGCAGGCTTTATTCCTGTCACCCAAGAACAACACGGATGGAGTCCTCGCAGTCCTAGAGGCGACAAACTGCAATATATGGGTTAGTGCAATCGGTGGTCTACCTATTACTCTGTGTGACGAGGTCCTTCAACGGCGCTCCATGAAACTTTTGCGGCTCCCTTTGCTTGACGAACTTCTTGATGCGGGCTCGACTGAGCCCTTCCCTTACACTAAAACTTTTGATGAAGCCATAAACGACCCTTTCTGTTTTCTACATACATCTGGAAGTACTGGATTGCCAAAGCCCATTCCGTGGTCTAACGGCCTGATCGGCACCATGGACGCGATCAGGTTACTTCCTCCAGTGGGAGAGAATGCGGATCTGGTTCCATGGACAACTGGTTGGGATGAAGGGGACAAGATATACTCTTCTTTCCCAATGAGTCACGTAAGCAACATCGCTTCCCTATTGCATTGTGCGCAACGATGTGTGAAAGCTGACCGGCTAGTAGGGTGCCGGAATTATCATGGATATCTTGATGCCAGCACTTTTCAATCTTCATTGCGTCTTGGGACCGGTAGGCGTTTTACCTAACCTTAATCTGGTGGTAAGACTGGCCGAAGATATCAAAATCGACATTTGGAGCATGGTCCCATCTTTGGCCGATGAGTTGGGTGAAACACCCGAGATTCTGGTGAAACTCAAAACAAGCAAGTTTATATGTGCCTCTGGTGGTCCAGTAAGTCCAGTGAGCACTGGAAAGTTGAACGAAGTGGTTCGCGTGATCAACCTGACTGGGACTACAGAAGGTCTCTTCATAGGGAATCTGATACCCAAAAGGGAAGACTGGTTTTGGTTCTGCTTTCACCCCTACTCTGGCTTCGAGTTCAAGAAACTTGATGACGACACTTACGAACATTGGATTCATCGTAACGAGAACTGGCCTCTTTTCCAGGGTATCTTTCATACTTTTCCCAAAAAGGATTCGATCAACTTTAAGGATCTGTACATGAAGCACCCAACTCAACCCAACCATTGGGCTTTCAAGGGAAGAAGCGACGATATCGTCGTTCTATCCAATGGGTACAAAATATCACCCTTGGAGACAGAGGCATTTATCAGCACTCATCCAGCCATCAATGGATGTCTAATTTTTGGAACGGGAAAGCCCCAGGCAGGTCTGCTCATCGAATTGAAAGACCCGTCGGAGAAGCCAGCTGCGCTTTTCGACAGTATCTGGGAAACAATCCGGACGGCCAACTCAATGTCTCGACACAAAAATCAGTTATTGCGGGATTTCGTCACATTTGCACTACCCGAAATGCCCTTTCTTCGGACAGACAAGGGGACTGTAAAGAGGGCAGCCACATTGGCCTTGTATGCCGAGTATATCGAGCGTTTCTACAGCTCACGAAGTGATGATCTGGATGAGGGTATCGTTTTGGATATGAGTTCTTCAGAATCGATTCAAGACTCAATTCGTACAGTTCTCAGTTCTTCACTTCCTGAGGCTCGGGAAGCGCTTCCAGACACGGATCTTTTTGAACTTGGCCTAGACTCTCTCGGTGCCTTCGCAGCCGTCAAGGCAATTCGTCACTCTTCGGGGGAACTATGCGACAAGATCGGTCCTCGACACATTTACGCAAATCCAACTATTGCTAGCCTATCCGCTGTCGTCGAACAGCTGGTAATGGAGGCGCAAAATGATGGTGACTTAACTTCGTTGGATAATTCTCCGGAAAAAGAAGTGTCTAGAATGAGTGATATGATCGCTCAGCACAAATTGCGTCAATCTTTCCGCTTGAATGCATTCGACTACGTAAACCCGAATCATGGTATGGGAATTGTCCTCTACTTCTCGATACACGAAGATGCCTCCTTCGAACAAATTTTTGCCAACCTTCAAGAGGGTCTCAATCGAACGTTTGATATGATACCAGGCCTCAGCGGTAAAATCATGGAATGCTCCCCGCAAGAGATTGGCTACACCAAGGGAGATCTCTGCGTGACAATTCCACCATTGTCTATGGCCTCTGCTACTAAAGATCGCCTAGTATATAAAGATCTTTCCAGCATTCTTCCTTCTTTTGAAACGCTGCGTGAAGCTGGTTTCCCACCATCCGCGTTTAAGGATAGTCTTGTTCTGCGCGATGATCCATTTCCGAAATTCCCCGCTGACATCTTCTCCGGACAAGTCAACTTCGTCTCAGGTGGCTGTATTATTGCGGTTGACCTGAACCATTGCTGTCTCGATGGTCTTGGAGCTATGGTTGCCCTCAAGGCATGGGCAGAGAACTGCAGATTCCTGCAAGGAGATCGCTCCGCAACCTGCAGTTGGTATGATCCTGAGAGCTTCAACCATAGTATACCGGGGATTATTCATGAAATGGAAAGTTGGGACCGACCTGTCGAGGATATCGATCATGGAACATGGGGATTCCTTCCATTCTTCCTACCCGATGAGAAGAAAAACGGTCTACTCATTCCTGGTGATAACACAACAGCTAAGAGTAAATTGCCCCCTGTCCCTGACTTCAAGCTGCACAACATTTGGCCACTTCCGCAGGCCGAGAGATGTTTAAGGACGACGCTGTTTCTGATAAGGCCCGAGAAGCTTGAAAAGATGAAACAAGCTGTCCTTGAGGACCCAGAGGCAAAGGGGATTATCAAATCCATCAGTGACATCGTACAAGCCTTCTTCTGGCGAGCGGCTATCAGGGCGCGATACCGGGTAGCTAAGCACATTCGGAAGCAAACCTTCGGGCCTGACGAGCTGTCTATTCTTGAGCTACCAACGGACGGACGTCCATACTTTTCTTCCCTGTTGCCATCAACATACATGGGCAGCCTGCTTATTCTCAACCGATCAGCCATGCCGATTGAAGAGCTCTGTTCTGATAAAACAAGCATCGGGCGAGTTGCTTACTTACTTCGTCAATCTGCCGCACGCATTACTCCTTCAGTTGTCCACGACGCGTTTTCGATCCTGCAGTCACTACCAGACCATAGTCGATTCTCGACCGCCAATATGGGTCTTGAGCATATGCATGCCATGATCTCCAACATGGCGCTATTCCCAAGTAATGAAATTTGCTTTGGAGATGGATTCTTTGCCAATGGTGGTATTCCAGAGTCTCTGCGTCCGCAGATCGAGCGTGGAAATGGCCGTTTCCGTTTCCTGGTTATCTTCCCTATCAAGAAAGATGGAGGTATAGAACTTGTTTTGGGCACGCACCCAGAAGAGTTGGAGATGTTTCAAGCAGACAAAGATTTTACGAAGTATGCAGAACTCGTCGATACTTGTTGCTAAGCGCCATTCACGTTGTGTCTTGTATGTACTCAATCAGGATTTATCACTCAGATATTTCCAAGGTTCGTTGTTACAATGCAATTTTACCAAGTGATGCAATTGGAAATCAGAAACTGTCATGTAGTAACAGGTTCTTAGCTAGCAAAAGATTTTTGGTTACTGTTTTTCAGATTTCAAATTCACATAACACTAGTGAAAAAGAGAACAACAGATTCAATTGATATGTGCAGAGTCCTAATTGATTGATTTGAAATCTCACACAAGGCCCTAACGCGGAGCCCTAAACCCTAATACCGCACACAGAAGGTACCGGAAAGCTTAAGTTGTAGAAGCTGGTGCCAACCAATGTTAAATGAGGCAGATCAGAGTAATGGAAAGTCATCAGGGTATATCGGCAAGAGAAGAAATTGTATTATTGGTGAAGTGCACAGCGCAGCGAGGCCCAACTGGCCTACCAATTAGGAAGAAACACGTATTAAAGCGAGGGGTTTTGATTCTTCATTATAGAGGACAATTCCTGCTAGCAAAAGCACAACTTTGTCAAGAAGGAAGCAAGGAAGCAGGAAAAAAAATCAAGCCTTCAGTTGAAAAATCATAGTATCATCTTGTTGCTATCAATTTCACGAGATTGAGGGTAAAACAAACCCTGATAAATCTAACAATAAGTTGAAGCAGATGTTCTGTTCGAATATTCCACTGATAGACATAAAAGATTGGACGCCCGTCATATCGGGCTGATGGTCTAGTGGTACGATACTCCCTTAGGGTGGGAGTGGTCCTGGGTTCGATTCCCAGTTAGCCCCTCATTTTTTGCTTTTTACCATTCATAAAGATCCGTAGGACATGACTGCTATTTCCCCCTCCCCTTTCACTCGAGTGAACTGAGCCTTATTCTTCTTCTTTGGTAGAACCACGATCTACCAGAATAGCTACATATCCAATTGCAACTGCACACCCAAGGCCCGCCAGACCAATCGATGTATAGAAAGCAGCCCTATAACCCTGAAGTACTTGCTTTCCATTATCATTAACGTGAGATTCAACTGTAACGGCAATGGAATAGTTGATTACAGTATTCACGAGTGACGCCGAGAGTCCCTGATGTTGGGCGGGAACCGCATCGCTGAGAACAGTGGCAGAAGCTGGGAATGAAATGTCCATACTATTGCATTGCAGCTTAGCATTAGACATGACTTCTTTCAAACGTGAAATATGAGGAGTGCTGCTTACCCCCAGGCCATTATCACAAACGACCAAAACGTATTAAACCAGTATGATTGCTCCACCGGTGCCAATGCTTGGAGTATACACCCAGCAAGAAACGCACCGCACGCAATCGTCATCAACCACCCATGGGGCACAGCCCTGATTAACCATGACGTTGCTATCGCTGCCACAATTCCCGAGATTGCTCCAGGCGCAAACTGTGCTGCAGACTCCAAGGGCGAAACACCACGAAATCTCTGAATGAATCGAAACGTATAGTAAAACCATATCCCGAAACTACTCCAACCAAGACCGGTAGTAAGCAAAACCGCGGCAGCGTGTCGATTGAATATGGTAATGTTCAATATAGGTTCAATTTTTACTCTTCGTTCGTGTAGCACAAATGCGAAGAGACAGAGGAAGCCGAGAATGAGTAGCGTATAAACGTATTGTGTTTGCCATCCATCAATGGGTGCTTGGTTCCAGGATACATTGAGAAGCAGAAGACCAGAAACGCCCAGTATTGCTCCAATCCAGTCAATTTTCTGTTCTGGATCGTTCGGTGTCCAAAATGGTATATCCTGCGGAATCACCCAGGACGCTATCACTGCATTCACAAAACATCCCATTGAATACACCCACATCACCCAAGGCCACCATACATATTGCGCAAAAGCAGAACCAATAGCTCCAGCTGTCAAGGTGCCGAGAGGAGCAGCAAGTGCAAAAATCGAGAAGATGAGCCGTTTCTTCTTGCTTTCCGGTGGATAAGTTCTACCTGCTATCGCCAATACATTCGGTAATAGAAGCGCAGGTCCAATACCCTGAAATGCACGCGCAATATCAAAGAATATGGGAGAAGAAGTGAATGCGCTGCAGCCACCAATGACGGACCATATACCGAACCATGTCCATCCCAGGATAAGAATTCTTTTTGAGCCGTAGATGTCCCCGAGTTTGCCTGCAAATAGGATGAATGTGCCAACTGTTAGACTATATGCACCGATATGCCATGCCATTTGCGTTTCTGTCTGGGATGCGTCTTGGCTAAATGTTTGGCCGACAAGATTTAAGGGAATGAGGATGTAGCCGAATGCACCTTGAACGAAGAATTGAGTTGAGCAGAGAGTGGCTATGAAGAGCCATTCCCTGAATCCCTTAGGCGACTTCTGGTAATCACTCTCTTGAAAAGAAAGGGGTTCAGGCAGGAGACCCGGCTCAGCGTCTATTGCAATTTTGATGCTCATTGTTACTCTCTTCACGTACTCGGACTTGAGTCTCGGGTTTCAATGCTGAAGAACAATACAAAAAGGACGGTCCGCTGTACTGTTTTAAGTCATAACCTGGCAAGGATTATATATAAATTCATGCCGAAGACTCAAACGTCACTCTCAAAAGTGCCTCTACCAGGAAACACACATAAATATGCCCGAATCGGGTAATTGGTGTCCTAACACCAATGACCATATCCGGTTAGTGTTGTTGTTTTCTGACCGATCACCGAGCGTTATTAGTAAATTAGGGCTAGAGTCACAGCCATGTATACAAGAACAGGTCGAATGATGATTATGGTGTTAGTAAAAATTGTCCGGCTTATGTGCCAAAAACTATATTTTGACTCTGTGGATGAAATATTTTGCTTAGCATATTAATATTTATATCGAAATACACATCATCAAGTAAACAAATACAACCCAGACTTTAATCCCGAGCATGATTCCCCTTAACTCCATCCATGTTTATTCGTTTTAGTATTTGGAGTCACTCTACGATTTTCTAGAGATTATACTCTATTACTGCTTATAATTCTAGTCAAGCCACTTTCTCTCGAATTTCTCAACAGTATCTATTTGGTAGGTGACTAACTCAAGTGAAACTTAGTCGAAGCGATTGGCATCTTCGCCTCGCTTAGTGAGGAACCTAATAGTTAGACCCTTTCAATGAACTGTCGGGACATAGTCAGTTGATCATGACGACATGAAATACAATGCGGTCAGGAAGAGACCCAGGAAAGATAATTACATGTTCGGAAGCCTAGTACTGGCTGCAGACCTTGCAAGTGAGGACATTGAGGATGTCGAAATAGCTGTCTAACCTGCGTTGACAGGATTTGAAGTATTCGCCAACTGAACTAGCCCTGAAACAGACAGATTGAATGACTGTGCGGTATAAGCAATTAGGGAATCGGACAAACTCATATCATCATCGACATCAAAGGTAAATGTCCCAAATGAGGAAGGCTTCCCAACTATGCGAGGAGGTCATTGACAGAGGGAAAAAAAGTACTTAGGGAGACTAAAAGAGTAATCGACACACACAGCGTACGAATCGCCGTACTGTTTGAGAACCTCAGCCTGCACCACCGAGTCAGAAAGTTTAGCTTCAATTTCGTAATGCCCCCCGTCCAGCTCGCCAAGTGGAATGCCAATATATGTTAGCGACTTGTCACCGATGGGGTCAATCAAGGTTGCATTGGCGTCGGATATTGTAATGTCATCACGAGTTTCTCTCCTCGCGGGAAAATTGTACTGACTGCGTCTCCCGACTAGACGGATGAGAACCTCATCACCCTTCTTAAGGTTGCACAGCCTTTTGGTTTTGCGAAGAAGTGGCCCTTGGAGCTTAGAATTTTGCTCAGCAGGCACGCAGACTTTGGTAGCTACTCCGCTGCCTTCGATAAACATTGCTGAGACACAGCTGTCAATACTACGGACGCATTCTCTCCCTGAATTAGGGTCTTGCAAGCCGCAAGAATGATGGTGGAAACCTCACCTGGTGGATATTCGTCGCATTCCATTATGATTCCTCTTACCAATAACTCAGCTATTCAGGAGTATCCGCTTATAATCAGAAAACCTTCTAATTCCAGAAATATGATATCTGGAGGCGAAACCTACACTTGGAGAAACCCCGCAATTCACCTCGTTTCTGCACCTCTGTTTGTCCGGACTGGTTTGCCCTCATCCGCCGTAAGTGAGGATATCTCACCAAGCCCGAGATCAGTGTAAACCGGGCCACTTCCTTCTATACCAGCCTGCTGACGCTTGTACCAGCCATCCCTACCTAATCGATCTCCTTAGAAGATGAGAGCTAATTATAATCATAGCACGTAGATTTTACAGTGCAGATTATCCTAAAAATAGGGCACACTTACCTGCGCACATGCTTTTAAAAGCTCGTAGGTCACTCCTGCGATATTGTGTAGCTCCAGTAAGGGTTGTATTTTCCCAGACCCCTGATGACAGGGATTGACGCAAGTTGTCGGCAGAGGATACTTCTGCTGGCGTTTATCCGGCTGATAGATCCCAGAAACTGAAGACATATCTGCTCCAGATGACAACCCCTGATTCCCAGCTCTACGCGCATTTCCGAACTCGGAGAGCATTTTGTCGTTGTAGAGTACTTTGTGTGCTAATTGTTTGAACTGTTGATGTTGGTGTTGATTTTAATGATAGCAAGCTATAACACATGCCTTCAACTTGACTGCAATTCGAGCCGGGGTGGGGGGGGGGGACCTATTTGTGGCCATCAGCACCAGAGACAGCTTATCCAAATATCTGGCACCAAACATGCTCCCTGATTTTGAATTTCACCTACAAGTTGTCGGACACTGGAGCCAGTCCGATGAGGGGCAGCAAAATTTTGCCTGTGTGTTGCACGCGGCAGCACGCCTATTCTTGTTTGCACGCATATGTGGTACTGCAGTACACAGATCCAGGCTCGACGCAAAGAGCCGCTGCACAGGTGTCTCCGCATACTTAGGACAGCATTTGTCGGGATTCGTAGGTTCACAGTTGTAACCGACTGGGACAGCAAATCATGACTAAGCAGATCGGGCCGCCTGGATATTGAAATTCCTCAGCCCGGCCGAATAATAGATTTTCCAATCCGACAACTCCCATGTCAGAACAGCGAAAAAATGAGAGCGCAGGGCTTGAGTCCAGATCAAGAACTGGAGCGGCATCGAAAGAAGGCGTGAAAGAGATTGGAGTCAGGGGGTACTACAGCGGCTTCAGGAAGACCCTGAGCCAAGATTAGGAAGCTGGAATATAAGATAATTTGTAAGATTGCGCATTATTTCTTGGATATTGTTAAAATTCTGGGGTTGCTTGTTGTGAATTCTTTCTACCTTTGATTAGTGGTATAAGCAGGAGAAGTCAGCATCTGGATGCTCAGGTCTTTGTGCTTCCCGCAGCCTTATGTCGTTGACTGGAGATAATACGAAGTTGGTGGCCATATTGACGAATAAGAGGTGATTTTAAGAATGAAGGAACCAAAACATCCGTGCGTTCACCCTACATGGCCTCCAGGAGAGTCCAGATCGGAGTACAGAGTCCAAAAAATCAAGGAGCAACGAGACCTGACTGGTCAGCCTGCCAATAGAAGGGTTCCAAAGAAAACGTGTGCACTGTCTGAGGATCCAGCTTTCCAAGGCTACCTTACCTGGAGATATAAGAGGAAGAGTGTGTACTGCAACCCTAGGGTTCAGAGATAATCGCATGAATCTGGTTCAGCTTCCAGGGTTGTCGGTGCAGTCAATGGTGCGCTACTACCTAGGTATATATCTAGGTTCTCCGTGTTGACTGACAAACCAGCCGCACGTTGTACATTCTAAGAAACGGAATGTAACATGCTCGGGACTTCGCCATGTGATATAACAGACAGAATGCGAAGAGGTGGGGCGTTCGTATGACTCTGACATAGTTGGTCATCTCTTGATTAACGCTCGTTTCTGCGCCTCAACCTCAACCTCAGCGCCACGGTGGGCGATCATCAGAATCTACACCGACTATACATTGTGCAGGAGAGTTCCATATAGATTTGAATATGACGATTCCATGCTTGGTTCTTCATTAAGAATCTATATCTCATAATGTCAGAACACCGAGCCTGCAATGGCTGTCTAGAGTCGGTCGGTGCTCTTCTCTAGTTTTCTGTGTCGGGCTTTGCTGTCGATTACGCCGGTTCGAATGAGGCTATCGATATCGCCGCCGAATCGTTGAAAGGATAGATCCTCTACCTCAGTCTGGAGGTGTGGTAAGTTATCTTTCTCCTGATTGAAAAGAGGAACCTGTTCTCTTACTTGTGCCTCATCAATCTCAATATCAGCTGTCTAATGATCATGTCCAACAGGCGTCGCAATTGGCTGGTCAGTGTGACGAATCCGGATGGCGGTAAATTCGATATAGGCCTTGATTTTGTGAAAGCATCATGGCTCAGCCGACGCAGAGTAAGGATGTCAGCTATATCCACTGATCTGGTAGATCTCAAGTGATGTAATAGGGTCGGGGCGTGTACATGCACAATCTATGAAAAGCTTCCTTTCTAGAAGGAGCCTTGGTATAGACGCATGACTTGGAATGGTATTGTTTTAATAACCACTGACGTAGGTTTGTTGCAATGAAATAAGACTTTCGTTATTCGTAACTGACTACATATTAACTAAGACTTGCCTGCCTGCAGCAATTGAGTCTACGGAGTAATCAACGTGACTTCTCAAACCCTAATCAGATCTTGATGCCTGAGGCACAACATATACAGACTGTTATCCACTAGTTATCCTACAGCGAAGCAACCTACTATGTAGTAGAGAGTGAAGTAAGTGAACACATGAAAAATGGCGTAATCCATGAACTTCTTGACTTGTCCAGGTCAAAGCGCCTCTTTGTTTCTATCATTCGATGCAAACCGGAGTTTTGGCCGTCGCCCGGAGTCATGATTAAGCTCCGCAATTCTGGGATGATTTCAAACTCATTCAGTCATATTCAATCAGCTGATTGCAACCGAAGTGTGGATGCGATTCATGTCCTTTATTCTCGGCTTCAAAAGAACAAGAAAAGTACACATCCCCAGCATCAGACGTTGTCACATTGAAAATTAGTTTCTAGAACGGAAAATTCAAAACAAAAAAAAAAAAAAAAGATCAAATTAGCTGGATTAAAAATGGCCGCTAATTAGTCAGTGATGTTGATAGCTGATTCAGCTAATCGGCGACTATGCATTCTTCGCACGTGGGCTAAGTCCGGTTATTCTTGCCTTTAATCTGTCGATATCGCAAGAAGAGGCTGAGTTGGCGTTTATATGCATACCAGTCTGAGACACTCTAGTTTGGTAATTTACTCGACACAGTTGTACCTTATACAGTGTCGGGAAGTATCTGGAATGCAGTCCGAATCTTTTCGATTCAGAGTCCAGGCAAAGAGATCAGCAAGCAAACAACTTAATTAGAGTACAGCTGAAACTGTGTCCGGCAGATCCCGACCAACAACAGAGTATTATTATATTATTTTCATATCGAAATAACCGTTGTTCCGAGAATAGCACGCGAATCCACTTCCTGGTCGCAGTCAAGCTGGATTAAGCTTTTTAGGGCTACGGGGACTCTTAGCGTGGTCACAACAGCGATACTAATCTGCTTGGGGTATGTCGCGTCTCGCAATTTGCTAGCGAGAACTCCGTACTAGACTTGACTAGTGTTAGTGGCTGTTGGAATTCTGCGGCGATGCTGCTACTCCTGTCCAAAAGGAGCCGCTTAATATAGGCTATCTATGTACTTAAAGTAGTGACTTCCACAGAGGTCTTTATACCCTCAAACAAAAATACATACATACATACATATATATATATTCTTTCTGTTTACCCTCATTCATTCTATTCATTAATTGACGACGATTCACCATCTCCGACTTCTCCGAAGCTTGTGATCCCATTGACTGTCTACTTCCAGCTCTATTCTCGACGGCTGTACGGCATTTCCAACTTTCTCCCTGACATTCTTTTAGTGCTACCACATATTCGACCCTTTGTCATACCTACCATCCATCAACCCCTCACTTAACCTCATTTTACTCTTCCCATGGATCTCCGAATGAATTGATTAGACGCATGAAGAATGTTGATCGCGTGCCGAAGTCACCCTATTAACCCCCCCATACATACTCACGAGGACATTTTGATGTCTGGTCGGGTAATCAACAGGTTTATCCGGCGGAGAATCTGAGAAAAAGCAAGGAACTCCGGAGTAGTTTCTAAGTGCGGTAGTACCAGACATACCAGGCGAAGGAGCTCAGAGCAATGGACAGTCAAAAGAAACCGGATTCCCTCCCCTCCTCCTCGAGAGATGGGGAATCCCACAAGAAGGGCAACCGCAGTACTCGAGCAAAATACTACATTGCTTCGATTACACAGCTTCTTCCGTTTGTCAATAGCAAGGATAAACCCAAACCTTCAAAAAGGAGGAAGATCATTTACTATGCGATTGTCGCTATGATATTCTTGGCCATTGTTGCAATCGGTTTAGGACTTGGATTGTCAGCGCGAGCTGCCAAGGATGATCATAGGTATAGCAACGTCGTCCTTCTGGACTATGCCGCCTACCGTGGGCATATGCAGGATAACGGTGTTTCGTATTGGAAGGGGATGCGATATGCGGCCGCGCCAACGGGGAGTTTGAGGTTCGCTGGACCACAGGAACCGGATATTGTACTTGAAGTTCAGGACGCTATTTCGGTATTTCTTCCCTCCGTCTCTTATATAGAGACTTAATACTAATAGACCAACAGCATGGTCCCTTGTGCATTGCTACTGGCACCTATCCCATCCCCAGCAGTCAGTCCGAAGACTGCCTGTATGTAGACGTCTATGCGCCAACTCATGCGAAAAACAATACCGCTCTACCAGTCTTCGTCTGGATTCAAGGAGGCGGATACAACTCATTGAGCAATGCCAACTATGACGCCACAGGATTGATCCAAGCATCCGATCTCAACATTGTGGTAGTCACTTTCAACTATCGCGTGGGTCCGTATGGATTCCTTGCTTCGCGTGAAGTTGAGCACAGCGGGAGCTTGAATAATGGACTCAAGGATATGATCAAGTTGCTGCAATGGGTGCAGAAGTATATCGGAGAGGTATCTCATCCTTCCCACTGCTTGTCCACCAGTAAGAAGCTCACAGAAAAACAGTTTGGAGGTGATCCCACCCACGTCACCATCGGCGGCGACAGCGCAGGCGCAGGAGCAATCACACTCCTCCTCTCAGCCTACGATGGCGGCAAGCAACTGGACGGTCTCTTCCATGCCGCAGTCGCTGAGTCTCAGTCCTTCGGTCCTCAACTCACAGTGTCCGAATCCCAGTTCCAATTCGACAATCTGACTGAACGCACTGGTTGCGCACGCCATGATCACCCTCTAAGTTGCCTACAAAACCTCGACATTGACACTCTCCAACGACATAATACGTTCATTCCTTATCCATCTGGGGTCCATCCACCACTATACCCCTACGGCCCCACGATTGACAACAATCTCGTATCGAATTATACATTCACTTTATTCGGCGAAGGGAATTTCATGAAAATCCCCGTCATATTCGGTGATGATACCAACGAAGGCACCGTTTTCACACCACACAATACATCCAGCGTGGAACAAGCCGATGGCTTCCTCACGGACAACTTCCCATTTCTGAATGATACCGAACTCTCAACTATAAATTCAATATACATGTCCCAACCGGACAACCCCGTCTATCCAAAAGCAGGTAAATATTGGCAAGGAGTGTCCAACGCCTATGGAGAAATGCGCTACATCTGTCCTGGTATATATCTCACAACTGCATACAACAACGACTCGGAAACGAGTGACACAATCTGGAATTATCATTACGCCGTTCTTGATGATAAAGCTAATACCACCGGTTACGGCACACAACATACGGTTGAAGTAAACGCAATCTGGGGTCCGGAATATGTCTCTTCAGGATCTGCGCCGAAATCGTATTCTACAACGAATGAAGGTATTGTGCCCCTTATGCAAGGGTATTGGACTAGTTTTATACGCTCGTATAATCCTAATACGTATCGTGCTGAGGGAGCACCGGAATGGAATACCTGGGGGAATAGTGCGGAGAGATTGTTTATAAAGACGAATGATACTCATATGGAGACTGCGCCGAGTGAGCAGTTGAATCGGTGTAGGACGTTGCAGGGAATGGCGGTTTGGAATCATCAGTGATTTATTTCCCTTTTAGGGTTGTCGATAGTTTTTTTTTCTTTTCCTTTTCTTTTCCTTGTACATATTGGCTTGGAAGTGTATATGTAAATATGGGCAGATGAGCGATGCTCTGATGATACCAGAACTAAGATTTTTGCTGCATATTGATTTCAATTGAATGCCATCCATGGATTCATAACTTTTGTTGTAACTGTATGCATGCCTATAAACCAGAAACTTATGTACACCCAAATTCTCAACGACAGGATTATTTCTTCCCCTGCCTCCACTTCTTCTCCCTCTCGTAAGCCTTCGCCTCTCTCCCCTCCTCACCTTGAATCTCAGCAATAAGTCGTCTATACTTCTTCTCATACGCCGCATCCTTTTCCTTCTTCTCACGCAACTGTTCACGCGCCACAAAGTTTGCATCCTTCCGCAACTCGCGCATTGCTCCTTTGCGTTCCCGTTTGTGCTCGGCTTTGAGTTTGTTGAGTTCTGCGCGTTCACGGTTCGGGTCGTAGTGTTTGTCGGGGTTGAAGTCTTCTTCGAATTTGGGTATGGATTGTTTGATTGCTAAGGGGCGATGGTTGTGGAGGAGTAAGGGCCGACGGTGGTGGTGGGATTGGGTTAGGTGGGTGTTGAGTTTGTGGAGGGTTGTGGTGAGTTGGATTGATAGTGGTTTTGAGGAGGCGGATTTAGCAAAGGATTTCTTGAGATGTTTAAGAATGCTTTTAGCGGGTGTGAATGTCTCTGTAAAGGCGGATTTGTCGCTCCAGAGATCGGCGGCTGCATCGAGTAATGATATGAAGGTGTTGATCAGGTTGATCTTCAGGTCTTCCGATGATGCAGTTCCATCGTCGGCAATAATATCCCAGAATCCAATCCTGTGAATATCACTGTCAATTGATGAGGACTTAAGTCGCAATGATTCCTTCGACTCGCGCATCAAGACAAACCCTACTTGTTGTGAGACCGGCGTCGGCGAAAGAAGACACAATGCATTGAGACAGTAATTCACGAACTCAGGCATATACCGCTTTGCGAGAGTTTGATATTCCAATGCCAATGTAGCGAGGTACGCTCCCGCCACCAGATCAGGTGCGCCACTGACAGTACTCTGACCGAGATATCGTGCAATGCACAGGTTAGCAGGAGTAACAACTGGATGGAAATGATCTGACGTTGGAAACACAGTCATCACTCCTGTTAATATCACTAGATCCGCAGGAAGAAGACTCAGAGGACGCTCAGTTGCCATCCTGCGAAGATGGTCTCGGAACGCATGAGCTACCGGTTCACTATTAGTCTTGGCCATAGAGTGAATATGTCGAAGGAGGTTCTCAACGATATTAAACGTCTCTGAACCGTGTTGATTGGCCATATAAGCCACATGTTCAACAAGGACTTTTGAGAAGACACCCAATTTCACCTTATTGTCGCTGTGTAATCGTGGGTGATATAAAGCTCGGATCCTCTGAACAATCACCGGTATATCTCTTGCTGTTGTATCTTTCAAGATAGCCAGAAACTCGTCGTGAGTCTGAGGACAGGGATATGTATATGCCAATGCATCTGTACTCTTTCCAGTAGTCGGCACGTCATTACTACCAGACTGCGTTCCTACCAAGTTCTTGAGCGATTTGGTGAACTCGTCATCCATGAGCCCTTCGTCCTCGCTTTCCTCATCTTCAAGACCTCCCATCTCCTCGTCACTCTCTTCAAAGGAGAGGTCTGCATTTGAATCCATATCTACAAGGTCGTCATCGATAATAAAGTCATCCTCGTCTTCAACATCTAGTTCACGACGAGGTTCGGTTTCGACTGCGGAAGTCAAACCAAACGCCTTGGCATCATCTGGTATGAAATCAGCACCTTCCTCCTCATCTTGTTCATCCTCGTCTCTTCCAGCTTCGGACTCGCTGTCCTCATCACCGCGCATACGACGCAGTCTCTCCAACTCCAACCGTTTCAGCCTCTCGGCTTCTTCTTGTGCCCTCTCTTCTTCAGTCTTGGTACGATCTGTAGGCGCTGATTTCTTATCAAAGGCCATTTGTTTGAGTCGTTTGTCATATTCAATATCTGCCTCGGTCCTATCCTTTCCGTTCAAAAGAGCAGCTCTATCCGGATTCATCATCGCAGCATCTTCCTTTGGAGCCTCGGGCTGCTTCGACGGCGCAGGCTTAACGCCACGCATCAGATCGAATATTTCCGGTAGACCTTTATCAAGCTCCGCTCGCAAGTCATCATCGTCTTCCTTGGCCTTTTGTCGCTCGTACTTGTATAGCTTCGACTTGGCGATGACCTCTTTCATAACCTCAGCTTTGGTCTTCTTTCGCAGCGGCTCCGTTTCCTTATCGGCTTCATCATCCTCAGACGCCATCCCCTCCATATCGTCAACCTCGTCCTCGGTAGCCAACGCACGTTTCCGTTTCCGACTCGACTCTTCATCTTCAGAAGATTCCTCACCGCTGATATCATTCTCGGCAAAATCGTCACCAGCAACAGCATCACCAAACGATAACGAACGTCCGCCGTGAGTCAACTCCAGTTCTTCTTCATCGTCATCTTCCAGATTGAACATATTCTCTTTGCGCATTTTCCTCTGGCTTTCACGGGCGAAACGCTCCGCCGCTCTTTCTTCAGGTGTCATCGTAGGATCATTTTCACCGAATCGTCGATCCATAATACTACCGATCTTATTGCGCGAGTGTAGTTCTTTGAGTAATGTTTCTCGTCTCTAAACCAATCGTCAGTCTCTTCCATAGAAATCCCTTCTAGTAAGTACGACTTACTCGCTCCTCTCCCAAAGACTTTGTAACTCCCGGTCGAGCAAAATTCCCCGCCTTCAACGATCCATCGCGCGTTGTAACATCAAACTTCGCATTCCGCGACGGCGCCTTTATTTCAAAGGGATTAAACTGCTCTCGAATCTTTGCCAACGTCGCATTTCGCTGGACACGAGATTGCCGTGCTTTGACGCTGTCCTTTTCATCTTGACGACGTTTCTTTTTTGACTGCGGTTGTCGAATAACTCCGCTATCTCGCAATGAAGCCTTTAACTGCTTCAGTTGAGAGGGCGGCATTTTTCTTATGTTGGTGTGGGATGTATTGATTTCGAGATCAAGTTGATTAAATCGAGCAAAGATGAAAATTTATGTTCACCGCCTTCATGCCCGGCACTTCATTTTTACTCTGTGCATGCAGATATTTAATTGGTTTGAAAACCTTTTTATCTCTTTCATTGGCTAATACCAAAAGCGGTGAACGTAGCTTTTTCGGACCACGCACTATCTACGGCCGGCTTAGGGTTACTAAGGGACTAGGGTTAGGGCTGTTTTATAAGAATTTTCTTTTTGTACCATTTTTAGGAGGCGTTAGAGATACGGTAGCCCTTCTAGAAACCCCATGGATATCTTTGGTGCTTGAATCTGTTTGGAACTTATCATCTATGAATGTGTAAGCGCATATAATTACGGGTTAGGGTTATTGCTAGTCTACGAACTTTTGCTTTTGCCTCAGGCACGATAAGCAAGCTTTATCTCCAATCAATCTCCTTCGTGCTTTCTTCATTCATCCCCACACTCTGTTTTACTGCTGACTATGGCACTACGGTCTGACAATTCAATATTATGGCTTGTTCTCGGTATGTTTATATAAACGTTTTTCAGAGGCTGTTATGAGCTGATCATTTGAAATCAAAGGTCTATCTTTAGGCTTTGTAGCCGCTCGCCGCATCATCCACGATTTATATGAAATCCGCACGTTGACAGAGATTACACGGCCTGAAAATGACGAACGCATGATCAGTAAGGGCACTGAAGACGGTATGCACATCTATACGAGTAAAATACGAAGATTAAGTACTTATCGAAATTCATAGCTCTCAAACTCGAAACACTCCAGAAACTGAGCGAAAGCCCGAGTTATGAGCTCCGCGGGGCGTATGTCTCTTACGATTTTAAGCACTTGGTGGACGCAGGTTGTACTGACAGCGTAATAGTTCTCTACGCATCATTTCAGAGCGCGCCACGAAGGAGCCTTCTTGGGATCTACTCCTAGAAGACCTGGCAGGTAAAAACAAACGGCGACGGAATCGGGCTGTGAATGCTATTCATTTCCTATTTGCCAGTCGCGCATGTTAGTATAACTGACCATGTTAATTTAGTGTCTACATACTAATATGATTTCTCTAGTATCTCGAGTCACTCTATCACCGCGCTTAAACGATTTTTCCACTTACAAAGCAATCGTGGACTGTCTGTGCAACTTCCTCGAGGAACACAACGTCGAATACACAACCACCGAGTCTCCCATTTTACCCAGAACACGGCCACCGGGCGAAAAGAAACTGCTGGCAACACTCAATATTCTTCTAGTTCAGAATATACCTGCGGCCCTAGAAGCTGGTGTTGTTAGCCGATGGCTCTCGAAATACCCATTCCCATGTCTCCGCGAGAGCACCACGACTACGACACATGGAAACGATTATCGCCGGAAAGACGTTGTCTGGCTCATGAAAATGTACTGGCCAGACGATACTTTTATGAGCTCTATCATCACAACGCTCGTTGGCACCCGAGAAGGAATTCGACAGTTACGGAAATACGGTCTGATGGGCAGCGTGATGGAAGAAGGGAAAGACATGGATGACCATGACGATGGCGGCGATGACGAAGATAGTGATGTGTGGATGATTAATGGCGAAAGTACAGCGGGGACAAGTTGGGTACCTGAGAGGTTGTCGTTCCCTGAAGAGAGTTATGAGGAACAAGTTCTTCGAAGACGGAGGAGAGAGGCTATGGTGTTCAGTGAGGATGGAGGGCCGATTAGGAGCGATAATATTATACAGCTCCCTATTTAATGTCTGGATGCGAAATGTATTTTATATATGGATGTATATATTATAGTATGGATACCCGATGCATTACGATCACGAACGATAGCCATATATATGATTGCATGTTTCTGTTCCCACAACCATATATTACAATCCTTTCCAAGCGGACTTGCTAACATGATCAATCTTCTTGCGACTGGGCTTTATCATACCCAGTGTCTTTAACTCTGACATAGCCCGGTAGAACAACATTAACGCGAGTCGCTCATCGCAAATACGACTTTCAGTATCACTGTCTTCGCCGCAGATAATGGTGGAGAATGCCTTCCATAGATCGAATACATTGACCAAAGATCCTGATTCGAGGTAAAGTTGGTAAAGGATAGCAGTTTCGGGTTGTCTTGCGGACAGATTTCCTCCTTCTTCGCCGGTTGTAGATGAGGTGGATGCTAGGTAGTCAAATGGTGTAGATAAAGCGCGCTCAATACTGAACCTAACGCGCGGCGCGAATGTGTCTCGTAATGGGTTTCGGAGGTCGAATACAAACACCTCATGCAGGAAGAGGTTTTGAGGATTGATCAGTTTCGAAGAGAGGCTTGTCTCGAAGTCCTCGAGGAACTTCTCAAGTACTTCAGTATAAGCGGCATCCACGTTGGATATCTTCTTTTTGGTTTTGGTCAGGTTCACTTTGTCTTGAGCAATCGATGTTTTGATGGTGGTGTTTTGATCATCATGTTCGCTGCGTAGGGGGCTGTTTGAGTTGTGTATAGCCAGTAAACTCTGAAGGTCTTCTTCGTATTGACTGACGTCCACGAGTGGTGCTGACATATTACTTCCCTCTTGGAGGGTAGCCAAGATGCCTTTAAAACTATCTGAGTCGATTTTCTGCAATCGACTAAAGAGGTCTTTAATGGAGGTCGAATTGCTTAGATCTCCAGAAAGACCACGAATGTACGTATCCGTATTGTTATTCACCTTGGTAAGTTGTAGCATGTTCTGAACCGACCGTAGTGTGTTCATAGTATAAAAGAGCTCTTTCATCTGAGTCAGTCCGTTTTCTATAGACTCGTGCACTTGTTTCCGGAGAGCGTCATCATCCACTAAAAGGGCACGGACAGACTCTGCTTTGCTTTCTTCGACTAATTGCTCGCAGAAACTGGTCCTGTCAGCTCATAGCTCTCAACTCAAGCGCTGGAAATCATACCTTCTAAAGGACTTTAAGTTTCGCACAGCCTCATACAATTCTTTCTGTTTCGAACTGAAGGACGATAGTAGAATACTAAGAGGATTGGCGAAGAAATGTGACATGTATGCATACTTGTCCGATTAGCAGTACTCAGGACATATGATAACAACACATACCTTGACCTCACGAATGAACCCTTCCGGACCCTGAAAGTGATCCCTGGCCTTCTCAATCAGAGATGTACTTAGATGTGGTCCGAGCCACAATTTCGTATCAGGACTAGCCTGCAAGGTTTCGTATATACGATCGATGGCACCTTCGGCTTCATGTATCTCAAATTGTTTTCCGTGCAGTAAAGCCACAGTAGACCGAGAAAGCCGGCCTTCAAATAGTTCAACAGTAGTTGAGATACCGAAAAGCAGAACGAGTGGTAGCCGATCAACCCAAGAACTAGAGGATATTAGCTCTTCTAGTCATGCTCAGCTAAATAATATAAAAGGTTACCTGAGCAGGGATAGTAGATCATTCAGCACGCCGGAATCGAACGCCTCACTGTCTCGGAATGCAAGCACCAATGATTTCGACCCTTGGCTTATGACATATTGATATAAGACATTTAAGTCATATGGCAACATTCGAGGTCCCTACATACCGTCAATAAGGTCTTGGACCATGGTGCACATGGCTTACCGATTTATCCGCGAACAAGTTCTGATATGCATCATTTCCAGATGTACTTGTAACAGCAGTTCTGATGATTGTCTTCAGTACTGCCTTGAGATTTGGAGCGTCCCCTGATTCCAACAAAATCACCTGGCCGGATTTGTCGCTAATCAAACGCCGGTGCAGTATGTCTAAAAGTCTGGGGAGAGCCGATACATTGGATCCGATGGTGACGAGGGACGTAGGAATGCATCCGTTGTAGCTGCATAGTCATTAGTTCTGTTTTCTTCAAACGTCACATGGTTGACGTACGCGTCCGGCGATGCGGTTTCCACAAAAGACGTGATATCCTTCAGGATTCCAGAGTCAAGTTCGTCAATTACTCTCTATTGACGAGTTAGTATTTGTCAAGTCTATGGATCGGTTTGATTGACCCTGCATCGTTCTTCCTGGGAAGACCACAGTTCTTCGAATGTTGATTTTCTCACATCTACCAAATCTGCTGATTCTTTGCCCCCGAGTAATGGAACAAATACTCGCGACTGGTTCTTTTTCTGTGGCTTGTTCTCAATGTTCGTGGAAACCTTGCGTCTTTTCGAGGACCGTTCGGCGTTGTCAGTAGGATGGTAAACGTATATACCCTGACATGAGCTGATTAGCATTGGCGTAAACAAATAAAATGGAAAACCATACCAAGTCCTCACTACTACCAAATTCACTGTCCAATTCCATATTGACTTCAAGAACTAAGAATCTGGAGTTTATTGATATTCAGGGAAGCTCATTTGACGCGAATGTGGAGCGGCTCAAGAAGCTCCGCGGAATTTATGGCGCTAAACCGAACTTGGCTCTGATTTTTGAAATCTTAAACTCGGCCATCGCTTTCCTCTCTATCGTTCTTACAACTCTCAAGTTGAATCTACATTCATCCATTTTCCCACGCAAATGGCATGATTTCTATCCTTCATGCTCCGTCAGGTAATCCAGGGAGCTGGGCGATTGCAATACCAGGCCGGCTCCTTCAAGTTCTCTATCGCAAAGACACCGATTTTATTTTGCTCGTTCTCCACCACCGCATCGCAAGCCATCCGATATGGCGGACCAAACGACAAGATCCGTATCTTCGAACAACCTTCGAGGACGAGTAGCAAAAGAGTCGAGATAGACCCAGATGCTGAAGCTACTGATGAGCGAAAAGAGCTGGAAATCCAGCTGGCGAAGCTGGACAAGGAACTTGTCGAACTCAGTAAAGGCCCCTTCGATCCAGATGGCCCTTTTATACAGAGCTTACCGGAGAAGGAGCGAATCGCTGCTCTTGAGGTCATACGAAAATTTGAGGCTGAACATGGCCCCATGAGCGATGAGACCAGCCTTGAGCAAATATTCGACAAGGATCTGGATGATATGATCAAGAAAGAATTCGAACAGATGGCCAAGGAAGAAGAGGATATATATGACATGTCAAAGCCAGCAGAATCCGACTCGGCCGGACGAGGTGGCGATCTATCATCTATGCATCCTTACGAATTACGATTTCGTAAACAACTTGAACTACATGTGGACAGTTCGGAGAAGGCGAATGCTCAGGAGCTTTGGAGATGGTATCAACGATGTAAAGATGCGATTCCATCTTTTCTACCCACTTTGGAGCAGGAAATATATCAGCTATTGTGGAATATACAGCTTCAGGGCCAGGTATCGCCTACCACTCGTATGACTCATATACGAACACTCGTTGAAGACCTCAATACAGCTGGAAAAGCACTTTTGCCTAATCAAGTCCTTGAATATATAAATGTGCTACATGAAGGGGGTGATACCGAAAACGCTTTACAACTTTGGGAAGAATCGCAGGCGATTGTCAGCCAAGGAGAGGGGGATATCAACGCGTATTGGAGCACTGGAGTTCGGCTATTTGCGGCACATGGCGATCCGCAGAGAGCCCAAGATATTGCTTTTGCTTTTCTCGCAAGTGGTGGGAGTCGAAATGCCCGCATACTTATCCCAATAGCTACGGCATGGACAAAGCAGACTAGTTCCCAGGCTGCTACGAAAGCCTGGGCAATTTACCTTCAGCTCAAGACCCTACTGGGTACCGATATGAAAATGGAAGATTACGATGCACTTAGTACCGCCTTTTTGAACGATGGCAAAGTTAACCTTGCTTTAGCTGTTTTCAAGGACATGATGATAACAGGAAAGGATCCTGCGAATGATTCCACGGCAATCTTCCAAAGAGCTATTGGTCTCAAGGGTCCCTTACGACGCTCGAACATCAAGGAAGAGGTTGTCAACAAAATATCGCTTTCTGCTCTGACTTTTCTACCTCGTCGCTTGCAGAGTAAATTCTTCTACGCTAGTTGGATGAAGAAACTTATTGGCATGGGCGATGTTGATTCAGCCGCAGCTGTTGTCGAACTTATGTTTGAGAGAGGCGTGAAACCGGATGCCATTCATCTAAATGGCATAATCGGAGGCTGGCTTCGAAATGGAAGCGCTACATCGAGAGACAAGGCTGAACAGCTCGGCTGGTCCATGATTCAACACCGGATCGATACTGTTTGGAGTAGGATACAACACTCGGAAGAGTCTACAAAGCCTTCTGTGCCCGAACTTCCAGGTGATCGTCGTGTACCGTCATTCTTGAAGCGGACGCTTCCTCCTGCAAACATCGAGACATTTTCCATCCTACTTCTCCATTATACACGTCGCGGAGATGATGACATGGTCAAATATTTAAACAAATGTCTCGGCGATGCTCAAATTCGGCCCAATTCTTATTACATGAACCATCTCCTATATGCCGAACTTCGAAAGCAGCACATTCACAGTCTTTGGGAGAAATTTCAACTTCTGACTAGACAAGTGGCCCCTGATCTAGAGACGTTTGCATGCCTATGGGACTGCGGTAAACTTCAATACGATCGATTCAGGACAGCGTACGATACACAATTCCCTACTGTGCGTCAACTATTTACCCTGATGATGCGATGGTATTCAACTCTCGATGCACGAAAACAAAAGATCACACAAGAAGAGTTCTCAAAAGAACTCTACGACCAGATTACGCTTTGTTTCTGTCTTTCAAAGGATTTGTGTGGCACTCTGGTTGCGCTCTATGTGATGAGGGATTTATTTAACTTATACCCAGACGAAAATACAGCTCGTATGCTGGTTCTACAAATTGCCCGAATAGCTAATAACATTAATATTGACGACAAGAACCATCCGCCTGGTACATCAAGGAGATCTCGAGTTCGAGCACGACGGCGTCTTTCTACCACACCACAATCAAAAGAAAACATTGAACAAATTCGAGACATCCTTGCCACTCTACAAACTCGAAAGGCATCAGTGCTCCAAGCCCGGGGTATCGATGTCCAAAGTCTTAGCGACCAAGAGCGAAAGCAGTACCAGTTAGAGATTCTAAGCGAACTGCTTATCTCGGTGATTGAGCGCACTGTCGTCCCCGCTGGTTCGGACCGGGACGTGAGAGCTCGGATTGTGGCTGCGATGGAGGAGATGGGTGTTCATCATTTGGCGATACGATTTCATCATGAGTCGTTGCAGTAATTTTTTTCGTGTTGTTTATATTCACATGTATATTATTGGATACCTCTCTTTTCTAGACTTGACTATATAGACTTAGTTGAACCATGCAATGACTTCATAAAGGTACACTAAACGAACCGCTAACACCATAATGCAGACTCCCAAAGTGGTTTTACATATCGAATATGCGTGAAAAAGAAAACATTAATTGCAATACAATATCTATTTCTTGCCCTTCTTCTTCTTCTTGACACTGCTCGTCCCACTATTGATTTTGGGTACTTCAGCCTCCACCAAAACACCATCATCGTCACTGACAGCCGTTACCGAAGGTGGTGCAGCCGTCACCGTCGTCGACTCTGCCTTTGCCGGCGTAGCAGATGCCGCAGTCGTTACAGCTGCTGCTGCTGCAGGGGTAGTAGTACCGGCCTTCTCAGCATCCAATTCCTTCATAAACCCTTCCTGAATCTCCGCTCTCCGTCTCGTCCACCATTCCACCTCCTCACCGACCTTGGATTGATATTCCTCAATCCGCTGACGGAACAAATTGTTCTGATCCATTTCTCGCGCAGATTGGAATATGACTTGGCCCCAGTTTGGTACATATGCGTTTGCCTATACCATCTATAAGCATTCCCACAAAATCTAACATATTAGTGGTAAGGAGGGAATACCTCTTGAACAACATCGCGCACTTCCTCCTCCATCTCCTTCTCCGCCCTCAAAAACCGCTGCCACAAATCATCGCCTACACTACCGCGCTGTAACAACAGGGACAAGGCCTGTTTCTGATCTCGAATCGCTATAACACGCTTAATATCTTCCGCAGCGCGACGCAACAGTGCCGCCTTGAGGACGGTTTCGGGTACAGCGGTGGTCTTCTTTTCATTCGTGGCGGCTGGTTGCTCGAGATGGAGCAGGGAGAAGTAAATGTCTCGTTGGAGGTGGGCTGGGAACCATGGTGCGAGGGATAGGGCTCTTGCTGTTTGGATATCAGTATAGTGTCAGCCAGAAAGGAAGAAAACAGAAGCGAACCTGATTTTCGTTTACGATATAGAGACGAGAATGTCGCAAGTGATCCGATCAGAATGCCTAGGTAGGCGAAAGGTATCGCGAGGCTGATCCAGTCAACCATTTTGAGATGCTGAGCGTGCTCAGCAGCGAGGTAGGCGCGAGGAGCGAGTGTTTGCTTTTGTCTGTTCGGAGTTGTTATATGTATAATGTGCTTCTTATTTGTGTTAGTTGTCAAAGTTGAGAAATGTGTTAAGTGAGACGGAACAAGGTATGATGGTCAATCGGAGTGTTCTCAACTCCCATTGGCCCGCAGACGGGAAAGGCCAGGTTGGTGCTTCAGTCCTTCCGCTCAATCTTCTTAAATAGAAGCTGAACAACTCAACTACTTGCGAGGGCTGAGATAGATCATAAATTTATAATCATATTACAATATATCTAAGCAATGCTTCAAACACCACATGCGAGTATCACAGTGCACGAATCAGAACAAAATATGCATCCAGTTCCCTCCCAAATAGACAATAACAAAACCAAATGTACATCGGAACAGAAGAACGTTCCTCCAGAAAAATCGCATAAAACAAGAATGGAATCGAAAAAGGGAACAGGAAAGAGGGAAGAGAAAAAAAAAGAATACATCACAGGTTTTGAGGTGCCACCACTCCTCCCCTCGAGGCCAACTGCTCCTTTGTAAGTTGACTCATGGACATGAATTCCTGGTTTTCTTGCATATCCTGAAACACATCGTTGAATTCTTCCTGTAGCGCCGCGGCAACTTTGGTTCTGTCCCATTCTCCGCGCTTTTTCCAGAGACAGTCCATCAGGTGGGTGTTGATTTGTTCGAGTTGTTCGACTGTGCAGCCACTAGTTCGTAGAGTCAACTCTGTGCGGAGCTTTTCGATGTACTCGTGGTCAATTATGAGGTGTGGTGATTGTCCTTCGTTGTTCAAGAGAGATTTGATATTTGATGGGGGTGCAGTGTGTGGTTGGGGAGCGCCTGGTGCTGATCCTGGTCGATGCAGACGTGGCTGTGACTGGCTTCCGTTCACATGGCTAGCCTGAGAGAATGGGAAATCTAATATTATCTTAGTTGTTGCACATAACAAGTGATATATAGAAAGTAGATGACTCACCTTGTTGGGTGTCAGGAAGATGATCCTCCTGAGAAATACGATCAGGATAAGAAGTCAAGTCAGGGAATTCCACACGTGGTGCGCTTCCAGTAACAGGGCTCTGTGTATGCAACTGTGGGCCAGTCGACTGATCCGACGTCTTCTTGTCAGACGTCGTTTGTGTCGTCGAAGCATCGTTACTATAATCACCCGGTTGAGATCCAGGGGCCATTGGTGTCATAGGTGCCTTTTGCGATAGACTCGAGAGGCCTGATTCTCTCCTGATTTGAAGCGAAGGTGCGGTGTTGGAGAGTGGATGTTTTAGCTGAGCTGACTGGCCAAAGGAACTGTTTGCCGTGTGTCGACCAGAGAAGTCGAGCTCGTCTGAGTTCGTCATGAGAGTGTCTCCATCTTCACCACGGAACAAGTTGGACTGGTCGCTCTTCGAAGTATCACCTGGGTTGAGATCCGAGCCGCTACCATGATGTCCATTGCTCGCAGAAACGACATTCGACAACCGGGAAGGAGTCGTCGGCCTGGCTCCATTGACAAACGGCTGACCCAAAACAATAGGTCCCGAAGATAAACTTGAGGTGTTTCCGTGCGGTACATTGCTATTTGGCGGAGGACCCATTTCGCCGAAAGTATTTGTCTTTTTAGCACGTTCCATGGCTTCATTCTCTCGCTCCATCTCCCGATTGTATACAGCCTCACACTCTGCTACCAAAGCAGGATCAGTTTGTTCAATACCACCAATATCGACTTCCACGTTTGTCAACAGCTCGTTAGCACGTAGAAGACGCTCCTGATCCCCTAACGTGCGAGCATCCTTGGCAATTCTCTTAATATCAGCCAGAAAATCCTTTGGCCTCTTATAATAACCATTAGATAATCGCTTCTCGATAGTCACAATCTCCAAGTTGTAGAAGAATCTACCGGTTGCAGTCTCCCTCAAACCGGGAACTCCGTACTTGTCTTGAGCTTTTTCAAAAGGTCGGAAAACTGTTTGCTGTTCTACTGGTAGGTCGCTAGTGAGTATAGAAGGATCATCCTCCTCGAACAAGTAACGGATCTGAGAATCGTCAATAACACCAGTCCTAAACCGTTTGTACTTCTTGATCTGATCCATGATAGGCTGAATTCTGATTTTTAAAAGGTTCAAGGTCTGCCGATCTTTTCTCTTCTGTGCTTTCAATTGCTCCTTGCTTAATGGCGGTGCCGGCTTTGGTGCTGGCGGAGGAGCGACTTCGAGCAATTCTAACCTCCTCTTCTTCCGATTCTCTGGATCAGGAAAATCATGAGGTGATGTCTTCAAATAATCCATTATTCTGCCAAAATACTCGTGTCGGGCATGTTGATCTGGTGGTCGGAGAGCATAAATGTTTTTCTGTGAATATCCAAAGAGGGACTTCAACATTGCTGGATCTTGAGAATCTTCACCATCTTCAAGTACTCCTAGAAGCAGAACTGGATCTGTGGGAGGTATAGAACGGAGAAGGCCATTGAAAGTAGACACCACTAACGGCCCTACAGTATCATACCATGTCTGCACATTCGGAATGTAGATGACGCTTGGTTTGTGACGCTTGACTTCGGCAAAAAGTTGAACAACTGTGGCTTCTGGTGATCTCGTAGAGTCACTAAGGAGAGTCGGAAGGTCAAAAGACTGAACATGAAGACCCTCGAAATGATGAAGAATAGCCCCGGCGAGATATTGCTGACCCATCCCCTGTGCACCTCGAATGAGAAGTCGAGGTCGAAAGATGCGAGAAGTTTCGAATTCCTGGTGCATTTGCTCCCTCTTGAAACTAGCTCCACCGTGAGGTTCCTCGAACTCGGCTTCCTCCAAGGCCGTTAGTCGTTTCGATTGAGGGATTATATTGGTGAGAATATGCTTGATCTCAACGAAACGGTCACGCAACAACGGCTCCACGCTTTTGGGTAATGGTGTAGCCCCTGATGATGTGGATCGTTCGGATGACGGCACAATCTTTTTGATGGAGATCATGAAATCCTTGGGTGTGACTTCGATCGTCTTGGGGTCAATCAGTAGCTTTTGACTAGATTTGTAGATCTGAGGATACCGTCTTTGCACCGCATTCAATGCAGATTCAGTGCAAAGGGCACGGAGATCTGCACCACCATAACCCTTGGTCAACTCAGCCAACTCATCCTTTATGGGCTCAGGCAAAGGGGGATCCCAGTTCTTGGTGTGAATATCCAAAATGGCACGTCGGCCCTCCTTGTTTGGTAAGGGAAAGTAGAATTCACGGTCGAAACGGCCAGGGCGACGTAAAGCTGGATCGATTGAATCTGGTCGATTGGTCGCTCCAATAACGATAACCTGACCTCTACCATCCATGCCATCCATCAAGGCTAGCAGAGTAGAAACGATAGATGCGTGAATCTGCTCTTGCTTACTTGATCGTACGGGGGCAAGTCCTATAAATCACGTCAGTACGATCAGATTACCATGTAATACCGAGTAAAAAAAAAGTGCGTACCATCAATCTCATCAAAGAAGATGATACTCGGTTGCGTTTTCCGAGCTTCCTCAAAGAGCAACCGTAACTGGCGCTCGGCTTCACCGACCCATTTGCTTAGAGCATCGGCACCCTTTCTCATGTAGAATGTAACTTTTCGCCCTTCCGAACTGACACTTGATGCGAGAGCGCGTGCCATCAATGTCTTACCAGTTCCCGGAGGTCCATGAAACAAAACTCCTCGCGGCGGCACGATATGAAAGCGCTGGAAGATCTCAGGATAGAGCAACGGCAAGGCCACCATTTCTTTCAGCTGGTCAATATGGCCTTGCAAGCCACCAACACTGTCGAAATTTACATTTGGATCAATGCCCAGAGGATCGGCATCAGCCAATGCTTGTTTATCCTTGACTTTTCCAAAGTTGGCTGGCGTCCCCGATAGACCAGGAGCGGCGGCTTCGGCATTATGAGCTTGGGCAGGTGGCAATCCTACGCCTCCGAGACCTGGGGCTAGCGCTCCTGGTGCTCCTAGGCCTCCTCGCACTTGCATGACTTCATCATCACTACTGTCGCTATCTGCATTCGCAGTGGCTCCGGGGGCCCCAGGAGGACCCAAAATAGCGGCAGGTCCACCACCACCAAAGGGTCCCGAGGTTGAAAAGAGAGTGCGCTGCCACGATCCAGCTGCACCACGTCCACGACGAGAAGGTGATTCGTTGACTGCAAGTTCGCCCTCCTCTTCTTCAATAGGTAGGATCAGGTCTGGGCGAATGAGGCGATAATCAACGTCCTTCCTACTACGACGAGGTTTGTCCTCATACGTAATGGTTTCAACGTTCCTCCGGCGACGGCGTGATGGTTGCAAGTCTTGAAGTTCCTCAGCCAGCTCCTCCGCTTCGTCGACATACACTTCCGAATCTCGTCCGCGTGATTGCGACTTTCGGCCCCGCAATCCAGGTCGTCTACCGTTGCTACTATCATCGTCTTGTACTGTTTGGTCCGCCTTGCGTGGTGAAGCAGTCGGTGACTCGAGTATATCGTCATCCTCAGACTCTTCTTCATTTGGTTCAAAGTCTGAACTTTCGTCTTGTTTACGTTGGGATGAGCGGGGTGGTCGTTTCCGGCTGGATCGGCCTCTAGCACTATCTGCTTGTGAATCGGGCTCGTTGGCGGGAGACTTTTGACTTGGCCTGTTCCTTCTCCGTGTAACCGGTCCTTCGTCTTCGTCGTCCTCGTCCTCGCCCTCGCCCTCGCCTTCCGCCTTTGGCGCCTCATTATCGGATTCCGGGATGACACCCTCGTCGGCCATTTCAACGTCGCCATTCTCAGCAGTGTCCTGCTCATTAGAAGGCCCATCCTCATATTCATTCTGAGGATCACTCTCGAGAACTTCCAGTTGAGACGCTTTTGCTTCATCGACAGACTTGACATTGCTCGAATCGTTTTCGTCTTCTTCGTGGATTGGTACTGAGACAGTTTTCGAGGCACGGCGTGTGAGAGGTCCTTGAGCAGCAGCAATGATACCCTCTTCGATCGTTTCGACATGCCGTCCAGAATTGGTCAGTGCATATATGTCCTCGGAAGGATCACGATTATGTCGGGTGCTGCGTCTGGTGCGTTGATTGGTTTCGAGCGTCGCTTGTTTACTTGCCGCCTTTCCTAATTTGAGTGTTATTACTTTTGCGGGCGGCTTCTTTCCCACTTCTTCCTCCTCATCTTCATCCTGTTCGTCTTCGTCAAGTTCATCTTCATCATCGGAATCCTCCTTGTACGCAGGTCGATTTTTCACGGCTTTGCGACGCCTGAGACCTCTTGCGTTCTTCTCGACGTTGCCATCATCTTCTTCCGACTCCTCATAAGAGAGTTCATCATCCTCACTTAGGAGATCATCCTCTGAGATATCGTCATCGTCGGAATCGCGCCGCCGCCGCTTCTTAACAGGCTTCGACCGCTTTTTAGATTTGCGCGCTGATCTCGATGGTCGCGTGGCATGGTCGCTGTAGTCATAGTCGTCTGAGTCTGATTTGTTGGCGATCTCTTCCAGAGTACGCTTTGATGAGTGGCGAGCCATGGTGATTGATGATGTGATCCTCGCTCCCGATTCCCGTCAAATCGCGTTACGGATCAATCAGGGACGGCATGAGCTAGAGGATGCAGCGTGCCTGGATCAATCGATGGAAAGCTCCGAGTAGGATAGTGAGAGGCACTAGGGGATCATGACATAACAGTTGATCGCAATAGCAAGGTGGGAGAAGGTACCGAACTATGAGGCTAAATTTGCGTTAGAAAAAATTTATTTTCAAAAGGTGCGATACGAGAATCTCCTCTCACTCTCATGAATTTTCGAGGAGACTTGATTTCGTAGCGGATCCCCGGCGGGTACGCGACGAACAGGCATGAAACATCGAAAAAAAATATCGCACACTTTAGTGTGAGGGGTACTTACCTTCGTGAATAATAGCGAACCCAAATCTTAATCGAGTTCTGATACACTGACAAAGCGAAGGCTTATCGATGGTCGACAAGACAACAGTAATGAATAATGAGAGCTGACTTGAGAATGAACGGCGGCTGGGGCAGCGCACGAACCACATTGCGTGCACCAGCCACACCTCGCAGCCAACAGCCGCTGTATTCACTGCCACACCTAAACCCGATTGGGCACTAGCGCTGCAGAACATATTTGGTGCCTGGCAAATGTGGCTGCCACACCATGATGCAAGAACAATCGTCTCTTCAATAAGCATTTATCCATGTCGGATTCTATTGTTGTCAATTGAGTCCTAAATCCAGAGAAATATTCAATCTCCAGCCGAAGACTCTACAGAATCGGACAACTCCGACCAACCCTGCGCATGGCTGAAGAGCATGTTACAAGAAGAAGAAAAGAAACATCAAAACAACCCCGCACGAGCAACTCATAGATTTTGAAGGTTGTCAGGCGGCTATTTGATCGAGCAATATTTTGGCAGGTTCATCTTCCCCACCTGGACCACCTCGACCGCGTCTATCCCAACCCAAATTCAAGCGCGGGTCACATGACCATTATTTTAACTCGACTTATATAATATCACCCGGAAGGACGACAACTGCATACATACAGCCATGTTATCAAGGAATATGTTTCGACTTAATCCTGCACGCCGGATACACGGCGCTGCAAGACACATAATTTTATCAGACATAGCATCATCGCAATTCACTCGTCGAGGATTCACATCGTCAATACCACGATCTCAACAGCCACAACCACCACAACTAGAGAAATCAAATACATTCAAAGAAGGCGTCAGTAACCTCTGCCAAATTATTACAAGATAGGAAAGTACTAAAGGTACAATCAGATATCCGCTTATCGCCCCTTTGGCGCACCATTTCTCAAAGTCTTTCTCGGCGCTATTTTCACGTATCAAGTTATTTACTATGCATGGATGAAACTTGAGACAAGTGAGAAGAAATTTTTGAAGAATGGTAATTTCTCTTTTTTTCGTCTCTAATGGATACTAGAAACTAATGTGTATTTTTTGGGCGGAACAGAAGAAATAAAAGGACTGGAGAAGGAGGCTAAGAAGTTGGCTGCTGAGGCAAAGTCTTGAATCGGCTTCGGCCTGGTTTATGTATTTTAACATATTGTATGATTAGACAAACTCTTTTTAGCACTATCTAGGAGGATGTTTGTATCACCACCACTCTCCCTTTAGACTAGATCACAAATACCCAAGTCCTGCACCACTAACAGCCTCCAAATCAGCCCTAATCTCCCACTCATCTGCACCCACTCTCCCCGCAATCTCCAATTTCCGTGGTCGACTCAAATCCAACCATCTCATCAATAACTTGCCGTCAATCATTCCCCGGCCTACGACACCATCGCTCTCGACGGCCCGATAGGCGCGCGGATTCAGCCCACATGGATGTTCGAGGGTGTTACTTAATTGCGACTGCAGAGCGGATAAGCGTCGATAGGATTCTTCGGATAGAGATGTCACGAGGGCCATTAATCCGGATTGAGTGGTTATTAGGGCTTGGTGTAAGGGGATATACGAGTCTATGTCCATTGAGTCCGAGTTCATGACTGCGAGTTCCGAGGAGACTGCGGTGCGTGGGAGGAGGGTTATGGTAGATGCGAAGTGGCCCATGTGGAATTTACAGCGGTTGAGGAGTCGGTCGCCGTTTGATGATTTGGGGTCTTTCAATCGTCAGTCTTTTCACTCAGATGGTTTATAAGGTCAAGTTTACGTACCTTCTGGGTCGTATTGAAGAACGTGTAGATTGCAGTCACTGTCTGCAACGAGGATATAAAGCTTCTTGCCATCAGGTAGGAAATCAGCAGTCACCACTTCCAACTCATCCAAGTCTTTGCCAAAGAGCGTCATTTTATACGGTTCCTCCTATATGCCAACATAATTAGTACGTCAGTTCCTCTTGTTAGTAAATTGATAGTATCGTACCGAGTAGCCAGTAAACCACAATCCCTTCAGTGCATCTCCAATAAGACACATTCCCGTCCCCTTCAACTCCTTGATGACACTGACATAACACTGAACATCAATAAAAGCCACAGGTAACAAACTCCCATCATCCTTCAACCCTCGCACCATACACTTCTGTCCTTGCGCAACGATCAAAAACCCTTGACCTCCAATACCCGAAACTGCAGTCAGAGCTCCTCTAACAGATTCTTCCCCGATGAGTTTGAGTTTAAGATTTGTCCCGGGTTCGTCAGGGTCGGGAACAACATTGATCACGTCAAAGACGTATACGTTTCCTCTTGCTGCGATATCTTCGCCCTTGGCAAATGTGGTGCCTACCACGATCATGTCTTTTCGCTCACTGGTCTTTTCGGATATTTCGAGGTTGATGTTTTCGATGGCGGTGATGCGTTCTGCGGCATTGAATGTATAGCTGTGACCTTATTAGATTTTCATCTCCAGTCGGTGATCATAACTGACCTGTCGATGACTTTCCAAGTCTTCGGGTTAAGTAGCTTGATAGAGCCTTGCGCCACTTTGGGTCGAAGAGATATGTCTGGTATCTTGTCAGATTCATTTATATATAATGACAGCGACATGTTGATCACTAACCTTCATTTGCCCACTCAGGATGTAATTCATCATTGTCAGGCAATTTGAAATCTTGCTCGTGAGTTGTACCAACAACGTATGTTCCCGACACTGTAGAATAAGCTAGATAATCAACCTCTTCATTCAGCGGTATTTTGCGAATCGGCCATGAAAAGTCGAGTTGTGTATTATCGTGTAACCTGCAAGTTCGAACAACATGCTTGACCTCTAATCAGTATCTCATGCAACAAAAACAGAAAGGGAGAAATACCTCGTTGTCGACATATATAAGACCCTTTTCGCAGCCAGCACTGTCAAAGCCACTGATACCGCGGATAGAGTCACTTTGAATACTAAAAACACGAGGCAGGCTCTTAGATGTCCGGACAACCAAGCTTGGAGATGCCCCGGACATGAGAACTGCAGCATAACCACCTATGTCAGCTAGACGTCGAAGTCCCGGCATCCTTTGCTGAGTGTCAGTTGCTGCTGCTTCTATTGGCACCTTGGGCAGGAAATGGTTTGATTCTTTTATATATTTCAAGGTAACACCGGTTTTTTCGTCCTTGCTGTTTTCGCGGACTGGTTTGTAGATGATGAGATCATCCGTAGCGGATCGTATCTGCTCATGTTAGTCAATGTGTGTAACTCTCAGGGGTTCGACATACGATCAGATATGGAGACGCCGTCGAGATTTCACCCAAGTCTGCGACCAGAAGCTCTGCAATGGTCTCGCGAGAGTTGAGACGCTTGGCCGGCTGGTCTGAAGAAAGGATAGACGATACATAATCAACTCCTTCTGTCACAGAAACAAGTTCCCTCGTGGGTAGGCGGAACATCTAGAGAATTAGTTATTTATGCCGGTAACGGTACATCCACTTACAAATAATTTGCATTCTTGGTTAAGCAAGAACATGTAGGTATTTCCTGTCGCATTATCTTCGAAAACATTATGTTTATCCGTGTATAAACATCCGCAGAGCCATGATTGCGAAGAGATAGTCTCAGGTTTACTCAACTCATCCAGGTCCCCGCTCTCATCGGAATGGAGGAGAAGAACAGACGAGTCGTCTCTGATAATTAGGAGATAGGGGTCTGCGAAACTAGTACTAACTGCGAATCGCTCATCGCCCTCATCCTCGTCCCATACAGGATAGATCTGAGCCATTCCAAGATCTGTAGATGGGTGTCAATCACAAGACCAGAAATTATGTCTGAAGGACACTTACTTGTATCATACACCCTAACCTCTCCTGTCAGCACCTGCACAACACGACTATTTCCAGCGAGCGTGCCGATATCGACGGTAGGATCCCCGTTCGGGTTGACGTCTGGAGCACTGAACGGCTCTAGATTAGATCCATTAACTGCATAAACAAGAGTCTCCTCATTATCTGTTGAATTCGACTTGGTAAGGAAAACATAGGATGGGCTTTCCCCTTCGCTTGGATCGTTACGACCGGATTTTGTGCTCGTATTTATATTCCACACGGAATCAGCAGTTTCGCCGTTCATGGTAGAAATGCCATCTAGATGAAGCGCGCGTTGCAGCAAAGCTACTCCTCCATTCCTGCCAGAACCGTAAGCTGCAGCAAGCTCCAACTCGTGTACACTTTGGCTGACGTTCCCCGCATCAGAGTCTCGACTGGCTGGTTTTCCCACGGTGACAGAACGCAAAGAAGCTAAACTCGGCAGTTTATCAAGGACTCGAAATGAGTAATCTTCTGAGGCGCTGCCATTTGAGACTGCTTTATTAACCGCTTCCTTTGGCGCTGATGAATACAGGTCATCTTCGTACATATCATCATCGTCTTCATCGTTCATATCCTCGTCGAATTGATCTTCGCCGTGGTCTTTGCTCTTCTTTGAGACTGCTGATGATACATAACAATCGAGGAGAAGCGAGTCGGTATCTTCGCTGCCAATGAACACCTTGCCGGACCCGAGAGAGATGGAGCATGAAGCAGTAGCGCCGACAACATCGCCTCCCGAATTTGTAGGTACCGGACATACAACGGGTCCAGAAACTGATCTTCCATCTATCTTGAAGTGAACCAAAACCAGCTCGCCTGTCGAAAGGGTGAGAAGTATGTCTCCGCACTCTTTGTTGATAACCTCAACGACTGAATTTTCTAGTCGAAGCCCCAAATCAGATTGATCTATCATAGGAAATGATGAAACCTGCTTTGCAAATTCATTGACCGCCACCGCACTGGCCTTTCCGGATTGATCAACGTGAATCAATTCGTTGGATCCTATTAGCAAAGCGCCACCGACAGGAGCGGGAAGAGCCATGATGTGTAATAAGTCGCTTGGTAATTTTGCTATCGACAGAAGAGGCGTGGAAGCACGCTGTTCCAGATCCAGCGTAAACACAGAATACACCACAACATCTTTCCGTTCTTCGAGTAAAGCGGCTGAGGTGGCGATGGGTGAGTAGAGAATACCAAATGTGGGCTCTCGGTATTCATGCAGAAATGTCAAACCAATAGGATGAATCAACGTCGGGTCCAAGGCAGTCAACGGCAAGACAAATGAAGCTGCATAGGGAGTCTGGTGAGTATGGTCTTTCTCCGTTCCCTTCTTGCTGTCTGTGTGGGATGTATTCTTGTCCTGTCCAGTAAAGTCATCCATATCTAGATCAGGATCATACTCGTCCATGACCAAGTCGTCGCCGGCTTGATGGAATGGTAGGATAGCAAGATTCCGCACTCCAAAATTGAGTACAGCACATCGACTACTAGGATCCACAGTGAGATGGCTATCACATTGGCTGAGATCAGGTGCCCAAGGACTGAGCGTGATATCCTCTTTTTCATAATAGTGAATTGACACTGTCGAGATGTTCTGTATCTCGGGATTCCATTCAATCAGACTGAGTTTCGCATTTCTGAACGACAAGAGAAGGGCGTCTCCCCCACTCCTTGAATTGAGAATGTTGATGCGGGATATATCAGTCACTGTTCCGTGAAGATCATATTCAGCAAATAATTGTAATTTTGTTGTCTCGTTTCTTTTCTCGTTGTCATTTGCCCGTTGGCCATTTTCCAGGACAGAAGGAGTAACTGTCTCAGTGACCAGGTTGTAGATCTGTAGAAGAGATGTCTTGATGACAACGAGATTATTTGCCGTAGCTGAAGTGAACGCTGCAGATACGGCATGCGTTACTCCCGAAGGAGGTAGCACTTCAGTATAGCATTGCATTCTCAGGGTGTTTTGAGATGATTCAAAGCTGTTTTGACGTTCATACACCAGACATGATGCGATTTGTGTCTATTCGAGCATGAAATAAGTCTCGAAATTTGTCAGTACTGATCAAATTCCGTTCAATTCAATTATCGATATAGCAGTATCATCCACTCATGCGAAAGCTATGGCTCATTGAGAACTTTCTGCTTGGATGGGAATGGATGTTGAAAATGATCGTCCAATAAAACACCGATCTTTGTTTATCGAAGGAAGCTATTACGGCAGACTGTAAGTGACTATTGCGCAGTACACTGTATGTGTACTGTCATTACATCCATCGTAATTTCGATATTTTTAGGGTTAACTTCAGTCATGTCTCGAGGTGTGGCCCAATCTCGACACATAGAGGTGATTATTGCTTGGATGTCAATTCGGGTTTTTGACCATAAGCCATGTTTCCTTCTCTACCTACAGTAACCTATCTGGCAGTATCTCACACCGATTAAGACTGGCATGAAAATGAAGGTCCCAAACGACAATGGAGGGGATCCAGTGCATAGAGAATAATTAGTTGATATATTACCTACCTGTCAGGATGTGATCCCTGTGCAAATTAGTCTGAAATCTACTAGCCAGGCGAAAGACTATCAACTAAGGACATGTTGCCTCAAAAATCAGGCACCAACAAGCTGTAGGCATTACATCATTCACTGGACTGCATTCCGACGCCGAACATCAACAAGTTTCACATTCGCAACTGCTTCAGTTGAATGGCTGATGACTTACCACTCATCTCTGTATCTTCAATCTGGTGTACTGACCACAGCATGAAAGTATGGCCGGCATACAATCCTCACTAATATGGATCGTCTATGCGATCGTCGTCGCGATTCTGTTTGCTGTCGCCTCCATCTTCATCTATATTTACCAAACACCTCGGGATCGATCACCGCTCGTAACAATAGTCTCTATCATCACAATCACAGCTCTCCTTGCGACTGTACTATTACAACCAGTTGATGTCGCCCTCATATCCTCGACGACTTCTTCCAAGCTCGGCCGCCGCAAGGATTGGGCTTCGCAGGATGAGGTGGATAAAATAGTTTTCTCATTGAGAGTGGTGTATTACCTACTCTACTCATTGGATGCGGTGCTGTGCTTGTTGGTTGTGCCGTTTACCTATTTCTGGTACGAGGAATATGATGAAGTTGCTGTGCAAGAAGGGGAGCAGACATTTGGGAAACGGTTTTGGAATGCTTTCAAGTATACGATTGCCTTCATCTTTCTTGCTGTCATTCTTTTCCTTGCTGGATTTTTCATTCCGATTCGAGGCATATCGGAGGACAAGGATTTGGATTTCTTCAAAAAACTGTTGACTGAGAATCGTGGGTTCATTGAAGATAGCTTACCACTCGTTTTGTGCTGACTTGAGCAGATGGCGAAAGAGCGCTCACCTTCGCTTTGGGCATACTCCTCACGCTGGGAACATGTCTTTACGTCGTTTATACTTCAACCGGTTTTGCATTCTTGCCCATCACACTTATCAAGACTGCGCCCTCGATCTCGAACCCTACACTAAAAGCAAATACCGCATCGCAACTCGAGAGCAACCGCGAACGTCAACGCCAATTGAATGCCCGCTGTGGCGGAGATACAGATCAATTGTCATCCAAAGACCGCAGGGAATTTGATCAATTAGTCCGGGAGGAAAGAACACTTATCCGAAGGCAACGCTTGATTGAAGAAGCACAGGGCGAAGGACGCAGCTGGTTGATTCAAGCATGGTTCAAAATAGAAGCGGTATTCAGGCCTTTCAAGCTTCTCGGAGGAATTCTGCTTCTTATCGTCGCCATCTTCATCTGGGTCTCTATGCTGCTCACCGCAATCGACAAGGCGAACAACTCCGTCTGCAAGCATAACTGCGGATACATCCTGGGACATATTAATGTCTTCAATCCCATCAACTGGATCTTCGTGCAATCCGCGCGCGTCTTTCCGGTGGACTACGTTTTATTCGCATTGATTGTTTTGCTATTCTTCAGTAGCTCCGTCGTCGGTATAGCGACAGTGGGCATTCGCTTCCTCTGGATCAGAATCTTTCAAATCCGTAAAGGTCATACTTCACCACAAGCGCTTTTATTAGCGACCGTGATGTTGACATTGATCACACTTGCGTTAAACTATGCCATGTCAATGATTGTCGCCCCTCAATACGCTACTTTTGGACCACAGACATTCTGCGATAAACCAATTAACCATCCCGGCGCACAAGCCGATTGCTCTGACGACAAGGACAAGGATCTTATCAAGCCATGTACAGAATTGGCTGATAACCCAGCTGCCAAAGAGGTCTGCACCCCAAGTGTGGTCAGCACATTCTTCAACAGAGTCACGTTGAACTTTCCATATTTCGGTGTCATTATTTTCTGGGCTCAATTCGTTTTCCTAGGTATTCCTCTCCTGCTTTGATCATATTGGACATTGCTAACTCCGTCAAACAGGTTTATATTTGATCATCCTTGTAACTTCCTTATTCCGTACACCGAAACTCGACGAACATCAAATCGATGAAGATGCCGAGGAAGCCGAAGAGGAAGGATTGCTAGCTAGTACGGGTCGACGATTCAATGCGACGTGGCAAGATATTCGAGGAGAGGAATCCGCCTAGCTCTGATTTTATATCATGAAGTGTATGATTTTTGGTCCTGGGAATTTTGGTGTTTTATGGATGCACAGTTTATAGGTTATGCATAGGGTTTGATTATATATTGTCCACAGATCGTTCAATTCTTCATTATGAAATACATATTATCACTGATCACGAAGACCGCTCATATTTCACAGCTTTGTGCCCTGAATCACCTCCATCATCCATATGCATCTCCCACCAACATCGAACACAAAACAACTGATCCCCTTCACAATCCAAACATTTCATCTTTGCAGTATCGTAGCATATACAACAGCAATCGGGAGATTCATCATCCTTTCTGGCAGATTCGCCAGGTCGAGTATCTGGAGCTGATGGGAGAGACAGCGCTGCTAGACGCGAAGATAAATCATCGTCATTCTCCTCGACCTCAAACCCCGTAGGGGAGGTGCTGTTGTTATCTTTGCCTGGTGATGTAGGAGGAGGATTTTCTTGAATCTCTTTTAAGAGATTCTTCACATATTTTGCGGCTTCGGCTTCATCGTTTTCTTCGTCGGATTCGTCTTCTTCCTCTTCTTCTTCTTCTTCTTCGCTGCTGTCAATATCTTTTAAGAAATCGGGTATATCATCGTCCTTCTTCCTTTTCAGAGTATGAGGTGATCTATCTTCAGGTTCCGTTGTAGACGTCTGTTGAATGAACCCGTATGCGTCACTGAGCAGTTCTCGCGCGTGATTTTTGTCATCTTTCGGATTGTTTCCAAACTGTGTAGCCGTAGTCTCTGATATTTGATTATTCTCACTACCCAAACTGGCAAGTAAATCCTCAATCGCATCTCCATCCAACAACGACTCAGGCGCTAGAATGTCATCTTCCGCAAATAATGAGCCCGTCGTTAGATCGTCGAGTTTCGATCTAGATCCAGCACTCGAATCCTCATATCCTGCGAATGGGTCTAGTGGTGATGTAGTATTTAGGACGACGTTTCTTTATATCTAATCAATCAGTAACTGGCTTCAGTGGATTGATATGCGATTTCAGGTTGCGCACTTTCGACGTTCGAGTTGCACTGTAGACGGTTTCAGAGCGTTTAACCGTTCTAGCAACCGCTTATCCTCGTTACTAGGCCGGTCAGTCATGTCGATGAACGACTATTGGGATGTTCGTGATGAATTGTCGGTTGATGTAGATGGGAAGTTGACACAGCCCCACACAAGCTACAACAACTATTTAAGCAGCGCCAATGCACTCTCGAATGCTTTGACAACATTCGCATCTGAAAAGATTGAGTATGTTTCCTCCAGGATAGTGTCAGAAAGGGAAAAGTTGGACTTACAGTGCTCCTTTTTCTCTTCTAGCTCCCGTTCAGAATTCTGGACGTGTTGCATTCGTGTCTGAAATCTGCTGTGATGTTAGATGCTAGTCGATATCACGATATAGATATGCTGAGATACCTTTTATACGACCGATCCTCATCACGAGAAACAGTAACTTGTGTCCATATTTCAAATATCTATACCCATGACTGTCAACTGTGTCCATAGAAGGAAGTCATTAGCATAGTAGTTACTGGTCAATACCTTAAGTAATTCCATCGTCTGATGCTGAAGATCTTTATCGAGTTGTTCATGTTCCTTCAATGCACTGGAGAACATTTCCAAGAGCTGATCCCAGCTGCATTTTTGGAGATCTTCAGGTTGAAGAGATAGGTCACCAGGACTGTTTTTGAGTGCTGGCATTGGATGTTGTTTGCTGTCTTCTTTTGGGGCCATGTTGTATGAACAATAAATTGTTATTCGCTGAGTCAAGAGCGTTGATCAAAAAAACCAAACTAAACTCATGAAAAGAGATATCAATACTGAGTGTAGAAAGTTGAGTAAACAAACATAGAGAAGTTGAAATATTTACGTTCTTTGTAAATAATTGCGTATCAATACTGTATCGGCGGAGGGCTGGCATCTTCTCCGGAGATCACAAGCTTCTCTTCACTGTACCTCACCACTTCCAATTCACCAGTTCCCTATAGACATTGCTTTTGAATTGCAGTATACAACTGGACTGAATTACGAGAACGATTCAGCTAGTCGAACAATTCGACCTGATCTACAATGCCGCTAGCAACAAGAAGATACTTTTCCACTGCAGCAAAGACATCAAAATGTCTAACTCACTCGATTTTTACGGTCAATAGACCACAATATAGCATCGTCCTGAATCAAAATGTCTCCAGATACCAGACGCCATCCTCATCAAACCGAAGCGCAATCACACTCACCCACCTCCAACGACACACCTTCACAAACTCCGCATCCCTAAGCAAGAAAAAAGACAAAAACAAACGCAACGACGATGTCGACTCTTCACAATCAACATCAGCAGCAGCAGGAGCAGGAGGAGGACCCGACCCCTTCAATTTCTCACAGCTACAAACCGGAATCTCAGACGCCCTCACACGCCTAAAAGAAGATCTGCAAAAACTTCGATCAGGCGGCCGATTTAATCCAGAGGTCATTGAGCAATTGCGCGTGAATCTGGTCAAGGGTAGTAATGAGACGGTGCGATTGAGTGAAGTTGCTCAAGTAGTTCCCAAGGGTGGACGGGCAGTTACTATTATCGTTGGTGAAGAGGATGTAAGTCTGCTTCTTCTTTCCCGGACTTCAATATGCTAATGGAGACACAGCTCGTCAAACCAGTAAATTCAGCTATAATCTCATCTAACCTGTCCCTCACCCCACAACCAGATGCGCATAACCCTCTACAACTCAACGTGCCCATTCCACCACCAACCAAAGAATCGCGCGATCAAGCCATAAAAGCAGCCAAGGGGGCAATGGATAAAGCAGCGAATGCAGTGCGAAGTGCTCGCGCAAGCGTGCATAAAAGATTACAGGATATGCAGAAGAAGAAAGAAGCCAGACCGGATGATATTCGAAAAGCGCATGATCAGATGGAGAAATTGGTCGAGAAGGCGCAGAAGGATGTTAAGGATACGTTTGAATCTGCTAGAAAGGGTATGGAGCAGGTTTAGTATAGAATCTGTTGTAAATCTACTGTACAATATAAAAAAGAAACACTGTATACTACATTCCACGTCAGGTCACTTAGACCATCTTGAAGAAAAAACATCAAGTTGAAGCCCGTTTTGCCCGCTGCACCGAAGCAAGTAAAGACTGAAACTTGCCCATAAACTCAGCCTGTTTCCCGGTCATCCGATAAGTCTCATTATTATAAAGCTGTCTCTGCACCTCATCCAACACCGGATGACGCACATCCCCCTTTTGCCATCCCTCATACTGCCCACGCACAATCTGCCCCACGAGAGCCTTCTTCTCGTCATCCTTGATAGACGCAAAACTCGAATCTTCAGGCTCAATCAAATCGCCTTTGCGTTGCGTCAATTTATCGGCTCGTTCCTGCGCGAGTCTGCTCACTTCGGCCATGACGGTTTTCTTCTCTTCTTCGCCGGTGAAGAAGACTCGTTCACCGTCAAAGAGTCGCTTGGCGAGTTCGATTGGTGAGACATAGCCGGCTCCGTATCGACGACTCAGTAGATTCAATCGTTCCACGACGGTACCCGTTGATCCTGTTTTGCCCGTGGGTAAAGACGGCCATGTATCCTTCAAAGCGGTCATGTCGTAATTGACCGGTGTGTACCGCACAGGTTTCGGTTTCGAGGCATTTTTCACTTCGTTAAAAACAGCCTCCAAATCATTTCCGCGACCGACTTCTTCGCCGTCTTCCTCATTATCTCGCTTGCGGCGTTGTGTGCGTTTGTTTGCTGCTGCCGCGTTGGCTGTGCGAGATTTGCCTGTTTTCCTTGCTCCGCCAGCTCCTGGTCGGCCTCGTGCAAGTGTACCACGTCGAAGCCGTAATTGAGGTGCTCGAATGATATTTGACTGATTAGGAGCAGCGTGGCGTGTACCGAGTGATCTGGCATCAATGACTCGCGGGCGAGATACGGGTGTCCTTTTCACTAGTGATGGTTTCGAATCGGATTCACTTTGATGTGAGGTTCCAGATGAGAATGCTCGAGTCAAGCGAATGTTGGCATTGCTCGCTCTTTTAACATTATACGGAGAACAGTAGACTGTTCTCAGAGTATGTGAACGAACCATCCGGTCCATATCGATGTGGTGGAATTCAATTGAGAGCATTCCGAACTGAAACAGAGAAGTTCAAACGGATAATTGAAGTTCTCCAGGATTTTGTCACGTGATGCACTCCAGCGCTGATAAACAAACACCATCCCCATACACCACTTTATCTCTCACAGACACAATCTACACATTATACACACAGTATTATTACTCTCTATCGTTATCCGAATTTACTAGGAGAAAAAAAATGCTCCGCCGCAAACCAACAGCCATAACAATCACCCCCGAAGACCTAATCGCGTTCGAAGAAGAACGACTCCAAAAAGAAAAGCTCAATGCCGAAGGAGGAAATTCTCGATCAGAGTCTATGCTTCATACGACATCGGGCAAGAAATATGACCCCAATGATGAGTTGAAGCCTTTGCCGGGTGATAAGGCGAGGATTGTGAGGTCGAGGGATGAGAGGATTGGGGTTGGGAGGAGGACTTGATTCTTTCTTCTTCTGATTAGTAGAGCGTAAGCTCTGCTGGTATTTTGGTTCTTTTGGGATTGGAATCATGGTCTGGGAAGTAAGCTGTGTGCGTATCCGGTGGAGTGCATGATTACATCGCAAAGCAGCTCAATCGTTGAGCATACTGCCATCTACACGAATTTCGATCTACCATACTACAACAAATTATGAAAAGACGAGCTGCAAACCAACTTATCAATTACTAGTTGGAATTTATTCAATCGCACCGCTCTTCACGCCACACGCCGTCGTAAATTCATACATGGGTATCAGCTCAACAACTCGTACATATACACAGATGTCAAAGATGCGTGAAAAAGGACAAACATGTGAACGGAGAAATTTAATGTACAAACAAGATCGTGTTCAAGATTGGGTAGATTGAGAGAGACGTGTTTGGTGCCTTCTTCGAGGTCCTGATCTTTGTAGGCGAAATCTGCGCCGTACAATGGAGTCATGATTTCACGAAATAAGGCAATAAAGTCTTGCCTAGATTAACACCTGCAATGCCAACTATCTTGATTGCTTGACATTGTAATCTGTCATATCAACGGAATGATTCCATCTGCGTTTCAGGCCGTGCGGATCATAGACACTTGCAACGCTCTGCTGCCAGTCTCTGGCAGTCATGACAGGCTGAGGCTCGTACGTTGCTTGCGACATGGATTGCATAGCGTCCATGGACATGACTTTACCGGCAGGCGGAGTATACTGCATTGGGTACTGAACTGGGACACCGTCCGCAGTCATTGCTTGGCCTGTACCCGCGAATGGCATCTGTGGAGAAGTTGATGTATCGACAGGAAATGCCATATTCCACGAACTTTGTCTTTGTTAGCATAGTGACCTCTATGGTATGAGATTGAAAATCTTACGTGATAACCGGAGTAGGGTCCCAACTATTCTCGTCTACAAGCGGGACACTGAGCTGGGGATTTCCAAACTGATTGCGAAGCATGCTCATACTGGTCTGCTGAGAGGTATCGGATTTAGAATCGTCGACGCCTGTAGGTGGTGTAGTAGAATGGGAGGTGAACCCTAACCGATGGGGACTCGGTTGGCCATACTGGTTGTATTGTGATTCGAACGCCGGAGGACTAGAGTTGTATTGCTCGGATGGACTGCCGTATGGGAAAGTTGCTCTGAGTTCAAATGGCTTTGTGGTGTCAGCAGAGAAAGCCTGCCTCAGCGCGTCGATTTGAGCTTGAATCTCAGGAAGTGGCCACGTCGTCGAACACTTTTCCAGGATACGCATGTGTCGAGTGAAATAATCACGCGCATCTGTATGAAATTCAGGGTCTGGAGACGTTATTGCAACCTGTGACATGTTAAACCTAATTTATGTGTTGAGACATGACTGAAGAACTCACTAGATGTAGCATAGTGCATGTCAAAATTGCGTAAACAGTAAAATTGATTCCACGTTGCATGAAACGGAGTCCCTGGAGTGTGAATCGAGAAATAATCGCTTCTTGCAGTCGACAAAGACATTTTGCCGAAGAATAGCATAGCTGCATATGCCTTTTCCAACCACCATCAGCTGTAAAGGACTTAGATGCCAGTAACTGTGGGCGATGAACCATTATAATAGCCAGATGATAGTGAGTGTGCATGTTTCCGACAAAGTGCGAAGGCAGCCACGGCGGAGAACCATCATTAGGGTACGTAACCTGAAGATCCTGCGGTAGGCTTCGATACCACTCGTCGAAAAGCGGGTTGTTCTCTGTGAAGCGTGGATCCGAGGCCCAGTCTTTCTGCCGCTTTATTTTGTGGTATAATTCCGTATAGATACGAATGTGGTGGGCGTTTTTCACAAAATAAGAAAACTGCCGCGAACGATCGGTTTCAAACTGATCCGTATCAATAGTGTCGAGTTGCGGTCGCATATCTACCGTGTCCGGGTTTACTTCATAATCCGACCGACCTGATCACAGTTAGTCATACGATTGTAAAATAAAAAAAAAAGGTAGATACAAACCTTGCGGGCCTCCAACCATCACCTCGACTACCAACAACGTCTGCCAAACTCTCGTCTGGATCAGACACTCCACGGCGTCAAGGCCGCATGATTTCCCTTCTCGATGAGTAGCATAGTGTTCATGGAGCTCAAGATCTTTAGACATGGAAATGGCAGTCTTGATTGTCTGCCAGGAACGGTAGTAATATCCTTTTCGAGGATTTGACTCTCGTGCTTTTAGCAACAACAGCATCGCTTGTATCGTGCTCAGGCGCGGAACGTCCATGAAACTTGATTCGTGACCTGGTCGGCGTCAGAAAATTCTGAAACGTAGACTATAAACAACTTACGAGTAGCAAGTGCAAGCCACTGAGCACCCTGAGCAGGCTCCTCCGACATTCTACCTGCACACGCAAACAGTGCTTCTAACAATAACGGAGATATCGAAGACCGGTCATTACGCCATTGTTGATACAAATGTGAACGGTGTATGACAGGTACGTATGGGTGAATGTCTTGAAAGAAGATTTTGAAGTACTCCATGACCTCTTCATTCGAAGGCATCAGTTCTGGTGGTATTCGTATGATGGAGCCAGCACCAGTGCTAAGTGGAGGGAGATTCTCGTCGTCGTCTTGTACAGGAGCCGCAGGCTCTGTCAATCCTTTTCGCTGTTGTCGAATATATGGTGCTTATACGTGTCAATTAAAACCCACTTCATCAAGAGTCCGAACTTACCGATTCCTGTCTCGTCAATTCTCAATTCACCAAGCGCTTCACTAAGGTTCTCAGCTGTGGACTGCTCCGGATCAACAAAAACGCCACTATCTGCACTAGGAAGCCCATGGGGTGCGCCCATTTGAAAATACTGATTTTGGTAAGGATGTTGAGTGACAGCGATCTCAGGAGTTTGCGCCGAAGCGTACATGCCATGATTCTGCGGGATGTAGGATGAGTACGTGCCGTATGGTGAGATATTATTTGCAAGTAAAGGATCTTCGTTAACGTAGTTAGATTGCATTAATTCATGGTGCGGAATACTTTGCTGTTGATTCGAATGGTCTCGGAATCCGGCCTGCTCTGCTTCAACACCTTGCACCGGAGTCGTCTGGTCGCCATCCTGGCCTATGGTTGGAGGCACACAGACTAATTTCAGTCGCTGGCATGCTGTGCAGGGCCATGAGTTGGTCGTGGCAGCGTCACATTTGATCTTCCTTTTTCGGCAGCCATTACAGGCGCGCATCACTGTCACTATTAGTTTCTGGAAACTCGTTTCCTATAGAGTCCATCCTACCTTTGAGCCTCTTGTGTCTATTGTGCTCATCGACAAAAACATAGTCTGGACGATAGTTAGATTATGTGACAATAGAGCCATACAATTTCCGGATCCGGTGCTCACTCTTCTGGCCTTCCCGCGGGGGCCCAGTTGGAGGTGTAAATGTATATGGTTGCATGTCGTATTATATATCGTCATTGAACAGTGAAATCAGGCGAGTACGTAATCTGATATCTGGCCTGAGCTGCACGATCAACTTGTCAACCTCGGGATCGCGACCTAAACTCTATTCGGTGGAGTTGGAGATTTTCGGGGTATAGTATAAATCGTAGGTAGGTTCGCATCAAGACATCAGATTCGTGTATACGGCGGAGAAAAACAAGGCTATAAATATGTCCCTTGTTGCATAAACGCAATGCCTATCGCATATCCACTTGTTGGTAATATCAACGCGAAACCGAGTGGGGTGGATCCAACATCGAGTTCGCCGAACCGTAACTATCGTGAGGACGGAGAACTTCTATAGACGATAGAAGCAGGATAAAATTAAAGCGCAGAACTGTTTCCTTCGATATGTGGGAAAGCACTGCGCCGCCGCTGAGTAATGTGGGAGGTCTGGAGAGGTTGTGGCAATACCCTATATCCTTCCTGCCCGCAGCCAGCCGGTTTGAAACACAAAATGGCACGTTATATTGACAGCGAACAGCGGATGACGACGCGATGAAACAAATAGAATAAAAATCACGCAAAGACACAAGCTTGATGCAAGTGAAATCTGCCGGCCATCAAGGGTATATATCGTATGCGGGGGATCTGTTGGAGGTGCGAATGGATAGCGTGGGCGCTTATGCTAGCAGAATCGAATGCGACAGGTTGAAATGAGTATATATGCAGGATCAATTGGCGTATTAGAGGTTAATATGCAGGGTGTGTGTCGCGATTACTGTAGAAGATATAGTACAGCATTCTCTCGCTGGCCACGTTGTGAATATGAGATGAGATGAACGGTGAGGAGGTCGAGAGGTGGTCGCAGGGGGTGGGGGAGAGGAAATGAGAGGAAAGCCGGTACATCTACCGACCGAACACACAATCTTCGATATTCATGCGACGCATCGAGTTAGATGATTGGCAGTTCTCCACTCACAGCTGGCATTCTGCTTGTTCCAGTTGGAAAGTGTCTCTTAACAGAAGCCAAAACCCACCTGTAACAGCGCAAAGTCAAATCATGATTAAGGAGCAAACACGGAGTAGCGGGTCAAGCTTGACTCTTATTCCTTAAGGACTCCAGGAGGACGAAGTATGTGTGTTTATGCGATTACATGGACATTCAGAGATCATTGAGATTCCTAGTAAGTGGCTATATGCATGAATATTCTTCTTATCGAGTGATGCAAGTACCTCTCGCATCAAAATGGCCGAAAGGTACCAGTTGCAAAGTGACACAAGCTGATACACTGCCGATACGAGCCAGAAGCAGAGAAAAGCTTACTTTTGGCCTTCTCTATCTGTGCGCAATACAGTATCCTTACAATACGGTTAAAATTACTTACTAATCAATCGATCAGAAATCTTATCGCGTCGATCATTCTAACCACTTTAACATCACTTCATAGTACTCCGAATAGAATCATTCAGACGAAGAACAGATAAAATGGCAGAAATGCAAAACGTCAACCCAACAATCCTCAATACAGCTGATCTTCCCACCCGCCAACGAAACAAGTCAACCACCAAGGCCAAAAATGCAGATGTGGCGGGTTATGAGGGGACAGTCTTTTATAAAGATCTCGCACTGCCCGAATTAACCGATCCATTCGCTCTACGCTCGTCATATAGTAGCAGTGAATCCGAGAGTGATGATAATGACGACGACGATAATACATATGAGGAACCTATTGATGAGCAAGAGATATACGGTATGCATCACCCCTCTCCCCTCTCAAAGATAGTCAATTACTAATGGATATAGACCTCGTCTCAACAATCTCCGACCCCGAACACCCAATATCACTCGGCTCACTCGCCGTCGTCTCCCTGCCAGATATCTCCATAACACCCTCCTTACCCCGAAACCCTTCCTCGCCCCTCCGCACCGTCACCGTGCTAATCACCCCGACAATCACACACTGCAGTTTGGCCACCGTGATCGGTCTCGGTGTTCGAGTCCGTCTTGAACAGTCGCTACCGTCTAGGTTCAGAGTTGATGTGCGCATTAAAGAAGGTACGCATAGTACCGCAGAGGAGGTGAATAAGCAACTGGCGGATAAGGAAAGGGTTGCGGCGGCCTTGGAGAACGGGACGCTTATGGGGGTTATTGGGAAGATGTTGGAGACTTGCGCTTAGCTAATTTTTATAGACACTAATTGTATTTATATATAGATTGATGATGACATAAATGCATTGATGACCAGGCCCGACCTACGCCAACTAATCTCATCATACATTTCCATTTGATATCATTTCCTGGATGCTTTTAGACTACCCCTCGAGTACACCACTATCCTTAAGTCCCCGCCACAACTCAGGTTCCAGAAACTTACTAACCGTCACATCCTCCGCCAACCCTTTCCGCCTTCTAGTCTTGAGCACAAAATCTCTAGCAATAGCCTGCGCACTCGCCATTTCCAGCGGTCGAAGCTTCACTTCGCGATCAAGTGGATCACCGGGGACAACACTCCATTTATCAAAGACCAGGCTGACCGTCGCTTGTCCTTGGGTGTGGATGCGGAGATCCGTCTCGAATCCAAAGGAGTCGATCACCGGTATGAGACCGCGGACCGAGTAGAGTGGTGTACCTGCTACGGGACCGTCGGATAGGACGTGGCCTCGTCGTCGTGACAAGACTGTGTATACAGAGGCGACTGCGTCGGCCGGACCCAGCATTTCGCATGCATATACGGGTTCCATTAACCGGGGCGATGCCATGAGGAAGGACGAGTAGATTGCGCGACGGGTGGTGGGGATGATTTGTCCTCCGCCACGGTATATGGCCTGATCGGCGAGGGAGATGTCTGTAAGTCTGAACTTGGTATTTCGAATAGCTAGTCTGTGTTAGTTTCTTATCAGAGATGTAGCGATAAGGGTAAACGTACGTTCTTCACATAATGGACCCTCTCTCGTTCCCCAGCTGAAGCCTTGAACGATAGAATCACGAACAGTTCCAAGTAGCTTCTTGTCAACTTGTGACGGAAGCGTATCGTCCTGCAATATATTAGGCCCGTTTTCTTCCGGTCCAAATGCCCAGATACTGCGTGCTGCTAGTTTATCCCACTCATATTTCTCCTCAAAGAACTTGGCCACTTTTCGGATAGGGTCCTTGATGTGGACGCGGCCGCTCTCAATATCTTCTGCGATACCATCGTCTAACGGCTCGGCAATCATGGTCACCTTGTTCTTCTTATTCGGTGTAATGGAGTAGCACATGATTGCAGAAGTTTCCACCACAGTCTCACAAAATCTGGTAACAGGATCGGAAACCTTTAACTCCATCTCTGCATAGAGTCTGCGCAGATCATGAAGCACACAATCCATGTAAAGCTCGCCAGTCCCCAAAATGACATGTTCGCCCGATTCTTCTACCTTGGTGAATATCAATGGGTAACTCTTGTTGATTTTCCGAAGTCCATCCAACATCTTGGGCAACTCCGATGGGTTGATAGGCTCAACGGCGACCTTGAATACAGATTCAGTCATATGACGAAGTGGTTTGAAAATATAAGCGTCCTCATCATTCTCCAATTTGGGCGCAACAAGCGTAGCGGTCTTCATAATCGAATTGTCTACACCACCTAGCAATACCCAATTACCCGCAGGGACACCATCCGTAGGAACGTTATACCGAGAATTGGCAATCCATGTATCAGATATGGTTGCATTAACCATGTCCTCCTCGTCATCAACCGAATAGCCTTCGCCAAGGACCCTAACCGGCTGTCCGGGACGGGCAACACCGCTCATTACTCTCCCAAAGGCATCGAATTTCGAAGCATCAGAGCTATTGAACAGCTTGGTCACATGAATTACCAGTGGCCCCTCCGAATCGCATTTCAACATCGACTGTGCAACGTGTGTATCCAAAGGTCCGGTATAGTATCGCTCCAATTTCCGTGATGCTCCCTCTACAGCAGATGGTATATGCTGTACGCACATATCAACGAATCCAGTAGCCGGGCCGAAGAATTGCTCACAGACTAGATTCAGAAGCACTTTTGCATCCAATTTGAGCTGAGATGGTTTTAGGTATATGTTCAAGCTCGCTAACGTTTCTTTCAAGTCTTCTGGACTTTCACTTATTGTGTGTGAATAGAGTTTGTAAACAGGCTCAAGAATGAAGTTGACAAATGATCGCTTAGATCCTTCCTCAACTCCCTTTCGCGTAAATTTGCGGCTTCGAGGGTTATAGAAGATGTCTCCCCATAATCTCTTTGCAAACTCTGCACTGTCGAGTTTAGAATGACGCTCAGCGTACATTTTGGCAAACGATTCCAGGGTAAAGCACCAGTTCATCGAGCTGCATGCGAATGCGACGTTTCCTTTCTCCGGACTTAATCGTCGGCTCTCACCTCTTCCCGGAATGACATTCTCAATGATGGAATTGACTTGCTCAATGGTGTGTTTCAGTTTGAAATACGCATCATTCGGTGGCAATTTCAGCTCGAGGATTAATCGGTCGACCTTGTTGACCACCAGGGTCATTGGCAGATCTTCCAGAACGGCATATTTGATGATTTGTTCAGTATTTGCCTGAACGCCCTCGACTACATCCACAACTAGCACGACACCATCCGCCAAGCGCAAAGAGGCTGCGACCTCGTCGACAAAATTGACATGGCCTGGCGTGTCCAGGATATTGAACAGATACGATTTCCCCTTCGTTCCTTGTAAGACGAGAGACATTGGCGCGGATTTGATAGATAGCTGCCGTTCGCGTTCGAGGAAATGCACATCCGTATACCGCAGCTGTTCGTCTCGCTTTCTTCCGGTGCGTTTTTCCAGTCTCTCGTTGATGTCGTGTGTCTGCATGACCAACATGTCCATAAACGCAGTTTTCCCATGATGTAAATGGCCTGCAATCGCAACATTCCTAATTTGGTCTGGATAATTGAGCAAATCTGCCATAAACTCTCTCGAATAAAAAACGGGAGGAAGATCGGCTTCCTGTAATGAGAACTTCTTCTGCGTCACTGGATTGATGATTGGTTCCGTAAGTGGTTGCGCGTCTTCTTCTTGTACCAGGGTCTCGACTTCGGCTCCATATACTTGCTGAGCACTGGGGTAATATTGTTTATCTTCGTGCAAAACAACCGCATTCGATGGACCTTCTGTGGAAATGGTAAGCTCTTCTGTCGCGTTATCTGAATGTCTCCATGGAGCCTACCATCAACCTCCATCAACTGGTCTGCTGCCTCAGCCTCGGCAGCCTCCTCCTCTTCTTCCAGATCTTCGTAGACATAGCCACTTGCAGGAACATCTCCGGCCTCTGATTCCTCTGACAGTCCACCTTCGCCAATGTAGTTACCGAACCTGCAGACACATATTAGCTTGAACACGCCGATAAACCAGAGCAAACTCTTTAATATAATGTTAATAGGAATAACGTACTCATCGTAGAGATCGTCCATGGCGTCTTGTAATCGAGCAAGGTTGCAATGACCAGCTCTAATAAATCTGCACGTCGCAAAGATTAGATCTTGCAAGCGCAAACCGTGATAATATTCTTAGCTACGAGACCCAATGCGGTAAGCGGTCGGTAATTTACTGTGTCATGGTATTACCTGATACATATACTATAGTAATTACGAATACATAACAGATGCATACAATTTGCTTTGTTCTCTCGGCCAAAAGGAACTGACATTGACCTCAAATAATGTGTTGCCTGGGAGTCTAGGACCATTAATGAGGCTATAGACCTCTTGGGAATGTTCTTGTGCGATTAGTGATATGATACTGCATTCTACACTGTATATTGTATACTTCCCTCCCCTTTTTGCACTAGTAAAATGCCCATCCCCGAATTACCTTGTTCACCGACCTCCGACAACAGACCAATCAGCTGAGAGATCGACCTCAAGAATACCGTATTTATACGGTCCTTTAATTCTTTTTTAAGCGTTTCGCACAATTTATAGTGTATTTTGATTACACGGCGTCAGGTAATGTTACGTATTAACCGTATCAGGAACTGCCGATATTGCCTGTTGATTCCTTCCCGACTTTCTGAGTAAAGAAATATAAAATCCGACTCTCCTTTCAACGGTCACTCTCTCTACACTCCACTTCAGAATCTCTTGTTTAGAGCTGATCTCGAGAATTGAGGTCGCTTGCTCAATCTATCTTCTATATTAATTTTAATTGCGTCCTTGACCTGGAGCTTCTTTCTCTCGCGTTTCTCTAAATTTCACCCCGCTTTTATCACATTCGCCGCCATGTCGCTTCCTCCTGTCTATATCGTCTCATCTGCCCGTACCCCTGTGGGCTCATTTCTCGGGTAAGTAACTCAATTCTCTCTTGAATAATCTTCAAAAGTCAGATGTATATTGCAGAGTATGTGCTCATTGTCCTGTTCCTTTCTTGCAGCTCTTTGTCTTCCTTGTCTGCCACTCAACTCGGCTCCCATGCTATCAAAGGTGGGTGACCCCGCCCCAGCAAACCTCGAACAAGATACTGATAAACAATACAGGAGCTTTGGACAGAGTTGAAGGAGTAAAGGCCGCTGATGTCGAGGAAGTCTTTTTTGGAAACGTTCTATCTGCCAAGTAGGTTTCCCGCGCATTCTTCTGGTTGAAGAACTTGGCAGTACTAACGACCTCGATTGATAGTGTTGGACAGAACCCCGCCAGACAAGCAGCCCTCGGTGCCGGTCTCCTCGAATCCACAGTATGCACAACCGTGAACAAAGTTTGCGCCTCGGGCTTGAAGGCGGTTATGCTTGGAGTCCAACACATCCAGACCGGTGGTGCCGATATCGTTGTCGCTGGTGGCATGGAGTCCATGTCTAACGTCCCTCATTACCTCCCCACTCTGCGAAATGGTGCCAAATACGGCCACCAGAACTTGGTCGACGGAATCATGAAGGACGGTCTCACCGACGCATACAAGCAGGAACTTATGGGTCTTTCTGCCGAGGAGTGTGCCCAGGATCACGGCTTCAACCGTGAGCAACAGGATGAATATGCCATCCGCACCTACCAGAAGGCTCAGGAAGCTCAGAAGAGTGGCGCGCTCAATGCTGAGATTGTTCCTATTGAATTGCCCGGCTTCAGGGGTAAGCCTGGCGTTACCGTCTCTCAGGACGAGGAACCTAAGAACGTAAGTCATTCGTTTCTTCAAAAGAATGCTACAGAAACTCATTCTCGTACAGCTCAACCCAGACAAACTCCGAGCAATCAAGCCTGCCTTCATCCCCGGATCCGGAACCGTCACCGCTCCCAACTCCTCCCCCCTCAACGATGGTGCTGCCGCCGTTGTCCTCGTCTCCGAAGCCAAATTGAAAGAACTCAACCTTAAGCCCATCGCTAAAATCCTCGGCTTCGCCGACGCTGCCCAACAGCCCAGCAAATTCACCACATCTCCCGCTCTTGCCATCCCCAAGGCCCTCAAGAAGGCCGGTGTCACTCAAGACCAGATCGACGCCTTCGAGATCAATGAAGCTTTCAGTGTTGTTGCGCTCGCAAACATGAAGTTACTCGGCTTGTCAGAAGATAAAGTGAACATTCACGGTGGTGCTGTTGCTATCGGTCACCCTCTCGGTGCCAGTGGTGCTCGTATCCTTGTGACACTATTGGGTGTTCTCAAGGCTAAGGGTGGTAAGCTTGGATGTGCTGGCATCTGCAATGGTGGTGGCGGTGCTAGTGCTCTTGTGTTAGAGTCTCTCTTGTAATGAATCAAAGGAGGGATTGAACATTTAACGAACTAAAAAAGGTTATGGAATTCCTTTATTTTCCAACTGTAATTAGATTTTACGAAGATATCAATACAGCTTGTGTGATGACAGGTGTAATCCTCCACGTCTTGAAATTTCTAACTCTTTTCTAAGGATCTAGATCAGCAATCAGGGGGAATTGTATATAGGACCATATACTCCGTATCCACGAGTAAATGATGAACAAAACGATCTAACCATTCTCTTTAACTATAATACATGACTAGTTCAAACGCTCACAGCTCTAAGCAAAAGCCCCAACAATCGACATAAGCATCGCCCCGCCCAAAACAGCAAGACAAGCTTCCACTCTCCGCCAACCACTGAGCGTCTCGTAACTCTCTTCACTCAAAAAGTCCTCTGCGAGTAACTCCACTAATCCAGCGAAGAGGAGTAGACCGCTACTAATAGCATTCGTGAATCCAACCATTATAAGCCCCGTGGCACTGCGGGGGTCGTACATGTTATGCAGAACAAGACCGATGGCTTGCCCAATTGGTGTCGTTGTGCCGTATGCGCAGGCCATGAGCCATGGTTTGAAGGAGGAAGGTGGGAAGAGACTTGGTATCAAGGAAGCGATTCGGGACCCCAGTGCGAAGCCCTCAAATGTTTGATGGAATGAGATGGCTACAAGGAGCACGATGAATGATGTCCCCGTGGCCACGCTGAGGGCCATACCGATGAAGATACTGTGGAAGAGAATACCGGCTTCGAGAAGAAGACATTGAAGAAGTTGTCTTTGCGGGTTTTGCAGTTGGGTGATGGACGTGCTTCCTTGGCGAGCATGTTTGGTACGGGGGTTGGGTCGTTGGTTGGGAGTTGTTTCGTCATCCACATAGGATCCTAGCTCTTCCATATCAAGGTCCTCGTTATTACTTGCGGAGGCGGCGCTTTGGCCCGTGGAGTTTGTCGGAGATTGAATTAGGCTTTCTCCTGCTGCTAATATTGTCAGACATATGGCTCATTCAGAGATTTGGAGCCCACTCACCTTGATCCTGATTTGACAATTGGATATATTCTTCACGCCCTATTTGTTTATGCTCCTTCCGGCCTTCCTTCGCGCTAACGCCTCCAATAAGTTCATCGTAATCTTTCCCATGAACATGGGCCGCGCCCTGACTGGCAAAGAACATTTCAACCGTGACAACCAAAAACACCGATAGCATTGCTATAAACCCAGCCATTGCGGGGTATCCGCTCGTCCAGAAAGGGGGAAGGCATGAATTCAACAGTGAATTGAATGCTGTAGGGAGAAGATGAACGAATGCCGTCGCTATAAGGACACCTGTGCCGAAATGTCTAGAGAAGAAGAGGAAGTGTCGTGGGATGGGTAATCCAGGAAATCGACGCGCTAGAATTGGGAATGAGCATGCTGTGCGTGACGATGTTAGTCAGTTACATCTGCAGGCATTTCCTCTGATGATTATTGACTCACCTAATGTGCTAAGAATAAGGATGAGAAATAAAGCAAAAACATGAGCGGGCGTGTTGTAGTATCCTGCTTTATCGGAGCCACATGTCGACCCGTCTGCTTGTCCACCTGGCGCTCTTGAATCAATACGGCGGGCGAGCTCGGATTTTAGAGCTTGAATCGGAATATCTTGAAGTAAGGATGAAAAGCTATCCCCGTCTGTATAGAATGATCAGGAGAGGTCTCTCAATGGCGCTGAATGAAGTGCTTACTGGCTCGCGCTTGTATGCCACCTTCAAACATTGTGAAGAAATCAGACCCGGCTAGCAGTCTCGCATTTTTCTTTGCAAAAAGAAAAAAAAAAGTCCTACCCCCAATCCTCGTCACAAGAACCCAACAATTTCAAATGCCTCGGATCTAGGTAGTTGAAGAACGCAAATATAACAGACCTCCTAATCGCATTGGAGGGCTCGGAATAAGAGTATGTATGCGATGTATTTGTCGCACTCAGACGATGTCAATTTGAACTGAATGATGGCTCAGAATAAATTATATATCCCAAGAGACAATCATTCAGGGAAGGGTCGGACGACTGATTGGTCTACTTGGCAATTTTATCAGATCAATCTAATAATCCTTAGTCTAGTTCGAGGTCTTATCCGGCAACCCGCAAGATGTCGCATCCAGCCCACGTGATATGTCTCTTCTGATACATAAATCGTCTGACAGCGAGCATTATGTGCATATTTCGACTTTCCATGCAACATATAATTTTTAAGAGGTTACTTTTATTGCTCGAAACATTGATATCAATGAGAATGTCCATATAAAAAAAAAGATATAGAAACCATACACAGATGCACGTGATTTATATTCGATATCGGTATTTGTTAAAAACCGCTAGTAAGATACTAAGCTAACCCACTCTAGACAAGCGTCTATTGTTATCAACTTATCGCTTATGCCGTCATGTAAGCTTCCACTTGTGAACTTCCCGCTTACTTTCATACAGTGATCTGCTCAACTGACGATTCCTATGGCTTAAAACGGCCTCCTCCTATATCGACTCTCTTCAAAGCCATGAGGGCTTCCTTAACTCTCCTCGATCGCACCTCCCCTGTCGTCAGCAAGCGCAACACATCGCTCGCATCTACGTATCATGGAAGAACAGCAGGCGTATATCTTCCTAGCAGACCCTTTCAACACCGTTTGAAATGAGTTGCAGCATATGTACCTGTTCTGCCAGCAACCGAACGCCTTTCTACTGTCCTACCTGTGCCCGGAGCCAATTGTACATGCTCAGATATGAGAATGCTCGGGTCCTGCTCGAGAAGGAATCGATAGGGAAAGAAATAGAGGCGGCGGTCGCTGGAGAGGCAGACGTACAACGACGACAGCAACATCAACAGCAAGAAATAGAACCGAGTGCGGATAATAATACCCCTCAAGGTCGCAAAGGGAATCCGAAATGGGATGTTCAGGCAGCCCAAACAGAACAGGCTCGGTCATCTGACCGAACCCGAACGATGCGACAATGTGCAGAAACCCTAAGAGCTGAGATCGAGAAACGGAAAGTTCAAGCTCGTCAGATGAAATCCCAGCTGAAACAACGCCGGTCAGATGCAGAGTCTGCAAACTTTCAGCTCGAAGAACGACGAGCTGCTCCCTTGGCGAATATTCAGAATGGGATCAAGAGGACAGAACATCTTTGGCATTCGTTGCATAACAAGACTGCTGAGTCGAGGATATTCCTATGCCGTGAAGCTGCGTATTTGTACGGCCTTCGACAGGATGTTAGCAGAAGAGAAGGTGGGAGAAAGAGTGAGAAGTACTATATTGGAGGTGTTCAGATTATTCATTTGAGACACTTGAACGGTATGTCGTCCGATCCCTCGGTTTTCAGTCTCCCTCTGATGTGTATATACCAGGTACCTCGCCATCGCAATTATCCACTGCTTTATCCAATATATCTCATTTACTCGTACTTGTCTCTCATTACCTTTCCCTTCGACTACCTGCAGAAATCGTCTTACCTCACCGTAATCACGCAACACCGACAATATTTACACCAGCAGCATCATACTCTTCGGCGCAAGATATGGGAGAAATCTACCATCCGTACGGACAACTCAAATCACGTGATACTCGCAAACACCGAGCTCGACCTTTGTCAGTTGGGAAAACTCTCCCAAAACTCGTCAAAGAAGAGCCTGCCACATACGCCCACTTCATAGAAGGTGTTTCCCTCCTGGCCTGGAACGTATCCTGGCTCTGCCGCACTCAGGGACTGAACATCGGATCCGATTCCTGGGAAGACATCTGCAACGTCGGCAAAAACATGTGGCAACTCCTAGTATCACCAACAACGGCCCAAAACGCCACCACTACCGCTAGTACCACCACCATGAGAGCGATATCCAATCGGGATATCGTCTCTGTTCGTCCAAAGAATAACACGAATTCGCAACAGCCAAAGACTATTATCCAAAGAACAAAATCGTTCCCCATGCTGGGACATTATTCCCATGGAACATCTCACTCTTTCCTCGGTGCCTCCGATGGCGTCGAGTTCATGAAGACCTGGAAACTACCCACACCAGCCAAGATAGCGGATAAACTGAAATCAGCCTTGTTGGGTGAAATCGCTAATGCTGAATGGGAGTTGTTGGAGGAAAAGGAATGGGACGATCAGGCGGAAGAAGGTCGAGAGTCAGATGTTGCAAATCCTTCTCAAGACGCTGATCGTAAGACCTCATTGACGATGAGGACTCAAGTCCCCTCGACAGATGCAGCAGATGATAATGCTAGTACCAAACCCATGCATACTTCTCCAACTATCACTACAACTTCAGAGAGTACTAATAGTAGACCTAGTGGGGCAAGTGGGTGGACCAAATTGAAGAGCAAACAGCAAGGTACATGATATGAATAAGGAGGACATGTATATTACGATCACTAGTTACATTTAACCTAATAGATTCTTAGACCGGTATTGAGACTACGTACTAGAATCTACTCAAGAATAGAACTGAATGAACAAAGATTTGATTCTATCGAAGGTCATAACAAGAAAAGAACAGGAGATATTCGAATCACACGAGATATAAAAAAGGAGAACATTCCTCATCGCCAAAACAATCTAGAAGTAGAGAAACCCCGTTTTATGTTGCATAGAAAGAAGAAAAAGAAGCAAAGGGAGAAAATAATGTAGAAATCATTAATTTTGACTCGTACATGACGTTTTTTTCTCTTCTTTCCCTCCTTTCTCTCTCGGATCGTTGGATATAGTCATCAATTTTAATCCTTTTGGATGAAAAAGAAAAATAAACATAGGAAAAAAGTTTCATTATCATTCCGCACTTTTAATTTTTCCTTTTCAGGATTCCCGCAAAATGTTTCAAAGAAATGACCTCAAACTCTCGGACATGGGAAAAACGGTGTTTCAAAACGATTAGCCGTGAAATAGGGTGAGTGGGTAGGTTATTGAGGCTCGGAGGGAGAGAAAAAGGGATGAGGTTCGGTATGAGAGGAAGGATGAATTTAGCGGGTGGCCATAGCCTTGGTGATGAGACGCTTGAGAGCCAACTCCTTCTTCTTCAAGTCATCAGGGGTGGAGTCGTCAATCTCGAGCTGGCCCATGGCGTCGCTCAAAGCAGACTCAATCTTCTCCTTGTTGCCGCGCTTGAGCTTGAGGGACATGGTGGGGTCGGAGATGATTTCCTCAACACGGGAGATGTAGGATTCGAGCTGTTGGCGGGCCTCAAACTTCTTGCTGAATTCCTCGTCGCTGGACTTGAACTTGGCGGCATCTAGAGAAAATGTGTTAGAAGAATTATTCTGAACAGCATTGATAATCGTATGGATACTTACCGCTAATCATCTGTTCGATCTCAGTGCTGGAAAGCTTGCCAACAGCGTTGGAGATGGTGATGTTGGCAGAACGGCCAGAGGACTTCTCGGTAGCAGTAACCTTGAGGATACCGTTGACGTCGACCTCGAAGACGACCTCCAAAGCAGCCTCACCAGCCCTCATGGGAGGGATAGGAGCAAGAGTGAATTCACCAAGAGAGGTGTTGTCCTCGCAGTTGGTACGCTCACCCTGGTAGACAGGGAATTGCACAGTCTGCTGGTTGTCAACAACAGTGGTGAAAGTGCGCTTCTTGATGGTGGGGACGGTTTGACCGCGAGGAACAACGGGAGCGAAGATGTTACCCTCCATGGCGACACCGAGAGAGAGAGGAACAACGTCGAGAAGAAGGAGGTCAGAGGTCTCCTCGGAGGTAGCCTTTCCACTGAGGATACCGGCCTGGACAGCAGCACCGTAGGCAACGGCCTCATCGGGGTTAATGCTCTTCTCAAGCTTCTTTCCGTCGAAGAAGTCACTAAGAAGCTTCTGGATACGGGGAATACGGGTGGATCCACCGACAAGGACAATCTCGTCGACGGCCTTCTTGTCAATGCCAGAGTCCTTCAAGACCTGTTGAACGGGATCCAGAGTGCCAGAGAAAGCCTTGGCGTTGAGGTCCTCGAATCGAGCACGAGTGATCTGAGCATTGAAGTCCTCACCATCGAAGAGAGAGTCAATTTCGACAGTGGTCTGGGTAGCGTTGGAGAGAGTACGCTTAGCACGCTCACAAGCGGTACGGAGACGACGGAGAGCACGAGGGTCACCAGAGAGATCTAGTAAATATTAGCATCAAGTCGAAACTTATAAGGGTACAAGGAGGGATTCAATCTCACCTTTCTTCGTCTTTCTTTGGAATTCCTTCTTGAAGTGCTCCAACAAGTTGGTGTCAAAGTCCTGACCACCAAGGTGAGTATCACCAGCGGTAGCCTTGACAGTGAAGACGCCACCCTGGATGTTCAAGAGGGAAACATCAAAGGTACCACCACCGAGATCGTAGATAAGGACATTACGCTCCTTGTCAGACTTTCCGGAACCCAAACCGTAGGCAATAGCGGCAGCAGTGGGCTCGTTGATGATACGGAGAACGTTCAAACCAGCAATGGCACCGGCATCCTTGGTGGCCTGACGCTGGTTGTCGTTGAAGTAAGCGGGGACGGTGATGACAGCCTTGGAGACCTTCTTGCCGAGCTTGGTCTCAGCAACTTCCTTCATCTATTGGGAATCAGCCATCTATATCCTTTCTGTGAATAGTCAGATCGGTTTACCTTGGTGAGAACCATGGAGGAAATCTCTTGAGGAGAGAAGGTCTTGGTCTCGTTCAAATACTCGACCTCGACGACGGGGTTACCGCCCTGGTCAACGACCTTGAAGGGCCATGACTCGATATCCTTCTTGACGACGGGGTCTTCGAATCGTCGACCAATGAGACGCCTACAAATACATTAGTCTCATGTTTCACGACTATCCACTCGTCAATGAGACGACAAATTTCACATACTTGATATCAAAAATGGTGTTCTGGGGGTTCATGGCAGCCTGATTCTTGGCAGCCTCACCGATAAGACGCTCCTTGTCGGTGAAAGAGACGAAGGAAGGAGTGGTGAAGCTTCCCTGCTCGTTGGCAACTATAAAAGTTCAATCAGAATTTTACGTCTTTGAGGACGACCGGAATCGGGGGAGAAGAGCGTACTGATTTCAACATTGGAGCCCTCATAGTTGGCAACGCAAGAGTAGGTAGTACCTAGGATGAGTCAGTAAGAATGGTTTTTTCAACAATGGCATCTTCTTCTTCATCGTGGAGTTTTGCAGCAACTGATCCCAGCCACACAAGAAAAAGAGCAAACTCACCCAAGTCAATGCCAATGGCACCCTCGTAGACCTCGTCAGACATGATGAAAAGGAAAAACGATCAAAAGGATAAAGAGAGAGAGAGAATAAAAGAAAGAGTACTTTTATGCAACAAACACACAGACACACAAGAAGGTGATGTTGCTTTTGACAGTTATATGTGCAAGACTAAAATTTTTGGCGGGGAGGGGGCAGAAGGCTCTCTCGTCTTTTAAGAAGGAGCGAAAAGTGGAAAATTGCCCTACCGCCTTTTGGTTTTTTGGTTTTTTGAATGAATTTTTTTTTTTATTTTCTTTGGGTCCCGAGGGCCCCACAGTTTACCCGAGTTGGTTGCACATGTTCAGCCGAGAACCAATGAGATAAGCCGAAAGATGGAATCAATACAGCTAGTCTATTTCCAGACTATAGCGGTATCTTTGTGATCCGTCGTTGAAATAAATTACATCTCGAATATCAACAATACTATCAGTGGCATGGCTGAATACTTCAGAATTGCTATTGTACATTCGCTATCAATAAAATCGAAAAGCAGACCAGCAATCGCAAGGTTCGTCTATCATACATTAAGCTAATCACTGGTCGTGAAGCAGCTCAAATCGGTAACCAGTTGGTAATTCAGCTTATCGTACCACTCTGAAAAATACAGTAAGACGCTCAAAACTCTTCTTGTCAGGCCCATTGCCATGGCTATTTCCATTTACCGCTTCATGTCCCCTTGTTCGCAGCGAGACCATTTGGAAGTCAAGTTTCGTCAATCCAGGAGGTAGTCTGATATCGTAGCCCAGTTCGGACGGAGTTGATTGAGGCAGAGGAGCAAGAGGCGCTCTTTGAGGTCCAAAGAGGGCGACCAGTTTCGTTCGCCTTTGCGCTGTGTTCGGAAGTATGCTGAGAGATAGTGACAAGAAGCTTTGAGACGTAGGAATACTGACTACTGCTGACTGCTGTCGCACCACTGGTGACGCGGGAATACTCAGACAGAACTTGGGATGAGGGCCCAAGCTTGGGTGGGATTTTATGGTCAAATTCTTGATCAATGCGTCTGACACGTCTGCGAAATGGGAATAAGTAACTATTAAGAGAAAATGGTTGAATGATTGAAGGAGAACTTACCTTCATTGGGCTTTCGAAATAACGATTGCACAGGAGTGTAGCTTGGACGTTGCTGCGGCACAACCGGCCCAGGTGGCCAGCCCGTAGTCGTCTGCTGAAAACCACCTATCGATGGATTCATGTAGCCCCCTACTCCTGCTGTTGGTGGCATCAGAGTCCGAGATGGAGAGGGGGATATTAATTTGCCGGGCATTGGACTGCCTTGTGCAAGGGCGCCCAATCGTGAAGAGTCTGGAGTATCGCGATGTGCAACTGAATCCTGTCTTTGCACAGAATCACGGTCCATAGATGCTTTTGCCGACGTCTTATCGTCGACAGATGAAGACTTTTGGCCAACGAATTTCAGTGTCAGTCGTGGTTCGGGAGTTTTACTGGTTCCCAATTTGAGTTTAATACGCGTCTCATCTATGGGATCGTCCGGTACAACACTTTTTGCTTCAGCAAGACGACGCTTAAAATGAGCCTGTAACACCCGGTTAGCTTAGTGTACGTTTGGACAATCAGACGAACCACGTACCTCCAGGATATTGACGAGGTCAACGATCTCACTATCTTCTTCATTGAATTCTCGAGCATTTCCCCACACGTATTCCATTTCATCTGCAAATAGTTGCCAAGTTGGAAACGCCGTCTTCTTACTGTGTGGTTTTCTTCCTTCAATGCCTCGGACTTGCTTCAATAAGCTGCGCAAAGAGACTGGATGTTGTATGATTTCGTAATATTCCTTGTACAAGTTCTTGTCAGGCTTGTACAGAAAAGGGGCACCTACTTCCCTTCCTCTGTTGAAAGTCAGTACGTATGTCCAGGACAGGACTATTACATCTGCATATACGAGAAAACGTACCGGTCGTCTCTCAAGTGGATCATTTCTGATATAATCTTATCTTGAGCAAGCTGTATCGTGTCGCCTTCAAAACTCAGCTCCTCTTCCTCGCCTTGGTCCAACGCTTGGTCAGAAGGCTGAGCATCTTCTGCATCGGCATCGACATCTCCTTCCACGTTTTGTTCTTGATTGTCACCGTCTTCTTCAGCATCGTTTTCGGGTGTTTCTGTCGTCTGATTTTGGTCGGGTATAGGCGTCGGGAAGGGTGTGTAATTAGGGTCATTATATGCCGGATTGATTTTCGGCATGGTGCCTGTAACGATCTTTCGAATACGCTCTGCATCAGCAAAAAGCATAGTACCTTTCTCGTTGTACTTTTTCGCATTGCTAACCAGTCGCTTGAGGTCACTCTCAAGCTCGGTGAGATTCGCATATCGGTACTTGTTTAATTTCTCCTGTTTTCAGGATGTAGTTAGTTATGGGATGATCTGATGATCGCGTCTTACGCGCTTCATTACGACCATGGATGTACTTTGGTGACTTACTATCACTTGGTTCAAAGATATCGGAAGACCGATCACTTTGTAATAATCCGGATATTTCTTCTATGACCAACGTCAGCTATACTCCCAGCTTGTGCGATGAGGTATGCATCCTTACCTTGTCCGGAAGCTCAAAGAAGTTATTCGCGATAATACGTCCGCTTGGAAAGTGTCAGAAGACCTTCACCAAAAAATGACTTGCGAAAATAACTAGTACCTCTTGTCTGTCGCATTTTTGATATCGTCTATAAGCTTCAGTCCGACTTTTGTAGTCTTTTGTGGGGTTTCGATCTCGTCGGCCTTGTCATCCTATATTGTAGAAATGGACCGTCAGCTTCTGAATCAGTTGAGGAAACCAGCTAGTGGTAATAAGCTCTTGTAATTAATCTGCAGATACCGCTCGGCAGCAGGACCATACGCGACTCTTAATACACTCCTAGGGAAAACTCACAGACACTTTGCGCCGTTTAGACTCGGGCAAAGCCGTAGGCTCTGGGCCAGTGGAAGTGAACTTGCGCCTCATGCTCATCCTGGGCTACGGAATAAGCATGAGCTCTCATCAAAGAAATCGTAGCAACGTTATGTCACGTCACACACGGGCTTTGCGCCAATGAATCGAACGAATTCAGGGCAAAAAGGATCGGATATCCAAAAGGAGTGCTGAATTGCGACCCGACTTATGTTGTCAATAGAATGAAATTAATGACGGGTCTGTCAGCGCAAAGGATGTTGTGGCGAGACGATGGCTCTCGAATTGGATGTTCTTTGGAGGGAACGCGCGCGGAGTTCTGGACGAGATAGAAGGTCAAGGCACCAAGGCACCAAGGCTGCCAGGCACGCGAGCGGAAAGTGTCGGTTTCGGTATTGTTACCGGTACGACAATACGTAAAAATACGTCATTTTCCGCCGAGTGTGCCCTGCTAATATGGGCTATTTGCTTATATTACTGTAAACAAATGGTAAACATGAAACAATAAACACAAATTGGGGAAACTATTTAGTATTCTTTCAATCTTCAGTCCAGTCCCGCCAGAATTATTCCCCCTCACTCTCCTTTCAACTTCATACTGCTTTGAATATCTCCTGTCTTTTTCTGCTATTCCATTTTCATCTCATTGTCGCTCATTCCCTGAAGATAAGAAGAAGAAAAAGCTTGGGATTAAAAACCACAAGAATGGCCGACATCGACATTTCCAGACGCAACAAGAAGCCCCGCCCATTGCTCGAGACGGAGCGGGAGAGACTGGAAGAATTCATCGACGCGATCCATTACTCCGCCAGGTAGGAATGTTTTGTCTCGTGCTCTGCGGGGATTTGGGTGTTTGCTTGGTGCTAATCCATCATTTTAAGGTATTCCGACAATGAATACGAGTATCGACACGTGCAACTGCCCAAGAACATGCTTAAAAAGATCCCTCAAGAATATTTCGATACTTCCAAAGGTACTTTGAAGCTACTCTGGGAGGAAGAATGGCGTGGCCTTGGCATAACTCAGGTATGTCCATTAGAAAGATTGTTGTTTGCGCTTTTGTGCAAGGTAGTAACGATTTGATAGAGCTTGGGTTGGGAGCATTACGAAGTTCATGAACCAGAACCACACATCCTCCTATTCAAGTAAGGCTGTGACCGAGCGAATTCGTGTCTATCTGGCAAGACTGATCAATTCCAGGCGACCTATCAACTACCAACCTCCTGCTGCGCAATAAACAAAGCAACCTTCGACCTCATTCGCGCCGTGTCCCAATCCCCTCTCCTCGGTGACGAAGGACTTACCAACATGATAATTGTTCACGAATTAATTAATGAAATTTATTTGAGATAATACTCGGGGTTACAATGGATGCCTTTGCTTTCTTTTTCTTCTTTGCCGAGACGTGGAAATGATTTGCTATTTTGCATCTAGCCTGTTGTTTTCTTTCCTCAGAACCACCCGACCTGCTTTTACAATTTTGGCAGGAAGTGACTCTGTATTAGTCTTCAAACGACATTATTGCGAAGCCACTCATCCCACTGGTCGGCAGTGAAACTGCTGCTGATGCTTCTCTCTTCGATACCCTGCGCGGATGATGCCGGGTTAGTATCATTTTCTCATCTGCGACGTCCATTGGGCGTCGCACGCGGACATTGGGATCATGGAGTACTCACGTCGAAAAAGACAGTAGGAGTGACATGCACGCCTATAACGCGATTTGCCTGGGAAACATGTTAATAGGATACCCTACTTATTTAATGCGGTAATATGAATTATCAAGAATTTGTGAACAACGAAAACACCAGAAGAAAAGTACTTGCCTTGACCATCAATTTCATATCATTCGTCACCCCATTTCCCTTATTCGCAGCTTCATCAGCTTCCTTGATTATAAGCAGATCAAAAACTTTCTTCTCGTCCACCCCGACAGTAGCTGCCAACGCCGCAAGACGTTTGTATGTTTCGTTCCTAGTCTCATTGACAACTTTCTCGTCAAAGTACTCCTTCTGGCTATTGAAAAGGGCCTGACTGAATTCCCAAAATTTCTCAGGCGCAATTTTAAGGACTGCAGCACCAGCTTCGTGGACGAGGGTGGATGATGGGTGCCATGGCTGGATTTGCTGCTTGAAGATTACTTGTACATTGGAGCTGTATCTTTTTGCGATGATTGGTTTCACGGAGGTGTAGAATGTGTTGAAGAGCTTCGCAGAGAACTATTTGTCCGTTATTTAGTTGGTCGGCCATTCTTGAATAGATAAGAGGTACGCATTTAATACCGGGCAAACGTAGTCGAGATCTATAACACACTATAAGTATATCATTGATGGCTCGATTGTGTTATCACTTACACAGCTCAATGGTATGCGGGGTGTTGTCTATATTTGCAGCGGCCAATTTCTGGCCCTTGAATTTTGGTGGGAGAGACATCGTGTGGTATGAAGCTTCAGATGGTGATTGTTTAATTTTCTGAATGTCGCTGGAGGGGCAAGGAGGGGAATACGATTTATTTATATGCATTCCGTCATCAACGTCATTTACACGTGCTGAGGCTAGATCAGATCTACCCGCCGTCTCCGAAACTTACTTTTCTGGAAAAATCAATATTCTATTTGCTTCAAAGCCAGTATGGATAAAATTCGCTAACACGGGAAACACCAAAGATGCAGCAATGTGACGACATATGAAAGGGTATTTCGTGCAATGGACGGTTGAGCCGACACGGCTCTGATGCAATGTGCCTGAACTGCCTTGAATGTCGACTTGGTAGTATGTCAGCCGGGTGTAGATAACTTTTCGGGTTATGGTGATGTGACCTTCGCCCGAGGCGCTATGTCCTGTTCCCATCTGGAGGTGTATATGTGCATATGACTTATGTATCTCAAGTCCGCCTCGAGAACTAATAGTCCTTGTAGTCGTCAAAGAGAAAACATCAATGTATCATTCACGATGATATCCGAGTGGTGACTGATTATATGGCCGAAGATCCTTGAGATCAACCATCAAGGAGCACCATTTCTTTTCGGCGGGATCATATTCACCGCGAACCTCGACTCTGCATTCTCCCTTGCCGCCCTTGATACCTATTGGTCCACTTAAATAGAAAACACCGCGCGGGGGTACCTTGCGTTGTAGCGCTCTATTTCTCTTGAAATGGAGATTGAAAGCAAGGTAGGCGACATAGAAATCAGAACCTTTGTACTGGGAAGAGAGGCTCTGCATCAAAGAGAGTATTTTGGGCGTGCGAGAAGTATCGGGCTGAGGCTGAGATCTAGTCGTATCCGACATCCCTGACGCGGCCGATCGGTTGATCTCTTCAGCAGCACCCGAAGAAAGTGACTTTTCCCAGTCTGCAAAATTCTGTAAACTGACGTTCGTCGATGGGCTCATGTCTGATTGAATATCCATATTCTTTATTTTCATGATGGCCTCTTTTGTAGAGCGCTCCTCATCTGCTCCGAGATAGTTTTTGAATCGTTGCACTTTTCGTTTCCATAGAACCTTACCAGCCGCAAGCACTGCAGAGGCTACAGCGGAAGGGAAAAGTGCTGCTGTGAGCAACTGACCTTGCTCGCGAGGAATGGGCTTTGATATCAAGGTCGCCTCATTATCCACGATTGCTAGACTATAACATTGCGCGGGTGGTTAGAGACCATAACTACAATGCAAAATGGCAGGATTCTTACCCGAGGGTTTCATATTGCGGCGGAGCACGGTACGGACAGTGAACCATCAGCCAACTATCCGAAACTCTCAATGGCTTTCCTCCAAGAAGATGTACGAATTCCCGTTGCGTTGATAACTTGGCAAGCACCAGCGTTTGCAACTCCTCTAGAAAAAGGTAAACGATCAGTTTCTAGTCCTTGTTCAGAGATCTCGGTTCCAATCCTCACTTCTCAAGGTATCCATCTTTTGCTTGTCGCGAGCATATTCTTGGAAAGTCTTCCATTCTGGATCGCTTCCCTTGTAAAGTTCACCAGGACGAAGACGAGGCCAACTCAGAGGTATGAATGAGGCATCCTCAACCTCGTCATCATCAAGAATCTTTCCATTCCCCTCAATAATCCTACCTTCACTCAATGCTCTGGGAGAACCGCTAGAGGCGGATTCGCTCACAGTACTTCCATCCAATTGCAAATATACCAGAGTAGTCCAGACATGGAATGCGACACCGTAAGCGAGGACACTAGTAGCAAATCGTCTAGAGCGCAATTAGTCTCATGACACTTGACGATTCCACTATTTCATACTAACCTGAACCATGGCCTCCTAATTCTCACGGGAACACTTACTATCCTGGTGGACCCGGTGGTGAATGCCCGACACTGGCGGAGGTATCGAGGATTGCGAGGGAGATAGCGCAACCAGATCATTGCCGGATATGTATTCGAATAGATGAATATGTGGACATGGCGATATTCTAAATGTCAGGTCAAAGTTGACTCCTAATTGATGGAAGGCCAAATGTTGTTTCTTTGATTTTGTCAGCACGTGATTAAAGGCGGGAGACCGCGCCAAGTTATCGTCCAACGGCGATAGCTACTGGTTAACTACGACATAACTCTCCACCCTCAACAAGAACGATATCTTATGCGACACCAGCGAAGGGGATACATTCGAAGCGACCCTCCCGTACTTTATGATTCCACTTGTTCTGGATTACAATATACGGCCTAAATAAGCCATCGACTGGCTTATACACCATTTCGACACCCGCTGTATAGAGTCAACATGTGGCATACACTGAAGCTTCTTCTTCCCTGTCTGGCCGCAGTAGCCACTGCTGCGTCCAGTTCAAGAGCTGGAGCTATACTTTTACTCGATGCAAATCAAGAGTCGACCACTCCTTTCACCCGAGATGCGGTCCCTGAAGACGTTGCGAGATTATTGTTGCAGCAACGGATGCTGTCCACCCAGATCATCACACCTAATAACAACCTGGTCCTTGCGAAACCTGTTCTACAGCTCCTGAACAAATATGGAGGGAATCAATACAACCTGTTCCAGGATGCGCCTGTTAGTGAACAACAGAAGCTGCTCGTGGTGGTGGAAGGGATTGTGAAAGATAGTAGTAAGTTAGTTATCTGATGCTAGCTATGCTGCTATGGTGTAATGCTATTTTACACAACGGACGCAGGGAAGCTGATAAAGGACATTGAAACAGCTGATCTTACTCTCCAAACGCCAAATGTCGCTATGAATCTGCCTCGAATTCCAACAGATTTCGTTGACAGCATCTTCATGGATTCCATGTCAGCATGGAAATACTGTGAATACAAAACCAAGTCGTACGATGATTTTCAGGTACGTAACGGCACCCAAGGCAGAGCTTCCTGGAGTGAACTTATTGGTTGACCATCTTATTAGGGGCTTCAAACTTGTCTATATCAGCATCCAACCTTCGTTGGCTCCCCTCAGAAGACAATCGCCCAGTTACTCGAAAAGTTACCTTTGTCGTCACTCGAAGCTTGGTCCGATGCCGCCGGTAGCAAGGAGATACTCAGACTGCGATTCAAGGTATGTTCCGCTAAGATTCAGTTTTACTCGACCAGCTCTAACAAACATATTTAGGAGCACCTTGATGATGCCGCCATGGCAGCCCGATTCTTAGCCTCACTTTCATCGCTTTTCGACAGCCACGAACGAACAATCCTCCTCGTCCCACAGCAACAAAGCTCACCCACTCGCAAATTAAACACAAGGAAAAGCATATACTCAACTTCCAGACCCGAGTCTTACCGCGTCCAGTCCCGCAGGAGCCAAAACCCTGGACTGTCATCAGCAGCCGACTTCCCCTCAACACTAATGCCAGTCTGCCACAGCACAAACGATTCCTGCACCAGTTCCACAAACACCTGCTCCGGCCACGGCGTCTGCTACCTCAAATCCGGTGGAGTCAAGGATAACGACTGCTACGCATGTAAATGTGACTCGGAGTGGGGTGGTCCTGCATGCCAAAAGGTGGATATTAGCACGCAGTTTTTCCTTATTGGGACGGTGAGTGTTCTTGCTGTCTTGGCTATTGCTGGTGGAATTAGTATGTTGTTCAGTGTTGGACAGGAGGAGTTACCGAGTGTTATAAGTGCGGGTGTTAGCTCGGTGAGGGTTTCGAGGTGAATAGATAGATCTTTGTGAGTGGGAAGGAAGATGATGATTCAAGTTTTTGATTATGGTCCTTTGTTCTTACTGTTTGGGGAGATATATCATTGATTTCAAATTTCGCGGTTGCGCCAGTTAATGAGTGAAATGTATAAATACTACTCTTTTTCGATTACAACTTGATTTTTATAACCATGATATAAAGGATTTTTTGAACTAATGCGAGATCCATTTTTGCTGCAGATGCCAACTAGCAAATTCAATTGCTTGATAAGGGGGTACTTGTTGACTATCCAACGAAGATTGCAGTCATGACAAAGAATAGCCCGTAGGCAGATCGTCCTAGAAACACCATTGCTGAACAAAAGAAAAGGAAGAGAAAATCCACGTATACATACGTTGCCCGTACCAGATTGGCAATAAGATGATATCAAGATACCATCAACCGATACCACACTGAACGCCAAGCCAAAACCAATAGAAGAAAAGTAATCACGTACATATGCAACCTGACATTGAGTGAAAAGGGAGATGATGAACCTGCACTTAAGATAGGTGGATAGGAGATTCGTTAGGATTGAGTAAAGGGTATGATTGAGGATCGAGAGGAAGGGAAAAGAGATAAGGCCGGCAGAAATGTTTGTTGATATCCGATAGAAGGACAAAGCCTAGTAGTATTACACTTGTGGAGTTGTACCAGCCTCCAACTGACCGGGTGTGCGAACCCCAGCATTTTGAGAACTTGATTGACGATTTGATGCACGCCAAAAGTTAAGTCTCGGTACCCATGCGGCGGTTCGTCTTACACCATTTCGCTCACTGGGTGGTACGTTCGACGAGGGTTGAATCTCACTTCTCGAGCCCCGAGCAGACCTTGGATCTGAATTTTCTGGTACTGCCACTGTTGAACGCGTGAAGAAATACGTCCTTGTTCTGAATGGATTAATGATAAATGCTGCTTGCGGGGGTCTCAAAGCAGCGGCGGTCCGGCCTGTTGTTCGACGTCCTCCTGGTCGAGCATTTTCCGTGACTGCTTCCTGTCCCTCAGGTCGTGGTTTAGGAACATAGTAATCGGCTTTACAGAGAGGACAACAAGCTCGGCGGCTAGTTAACCAAGGATCGAGACACGAAGCGTGGAAAGCGTGACCACATGTCAGACCACGAACATCATCGTCATCTTCAATAGTATCAAGGCAGATTGCACAAGAGTCACCAGGACTGGGCAACAACTCCGCCGGAACAGCTCCTTGAATGGGATCATCATGATCGTCGTGCAAGTCCTCTTCATCTGGTGGATGTACATCGCTAATAACGTCGGCATCAGCAGCTCTTGGTTGAGTTTCAGTGCTCGTAATTTCCTTCGAGTCCGAGATCACACTTATTTGTTGCTGGGTCACAGGACTAGACGGTTCGCTCACAACCGAGTCAGTACGCTCGTGGTCTTTTGTTGGCGCATAGGCTTCAATGTGTTTCGCAGTTACGGATGAGTTATCTGGGTGATTTTGTTCACTCTCGCCAGCCTTTGGCGTCTCGGGTCTGTTCGTAGGTGCAGCAATTCCTCCTTCGCTAGGAAGGCCCCTATCAGCGCGAGATGATCGCCAAGCTTTGTATTTCATCAATGGGAACCTCTCGTTCACATCCTCCATTGACATCAATTTTTTCTCCCTTCTCCGTCGGTGCGGTCGAGGCACAGCCGTCAAATCAATAGGTTCCCCGGTTTCTTCATTTCGTAATTGTCGATTTCGTTGATTATATCTGAAGCAATATTTCACGCCGACAATAATCCTAAATTCGCATCAAAGTTTTCAAATATTAACGCTCCAAAGGTCAAAAGTCACCAACACAGTGCATGTACTGACCATAAGTTCGTAAAGACCACGCCAAAACCAAGAGCAACAAAGAAGAGTAATGGAGAACTGCTTGGGCCTCCTCCTCCTCCTCCTCCTCCTCCTCCTCCACCGCCACTGGTGGAAGTGCTGGTCGGGGGAGCAGTAGAGGTCGTTGAGATCGAAGTAGTGGAAGACATTTCCTTGGATGATGCGTAAAAAGGAAATTTAGAGGTCGTAAATCGTACTGGAAAATGTTTTCAGAAAGTGATAGACACTGACTCTGCTCAAGATGCCGCTAGATATTTTGTGTTAATGTTGCCCGGATACTGTCGGGTCCTGACTCGATAGTTGAGTTGGCTGGGATCGCGCAAGGGCAAGTTCGTACAGCGACAACCCTAACTACTACGCCAGCGAGCTAATAACGTATCGTAGCATCGCATTGGGATATCATAGCATGGAGTTGGAGTTCATCTAATCGCGCAAACGAGACGGAATCAAACAGATATCCCTCCCACTGGAATGGTTTCGGATGTAGTCAGCCACAGCCGTGAAATTGGACCCCAACTATGGAGTATGTTGGCCGTTACCAAGGCCGAGTTGTCCTATCTGTCCGTTAAGCTGACGGGATCGGGAGCGGATTCCGTCTTTCGAGGAGAACAAGCGATAGAACAAGGGAAGAGTCGTGGATTTGATGTTCGTTTCGTCTGGATGCGATAGATGGCTGACGAAGAGAGGAGATGAAAGAGGGAGGTTCAACTAGTCGAGGTGGAGAAGCGGATAAGCCTCGAGACGGCGTATCGGTATGTACGCAACAGCTGATTTGTGACGAGTCTTACCAGATCGGCACAAGCTTTCAGTGTGGGGGTAGCAGAACGAAGACGAGGGTTGTCCATACAAATAGCTCGCTATCATGGCTAGAATAACAAACAGATCGGGCTCGAAGAATAAAATAAAAGTATCATTCTTGATATTCATCCTCATACTCTTGCCCCATAAACAATAGGACGAACATGCTGTGTGTGGCGATCATCCAGGAATAATAGATAACGTACGATGTCAGGAACATTACATTACATACATTACCTGACTAGTCCGAGACAAGAAAGACTGGCACGGCTTGGCATGCGGCAAAGAGATTGTGGAGTGGCCGATCTTATTCTTTATCACAATAACAATTTATTGATGATACAATAACAACAATATTCAAACAACACCATGGCCGAATCAAGCAGTCAGAAACCACCAAATCCTATAGTCTTCTTCGATATAGCTCTGGGAGGTGAGTTTATTGTTTATTAGGGAAGAGGTTCACGTGCCTACTGATCCTCGACTTGCTTCTCGTCCATAAAGCCCCGACTAACATGTACCCCGAAATGATTGAATGCTCGTAGGAGAGCCATTGGGCCGAATCAAAATGGAGCTTTTTGCGGATGTCACGCCTCGCACCGCCGAGAACTTTCGTCAGTTTTGCACTGGCGAAACAAAAAATAGCCATGGCCGGCCTCAGGGCTACAAAGGCTCCAAGTTTCACCGTGTGGTATGTTGCCCACCAATGTCTAATTATTTCCAAGGTTACTTCTTCCGGGCGCTGACCGATGATCTTAGATCAAAGACTTTATGATCCAAGGCGGTGACTTTGTAAATGGCGATGGGACAGGGAGTGCTTCCATATACGGAGGTCAAAAGTTTGCAGATGAAAATTTTACTCTCAAGCATAACAAAGAAGGACTCTTGAGCATGGCAGTAAGTACTGCTAGTCAATATTCTATATACTCGAGCAAGTGGACTAAACATCCATCCAATAGAACTCAGGACCCAATACGAATGGCTGTCAGTTCTTCATCACCACAGTGCCGACGCCTTTCCTCAACAACAAGCATGTTGTGTTTGGTCAGGTTGTGGAGGGTATGGATGTTGTCCACATGATTGAGAACACTCGCACTACGAGGGACAAGCCAAACCAGGATGTCACTATAGTACAGTGTGGAGAAATGTGAAGAGAGGAAAAAAAAGTCTTATATATAAACTGTGATGTATACTAGTTGAATTGATACCTAACAAGCCTAATCCATAGACTCATTTCTGTTTCCACCACTTCTTGCTTTTCGCCATTGCATTTCAGAACCCGGGTATCAGACTAGAATCTATCAAAGCCATAACCTTTACAATTTGAATTTCTGCAGATATTCAGTGGCAAGAGCAACACCTTCGTCAACCTTGTCAACGTTGGTTCCGTTGCCGATGGCGGTAGGAGCTCTTCCACCAGCCTTTCCACCAACAGCTCCCGACACGACATTCGCCCATTCACTCGGTGAAAGGCCGAGTTCGCTAGCAGCCTGTGGAAAAATCGATCAGTTAGAATATAAATATTCATAAGGATGTAACTCGCGGATACTAACCTTGGCTACATGGCAACCGTGAGCGACCTTGTTCCCACTAGGGTCTGGTGCAATAAAGTATACAGTCTTATCGGCCATCTTAGACTTGATAAAGTTGATCGACTCGCTGACGACTTTAGCATTGGAGGTTGCTGGCAGCTTGGTTACGAAGGTTGTGCGATCCTTGTTCTCCTCAGCACCAAAGTATGCTTTGATAAGATCCTGAGCTTTCTTCAGCTCGACCTTCTGTAGAGCTTTCTGATCATCCAAGACTTGCTTGTTGATGCGTGCGAACAAGTCTCGGAACTTGGCCTTCTGGACAGCGGAGATTGCGAGTTGATTCAATTCTAATTGAACTTGCTTCATTTCCATCTCCTTTGCAGGACCATGTTCCAATGTTCGAAGCTTTTCAAGGCGCTTCTCAAACTCTACCGCGGTTAGCTGTGCTTGTAACGCTTCATCACCAGTCACTGCAATAATTCTTCGAATGCCCTTCGCTATGCCAGATTCCTCGAGAATAACGAGCTCTCGGATCTCGCCAGACCTCGAGACATGGGTGCCACCACAGAATTCAATGCTGATATCATTCCACCGTGGGTCCTTGACGTCCTTGAGGATTTCTTCGACTTCGACGCCCACTGAGACAACTCGGACGGGGTCTGGATATGTCTCACCGAAGACGGCACGAACACCAGTGATTTCACGTGCAGTGGCAAGGGGAACTTCTTTCGAGTAGACCCCGCAATTTTGTCGGATGTATTCAGTAGATTTTCTCTCGATCTGGTCAAGCTCCTTGTCAGAGACGGCCGCCTTGTGGGAGAAGTCGAATCGCAACTTTTCCGCCGCAACAAGGGAACCTTTTTGGTTGATACCGTCTCCCAGGATCTCTCTCAATGCAAAGTTCAAGATATGAGTTCCAGTATGGTTATTCCTGATAGGCTGGCGACGGCGGTCGTCAAATTCGCACATAACAGAATCCCCAACGGCAAGAGATCCGTACTTGATGAAACCGGTATGAAGGACATAGCCACCGTAGGACTGTACATCGCCGACTTCCAATTCTGCCTTTCCATCAATGGAAATGATACCAGTATCATTCTCTTGACCACCCTGTTCGGCATAGAAATTGGTTCGATCAAGGATAACCCCGATTTGCTCTCCCTCCGGTACATCTGCGGTACTCTGAATGAAGTTTTTGCTGTAATAGATGGCCTTAACAATAGACTCTATTCTTGGTGAATCGAATTTTGAAGAATCGTCTGTCTTCGGAACGTCGCTCATGTTATCTAATTTGCCTAGATCGTGGACATCGAGTTTCACTGTCTCTGCAGCAGCCTTCTTCTGACCTTTACTAGCTTCTTTAGCTTTCAATCGAGCCTCTTCGAACTCGGCTTCATCGATGCTGAGACCTCGCTCCTCTGCCATTATTTGAGTCAAGTCGACCGGGAAGCCGAAAGTATCATAGAGTCTCCAGACATCTGCGCCATGGAGCTTGTTAAGGCCCTTCGACTTGGCTTGCTGGGCGTAGTTTTCGAACTGCTTCTCACCACGATCCAACGTCTTGGAGAATGAAACCTCTTCTTCATTCAAAACCTCCATAACCTCGGCCTGCTTCTCCTTAATTTCCGGAAACATGACTCCCATCTGCTCAACAAGTGTGGGGACAATCTTAGAGAAGAAGCTACCAATTTCCACGTTGAAGTACTTGCGCGCATAACGAGCTCCTCGGCGAAGTACACGACGAATAACATACCCTCTACCTTCATTATTTGGGTAGGCGCCATCAGAGATGGCAAAAGTCAGTGTCCTGACGTGGTCAGCCACCACTCGATAAGCGGTGTCAACCCCATCAGCATCCTCAGCTCCAAACCGTCCTTGATATTCGGGAGCACCTGTAATTTCTTGTATCGTACGAAACAATGGCATGAAAACATCGGTGTCGTAATTCGACGATTTGTCTTGGAGGACGGAGACTAATCGCTCAAAACCCATACCGGTGTCGACATGTTTGTTGGGTAGAGGTCTCAGCGAGCGGTCCGCCTCACGGTTATATTGAATAAAAACGTTGTTCCATATTTCGAGCACGTTGGGGTCATCTTGGTTGACAAGAGATGCAGCATTCCGACCGCCAATTCGGTCATAATGGATTTCACTGCAAGGGCCACAAGGACCCTGATCACCCATCTCCCAGAAGTTATCTTTCATGTTACCTGGAAGAATATGATCCTCCGGAACGCCAACATTTCGCCAAATCTCTTTCGCCTCCAGGTCCGGTTCGAGACCTCCGCTTTCGTTTCCCTCGAAGTAGGTGACATACAGTCTAGATGGGTCGAGGCCAAATACTTTGGTAAGAAGTTCCCAGGAATAGGTAATTGCTTCTTTTTTGAAATAATCACCAAAACTCCAATTTCCAAGCATTTCAAAAAATGTCTAGATCAATCCAACAATCAATATGAGATCCTAGTTGTCATACAACTGATCTGTAGCCAGTCAAAAAATTGCGGGGTTGAGTACTTACATGGTGGTAATTGTCTTTGCCGACATCGTCAAGATCCTATACTTGTGAGTATCTGCAACCATATAGAATTGTAAAAAAGAGTCTTACATTATGCTTTCCACCTGCTCGAATGCACTTCACGAGGTTAGCCATATGCCTAACAGATCTGGGACGTGTGCCTTTTACCTTCTGTGAGTTGACTGCACGCTTGAGATGCGCAAAGTCTGACTGAGGATCAACTGTTCCCAAGAAGATAGATTTGTACTGATTCATGCCCGCATTTGCGAACAAAAGGGTCGGATCCGCATGAGGGACAACGGAGGAGGAGGGGACTGTTCATGCTTGGTGGTTAGTTCAAGAAGTCGTTACCTTTTTTTTTTTCCTGAGTCACAGAGAGGGGTCATCGAGGGGTGGTCACTTACCAAATGTATGTCCTCTCTCTTTGAAATAATCTATAAATTCGCTCCGGACGCGCTCCGCAGTCCATTGACTGCTCTTCTCTTGCGACGAAGCCATGTTTTTTGCGAAGTGACGGCTAAAGTAGCGAGGGTTTGAAGCAGTTGCGGAGAAATGTGGGAAACGGAGAGCTCTGGGCAGAAGAACATGGAAGAATAAGTTGTTGCGTGGCGACCCCATCATCCCTCACAAGAACATCAAAACCCGCATCGAAAGCACCTCCCTGCTTGGCGCTCACGAATTGAATAACGGAACGAAACAACTCACCCGTTCATACTTGAAAGTCGAAGAGCAGGGCGCGCGAGGTTTTGGATCGATCCTTGCGTCGGCTTAAACGGAGGTAGGAAGGGAGTTTTGCTGTTTTGCCAAGTCGATGCCGTCTCTAGACTCTCCCCTCAAGCGCCATGCAGAAAGCGACCTCGAAGGAGAGCCTCCAATCAAGAAACTCGAATTACTGCATTTAGGTACTGCGATTATGATGTTTATATTTATTCTCTTCATTTAAGCCCATTTTGTGAAGCTCAAACTAACTGGCACAAGGCTCAACAGTCTCCGCAGACGAGCAAGCTAAACAGCAAGATGAACTGACCGATAGTGACAACGTCATGATGTTAGACGATACGAAGCATACGAGTTATATTTACGATATCGAGCGCGAATTAGCCAGTATTGAAGCCGAGGAAAAACGGATATCTTTTCTCCCCGATATTGAAAAAGCGTTGAACGCGATCCCCAAGTCCATACTCTCGGAACCAAAGCCGGAACAGAACGAGCTCGTCCTCTATCGCGTGCCACGCTCGCTGACAGTTGCCGAGGATCAAGATAACGTTCGGAAAGCCATAATTGAGTCGCGAGCGAGAGCTAGGGCACGACATACGGAGCGCAGCACGTATTCGCCTTCGATAGTTCCTCCATCTGATGATAGGGACAATTTGGTATTCACATTCGAAGCAGACGACGTGATGGACGTAGATTCCCTGCAATAATGACTATCCTTTCCGACTTAACGGGACTGTCATTGTTAAGACACCTTTCATCAACGCTTGTCGGGGTTGTCCTTCTGTAATATCATTCATTCAACGACGCAAGCTAGGGTATGGGATCATAGAGCTCTTTTTGGCGTTGGGGCGAAATGTATAGCAAAGTAGTGTTCAATTTAAGATATCATGGTACTGCGAGGCTTTTACTCGACTCTTCCTTCAAGTGTACAGAGTAATACTATGTTAATTTCCAGTTCGGAAGAATCACATTAAAAGTTCTGCAGTACTCTGTAGTGGAACGGAGATCCTTCCGATGCAGAAGTAACTAAGTTAACTAACATAGTTAACTTAGCCCGCCCGTAACTTACACAACATCATCTTCAACCTCCCCACCTTCCACCTCACGTATTATTCCCACCATAGGACTGGTCTCTCGCCAAAATGGCTGAGAAAGATGTCAAACATTTCGGTCCCAGTTTGCCTCCGCAGTCAGAAATAGCACGACCAGCAGATACAACAGATGACGAGCCGACAGTTACAGTCAAGTCTCCCAAAGTAGTCGGTCCCAGTCGCCCACCCAACCATTCACAGTCCGATAGTGAACCGCAGCCAGAGGATAGCGACGATAGCAGTGACGATGATTTCGGGCCTCAATTACCACCGGCTGGGGGTACAAAGCCCGACACTCCTAAATACGAGGTAGACTCGAGACCTCCGCGTCGCGTCCTAGGCGAGGATATAGATAGTGCGACAACGAAGAAGAGGCAAAGGGACGATTGGATGCTTAATCCTCCGGGAAATTCTTCGTGGGCTTCTGGGATGAATCCTGCGGCCCTGACGAACCGCAAATTCATGTCAGGAAAATCGGCTCGCGGCAATAGAAGTACAGAGGGAGCAGATTCAGTATGGACGGAGGACCCAGCTCAAAAAAGGCAAAGACTAGAAAACGAAGTCTTGGGTATCAAATCGGAGCCTAGTGCAAGATCTGCGGGATCTAGAGACCTGTCCTCTAGGACGGACTCGGCCACTGCAGATAGACTGAAGTCGCTGACTGTAAGTGTCTGCTTTTCTCGGTATATGACCAAATATGGTACTAACAACCGCTTGAAGGGCAAGGGTGGGAGGTCGTCCCTCTATGAAAGTCACCAAAAGGATACCCAGAAGCTCAAGGAAGACGATCCCAGCAAGCGAGCCTTCGACTATGAGAAAGACGTCGCTGGAAAGACGAGCATCTCAAGCGCGGCGCGTAAAAAGTTGTTAGATCAAGCTTCCGGTTATACCTCCAGGTTTACCGGTGGTAAATACATTTAGCCAGTCAGCAATCATTATTTTATGGTGGCTTATCTACATAAGAGCATTCTTCAATCCTTATGAGGTCTATGAATCTCATGCGAGATGAAGTGGAGTTTGCCGATTGTTACCAGCCAGAGGCGGAGAGATCTTTTGTTCAACGAAGAATGAGCATTCTTGGTTATATTGGAGAGCTAACCGCCTATCTATACATTGATTCTAAGACAGCAAAAAAATAGGAGGACAATCAATAACGACTTAAACATGGAATATAAGTTGAACTTCCACAGACCATTTTGGAGCTCAGCGTGTTCGATCCTAGCCGACAATAGCGACGGATATCCCAGGTCAGAGTTTCAAACGAATGTTAGAGTATCCGCGTGTGCTGGAACTTCTGTTTGAGACATTGGTGACTGCTCCTGGGTTTCATTTGAATCAGAATCCTCTTTGTCGGAATATCGCTGTCAATGATGGTTATCCGATAGGAGCTACCAGCAAGAGCTCACACCGTTGATAATATAGGAAAATGTCAAGTGATGGATCTTTCATTCTCGGAACAGCTCAGCGTCAATCACTACTATGCTTTTGATGAACGAGCCGTTAACCGAAAGTTCTCGTCGTACTCCGACTTTCGACTCTCTTACGAGAGTCCGATTAACCTGATTGACTGGTCGACGAGAAGCTGTTATAGCTCGCATGAATCAATTGGTACTTAATCATGACGAGCCGCTTCATACATCATGCAATCGACAGGATCTCATATGTTCGCTTTCACAAGTGCAGAAGTGTAATTGAAAGCTAGATGAGAGAATATTACTTCCGGCCTTTTTTGTGTGTTTTTATCATGCGTCACCAGCAACCAATTCAAGAATTTCCAAAACCTTATCCACATCCTTCTCCAACAATGGCACGGGGTTAGTAGGCAAAAATGCATCGTTCAAACTGTTTCTTGCCAGCGTGCCAAATCTGTCCCTGCCGACACCGACCTCCAGCGTAGCTGGCATGCGCAATTTGTTGAATACCGCGCGGAGGATGTCTCCGACATCGCACGTCTTTACATCAATGTTTGCTTCCCGCAACACTGATGTAACGCTCTCTTCCGCAAGAAAGACCCTCTTCAGTTTCTCCTGCTGTCCCAGAATATCATTCTGCGCTTCAGAAGCTCTTGCCACATTCCACTTCATCACTGCCGGTAGCATTATGCAACTAGTATGCCCACGTCCTACTCCGAGGGGCCCCAATTGATATCCGATGCCGTGGGGGAGGCACCCTTCATTACTGGAGGAGTTGAGTTGAGTGCAGTCATAGCCAAACGCGCGCCAAGCTGAGTGTTAAGCCGAGCTTCCAATTTGTACTACACATGGTTTCGCAGCAATGATCAATTGCACGAACGCCAGACTGAATCCAGACCCCGAATGATGTTGTGAGCGTGAGTTGAGGATCGAGAATGACAAGCGAGGCGAACATCCCAGGGTGCGTGCAGCTGGTCTTTTCGGTGTGTTACTGCGTTGGTGCCCCAGAGAATTTGAAGTATTCACCCCCAGAGAGAGAGGTTGGGATGAAGATCAGTGGCACAGTAGGTGCATTGCCAATGCCATCGCGTTGCAGAAACTTGTCCTGGCGAGCGATGTCGTCAGGAGAAGGGTTAACGATGGTGCGCATGTCCTCGACAGGTCGGACATTGTTGGCGAGAGCGTATGTAATGGCTTTTGCGCCATCGACGATGGAGGTGCCGCCAAGGGTAACAACGATGTCTACCTTTTTGGCACGAATATCGTTGACAATAGGCACGAGGTCGTCCCAAAATGTATGTGGACGGATGCCAATCCAAGTGCCGGCATGGTTGTCACCCAGGGCTGCTTCGAGTTGGTTGAGGTAGGGGTTTGCTTAGAAAGACTCGTCGAAGAGATTACATAGGCGGCAGACTTGTGGAAGGTCACAGTCACATGTTTGGTGCAGGATTCGGTGAATGAGATGCCATAAGATACCATAGTAGGTGTCGGGACAGGTAGATCAGGAAAGGCAGACTCGAGGGTTTCCTTAGTCAGGGCCATGTCTGTTTGGTAGGTGCTTAAATTCCTTTGCTGAAATGATTGAACAGATTGCTCTTAATGATGTAGACTACTGCGCAGTGCCATGTAAACATGGACCTTGCTATATACTCCATCTATAGAGAAATTGGGGGTAAGTACTATCAATGCCGGAACCGGCATCACTACCATAGCGAAAACGGCCCTGCCTGCTGTTAGTTGATTACTGGAAAGAAGAAGTCATTTCCCTACCGCAGCACGTGTGCGATGATACGACCAGAGTGCGTTACTTAGGAGAATAGTAGTAGTAATAGTAAACCTCGCGCACCTATGAAAACGCACCCACGCAGGTAAAAAGTACTGCGGGAAAGAATCTCAGTGAAAATAGACCTCCTTAACAGCCTATTTACCAACTTTCGCCTGCTCAATCGAAGTGGTTGAGGCATGGGCCCGAAAAGAGGTGAAAAGGGCACTCCGTGGCCAGAACCACGGTTTGCAGATGATCCTGATATACGCGCATATGCAGCTGCAGCCATCAAAGATCTCGAGGCACTGAAGAAGCACCAAGAAACGATGGAGATTGGCATGCCGCGTGAGCTCTCAACCGCCGTGGTTAGCGCGTTCTTACACCTGGCTCGACGGGTGAAGAATACGCCTACGAATGAGCAACTAGCGCAGCGCCTCGCGAAGGTCGAATTATTACATGTGGAAAAGACGCAGAAAGAGGTCTCCCAGGCCTCTCAAGAGATTACTACGACCAAAAGCAACACTAACCGCCTGGTGGAGGCGATATGCCACCCCAGGGACGCGTACCACGAAAAATTCTTCCAGCTTCAGTCACGTGACGGCTAGCTCGTGTCGGATATCTGATACGCTAATCCCATTCTGGACGGCCTTACTAATTGGTGAATCCCCGGGAAAACACAATTGCCGATCCTAGGTTTGGCACAACATGGACAGCCCTACTTTTGGATTCAGGATTGCTATTTTGCCACTATATTGTGTAGTAGTAGTGGTAGTAGTAGATTTGATATACCTGCTGTAGCTAGCCACGGTCTAAAGAGCCGCTATCCAGGTGTGTGCCTAAGCCTGCAGGCACCAAGAAATCCGCAGCACAGCCACGGGTGGTGCGCCATAAGGGCGTGCCACAGATAACGGAAGCTCAGGAAACAAGACTACCGAATGCAAACATATCAAACAAATAAAACAAATAACCAATTCACTTCAAAACCACATATCCTCATATCTTTCAACCCACACATCTTCGCACTCATGACGTACACACTGTACGGTTTTCTCACATTCCAACTATCCTATAGAACTCATGAATCTCACCCTTCGCAAATCCGACCCTTATGTCCCCTACTAACATCCCCGTTGGCTGGCTCCGAATCCCTCAATCCAAGGCTCGTGTTCGTGTCAATATTGGTCATTACTAACAATAAAACTAACCTGGAGCGCCCGTCATCTTCTTATGCATTTATGTGTGTTCCATGTCAGTATCCTTGTCATTTGCAAGCCCTGATTAAGCTGCTATTTCTGCGCTTTTATATATGCCCATTACTTCCGGATCTGTCACACGGAATTGATCTAATACTTGTGTATCAATAACAAGGTCTCTACGGTGCATTTGTCCACCGAAGTCATAGCAGAGCGTAAGCTTTTAGGTGGGGAGAAGGAGATATTTATACCCTGATCTAGCAAGACAAACTAAGCAAACTGTGACGGCTCAGCCCTAGCTTTCGGCTTGGCGTCACTTATTGATTGGGAATCCTTTGAATAAAGGTCTCCATCAATAAATGTGATATCAATCGGCATTGTCATTTGTTATTGATACGCACTGATTCCCTATTGAGATGCGGGTGAGGCAACAGAGGTCTGTATGAGATGGACGTTACTATCAATGAGTAAATATGGGTAGAGGTTTAAATACGGGCTGTTCCTCCTTGATAGATAGTTTTCCTCTTCATACTCAGTTTCTCGTCAGCACTGGCACCTAGATAGTGAATATCACTTGGTTGGATTGGTCCTATGTTACATTAAACTGAGTATCTCCTTATCTTCATTCATTCATTCTATTCTCGTTGGCAAAGCCTGAGTTCCCAGGGCCGTATTACACGCGCAAGGGCAAGGCATAGCCGACACTCCCTTTCCTTTTTAACATTCTGCATCATCTCTCTTTTCGAACCCTGATTTGACTTTGCAGGATGGCTAAGTCACCGAACGAACCGAACCCTGTGGTCGCCTCGTTCGTGCCTACTTCCAAGGGAAGCGAGGCGAGCACCAAGGAACCAGAAGAACCTAGGAAACCTGATATTAAGGGTAAACAAAAGGCTCCAAATCGACGCCTTACCTTTGACATCCCAGACGACAAAGATACCAAACAGGAAGGTATAATTGACACCGTTGGTGACGATATTCAAAAGGACGAATTCATTGAGTTTATCAATGAGAACGGACCGAAAGCGATGTTCATGCTTTTGGCCAAACGATAGAAGAACACCGTGGACGAGCTAGCTGACAATAATGTTAAGCTCAGTGAACTCCTTCATAAATCCCAACAAGCCATTAAAGAGAAAGATAATGCATTAGCGGACCTTATCAAAGAACGTGATGAGATCTAACGTGCCCTGAATAAATTGACGATCCAGTTTGCTGATTTTAACACTGATAAGGCGCCTACTAGCAACAAAGAACTAAAAATCCCTGATAGAAAGAAGTTGTCAAACGGGAAAGACTCTCGCTATGAGTCATGGAAGATTGATATGCTAGGAAAGTTACATGCCCAAGCCTTACAATACAACACGCCCGAGGCACGTAAGATGTATGTCAAATCTATGTGCGAGGGAGACGCTGCAGACCACTTAATGGCTCGTATGCGAGATGATACAGTAAACCCCTTCAATGATGTGGATTGATTGATTGATTGATTGATTCATACGCGTGTGACAGAGCCACCTCCGTCCCGGCTCCGTACCAGGTCAAAGGTGAAGCCATTCCCGTCGTAGGGCTGCAGCCCTACGGGTTGCCAGATAGGGAACCGCCAGAGCGGTACTGTATTTAGCAAGGTGCCACGCACAGAGATTATATAGATCTCTGTGGCTGGATCGAGAGCTTGTTTCCTTCCTTTCTTTTTCTCTCCATGTCAAATATTCTCGTGTACGTGTACCTCATTGTATGTAGCTCAGCTCAGCAATACAGTAAGATTGACCCTTTCACATAATATTTGACATCATTTCTTTTCTTACCCTCTTGTAAATCAGTATAGCGGACCACTACGTGTCTCACTCTGATCGAGAGGTCCTTCTTTCTTCTTTTCTTCGTCTCTGTAAGCTTATATAGCGTGTAATCTCGTCATTGTCGCTTGGGCCAGAGATCCCCTTTTCCTTCCTCTTATCTCCTATTTTTCCATTTCCTATTCTCTTTTTGACGTTCATCAGCCAACACAATGGTGAAGGAACCTGGTCAAGACAGTGCCGGCAAGGCACTGAGCGCAGACGCACAGAAGAACGCGAAGCAGAAGCGTCCTGAGGACTCTAGATAGAAGCGTCCAGAGCAACATCTTACCCTGGATTTCACTGATTCCCTCGAGAAGGAGTTCGGTGCGGCGGCAGTCTATGGAGATGGGTCGTTGGATTTCTCTGTATTTCAGAAGCTTTATAAGAATCATCCTGAGAAGCTCTTTGATTATGTTTGCAAGCGCATCGAGGATCTCAAGCAGATAGTCATTAAGGCGCGGGGACAAGATGCAGCCAAGGACTCCAAGTACGATGAGGAGGTCTCATCATGGCAAGAGCAGAATGCCAAACTGCAGAAGCAGGTAAAGGACCAGCGGGATGCCATAGTCGAACTCATCACTAAACGTGACAACGCGCTTGCTCACATGCGTGAACTAGCTTATAAAGGTACAACCTCAACCACCTCTATTAGCTAGAAGAAGTCTACTAAGCTCCCCGACGGAAAGTGTTTCAGTGGTGGCGACGACCCGAAGTTCGCCTCTTGGTTAATCAATATTGAGAATAAGTTAGAGATGAATGCTAATCACTATCTAATTGTGTTGGCTCATATGCAGTACGTCAAGAGCATATACGAAGAAGCAGCAGCGGAGCATCTCGTGCCTCGTCTCCAGAAGGATTCGCTAGAACGCTACTGTGACGCCAATGATATGATCGAACACCTCAAGACGATTTATCACAATGCCAACAGTGTCACCAAGGCTAAGCGCGAATTGCGCCAACTGTACATGAACGATACTAAGTTTTAGGATTTCCTTTCAAAGTTCGTGCTTAAGGCGCAAGAGTCAGAACTACCATCCTCTCAGTGGAAGGATAAGTTATACAAATGTCTATCCTCCAACATGCAGCGCCAGCTAGTGCAAGTGAGCTACAACGAGAACATGTCATACCGCGACTTTGTCAAGGAATGTCACTAAACTGCAAACCGACTAGAGATCATTGTCAAGAATGAAAGGCGCGCACCAAAGAATTGTGGGAACAAGGGTGGAAATGGTAGCGGCGCCAGTAAGGATGACAAAAAGAACAAGTCGAGATCGGATAAGCTGAAGGACGATAAGGGTGCGGCCAAGATCTCATGGGTAGAGAAGAAGCAGCTCATCGCCGAAGGAAAGTGCTTTAACTACAAGATGAAGGGACACATAGCTAATAAATGTGAACTCAACAAGAAGGACATCCCTAATCTTAAGGCCTTAGAAGCTGCGAAGAAGGCCGACGTGGAGGAGAGCTCAGAGTCGGAAAACGACAACGCCTAGGAAAAGTCTCCCTCCTAGGCGAGATCTGTGCTGCTGATGCGTTAGATCTATCTCAGTTAATTGGTAATGACAAGGAAAGTTTAACTATATCTATCTGATTAGCCAAGAATGGATTATTAATTTTAACTAAGGTATTAGCAGACACTGGAGCCAATGGTTTTGCGTTTCTAGACCTCTTTCTAGCTAAGAGGCTCGCTCGACACTTCAACCATCATGTCGTCCCTCTGAAGAAGCTATGTCGAGTAAAGGGCTTCGATGGGAAAACCAAGAACGCGATTACTCATCTCATGATATTATTATTGGTCGTTAATAGACAGATTATGTATAACCTCCCCTTCTTGATCGTTCGACTTGGAAAGCACAACGTGATATTAGGTTGCATGTGATTGGCGAAGTACAGTGTCATGGTTGACTGTGCCCGTTGTCGGCTACTGTGGCCAGAGGAAGTCTCCCTAAAGGAGGAGATCCAGGCAAAGCAGTTCGTACCACTGCCTAAGAAGTTACTCCTACGTGACCGCGAGATAGAGATCTCTTACCAGGAGGATGCGGAATGGCGGGACAAAGCCTTCAATTAGCAAGACGTTACAAAGCCGTGCATCCCGATTCCTTGATCGCACGGAAGAACTTACCGACGAAGCCATGAGTGCGAGCTGAACTGTATGAAGAAGGAGCTGGAGAAAGCTTCTGTCAAATCTACTCCTACTGATATAACGTCCATCACTGTTCGAGAGCCAAAGCGAGTCTGTTTTAAGGAGAAGTACCCCAAAGCAGATATTGCCTTGATAGGCGCAGCAGAATTCAATCGCAGCGTGAAGAGCAAAGAGGATGAAGTGTTCATCACTAGTCTGAGCAAAATCAAGAAGGCGATTGAGGACAAAGAGCGTCCGGGTGAGGACCATCTAGAGGAAGAGGAAATAAAGCAACACCTTCCTGAGTGGTACCACGAGTTCGCGGATGTTTTCTCGAAGATTAAATCTAATAAGCTACCAGAGCGGAAGGAGTACAACCACAAGATTGAGTTGGAGAAGGAGGTGGAGCTAGGATACTGCCCATTGTATCGTATGAGTGCAGAGGAGCTCTATGCTGCGAAGGACTACATTGTGGAGAATCTAGACAAAGGCTTCATTATGCTGAGTAACGCGCTATTCGCGTCACCTATCCTTATAGCTAAGAAGCCTAGAGGTAGACTCCGTTTCTGTGTTGACTACCAACAGTGTCACGGACCTGGATCCACCTTAGTTAAACAGCGTTGTGTCGTGATACGTTAGGCTTTGGTGAACCACACAAAGGTTCGGGTTGTCGGATCGACAGAGTAGGCTTTGAGTAAACGAAGTAACAATAGATCGGTCAAGGGTTTGGAAGTCTTAAACGTAACTAAGATAGAAGAGATCCCCCGTACAGCCTGGTGCCCGTACGAGTTAGAATGCCTTGCTGACTCTCACTGTTGTATTCAAGTGACTTATGTCAAAGAGCTATGAAGAACTAAATACATGATGGTAAAAGAGCGTCCTTATATATCCAGTCCTCCTTGTTCCGTATACCGTATATCATCTATCACTTATGGTAGATGGTAGATGATATACTGTTCATCATCCAATGATCGTAGCTCATTGTGTATACCATTTATCTTCCTTATCCTCACGTGACTTCTGTCTTCTGATTGCACAGTACGCTTTACTGTTCATGACTGGTACTGGTTTCTTCTTGTAATTTGAAACCTTTCCTTTTCCGTAATAGTACCTTTTAGCGTCATGCAATTCAGCTTCGTAACAAACAGCTAAATGCAATCACTCGAAAGGACCGTTATCCTTTGCCTCTTATTGATAAAGTGTTTGAACGAATCAGCCAGGCGAAGATTTTTACCAAGCTGGATATCCGACAAGGTTTCTATTGAATTTGTATATATAAAGACTCTTCCAACCTAACAACATTCCGGTGCCGGTACGGAACCTTCAAGTATGAGATTATGCCATTCGGGCTGACTAACAGCCCAGCGACATTCCAGAGATTGATCAACAATATCTTCCTTGATTGCTTGGACAAGTTCTTGATAGCATTTATTGACAATCTATTGATTTACAGCAACAACGCGGCAGAACATGAGATCCAAGTACGAACTGTCCTCCAGCGGCTGCGCGATGTAGGATTGCAAGCAAGCATTAAGAAGTGCAAATTCTACGTTACCACTATGAAATACTTGGGCTTTATTATTACACCTGAAGGCATTTAGGTTGACCCCGCGAAGATTAAGGCAGTCATCTCTTGGAAAGCGTCTATGACAGTGGTCAGGGTACAATTGTTTTTAGGCTTCTGCAATTTCTACTAGAAGTTTATAGCGGAGTATAGTCGGATAGCTCGCCCCCTACACCATCTCATGAGACAGGACGTTCCCTTTGTATAGGCTAGCCAGTGTCAAGAAGCATTCAAGAAGCTTAAGACTGTGTTGGCCATGGCGCCAGTATTGGTACATTACGATCCGGAGAGATCTACACGCGTCAAAACAGATGCCTCCGATGGAGTAGTCGCAGCTATTCTATCTCAACTGTGTGACAATAGAGAGTGGCACCCAGTTAGATACTATTCTATAGCCATGAGCTCTGCTGAGTATAACTACAATATACATGATAAGGAAATGCTGGCGATCGTCAAGGCATTCCGTAAATGGAGGCCAGAGCTTATAGGACTACAGCAGCAGGAGCGTTTTGAAGTCTTGTCAGATCATCGCGCATTGGAGTATTTTATGACAACCAAGGCGCTAAGTGCGAGGCAAGTGCGGTAGTACGAATTCCTCTAAGAATTCTATTTCGTCTTGAAATATTGTCTGGGGAAGGCGAATGTATTAGCCGACACATTAACGCGACGGAAGGACAAAGGAGTAAGGAATCTCAAGTATAGGAATCTCACTTTGTTACCTGCGGAGTGTCTGGACGAGCAGATCATGATGGAGTTAGCTTTTATAGATCTGTAGGACGTGGGCAGGGATAAGAATGTGATTAATTGGGTGCTTGAGGCTAATAAGAGATTCACTATCACACAGGAAGTGAAGGATCTCTTAGAGGAAAAGAACTCTAAATGGCACGTGAAGGATTAACAACTCCTTTTCCAAGACCATCTTTATGTCCCTGATGAGGGAGACCTACGAGCACAACTAATGGATGAGATACACTGACCCCCGTTAACAGCGCACCCGGGACAGGATAAGATAATAAAGCTTTTCTGAGAGCGCTTCTACTGGCCATCTTGGAGCATTGATGTGGAACGCTATATCGATAATTACAGAACATGCAGACGCATCACTACTTAGAGGGACAGAGCCCTAGGATTGCTTAAGCCATTGCCTATACTAGAGAGACTATAGCAGCATTTGTCAATGGATTTCATGGAGCTACTAAAGGATCGTTATGGATTTAACATGGTCTTTGTGACGGTGGACCGCTTAAGCAAGAGACCCATCTCCATGCCCTGCTATAAGAAGACAACGACTGCAAAGAAGATGGCACAATTATAGATCCAGTTTGTGTTCCTATGGATAGGATTACCTGACAGTATTGTATCCAACTAGGGTGGACAGTTTATGTCAGAGTTTTGGAACAAAGTTTGTCGAATCCTGCGAATTAAGATTAAGTTATCTACAGCTCGCCATGCACCTACAGACGGACAGACGGAGATTGCCAATCAGTACTTACAGCAGAGGTTACAACCATATGTCAATTTTGTGATAGATGATTGGTTGGAGTACTTGCCAATTGTCGACTTCGCAGCCGCGGCTTTGTCACAAGCCTCTGTAGGTTTATTACCATTTATGATTGAGAAAGGGTATCAACCGCGAATGTCGTTTGACTGGACAGACCCAGTACCGCCACAGAAGTTGACACTGAATGAGAAGGAAGCTCAGGCATGGACTTAGCGGATATAGGAGATTTGGGAGTTTGCAAGAGGTAATATGGAGAAAGCTCAAGAGCGCCAGGCGACGCAGGCCAATAAGAAACATCAGCCAATTAACTTCTCGGTGGGAGACATGGTGTATGTGACAAATAAGGGATAGGATACTGGATGGCCGGGCCATAAGCTGGGTCACCAGCAAGAGGGACCCTTCCCAATAGTGCAACAAGTAGGCCATGCTTTCGAACTCAAGCTGCCGAAGGGCATAAGAGTGCACCCAATATTTTTGCCCAAGAAGCTACGTTTAGCAGCGATAAAGGAGCCAATAGAAGGTCAGATCGCGGATAAAGGACCAGAGCTCCGCATCAATGGTCAGTTGAAATGGGAAATCGAGAGAATTATTGCTTCACGGATATCGCGAAAGAAGCTGCAATATCAGATCGACTGGGTCGGCCGAGACCCAGATCCAAAATGGTATCTAGCCGGATACCTCAAGAACGCGCCCCTGGCGTTAAAGGCTTTTCATGACGGCAACCCAAAAGCGGCAGGACCACCGATCTAGTTGAGTAAGTAGATCGAAGCAGCTGAGGAGGACCATTTTGTTAATAACCATGTGGACGACGACGCTCTGGTGTCAGACGCTCGCGGGCAAGCGTCTTGGGGAGGGGGGAGTGATGTGATAGAGCCACCTCTATCCCGGCTCCGTACCAGGTCAAAGGTGAAGCCATTCCCGTCGTAGGGCTGCAGCCCTACGGGTTGCCAGATAGGGAACCGCCAGAGCGGTACTGTATTTAGCAAGGTGCCACGCACAGAGATTATATAGATCTCTGTGGCTGGATCGAGAGCTTGTTTCCTTCCTTTCTTTTTCTCTCCATGTCAAATATTCTCGTGTACGTGTACCTCATTGTATGTAGCTCAGCTCAGCAATACAGTAAGATTGACCCTTTCACACGCGCATCTAAGCCTAGTGGCCGGCGGCGCCTTCTAATTGGGCAGCGGGCGTACTACCGTATAAAAGCATAAATCAACGTCAACGTGCCAAGACGCTTCCGGCTTGGCGCTGACTTAGTCAACTCCACGCGAAAGTCTCGACACGTATCCGTATCCAGATCCGAAGACCACCACCAACAGATAACGAGCGAACAGAACGCCGAACCAACAAAGGAAATGTGTATATATACAAAAAGAGTGAAGGATCTCGGTGCGGGGTGACGTGATATTTATGTTTTGGTGCCCGGTTCTATTTCCAAACGTGTCAAGTGGCTGATCCGTCCGAGCTGAATCAACATGGTTACTCTTCATCAGGGTAGTGTCGCACTCACTGTGAGCGCGTGGTTGTTAAGGGGGTTACGTGATGGAACTGCGTCAATAGACCAGTCCGCATCATAAATTCAATACTCTGCCAAACCCACTGAGGTTCGCTAAGGAGCTTCCGATAATCTGTTTCGCGTGCTTCTTTCCAGAGTCTTCATACGCAGGTTTATATGGGTAGGACACCGTACGAGGATGTGGGCTGTATCCTGATCCCCAAGGCCACATTCGCATTGAGGTGAGTCTTCAATCCGTACACTCGCTAGGAAGCTGCGTAGCGCTGATTTACCTATTTGTAGTTAGATTAACACCGAACTCTAAGCCTGTTGTAATCCCTCGTGCAGCTGCAACACCATCTTTGTTGGTGCTTTGATTATCTGATAGAGATGCCGTCCATGGTTGGCATGCTCCCACTGTTCCTTCCACCTCTTTGTAAAGCCTGCATGTAGCCTCTGGCGACACACTACTATAAGGATAGTTAACTGATTTGGAATATATGATATTTGTGCGGCGTGTGGTGTAGTCTGATTGGGTGCGCTGATCCTGGCTATGCGGGCGTTCTCCTATGTACGCTGTGTCACCTCGACTGCAGCCAACTTTGCTAGCTGGTCTGCTTTCTCGTTGCCTGGGACCCCTTCGTGGCCTGGCACCCACTGTAGTCGTACACGCCATTAAGATTGGTTGTTGCGTAGGAGGCCCAGGTGTCGTACGATCCGTTGAAGGATATACTGCCCAGAGGACCGCCCTGGCTGGCACATGGCGCGTATTGTGGCTTGATTATCTATGTAGATTATAGCTTCATGTGGGTTGTCATCGCATGGCTGGCTTCGGAGTAGGATTTCCAATGCCGCATTAATTCCCTCCAGTTCCCCTGCATATTATTATTATTAATCAAGTTTATTGTCCGTACCCAGCCCTATTGGCTATGACAGACCTCTGGAAGCCTTGGTGAGACCCTAAAGGCCTCACCCCTATCAGAATCATACATACAAAAATTCAAAATAAATCACTATCTCGTCCCCATGTGGCCGATATGCCAGGGACCTTTGGGCACTCTCCCTAGGCTAATCCTCCCGGAGATCCCTTATAGTTCCAAACCCGTGGGCACACCTAATCAGTACAAACTCTGACTAGCGTGCCCTCACCCCTATTCATCCCCCCCTAGGGATATTGGGGGGATACACATTAAGCTACTATACATTTATATATGCACCCATAGTAACCGGCTGCCGCTTCTGTCCTCTCAAGCTAGATACAATAGTTCCTTATCTTTCCTATTGCTCCACTACCGCCCACTCTCCAACCACTTCTGAGCTTCCAGTTACCAATATCGGCATCGCAGCCTACTTATTGGCCGTCACAGTCTTGCCCCATAAGGGACTAACCACTAGCTAGGCTAGCCTCGGGTGTCCTGTCCCGTGGGTGGGTCGGATGGTTTTTAAAAGGGTTCCCGAGAATTGGTGCGGTTCTTAGGGCAAAGAACTATTATTATTATTATTATTAATCAAGTTTATTGTCTATACCCAGCCCTACTGGCTATGACAGACACTAGAAGCCTTGGTGACACCCTACTGGCCTCACCCTATCAGAGTCATACATGCAAATTCAAAATCACTATCTCGTCCCCATATGGCCGATATGCAGGACTTTGGGCACTCTCCCTAGCTAATCCTTCCGGAGATCCTTATAGTTCCAAACCCGTGGGCACGCCTAGTCGTACAAACCCTGACTAGTGTGCCCTTATCCCTACCCATCCCCCCCTAGGGATATTGGGGGGATACACATTAAGCTACTATACATTTATATATGCACCCATAGTAACCGGCTGCCGCTTCTGTCCTCTCAAGCTAGATACAATAGTTCCTTATCTTTCCTATTGCTCCACTACCGCCCACTCTCCAACCACTTCTGAGCTTCCAGTTACCAATATCGGCATCGCAGCCTACTTATTGGCCGTCACAGTCTTGCCCCATAAGGGACTAACCACTAGCTAGGCTAGCCTCGGGTGTCCTGTCCCGTGGGCGGGTCGGATGGTTTTTAAAAGGGTTCCCGAGAATTGGTGCGGTTCTTAGGGCAAAAGCCCTACGGTGGCTAGATATAAAGCGCTAGCACGCGAGCCTTGGCAGCGGCACCCACTTGCAGTGGCCACGATAATTTGTGGTAATTGTTTTGGTGAGGGGTGTAGGAGTCGAACCTACGGCCTTGTCAATCAGCGAAGATGGGTACCGAATGGAGGCCCCAAGGATAGCCGTTACCACTTCAGCTATCCGCCCCCGGGCAAAAGAACTACGGTGGCTAGATATAATGCGCTAGCACGCGAGCCTTGGCAGCAGCACCCACTTGCAGCTGCCACGATAATTTGTGGTAATTGTTTTGGTGAGGGGTGTAGGAGTCGAACCTACGGCCTTGTCAATCAGCGAAGATGGGTACCGAATGGAGGCCCCAACGATAGCCGTTACCACTTCAGCTATCCGCCCCCCAGTTCCCCTGCATAAACAGTATGTGTGTTAGATGAGCCTACTGGCTTATAAGCCTGTCCTATTGATGAGTAGACCGCTGCTCTAATCCCATTGTCAAAGCTGCTCCCATCGGTAAAGAACTGTATTGTTGTATCTGTTCCTGAGATTGCTTCAATAGCCTTGATAGCCTTCTCACGGGTATCGTTAATCCTTGCTTCTGGTGGCTCCCACCACGGTAGCACTACAAAGGGGTAGATTATCTCAATGCGTTAGCTAGTATCACGTCCCAGTTTGCGGTTGATGGCTGTTTCCAATTGATGAAGTGGTGACATGTATGGGTCGTTACGGTGGGCTTGGCCACGTATTTGGTAAAGCGTAGATCGAAGTGGTGAGGTCATGATCCGCAGGCAGGCCTCCTCAGCCAGCTTTGCAAGCGTGAGCTCTACAGGTGATACATGGAGACAGATCTCTAGGGCCTGTCGTGACGTACGTTTGAATGCGCTGGATATCTGGTGAAGAGCCTGATCCTGGATTGATTGGATGGCTTGCTCTGTAGCTCGCTGCGCACTGGTGAACCCTCTTCCACCTCGTATATACTATGTGGAGCACGCGTACATGATCTGTGGTTAGAGGACAGCCATGTATATCTTCCTTAGATGAACCAGGGGCGTTCCCCATGTCGATCCTGCAATTAAGCTTATTCCCGCTACTAGTTTTGCAGCCTTCTTTCTCATCTCCTGTACGTGCACTTCCCTAGTGAGATGGGTATCCAGATAAACCCCTAGATATTTGATTGAGTTTATAGGCTTAATTTCTACTCCCTTGATTGTGAGAGGTATATCCAGCCTACCACTCAGCTTAGGCACCATTTGGTGCTTCCGCCAAAAGTGGGTAAGTTGATATTTGGCAGGCGCAAATTTAGAGGCATATGTTCTCTCCCAGCGCTCTGCAACCTAGTGTACTTTGATGAGTGTGTGGCAGTTGGCTGCGGCGGAGGTCCCATATATTATGATGAAGATGTCGTTAATATATCTAAGTATAATTATGTCTGGGCACTTGGCGAGTATCTGCTCAATAAGATCTACATTAAAGAATAGGAATAGGATTATCGAAAAACCCTCATGGAAAGTCCAGAGAGGCCTCCAGGGGCCACTGGAGATCCAGAAATCATAGGACCTGGATCTGGGGTTGATTCATCGACACCCTCCCAGGAACCGTCACAGCTACCTCCAACTACCCGTGCACTGTTTGCAGGACTTGGAGACTGTCAGAAACAGTCCAATGAACCTACTTTGAGCAACAGCGACGCTCTACAAGCGCCACGACAGACTGGAGAAGCCCAACAAGCCCCAGGAACGATCCTCGAGAAAAGGAAGGCCTCAAGGCTGACTATAGGATCTCGGACTCCTATAACTAGGTCTGGATTGAGCGCGGCTCCGAAGAGGAAGATTACACTTACCGCAATGCGTGCAGCGAGTGCTACTGCAGAGGATAGCCTCGTGATGGGCCTGATCGAGGACCTCAACGGCCATCTGCAAGAGGCGGTCCACCAGCTCTCCGCGGAGCTGACGACTGCCAGAAACGTGATCAATACCCAACAGGGCCTCATTACTACTCTCAACGCTAGGCTAGAGAGCCTTGAAACTTACGTGAACGCGCTACAAAGCCGTCAAATCCTACCACTCGACCCCTTCGCTGCAACGCGTGAGGTTGCGGCGCACGGGCCACCGCCAAGAGCCGCTTCCATGGGAGGTTTAGCGTCCACCCCAATACAGCTAGATGCCGCGCCTGAGAGCCGCGCGATAAACTCAACCGCACCTCAGCCTCCACCGCGATATCAGAATCCAACAAAGGCTACGAAGCAAGCCATACAGCCACCTGAGGGCCCTAAAAAGGTACCTGGAACCGCCGCGAAGACCACTAAACAGCCCGAAACTACCGCTAAGCCACTGACCAAGCCCGCACCTACGAAATGGGCCGCTATTGCCGCGAATAACACCCAATCTGGAGGATGGAAAACCGTCCAGTATAAGAAACAAGCCTTGGCACCCTCGAAGCTCTGTCAACAACTAATTTGAAGCCCGTAAGTACCCGGAGTAAGGAGGAGAGGCGCTAATCTTTAGACGACGATATCCTAAAGATGCTCCTACCGCATTGAAAGCCGATATCCTCTTAGCCCTTAACCGTGCCCTTGCTAAGGCAGGTTTTCCTGACTTTGTAAGAGCGGTCGATTCTGGATACGCGGCCTCAGGGGCCTTAACAGTGCTCCTAGAGCGAGGCACTCGCAGCAGCACCCTCGTGCCCGTCTACAACGATACTCTACTAGCCGCTGTAAGGCAAACAGATCCAGCAGTTATTTCTGTGGAGATTAGCGAACAGTGGCACCGTGTTAAGGTATAGGCAGTGCCTGTGGACCGCTATATGTATAATGACCAAGGCCTAGCACTAGCCCAAGAAGAGATTGAGCTGGGAACACTATATAGGCTTAAACGAGAGCCAACGTGGCTCAAAAGAGCCAAGACTATACAGGCTAGCAACCAGAGATTTGCCACGATTGTGATCACAGTAGGTTCTTTGGAGGAAGCTCGAACACTGATCAATAAAGGCATCAAGTTTGGAGGCCGACACCATCGAGTAGCACCTTATTGGGAGTCAAATCCTGAGAGTATCTGCCCTCGATGCTGCGGAATTGGCCACTCTGGCTTCATGGCTTGTGGTGGCAGGTCTCCTAAATGCGCGATCTGCGCAGGTGATCATGAGGCAATAGAGCACTCATGTATAGTAGTGGATTGTAGGGTTGGGCCAGCTAAACCTTGCAAACACACAGTGATCAAGTGCGCTAACTGCAAAGGTGCACACGAGGCTACATCTCCTAAGTGCCCTAAAGCTAGGGAGGCTCGTCAAAGGGCTATCCGGAGAATGAGGGAACAATCCTTACAAGACCTCATCCCATTAGATGAGACATTCGCGGTAGTGCCTCCAAAACCAGTACTGACCTCGGAGGAGAGATCTGGACAGTCTCTAGAGGAGGAGACGTCAACTCCAGAAGAAGATGAATTGCTGCCTAAGATGCAATTAGAGGCTGACATTCATGAGGGAAATAGCCAACAACCACTAGAGCCAGAGCTCAAGTCAGCCACTGAAGCGCCTCAAAGTGAGGATCTATGATAGTACTACAACACAACTGTGCCCATACAGGCGCTGTAGTACATACAGCCCTAGAAGCGGCACTACAGGCTGGTGCCGGGATAGCCTGTCTCCAGGAACCCCCAGTACGTGGGAAATATCAGATAAGCCATCCTGGCTTCCTGTTCTACTGGCCTGAGGGTCCTCGAGAACATGCTCGAGTAGTGACAGCGATTCGGAGAGATTTAGTGAGAGAATTAGTGGTGGAAGCGCGTACAGATCTAGCTAACCATCCATATTTTATGGTGGTTGACATGCTAGAACAGGGGAGACATACAAGGATAGTGAACTGCTATGACAACTGGTTAGGTGCACGTCATACATACTCAGGAGAGAGGGGGCGGATAGCTGAAGTGGTAACAGCTGTCCTTGGAGCCTCCATTCGGTACCCATCTTCGCTGATTGACATGGCCGTAGGTTCGACTCCTACACCCCTCACCAAAACAATTACCACAAATTATCGTGGCAGCTGCAAGTGGGTGCTGCTGCCAAGGCTCGCGTGCTAGCGCATTATATCTAGCTACCGTGGGGCTTTGCCCTAAGAACCGCACCAATTCTCGGGAACCCTTTTAAAAACCATCCGACCCACCTACGGGACAGGACACCCGAGGCTAGCCTAGCTAGTGGTTAGTCCCTTATGGGGCAAGACTGTGACGGCCAATAAGTAGGCTGCGATGCCGATATTGGTAACTGGAAGCTCAGAAGTGGTTGGAGAGTGGGCGGTAGTGGAGCAATAGGAAAGATAAGGAACTATTGTATCTAGCTTGAGAGGACAGAAGCGGCAGCCGGTTACTATGGGTGCATATATAAATGTATAGTAGCTTAATGTGTATCCCCCCAATATCCCTAGGGGGGGAGGATGGGTAGGGATAAGGGCACACTAGTCAGGGTTTGTACGGACTAGGCGTGCCCACGGGTTTGGAACTATAAGGGATCTCCGGAAGGATTAGCCTAGGGAGAGTGCCCAAAGGTCCCTGGCATATCGGCCATATGGGGACGAGATAGTGATTTATTTTGAATTTTTGTATGTAGGATTCTGATAGGGGTGAGGCCAGTAGGGTGTCACCAAGGCTTCTAGTGGTCTGTCATAGCCAGTAGGGCTGGGTATAGACAATAAACTTGATTAATAATAATAATAAATAATATAATTGGCACCTAAGGGAGCTCAATGACAATGAGGCGATCAATAAGGCGATCCGCTATCTAGTTAAGGCAATCAATTAGGCAGCTGAGCAAGCGACATCTACAAAACAGATCAGTATCTACTCACGAGTGGGCTACATCCCAGAGATGGCGAAGCTTAAACACCACGTATCTAGGTGTAGACGACACGCACGTCGTATAAATACAGATTAGGCATGGGAGGACTACGCAGAGGCTAGGAAAGAGATGAAACGGCACACCAATGAGCTCGCACGAGATCTACATCGCCAATGAATTGAGTAGGTAACAGAGTCAATAGATAGAATCTGGAGAATTGCCCGTTGGGTCTGCAATAGGGGCAAACCACGTGCCACATTTACCCCAATGTTACACTACAATAACACGAGTTACACAGCCCCAAAGGAGAAAGCAGCTCTATTCTGAGAGGTCCTCCACCCAGAGCCCCCGGAGGTAGATCTGTTAGATATTAGACCACAATATAGATATCCCAAACCGTATACAATGCCACCAATCACGTTAGACGAAGTCCAAACGGCAGTAACCAACGTGAAGCCCGACAAAGCACCAGGGCCAGATGGGATCCCCAATCTAGTCCTACAAAGGCTGCTCCCTACTATCGAGGCCTATCTCGTTAATCCCTTTAATACATGCCTACGTTAACAATACTGCCCTAACCATTTCCGAAAGTCGACAACAGTCATCCTTCGCAAGCCTGGAAAGCCTGATTACTCTGATCCAAAGGCGTACCGCCCAATAGCGTTACTGAGCACGATTGGCAAAGCACTAGAATCAGTGTTAGCCAGACGTCTCAGCTATCTAGTGGAGCAATATGATCTTTTACCAAAGCAACATATTGGAGGATGTCGTGGCCACTCATGCGAACTAGCAATCCATCTCTTACTAGAAGAGACCTATATTGTGTGGAGAGAGAGCTCACGAGTAGCCTCAGGGCTTGCACTTGACGCAGCAGGGGCTTTTGATAACGTCAATCATATAAGGCTGATACACGACCTACGAAAGCGCCGGGTGCCAGATGACCTGATTGGCTGGATTGAGAGCTTTCTAAGTAATCGCCGCACGTCAATCACGCTCCTAGGGGGGGCGGATAGCTGAAGTGGTAACGGCTATCCTTGGGGCCTCCATTCGGTACCCATCTTCGCTGATTGACATGGCCGTAGGTTCGACTCCTACACCCCTCACCAAAACAATTACCACAAATTATCGTGGCAGCTGCAAGTGGGTGCCGCTGCCAAGGCTCGCGTGCTAGCGCTTTATATCTAGCCACCGTAGGGCTTTTGCCCTAAGAACCGCACCAATTCTCGGGAACCCTTTTAAAAACCATCCGACCCACCCACGGGACAGGACACCCGAGGCTAGCCTAGCTAGTGGTTAGTCCCTTATGGGGCAAGACTGTGACGGCCAATAAGTAGGCTGCGATGCCGATATTGGTAACTGGAAGCTCAGAAGTGGTTGGAGAGTGGGCGGTAGTGGAGCAATAGGAAAGATAAGGAACTATTGTATCTAGCTTGAGAGGACAGAAGCGGCAGCCGGTTACTATGGGTGCATATATAAATGTATAGTAGCTTAATGTGTATCCCCCCAATACTCCTAGGGGGGGATGAATAGGGGTGAGGGCACGCTAGTCAGAGTTTGTACTGATTAGGTGTGCCCACGGGTTTGGAGCTATAAGGGATCTCCGGGAGGATTAGCCTAGGGAGAGTGCCCAAAGGTCCCTGGCATATCGGCCACATGGGGACGAGATAGTGATTTATTTTGAATTTTTGTATGTATGATTCTGATAGGGGTGAGGCCTTTAGGGTCTCACCAAGGCTTCCAGAGGTCTGTCATAGCCAATAGGGCTGGGTACGGACAATAAACTTGATTAATAATAATAATAATAATCACGCTCCTAGAGGGCAATATGGAGGAATTTCTAGTCAATACAGGCATTCCGCAGGGCTCCCCATTGTCACCAATCCTATTCCTATTCTTTAATGTAGATCTTATTGAGCAGATACTCGCCGAGTGCCCGGACGTGATTGTACTTGGATATATTGATGACATCTTTATCATGACATATGGGACCTCCGCCGCAGCCAACTGCTGCACACTCACCAAAGTACACCAGGTTGCAGAGCGCTGGGAGAGGACACATGCCTCTAAATTTGCGCCTGCCAAATATCAACTTACCCACTTTTGGCGGAAGCACCAAATGGTGCCTAAGCCGAGTGGTAGGCTGGATGTACCTCTCACAATCAAGGGAGTAGAAATTAAGCCTACATACTCAATTAAATATCTAGGGGTTTATGTGATGGACGCTCAAGGCCCAGAAACAACTTCATTTCTAAGCGTAGCAGTATCGACGAAGAAAACTAAGTGTGAAGAAGAAGAAGAAAGGGGAAAACTGGCGCTGAGCCTTGAGGCTCTCCAAATACACTCTGTCATGGGATGGAGGCCTTATGGGGAAAGCGGTCTAAAAAGGCAGAATTGTAAGATCCTATCAACCAACTTGTTTGTAACTTAGGCCTTCCCTTCCTCTTCTCCCAAGCTTAGGATTATCATTAGAATAGGCTTATTGAGACGTCACAGTTTATCTGGATACCCACCTCACTTGGGAAGTGCACGTACAGGAGATGAGAAAGAAGGCTGCAAAACTGGTAGCGGGATTAAGCTCAATCGCAGGATCGACATGGGGAACGCCCCTGGTTCATCTAAGGAAGATATACACAGCTGTCCTCCAACCACAGATCATGTACGCGTGCTCCACATGGTATATACAAGGTGAAAGAGGGTTCACCGGTGCGCAGCGAGCTGCAGAGCAAGCCATCCAATCAATCCAGGATCAGGCTCTTCACCAGATATCCAGCGCATTCAAACGTACGTCACGACAGGCCCTAGAGGTCTGTCTCCATGTACCACCTGCAGAGCTCACGCTCGCAAAGCTGGCTGAGGAGGCCTGCCTGCGGATCATGACCTCACCACTTCGATCTACGCTTTACCAAATACGTGGCCAAGCCCACCGTAACGGGCTGGAACCTTGACCCAGTGGCGGGAAAAGCCCCAAAAAGACTGGCTAGTCGGTACTACCAGCTGAAGACAGGACATGCCCCAATTGGCACCTATCTACACCGGATAGGCCGACGGGAATCGCCTGAGTGTCAGGCTTGCAAGAGCCTCATGAGACAGTGAGGCATGTGCTTTTTGAATGCCGAGGACGCCGTACAGGACGGAGGGCTTTATATCGAGCCCTCGAGAAAGCTGGAGTGCCGCTACCTACAGCGGCTGAGGAAAGTCCCGAGGCTAGGCTATTGCTGAGCCTAGGGCGACGCAGGGTTTGCTGCAATTTGTGGCTGAAGCCAACCTGTTTAATGATAATGAGCGGACAGCCAGAGAGGCTGAGTCTAGTGATGCGTGGGGGTGGGATACGTTGGAGGAAGGTGGCCTAGGTATCACGTTGGAGGATGGGTAGGGATAAGGGCACACTAGTCATGGTTTGTACGGACTAGGCGTGCCCACGGGTTTGGAACTATAAGGGATCTCCGGAAGGATTAGCCTAGGGGGAGTACCCAAAGGTCCCTGGCATATCGGCGATATGGGGACGAGATAGTGATTTTTGAATTTTTGCATGTATGATTCTGGTAGGGGTGAGGTCGATAGGGCGTCACCAAGGCTTCTGTGGTCTGTCATAGCCAGTAGGGCTGGGTACGGACAATAAACTTGATTAATAATAATAATAATAATAATAATAATAAGATCTTGAATCCCGCCTCTGTCTCTCCAGCGAAGCGAGAGAAGACAGCTTACCCGTCGCTTCACCTCCCCCCACCCTATTCGGACTGGGGGTCGGCCCGGGCTCAACGCGCACATGGGCTCAACGCTCAAAATATTCAAATTCTCAAGCCATCGTTTACAATCGTCCAAAACACCGCAAAAATGGCACCTAAGGAATACAAAAAAGAGGAAGAGCAAATTGCAAAGGCTGTCAGCGCGTATCAAAGTGGTCAAAATCAAAATATCTCGAAATTAGCGCGTGAATTTGGGGTCTCTCGCCATAGACTGTCCCGACGCGTCAAGGGGATACCCTCTCGCTCCAAAAGGGCACCTACGGACCGCCAATTATCGCTAGATCAAGAAAAAGCGCTTTTCCTATGTATTGAGTATCTAGATAACATAGGAGCACCTCCAACAAATCAACAAATTGAGCAGAGTGCCGATTTTTTGCTTCGTAAAGATTTTACCAGTCCCGGAGAGCCTCGCGGCGTTCGTAAAACCTGGGTTGATCGATTCCTTACTCGCTTGCCAGAGGGTTATCAAAGAATCAAGCAAAAACCGCAGGAAGTTGATAGAACAGGAGCCGAGCATTATGGCGAGATTGAGCGCTGGTTTATCGACTTAAACTCGTGATGCAAGAGCTTCATATTACACCCAAAAATCTATGGAACTTTGACGAGACCGGATTCATTGTCGGACAAGGAAAAAACGAGTCAGTGGTCACAAAGTACCCAAAAACAGCAAAAAGAGTTTCCTCTTTGTCTTCTCGAGAATCTCTTACCGTCGTTGAGAGTATAAATGCCGAAGGGAGAGTCATTCCACCGTTAATTATCCCAAAAGGCGAAAAACATATGGAGGAATGGTATCGACGTATACAGGATCCGGAGTGGCTTACTGCTCCTGCTTCAAATGGATTTATCACGGATGAGATCGCATTTGAATGGCTTCAACATTTTCAGCACTATACAAAGCCAGAATATACGTTCGAATGGCGATTATTAATTATGGATAATCATACAACCCATCTCACTATACAGTTCGTTCAATACTGTGAAATTTATCGCATTCGATTATTCAGATTTCCACCTCATTCCACGCATCTATTACAACCACTCGATGGAGTGCCTTTTCAGCAATATAAGCACGTTCATGGAAGAGTGGTAAATCAAGTTGCTCGGCTCGGAGGCTTCGATTTCAACAAAAATGACTTTTTTGAGGAATTACGGGATATTCGAATTCAAACCTTTACTCCGCGAATTATTCGCCACGGTTGGAAAGATCGAGGGATTTGGCCATATAATCCTGATATCGTATTGAGCAAATTGCCTCACCCAGATGAGGCAATTATTGATGATGGGAATACATTAAAAATTTATGGCGAGATCGATGACACTATTCCCAGCTCACCAACAACGAAATCAATTTCTCCACCATCAACGGTCACTGCGCTTCGTCGATATATCAATAAGATAGAGAAATCAATCGAGGGTATAAAGGATATTTTGGAGGAATCAAAACCTGGCCTCGTACGCCGTATAAAAGTCGTGAATTCAAGCAGCCTCGCCATAGCGGGATTAGGTGAGCTTCACCGTGAGGATTTTGCAAGGCTGCGCGACACAGCACAACGCAAAAATAACAAGAAAAACCAAGCGTCAGATAAAAGCCTCAGGCGCACTTTATTTAAAAGATGCGAATCGCCTCATAAAACGCCGCCATAATGGGGATTTATTGAGGATTCATAAACAGCACGTACAATATGACATAGTGGGGAACATCTATCTTCGCGCAAATCAATTTTTTGAAATTACGCCACCAGGTCCGGCCGGAAACGGCTGTAACTCAAGCAGTTTATCGTCTGAGTCAAGAGCTATCAATCGAGCCTACTTTTACTAGGTAAGAGCGTAGTAATGGCTCAGGCGCGCATGTTGACACACTCAACAGGTGAAAATCTGCATCCACAACAACGCGTCCTAATACGCGCCGGGGCTCAACAACCACCACCACCGCCGCCAATCACTAACCAACAACGACCAATCAAGACTTATACGAAAATGGAAGACCTTGCTAAGGCAGCGGAGCTGCTCGCTCAGTATATATACTCAAACCCTCGCGAAGGCAAGGATAATCCAATGATTAGAGGATTTATCAATAACGTACAAGACTTCACTACCACTCACAAATCTGGTCCAGAAATCCTTACAGATCTCAAGCGGCTGCTTGTAGATGTCCAAAAGGACACCGCGGTGCTCCGGACACGATCCAATCAAGCATCTCAATCAAGCGCTACAACCAGATTGTCATCTGTATCCCCGTGGAAAGCATGGAATACCTAGAATTGGCAGGCCAGTCTTCGGAGCGCAGCCGCACCCTCATCTCGAAGCGCCGGCTCCTCCGCACCAGGTGTTAGCCATACAGAGCTGAGTATGGACTGTGAGATTGTCGTTAAGATCCGCGATGAAGCTATCCGCAAGGAGATACGTGAACTGCATCCTGCGGAGATCGTGAAGCGAGCCAAACGAGCCAGGGCCCACGCAGTGAAGGGCACTCCAAGCCTGCCTCTAGCCAGTCATGTATTCATTGCTGCTTGACCACTCCCATTGGGGGATGTTAGCCTACGGGCATCGAACGCAGCGGCAGCGGAGGTCCTCCGCAGACATGCAAAAAATTAAGTTCATGAATTTAGGGAAACAGCGTACATACGGGTACCCATGTGGGGAATTGTAATTGATGGAATGCCTATCCGGAACGTAGATCTAGGTAAGGAATTCAAACAGCGAATAGCTGTAGAAAATTACCATACCTAGAGCCGGAATGTAAAGATTGAGATTGCACACGTTGGCTGGCTTACCAATCCTAAAAGCAAGCATGAAGGATCTCTTGTTGTTGAGTTTATAAATCCAATTATGGCTAACAATGCAATCTCCATGGGGATAGTGTGGCAATCTCGGAGCCACACCAATAGGCCTTATTGTTGAGAAGGATGGTATAAGATGTGCAAGAAGTGCCAGAAATATGGGCACATCCACGCGCAGTGTCCAAATCCAAAATATATCTGTGGGATCTGTGCAAAGAAGCATCCGACCTGGGAATGCCCTTTGCATCAGAGCCAGGGAATAGAATTCACACCAAAATGTACCAATTGCAGTGGCTCACATAAGGTCATAAGTACCAAGTGTGGCTTACGACGTGAGGCCTTAGATAAGGCTAAGATTGCGCTAATCAATTGTGAACCATTTCATTGGGTGCCTCAGTACTTACAGCCCAAGCCGATGCAACAGAATACTACTGCGAATGAGGATCCTACTCCTCACGAAGCTGCGCAGATCCAAGCAACCACAAGGAAGCGCACCAATACGACTAAATCAACAACCACTAAAAGCATCTCAGGGGCGGTAAAGCGTACAAAGACATTAACTACAGCACCTATAGTTTCTACTGAAATCAATAAGCCTACAGTATCAACAACACGCCTATAAACACCAGAGGCCCCTACAACCTCACGAATCATACCAACAGCTAAAAAAATTAAGGCAATCCCATTCACAGCTATTAAAAAACAGCCTCGTGGTAGACCATCTAAATCTAAATTATCTAACAATAACGACGAGAACGAATCAGAGCCCATAGAACAGATCCAATCGGCTATAGATATCACTCAATTGAGCGCTCCTGTGGAGACTATTGACCCGACACTACTCAGCAAGGATAACATGGCAAAATCAACGGCTCCAGTCACCAGATCAAGAGCCTACCTTAAACAGATACGCAGACAGCGCATCCAGGCCCACCGCCAAGTACGTACACGATCTCAAGATTCGGATGAGATACCACTACCCCAGATATCACAGCTTCCACAGATAAACATGACAATAGAAGACAACAATGTCATCCTAAGTAGCACGGCTAGCTACCGTGAACTTAATGATAACACAACTATTAATTCAGAAGGCTAGGGGGGCGGATAGCTGAAGTGGTAACGGCTATCCTTGGGGCCTCCATTCGGTACCCATCTTCGCTGATTGACATGGCCGTAGGTTCGACTCCTACACCCCTCACCAAAACAATTACCACAAATTATCGTGGCAGCTGCAAGTGGGTGCCGCTGCCAAGGCTCGCGTGCTAGCGCTTTATATCTAGCCACCGTAGGGCTTTTGCCCTAAGAACCGCACCAATTCTCGGGAACCCTTTTAAAAACCATCCGACCCACCCACGGGACAGGACACCCGAGGCTAGCCTAGCTAGTGGTTAGTCCCTTATGGGGCAAGACTGTGACGGCCAATAAGTAGGCTGCGATGCCGATATTGGTAACTGGAAGCTCAGAAGTGGTTGGAGAGTGGGCGGTAGTGGAGCAATAGGAAAGATAAGGAACTATTGTATCTAGCTTGAGAGGACAGAAGCGGCAGCCGGTTACTATGGGTGCATATATAAATGTATAGTAGCTTAATGTGTATCCCCCCAATATTCCTAGGGGGGGAGGATGAATAGGGATAAGGGCACACTAGTCAGAGTTTGTACTGATTAGGTGTGCCCACGGGTTTGGAACTATAAGGGATCTCCGGAAGGATTAGCCTAGGGAGAGTGCCCAAAGGTCCCTGGCATATCGGCCACATGGGGACGAGATAGTGATTTATTTTGAATTTTTGTATGTAGGATTCTGATAGGGGTGAGGCCTGTAGGGTCTCACCAAGGCTTCCAGAGGTCTGTCATAGCCAATAGGGCTGGGTACGGACAATAAACTTGAATAATAATAATAATAATAATATGAACATGCGTACAGAGACTCTCTGGAAAGAAGCACGCGAAACAGACTATCGGAAGCTCCTCAGCGAACCTCAGTAGGTTCAGCAGAGCATCGAATTCGTGATGCGGACTGGTCTATTGACGCAATTCCGTCACGCAATCCCCTAATACTATGCGCTCACAGTGTGTGTACGATACTATCTCGACAAAGCGTAACCATTTTGATCCGGCTCGTACGGATCAACCACTTGACACGTTTGGAATAGAACCAGGCACCAAAGCATATCACGTCACTCCGCACCTAGATCCTTCACTCTTTCTGTATATACCCTACTGTTGTTAGTGTTCTTCGGATCTAGATACGGATACGCGTCGAGACTCTCGCGTGATGGTGGCTGAGCCAGCGCCAAACCGGAAGCCTTGGCACGTCGACGTTGATTTATGCTTTTGTATGGTAGTACGCCCGCTGCCCAATTAGAAGGCGCCGCCGGCCAATCGGCTTAGATGCGTGTATGAGTCAATCAATCAATCAATGTCGTGGGCGTTTCCAACTCTCTTTCCTCGTGGAGAAGGTGAATATATCTATCCACCACAGCGAACTGTTAGTTTTGGTGATTACCCAAAGCATTTGATGAAATTTCATGATAGGCGTTTTGCCCGCCATCCACGTCTCCGCTATGTTATCTTTAACACGATGATGAGACAACAGGCCAATACTAAAGCTAGCTTTTTTGTTAAACAGAAGACCAAGGGTGGGCATGAAATTACTGCAGATAATTTACGTCTGGCTTTTGAGGATGATACTTCAGAAGGAGAAGCCTTACTTAACTCCATTACTCGCCGATCTGGGATGCTTCGAGGGACACGTTCTTTTTGGACGAAGAAACACCAACATTTAAAAGTAATGGTTAAGAATATTATTATTATTATTATTATTATTATTAATCAAGTTTATTGTCCGTACCCAGCCCTATTGGCTATGACAGACCTCTGGAAGCCTTGGTGAGACCCTAAAGGCCTCACCCCTATCAGAATCATACATACAAAAATTCAAAATAAATCACTATCTCGTCCCCATGTGGCCGATATGCCAGGGACCTTTGGGCACTCTCCCTAGGCTAATCCTCCCGGAGATCCCTTATAGCTCCAAACCCGTGGGCACACCTAATCAGTACAAACTCTGACTAGCGTGCCCTCACCCCTATTCATCCTCCAATGTGACACCTAGGCCACCTTCCTCCAACGTATCCCACCCCCACGCATCACTAGACTCAGCCTCTCTGGCTGTCCGCTCCTTATCATTGAATAGGTTGGCTTCAGCCACGAATTGCAGCAAGCCCTGCGTCGCTCTAGGCTCAGCAAATAGCCTAGCCTCGGGGTCTTCCTCAGCCGCTGTAGGCAGTGGCACGCCTGCTTTTTTGAGGGCTTGATAGAGAGTTCTTCGTCCTGTTCGACGTCCACGGCACTCAAAGAGTACATGCCTTACTGTCTCATGAGGCTCCTTGCAGGCCTGACACTCAGGCGATTCCCGTCGGCCTATCCGGTATAGATAGGTACCAATTGGGGCATGTCCTGTCTTTAACTGGTAGTATCGACTAGCCAATCTTTTCGGAGCTTTTCCTGCCACTGGGTCAAGGTTCCAACCTCGAGGCATCTTGTAGACACGTCCATCTCTATGCCTGCCTTGTACAGCATTGATTTGAGCCCATTCAGATACTGCAGCTCTCCTTGCTTCCGTGCAAGCCCTTCTAACGTGCGCTAAAGATAGGTGCTCAAAACCAGGCGCGGTTTGTTTACTAGCTGCACGTTTAGCAGCTTGATCAGCCTGCTCGTTCCCTTCAATCCCTGAGTGGCCTGGGACCCATTGTATTGTGACTGGTTGGCCTCTCAAGGCTAGTTTCTCAGCTGCCTTGTGAGCCCTGAGAACAAGGGCTTGCCCAGGGCCTGGCCTTGTCGATCTGAGGCGATCAATAGCATTCTGTGCGTCAAGGAACACCCAGATAGGATCAAGAGGTTGCCTCTCCAGTGCCCATTCAAGGGCTGTGGCTACTCCCACTAGTTCTGCGTCAAACACCTCGTGTCCGTGGCCCATTGGCACCTCTACGTGTTCCCAGGGGCCTCCAGGTACAGCCTGTAAAGTGACACCGGCTCCTGCACGTCCTGTATCGAGTCTAGAGCCGTCTGACCAAAACGTTGTTCCAGCACGCTGTTGATTAGCCTCTGTTAGGGCCTCTTCCTTGTCAAGTACTCGGATCGAGCCTGGGAAGCTTTTGAGCTCGCATCGTTCAGTTCTTTCGATTCCCCCAGAGGGGTCTCTGTTTAACCGTTGAGCAAGGTGCTTTGCAAGCCTTTGGCCAAGTCGATTTAGCACCTTGTTGTCTCTAGAGGCCCATTCACGGTCGTCCAGTGGTTGCTCTCCAGGTTGTGCGTGGAGGTCACCATGTCTGAGGGTGACTGGAAGTATCTGCGCTGTAGGATGCGTGTCAGGCAGAGCTAGTAGCCTCGCTGTATATCGAGCTACTCTAGCGTCCATTAAGACTGTCGCTGGCTCTAACGCTGCCTCTCTGATTAGGGCTCCGATTGGGGTTTTGGGAACATGCCCGTAATACCTCTGGCTTGCTTATTGATTAGAATCTGGATCCTTTGTGCCCATGTTTTCTGGCCTTGCCACCATATCTCGGCACCCCATAGCAATTGGGCTTGCACTGTAGCCTTCTGTATGCGCCTCACTAACGCTGGGGGTAACCCATTAGCTCTGCAGAGTGAGTTTAACCTGATTATCGTATTTCTTGCTGTCTTAATTCGAGCGTTGTAGTGGCTCTTCCATGTAAGTTGGTTATCTAGGAGTATCCCTAGCCACCGTACTGTAGATTTGACAGTTGCCAACTCGCCTCTAGACCTCTGCAAGTCCCATGGGACTAGTAAAAAGTCCCGCCCGTCCATGGGAGTCCCATGGGATTCCCATGGGACTCCCAAGGCTACCAACTTTCTGCCTGAATTTGCATAAACCTGTGGGGCATTACCTGTTTCGGCCGCATAAAGTGCTGACTAACTCCCGGCATTAGCTGTTATTTACATATGTATTATACCCGTAACATATCTCATATTCTAAACACTCAAATCAGAGTGAGCGGAGTATGCAGAGTCACGACTCACGAGTGAGCACAATGGCACATAGACTTACAGAGTGCTAAGTGATAGAGCACTCAGCACTGAGCAGATAGAGTATACAGCACGCACAGAGTACAGACTCTAGAGCGCACAGAGTAGATGGGGTACACCGTACACCGAGTAGAACTTCGATAGCCAATTGATTTAGCTCTAGATTCCAGCTAGTCCTTCTAGAAATATATATATCCAGTATACAACTCTCACGGAAATATATCATCGATGTGTTCTTGTCAGTCTTTGCGCTAAATGGATCCTGAAGAATCCATAGTACGATTGTTTAAAGCTGCCAGAATCTTAAATTGCTACTCTGACAGTCTCTAGTCATAGTAAAGCTACGATAACGTTGTTTTTCGTTCATGGGATAACCACCAAAATTGATAAAAACCTGACTTTCTTCCCGGGGGATCGTCTAGACCCTGTATTGATGGGACTTGGGACTCCCATGGGATTTCCATGGGACTCCCGCGGGACTCCCGTGGGAGTTATCGGTATGAGCCAATGGATACAGCGTATCACATAGTCAAGTGGATCATAACAACACGTCTGACGTGTTGCCCCTAACGCTAATACTAAAGAGTGAAGAGTCAAGACTTAGAGCTAGTTGATGAAAGCCATAGTATATACATATAAGATTCAGAGTCAGAGATTTAAAAACTATTTGATTTATTATGTAGGTGATGCTTTACCTAGAGCAGTACCAGCAGTCTGCCTCAAACTCACAATGTCTCAACTTTCTCGATTTTCAGATGCCGGTCCCTCGTCATTTCTTGGGAGTGATATTCCTGACGATTTTACATCATATTCTACGACAACGCCCGCTACCTCTCTTGCACAAGATCAACCAGCAATCTCCTTCGAGTCCTTTCTATCTACGACCGACACAGGCCCTCCTATCCCCGAATCGTTACAACTGGTAGGGCCTGATAGGAGAAAGTCCTGGGTTCTTTGGTCTGAAATGAATAAGGATGATTTTATCAGTTGGTGGATGGGGACACAATTCCCAAAGTGCTATCCAAACAAAAAAATCAATTGGGAGGCCAAAAAACAGTCATCATGCTGGAACAACTATGACCAGGTGGCTAATCATCTAACAGGAGACCCTCAAGTCATGTGTAAACGATGCGGGAAGACCCTTCCTCATCCACAGAAGACATCAAATGGTACGAATTCTATGAAACGACATTTGAGTGGAGCAAAGTGCGTGAAAGCAGCATTTGATACTACTCGGCAACAGAACATCCAAGAATCCCTCCAATTCGCAGTAAATAATCCGACTTCTACTTGATTTCATGATGCTGATTTACACTATCATAGGCTCATCGACCAACCAAGACAATAAAAGTATTCAATGACGAAGATTGGACTCAAACTCAAATCGAACTGATTGCGAATTCACACCTCCCATTCCAATTTCTCGCACACAAAGGCCTTGTCAATCTAATTCAATATGCCCGTCTGGCTCCCACTATGCCGAATCTACTCTCGCCAACTACCGCTCGGCGTCAGCTTGGACTTCAAGTCAAGAGGAGACAAGCAGAAATTCTGTCCCATCTCCCACCTGGTGCAAAGATCTCAGTAGCTCTTGATTGTTGGACCTCACCTTTCCAGCAAGCGTTTATGGCAATAACTGGATATTTTATCGACAAGAATTGGCAGTATCGTGAGATTCTTCTAGGGTTTGAGCCTCTCTATGATCGGCATACCGGTATAAATCTTAGTGCGGTTTTATTAGAGACACTTCAGCAACATGACTTAGTTGACCGTGTACTGGCATTGACAACTGACAATGCTTCGAATAACAAAACCCTACTACGGGCATTCAATGACGCAATCGAGTCCCCAGATATCCCAGAGGAGCTTCGTCTTGTACGCATACCCTGTCTGGCTCATGTTATCCAACTTAGTCTCAAGGACTTGTTATGCCTTATGAAAGTGAATCCAAAAAATGATAATCCGGACCGAGCCTGGTCAGATGAAGAAGCAGAGCGACTACGGCAAATCCGGAGAGAAAAGGGCATCAGTTATACACTAGCCAAAGTAAGTACAGTGTCGTGAGCCAATTTTAAATATCATCCCAAGCTATTTATCAATCTTATCTAATATATTATCTAGATACGTGGCTTGGCTGTTTTTATCAATGCTAGCCCCCAAAGACGCACAGCATTCCTCGGCCTCCAAGCCAAAGAACCAAAGCTAGTACCAATACAAGATGTGAGAACACGATGGAACTCCACATTCTTGATGTTGCGTCGTGCGAAACGTCTTCAAGCGATTTTTGACAGATACTGTATCGAGCATAATCATACACAATTTCGACTCAATGCGGAGGAATGGCGTCAGGTTGACTACTTAATCTGTATTACTCATCCCTTTTACCAGTGGACTACAGCACTTTCGAAGGTCAAGGATGTAACAGTCCATAACATCTTTCGAGTATACAATCTACTCTTCGATCACTTTGAGAGCTCGATGCGCCAGCTTCGACGGAAGCGAGTACCCTGGAAGCAAGAAATGCTTACTGCACTCGATGCTGGTATGGAAAAGCTGAAAGCTTATTATAATGATACACAGGAGATCCATGGTAATCTCTATGCGATTGGAACGATCCTTGCTCCACAGTATAAATTACAGTTCTTTTCAACATCAGAATGGGCAGATAATGATTTTGAGTGGCGCCAGACATACCATGATTTTCTAAAGGATTATCTCGAGCATTACTCTAAAGACCAGTCACAATCACAGGTCTCTTTGCTAAACACATCGTCTGCTTCAAGAGTCGACGAAATTGAAAGGCTATTTGACTGTGGGTCGCGCCGAATGACACAGACACCGGCAAAGGCTACTACAAATGAGCTCCAAGAATATCTTGATAGTGGTAAGTCTATGATTCGGTACTTCTACTATATATTAACATCTGTTATTTAGGGACTGTGAAGAAGAAACCATGTGATTTCTGGAAAGAGATGGAGGATGAGTATCCTACACTTGCTAGAGTCGCTCGGGATATTTTCTCAATTCCTGCTACAGGTGCAGGAGTTGAACGACTCTTCAACTCCGCTCGAGATATCTGCCACTATCGACGAGGATCTCTGAACTCTACTACAATTCAGGATCTGATGATGTTCCGGTGTATTTCCAAGTTCGATATCAAAGTGGAGGATGATAGGGAGGATATTGATATTCCACTAGAAGATCGACAGCAAAAAGATGAGGCTCGAGAGGCTGAGCTTCAAGACATTGTACCTGATCCTATTAGTGATCATGAAGAAAGTGATAGTGAGGAAAATGATGGCGAGGAAAATAATGGCGAGGAAGTGATTCAGCTGACTGAAGTAGTAGAGGAGGCAACAACAGTTTCTAACCCTACTATGATAAATAAGAAGGGCAACGCGTTACCACAACCCAGTAAGCGTGCACTCGGAAAGAGAAGGATGATCTCAGTAGAGGAACACACCGACGATGAAGCACTTCCAGGAACCGGCGATCGAGCATCACGAAGAGTACGGGCACGGTTAGGGAGAAAAGATGATGGCTTTGACTATTACTAATAATAGTAATATATAGCTCTACTGCTCTAGATATGAATGTCATATAACAGTTATGAATCTTGTGATTCTTGGTTGCGAACTTGCGATTCTAAGAACATAATCTACACCTACTGACCGTCCGACGCTTCTGTAGACTGTAGTGAATCAATAAGTAAGAAAAGCGCGGCGGTATTACTTGTATTGATTTCATACTGTTACTTAAAAATACGGACTAGTTTGGCATAAATTATGCAAACAGCGGATTCGTCTATGTTTGCACTGTTTGCAGTCCCATGGACAGTCCCATGGAAACCCTGCCCATGGACAGCAGGGTACCGCCCGCCCATGGACACAGGCTTCAGTCCCATGGGGCGCCCATGGACGCCCATGGACAGTCCCATTGGGCCAGTCCCATGGGACTTGCAGAGGTCTACTCGCCTCCAACCCTGATCCGGGCTCGAGATACGTTTTGGGCCACTTGACGTCTGTGTCGTCTATAAAAGAAAGCGGCTTCAGTCTTTTTGCGATCAAATTGTACCCCGTTAGCCACCCCCCACTCGATGGCTACTTCCGCGGCTTTCTCGAGGATCCTACAAGCCTCCTTCACTGAGCTTGCGGCTGTTACTAGGCCTTGGTCGTCCACAAAGGACAGACATCGAACCTCTGGCACACTCCTCTCAATGGCTCTTGATAGCCCATGAACGTATAGAACAAAGAGAATGGGTGACACCGGAGAGCCCTGAGGTAACCCAGAGCTTATCGGTACTTCCTTTCCCACGTGTCCATCAATCACAAGAGTGACTCGCCGGTCAGATAGAAATGAGATCACCCAATGTATAAGATCTCCATCCACGCCAGCCTCTCTGAGCACCTCTACCAGTTTTGCTAGGATGACATGGTCAAAGGCCCCCTCAATATCCATAAATAGAGCTGCAGCCAGCTTCCCATTTGCCCAAGCTTGATGGATCTCCTCCACTAGACATGCCACAGCATCAATTGCACTGCGTTGCTGACGGCCTCCAAATTGACCATCATGGAAGAGGTCTTGAGCCTCTGCAAAGTTTGTAATTAACTCTGCCACGAGCTTCTCAATCACCTTGCCTAGGCACTTCAATAGGCTTATCACTCGATACGCGCTAGCCAGTGTGTAGTTGGTTTTACCGTTCTTTCTCAGTAGAACTCCCTTGGCTGTTTTCCAGACACGTGGATGTATCCCAAGCCTGAGGCACTGCCTAGTCAGGCTAACCACACGCTCTGAGTCTAGATTCCATAAGAGCCTGATAGCCCTGAAGTTCAGTAAATCTGTACCTGGAGCTTTCTCTAGTCCCTGGCTAAAGAGGGCATTCTTGACAACTTCCTCGTTGACCAGCTTGTGGGCCGATCCTCGCTCAGGAAGCTGTAACTGCATGTTACTGTTTGGAGCCTGTGGAAATGCACGGTGTCTAAAAACCTCCTCCTTCTCGCTAAAGGTGGCTGCAATCACCTCCCCTGAGGCCTCATCGGTGAGAGCTGGTGTGGTGCCTTGTGTTTGTGGTTTAGTATAGCGTAAGGCTGTCCAACACCGTTTCTGATCTGGCAGAGAGCCCTCAGACGTGCCCTGAAGGAAACCCTCCCAGCACTCTCTTTTAGCTCTCCTGATCAGTGAATAGAAGCCCTTACGTGCTTCTCGATGCTCCTCTTCGCTAATCTCACCCGCTTGGTAGGCCTTATGAGCCTTGGAATACGCGCTTCGTTCTGCCTCAATCTCACTGTTCCACCACCGCTTAGATCGAGCACAAAGCTTGATCTGTTTGCAGTGCTTGTTCAGGACCTCTGTCAACGCTCTCTCAATCCACTCTGCTTCACGTTTCACTTCCTCTGTTGAGGTTGTGTCTGTTAGTATTGGTTGAGTCTTTGCTAGTTCGTTCCAGGTGTCTTTTGCCTCCTGCAGAGCCTTTTTGTTTCCTAGTAGAGCCTCTATCTGCCACCCTGTGACTTCTTTCCTTGTGGGCTCTGTACTCGCAGTTGTCGGAGGTTCCCAGCTAGCCCAAATCATAACGTGATCTGACGGCGTGAGCCTCTGGCTTTCGATTTCCCATCCAGATAGAGGGCCAAGGGCTTGACTACTGATTGTGAGATCAATAATTGAGACCCTAGGCTCAGTAGATGTTTCTAATGATGCTGTAGAATCTCTAAGCTTATGAGGCCTTGTTGGCTCGTCAGGGTCGTTATTAATAAAGAGGTCATGCCTCATTATTAGATCCTCGAGGGATCTTGCGTTAACCCTCTGGTCGATATGGACATTCCACATCGGGCTGTGGGCGTTGAAGTCTCCAAGAATGAGGCATCGACCCTCTAGAATTGGTCCCCAATCAAGATCCGTGAGGGCTCTTCTTGTAAGTAGGCTCTCTCCTGAGTATTATTATTATTATTATTATTAATCAAGTTTATTGTCTATACCCAGCCCTACTGGCTATGACAGACCACTAGAAGCCTTGGTGACACCCTACTGGCCTCACCCCTATCAGAGTCATACATGCAAAATTCAAAAATCACTATCTCGTCCCCATATGGCCGATATGCCAGGGACCTTTGGGCACTCTCCCTAGGCTAATCCTTCCGGAGATCCCTTATAGTTCCAAACCCGTGGGCACGCCTAGTCCGTACAAACCCTGACTAGTGTGCCCTTATCCCTACCCATCCCCCCCTAGGGATATTGGGGGGATACACATTAAGCTACTATACATTTATATATGCACCCATAGTAACCGGCTGCCGCTTCTGTCCTCTCAAGCTAGATACAATAGTTCCTTATCTTTCCTATTGCTCCACTACCGCCCACTCTCCAACCACTTCTGAGCTTCCAGTTACCAATATCGGCATCGCAGCCTACTTATTGGCCGTCACAGTCTTGCCCCATAAGGGACTAACCACTAGCTAGGCTAGCCTCGGGTGTCCTGTCCCGTAGGTGGGTCGGATGGTTTTTAAAAGGGTTCCCGAGAATTGGTGCGGTTCTTAGGGCAAAGCCCCACGGTAGCTAGATATAATGCGCTAGCACGCGAGCCTTGGCAGCAGCACCCACTTGCAGCTGCCACGATAATTTGTGGTAATTGTTTTGGTGAGGGGTGTAGGAGTCGAACCTACGGCCATGTCAATCAGCGAAGATGGGTACCGAATGGAGGCTCCAAGGACAGCTGTTACCACTTCAGCTATCCGCCCCCGGTGCCAATTATATATGTCCATCAGTTTAAGGAAGAGGTCCCAATCTGTTGCATTCCACTACTTATAAACCATTGGAGGAACACGTATAGCTGTAAGATTAAACTGAGTGGAGATTAGGACATGATCTGCTCTGTATCACCACTCTAGCTTGGTGTTGCAGCTCACTACCCGGTTGGCTAGATTGTGCGATGCCCACACTAGATCAATTATAGATTTGGCGTTAACCCTCTTGTACGTGATTGTGCCTGGTGGCAGGAGCTGCTCAAGCCTATGCTTATCTATAAGATTAATTAATTTAGTGGCCTCCTTGTCAACGTGTCGGTACCGCGGGCCCGCCCATAGCGGGTGATATTAGTTGAAGTCCCCTAATACAATATACTGCGCCCTAGGTGCCATGGCGGTTTGCAGGGCGCTAATTACAGATTTCTCGTTGCTATTGACTCCTGGATTGTATACATTGTGAATATGGATGATTCCATAGGCGGCTGTATGAAGTGTTAATGTGCTCAGATCTCTATTATGGTATTGTGTCACGGACCTGGATCCACCTTAGTTCTAACAGCGGTGCGTCGTGATACGTTAGGATAATTGAACCTCGCACAGGTCCCGACCAATGATATAGTGGAGCGTGATGGATCGTATGTAACGAAGTATCGAACGGTAATGAGACGGTGACTGGGAATAGTAACAAACTAAGATAGAAGAGATCCCCCGTACAGCCTGGTGCCCGTACGAGTTAGAATGCCTTGCTGACTCTCACTGTTGTATTCAAGTGACTTATGTCAAAGAACTATGAAGAACTAAATACATGATGGTAAAAGAGCGTCCTTATATATCCAGTCCTCCATGTTTCGTAGTATGAATATTGTAGTATCGTAGTATGCTACGATATTCTTGCTACAATACTATCTTTTCCGTCCAATCAATTCTCGGAGTTTCGTAGTACCCTTATCTTGATAAGATAACGGTATATCTTTCTTATCATCACGTGACTCCTGCCTTCTATTGGAATCTTTTGGTACTAGTCCGAACGGGGTTAGGCTCTGATAGGAGTTGTACAATTTGGGTGAGGAATAATTGACTCTGATTTGCACGTCTTCTAAAACATAGCTAACTACACATCTTGATCCTCTTTATATACACATCATAGTGGCAAAGTATCACGGATTTACGGGATAAATGACCATCCTGACTCCAAACTGTAGGCTTGAGTTTGGCTCTCATGTTCTCACGGATATGTCGTTATTCCGAGGAATCATGATTAGTAATGACATCCTGATTGGGATTAGCGTATCAAATATCCAACACCTTCTGATTGCACAGTACGCTTTACTGTTCATGACTGGTACTGGTTTCTTCTTGTAATTTGAAACCTTTCCTTTTTCGTAGTAGTACCTTTTAGCGTCATGCAGTTTAGCTTCGTAACATATTGGACCTCCCATGTGGCTGGATCTAGCCCTCTATTGACATAGAAACAGACTCGTGGGCGTTTCTTGTATTCTTCTTTGGGTGTGGCCTGCAGTAGGATATGGAAGCTGCCCTTAAGCACTAGTGAGTATATTGTTAGTGGGTCGGTATGTTTGTTGATGTAGGGTTCCTGGATAGCCAGGATATCGTAATTTTGCATCTTGCTCTCACCAAAGAGATGCATCTGGACCTCGTCCCGCGATTTCCAGTAGTTAGCCTGCAGGATTTGTAGTCAATTAGTGTTACGATACATTACTGATTGTTAGCCCAGGTGCTGTCTTCAAGGTTCGTGGTCATTAGCGTATCAGCCTCCTGAGCTGGCTCGATTGGCTCCTGAGGGGCTTCGTGGATTGATGGCTGGGTAAGTTCATCCTCAGATGAGTCATCGTCTGGGATTGTACGTACACTCTTACTTCGGCGGATAGTCCTAACAGCTTGCACATGTAAAATTTCCAGTGGAGCAATATCTGATTGCAGAACTGGGGTTCCTAGTGGAGGCTTCGTATTCTGACGTGCACGTGTGTTGTATGTATATTTAATCTGGGTCTCAGGTCCTGTCCTAGGTTCAGAATTAGGATCTACATCTATAACTAGATCTTTATCCCACTGCGCTCTCATAGGCTTTTTTGAGGATCTATTGGTAGGATCACCTGATGTAGGGCTTATTAGCTCAGGCTCAGATTGTTCTGCCACTCGTTTTCGGGCGGCTGCTGCGCTCTTACTTCTTGAGTTAGCAGATCGACGTGTGGTGGCTGTACGAGCTGGTGCGCGAGGACTTCGCTCTGTATTAGCTGCTTCTGCTGGTGTAGGGTCATTTGGTGAGATGGCTCCGGGCTGAATATTGCTAGGTCGTATCACAGGAGTGTGATATTGTGGGCCGTATGTACGTCGTTGGTGCGCCTCTGCGAGGCACGTAGCTCGTATCGGGCACTCCCTCGCGTACGCAAAGTGTTTCGTATCGAGTCTCTTAGCAGGATCTTTGATATGGACATTTTCTGCGGTGCAGTTAGCACACTTAGTATTGTCACCGACCTGGATCCACCTTAGTTCTAACAGCGGTGCGTCGTGATACGTTAGGATAATTGAACCTCGCACAGGTCCCGACCAATGGTATAGTGGAGTGTAGCGACTTGTATGTAACGAAGTATCGAACGGTAATGAGACGGTGACTGGGAATAGTAACAAACTAAGATAGAAGAGATCCCCCGTACAGCCTGGTGCCCGTACGAGTTAGAATGCCTTGCTGACTCTCACTGTTGTATTCAAGTGACTTATGTCAAAGAGCTATGAAGAACTAAATACATGATGGTAAAGAGCGTCCTTATATATCCAGTCCTCCACGTTTCGTAGTATGAATATCGTAGTATCGTAGTATACTACCTTATACCTTACTACGATACTATCTTCCCTTTCCAATCAGGTCTCGGAGTTTCGTAGTACCTTTATCTTGATAAGATAACGGCATATCTTTCCTATCGTCACGTGACTCCTGTTCCCTGATTGCACAGTACGCCTTACTGTTCATGACTGGTACTGGTTTCTTCTTGTAATTTGAAACCTTTCCTTTTTCGTGATAGTGCCTTTTAGCGTCATGCAGTTTAGCTTCGTAACATCCCCTGTATTATGAGATCCAGCGCAGTACGCGCAGTAGATCTGGCGCTGACAGTGCCTAGCGATATGTTTATACATCTGGCATTTGAAGCACTACTAGAGATTGGCTACTTTATCATATATTGAGACATCGTGTTGTCTTCTCTTAATAATAAGGCCACGCTGGATTGCAAAGTTAGCAACCCTTTCATCATCAAATATAACCACGAGATGGGCATTCGTGAGCTTCTGTTCCTTAATCTTATGCTCGCTTAGAAGCCAGCCCGTGTATGTAATATTTATAGGGGCTGGAAGCTGCGCGAACACCGGGGCGTTCTCTGAGATAAGTGTAGTTATGAATTGAGACTGTTTGGTGTTAATATTTGTATTGATGCCGCGTACAACGACGCCCTATGTATATTTTCGTATACGTGTTTCTTTTCCAAATGCCCTAATCCAGTCCTTCTTACGGGTGAGCTGGTCAACGTCGTCCACCGTACCTAGTAAGAGTATGATATCCCCACTAGGTAGTATACAGGCTGCTGCAATTCGTCGATGTGCGATGGTGGCGTCTTGAGTGCTGCGTATTGCGAGATTTGCCTTCTCCACCACCTTATCTGGGAATCGACGTATCGGGTTGAGGATATCTGGATCGGTATGTAGTAGTAGTAGTATTGATATAACGTAATCCACGAGCGAGCCGCCACCCCAAGCGAGCCGCCACCTTTTCCCGAACACGTACGCGATATTGAGTTTAAATAATTCAACACGTCAATATGCCCCCAATTCGCAATAAAAAGTCAAAATATTTGATTGAGCAAGAAGGCCGAATCTTATTAGCTATTTCCGATTTTCAAAATGGCAAAATCTCCACTATTGCAGAAGTTGCTAGGATTTACAATATTCCACGTACAACTCTCCGGAATCGATTACAAGGCATTCAACAAAGATCTCTTGTACGCGCCAACAACCATAAATTGACTCAATCTGAAGAGGAATCGCTTGTCAAATGGGTGCTTGATTTAGATCGACGTGGATTACCCCCCCGGCATTCTCTTGTACGAGAAATGGCTAACTACATACTTTTACAACGTGGCAATCAACAAGTTGGTGAGAATTGGGTTACTAACTTGATTAAACGCCGTCCGGAGATTGAGTCAAAGTTCTCACGAAAATATAACTACGAGCGTGCTAAATGCGAAGATCCGAAGATAATTCAAGGACATTTTGACCGCGTACGAGATATGATATCTGAGTACGGCATCTTACCAGAAGATATCTATAATTTTGATGAGACGGGCTTTGCTATGGGACTCTGCGCAACTGCAAAGGTTATTACTGGAAGCGATCGATATGCTCGGCCAAAGCTTCTACAGCCTGGGAATCGAGAATGGGTGACTGCAATTGAGGCAATAAATTCAACCGGATGGGCTCTGCCTTCGTACGTAATTTTCAAAGCAAAGAAAAACGTACGATTAGGCTGGTTTGATGAGCTTCCGGATGATTGGAGAATCAATATTAGCGACAATGGCTGGACTACAGATCAGATAGGATTAGAATGGCTTAAAACCCATTTTATTCCTCTTACTAGAGATCGTACATTGGGAACATATATTATGTTGATTCTTGATGGCCATGGAAGCCATTTGACTGCAGAATTTGATCGTACATGTACGGAACATAAGATTATTCCTGTTTGTATGCCTCCTCATTCTTCACATCTCTTACAGCCTCTTGATGTTGGCTGTTTTGCAGTTTTAAAGCGACATTATGGGCAGCTGGTTGAACAACGAATGAGGCTTGGTTTCAATCATATCGACAAAATCGACTATTTAACAGCCTTTCCAAGCGCTCGTATGATGGCATATAAAGCTCAAACTATCCGGAATAGCTTCGCAGCCACTGGATTAGTGCCTTTTAATCCAGATCGAGTTCTTCAACATCTCAATATTCAATTGAAGACTCCAACCCCCCCTCCAAGTCGATCAAGCAATACAGCATCATCCTGCTTACAAACACCTCAAAATATACGCCAATTTGTACGCCAGTCAACTACAATTAATAAACATATAGATGAGCGTACAGGAAATCAGAATCAAGAAATCAATCAGGCAGTTATACGGTTGTCAAAAGCCTACGAAATACTAGCGAATGATGCTTTACTCGTACGGAAAGAAAACCGTGATTTACGAGCTGCGCATGAAAAAGAAAAGCAGAAGCGCAAGAAATCTAATAAACAGATATCTATTGAGCAAGGAATTACTAGAGAGGAAGCTCAGGCGCTCGTACAAGGTCAGGTTGAGGCATCTCAAGCCGTTACTACTACTACAGCTGAGCCGGAGCTCCCAGCTCTTCAAGCAGCCGTACGCCGCCAATATCGCTGCAGTGGTTGTAACGTTATGGGGCATAGAATAAATCAATGTCCTAGTCGAACTAGTAGTTAGATTTTTGTATATATTTTTGTATGTGGCTTTGAAAATTGGGATTTGAAATCAATATCGCGTACGTGTTCGGGAAAAAGTGGCGGCTCGCTTGGGGTGGCGGCTCGCTTGTGGATTACGTTACCCGCTGTAGCTGGCCGCTGACTAAGAGCCGCTATCCAGGTGTGTGCCTAAGCCTGCAGGCACCAAGAGATCCGCGGCCCAGCCACGGGTGGTGCGCCATAGAGGCGCGCCACAGAGAACGGAAGCTAAGGAAACAAGAATAACGAATGCAAACATGTCAAACAAACAAATAAACATCTTGGTCGGCTAGTGCGCGTACGCCCCGCCTACAAGAATTCCCAAATTCTTTTCAAGTCCTCCGAACTGCACCAGTTCGCTTCAAACCCACATATCCTGTATCCCTCATAAAAATCTGCGTATCTCACCCTTCGCAAATCCGAATTGTACGTCCTCTACATCGCATCCCATTGGCTGGCTCTGAATCACTTGATCCAAGGCTCGTATTCGTGTCAATCCTGGTCCTTACTGATAACGACGTCGACCTGGAACGCACATCATCTACGTGCGTGTTCGTACATGTTCCCACGTCAGTGTCCTTGTCATTTGCAGGCTCCAATTGAGCCGCTATTTCTGCACTTTCATAGGTGCCAACTGCTTCCGGATCTACCTCACGGAATTGATCAAGCACTCGCGTGTCAATGATGAACTGCGCGATTGCAATTGCGGCCTTTTTTTCCTTGAGTAATGCTTGCAGATCTGTTGTGTGTCGGAATCCCTTGATTCGTGACCATATGAGACCGCGTTCATTCTCATACAGTGGGCATTCCATAAGGATATGTCGTACTGATTGACCAGATAGGCCGCAGGCATAGTATGGTTGTTCTCGCCTGCTAATTCGCCACAGATAGTGCGCCAGCCCGATTCGTTCGGTACGCAGCTGTATCAGTATTGACGATGTTGCTTTGCGGAGAAAGGTCCAATATTGGAGTGTGCGCTTGGAAGGCTAAGTGACAAGTTTTTTGGTAGATTTCCCTGCCTTTTGCTTGTCCCACCATCTCTCCCAGGCATCCTTAGTTGATTGGCGTATTCTGCGTTTTGCGGCTGCTGCGAGTATAGTCCATCCTTCACTTGATAGATCTCCAGGTACGATTTGCCTTCGTGCACCCATTAGAGCCGCACGTTTTGCAGCCCTGTCTGCAGCTTCATTTCCAGGAACGCCCTCATGGCCTGGAATCCACCTCAGTGTTACATCGATGTCCTCATCCGTACACTTCCTCAGTGAATCGACACAGCCCTGAATGTACGTTTGACCAGAGACTATACGCAGGTTCATGAGAGTTTTAAGCGCGGCTTAGCTATCTGAGAAAATAACTAGTTTCTTGGTTCGTATGTCCTGATCTGTAATTTGAAGCGCAGTTTCAAGCGCGAATTTGATCCCACAGACCTCAGCTGCGTATACTGTTGAGGTGCCTTCCGTACCAATACACTCCGTTCGTTGTTTTCTGAATGTTGGAATGACCATGGACGCGCCAATATAGCTTTGATATCCACTGCCGTCCGTGTATATTGCGATATGCTCATTCTTGCATGTGATGTCGTTATGTACTGATACTGCCTTCTCTCGCTCATCAATCACAACCTTTGGAGGCTCATGCTACGGTGCCTGAACGTATGCAGATCAGCTCTCCCATTTCCCTGCCAAGGTTCCGGGGGGAGCCAATAAGCATCCGCCCTTCTTCCAGGCATGAGCTTCCATAGGAGTGTATCCGCCAAGCTTGAGTTCGTCGCTGGTGCGTCGATTGACTAGGCCGTCAGGAATTGCAAAGGCAGGACCTGTGCGGATCCAGATAGCTACAGCCTTTGTGAGTTGATCCAGTTGCAACCGGATTGGCATTAGGTGAAGCTCTATATTGAGGGCCTCCGCAGCCGTTGTACAAAAAGCACCGCTGATCAGGCACGCTGCGCGCTTTTGGATAGTTGTAAATTTGCGTACAGTTTGTATAATTTGCCTCTGGCTCATAAGGTCTGGTTGGAACCAGGCTGCAGGGCCATACAGCATCTGTGGGATAACAATTGCTTGATAGATCCTTCTCATGGAGCCTAGTGCGACCCCCCATGTGGATCCTGATAGGCCACGTAGAGCTTCCAGGCTGGTGCCTGCTTTTGCAATGGCTTCATCACGATGTGTGTCAAAGCTTAGCTTCGTATCAAGCCAGATGCCGAGATATTTGACAGCTTCTTTGGGCTTTATTTCAACTTCATCGCGCAGCTGGATTGGCTGCGATTCAGGATTGGTCGTGCTTTGTGGGTTCACAAAGTGAATTAGTTAATACTTCTTCGTGTCAAACACTGAAGCGTGTCGTACCGCCCATTGATCTGCGATCTCGCTAGCTTTTTAAAGCTTTCTTATTGTTTCTGTCTCTGTATTACCTGTGGTCATCAAGGCTACGTCGTCCACCCATCCACTTGTCGTTGTGTGATTAACTATATTTGCACAATCCTCAATCAGATCCGCGTTGTAAATCAGATATAAGATAGGTGAGATTGGTGATCCTTGTGGGATGCCTGTTGGTGTAGGAATTTAGCCAGATATCCCCTCAGGGATCCGTACCTTGGTGCTTCGATTTGTGAGAAAGGCAGTCACCCACGGCACAAAGTGCCCTAGACGTCGTTTCTTCATATTGTGTAGTAGCCGTAGGTGGTGGGCATTGTCGTAGGCACCGCTGACGTCCAATAGGAGCATAGATATGACGGCATGGCCACATCCCTAGGCTCCACGGATTCGATCGAGGATGATCTGTATGGCATGATCCGTGGATATTCCTTTACGGCCACCTAGGTGGCTTGAAGGAAGCAATCCTTCACTTTCCATGGCGTAGCTGATGCGGTGTGCAATAATTGCTTCGAGAAACTTGCTGAGTGTGTTAAGCAAGGCCACAGGTCTGTACGCCTTGGGTATACGATAGTCCCTGTTGCCGCCTTTACGTAGTACGACAGTAATTAAGCGCTGGAAGTGAGTGGGATTGTAGCCAGTTCTTACGCAGGCATTAAAGATCTCGTATAGAGTGTCGATGATTACTGGGATGCCAATAATTTTATGCTAGAAGCTGTTTGGAATGCCATCCTCACCCGGCGCTTTATCTGGTGGCGTTGAACGGATAACATACTCGATCTCGTGGCGTGGGATCTCCGGGAATTCGATTTGTGACGGATATTGGCTGTCTGTGATGTCTGATAGATCTGCATTTGGGATAGCTGGGAAGAACGCTTCCCTAAGAAGCTGCGTTTTTGCTTCCACTGTTTCCGCTATATAGCCATCCAAGTCTTGTAGGGTTGGGGTGATTCCTGATTCATACGCTCCATTACGCGAGCGTGCCCACTTTGCCAATTTCCAGAGGCCTAAGGGGCCTTGCTCTGTCGCCTGCTGTACGCGACGTCGATGGCCTAGTCGTAAGGATTTCTTGACTAGGCGTTTCTTCTTGTTGCGGGCTCGTAGGTAAGCCCTCCAGATCCACGGATTGTGGGTGTTTGAGAATTGACGTCGTAGCTGGCGGCAGGTTCGTACAGCCTCTTTGCATTCAGGTGTAAAATCTGGATTGCTCCACGCGCTCGGACGAGCCCATGGAACTGATTGATCAACCGCTTTGCGAATAGCCGCTGTAAAGGCCACTGTTGAAAGTTCAATATAAGATTTTGATGCGTTTACAAGCCTTGGTGCGATGAGTTGGCTAAGCGATTCCTGTAGCACTTTGATATCTGTCGCTGCCCAGTTGCGGCGCCGTGGTGGTTCGTGAGTTGGTGTATCAATGTCGATCTGCGTCCTGATTGGCCAGTGGTCAGAGTCATGTTGGATCTCGCCTCAAGATCATTGCTGTCTGACTCTGAATCCTCATCGTTAGCGCCTTCATAATCCGCGAGGTATTGGTCTACACGGTTGAGATATCGCTTCTTAGCTTCATCGCGTTCTTCCTGCGTGTGCTTTGTTGAGTAGCAACCTATCTTGTTGCAGACATAGCATCGCTTGTTTCGACGAGGATCTCGGAATTTGCGTGTGCGTCGGTTACGGTACGGGGATTTTGAACGAAATTTGTGATAACGACGGTCCGTGTAGTAGGTGTCGACAGGCTTCGATTCGGTACGATTCTGCGCAACAACTTGCTTCCTATCCTGATATTGACCAACATTAGTACGAAGGCTCTGTATTAAACCGGTCAACGTTGACGGAGGTTGAGCTGTCGCCCAGTCACATGAAGGATGCGTTCTAGTTGCTTTAACCAACTTGTGTTGATAATAGATGTCATTACGCATGATCTCTGGCAAGCAATAGAACAACTTTTGAAGTTCATTGAGCATGATCTCAAGACATTCACGCAGAGATTTATCCAAGTTCTTTGGATCATCAATAACTTTCTGCAAAGTCAAGCGAGACCATTCTTCTTGCTTCAAACGTTCGCGTTCTGGTCCTTCAAAATACTTCTTTATTGCCTTGGGAGGATCAACGCTCTCGGTTTCCCAACGGTCCTTGTTGAGATAATAATATGACAATGCTTCGTCCTTGAGCATTGTTGGAAAAGCAATTCGAGACGCGTATTCGCTTCTAGGAAGTGCCACACGTTGACAATAATCTTGAAAGATTTTGAACTTCCAATCAAATATGTCGTCAGATCCCGAATATTTGACATCGTTGGTATAGATCTTTGACAACTGGATCAAAGCGTTCGACAAGACTTTTGCTTGATCCGTGTACACAAATCCTGATGACCCATTCTCCCGAGTCAGCAATGGTGCTTGCGTCAACGTAGGTGTTGGGAGGTTGTTGGCAACGCAGTGCTATCGACGCAGTGGCATGCCTTGTAGAGGAGATTCACCAAGTTTGGGCAAACAGGAAGCTAGCTGCAGCTCTATTTATGGATATCAAGAAGGCCTTTGATCATGTTATTTTGGCCAAACTGATAGAGGTCCTCAGAGAGGCTGGCGTAGATGGAGATCTTATACGTTGGGTGGTCTCATTTCTATCTGATTGGCGAGTCACCCTCGTGATTGACGGACACGTTGGAAAGGAAGCATCAATAAGCTCTGGGTTACCTCAGGGCTCTCCGGTATCACCAATCCTGTTTGTTTTATACGTTCATGGGCTGTCCAGAGCCATCGAGAGTAGGGTTCCAGAGGTTCGAGGCCTATCCTTTGTGGACGACCAAGGCCTGATAACAGCCGCAAGCTCTGTGAAGGAGACTTGTAGGACCCTAGAGAAAGCAGCTGAAGTGGCTATCGAGTGGGGGGTAACCAATGGGGTGCAATTTGACTCTAAGAAGACCGAGGCTACCTTCTTTTATAGACGACACAGACGTCAAGTGGCCGAAAACGTGTCCCAAGCTCGTATCAGAGTTGGAGGTGAGTTGGCGACTGTCAAACCAACGGTACAGTGGCTAGGTATACTCCTAGACAGCCGTCTAACATGGAAGAATCACTAAAAGGCTCGAATTGAGATAGCAAGAAACACAATAATCAGGTTAAACTCACTTTGCAGAGCCAACGGACTACCCCCAGCGTTAGTAAGGCGCATACAAAAGGCTACGGTGCAAGCCCAACTCCTTTAGAGTGCCGAGCTTTGGTAGCAAGGCCAGAAAATATGGGCACAGAGGTTCCAAGTTCTAATCAATAAGCAAGCCAGAGCTATCACGGGCATGTTCCCAAAAACCTGAATCAGAGCTCTAAT